TTTAGCCCCCCCCCCCCCCAAAGAGTCAAAACAAACGTCGACAGCTCTCATTGGGCTGCAAGCTTCATAAGCTACCTTGCCTTTTAGTTTAGTGAGTCTCGGGCTGGTTATCAGCACACGTGGAGACGAACGCAATTAGGAATAGGAAAGTCAAAAAGATGAATCTGAGTCAAGACTAGTGATGGGTCACGATCTACTGCTATTTTCTGTGAGGGGGGGACAGAATGACGATGACTTGCAGACCAAGATGTTGTTGAATGAGGCGACTATTGAAAAGGCTGCCTGCCTCCTTGCAGACTTGATCAATGAGATGGAAAATAAGATCCAAGCCAGTGGTAATTGATCGTCAAAGCTTTTGAAGAAAAGACCCGACAGTAAAGAGAGAGACACACAGAGGCTACCTTATGTTATGCAAGGCTTTATGTTATCTAAGTGGAGGACGGCGGGTATAATGACGCTACCTGGACCCTGTTCGGCTTCCGTTTGATCCCTGTTCCGCAAGATTAAACACGTCTAGTCCCAGCTGAGCGGAAAAGGTATCTCTATCATACAATTGACAGACAAACGGTACTTTCAAGACTGGGCCGTTGTTGCGAGCCGGCCCTGAACTATTCCTCTCTGGGCTTAGAATAGCCCGACTCACCCTGGCTATCGCCATTTCCCTCCAGTCAGTTGTTTGGGCCAAAGCATGGGGTCAAACACCAGGCGCTTGCCATTATTTTCGTAACTTTCTATCTTGGGATCGGGTTCTTTCTTTCTTCCCTCTCCTCTCTTCTTTCCCATTGATTTGCCTCTGCCTGACCGTACACGGACCCCAGACACAAACCAAGCAGGGCCCTAACAGGTACCTCCCCTAATAATTCGACCAGGGCCTCCATCCCAGCATCAACACCCAGGTCGACTCTCTTCACCACCAGCCCGAGCGTCGCGTCCACAGCTGGGTCTGACTTTACCAGGATCTTTTCTCGCTTGTATCGACTTTCTCTTTTCTTCCTCTTCTCCCCCCTTCCTCCTTCCTCATTCGTGCCCAGCCATTGTGTGCGTCTCATCGCTTGGTTCCCCTTCGATCGTACGCACGCTCAATCAACTCGAGCTCGAAGCGACAACTCAAAGGCGGGAAAGAACTCATCGTGTTTACTTCTCTCCAGAGAAACCGACTCAATCCTCACGGACCAAGCGCTCACCTTCCTTAATTCCCTTGACGACATTCGCTCTTTCCAATCGTGGAAAATTAATCGTAATTTAATCTTTCAACCAACTATTACCATCATTTGAACGTATCACGAAATCGATTGCGCATCGACAGTTCGACTCCCTCATCAACCTTAACTAATCAGTCAATCACTCATTCACTCGTTCGCTTGCTCAGGAGAGCAGTTTTTGGCTACGATTATTAACCGCCCAACATCTCTCCACCGACCACCGTATCGACCACTTAGGGTTCTTTCGACCCGGCTCCACGAACTCACCAGGCATTCATCACAAGTTCTTATCCCGACGACCATGACCTAGGTGTTATTGAAGCTCAAGATACCACCGATTTCTGCATTAGCCTGTCGAATTAGGACCATTATCTCAACCGTTCAGATGGATGCGTCCTGTCAGAGCGCGGGCCCTCGGTGGGCTCGCCAATCGCGCAAACATATAACATCGAAGACATTTGTTCTCGCTTTACTCTCTACCTCACCCATGCTGGTCTCGGCTCAGGATGCGGATTGTATCTCCTTGAAGGGTTCCAAAGCATGCCCGGCGTTTACATCTGCCTCTATCTCTACCGGAGGCGACGTTCGTAACTTCTAGTATGTTTTGTTTAGGTTTCGAGGCGCAACTTTTACTGACAGGGGTAACAGCCCGTTCTTGCAATACGTTTCGGACACAGCATCTTTCGATAGTCAGCTTTCCGGTTTTGTCGAGAGAGACTATGTGCAGAGGCAGTAAGTTGTTCCCCACAGCTGCTCCAAGACAGCCAAATACTTACATCTCCTAGATATCAGTCTTTGTTTGGTTGCAAGGACCTTGACCTAACTAATACTAGCGACTTGTATGCTCGCTTCACAACAAGTGTACTGTGCAATGCCATAGTTCAAAACTCTATCGAACCCTGCGGTCTTTCTGAGGAGCAGTCTCGGCCCTTGTGCGCTGATGACTGTGCTGACTTCGCCCAAAGCGAGGTCTATCTGACATCAGACGACAGCATTTGTTCGAACCCATCAGACGGTCTTTTGCCGCTGATCAGGGCAGACTTCACTAACTGTGCTCTTCCTGGAGGCTCATTGGACACCTCGACTTGCATCAAGGCGATTGACAATGAGGGGGAGAACTGCGGTTATGGTAACAGTACCATTGGACTTTGTTCTTACTGCGGCTCAAGCGGTCTTAACTCGACCGACACCTGCTGCTACAATTCTAACGCTGAGGATCGTTGCAAGGATGTAGAGCTGCCATCAATAGCCCCCACCGTCACTTTCTCTCGCGAATCCCCAACATCTTCGGCGACTGAATCGAGCACTGCAGACGGAAACGATGAAGAGACCGACGAGGGCGGCGGTGGTGGGCTAAGCGGCGGTGCGATTGCTGGGATCGTTATTGGAGCCCTCGCAGGAGTTGGCTTGCTTGCTTTGGCTCTGCTCTTGTGCCTCAGGAGGAGACGGAGACCCGGCAGCCCCAAGGGCAGTATTTTCAACCAACCTGCGCCTGCCCGACAAGGTCCAGCAGCAATGGCGCAAGCCACAAACTCGACCGCTCCTCAAGGATATGAAGTTCTTCCTGGTGGACGTATAGCACGCATGTCTGCCCTGGAAGGCCACTCCGGCGATTCACCTTCCCACCATCGCGACACCTCATCGGTCACAGGAGGAGGAATGGCTGCTGTAGGGGGCTATCAACGAAGAGGCGCTGATAACTCATCTTCAGATGAATTCACGTCGAGCCCCCCTACGTCCGAAAACCGAGGTGGAATTCTTCGACCGCCACCCGCAAGACCCCGACGACAAGGATCCCTATCAAGCAACTCGGCCCTTGGCAGCTCTGTACCGCAGTCTCCATCTAGCGCTGGGGGATTTTCGTCACCACAGGGCGTTGCTAGCCAACAATCAGAACAGTTGCCTTTCTTCAAGGACTACTACTCCCAGGACGACATTCACCCCGGCGACAAGATCGCCGTTCTTTGGGCGTACCAGCCACGAGCGGCTGACGAGTTTACCTTGGAACGTGGCGACATGCTCAAGGTTGTAGGCATATGGGATGACGGTTGGGCGACAGGTGTAATGCTCAACGACCGGGCAGACGATTGGGAGACTCGACGACAAGCTCAACGCGATAGTGGCGTATCGAACGCGTCGGGTCGCCGGGACAGCTCACCGGCTGCAGAAGGCGAGATCAAGGCGTTCCCTCTTGTTTGTGTTTGTCGACCAGAACACTGGAGAAAGACAATTGACGGCGATGGATCAACGGAATCTGGATCCAACTTCAACGCCTTCTCATCATGATGAACACACCCTCGATATCTTTACCTTGACCACAGCCCTGGAAGGGATACGTTATTGGTGCATTGTTTATGGCGTCCTGGGTTTTCGGCATTCTTGTTCGCATCAGCAGCACAAACTTGAAGCACATCTCCGTTTGCAGTATCGAATATCACTTGCCATGCTCCGTGGCTGGCTAGATATCTCAGTTTCTGATCAACTTCCATATCATCTACGTTCCGCCTTTGTTCCTCTCTTCGACACCCGAAACATTACGAGGGACTGATGTCCTTAATCTAGCGCTGAATTATATACCCGGTGTGAGCACTCAGGCTTGTTGTTTTGGAGGACCGAGACCGACAGTAGGTCGAGTAATGATGCGGTTTGAACGGTCTCTGAGCCGCTCAAGTACTGCATGGGTCATTCGAGCATGCAGTGATAGCATTTTTGAGGCATGATGGGGAGCTACCACCACATTCTTTACGTCAAGTTTCTGACGATTATGTTCAATAGAGCACTTTCATCACAGGCTACGATGACGTCTAACGACTTAGTTTAGCGATATTGTAAATAAGTTAACTTTTGATGATATACCAAGTTCTTTTATGTCAATACATATCCCAAGAAGTGACGTTGAATTATAAAGTTCCAGTCGGGAGTGCTAAGGGTCTTTGTCTCGAAGTTGTTTTAGATTTGCTGTGACTGGAATGCTTCGATCGACTTGCCGTTGTGGAGTTGGCTACAGATGCATAAGCCCCACCGCGGGGTGCCTCACCTTGAATCCATTGAGTTGCAAAGAGGGGCGGAATTCGTGGTTCTTTCTTCCATCTTTGTTTCCATTCTTTGCCAGCTAGAAGAATCTCTCTTAATCAACAATGGCTGACGTCAAGGCAAAGGCAGAGGCCCTGGTGCCCAAGTTCAAGCTCGATCGTGTTCTTAACCAAGGTACAAGACCTCTACATCCCGTTCTCTAGTTCATTGAGTTAATGTGGGAGCTCCTTAGATCAAGCAGGTCGCCGTATCTCTCTCTACGGAACTATCGACGACAAACCAGCTCTTCTAATCCTCGAACGCGCTCCCTTTCCTACCTCGCAGAAATACCTCGTCGATGTGCCTGCCCAGCTCGCGCGGGTGCAGAACCTGGGCGCCAACGACATCTACCACTGGTTCATGGGTCGAAGCGGTGCCGAGACGAGCAAGCCGGACGACTCTGATTTCTTTGCCGATCTGAAGATCAACCTTATCTACCCATGCACGGAAACACACATCAAGAAGTACAGCAAGCAGGGCGTGAGATTCGTCATGGAGACACCAGAAATTTACAGAGATCATATTCGACCGTATATGCTCAGCAAGAGGGAAGAAGGAAGACTCAATTGGGTATTCAACATTATCGAAGGACGCAAAGAAGTGGAAGATGTCATCTACAGAACAAAGCTGGGCGAGGCTGGCGACGAAGGCTTCCTCATGCTGCCGGATCTCAACTGGGATCGCAAGACGCTCGATGCGCTGCATCTACTGGCGCTGGTTGAGCGACGGGATATCTGGTCGTTGAGAGATCTCCGCAAGAAGCACATCCCTTGGCTACAGCACATGAAGGCCCGCCTCATCGACGCCACCGTCCAGACGTATCCGTCCATCGAACCGGACCAGCTCAAGCTCTACGTCCACTACCAGCCGACTTATTACCACTTCCACATCCATGTTGTACACGTTCAACTCGAGGCGGGGGCAACGCAAGCGACGGGCAAGGCGGTCGGTCTGGAGACTATCATGGAGACACTGGGCGCGATGGCGGGAGACGACGAGGCGGGTATGGATGGCATCGCGATGAGCTATACGCTAGGAGAGGCGAGTGAGTTGTGGACTGAAATCTTTGAGCCACTTAAGACTGGCGGCGAAGTTTCTCGATCGCAATAAGGAGGTCGTTTACGCCAGAGCCGTGGGGGCAGTCGGACCACTCGCCACCATCGCGGATGCAATAAACTTCGCCATTCAGGCGAATGGTAGCACTCTTGGTAACACCGGCCTAGAAACTGTCAGTATGCCTACGTTCTTACTAGTTAGTCGGTTTCGACATACGTCTGCGGTCCTCTGAATGCTATGGCGCAAGAGACTCAATCCATAAGCGCCATCCTCCTTGACAGCACAATCGTTAAGTTGCTGGAAATCGATAGCAGACTCGAGAGCGCAGTCTTCGACGAGAGATCGTCCGGGGATATCGTGGTAATCGCGACTTAAACACATGATGAAGCCGAGGTTGATCTTGGGGTCGGGGTAAAGCTCGCGGGCGCAGAGTTCAATGATGTTGCCCATGCATTCCGAGGGGCCGTGCATACAGTCAACACCATCGTTGGCAGTTGGTCTTGAAGAGCCATACGTTAGTCGCGACATGGGGGATGTATTTGAGTATGAACATACCGGCCGATATAAGATAGAGTAAAGTTGACCTTGTCATGGACGCGCTGCATGACAGGTAGCACCAATAGTTCAAGAGCGTCCTAGTAACTAATGAGCATATGATACAAACTTCACAAACCAGGAACCAATCTTACCTTGGCATCAGGGCATTTGCTCATGATATGGGCTTCTAAAGGTACGAGTCCATCAGTAACTTGGGCGTCTTGGTGTGTGACGTTGACCCAAGGCTCGTCGTCGATGAGAGGCCTGAAGGGTTGCCATATCCAGAAAGTGTATGTCACGATGGCCATGACGATTAGCGTCATGGCAGGGCGACTGCGGCGAGCCTGAAGCGGTGACATGACTCTTTGAGAGGGTCGTTTCTCATCCATAACGAATTAAGGTTGCTGGTTGATGATGAATTAAGACGAGTATCTGATAGAGGCCAGGGGCGATGCAGGAGGTGAAGGAGATGTCGTTGGCTATGGCAGGCAGCTGAATCCGCATCACATGCGGCTGGATTGTTTATCCGAATTTGGTTAGGGAGGCCGTTTTAGGAGATGAGCTATGTCACTGTATGATGTGGTCACTATGACCAAAGTCAACATGATACCTGGATTGTATGTATTGATATGATAGGACTGATTCTCTGCAACTTTATTCCATCTGATTGATCCCCTCTGCGTAAAGATCCATGAATCAGGATCCATAGATTGAGTAATCTGGACGATCAGTAGAAAGGTGTGGTGCTGTAAGTCAACCGTTTCAGGGGGGCAGCGGGGCATTAACCTTCCCAACGCAGGGCCTGACCCCGCAGGTGAATGGCGTGTGATGTTGGATATCGATCGATTTCTTTGGTTGATGCATGAATGAGAGGTGATGATACGACGAAAACAATCTCTTTATCGCGGTAAAATATCAAAACAATACCCAAGCTCAGTGCAAAGCTCATAAGAGTCGAAATACTCGAGGGTTTTGCCATTACATCAGAGTGCATCTTCTCTGATTAGCGCCTGCCCTGGAACCCCAACGTGAGAACCTAACCTGCACCTTCCTTCACGAAACTGGATTCACACTCTGACACAGCTCCAGACTTGCTGCTTCCCAGTACATTTTCCTGCTTCACAGCTGCCTTAACTAGGCACCTGCATAACTATAAGAAACCCAGCCTGGTTCTTTCCTCGCCCATCCAAGAGCTCTCTGGACAGCTACCTCCTTTACTTACCAAAATCAACACCATATCTACGACAACCAATCATTTATGATGATACCCTGAAACTATTTAGCAACCTCTACCTTCACATCAACAAGCCGTCATTCCAGCTTGATCCAGCCACTGATCGAGATGATGAGCTCCTCCTTATCAATCGATGAGTTCCTAGAACCTTTGTCAGTCGATATTGACAAGATCGATGAACTATCCCAGCATTTTCTTGAAGCGTTCGAGAAGCTTGCCAGCGACTCTGAGAACCAGTTCTTACCAACACCAATTTCAGAGGCTATTCTGCGTCCAGATGCTAAGAGAAGAAAAGGATGGTAAGTGTTATGTGTTCCATGGATACCAAATTTGCAAACCGTGGACTGACATAAGCAAAGTCACCTAGCCATTGACATGTTAGTCAAGAACTGATCTTCTCGCCCCTTTATATATAGCTAACACGAAGGCAGAGGAGGTACGAATCTGAGAGTGGGTTTTGTCCAACTCGGCAACGATGCCGCGTCATCTGCTACGCCTGACCAAACCAACGGGGATATAAGTAACGGACTCGGGGAGAGCTCTGTTACAAGGAAAGTCAGGAGACTTTTGGAGAAATCATGGCCCATCGACGAGCATCTGAAGAACGAAAACCCCGACAGCCTCTTTCTCTGGATTGGTAAATGTATCGCCGAAGTCGTCCAAGATGGGTGCAAGACGCTGCAACTTCAATCCGACCAGCCAATGCCACTCGGCGTAACTTTCAGCTTTCCTATGGTACAGCATTCGATATCGCGGGCCAAAATCATGCAGATGGGGAAAGGATTCGCAATCTCCTCTGATCAGGACCTAGGTGACCGACTTACCGATGGATACAACCGTGCAAAGACACCAGAGCTGCCGCCTATTCGAGTCGAGGCGATCGCCAATGACTCAGTATCAACACTAGTCTCCTTCATCTTTAACTTTGATGAAGCTCAAAACCGACGTGCTTGTATGGGTTTGATTCTAGGTACTGGCTGTAACGCAACGATCCCCCTAAAGTTGAGCCAACTCAACTCATCCAAACGTCCGCCTAGTGTTGTTGCCCGACCAGAAGAACGAGCAGAGGATGTCAAGATCGCGATCAACACTGAATGGAGCATAAACGGCACTGCACCTCCCATGCACAAGGTTGGGCTGGTCACAAAATGGGACGAAGCACTCGATAAACAAGGCGAGTTGAACAGCTTTCAACCATTGGAGTATCTAACTTCCGGTCGGTATCTGGGTGAACTGGGACGAATCATGTTGGTCGACTACTTGACGGAACACTTAGGCATTGCTGCAGAAACGTTACCAAAGGCGCTGCTACAACGGCACAACCTCACAACCACATTTCTGAGTCACTTTAGACCTCTCCGACCATCGGCTCTCATGAACAGCTTGCAGCAAGAATTCCCCGAATCATCAGGGGCAGCTCCATTTGAATGGACTGAAAATATTGCAGCTGCACTATATCACATTGCCAAAGCAATTGAGGTCCGAGCAGCTGGTATTGTATCTGCAGCAACATTGGCATTGTTAACTCTGGCTGGCGAAGTTCCCAAGGACAGAACACAAGCATTGGAACGGGACTATGAACTCGGCGTGGGCTACACAGGAGGATGTATTGTTCACTTTCAGGACTATTTGCAGGACTGTCAGAACTTTCTCGATCAGCTCTTGAGCAAGCGATTCGGTAACGAGAGCCCATTGAGAGTCGTACTCAGCCCGTGTCACGACGGAGGCGTTACAGGAGCGGGAATACTTGTGGCTGCAGCATCGCAGAGCAAGACGATAAAGAAGTAGAATGCGTTCGAGTTGGAGGGTTGCATACATTGGGGTGTTTGGGGGCGGCTGGACCGCTTTGGTAATTGATCAGTCACACATGATGGGCCTCATACCGGGGTAGTTCGCTGGAGCATGGATGGCTGTAAGCCGGGGTAAATATTTGAGGGGAAGAGGGGATATTATAAGATAAAGTTGTTATTTATGACTGACTTCGTTCATAGACACAAGAATGATTCTCACGAGTTAGGTTGTATGTGCGTGTATATCTTGATTATCTTTCCAATTGACAAGTACTGACTGTTGTATAGGTAGTTCAATATAGAAGTGAAGTCAAAAGAGACAACAACTATCTAGCCTATCAGTCACTCAGCCAGTCAGCCAGCGTCCCCTCTAGTTCAACCACTTGCAGCCCAAGTGTGCAGATGACTCCTCCTTGTGTGGGGTGAAGGTTGCCGGGAATACGCAATACGGTATGGCTCTCGGCAACCTTCGACTCACACTCACACTCGCACTAATACTTACACCGAGAAACTGCTTGTGGGTGAAAGATATCGGATATCGGATCCTTCAACTTCTAAACAGCCATTCTTATATAGGAAGTTGTGGTTGTAAGTACCTAGTCAGCATGGCGTGGATCTTTGCGGGGCGACCCTGCTATCATAATCGCGCTGGATTGGCACTGCAAAAGTCTGCGATCACGACAGAGACTCCACTCTTTCTTCAACTCCTTGTCCCCCAGCCTGTTTCCTTCTTAAAGCCTTTTATCTTCTCTGTTATTCCCCTTCTTTCTTATTCCACTTATCTCTCTTGATTCTTTAATCTCGTTTTATAGGTCTCGTACAAAAGACTCAACCGCAGTCATGAGTCCGCAAAAGACCAGTCCGGTCTCGGATGCCCCCACTCCCGCTCCGGTACCAGTTCCGGTCCGGACCAACTCTCGGAGTAGTGAAAGCGACCAAGATGTCGTTGATCCAGCAGAATTCGAGGCCCTTTCGAGATCTTTGACTACTGGTGCTCACTTTTTGCAGCCCGAGTCACTGGAAAGTGCTATGCTGAGGCCCTCTTCCTATAAGGCTAGCCATTACCTTCACCGTGGTGCAGACGAGGAGGATCAGGGGGTGATAACCGAAGACGACGGTGAGAGTGAGATCTCAACGGACTTGGATGATGAAGGGCCTAATGAAGAGACCCCTCTTGTTCGTCACCAGAGTCGCCGTCTTTCTCTTACGGGAAGATCAAATATCTCGACTGATACTCCGCCTTCGCCATTCTTGAACAATACGTCGCCTACACGCTTCTGGTTCATCTTCTCACAGATTTTGGCTGCTTATTTTATATCATGCTTTGATGGTACTATCATGGCCAGCTCTCATCCTGTTGTGTCATCTTATTTCAATGCTTCCAACTCTGCCTCATGGTTCTCGACCGCTTTCCTCCTGACATCCTCTGCTTTCCAGCCTCTACTGGGCCGTCTCTCTGATGCTTTGGGCCGAAAGCCGCTTTTCGTAGGAGCGATGGGTATCTTCGCAGCATCCATCACTTGGTCTTCGCTTGCCGGTAGCATTGAGAGTTTTATCATCAGCCGAGCCTTCTGTGGAATAGGAGCTGGAGGTGTGATGACACTAGGTTCGATCATCGTATCCGACTTGGTTCCAATTGAGAATCGTGGTGCCTATCAGTCATATATCAACATGAACTATGGTGTAGGATCCTCTCTAGGTGCTGCGACTGGAGGTTACATTGCAGATTCTCTCGGCTGGAGATGGGAGTTTGGTATCCAGGTTCCACCACTTTTGATTTGTATGGTCGTGGCGTGGATCGCGATTCCGGATGACTTGGGTATTCAGGGACAGAGAAAGAGTGTCTGGCAGGCCCTCAAAGAGTTCGACTTTCGAGGCTCTTTGCTCTTGACTACAGCCATCACATCCGTGATTTTGGGCCTGGTAAGTTCTCCCGTGACTCTGAAAGAAAGTATAGTACTAACCTGTCCACCTTGGTATAGACTCTTGGAGGCAATGTTATGCCATGTAAGTCAATTCACATGCGCGATGAACCTAGAGTATTAACTAACAACTCTTAGGGTCACACCCTCTTGTCATCGCGAGTCTCGTGTCCTTCGCTGTTACTTTCCCCTTATTCCTCTGGGTTGAGTCGTGGGTTCACAAGCCCATCATGCCCCTGCATCTCCTCCACCAAGCCCCAAGAGCGAACCTTGTTGCTTCGAACGCAATTGCCGCCCTCATTGCAAACTCGATTCTGTTCAATATGTAAGTGAAGAGTCCCCTTGTCATATATGAAAGAGCATTAATTGCGCATGGCCTGTCGCATCGCCGACTCCATGACTGTCAGCAAGCGATGGAACTTATACCTGCAAACTTCTCCTAATTAGCCATATTCGCATACACAACTGCCCGTGACTGGTAGTATGCATGACTCACGCTCTTCGACTCAATGCTAACGTGTTTTTACAGTCCTCTTTATTTCCAGGCAGTTCTCCTCACAACTGCTACCTCATCTGGTCTGCGACTTATCATACCAACCATCGCTGCGTCTACAACAGGCACATTCACCGGATTCGCTGTCACCTATACAGGAAAGTTGAAGTGGCCCGTTCAAACTGGTACCATCTGCACTCTCATCGGCACGATTGGTCTTGCATTACTCAAACGCGATCTGCCTTCATGGGTCTACCTCTTTATCCTTCTGCCATCGTCTATTGGTCAAGGTTTCCAGTTCCCTGGAACATTCATGGCCATTCTCGCGGCGTCTGATCAGTCTGAGCAAGCTGTCGTAACAAGCACGCTCATGCTCTGGCGCAGTCTCGGTCAAGTCCTGGGAGTGGCGAGCAGCTCTCTCGTTGTGCAGAATGCACTGGTTCATTACTTGAAACAGTTCGTAACTGGAGAAGACCGTGACGAGGTCATCCGCCGCGTAAGAGAATCAGTCGAGGAGATCATCAAGCTCGAGCCCAAGTACCGCGAACAGGTCATCTCGAGCTATGAGGCGGCTCTACGACTTACATTCATCTGCTGCATTGTTACGGCATTGGCGTCTGTTCTTATGGTTGCACCCATAAGGCTGCCTCGATTGGGTGTGCGAAAGCACAAATAGATCACTGACACGGCATCACATATTAAAATGGCAGTGAGTCAAGAGGAGGATAAGAAATATCGTAAGTTTACAAACGTGAAAATGCCTGGCGAACCAGATTGTTAGATTAGACCCCAGCATGCCAGCCTTGATTGAGTCCTTATTTATTATACATCATGAAATACACACCGATTAATGCACCCCGTTGACTCCTGTTGCCATGAGTGTGTCCAACTCTTCCTTAGCCTTTCTGTAATTTTCCTGTGCTTCTCTCTCACGTCGGTTAACAAAGCCGACCTCCTCACGTAAAGCGCTCAGACGTCGTTCAACAGCGACATCCTCTGAGATGGCAAGCGTCTTGAACCCAGTTAGGGCGACACGTGCCTTCTCAAGCGCATCAGATGCATCGCCCATCTTATCGCGAAGCATCTTCTGTCGCTTCTGGTAACCGCCAAGATGGAGAGACAACTTCTTCTCGAGCTTAGCACCTGCCTCAGCGGAGGCCATGATAGAGTCTTGAACAGCCTGGAACATAGTTAGTGGATGCCTGAAATTCTGTGATTGTGGTGAACTTGCGTCAAATGCCCCCTGCATAGCTGCCCCTTGTTCTTCCTCATCGTCGTTATAACATCCTAAACCCAGAAGCAGCGAGCTGCTTGCGCGAGACTCAAAGGCAGTCTGGATATCTTCGAATTTAGGGAGGGGCTTTGTTTCGGACATGATCAACAGGCGAGCCTCGGCGAGCGCATCGTCGTTGAATTGCTGTAATGGCTTAGCGGCGCCACTCACCTGGCCGCCAGGAACAGGAAACCTCATGGCATCATTAGCTATGAGATTCGCCGACTCCTTGGCAATAAGAGACTCGGCGACGTCAGTGATGCTACTAGCCTTCTTCAACAGACTTGGCAGGTCGACGTGCACAGGTCTCGGAAGGTTCTTTTGCATGACCTGAGTTCGTCTTCGAAACTCGAGAGCCTCCTCTACTTGCCGTCTCTCTCGCTCCCGGCGATCTCGTTCCGCCGCATCTTCTTCTGTCATCTCATCGAGCTGCATACGCTCCTTCTCTTCGTCAGGAATGTCGAATTCCCACTCTGTATCCTTTGGTTTAGGGAGTGATGCAAGACCCGACTTAAGCTGGTTGCGCAAAGCGAGGTCTCTCATCTTTATATCTTTGGGTGTAGCAGAAACCATTGACATGCCACCATCTTGGTTCAAAGACAGTGTATCTCTAGGTGTTCGCATGGGTGTTTGTCCTGGCCGACCAGGGGTAGCTCCAATACCATCTCCCCTCATGGGTGTTGCCATGGGGTTGGGTGTGGAAATAGTCTGTTTACGAGGAGTGATGCCGTCGAAGCCAGTCGAAGAAGCGCCTTCATGCAGAGGGGTGTTCTCGCCACCAAGGAGAGCCGAGTTTGTGTCGTTGAGCGCTCGAATATTTCTGATCTCGTTGGCGATATGATCCTCTTGCTCGGGAGCCTTTGGTGTGCGGATAGGGGTAGCTGAGTTGAGGGTAGAATATGTGTTGACCAGTCCGCGGGTGGCATCGTTCTCGCTCTCACGAGCCCTCAAGTTGGCAGCCTCGCCCATTCTGCCCATCTTGACAATGTCCTCCAACTCGCCCTCGCTGACTTGAGGAGAAGGCAGGACTAATGAGCGACGCTTGCTGCTCTGTTCGGCCTCTCGAAGCTTTTGTAGCTGACCAGCCTTCAGTGCAGCCTTGTATGATTCTGACGATCCATCCTTCTCGGTCTTCTTTCGCTTTCGGTCGGTGTCCTCCTCGCCCTCGCCCTTGCGCTTGTTGGCTAATTGTTGCTTTCGAGGATCGAAGGCTGCGCGTTGCGCCTCGTTCTGGGCCTGCTCCTCTGATGTATCGTAAAAACCGGGCAGAGCTTTCTTTTCGAAAGGAATATCGGCATTATAGTCCATCTCACCCTTCTTCCTGCTGGTGACCTTGATATTAATACCAGCTGTCTTGAGCTCTCGTCGCTTTTGCAACGCAGCAAGACGACGTGACTCTTCTTGCTGGCGCTCTCGGGCCTTTCTCTTGGCTTTTTTGCCCTGTGTGTTGGCCAAACGAGCACGAGCCTCACTCAGCATCTCCTTTTCGTCTTCGTCGAGATCGATGGTATCGGGTCGCGCAGGCTTCGACTCAGGATCGGGGTCCAGCTCGCCGGGTCGTAATCTTCGAACATCATCGGCGCTGGGCGCTTGTGTCTCGCCACCTTCAGGACCTGTCAGCCCAAGGCTAGATGATTCTTTGGCTTCGGCTTCATCAAGGAGCTTCTGGTATCGTTCGAGGCACTGGTTCGCAGTTCGACCGACGATAGGGGCGATTGTGCGCCATTGAGTGGGCATAATCTTGGCCATATGCAAGAGCCTCTCGTCTTCCTCCTTGCTCCATTCGATCTTCTTGATACTGGGGTCGAGCCATTCGTTCCATCTCGCCTTGCACTGCTTGGGCGTCTTGCGCGCAAGCAGTGACGAAACACGCGCCCATTGATTAAGACCATATTTGGAAACTGAAGCCTTGAGGATTTCATCCTCGATGTTGGTCCACACGCCTCCTTTGACGACGGGCATCGTGATGGTATTTGATGAAGGCGCGTTGTATGGAGGTTGAATGCGATGGAGCCTCAACCAAGCTGCGAAACACGCTTTCTTGAAAATATCCAAGGTTCAACTGCCTGCAGCACGCGAAAATTGCTGAGTCATGCAGAAGGAGCTTGTGATTGGGCTATCGGCAGCTACCTGTGGCCCCACAGTTGCGAACAGCCAAGAGCCACCCATCATCGCATTATCCATCATGATATTGGTTAGATTCACTGAGGAGCATTATTGACGCTCTAGACTAAGACTTTGAATAGGTCACAGCTAAGGCTCAGTAGAATCATGAATGGCTAATATCTCTTTTCGTCTAGTAACTGTTGCTATGGAGTGGCTCTTCAACTTGACATCCCAGACATATCTGCTTCAGACCGGAGGCCAATCATGATGTTTGTTCAAAAGTGCCTGATCGTCGTAATATTCGCTTTAAAGATCCGGGACAAGCTCCATACGGATCACATTGCTATAGTCGAGGATGGGTGCTGGAAGTAGCTGCTAGATAGCGCTTATCTTGGACTCTATCAAATCGGATTGTATGGACTGAAAACAATCCGACGAGGGGAGTAAGCAGACTAAATTAAGTCGGTATATAGACTAAACAACGTGCCGGTCATAGAAGCGGACGAGTTGGAGTTGGATTTATAATATCAAAACCTCCATCGACTCCAGGCCGCGCGCGAAACCATGGAGATGTCCTGTACAGTAGAGTAGCTTGCGGACTTTGCGGAGCCCGAGTCCGATACTACAGCACACGTTGAGCGCTGTAGCCTATCACACTAAGCCAACGAGAGCCTGGAGGGCCACGAGCCACGCCAGCAGAGCTCTAGCTTATCAGATACTGCCAGATCCTAGCTGCATGGTATGCAGAGAATCAGACAATGCGTCATTCATTATTGTTGTGCTTGTCACAGATGGGAAAAAGCAACTTTTACATCGTGGATGAATCAATATCGAATCATATCATAACGATTAAATCATGAAACTCAGCGGCATAAATCAATGCGGAGGAAAAGCCAGTAGAAAGTCAACAACTGTCGCCTATGAAAAAGTAAAAAAGAAAAACATGGCTTATCAAACATCAAAACGATCGTGTCTTATCTCCATATGGCCATGGCCTGCAATGGCATGGATCAGTTTCCCGACTCCACCTCCACCACCATCCCGGCCGTTGGACTCATCATGTATCCGCAAGACAACTCCCTAAAGGCGTTTAGATCAATTATTAATCCTAATGCCTTGATCCTCTCCATCGTCACACTTATCTCATTCCAGTTACAAGCGACACAACCATTTCGCTTTGAAACATGCGACACGACTGGCAGTCTTTGACTTATTATCCCTGCCCCAAGCTTTCCAAATCTTGTCCATCTTTTTGATCTTGAAACCTTCTTGGCGATGCTCCAGCGACTATCGTGATCCATTCTACCTACATAGGCTTTATACGCCTATACTCTTTTGCTGCGCGCAGCATCCACCTCCCACCCGAACCGAACCGGCCGATATACTTGCAACAAAGAACGTGCGCGCGCGTACGTCGAAAGCTTAGCAATCATGGCCAAGAACAATAGCATCCACGAGGAAGACGCCGCGATCGCGAACGAAGCCACACACCTGCTGCCCAGTGGCTCAGAATCTCAAGATGCACTTAGTGAAACATCATCGAATACTCCCGCTTGGGATGGCTTGAAGGACTTTGAAGGCCTGCCCTGGTGGCGCCAACCCTCGGTATGCCTATAGAAGGTCATCGAAGTTATGTCGTTTGGTTCTGATCTAGTTGTAGGTCTATTGGCTCCTCGGTCCATATGTTATCTTTACACTCGCATTTGGAGGCGTGGTGGTTCCGAAACTCGACTTGTAAGCTTTACTACTTAATGTAGACATTTTCGTGGCTTACCAAGTTGTTCGATCAGGATTCTTGATCTCGTCTGTAAGCAATACTTCGCAGACCAACACAGCCGTAACCCGGACAAAGTATTTATGCCTGTTCTACTGGGGACGGATAATCCTCAATGTCAGATCCCAGAGGTCTCAGCAGACTCGGCCAAGTTCTTGTTGGTAATGGGTTTGTTCACTGGTGTCCTGAGTGCAGTTGTCGCGCCAAAAATTGGTCACTTGTCTGATCGATACGGCCGAACACGACTTATGGCCCTTGCCTCTGTAGGTGGAGTGTTGAATGAGTTCATCACTATCCTAGTTGCCAAATACCCCGACACTATTGATTATCGATGGTTGCTTCTTGGCAGCATCTTTGATGGTATGACGGGATCTTTCACAGCTGGCAGCGTCATGTCTCAGTCCTATACGAGCGACTGCACCCCTCCCTCAAAGCGTGCTGTGTTCATGGGTTATATGCACGCGTGCCTATTCGCAGGTCTTGCGTTTGGTCCTCTTCTCGGTGGTTATTTTGTCAAGTGGACCGGTAGCCTGGTTTCCATCTTTTATGTTGTCATGGGATGCCACTTCGCATTCATGCTATTCGTCTGGCTCGTTGTTCCCGAGTCCTTGTCTGAGAGGAGGCAGTTGATTGCTCGAGAAAAGCATCAAAAGGAAAAGGAAATGCGATCACAGACCTCAGCTTCCTGGGTGGCCACCCTCCAAAACGCAAACCCGTTCACGCCCTTGAAGATTCTGTGGCCCACGGGCCCTGGAACTTCGCCTGCTCTTCGTCGAAACCTCATTGCCCTTGCTATCGATGACACGATCATTTTGGGAGCGAGTATGTCGGCAGGTGCCGTCATCGTTCTTTACACTGGACTCGTGTATCACTGGGATACTTTGGACAAATCCAAGTTTGTCTCTCTGCTGTCGTTCGTTCGAGTGGTGATCCTAATGGGTATTTTCCCTATTATCAATTATTTTGGCCGTACTCGTCCAGCAGCCCGTCGCCGTCGCGAGTCAGGCGTCGCTGCTGTCGAGAAGAACAACGGAGCCGACAGCCTAGACATTCTTGTTCTTAGAGTTGCTCTCTTATCGGATGTTGTTGGATCTCTTGGCTATGTCTTTGCCCGTTCCTCCGGAGTGTTTGTTGCGAGTGGCATGGTTACCGCTCTCGGTGGCCTTGGTAGTGCTACCGGTCAGGCCATCATCACCAAACATGTCCCTTCTGAGAAGGTCGGTCAGCTTCTTGGAGCAATTGGTATGTTACATGCTCTGGCACGTGTTTTCGGACCAGTCATTTTCAACGGAGTCTTCGCCTTGACGGCTGGACGTTTCGACCAGGCTATATTCGTCTTGTTAGCAAGTGTATTTGGAGCCGCTCTGGTAATAAGCTTCACGATACGACCCCATGGTAAGTAACATATCATTTTTCTTTCTGGTGATAGTAAATACTGACATGCGGTAGTTATGTGGGAGGATGAACAACCGGAAGAGGAACGCGAGCCTCTTAACCCTACGAACGAAGCCTTTGCACTATCAAGTGATCAGCTTCCTATAGATGAGGAGGACCAGCTTCGCATCCAGTAGATACTTTATTATTCTTGTCATGATTATTTGTTTGATCATTTGTCACGTCTAAATTCCAGTACAGAGGTGCTTGGTTTACCGTGGTTGACAGTCACTTGTACAATAGCTCAGGGCGTCATTCTGGAGTATGGGGGTTTTAGAATAACATACACGAAGCAACTCAGAAATACAAAGAACATCTTGAATACAGTGTTTCATTGGCGATGTGTAGTGCAGCGTGTCTTTTAAGTATTTACAAGCTTCCAGCAGTGTTAGACAATTGGCTCAAAAGATGTGGGGCAGGCTCTAAACTTCTCACAGAGGATGAAGTTCACTCATGCATGACATCAGGTCAGCCTCTTCTTGACGTGATTGAGAGACCCTCTCAGCCGCATCACAAACTGATTTCAATCGCAAAGATAGGCTATAATCACGCAATATTGATGCTTCAATCGAGACTGCACAACCTTAACTCCAGAATTCGACATCTCCTTCCAATTGGAGCATGCTTACGTCAAGGGCTTGGGCATCGGTACAGAGTCGTTCAGTGATAGCGAGAGGCATCATGACTGCAGCCGGAGCAGCCGGGCGAACCGTTAAGTTCGGACCCTTCGAGGTGACGAATCAGGTGAGTGATCTAATCCCCAAGTTGCACCTCACTCTCATACTGACAACCATTCAGGTCTTTCTCACAACACCACACTCGTTCGCACTGGTCAACCTCAAGCCTCTCATCCCCGGACACGTTCTCGTCTGTCCGCATAATCCGCACAAGCGTCTCACGGACTTGACGCCCACAGAGACGGCAGACCTTTTCACGACGGTGCAGCTCACGCAACGCCTTCTAGCGCGCGCTCACTTCCGCACCCCCGAGCCCGAAGCTGGAAGCTTCTCGGTCGCTGTGCAGGACGGCGCCGACGCGGGCCAGACGGTGCCGCATGTGCATGTCCACGTTGTCCCGCGAACGGCGGGCGATATGGGAAGCCCGGACGCCGTGTATGTTAAGCTCGCGGGCGAGGAAGGTAATGTCGGCGGGGCGTTATGGGATCACGAGATGGGCGCCAGACCACAGCCGGGCGGAGGACTGAACAGAGTTGATGATGAGGATCGAAAGCCGAGAAGTGCTGAAGAGATGGTGGAAGAGGCGGAGCGGTATAAGGCGATATTGAAAGAGATGGGTGTCCAGTAATGGGACAAGGAACTGTAAGAGTAGTGGATTATAGATCTCGAATTACAACAGCGATGTAGATGAACCTTCATGCATGGGTTGTTGGGACTCCATGCAGATAGCCTGATAGCATATCATCTTGCCACAGCGTAGGCATCGAGCCGTGGTTACTTACTACAATGCTGTAACACGGCCTAGTGCATCAGATGTTCTATCTGGGCCGATACTCGGATGAAGACAGGAAGTTGTGTCGAACCATCAGAGGCAACCACTTATCGTGAGCAAGCTCGTGAATTCTTAGAGAACCACATAAGATCTTCTCATTATTGGACTGAATCACATCAGGTATTGCAGTCCATAGCAAGGCGATAGAGGTGCCACATCAACCGCAGCGGATGAACGCTGACGGCCCGAATTATGCAGAACAAACCTTTGCTTATATGTAGCAGTACGCCAAAACCTTGTACCTGTTGTTTCACTATAACGATACATATCATTTGCTATATCCAGCGCAACGCCACATCTTAATGTTAGACGATGGCGAATCCTCAACACCCTCGCCACTGCTGGCTGTCACAAGCTCACAACTGGAATGCCGACCGATCACCTGGTTCTAGACCAAGTGCGGTAGACAGGGCACCATCTTATCGCGCCCGCTTTTAGCTTGAATTGGCAAACAGCAGCGTTCCATTGAGAGCGGTAAGGATCTAGATGGTGCGGTGCCATCGTCTTGTGTAGTTGCCCACGTTTGATGCAGGTTGCAGCTGAGGCCAGAAATGAGGGGTCAAGATAAGCTGCATTTGGTGCCGAGAGCGAGACAGTTTAGGGGACCAAGGGGACCGCAGGCGAATTGATGGTTGTCGTCAGCCTGAGACATGTTGTGCTGATGCTACGGCGGTTCGGAGACCGTTTGCGAGGTCACATACAGGATGCATCAGTAGTGTAAGTGTGTGATAGACCTACTGCTGCTACAACGATGAGCAGAAAATCTGTGCTCGATAGGCGAGACAGTCCCAATCAATATTGAGTGCAGCCAGCTTCCCATGTTGATTCAATCAACTGTTGCGCGCGCATGTGACAATGGCGAGCGGGAATTCTTGTCGAGATCATGGGTGAGGGGCACAGTCGTCGGATGAAGCTTTTCGGGATAGTCTCCATAGTGGGTTTCAAGCCAGACCTCGCTAAAAGATGTTGTTTTTTGTTTACTTACGAGAGGGGAAAACATGCTGGGATATGACCCCACATTTCACAAGACAAGCCATGTTGGTAGTGCGGGGAGGTTGTATTAACGTCCGATCAGTGATAATATCCCTAGATAAAAGGGTTCTGGATCATATGCCCTTGCTTATGAGCTTTACCTGGAGTGGTAGTTGCGGACCATCGGGACGTTTTGAGAAGAGAAGTCCTAGGAAGTGCCAGGCTGGGAGCACGAGTCGCGTTTCGGGTCGGTGAGCGAGCCGATGGTCCGACTGTTGAAAGGCACAGCGAGCGACAAGACACGTGAGAGTCGATAATCTGTTCAACTTTGGGCAAAAAAAGAGTTGAGGACGTTGAAATTGGGCAAGAGTTTCGTGATGATGATCATAGCCAGTTTTTATCATTTCAAAGTCAGTATCACCTCAGAAATCCAGTCTCTCTGTCTCTCCCAATGCCGTTGTGGCAGCCGTGTTCATGGTGTGTCGTTGAAAATAGGGAAAAATAGTCCCACCATGACTGATGGAGTCGAGCAGAGGACAAGGCGGGAACTAGCGCAAGCAGTTTTTAGCGGCTTCGTTAGATGCATACGCTGAGATGCGGTGGATAATTAGTGCAGGAGGTCCCTGTCCGGTCCTAGGTGACAGTGGGCCTAGACACTTCCATTCCACTTTTGAGTCCCGGGTTTGAATGCGTAGCGCAATGACACGAACAGAATCTCTGCGAGAGCACGAGGCCAAGTTTGAGAGAGAGCCATGAAGGCATAGACCACGCGATCTCAGAGGCGTTCATCCCCCGCATTCAAATGCTAAGGCGTTTAGTTATCGGCTACTAGCAGTTTAATATCATGCCTGGGATGCAAGTGAAGGAGGTGCCATTGGGAAAAGGCGGTGGGAGTTGTGTTGCTGTCCTGTTCTGTTCTGTAGGTCCTGTCCTGTTGTGGCTGGGTCTGTCGCGCGCACTACCACCAGAGCCTGGGCTACCGCTACCTATGAGCTAAGGCAGAGCAAAGAGATGAGCAAGTGACTGACTGGCTGCAGTGGTTGGTTACTCGGTACGGAGCACTACCGGCGATGGAGTCCAAATTGCATGGAACCATGATTGCAGCGAAGAGATGCCTTGTGGCCTGAGAAGCATACATTCTGCAGGTCAATAACTGGTGGGCCGCACAACAACGGACCAGAGTCAGACAATCATGAATGATCTGCGAGATAATGAGCACAGGCACCCAATCCAATCCAACCATCAAGACTGAAACAAAAAAAATTTGCAATGGCATTTTGAGACTTGAACGCATTCAGAATGCCGAATTCAATCGAGTGACATGCAATTAAGGGTCAGATGGGGAAAATGACGATGATTGACAAAGAGGAATTGCATTGCGCAGCCCAATTGATCAGAAGGTGTGTGTTATAGACGGGAAGAGCCACAAGTTGACAAAAGATGATGGAGGGAGGGTGGGTGTCAACCATAGAGTTTCTGCGAGATGGAGAGTCACTGTCGCTGACTGACTGCGTCCCAGATGGAACCAGCGGGCGTCGGCGCACAGACTCCCACCATGAAATGAAGAATGTGCTAGAGGTCCAACGCCAAACCCAACAGGCCTAAAGTCGCACGTTGCAGCGATATCAGCTTTTCCCTTTTGAAATGACCTGCAGCCTGAGCCGCCTAATCTCTCTGCTTTAGCCTCAAGGTCCCCTTATCCGCTGACTGGGTGCATCCGGTCTTCGGGACGTTTCCTTCAGGGTCGGTTTGTTGACTTTGGATCTTGTTCTAGAGTATTGACAGTTGGTAGCGCGCCGCTGATGTAAATGATGGCCAGACACCCAAATTCTGTCTGAGCACACTAACCATCCATCCCTACTTCTTGCCATGGTTTCTGGAATCTGAAACCCAATCTGCCACTGACGTTGTTGTTGAGCCGCATCTGCTTGTGCCTTGCTACTTGTTGATGTTTGTTACTGAATCCACCAGTAGCGGAGCTCGACCGGCAATGCGCAGGGTCAGGGTTACCGTGGCCTCAAGCACGGACCTGGCTGGCCGTTGAGTTGCATTGCAGGCATGGAACCATCTGGATTACTGGGATCTGTCCAAGGCTCTGAGTACGAAGAAGAGATGAGCTGGATACGATACGCAAGGGGGGCTTGGAATACTGATCAGAAACTCTGGAGAGGATCTTGAACAGTTTCGTCATAATTAGGTAGCAGAATCAGCGACGCTGTATCTCTGAAGGTATAATTCAATGTCTACCTCGGTTTCACTGCGGTAGTCGTCACGATAAGCTCGGCTTGGTGTTTTCAAGCCCTTGACCATGACCAGAACCATGGAAGATGCGGCAGCTTGAGTAGCGTGTTCACAAGCCAAGCCGTGGCTTGAGTCGTTGCACAGCGCCTAGAGAGTTGATGTTACGAAAATAATTAGGTATTCACAGGTCGTCTCGTTGCTTGCTTAATCGCTGCCCCGGTCATCGGCTCCGAGGAAAACGAATGCAACGACCAGGAGTGAGAATTTTTAATTCCAGTGGCGGGTCCAGCTGGCCAATCATTACATACGGACAATCTCACATACTGGATAGAGTCATACGCTAGAAGCTATGGCGTAGACCCACCGGCAATCGACATGCATGCGAGTGGTTGACACACAGACCACCCTCGGTCAAGCCGCCCAATCAAGAGGCCTTTTTCCGTTAGCTGCATGCAAAATCCAGGACGCTCCCGAAGGATCCCCTCCATCATCCCCTCTCTCAAGCCAAAGCTAGAACAAGGAAGGACACGACACCAAATGGCTGTGACTGTGACTGTGAATGTGAATGTGAATGTGAAGCAATGGCCATCCATCGGTCTGGTCCAACAGTGGATGGCTCCATCCATTCCTGATGTCCATGTCCAAGGTGATCACCTGCCGATAGTCCGGGCATTCTGCTGCGATGATCCGTAGAGTTTCTGTCTCTGTATCACGAGACACTTTACGTCTGCAGTCACCAGTAGTACGAGAAAAAGTCTCAGAGCAGAGAAACAAACATCGATCAGATCGAGAGAGGCAAGTCCGCGTCAAATCCACGCGGCTGTGGACGGAAACACCAGAGACATTTCAGAGTCAGACTCAGAGTCAGAACCTCTTATCTCTGGTTCAACTTCTGACACAAATACGACGTCCAAGTGGAAGATCAGGCAAAAGGTTTGTCTCACTCCGACCGCGCCCGGTGTTGTTCTACCATTTAGTTTTCCTTCTCTCGGACTTGTCGTCTGCATCTGTTGGTCCAAATTTCCTCCATGGCTGATGGTGTATGCAACTCCCAGCAACAAGGACAAGCGAAGCGCGCCCCACATGCTGCAAACGAAGCTTCTAACTGTTACCCAACCCATACGATGCGACAGGACCAGGGCAAGGTTCTTTTTTTTCTCCGCCCAGTCGACCTTATCGGCCAGGGCCTCTGGGGCTTGACTTGGCTAATTCCAAGTTTGGCTTTGGTTTGACTTGACTTGACTTGTCTGCGGTCTCGGTTCTTGCTTTGTCTCCACCAAAAAGGTTCCGCCGCACTTACACGGGTTGCTCCTGCTCCTGCTCCTGTTCCTGCTCTTGCCTTTGCGACTCGCCGCGTGTAGAAATATCTCGTCTCCCACCCTCTTTCCGTCGAAATAACTTTTCCACTTGTTCAATTAACTCTCTCTCGCTTTCAAGCCTGAATCACTCTATTATCCAGTCCAATCCAGTCTTTGTTCCATCTTGACTGACGTGATTCTGTTGAGAGTTTCTTCGTGAAGCCATACTAACCCTCGGCTGCTCCTCCACCACTCCAAAGCAACCAAACAGCAAGCCACTTTCCACCCGCGAGATCTCAACAACAAAGTTCCTTCGTCTTGCCCGTTTGTTGTCCGGATATACTGTCGTCTTGACAACATTTGGTCCATATCATATCCTTCGCATTGCCACCAAGTCAACGAACGCTCCTGCTTTCCAAGTGTTATATCTCGTTGACTCGCCACTTCCTTCACGTTTGGGTGTTTGATCGTGAAACCCAGCCGCTGTCCTCTTGATTGAGTTCGACTCCAGGCCTTTATTCCAATCCAGCTTGCAAACCTTTCCACCAAAGCCATGGGTATACTTCGTACCGGTCCTCGTGACCCTGATGCCTTTCCGGCAATGCAGCTCTTCCTGCTGGGTAAGTTCAGCGACCGCTTGCTTTAACATCACGCGCTAACTTTGTAAAAGCCATTGTTCGACTCGCCGAGCCTATCGCCTTGACGTCCATCTTTCCCTATGCTTGGGCTCTCGTCAAAGACTTCCACATCGGTAACGAGGAACATGCATCCTTCTACTCGGGCATCCTTATCTCTGCCTTCTCCCTCGCAGAGGCTCTTATGGGCACATACTGGGGCGCTCTATCCGACAGAATCGGCCGAAAGCCCGTCTTGATGATTGGATCGCTTGGTACGATGCTCAGTATGTTGATGGTGGGAATGGCTCCCAACTTTGGTGTCGCTTTGTTTGGCCGCGCCCTTGGTGGTCTCCTTAACGGAAACATCGGTGTCATTCAGACTATGGTTGGCGAGCTGGTGACCAAGCCTGAGCATGAACGTAAGTCTATATCGTTTGCATGGTATGTTTTCGCGTAGACTAATTCGCCTATCACAGCTCGTGCATTTTCCATCATGCCTTTCATCTGGAGTATCGGAACCATTGTAGGACCCTCCATCGGTGGCATGTTTGCCAGCCCTCACGATTCTTGGCCTGGAGCTTTCCCTGCCGGCGGCCTCTTCGACCGTTACCCTTACTTGCTTCCCAACCTCATGTGCTCTGGACTGCTACTCGTCAGCATCGTACTTGGATTCTTCCTCCTTGAGGAAACCCATCCTGATATGCAGACTGAGCATGTTCCCGTTGTCGAGTACCGCCCTACTGAGGAGACCCCCTTGATGCTGTCTACCAACAACAGAATGGTGACTGAGGTCCAGGCCGAGACCTATGGTGCCATTGAGACCCCAAGTGATATCTCCAGCGAGGACTGGGATGCTCTCTGCATCGAGAACGAGAAGGATGAGACCGCTACTCCTACCAAGGCCTGGAACCCCCGTGTCGTGGGCTTCATCGTTGCTCTGTCCATCTTCACTTACCACTCCATGACCTTCGACCATCTTCTCCCCATCTTCTTTGAAGAGAAGCGTGCTGAGGCAGCTGAAATGCTCAAGGGTGCCTCCTTCTTCCCTTTCTACTCTCCTGGTGGTCTTGGCATGACTTTGCGCGATGTTGGCATGGTCCTTGCAGTCGATGGCGGTATTGCTCTGTTCATCCAAGTCTTCATCTTCCCCTGGGCTGTTCAGAAACTTGGAACTTACCGCCTGTTCATCCTCGTCACTGTCCTCCACCCAATCATCTACATTCTGATGCCCATGCTTCTCCTCGTCCCTGAGGACTTCATGTATCTTGCCATCTACGGTTGCCTCATCGTTCGCAACATTCTCTCCATTATCCTTTACCCTCTCCTGATGATCCTTATCAAGGAGGCCACTCCTACCGCCAGTGCTCTCGGCAGGGTTAACGGTTTGGCAGCCAGCGCTGGCGCCGCTTGCCGAATGATTGCCTCTCCCATTGCCGGATTCTTGTGGGCCGTTGGCAGCAAGTCTAACTGCTCTGCCCTGGCCTGGTACGGCAGTGCTATTGCCGCTATTTTTGGAGCCATCCAGTGCTTCTCGGTCCCTCGTGAGCGCTGCCACCAGATTTCTGAAGAGGCCCCCGCCCTGCCTTGCAAACAGACTGTCACCGTCACCGAGACTGAGTTCTATGACTCGGACTAAGCAGCTGACGACTTACGACCCGATGAGTTCAGACCTACTTGAACGACTTTGCATTTTCTTGTTCCATATTTGACTCGATTTCTTGCGAGTCACTAATATTGCATGTTACCCGTTACGACAACCACATTAGTTCGGAGTTTTGGTTTATTATGATTTGCACGCATAGAGCCTGATAGAAGGTTTGCTTTTATTACGGCCATTGTTTATGAATTTATGTATATATCCCCAGGTCAAGCGGTTTTTTGGGCTGGATTGGTTTATCTTGAGGAGCTGGAGTTGGTCAACAAAAGGAAAGTCGCCGGTGCGCGTCTTGGTCATGAAAATGGTTTTGATGTAACGAGATGTGGTACATTGAGGCGGTTGGAGTTTTAGACTGAGACGTAGAAATAGAAACAGTTAAAATATCTTGATCTCTTCAAGTGAAACGTTGTGTTATAAACTGAAGTTTGGAAATTACGTACAACTGTTATCGCAGTAATTAATCTTTGTATTGCTGGTCCAAGTATATCAAGCCATGGTTTGACTAGATACCGAGTCGTGATAGATGGTTGATGCCCAATAGAATTTTCGCCACCCACCAAAAGTTGGAGAATCTCAAATTTTAGCAACATCAAGTTGCTCACCTCAAAACCGACCCACCAATGACAATTGAGGCATAAGAAACACAACAAAATTCTGGGATAGAGAAAAGTAGCAGAGTAATCTGCTAAGGAAGACAAAAATGCATATCGAGGAGATTACCGACAAGATGGAGGAGACTTTAAAGGTCTCCGAGCCAGAGCAGGCTGCACCTCAACCTCAACCCAGCGCAGCAGAAGAGACAAAACCCCAACTTCCACCAGCGCACGCTATCGCCAGTGGAAAGACTGTGGATGAAGTATGGGAGGACCTGAACAAGTCGCCGCTCTTCATGACAGATCTCGATGCTAGTGAGGAGAATGACGATATCGCTGCTTTGCAGGCCCTTGCCTATGAGGGTACTCCTCTTGAGAACGGCCAAGAGTTCAAGGAACGCGGAAATGAATGCTTCAAGATCAAGAACTACGTTGATGCCAAGGAGTTTTACGGAAAGGGCATTGCTATTCTTGCGGGAGAGGAGCGAAAGCGCGCCAGGGGAGAGCAGACCAAGAATCAGGAGGGTGTGATTGATACGGAAGAGGAGATTAAGAACCAGCAAGAAACTTTGGAGGCGCTGTATGTCAACCGTGCGGCTTGCCATCTTTCTGTCAAGAACTACCGCAGCTGCTGGCTAGACTGCGCTGCAGCGCTTCGCCTCAACCCTCGCAACATCAAAGCTTACTTCCGAAGTGCTCGGGCTCTTCTTGCGGTGGATCGCATCGAGGAGGCCGATGATGTGTGTGCTCGTGGTCTTTCACTAGACGAGTCAAACGCATCGCTTCGAGCTGTAGCAGATGATATCATCAAGCGAGCCAAGGAAATCGATGCACGACGAAAGAGGGACGCAGAGCGCGAGGCTAAGGAGAAGCGACGAGCTCTGCTCATCAAGGCTGCTTTGCGAGCAAGGAACATTCCCACACGTACAACGCCTCAGCCACCAGAGATGGAGGACGCGGGCATTGCGCTCCTGCCAGACCCTGATGACCCTCGCAGCACGCTTGCTTTCCCAACAGTGTTGCTCTACCCTCTCCACCTGGAATCTGATTTCATCAAGGCGTTTGAGGAGACACATTCGCTTGAGGATCACCTGAGCTACATCTTTCCTTTGCCGTGGGACAAGGAGGGTGTTTATACGACTGCGGGTGTGGAGGCGTTTGTGGAAACTGCCCAGGGCGGTTTGCTCAAGATGGGTAAGCGAGTGCCGCTGCTCAAGGTTTTGGGAACCGGCAAGGTTGAGGTCGTGGATGAGGTTGTAAGAATCTTTGTTGTGCCCAAGGATAAGGCTGAGGCCTGGACGAAAGAGCATAAGGCGAAAAGGGCAGCTGAGAAGGGACAGGCGAGCTGATCCTAGATCAAGAAAGAATAAAAAGTATATGTGTTTTACAATGATGCCTACGCCGCTAACTAATGGTGATTTGTTGAACCGCTAATCCTCGCTTCCCCCTTTGACAATGTGCTATATGCCGCTGTGATATGGCTCGGGCTGTACAAGATGACAACAGTGATGGGAATCATTAAGTGTAAAGGCGCCTGAGCTATTCCATTCTATTCGCTGTGGTCATATATCCCCGAAAAGCAAAACGCCAGTCCGATAAACCCTTTTATCCTGTCACTCCTTCTACTACTTTTCTTTCCGATCGTCTTCAAGGCTGAACGCCTCGTTTTCTCTTGCTGCGGCGATGTCCCTCATCTGTGGCAGAGTCTTCCCCGGAGATACTGGGAGGCGAGGCAACCGCATTAGAAGCTGGAATGACTTGTTCCTGATGGCTGAGGCTCAACAGAAGCAGAGCGGCGTCCTGCTGAGTGGTATCTTGCCGGACGGAATGAGCTGCGCTTGTTGGTCCTCGAGCGACTCGCTGCCTCATAGGGCTTGCTTCAGGGGTTGCGGCCATCATGGCAGAGCTTATGCTCATATTAGGACTGACGCTCCTTCTATAGTTGTATTCCGGATCTTCATATTCGAAGCGCCGCTTAGGCCAATGTGGGTTACGAGGTATGGCACTGACCAAAAGATGTGGTTCTTGGCTGAGTCGGTCCAGAGGAGGAAGAGTATTGGATTCGCGGCGCCAAAGTGGGTTGCCAGGTATGGCAGTGACCCAAGGATTCGCTTCTTGGGTGATTCGGTTTGTAGAAGTCCAGCTGGAACCTGGTCGAGATGTGACCATATAGCCAGGAAGACCTGATCCGGTACTTGAGGCTGAGTCGGGGGCCGACAAGTAATGGCGGTCTGGGTCTTCCATCGCCCATGATGGATCACAAAACAGACGCGGTCGGTGTCTGTTCCGGCGTTCGTCTGGGGGGTAGGTTTGCTGAGCATTTCGATCGTCTCTAGGGAAGCTTGTCGGACTTGGAAACTTTGGTGGGATTGTACTCGTTTCCAGGCGCCAAGTATTGGCTTCTTGAGTAGCATCGATGACAATCTGTCGGTTTATGACCATGCGAGCATACTCAGGCGTGCCAGGAGGAATACAGATAGCTGGGAAATCTGGGCCGAAGATGGGAATCAAAGCACCCGCAATGGGATGGCAGAATGTTGCGCAGATAGCTCTGGCGCATTGATATGGCATCCAATAGCCTGTATGGATGGACTGGTCAGAAGAGTAGATGGGCGGCTATCGAGGATAGACTTACCTTGGGCAGCTATAGCACCGCCAGTAATGCTATGGGTGATCTCTTTTAGACCTGGGTTGAGGCCTAGCATCTTTGCAGGTATGGTCTACTCCGGTCAGTATATGTTCAGCGTCACAACCTTTCGTTCCAACTTGCCTTTCCATAACCAAGGCACTTGAAAAAGGGGGTCATTCGAACAAGTCCGATATTATAGTCCCACATAACAGCGTATTCAGTACCGTTTTCAAGAGAGACAAACTCATACTTGAAAACTAGCAGGTTTGCGTCAGTACCTAAACAGCAACAGAGAACCATGAACAACTTACCTTCGAAACTCTCACGCCCCGTTTTCTCGAAAAAGTCTTTCTTGCCACTATTATATGGAATATGAAGGCAGGCTTCATGGATATATCCAAAAGGGGTTACTCGGTGCCTGCGGGTCTCTTGTAAAGCGACCTCGTCCAGGCGCTCGTAGGGGGGAAACCTAACCTGACCGCGCAACTTGGATTTGGTCAGGTTGGTGTCCTTGTATCCAGCTCTATCGCTAGACATGATAACACGTCCCTGTCGCTGGCTCGAGGGCATTCTGTTGTTGAAAGTTGGTGGAAACTCGGGCGGAGAATTTGGTTGGGAGAAGGAGGAATCATTCTCTCCTTGGGGGGCTGGGTTCAGGAGACCCTTGAGGGACAACATGATGACAACCGGTAACGTTTGCCAACTTGTTAGAGGTCGTAGTCTTGGGTAAAAATGAAGGGTTGTGAGATGCAGCAGTCCACGGTTGGCTGTAAGGAGATGGCTTGGTCAAATGGTTTGAATAGCACAGCGGACAAGCCGTGATATAACTACTTCTGGGTTGCAGGGAAGGACAGACGGCAGCAACACACCAGCAGGTGGAAACTACTCGCCTTTAAAGTAACTCCTCAGCTTGACAAACAAGTCCGGGGAAGACAGATATGTCTGCGTGCACCAAAAATGGATGATGACCAGCCAGAAGCCCAGGACGTTTTGACTCCCCTGCGAACGCCGTTTGGGAATCCGCAACTTCAAAAGTCGGTCACGCTTTTGTTCGGCTAGTCCGAAAGTCTCTGTTGCTTTTCCTTTGTTCCTTGGGTATTAACGCAGGCTTCCAAAGGGGGAGGAGTTTTGTTTACGAGCTTCCACCGCCTGGTGCTAGTATATACTAGGAACAGCCACCAAGTGATAGATGACGGGACGATGTCGGAACAGGGTCGCGTGAATATAATTAGAGAGATTGGACTCAAATAGGAGTCTTGAGTTCAAGTGCAAGGACGAGGGCTCAAGACAATCTGAGAAATAGATACGTCGTGTCTCGCCGCTACGGTTTGCCCCAGGCGCCCAGGTGAATTGCGTGTGAGTTCTGGGTTCCGCTTCATCAAACAGCTCTCATATGCCCCCCAGACTTTCCCTCCGCATTAGGAGGACCATAAGGCAGAGCTGCAACAGGGGGTGTAGTTTGGAGCTATTGGGCGTGGGTAGACCAGTCATCAGGCCGTGTTATTCGTTACACTCCCACAATACCTCATAGACTCTGCCCTAAACTCGACAAGGCCCATCACGGCTATTAGATTATTTGAGCATATTGCAGTTCGTCTCTCTTTGACCATCCTTCTATTGCCTGGTACGTTCATAGAGCCAGAACCGGAAGCTGAGCCTTGAGCCGCAACAGAGAACGACTCCGTGACGAATTGGCTGCTCTACCTTGTCTGAAACCGCCCCACGAGCTCAAAGCAAAATCGAAGTACACACGGATGCTTGCATACCACATCGTCCAGAGAGTCTATACCCCAGCCTGTTTCCTTATGTCTGTACAACAAAGAACGGCGGTCTTGTTGCTACTGAGAGATGGGTCAATCTCAGCGCTCCTCTAGACTTGCTCGAGTCGCCCCCACGTGTCAGTATGACAACTGACAGCTAGAGTAAATATTCTTCCTCTCGCTGGCACATCCTGCTAGTCGACACTGCCGAATGTCCTATCAGACCCCTCTCCTTGCGCCGGAGGTCAGTAGAGGAATCATGACGTGGCTCCGGCTTGCCATGGATAGGTTCTCAATCTTAGCAGAGCTGTACATAGCCGTTGCATACTACACCGACAATACACTGTTGGGTGAGAGTTCGATGGCGCTTCCAGAAGTCGGTCTGCAAGTATTCCACTTGAGATGACCATGTTTACGATGCTGTAAACAACCTGTCATGCTTCTTGCCCTCGTTACCTCCATGGGCTCTCTGGCGTACAGGCACAAGAAAAATCCCCGAGAGGCAACACAAGCCTATGCCTGATACGCCCGCCCCTCAACCTTTTTAGTGGGTTACCGGGTTGCAAGAGGCAACTGTACTTTGATCAAGGTGCTATACGTTCAAATCTTTGTATGTCCTGGATATGATTAGGAGTCGTGTCGTTCAAAACATGAAGTTGCGCAGTATGACTACACAACTTAACATGTAAGATGCGTCACTCATGCATGCCAGAGCCTCTTTCTGCTTTTCTCATGACTTGGGCTAGGCCACAATCACTCCTGCGGACCGGAGGCCCCTGGCAGGTCCGTCAACATCGTCTCGCCAAACTCATCACACTTAACGCGACCAGCCGACGGCTCGGGCTACGACACACTTCCGGAGTCGGGTTCTCTGCTCATATTTTGCAGGTTTCCACTGAAGGCACTATCTGGGTTTGGTTGTGATTCGACAGCTGCCCCAAAAGGGGCATATAATGGAAGCAGGGCCCAAGAGCGGGATCTGACATCTCTGGCTTGAACACCGTTGCAATCTGTAGTTTGGATCTATGCAGCACTGTCTAGGTATTTAGACATTCCCGATTAGGAACTGCGCATGATACCCGTGCCTGTTTTGCAAGCTGAACAATGTATCTGATCTCCCGCCCAGCTTTATCGGACCGAGCTCTGACGAATTCGGAAACAACGGATCGTCCATATCGGTATCAAAGTCTGTTAATGACTTCCTGATTCTCAGTATTTGGTTTCAGAAGATTGTACGATTTCAGCGAGGTAGGACAGCGGGAGGCCATGGCGAGCTGGCGTTTCTTTTGCACCAGGTGCAGAGAAAGGGACAGTGCGGTTCCCTGCATCGAATTCATCCAGTGTCACCACTCCCCTTTCCCCATCGGTGCGGCATATGTCGCCATGTCCTGTTGAGCGGCTACTTCAAGAGATGAAGACCTTGCCTGTGAGGATATATGATAGTGTTGCGAGGCCCAAGTCGAAGCGATTGTAAGTAATAGATTATAGATGCATGTCGGAGTAAGAGCCGCATCGGTTATACAACAGTATAGGTCAGATCGCCATTTCATGGCCAGGCTATTGATCAATAGACATGCTGAGGTACGAGTCGACAAGCCGATCACCGACATAATTTTGCAACGGGGACGGTGGTACTGTAGCCGGACCTGAAGCTAACTTGGCAGTAAGGCAATAGTAGATGCCTGGTTGAAGACCCCCGTTGGTGACGCGACCAGCCTCAGACAAGCTAATCTCGAAGACGGTGCTACCAGGAGAATAAGCAAGAGTTGAAGGCCCATCCCACGGCGACACAGGTATATTTGACAGAGAGCTTCCTCCGCTTCAAGTTGCACATCTTGACTCAGCCCGCTAATCCAGCCTGAGCCCGGTGCATGTCTGACTTCGAGCTTGACAGGCTCGTTTCGGGCAATAGGCGACCACGATGCGATGAGAGCAGGGCCGGCCTCGGAACTTGTCAAGTTGCCGTAATCTCCATGGGGAAAGCTCTTAATCTGGCAAGCTCGTGGAACGTATGGCACGAGCCGAAGAGCAAATGAAACGAGGCAACAGTGCAGGTTTGCTAGTTCTTTTTATTTCCTTTAGGTGTTTTCGGTGCACTTAATCAAACTGAATCGGATCCAGGAATGAAGAGGACTCAATCCGAGAGTTCGCTTCATGATGAGAGTTTGGAGTTCATCCCGTCTGTAAGTGGAGATGTGACATTGAAGCAAACAGCTACGTTTTTGCAGACACGTGGTGCAAGCCAAGTACAACGGTTCTTTAGAAGTAGGATGAAATAATAATACCATTCCCTCTAGATGTCTAGAGATAAATAGCAAAGCAGCGAGCAAGAGGGAAGGTGAGGCTCCAAGTACACAGGAGAAGATCATGTGCTATATCACGTGGTTTGGCGTTCACTTTACAGCCTGAGGCATAAGATACGGCCCCACATCGGCCGGTGTAGCTAGTGGGCCGCCGTAGTCGCGTCCCCTGTAAGATTTGTTTACACACATAGACCCTGGATTGTCACAACAACAATAATCTCGTTTTGGCTATTCATGAGAAGCCTAGCGTTGACACGTCTTGGTTTTTCTTATTCAACTTCGTCTTCGCGACTTTATGCGCGAGCAATACCCTTTGCTCGCTTTTATTGTCCTGTACTAACCAACCCATTGTTCATAGCTTGTCAATCATTTCAACCCTTGTATTCACTTTCCTCCTTAAATATTGTTTGGATACCACCTCAAGTCAGATTCTTTTGTCCCCCACCAAACACCAACAAAATGGATTCCGATGAATCTATGTTCAGTATGGGTGACGAGTCCGATGGCTTCGTCCCCGAAACCGTAAGTAACCTCCTCTTTTGACCCCTCTTTGCTTCACATCAAAGCATATTCACTGCATATTCTCTTTCGCCTGCCTGCCTGCTTCTCCTCATCAACGTGCATTGCAGCCTCCTGTTTTCTTTCAACCTTTGAACTGCATTAAGCAACATCACCTTCATCTTTGCGCATGCAAACTGTTACTGCACAGTGAAGCTAAAGTGTTATTACAGAAATCGAAACCCAAAGCTGCGCCTAAAAAGGCTGCCGCGAAGGCCGCGCCTAAGAAGATGGTTCAGTCTACCCTCAAAGCAAAGGCCGCGCCCAAGAAGCGCCCTACTCCAGAAAGCGATGACGACGATGTGAGCGTTACCTCTACGCCGCCCAAGGCAAAGAAACAAAAGAAGGAGGAGGAGGATGATGATGATATGGCCATCGACAGCCCTGCCAAACCTGCCAAATCGGGGAAGCAGAAGACTGCCACCGAAACGTACCAGAAACTCACACAGCTCGAGCACATTCTCAAGCGACCTGACACATATATCGGTTCCGTCGAAAGAACAGAGCAACAATTATGGGTCTTGAACAAAGAGACTCAGCTGATGGAGTACAAGAACATCAGCTTTGTGCCTGGTCTCTACAAGATTTTCGACGAAATTCTCGTCAACGCCGCCGACAACAAGCAGCGCGATGGCTCAATGACATACATGAAGATTAACATCGACCGCGAAGCCGGCGTCATCAGCGTCGAGAACAACGGAAAGGGTATCCCTATCGTCATGCACGAGGGTGAGAAGGTTTACATTCCTGAACTTATCTTCGGACATTTGTTGGCAGGTTCCAACTTCGACGATGATGAGAAGAAGACTGTTGGTGGTCGTAACGGTTACGGTGCCAAGCTATGTAACATCTTCAGTACCGAGTTTAATCTCGAGTGTCAAGATAGTGCAAGTGGAAAGAGGTACAAGCAGACATGGACCAACAACATGACAAACATCCAAAAGGCCAAGATCACTGCCAGCAAAACTGCTGACTTCACCCGAGTTACGTTCAAGCCCGACTTCAAGCGCTTTGGTATGGAAAACGGCATTGACGACGATCTGGAATCGTTGTTGTACCGCAGAGTCTACGATATGGTAGGCACCATCCGAGGCATCAAGGTGCACCTCAACGGCGAGCAGATCAAGATCAAGGACTTCAAGGCTTACTGCGATCTTTACGCCAAGTCTATTGCGAAGGAAAGAAGCAGTGAGGAAGGCGGCGCTCCCACATGCACAGTAGAAATGGACAAGGACAAGTCGCATCCTCGATGGGAGGTCGGTTTCGCTGTCTCAGACGGTACTTTCCAGCAAGTGTCGTTCGTCAACTCCATCGCCACAACAAGCGGAGGCACACATGTCAACTACATCGCCGATCAGGTTACCAAAAGTCTTCTCGCCACGCTCAACAAGAAGCGCAAAGGTCACACTCTAAAGCAGGCTCACCTGCGAAATCACATTTTCATCTTTGTCAACTGCTACATCGACAACCCTGCATTTACATCACAGACCAAGGAGCAGATGACAACCAAGCCTAGCATGTTTGGCAGCAAATGCGTGCTGGGTGACGACTTTCTCAAGAAGGTAGCAAAGTCGGATGCTATCCAGAACATCTTGGACTTTGCCGAGAAGAAGGCCGACAAGATGATGGCCAAGAGCGACGGAAACAAGCGATCCCGAGTAAACAATGCCAAGCTGGTCGAAGCCAATTTTGCTGGTACAAGAAGGGGTCACGAATGTACTTTGATTCTGACAGAAGGTGACTCTGCCAAGGGTTTGGCTGTTTCTGGTCGTGCTATCCTCGATCCTGACCGCATTGGTGTCTTCCCACTGCGTGGTAAGCTGCTGAATGTGCGCGATGCTTCGCCTGATCAGATCGCGAAGAACCAAGAAATTCAAAACATCAAACAATTCCTGGGATTGAAGCACAAGGCATCCTACACCGATACAAAGAACCTTCGATATGGCCATCTGATGATCATGGCCGATCAGGATCACGATGGTAGTCATATCAAAGGATTGCTCATCAACTTCCTCGAAGTGCAGTTTCCCTCGCTTCTCAAGATTCCCGATTTCTTCCGAGAGTTCATCACCCCCATTGTCAAAGTCTGGCAAGGTCCCAACCCAAAGAAGCCCCAGAAGCTCAAGTCCTTCTTCACGCAGCCCGAGTACGAGGAATGGAAGGACGATCACAAGAACGAGCTTACTCGATGGCATTCCAAGTACTTCAAGGGTCTGGGAACCAGCTCCAACGAAGACGCACAAGTCTACTTCACCAATCTTGATGACCACTTGAAGGAGTTTGAGACTATGAAGCCTGAAGAATCCAACCTGTTGGAGCTGGCCTTTTCCAAGAAGAAGGCAGATGCTAGAAAGGAATGGCTGGGCAACTTTGTCCCTGGTACTTTCCTGGATCACTCTACCAAGTCAATCACCTACTCTGACTTCATCAACCGAGAGCTTATTCTCTTCAGTATGGCTGACAACATGCGATCCATTCCATCCGTTCTAGATGGTTTCAAGCCTGGTCAGCGCAAGGTGATCTACGCTTGCTTCAAGAGAAACTTGGTCAAAGACAAGAAGGTTGTTGAATTGGCTGGTTATGTGTCTGAACAGACAGCATACCACCACGGTGAACAGTCGCTCCAGCAGACTATCATCGGTCTTGCTCAGAACTTTGTCGGTTCGAACAACATCAACTGCCTGGAACCCAGTGGAAACTTCGGTTCTCGACTTGCAGGTGGTTCTGATGCTGCCAGTCCTCGTTACACCTTCACTCGACTGTCGCCTTTCGCCCGCAAGATCTTCCACCCTATGGATGAGCCCAACCTGCTGCACCATTATGAAGATGGCAAGAAGATTGAACCAATGGTTTATGCCCCAGTTCTTCCCATGGTATTGGTTAACGGTGCCGATGGTATTGGCACAGGTTGGAGTACTTCCATCCCCAACTACCACCCTGCAGACATTGTTGAGAACTTGAAACGCCGAATGGGTCGTTTTGATGAGAACAATTCCGAGGAAAGGCCTTTCGAGACCATGATGCCATGGTTCCGTGGTTGGAAGGGTACACCTGAAGCTGCTGGTCCCGATCGCTACAAGTTCAATGGTGTCGCATACCCCAACGATCAGAAGGATAACGAGGTTGTTATCACAGAGCTGCCTATCCGTACGTGGACCGACGATTTCAAGGCGCGACTGGAAAAAATCATTTCTGGTGAAGGTGGCCCTTCTTGGATCAAGGATTACAAAGAGTTCAACGACCATAGCACTGTTCATTTCGAGATTGCAGTGGACGAGAAGCACATGGGCAAAGTGATGGAAGAGGGTGTCCTCGAGCGATTCAAGCTCACCAAACAAGTCGCTACCTCAAACTTGGTTGCCTTTGACACCAGTGGCCGAATTCGCAAGTACGAGAAGGTAGAAGACATCCTCGAGGAGTTCTACCAGTACCGTCTTGACATGTATACTGACCGCAAGAAACACTGGTTGGGTGTGTACCACGCAGACTTGCGCAAGCTCCAAAACCAAGCGAGGTTTATCAAGGAAATCATCGACAACAAGCTTATTGTTGGCAAGAAAAAGAAGGCCGTGCTTGTGGAGGAGCTTCGCGATCGCGATTACGAGGCATTCCCTCCTCGTGCGGACAAGAAGAAGACAGCGGACGAGGAAGAGGAGGACGATGATAATCAGGACGTTGAAGGAGACTCTGAGGGTGGTGCCCGCGATTACGACTATCTTCTCGGGATGCCTATCTGGTCTTTGACCGCGGAGCGTCTTGAGAAGCTCAAGCAAGCCATCGAGAAGAAGAAGGCCGAGCATGAGGAACTTCTCGCTCTCAGTGAGAAGGACCTCTGGTGTCGCGACCTTGATGATTTCATGGTCGAGTGGGAGAACCAACTTGCAGTTGATGCCGAAATCAAGACAAACATCCGTCGCTTGGGTCGCCGCGTTTCGAAGAAGATAGGTGCTGGCACCGCTCGTGGCCGTAAAGCCAAGGATGATGACGAGTATGAGCCTGAGAAGAAGGCCCGTGGAAGGCCCAAGGCTGGTGCTGCGGTAGCTAAGGCGGCTCCTAAGCCAGCTGTCAAGACGGAGACAAAGAGTGCTCAGCGGTTCGCCGAGATGTTCAGTGCCAAGCCAAAGGTTAAGAAGGAACCTACGGCCGATGTCATGGAGCTCTCGGATGCTTTCTCCGACGATGACTACGCCGCTCTAAGCCGCAGCAAGTCATCAGCTCCCGCAGTCAAGACATCCCAGTCCCCGCCACTCGAGGCACCGGACACCGGGCGAGTCAAACGAGCCGCTGCATCTAAGGTCAAGACAGTCATCGATGATGACTCCGAAAGCGACGATGATCAGATGCTTGGTGATGTTGGCGCTTTGGTCAAGGGCATTGATAAGCCAGCTGGGGGCAGCGAAAAGGGCAGGTTTAGTTTACATGCCATGAGCCGACCAGACTCTAGCCATGGCAACACCACCGCCAGCAGCCTTCCAAAGGCCAAGGCTAAGTCGGCCAAGGCGTTTGACTTCGACGACGACAGCCCTGACGACACCAACTACGAACTTCTCGCCAAGTCGTCGCCACACAAGACGGCACCCAAGGACGATCACGTTGACAGCTTCCTTTCTGACGACGAGCCTTTTGTTGCTCCAGCCAAGCCAACCGCTGCCAAGTCTAAGTCTACAAGTGCTGAGTCTGACGACCCGACACCGGCCGGTCTTTCTACAGTTAAGAAGGCACGGGGTCGCCCTGCTGGTGCTAAGAGCAAGGAGCCGGCGAAACCCAAGGCCGCCCCCAAGGCCGCTACCAAGGTGACAAAGACCGCCGCATCAAAGGTTGCCGCACGTCCCGCGACCAAACAAACCACACTATCGCCAGCAGCCAAGGCAGTCGCTGCTAAAAAGGCCAGCAAGAAGTCTGCGCTTGACGATGACTCCGATGATGAGATGGCCGATCCGGAGTCACCACCTCCCAAACCTACTTCAAGGGCACGACCAGGACGTGCTGCTGCCTCAAAACGCCCTATCGTCGTTGACGACGAGTCTTCAGAAGTCCAAGCAGAGGAAAGCGACGACCCTTTCTCAATGGACGACGATGAAGACTAGATGCAATGAGGCATCTGAGATACCAGGAATGTCGGATCTTTCTGTTCGCGATTATTGATTGTTTGCTATTCTCTCTTTGTTCCGCGAGTATACATCGCTGCATGATGATAACATCCAAGGGGAGGCATGATAAAGAGGGCTGAATCTCAACTTGAAAATCATTAAGTCTGGAGTGGTTTGGGGGCGTACAGGGTGCAGGACAATTGCTTTACATAGGGCCCAGTCCTAGCTATTTATTGATATCCAACGATAGCCAAAATGCTATCATCATATTCACATGCATAATAGTTTCTGAAATTCGTACCCTCAAACAATATTTGTGATGTCTTCAGGAAGATGCCAAGAATGCGATCTCACCAGAACCTTGTTTATCGATAAGAGCTTCCTCCCTGTTAGCGCGGGGTTCTAGGAGCATCTAAGGGTCTAATTTATCATCCCCTCCATCCGCCCACTCACTCTCATTTGCCTCCAACAATCTTCACGATCAACCAAATCCATATTGAAAATGTCATCAGAAGAGCCTCAATCGCTTCGCTCCCTCTACGAAGCCGCCGAAGAAAAGCGCCATGCCTTAAATAACTCTTACGACGCAACGTCCCCAGCCTACCGCTCGGACCTCGAAGCTGCACTCTCCCTCTACAACTCGGCGCGCGACAAGACCTCGGCGCTTGCTCTCTTCTCTACCAACGAGGGCATCGAGGATGTTTCCACCACTGATATCCCATACCTTCTTCTCGACTCCTATATCGCAGAGCTCGTGCAGAAGACTCCCAACCAGAGCCCTGACCAGCGCCTTGAAGTCCTCGCAAAGTCTCGCGCCGCATACGAACGCTTTCTGGCCACCGTAGACGGATACGGTCTTGTAAAAGCACCCTACGATCGCGTTCTCGAGCGATACCGTGACGAACCTGAGAGCTTTGCTGTAGTTGCGAGCACTGATGCTGCGGCGCGACGAGATGGCAAGATTGCCAACTTTCGCGCAGAGAAGGCGCTGAAGGAGAAGCTCGAGATGTTGCGACGGAACCCTCGATACGTTGAGCATGGTGATGAGGAGCTTGTGAGGGAGCTTTACTTGACGCAAATCACTTTCGCGGTACACTCTGCTCTTCAGGCTCTCGACTCACTAAATCGTGAGGTCGATATCCTTGCGCACGCCCCCCGGCCTTTTGGGCCCGTATCTAATGCTACACCCTCCGCCGATGACCACTTATCGCGCGTCGACCAGCCTCTGCGTCGCCTGCAATCACTTCCTGGTGGACCTCTTCTATCTAAACAGGGCAAGCCGCTCCAACCTTTTACGTTGCTCGGCTCGCGGGATCAAATGTCACGAGATGTATTCCGCTCAGGACATAACTTGCCAACTATGTCTATCGACGAGTACCTCGAGGAAGAGCGGAGACAGGGCAACATTCTTCAGGGCGGAGTGGAGGAGAAGAAGGTGGTGGATGAGGATGATATGGAGGCTGTAGATCGTGAGATGTACAAGCAGCGTGAGTGGGATGAGTTCGTGGACCATAACCCCAAGGGAGCCGGTAACACTCTCAACAGAGGTTAGCAGTATGTAGGAGATGTAAAGATGGACATACGAAAATACATAGGATGGATAATGGTATTGGCGTTAGATAAAAATGGGTTGGTAACATGGAGGGTTCAGCGTTTTTACATGCATTGCCGGTAAAGGAAAATATACAAGAAATGATACCCTCAGTACACATGCTATATGGACCGTTTATTAATGCATCTACTCGTTGATATCATGATATTCCAGTATTTAGTACCATTTCCTATGCCAAACAAAACAAGTAATCCTACCATGTCGGTCATTAAAAGATTGTATCCGAACTGTCATCACTATCTCCATCATCGTCCCACATATACAGGTCATTGTCACCGTCACTGTCGTTGTTTGTGCTTCTACCTTGAGTAACAGATCTCGTCCCAGAGTCTGTCAATTGATCGAACGTCTCGACTTGCATATCGATTGCCTCGCCCATGCCTTGGTGGTCTGCTGGCTGGGCGAATCTGGCGTCTGAGTACTCGGATCCACCGATAGTGAATGATTCCGAGGCTATGGATTCATCTTCAGCAATGACGTGGTCGGGTCGATAGACTGTCGAGATGCTATCCTGAACATTCATCGAAGCACCTGTCGAGCTGCCCCAAACCCGCAGCGCATCCATGTCTTCAATCATGGAACCACTGACACTTGCAGGCGCCGAAGGAATTGTTTGTCCCGTGTGAAAGCTCGGTCCTGGCCCTTTAGGTCCCATATCAGTTGAAGGGATAGGGTCTTCAAAAACACCTCCCGTGCCATCATCGCATCCTCCACACCACAGTGGAAGGTATTTGAGTTCATTGTCGGTCAAATTGAGTAGAAGATGTCTGGTGAGATTCAGGGACGGTTCAAAGTTGCGTTGCCACGAGAGTGTTATTGGGCGAATTAGATCCTTGACTGCAGCCTCGAGGTGGTTGAGAGACACAATAGGTCTTTTGAATCGAGAAATGGAGACCTCTGTTGGGTACTCGTAGTCTTTGAGACCAAGGGTACGCGCCCAGAGCGGATCGTCCTTGAGTCTCTGATTATGGGCGAGAAAAATCGCAAGTGCGTCTGTTGCTTTTTGTGCCAGAAACTTGAATGTTTTGAACTCGTGATTGCGCAGTCTGCATCGATCGGAATTCCATCGTCGGGCGTCCATCATCACACCTATTTCGTTGTATGTTGCAGCACAGAGTGCCATCTGAATTCGGTTGAACTTTTGCATTACAACAGACGTCATCTCAAAGTCCTGCAGGTCCATGTATGTCAACCGATCTTGATCTATAGTCTGGTACGTCAAATGGTTGTAAGTCGGAGGATTCGACATGATATGGTCCCACGGCTCCGTGACCTCGGCGACCAGTGCATCCATAAGGAGACCGATAGCGTCAAGTGCATCGCTCGCCAGTCGTGAGTTCTCTTGTTCAAGAAGCTGCTCAATGATTCGCAGCCCACTCCATTCATCGATGTCCCAGAAATCGAATAGACGGTTGTTACGCATCATTTTGTCGATATCAGAAATCCTCGCAACATATGCCTGAGCTGCATGCTGCACGGTATTACTGAGCTCATCAGGGAGATTTCCTAGTCTTCGACCAAATATCGTTGTCTGATTGCAGTACTCGCGTTTCCTATCATCGGCCAATTTGAGAGCGAGTTCGTTGACGAGGATTCTGAAAGCACACTCAGCAACCTCGGGTATTTGAAGTGAAAATGCTATTTGCAAAGCCTCTTCGGGTGCCACTTCAATGAAAGTGGTATTCGTGCCATGCAAGATCCACTGGTGGACTCGATCACGAAGGAGAGAACTACAGTCGAAGATGTTGCCAAGTTTGACCAGAGTCCACATGCGAGGCGCTGAGTCGAGGATGGCTCCTTTGCCTTCGATGAGCATAAGCAGCCTGATGATCCCATTCCTGTGGCGGACGGGACAGTAATCTGGGATATTACGGTACGCAGGCGTCGCATAGAACTCGTTTTCGTTTTGGGCCTTCATCTCCAGGGCGACCTCGACCTGAGTGGCAGGCGGTGGTTTTTTTCGGGTCCTTTTCACTCCATTCCTCCCGCTATTCGCGTTTCCAGAGTTTCCTGTGTTTCCTTGCTCAGGGTCAGGGTCTTCCTCCATGTCTTCGTCAGTCTCGAAAAGCTTTGTTCTACTGCACATGCAGACATCGTCATGGCCGGATACCAAACACATGTCTGTGTCATTCTCAATGTATGACCTCCACCACTTGATAAGGGCAGGGGTCAAAGATAGCTCAGTCATTTGGAATACCAGGTCGTCCCCTTCCGAAGGTGGTGTGAGATCAATCAGATACTTAATTCCTTCAGGCATCTTGTTCACCATCTTACGTCGCCTCTGGATCTTATACTGGTATGTACCTCGGAGCATCTCGTCGAATACAGAAGATTTAGTCTCGAGGAGCTTTTCGGAGTAGACACGGAATTGTTGCGACTTGTAAGTAATACCATTGCAGTCTGCATAGCTGATTGCGTCTGTGCGATAGGTAGGGTAGTCGATGAAAACAAGGACATCTCCCTCGCGAAGCTCGAAGCCAATGGAATGAAGACGATAGCGCTCAAAATTGCGAGCGTCTTCAATCTCGTCGTCTGGCATGAGACGCGGTATACGGTTTCCGTATAGGTCGCTGTTGGACTTATTGAATGCAGATCCAGTCCAACGTGACATGGGAGCTGGAACTGGCAACGGAAATTCAAGAGGGTCATAGAGATCGCATTCTGGTACGTTCTGGCTCTGCTCCTGGTCTTGGTTTCCATTTTGAAGGACTGTGCCACTGTCCAGAAGCTGACTTCGAGGCTCGGGCATGATTGTAGGATAAGTGTATTCAGGAATCATGGTGGTGGTTGGCGTAGACCGAGGCTGGTTATGTCTTCTGTCTCGTAACGAATTATCGTTCTGGTCTGTAGGATTGCTGAGGCTGCTGCTCCAGGCACCAGGCACAGCACTTGGTCCGCCATTCGCTTGATAGTCTTGCCACTCGTCGGGGAAGTTCATGGTAGGTAGTTATAGGATGGCCCTCTCTTGGTGGCAGAGATGCTGATGCAAGGAACGTCTATAAGGTAGTTGAGGAAGTTGAATCTATAAATCACATATAATATGCGATGGTATCTTGTTGCGTTTGTAGATGTAGATGAAAATTCGGGCTCAGATATAACAGTTCAACTGTATAACTGATATATGTCACATGCCAAGGCTGACTCGACTTTTGTAGTATGCAGTGCGAGTTGCAGTGCCAATGGGCTGTGCACGACCAGACCAGAGACCGATGTGGCGCAGGCAACTGAAATATAGTTTTTATGAGATGAAGTCTTTGTAGGCGTTTATGTTTATAGTTGAGTTGGCAAGAATAAGATCAAGGGAATCTTTGTAGAAGAGGGGGATGTAAGACGTAGAGTTCCGGAAGGAAAGAAGGAAAGACAATGGAAGATCGGCTGACGGATGGACTGCCAGTGACAGACAGACAATTCAGCCAGCCCTACAGATACAAGGAAAACAGCCTACCTTTGCCTCCCTAAATACCTACAGCACAAGCTACCCCTCATGATCAGATTGATGCCTGAGCGTTGAATGACTGGAAGGTGGTTGCCTTGAGGCTGCCTATTCTAATGGATGGATGCTACAGTACATAGCCTGGCCAACCACTAAGCTAGCAAGAAATATACATGTTGGCTTAAGTTGTAGAATGCGCATTGAATCTTACCCCCAAGTACTCGTCATCTTCTAATGACTGTATTGTAATTTGTGTTTATCATCATTAGCAGCTTGTGAGACAAACATGTAAAGAGCAAAGCAATCTTGGGAAAACAATGAATTATCTGTCACCCGTTGTAAGTAACTGCCTGCCTAGTTCATGCAGTCTTCACCTTCCGAGTGGCAACAAACCGACCATTAGATGTCATTCAATTCCCAACGGACACTAAATAGAGTTGCTTAAAACGCTCCGGTGGTAGCTTGAAAATGACATCGCTAGTTCTTGTTACGGCTGGCTTTAGGGTAGCTTACCATCAAAGATCACTAACACGGAGAGATTAAGGAATTGAATTTATAGTAGAAACATGACAGAAGCTAATTACTAGGGAGACTGAACTTAATATTAACCTCAAATCAGGTAGATACCCATGGACAGCCGTCAGCCTAGGTAGGTATAGTTGCGTTATGTTCACAAACAACCATGATCGACATCTTGACGCGCATGTCACTTTTCCAACATTTCGCCAAGTAAGCACGGCTCAATACAACTCCCCATAAGGTGATCAAGTGTGAGCCAAGTTCGAGTACAAATGCATCACAATTATATATAGGTCAAATTACAGTATAACCACCACCTCATTACTCCACTCCATCGACGACAACCTCCAGGTCATCAGTCGTCTTACATGCTCCAACGCCTTCAATGCATTCCGTCAAAATATATCATATACACGAATAAAACTGTGCCAAAACGCCGACACATGCCATGTCTCTTTTTTACAATGAGCCTCCCCGTTGAAACAGACTGTCGTCCGTCTCAGCTTCGTCGTCAGACTCATAGGCCACTTCCTTGCCCTTTCCCTTTGCATCCCAGCCCGGCTTGGTCTCCTTGAAACTTCGCCGACTAACTGGTCGCTTAGACGCCACCTTGCGTTGATTGTTCTCAGCGGTGTATTTCCGTAGTCGGTCTCGTCCAGCTACTTCAATCATCTGTGTCGTAGTTCCCTCGTCTCCTGATGAATTGCGTCGCGTTGTGGGAACTGTTGACGACTTCTTCAAGTCTCGCATCTCTTTGATCACATCCGCGAAGCTCTCCTCCAGGGTCTTCATTCTAGCCAACACTAGTCTTCCCATCCTGTCGCGGTCAGCCGAGTCGTTACCACCAACTCCTCGCAGCTGGTTGTCCTTCATCATGGCCATGGCCATTTGCGTCTGAAAACTGCCTGGCATAGCTCCAATGGGATCCGCCCCAACGTGGTCAGAGATAGCACTCAGATCAACTGAGGATAACCTCCGGACATCCTTAGGTCGGTTGCGTGGCTCAATGCTGAGAAGGGCCGATCGGCTGACAGCACCAGCCTCAGTCATGCCTCGCGGTGGCATCACTGGTCGAGGCTTGGTGTTGGTGACATACATAGAACGACGGGGCGAGCTGCGTCTTGGGGTCTTTTCTCCTGTTGCCAGACGCCCACTGGTGCGTGGGCGTGGTTGGGCAGCAGGGGGCGGCGAAAGTGAAGACGCTTTTGACACTTGCTTAAAGTCTTGGGGATTGAACAGTATCGTGTTGGTGGAAAGAGTTCGGTTATGCGCGCCTCGTTTAGGTCGAGGGGTTGGTGCTTTATTTTTGCTCTTTCCCGATGAGCTCACAGACGAGGCTAGTTTGCCATAGCTGTTGGCATTGGGTGCAAAGTAGCTGTCAGCTTCCTCACTAATTCGGTGACTTCTGGCAACTTGGCTTTGAGCGGCATTCGTATGATGGTCGTCCTCATCCTCATCATTTGTCACAAGTTCGTCATCTCCGTCCGCATCGGTTTGGTCCTTGTATTCGGGATCACCAGCCAGGCGAGTTGTCGAGAAACGAGATGGTCGAAGAGGCTGGCCGGCATTGGAAATCAGATCAGCAGGATCACTCGCTGTTGATCTCACATCTGAAACGCGCCTCAAGTTGGTGGTTCGAGCAAAGCCCATGCTGGATCGTCGTTGCCAAGGAGGCATAGTAGCCTCTGGTGTTTGCCATGTACCTGGAGAAGCTTCGTTCTCGTCGTGCTGATCCATCCAGTTACGGATCGCTGTCTGCGTTTTCCGTCTCTCATGGCGTCTCTGTGTTCTCAATGTGAGAGGGTCTGGCATGCGTCGGAATACTTCTTCAAGAGCGCGATCCTGCTGGAAGCCAGCCACTGATTCTTCGCGAACCCTAACGCTTGGACTAAACATGGCTGCTCGGCCAGCGGGATCCATGAAGGAGATGTGCCGACTTCGCTCACGAGTTGGATGTTCCACCAAGTCGGTAGGCTCATACATTGAGGGGGCCAGCCAATATCTCTCATATAGGTAGATGCAGAAGAGCACAGGAAAATGTGTGACTTTGATCACCGTCCGGTTCAGCCAAACGAAATGCTTCAGCGGCATGAAGTATCGAAGAGGCATCAGTAGCCAAGCGAAGATATTACTGGGAGCAATATAAGAGAACAATGCATCGTTCTTCACCATGGAGATGGTGTTAATTGCGAACAAGTATCTGAAACATAGTTAGAACAAACTCATTTTGCCAATCAAACAAGTCACTTACTGATGCTCTTCGTTTGCATTGCTCGCAATGGCCATGAAACTATTGGTCAAGACAGTAATCAAGATGGTCCTGGGTTGGTCAGTTCAAGAACTCGTGAGAAGTGGGTTTCAATGTGACCTACACGACAAGGAAATGACAAATGCTGAGGAAAAGGACCAGCAAAGCTCTCCCTAACCAGTTGTACGCATCCCATCTGCCAAATATTAGCTTCTCAACATGAACTTTCTGATTTGATACACTTACACTTCCCAGGCCGCAGGGGTGAAACCCATAAGAATCTGAAAAATCTTATAGGCGACATCACTCGGCCCCAGCGAATTCTTCGTCAACGTGAAGAAAAAGAAGAATCCACTGCAGAGGATTCCAATGAGAACGAACACCGCAACAAGATCGACGGCCATCAGTCGAAACGCGATAAGCAGTTGCGAAAAGTATTGGTAATGATCCAGGATACTGAAGATGCGCGGCAGAAGAAGAATCGCGTTGGCTGCAAGGACATCATACGCCAGATCGTTCCAATGATGGGGATCGACTAGAAAAACGCCATATGCTCGCATGCAGTAATAGACAATCAACAACAGCAAGATGCCAAGGTCAAATACTCTCCAAACGCTCATGATGTAAAGCTCGAATCCCTGTTCATTGAAACCAACAAGCTCGTCAAGCATGAAGCCGGCACTCCAGAACCAGAAAATCAGTTCCAAACCAGTAATTTGAACAGAACGTTCAGCAAGAACTGCAAGGAACAATCCAATCAACACCGCAAGAGATATTGTGGATAGAAAAGATCTGTACCGAGGAACTCGAAGTCGGGAGAGCTTCAGAAGAGATGCTTGTCGAGGGTCGTAGAGCGACGCCGTACGACGCCCTGGCGGAGCAAAGTAAGAGTCCTTCTGAGCAGACGACCCAAGTAACGGAGTTCTGTCATCCGCCTTTCCTATAAACCCGTTTTGGTTGCGGTTGTTGATCGGCGGGGGTTCGCGATGTAGGTTGTCGGCAGCCGAGTGAAAGGTGATTGCGCCGCTCCAAATAGCCTCGAGCTGTTGGACGACCAGCGGATGCGCAAGCAAATGCTTAGCGGAGGCTCGAATTGCAACTTCAAGAGTTGATGTTCGAGATGCAATCAAGGGCAGTCCATTGGCCGGTGGTGATTTCCGTGGAGAGGTAGGTATTTGCGATCCAGGGAGACCTTGAAGAGGGTAAAATCCATAGGCCAGGGCATCAATGAGCTCCCGGGTATTGTACTCTTTTAGAAGTTTGAGAGTCAGCAATTCGCAAACCTTGGCACGAGTGCTACTTATGCCTGCATTGCCTGGATAGCGTGCACCCTCCTTGGTAAACTGAAGGCAGTTGATCATGAGAGCATACAGAGTTGCACGACTGAAGTGCTGAGCGCGAATCTGTTGTTGCATAGGTTTGACAAGGAATTGGGAAACTTGGGGCGATCGAAGCTGGTCCCATGATAACGTTGTTTCGGTTCGCGTTGAAATGATAACTCGAATAGCGTGTGTTATGCTATACACTGGTAGAGAGTCTGTATAAGTCATGTTAGTACAAATTCAGCCAGACCCTATAACTTTGCGAGTGGTATAAGAAAAGAACAGCACGCACCCAAATGAGAAGCAGAGAACAGCGGCAGAACAGGGAGACCACTCCGTCGTCCATCTTCGTTCATTCCGTTCCCATCTCCGTCGTTGTCGTCTTCGTCGTCCTCATCGCCATCGTTATTCGTACGCCGGTCATTACTTCGATAACGCCTCAAGCCTTCGTCGTGGGTAAAATCAGCATCGTCGTCATCGGCCTCGGTGAAATCGGCCGTTGCATGTCGTTCCAAGGTATAGCGTCGTCTCGCAGGGCCTGGAGAAGGAGAAGCACTTGTGTTCTGGCGACGATCGATTCGATTGGGGCCAGCCCTGGGGCGTCGCAGCAGAGAGGGAAACATTGGTCAGTGATTCGGTAACTTGGGAGCAAGCTTTCGCCTTGCTTGATGTCGACTCAACGCGCCATGAAGGGGAGCAGCGCGGAGTATACAGAACGGTAGAGGTTGAGGTTGAGGTTGATAGGTGCTTAGAGAGGGAGGAAGAGGGTCTCTGCAACGAGTGTTGGGGGAATACCAGGGATGATAAAAGCAAAGAGAAAAATCAAACAACAAAATCCGTTGCCGGAGTCGAGTTCTACAATCTTGGTAGTTAGGGAAGAAGAGGAAGAGGGTGTAGGAGCAAGATGTTCCTTGCCAATATCTGCTTGGCCCGGGGTCCAAGCTAACTGAGGCGACTGGAGACAAACTTCAAGGCCCGGGGCGCTGTCGCTACTGAGCCTTGGGTCCTTGGAGGACAGACGACGCTAAAGCAGGCGAGTATCACGTACCTATTCGCTTACTCCACAGCCAATAGATACATGGAAAGTCCCCTGAACGAACTAGAGGATTAGCGGCTCCAGGATCTTGAGGGTGTAACGCCAATGGACCAGGTTCTATTTGGACGGATGGCAGAGGTCCACTGAACGGTCGACTTACATGCGCTACTAGAGGGTGAAAAACCAAGGAAATTTATGGCTTGCGGGACTTGAGGACCATGTGAGGGATGGGAGGTTTCGTAGTGGCCGAAGTCAGGAGACGAAGAAAAACTTGTGTGTGTAACTCATGATAGTGGTGATGTCCATACTATTGCTGACAACAGACAGGATCCTGGGTTGCACTCTTTCAGCCTCAAAACGATGGTCACCAAGACAGGCAGATTTTTACTGACGACACAGGAACCTAGAGAAAAACAGGGAGGTGGATCACCAAATTGCTTGTCAAGGTCCCCTGTTAACTTACAGTAGATTTGCACCATCTGCAACTTTTTGGAGATGAAAGGGAAAAGCCATGGCCTGTTCTGACTCGCAGCGCCAAGGCTAGTCACTGCTGCAGTAGGACATCCATTGTTTATGGAGGGACGATCTGTAAAAGATCTTCAGAGGTTCAAGATAAGAGGCTGGCTGATGTCCATGTCCTGTCGCAGTCTGACCTCACTTTGTTCACCGACACAATTACGACCGAGGTTCCTTGACATACGTAGGATATGATGGTAATGATGGCGTAGTGTTGGCTCTGTGCTTTGCTGTGCTGTAGTTATTCGTCCTGCATCTTCCCTTGTGCATGTCGTCGCAATAAGCAACAACCTTGGCCTTTGGTTTGTTGATCCACTCATTCGTCTGTAAATAAACAGCCAGACCCGACCAGACGTCTCACCAGGAGCCCTGGTCCACTCCCTCTGTAACGAAAGACCGATCTCATGATCAGCAGACATTCGACCTTCTCTTCACCATCCACTCACTCCATCATGAGGAGACGAGACGAACCGAACAGGCATGCATGGTAATAATGTTTGTCTCTCTATTGTTGCGTTAGACAAACACAGACACAAGACAGCAGCGGCATTTGCATTCTTTTGACAGCATCTCATCAGAAGCCATCTCGATGCAATTACAGATGCAGTTAGTCTCCTCCAGGTTGAAATCCGGGGGGGCCAGAGTCAGACACCAATGAACCCCTTGCGATAGCCTCGTTGCACTATCGCAATCCCCTCACACTCATCCCGAGCGAACACAAACTACGGACCAATGTCACGCAGATCTCGACCAACTAACTCAAAGTAACCGAAAATATTCTCCATGTTCATGCTTTGCAACACGGAACCTCTTCCGGGCCATTTGGCCTGCAGAACAACCCCGGTTATGTATGTTTGCGTGAGCTCATCGCTTCATGAGATCAATCATTGCTCGACCCTAACCTCGACTGCTATCTGATAGGTCAGTTCCCGCACTGGCAGCAGAATGTATGCAGCTTGCAACAGTTCAGGGTGGTATCACTGCGGCCATATGTCGATTCCCCCACGCCCGACTACTTCACCGCCGTAACAGACGCATGTGGGGATGGTCTTCATACGAGAAATGGATTTCTTCTCCTCTTCTCCTTCTCACCTGATCAATTGCATCTTCCTATTTCGGATCCGAGTGCTTCCAACGACTTCGGAGGGAGGAAGTCTGGAACACGATCTATCTAGTAATCAAGCCACACCGCTGCAATGAGTAGTGGACGATAGTACGAGTGATATTATTCTCAAGGAGGAGTACACAATACATTGTTTAATGGATCGGAGTATCTGCCCTTCATCGCAAAATGAAGCTTGCGTGTAGCCATTCTGTCCGGTTGATTCTGATGCTCTTGCCAGACCTAACCTGTAGCAGCAGATATGTGATTGATTGATTGTCTCACCACTCCCTCACGCCTTGACGGAAACGACATGATTCAAGCCTCCTTCGCCTAGGTGCTGGAGGTAACCAACAAGACAGCCTCTCATTCGGAGTTGAATATCCGACTTGACTGAACACAGAACCTTTCACATCAAGCTGGCGAGCAAGGGCGCTTCTTTTGATACGTCGCTCGGATCTTTTGTTGACTACACGATATGGATAGACTAAAGAAGTGCGAGATAACCGAAAGACTACTTTAGCGTTCATCATTGCAGCATGGACCTGCATTATTCTTAAGCATGATGCAATTATAGGAGAATAGGAGCCTGGTCGATACACATGTGTAATAAAGTATAATCATGCTTACTTAATACTCTTTGATCGGCGACTCGAGATATAACCTTGTTCACTGGTAGGGAGATATCTACCCTGAATAGTTCTGTAGAAATTATTGCTTCTGATATCCACTGCCCACATTGCTTTTTCTATCAGTCATGCCCAGGTACTATAGTACTGGCCAATTGTCTTGGGACATTAATGGTTCGTAAACGAAACGTTGCATTCGTCGATTTCAACAACTTGGACCCATGTTTCGAGACGTCCCAGGTATTCGGATACCGTTTGGAGTCATAATGAGCCCCGCATGCAACGGCAAGACAGCAACTTTATTGTATCAAAGACGATGCGAGTTGATGAATATGATTTTGCGCATCCGGATTTAAAGTCATCTATTTCGTTGAGACATCTGCAATGGCCGACTGTGACAGCTGGCTGTACCAATGACAGTTCCCTGTGAGACACCTGTTGCTCCGCTTTGGGAACAACGTGGCTGATGCTCTTATAGGTATGGTAACAGATATATACGTTTTCAACAGGAGGTGCATAAAGGAGAGCGGTGGAAGCGGTCTCAAGGATAGAACGAGAGATCTTTCTAAAACACATATAATCCTCCAAAGCCTTCCTCTTTCTGGGTAACGATGACTCCGACGCGACTGTCCTTGATACTCCTAAACGGGGGAAGCCTACAACTACCTGTCTTCGCCAGATGGACACAGAAACAAGGGTCCGACTTTGGCTAAATGCTTACCACGAACAACAACATGGCGGTTCCATGATGGAAAACACAGGGTCTACTCAAAGGACACAGACGACGCCCAATTGCAAGCCACCAGCATCTGATCAGCAGCCAATATCCAATAATGCCATTCATACATCTGAAAGCGTTACCAACGATGATTCTCCAATAGAAGAAGAAGAACTTTCGGAGAACATCAACCATCACCTCTCTTCACATTCCATCCTTCGACCAGCCCAAAGCCTTTTAATACGCTATCTTCGGGACCAAGCCGACATCAAATCGACTCGCTCAAGCCCCTCGCTTGACGTTATTGCGGAACTACCCTCAATGCTCTTCAGCACTTTACCACTCTTAATTTCGATTTGGACCTTGACCAGCTACTGCTGGATTCCACTATGCGGGTTGATGATATGGGAGCGTATGGGGTCTGATGTCATATACGAGTTCTTGTGCCGGATCTTGCAAGCATTTGGATGGTTGAGAGAGGTTATGAGAGGGACATATGAGATTGCCACTGTGATGAATAGCTCTGTCGGTATGTCGAAAGGAGCTCGGCGAGTACTGCCGTGGGCAGATGAGCAGATGAATGACGAGGTAGCGCTGGAGAGCCTTCTATACCCTCACTGTGGGAGCCTCTAGCCTGAGGACGGATAGTCAGGATACGATTTGAAGGAATGACGAACGATACAATGTACACAACGAATATCACACCCTACGTAATGCGCTGCGATTAGCAAAAGGATATCATGAATAAAGTAATTGCCACAAAGCATGGCACCGACCGGCATCTGAATACCCGAATTAATCCACTTGACAAGAAATCAAATCGACCACGAAGGAAGGATATACTGTAATTAGTTAGCATTCAATCGTAGTACCGGTTCACCTTATGTCTTTGATGCCTTGGCTGTGCACATCCCGCACCTCCAATTGCCTAGTAAGCTAATCAGAAGCTTGATGAATGAAAATAGATACTTTCTATCCTAGGATCTTACTAAGAAACCTAAGTATTTATGGTTATATAATGAACGATAGAGGTGCAAGATGTGTATAGCCTGGGCCATCAAAGACATAATGATTACAGGAGTTGAAGGTAGCAATGCTCTTCATGAGTAAAGGAACTGGAGGAAAAGCTCCAGAACAACTCTTAACCTGATCATCTCATTCCAGAAATAAGAACGGACTGTAATTAGCGAGGCAGATCGTTGAAAGTTTAAAAAGGCCGTAAACCTTGATCAAGATGTGTTAGTGTGAGGCCTCAATCTATTGGACGATGAGATGGATGGCTGTCATTCATTGATCGATCAGGGTCTCAGGGATGGGCTGCAAGGCACCCGGAAACGTGCATTACAGTAAAAAGCCACAACCGACGCCTTCAGCTCGTGCATGTCCGTAGAAAGACAGTATGGACAAGGCATGACTTAACCATTGACTGGTCACCGGCTAAGGCACTGACGTTGTTAGTGAGGTCCGTGTTTTGGCCAAGTAAAGTTATGGATCTGATGGATATCGCTGGAGTCAACAAACAGCCCATTCCCCTTCACGTTGGGTATGAAAGCTGTTGCAAGAGTTTCATCACCTTGACAACAAAATACCTAATCGAGAGGACTATCTATAGCGGCTAAAACATTGTATGTATTGCAGTGGCTCGGTGTTTTAGATCGTTAACGATATCGGTGACACCTTCAAAGACCTTTGTTCACTCATTGACTTTGATTGTTCCAGACGCGTCCGCGGTATAGGTACAGTAGTAATAGCTGAGATTAAAAAGAACGGAACTCATTCATGCTTCCCGTCTACGGCATGGCGGTCACCGTCCATCCCCAGTCTAAACCCCCGGACAGCCGTCCAGTCCAGTCACATCCAGTGCCCAGTTAGAAGCCAGTGAAGGCGCTTGACCGGCCCTGGAGCGGATCGTCAAAAACGACATTGACGAATGAGCGAAATGAAGCGGGTCCATGTTCACGCACCGTGACTGGCTGTATCCTGCAAGTCAGGTCAATGCACCCGCCTTCGGTTCAGTTCAGTGCAAATCTCACCTTCTAGGGCAGCCTGCAGCAGGTACCTACAGCAGGTACCTTACCTAAAAGACTAAATCGAACCAACTACTGCGCGCTGCACCTGCAAGGGTCCAGATTATGGATTGGGATGGGCTACCCCTGGCTGGCTTCAACTTCCTACCGGGAGAATTGGAGGTGAAGAACAATCCATATCAACCTTGAAATCTCCACCGCCAGCCTCGTTCGATTGTTGGGATTCTTTGTCTTTCTGTTCTGCGCGTGCTTCATCCGTTACTCCATTGCCACTCCATCCTGTGCCCTTCACTGCCCGCTACGGTAAGCAATTAGCTTGCCCTTAAAGTTTGGCCTGGATTCCATCCAAATCCGAAAATCAACAAATCGCCCCTAGGAGTTCCGTTTCAGCTTCTGGGACCACCCCTCGATGTGCCAACCTAGACGAACCTGAGTTTTTTCGACAGGCTGGTCCCTTCTTCGACCTCTAAACTTGTTTTTCGAACCTGTTATCACTGTTCTATTGTGTTTTCGATATACACAAAACCGACCAACACGCCACAGGAGACCACAGTCTCGCCTGTCGTTGTCACGACCAATTCCTGTCTGTACGCTGGCGCTGGATCGTGTCTCTCTTAGTTTCAGGACTCTCCCATAGCTCTCCACCTACTTGACGGGCCGGTATGGACGCCCAAGTCAGAGAGAGCCTCCATGAGCCTCTCCCTTTAACCCCGTCTAGCGAACGAGACTCCATGATGGCACGAGACTCAGCTCCCGAGACCCCCAAGATGGCCCACGATTCTTTGGTTACCGTTCGTCTCTCTGAACCGGATCCTATAGTCCTCGATTCGCCCATAGCCAACTCGGTCACCGATACAGATCAAACGACACCGACCAAAGACCCAGTCGACGACCTTGTCGAGATTCCCGTATCTCCTTTATCACCCAAGCTTAGCGTGTTAGTGAACGATAAGGACGAGATCTTGGACACCGAATCAAATACTGTGATCAAGGAAGAGGCCATCGACACCGAAGCCCTGCGGTCATCAATAGCAAATATGCCACCACCAATTCTTACAACACGGTCATTACAAGACGAGTTGGCTGATGATGGCAACTCATCAGACGATCAAGACGAGGTGAACTGGGAGCAGCTTGAGCAAAAGGAAGATGAGCAAACCAAGGATGAGGAAACAGACAATGTGAGTTTGCGATCTGCGAATCTCGCATCGACAGATGCTAACATGCGTAGTCTACGGCGTTGTTATTGGCCCGACTTGAACAAGAGAATGCAAAGCTGGCTACGAACCCGAAAAGCGTCAAAGTCCAAGGCGTTGACCGTGCCACTGCTGAACGTAGTGCAGTCAGCAGGCCCCGTCCACCTTCGATGGCACAGCTTCGCCAAATGGTTCAAGGACCGACGCCGCCTGCTCTACGATATTCGATGCTTCCTCCTCCACCCATGACAGACCTTGAATTTTATGCCGCTCTCGTTAAAGACTACCAACAAACCGCCGCCCGCCTCCCGACTCTTCTCTCAAATAAGATCCGTAAAGGTATCCCGCCGCCACTGCGCGGTGTGGTTTGGCAGAGCATGTCGGGGGCCCGAGATGCTCACTTGGAAGAACAGTTTGATCGTTTCTGCGGCGAGACTAGTCCTTACGAAGTCATAATTGGCAAAGACTTAGGAAGGAGTTTCCCAGGAGTAGACATGTTCCGCGATCCAGAGGGTGATGGACAACGTATGCTTGGCCGCGTCCTCAAGTGCTTCAGTCTCTACGACACCAAGATTGGCTATTGTCAGGGACTGGCCTTTTTGGTCGGCCCATTGCTGATGCATATGCCCGACAAGCAGGCATTCTGTGTTTTGGTTCGGTGAGTTTACCAATTTCCCTCCCTAATCTTGTCCACTGTGGCGTCGACTAACAAACAATCTCAGCCTCATGGAGCAGTACGATCTAAGGGCGTGTTTCCTCCCTGATCTCTCAGGTCTCCACGTACGCATTTTCCAATTCAAGGAGTTGTTGCGTCAAAGTCTCCCGGTTATATCGAATCACCTTGATGAGCTACAAGTTGACCCTGCCTATGTCTCTCAATGGTTTCTCAGCTTTTTCGCTGTGACTTGTCCCTTGCCTATGTTGTTTCGCATATACGATGTGATATTCGCTGAGGGTGCTTCAGAGACATTGATGCGAGTCGCGCTATCCCTAATGAGGAAGAACGAGGGGCGTCTATTGGCTTGCACTGAGATGGAAGATGTGATGCAGCTTCTTTTATCTCGTGGCCTTTGGGATTGCTACCATTACAACGCAGATGAGTTTGTGCAGGACTTTGTCGGATTGACGGGTGCTGTCACAGCCGAGAACATGCAACATCTTGAGCAGAGCTACCGAGACTCTAAAACGGCCGCTTCAAACCCCGTGAGAGGCTCCGAAATAACTACCGCAGCTAGCCGTTTTCTGGGTCGCATATGGGCATCAAACAACAATAAATCCTCAAACCTTAGCCCTGGTACTAGCGCACCCGCACGACCCTCGAGTATGCTGCGACGCAGTGCGTCAAAGCAGAGCCTCGCATCAACTTTGAATTCAATGGAAGCCAGTTCTGCGAGCGTAACCAGTTCAACTTCCACAGATGCTACTACAATGTCTAGAGATTCTTCCAATACCGAAGACGCACGCGATTCAACCCCAGTCGGTAACAAGACTACGGCGGCTCACAAGAATACGGACGAACGCAACTTGCATAGCCAGATTGAAGACCTCTTGACCGCTCTGAGCGAACTACAGCGCAATCATGCATTGCTATCGAACCAACTGCAACGAGAGCGCGAAGACCGGCAGGAAGATCGCAAGGCAGTTCAGTCGCTTCTCAACGGACTAAGACAGAAGGCCGATTCGACGTCGTCTCGATCCAGCAGTCCACAAGCTGTCGCTTCGCCTGACAAGGAAGATAGCTCAGCTGCCGATGAAGATGACTCTGCAACACTAAGCCCTAAGGAGTCTGCTGTGTCGAGTGACGACGAATCCCTTAAGGAAGACCCTAAAGAAGAATCTTCTAAAGACGAATCTCCTAAGGAAGAACCAACCCCTGCCGAAAACCTAGAAAGCCTACTCAACGACGTCGAACAGCGGTTCCAGGTCGAGGATGATAAACGTCGGTCATCAATGCTTGTTTCGAAATCGCAGCTGCAGGACGAGTTAAACTACGCCAAGAATCAGCTAGCTGCTGCCGCTTCGCAATCACAAGAACAGAGCCGCCAGATTTTGGATTTGACTCAAGAGATGGCGAACGTGAAGGAGCAGCTGCGGGAGAGCCATGCCCATGTTAGAGCGCTTCATCAGGATAAACAGCGACTCGAGAAACAGATACACGGGTTGAAGTCGCGAGTGTCGTCAGCCAGCTCAGCGCACGAGACAACTAAGGAAGTCGAGGTGGACAGAAGCAGCAAGACTGGAGCCGGTCTTCGAGAGTTCAAGCTCAACCGAAGCAAGACCACACCTCCACACCCGCCGCATCATCACGAACCAGACCCTATGCCAACTACTACAAGCAAGTTCAACAAGAGACTGTCGTCGTTGCCCAGGAACCACGAAACGAACGTACCAACGGTGACAACAACAGGACCCGCGCCTTCTCAGAGCGAACATGAAGCATTGCTAGCGGAGTTGGTACAGGCGAAAACGGCAGAGGCGGTAGCCAAACAAGAGGCCGAGGAAGCTCGACAGAAGCTCGAGTCGTTGCGCAAGTCCCATGGATTGAGCCGATCGGTATCAGGCCACACACCGTCGACATCGCAATCTGGACCTGCGGGAGTTTTCAGCTTGCTTACCGGTCATGGCGCACCCGCTACGAACGATGTCACAGTGAAGCCGGCGTCGACAACTGCCGGATCCCCAGGATCTGGAGGAAGTTTCTGGGGTTGGCGAAGATAAAGAGGCGTTTGGTATTGGGCTGATTTTCAACGAGCATTGGGTCATATTTACGATAGGGTCACACGGCATGACCCGGCATGGAAGTTGTCGATTCTTTGTACATATTTGGGAAGCATGAGACTTTGCGAGTGGAGCGTTTTTGTTGGGAGGCTACAGCGAGAAGCTCCGGGACTTTACTGTTTTGTGCTGGGCTAGACGTGCCCCTCATGGTTGTTTCTTCCTTGTTTTCATATGTGCCACCAATGGCGCTATCACTGTCGTCATATGTCACGGCGTTTGTTTACTTAGCACGGGAGTTGGAGTCAAAAGATGGTGCTGCTTGTTTGGCAGCTTCTGTGGAGAATTTTAAGAATGCCGCACAATCGCGGAATGATAGATATATATAAGTCTATATAATGGAAAAGACCATTTATATTCCTACATGCTCTTTCTTGTCATCCTTGAGACTTGGCTGCCGACGCTGTTGGATCGAGGCTAAAAGCAAACCGTGGATCATATTGGTACGTACTGTTGATGTGCATGATCAGCCGGTTTGATATGACCTTGATCGGTGTCAAGAAGCATCTGAGTGGAAAGATGTTTCGATGAAACCAGACTTGAGTCTCGTAATAGTGACAGGTTCATGCTGCAGTACCTATGCTATATCCGTAAAGTAATGCATAATTTATTCGTCTCCTATTTGTGGACGGGTAGATTATTATTAATAATCCTGATGCTACATCATGGTGGTGGTGGTTCATGATAAGAAGATAGGCCTGTGCTCTTTGAGTTAGAGCGCTGAAAACCATCCATGTCAGCTTGGAGCCCAGATAAAGAACCCCCCTTTTTAGTGTGACTTTCACATGCATTGGAAACCTAACCTAAGTGACCAGATCATCACGTCAAAGCAAGCATCATTTATTGGTTTCATGCAGCTCTGCGGACCATTACATCAACGGGGTAAGAATAGGCTGTGCTTGAAACAGCAAACTGTCGTCTGCCACAATCTTGGTTCTAAGCTCTTCCTTTTAGTCCACTGTATAGAGCTGAGCCTGGAATGTTGTCTTTACAGTGCTCTATGACGGGATTAACCTTGTCTGGTTCAAGGGCTGCTCAGGAAGGCTCGGGAGGTTTTTTGGCAGAGAATGCCCTAGGTGACCTTGGTGGTACCTGCAGATGACGCCTTGTGGAGAGTGCGACAGAGGTATCTCATAGGTCTAGACTTTGCGTAGCACTGCGTCATCCTGACCTGGAGCTAGAGAGAGCTCCACTGGCGGGCATCATGGATGATGGATTGGATCCAAGCTCCATCTTGCAGCTTTCGTTTTGGCAGCCTATGGAACAGAGAACAAAGAGCCTACCAAAACTCACTGTATGATACTGTCGATGGGTGCTGTTAGACGTCGGTCCACACAAAATAATACTTTAGAATTGCTGAGCAGATCAACCGGATCAAATCAAATCTCGGTAGGGATGCTACAGTGTATGGATAATACGTGGGGTACACCAATTTAGGTACAGTGCAGTCAGTCAATCAGTGAATGGAAGACAGAGAAGCCAGGTCTAGATTTTTCCTGATTTTTGTAGCAGGCGTCACTGTCGTCACTGTGTCCCGTCTGGTGTTTGGCCCCTCCAAAACGAGAAGCCTCCTTCCTGTACAAACGTCATTCTTCAGCTCTTGTCTCCCTCTCCTACAAACTTAATTCCTTGCTCTTTCTTTCCCATCCTCTCATCATCACCTTCAAACTACAAACAAAACCTCCCAGACTTTTTTATCTCTTCATTTCCGGCGAGATACAACCCTCCTCTTCACCTCATACCATCGCACAAGGTAGCAGCACTCTTCAGGTACGTTTCACATGCTATCCCCATATCCTGGACCTCGTCCTGCGACGGGGCTACTCGTTTCGCTTGACATGCCCATTTCTCTCACACGACCACTCACCTCGCTCCCCCGACTGGACCGCCCCTTAAGTCTACCTTAGTTCTTCGGCTGGTCAGACAGAACGGACAACGGTGCAGTTTGTTGCGTTGCGCTGCGTCCGTAGGCCCAGAGACGGGACCGGAGCGAGCGAGGTAGTGGTATTTAGAAAGAGAGAGATAGCTGTTGTATGGAGCAGCGTGGTAGCTCAGAGCAGCATCCCTTGTCGCTTTTTTCCCTTACCTGGCTTTAAGCATCTTTCCAAAATTTCTCTGGCCACCTTTACTCACGCCGCTTTTCGTTTTCTACAGAACATATTCTCTCGAACCACCTCCCGTACACCTCAACGACGGTACTTTCGCAAGCGCACCACTTCTCAACTCACGCAATCTTCAAGCCAAATCGTCGAAATGGCTGATTCCTCTGTGGCCGCCAACGGCAACTCTCTTCTTGAGACCACAAAGACCAGTGAGGTACGTTATCGCTATCCGAAATCGCTGCCCTTTCCCAGGACATTCTGGACAGATATGCTAACCGCACCGTACAGTATCTTCTTGAGATTTGGGCGTATAAGCTACGCTGCTCGTTACGACCTGATCTAGAACAAAACAACTGACTTTATTCCCAGACGCCGCCGCCGCGTACCAATCTGTTGCCAATGGTATGGAACACCGCCAGAAAATTCACACTATTTGGCTTATTGCTAACACTGGAACTCAGGCCCCGTTGCTCAGAATGTCTACGACCACACTCAGAAGGCTTCCAACGAGTTGTCCAACCTCGCTGCTTCCCGACGCACTCCTGCGACTCCCGCTGCCACTGGTCAGCCTCTGACTCACTACCACTCCTTCTTCTCCGAGCTCCTGTCATGGAACAACCCTCGTAAGTCAATATTTGTTCTTACCACAATGAGCTTGAGCTGACGTCAATGACGCAATAGGCGCATCTGCCATCGCATACGGTACTATTATCTCTGCTATTTTCGCAGCCCGCTACTTGGATGTTCTCCGATGGACCCTCAAGACTTCGTGGATGGTCCTTGGTGTAACCATCCTCGCTGAGGTCCTCGGCAAGGTCGTCCTTAACAACGGTCTGGCCACCCAGGTTCGCCCTCGACGATACTACACAGTTCCCCGTGAGACTCTGGACGCCCTTATTGGGGACGTTCACGAGCTCATTAACTTCTTCGTCATTGAGGCTCAGCGAATCATCTTTGCCGAGAACGTCGCTGCTTCCGCCGCCGTAAGTCTTAACAAACAATCAGATTAGTTGGTGATATTAACAGTCAGTAGGCTTTCGTTTCTGCTTTCATCTCTTACTACCTTGTTAAGCTCGTTCCCCTCTGGGGACTTGCCCTCATTGGTACTACCGTTGCCTTTGTTGTGCCTTTGATCTACACCTCTAACCAGGAGCTCATCGATGAGCAAATTCACCACGCTTCCGAGCTCATCAACACCCAGACTGCCCAGATCCAGAGCGTTGCTTCCAAGCAGATGGAGCAGGTTTCCAACATCAGCAAGCAGTACGTCGGCGACTACAGCGGCAAGGTCCAGGACCTCCTCCAGGGAAAGACTCCTTCTCGCCAGAAGATCGACATGCCTCAAAACTCTAACTCTGCTATCCCCGCTAAGCAGCCTCAGTTTCCCACTGCTCCCACTGACGAGCCCATTAAGGCAGACCCTCCTCAGATCCCCACTCCTGCCGCTTTGAGGGAGGAGCTGAAGGAGCCTACCGCTATCGATACCGCTGCCCCTGAGCTCCCCCAAGAGGATGTTGTCCCCGCCAAGGAGCCCATGCTCGCTTCCTAAACGACATATCGAAGCATGTGCCATGTGTACACGAACTGAGAGAGGCATAACTGGCCTAGGTTAAACAATGTGTTTTTACAGCATTTTGGGGCGTATGTCTTTCCTTAAACCGGGAGCAAAGGATTGTCAGATTGGACCTGGGCGTGAATTGGTTTTTCTTTGGGAGCATTCCTTAACACGCAATGCGACGACAAATGACTCTAGTTGACGTTGACGAAAGGCGACTAAAATACGGATGGACCGAACAGATGCTTGTTTCTGAGAGAGGGTTTCAAGAAGAACCCTTGATTAATGCGTCGGAGGATGGATCCCAGCATCTGGTTCGTGGATTGCTTTTGTACGTTTGTGTTTCGAGGATAGGTGTTTAGGATTGTTACTGTGTAGCTTGCGGAAAGGAAGTGCCATTGGTGCTTGGCCTTTTTATTAACGCGCACTATTTCAACTTTATTATGGTTATTATTATTCTGTTCGTCAAGTTTGATATCACTGTGAGGGCAAATTGAAGCTCGAGATTTCCAAATAGTATTTTGCTATGTCAAGCAATTATTTAAACTTGTTTTATGCAGTATGATTGATCTTTTAATTCTCGGAACGCCAACCCAACAAGGTATACATCTATCACTTTTCGAACCATCCTCCACGTAGTGTAGGTAACCAAGACAGATAGTTTCTTCTCTTTATTTCCTGCGCTTGCCACCACCTCCATCCTCGGCAGAAGCACGCTTGCGACCGTTCTTGCGCCAGAAGTCCTTGGATTCCTTCTTCTCACGAGCCTCCTTCTTCTCCTCGTTCTCAGCCAGCTTCTTCTGGAAAGCAGCACGGTTCTTGTCCTTTGCAGCACGACGCTTGGCAGCGGCGTCGTTGCGGATAGTGAGCAGCTGCTGCATGAGAGCACGTGCTTTCTTCTCCTCAGAACCAGGAGCCATGACGACAGCGCGCTTCTTCATGTACGTATCATTCTTCTGCTTCCTGGTCTCAACGATCTGAGACTTGAAAGGCAGTTCGGCAGCAAGAGCGCGAGGAACGCGCAGAGGGTTGAAGTGACGAGTCTCACGCTCAATGGTACGGTACTGGCTGTTCTTGGGCTGGGGAGTAGGAACGTTTTGATCGCGGCGGACCTCGCCTGTGAGACGCATGGGTTGCCAGCCGATCAGGTTGGTGACCGGGTTGTAGAAGCGGTGAGGCTTGATGGGGTACCATGCTCGCAGGAAGACGATGTCACTAAGCAGGATCTTGTCTTCGAACGTGGCACGGAACTGGCCTTCGGGCTTGGAAAGGGCACGCTTGATCTGACCACGAATACCAGAAACCGTCTTGATAGAGGCACCTTCGAACTTGGCGATTTCAAGCGATGAGTTGAACATGTCCTTGATAAAAGCGGTGTTCTTGTAGATCTTGGCAGGGGTACCAGTGAGCTTGAGCTTCTTGACAATCTCGGTGGATTCGTCGACGCTGAGGATTGTGCCAGTAGCAGCGATACGGAAGCCAGGCATCGAAGAGGACATTGAGTTAAAGCAGACGAAGCCTGTGTTGGGTGCAATCAACGGACCGTAGACGGTAGCGAAGCAGTGCATATGTTCAGGCGTATACTTCAGCATGCGGTTACGCGTCCGCGAGTCTGTGGTGCTGTAAATGGGCATGGTCTGGAAGCGACGCCAGCCGAGAGAGAAGATGAGGGGGTCGTTCGTCTTGAGGATACGCTTGTGCCATCGATGACGCTTGATGCGAACCTGTAGATAGCCGAAACGATCTTCAGTAGCGGAGAGACCACCGACAACGATGGGTCGGCGGGCGTCGAAGAGCTTAACGAACTCGGCTGGAACGCCCTCGAGGACGACCTTGGCGTATTTGCCAGCGCGGTAACCCTCAACGACAGAGCGCTGACGCTCATCGAGGTTCTCAAACTCCTCCTTGTTGATGTCGAGCTGCTTCTGGATCATAGCCTTTTGCGCCTCGTACCAATCATCCTCGCCAAACTCTTGGATATCACCGCCATCCCGTCGGGCGTTGGCCTTGTCGTTCAGGAAACCCTCACGATCTTCCTCTTCGAATCTCATCTTGAGCTCTTCCTTTCGCTTAGCGTTCTTCTCTCGCTCAGCCTCGATATCGTCAGGGGTTGGCTGTGCGGGTTGCGCTGGCTTCTCATCGCCGTCGGCTTCAAGATCCTCAAATTCGCCATCACCTTCATCGTCCTCATCATCCAAGCCCTCGAATTCACTGCCTTCGTCATCCTCGTCATCGCCTGCAGCAAGGGCTGTTGATGTGAACTTTCGCCGTAAAGCTTCAACGTTCTTCTCTGAAGCCCACTTTGCAGCTAGATCCTCGTAATCATAAGCGGGTATTGACCTATCCTCCACAGCGTCTTCCTTCTCTTGCTTGGACTTCTTGAAGAAATCGTCGTCATCTTCATCATCCTCGATGTTCTCCTCTTCAGACTCATCCTCATCGCCCTTCCATCGCTTCAGGGCATCTTCGGGGCTCAGTGAATCGTCGTACATGAATCTAGCCAGGTCGCTTGTGTGGTATGAGCGTCTCTTGCCGTGGAGCTTCATCGCAGTGCCGTTCAAGTTGTCTTTCCATCTCAACGCTGCTGCTTCTTCGTCGGAATCGTACTCTTCATCATCCTCCACCTCGTCCTCTCCAGACAAGGCTCCAAGATCCGAATCACTGTCGGCAAAAGCAAGGTCGTCGTCACCAAGGTCCTTGTCAGCATCTTTGCGGAACATCTTGCCCAGCTTGCCCTCGTTAAACTCGACTTCGGCATCGGAGTCGGCCTCGTCGTCATCGCTGGCAAGACCTTCGCCATCATCGTATTGGTCGTCAGCATCTTCTTGCTGTGCGAATCTGGCTTTTCGCTGCGTTTTTCTGCCTGTGTCCTCCTCTTCAGGGACTGCCTCGACCTTCTCGCCACCCTTGAAAAGCTGAACACCGCCCTCCATCTGTCCAAGAAGCTTTCGCTCAGCCTGGAGACCAACGATCATCTCTTCTCCCTCTCCTCGATCAGCGTCGTCCTCATCCTGGTCAAAGCTGAAGCCCTTCTCGTTTGTAATCCAGATAGCATCACCGTCGATTTTGAGACCGCTGCGATCTGACATAGGCGCATGGAGCTTCTTCTCCTTCTCATCAAGTCGTCTTCGTCCAGTCTTTCCTGTAATCTTGGCCATTGCTTGCTCCATGTTTGGTGTTGGACAAGGATCTGGCATAACCTCCATATTGGACACTGTGAAGTCTCCTAGGCCAGGAACATGGACTCTTTGGTCCTGGGAAGCGAAATTTGTACCTCGTAAATACCCAGATAGTACAATTGATCGGTCGCAGTTGGGATCCTCCTCGATCTTGGTGGGGTGTGTGATATCTCGGAAGCTGTCGATGATGGAGTAAGGGTGGGAGTTGCGCCAGACGAGAGGGCGAGGGTTCTTCATAACAGAAAGGAAACGCGACAAGTTATGGATTTCTCGGTCAGGGTATCGGCCGTTCATGACACCGGAAAGGTAGAAGAGATGAGCACCCTGGTACAACTCCGTCCAAAGTCGCCTCTTGAGTCTCTTCTTGGCGTCCTTGAGTGCCTGCGGCTTGCGGAAGAGATCGAGATGAGTCAGGATACCAAAGACGTTACCAGGCATACCAGTAGCGGCAAGGATGTTGAGAAACTCCATAGTCTCCATCTCAAAGCCAAAGTTTCCATCAATCATCAGGAGGACGATGTCGGCAACCTTTGCGATGTCGACCATAGCCTCGAGCTCGTTGGGGCACTCGACGAAGGTCAATCGTTGCTTCTTGGATGTAACAACCGTAACGGGACCCTGAGGGTCAGATATCGTCTCTTTGGCATATCGTCGAATGAGCGACTTCATCAAAGTCGTCTTTCCTACACCGGGGGGGCCAACGATGGTAACAAGGCGAGGAGGGGCCTCATCGGGCAATCGGTCGACGAGCGGGACATGAAGACGCTTCTCTTTGATCTATTGATAATAGTTAGAATTGCAGAGCTATGCAGGAAGGCAGTGAGAAGGAATTTACATCTTGCGATCTAGCTGCTTGTCTTTGAAGCTTGCCTGGTCTAGCAAAGGAAAATGCCTTTGGATTGCGCTCTGCTGGATCGTTAGTATGCGCCTGTCGCAAAAGAGAAGTATAGAACACAATAACTCACCTCCAGTATGCTCTTTCTTGTCCTTTTTGTCCTTGTTGGACTTGCGATGCGGCTTGTGGACTTGGTCCTCCATGTTTGCGTGCTGCGTCTTCACCAACTTCGAAGAACCATCAACTAAACTAGCATGGCCTGTCGCCTCGACTTCCAAAAATTTAGAAAATTTGTCCGATAAGCAGTCGCGCTACTGGAGACCGCTTATCGATAAGATCCATAAAACCACGAGCAGGTGGGGATCATGCGCCACAGCTTGTGCCTGAGCCACATGTGGCTTTCATCGGTCGTCCTGAACTCCAAGATCTTTGTCCCTTCTTGGTAACTGCCCGTTTGAGTATAGATCTTTCGGCTGTCAAGCGTGCAGGATTAACGCGTGGCTACACACTCGGCAGTGACGCATTCTTAATACCTAATTGCTCCTCCGAATGACTCAAACTAATTGTTCGAACAGGTCTCGGCGAGAGCTTTTCAACTTAGTCTCAGTCTACATAGTCATACGCGGCCAAATGACGACCATCAAACGTCTCATCAACATTCAGAATTGCTTGATCAATCACATATGATGCGACTTATTGAAGAGATACACGATGATGGTGTTGTGGAATAACGCATTGGCTACAGACTTTGTCAACTTCTGCATATACCTAGTATCTATGTACCTAGTTGCAGGAACATGTCAATTAAGCGAAATCTTCTACAATAACACGAAAGGGTTTAAGTTCTTGTTGTCAAGCGGAGTGAGCCCCTGGCCTATTCCCAAGCTGAGAAGACAGACGAGGTTCATTTTGGAATCTGCTGTACCCCGGCTGACCAATACCAATTGCATGCTAACTATCCGTATTACTCAAAGCGTTGCAATGAGAAGGAGGGTAGTATCCAGTATGCAAGCTTGTCTTGTCAGATTGCACCCCAACGCGTAGGCTATTCTACTAACCTCTGCAGCATGAGACTATCACTTTGTTCACTCGTCAGCCCTAGTCAAAGGCAGAGTGGCTTTCGTCATGAGTCACGCAATTATTGGATACCTGGATACGCAAGACTACTGTTGGTGGTGGTTGTCTGCGTGAGAGCAGCGGGTATTAGCACGTCTTATACAGGACAATGTCTAGTCAAGAGATGTATAAAGCCTTGAGGGCGGCGCCTTGTGGACTTTATTCTCAGGCAGAAGCAGTCAACAGCTCTATACCAACAATACCAACTGTTAAGCTTAATATCCTAATATCAGCTTTGTTTGATACAACCAATCGCACATCACGAATCCCTTCATCCCTACCAAGATGTCCAACAACGCAGGCAGCAACGTTCCCACCGGCTCCAACTGTAAGCAGAACTTACAAGACCTTCTAGCACTAGACCTTGTACTAACAACCACCATAGTTCAGGTTGATGCTTCGAAATACGGCAGCTATAAGACTGCTGACCCTGAAACTGCATCCATCACGACGGTTTCCTCTTCAGCGCCGCTGGTCAAGAAGGATGAGCAAAAGCAGAAGAACGGAACAGAGGTCGATGCCAAGAAGCTTCAGGAGCAGGCTCTCAAGTCACAAATCCGATTCTGTATGTAGGAGGATTACATTGGACTTGCTGGACGACACTGATCCAGACAGCGAATTAGTAAAAGGGGGCTAGCGGGCACAAAGATGTGGCGGAAAGCGAGGGGTATCTTTTGGCTATATATGAGGGTTGCGATTGTTAAATAAACACCGATATTCGCTCTTTTGATTTGAAATTGATAGCACTAGAAGCTATCGTCGAGGATATCTTCATTCATCTTTACCATTGAAGGACTGTATTCAGATGAGTTCGGATCAGCCCCAGCGTCTATAAGGATATCGCCAACAATTCTCTGACTTGCTTCGCGTGCTGTAGATTAATGTTAGTAAGAGTTCCCTTTTCGCCAAGAACGTGAAAAGGCTTACCGGGTGTTTGAAGGAGTTTCGAGGGAGGAAAGGCGAATTGGATCGTCTTGGGTGGACTCATGCCAGCGTACAAATCGATATCCTCATCTCCCTCGTCACTATCCCAATTGATTTCGTATTTGTCTTTACCCTTGGCACTTTCATCAGTAGCAAACACATCGCGTGTCTTGCGAGCTGTTGCTGGTGTCTGTACACTGACACCCGGCGTGCGAGGACCCTGTGTTGCCGCTGCCAGACGTTGTCGGGCATTGCTCTTGTAGGGTGACATGAAGACCTCACTGCGCAAAGTCGGTACTGCCATCTCGGGAGAAGATCCAGGCGAGTCAGCCCAGGTTGATGTATCCTTCTTATCACTCTTTGGCTGAGCACTCTTGTGCGGCGAGATTCGTAGGGCGGGCTTGTGAGGAGTAGCCTGGATGCGATAGTTCTTGTCCAGAATTCGGTGCAGGAGTGGATCCTTGTGGGATTGGACGGATTGCTCGCCGGTCATGGTGTAATCGCGCTGGCCCTGCGGCGTCATTGACATATCGGGAAGTCTGGCGGTGTGCTGGGCGAACAAGACAGTTGAGTCTTCATTGTCGTCTAGAACAGTGGTGTTATTGCCGCCATGATCTTCGTCCTCCATTTCGCGCTTCATAACTTCATAGGGCGATTCCATGTCGGAGAATCGAGTCTTTGTCCTTCCGGGTCTAGGTGTGCTTCCTGAGAGCTCTGCGTCGTCAAGCATGGAATCCTCTGCGTGGAAGGTGGATTGCTCAGCGCCTGTGGCAGTGGTGACATCTTCGTTGTGCTGGGTCGTGTAATCGTCCGTTATATCGTCTCTCATAGCTGTGCTCTCTTCCACATTTTCGCTCTCGTCATCGTTGGCAAGCTCCTCGTAGCCGGAGAGGGATACATTGGCCGAAGCCTCGAAGAATTGCTTCCAGAACTGTATATTGTTAGCACTGCTTGCCAATGAGAACGATCAAAAATACCTTTGAAGCTTCCCAGACAGCGCGAGAATGGTCGCCATACTGCTCTACGAGAGGCAGGATGCTTGTCGTTACTATGCGATGCGACTTGCTGAAGTTGCGATCGATTTCTTGAATAGCTGTCAGCGAGATACCTGTGAAAGAAAAGATGGGAATTTCCTTACCTTGAAGAGTTAGTGTAATCGACTGCTCGATTCTCTCGAGCTCTTCCGTCAGGGACAAGTTGCGCGCTGCTACGCTTTGTCGCGACATAGTGATATGAATTGAGTTGGGTAGGTTGCTATGATGATTTGTTTACAAACCCAGAGTGAAGTGTACCTACCATAAAACCAATGGGGCGCGTGGGGTTGGAGGGGCACGTCCCCTAAAACCAGTCATGTCTGGCGGGGTGCAACTTTAGAGCTCCAGGATCATGACCATGGGTCTTAGTCCAAGACTATTCGATGGGATATATATATAATTATTTTTTATTGTAATGTTTAGATCTATTTGAAACTCTAGTGTTTAGTATAATAGTCACTCATGTCCAACTTCATCAAAAGTTGTGCAACCATATGGTCCTCGCCAATGCCCTCCTGCTTTAATCCCAGATCATCTGATACCTTGTTACTCGTGGAACGACTCTTCTCTGTCAGAGCTCGGCAAACTGTGATGAAGATCTGTACTTTGGTCTTGAATTTCCCGTACAGACGTTGCATTTCTTTCATCTCCTCCCCATCTGGAGCTTGGTTCTTCCCTATAGCTTTCATCCGAGAAAACTTTGCATACTCTAGAACAGCAGAGAAGATCTCCTCAAGAAGGTTCAGTACAGGCTGCTGTCTCTTTCGAAGAAACAAAGACAGCATGATTCGATCTAATACTCTCGAATGGAACTCACGTAGTCGATCAGGGCTTTCAACTTTATCAGGGTTGCTCTTCGTATTAGAAGGGTTCTTCAAATCGGCCTCGATTTTGTCGAGTTTGGCCTCGAATGCTTGCCATGGGATAGCGACTCCAGCATCCATGAAGAAGGACGTAATGCCAGAAACAAAGTGATGCGCCTCACGGGTGAACCGGAATGAAATGTCCTCGGGATCAGCCCAACGACTAGTTCTGGCATTGACATCCCGGAACAGTTGATTCACAACGTAAACCATCCGCATAATCCTCAACAGGAGCTTGAAGATCCGATCGTACTGTGTCAAGATGACAGGAGTAATAATTCCCGATAATGCGGTGGGCGCTTTATATGATAGACGCAGAAAATCCAGAGCCTCCAAGGAGTCCGGGTTCATGCATTTGTCAATCTCCTCTTGCGATAGATCTCGTACCGCGAAACTCATGTCACCCGGCAACTCAGATGCGTCTCTTGAGATGCTGGTCATCCTGTTCACAGCGAAGTCGTTATCCGAATCAAAGCTCTCAGTCAGAACCCCCATGAGGGCTAGACGCAGCTCTGAGCTCGCTGGTGGCCAACTATCTCGACCACCCAGACGAAGACCCATGACACCTCCTTGCCGCGCAACTCCCGCTTGTCGTTCGGCTGATTCCAAATCGGGGTCGAACAAGGCGTGAGATAAGCGGCTAAGGAACATGCCACTCCCGAAGAGCTGAAAGTCGCGGTGCATCTTGAGGTGGCTACGCAAGTCGTGGTTGTTGAATAGTAACCGAAGACTTTCCTGGTTAACGACTTCTGATTGAGCTGAAGTAATGCCTCCAAATGAAAGCACCGGAAGAAGTGATGGATGGGGTGTGAAATCAAAGCCGCTAGTAGGAGGTTTGGACTTTCGGGTGACAGATTGTACCAGTCGTTCACGGAGGATTTGACTTAACGTATCCTCTTTGCCCACAACATCGGGAAGGGGTTCGTCCATGCGTGCTGTCAGAGCCCTCAGAAATGGATTTTCTGATCTGTGATCCTCGCCACCAGATTTGTTGTCATGTCCAATAGTATGGTCGAGTCCTTCTGACATCGACACTTCTTGATGAGGTGAGCAGTCGCGAATCGCCCGCAAAAGATCATCATGATATTTGGTGACTCGTTTCTCCAAGTCTTCAATAGCGTCCCAATCATAAAGCCACCCAACCTTTGGGGGCTTAGTTGCATTGATGATGTGTGCCGAAGCCAAGGGGTGCTCTGGATGACATTCTCTAATGAACCGCAGATTCTTTCCCGTTTCGAAGATGGACTTGGCAATATCAAAGGGCATAAAATGAGGCATCTTGCTGTCGTCCAAGCGGAAGTCGATATCTTCACACTCGTGACCAAAGTCATCCGTATATTTCTCCGTGTCGACCTTGATGAACCCTTTGCTACCTCCCACATTGGCCTTCGTCAACGGAATGCCTTCTTCTTGCCTGGTCCCAATCCATTCTTCCAGGAACTCGATCCAAGGGGACGAAACGCGTTGCAAAACTTCACGCATAATTCCACGCAACTGCTCTTCGCCGTAATCAACGGAATATGCCTCGTGAAACACGTAGGAGAGAACATGTTCGTCTGAATAACCTTTGCGAAACTTGGAGGTCAGCCGTTGGAAGGGAACAAGAATGGCCAGAAGCCCTTTGACAGTTGACTGAAGCTCCAAGAGAGATCGAGGGGTCTGTCCATGGAGAGCAACATATCGCTGGACGTCTTTGAGAATCTGATCTATAGCACCAGCTAGAGCAACACCACACTTCGAAGTGCGTTTTGCATAGGTAGAGTTGACGAAAGAGCGCAGTTCAAAAAACATCGAACTGCACCTGTGGCATTGCTTTTCCACTCCTCGAAGTACATCCTTGGAATAGCCTGTGACTCTCATGCTGGGGATCGCTGTTTTAAAGGAGCGGCCTCCCTCCTGTTTTGAGAAGAACACTGATTCCTGGCCTAGGGCTAAAGCAAGTAAGGAGGACAGGTAGGCTTTGATGTCGACAACCGGCACTCCAGCGCTTTTAAGCTCGAGAGGATCAATAGACCAGCTTAGCAAGGCATCGTAGACAGGTGCTCCAGCTTCGCTGACCATTAGCGGCTGTCTTCCCGCCGGTGTACCGGCGATGAAGCCATCCCAAGTCTTGTGCTCGGCCGGTTGGTCAACTGGCTCATCTGTACCTGCCCAGATATCGGCCTCGGGCTCCAGGCTATGCACACTTTCTGTAGTAACCGGTCCATCATCACTGGCGGTAACATCAGTCTCTGGCTCCGGCTCCAATTGAAGTCCAAACTGTGTGGGTAGTTTGAAGAAGCCGCTGTTTTCGACAGAGACTTTGCCCAGCTGGACCAGATCCGAATCTATATCATCTGCATATTTCTGGATTAGTAGAATTCTTGAATAATAACGACGCAAAGTACCTCTAAGTCCAGGCGAAAAGAAGGGATCTTTCGCATTAGGATCGCCATTCAAGTTATGCAACCATTTTGACGACTTCCAGAAGTCAGGTATCGCAAACACAGCGGCAGGGTCTTCTTTAGAATCATCCATATTCTTTATCATCGATCATAAGCATTCAAAATTCGTTATCGTCGTGTCCGGAGACATATCTTGACTTCAATGTTGAGCCTGAAGTTGCTTGCCATGTACGGTATACACCCAATGAATTCAATTAACGCGACCTCATGACCCCTGCACTAAGTTGCGTGACGCGCCCACTCAGTCAGCCGCGTTTCAGAGCTCTTTGCGCTAAAGATGCACTGAGCCAAGCACCTTCCCGGGCGGGCACCGCACCTTCCTCTACCTACCCAGGTATGATTTCATAGCAGCACCAGGTTAGCGCAGGGCGCATCGAATTGGACGATCAGCCAAACTTTTGAATCATTCCAAATTTGCTTGTTCGGACTACCAACAGCTTAATACTTAACCACAGGACAACGAAAGCCATTCTTCTACGCTCAGTCATCTTCAAAAGAGTAGCGCATACGAAAAGTATCTTCAGGCTTCCTCCGATCAACAAATCGCATCCACAATGGCACCCAGAAAGCGTGCGCGGACTAGCACCCAAACCGCTGCAACACCAACTCCTGCGCGAGACGATGATGCGATGGATGTCGATACTCCCCAGACCGGTGATCAAGAGGGCTCTAGCGAAACAAGGGAGCAGGAGCCAGACAACAACTACAATGACCTATGGACCGACGACCAGGTAGCTTCATTGTTCAAGGGTGTCATTCGTTGGAAACCAGCCGGTAGGTGGATAGCTCCTTCAAGAATTTACTGTTGCTGAACAGCAACCTGTAGGCATGCACAGACATTTCCGAATGATAGCGATCTCGGAACACCTACGGAATCACGGCTTCGACCCTGATCTATACCAACACACGCGCATTCCCTACATATGGCAGAAGCTTAGGACGTACTACAACCTGGAAGTCATTGATGAACGAGAGAACTTCGACGAAGATGATACCGAAGATAGGTACAACGAGTTTTCTCTTCCGAAGGACCAGTTCCTCGACGCGATGATGGAGCGCCGCTTGGCCGATCCTAGCGAAGCACCAACATCACCTGCGCAATTGGATCTATCACCACCACCCTCGCCAGCCAAGAAACGCAAGAGAGGAGAGACAAAGACTCGAGGCACCTCAGTGGAGGACACAGAGGACGGTACGGACGCCCCGTCACCGGCGCCCAAGTCGAAGCGAGGCTCCTCGCGGCAGAAAAAGAAGGCCACGCCTGCCAAGGCCGAAAAGCAAGAAAAGGCCGAGACTACAGAGGAAGAGGACGATGACGAGTCCGAAGAAGAAGAGGAGGAAGAGGAAAGCGAAGGCTCAGGATCTAGCGACGAAGAGGAAAGTGCCGAGGAAAGCGGAACGCAAGTGTCCAAGTCGACTCGCGGCGCCAAGAAGAGCCAGAAGCCTACAACGACGAAAGCGAAGGCACGACCAAAAAGAAGACGCTGAGCGATGCTTCTTGCCTCTGCATGATACAAAATCGGGTGGAACTATTCAGATACCCTTCGTATGGGAGTCTTGTGTTTTATTTCTTATTAGACATGTTGTAACATGCAAGCTTCTTTAGCTTTAATACCCAATAACTGGCAAAGCTCCAGTATAAACTCTATAGCTATCCACTCCTATTCCTGCTCCCACTCGCTGTAGTGCTTGGTCTTAGATTTCCAATCTCTTCCTATTGGAAAGATACCTTCAACATCCCTATTCGATCGCTGCAGGGGGCCTGGTTCTGCCATCTTGGGCAGTTCGATAGGCGGTTTCTTTTGCAGCAGATCCCACATCTCATTTTCGGCCTGCCAGTTTGCATATTGGTCGCGCTCTTCGGCATATTGCTCCTGGCGACGCTCCGTCGTGATTCGACTTTTGAGGACCTCTTTTTTGCGGTATGTTTCTGGGAAATCGGCGGCGGAGAATTGTAAGACTTCGTCTGCTTCTCTTCTAACGGCAACATCTTCTTCATCGGACAATAACGGTGGTTCTTCGAAATCGGCGCCTAACGATTCTGGCTCGGAAGAATCGTCGCTCTCTTCCATTTTAGGGTCGATTGTTGGTTCGATGTCTTCATCTTGTGGTGATAGAAGATCCTCAACTTCTTCATAATCTAGAGGTTCGCCTTCGTATTCCTCATCTTTATCGGGTGGTTCTTCGTGTACTTCCAATCGTAATCTTCGTGCGCATTTGCTCCAGAACTGGTGTGAGTTTGGTCTCAATCCTAATGAATCGACGGCTGCTAGGACGTCTTGGGCTCTGACGGTTTCGCGGATAGTGGGCCTGTATTCCTTTTTGGACTTGATTCTCGACATACTGATAAAGATGGTTGTCTGGACGAGTCGTTTTGTGATAGAAACGGCCAATGAATGAAAATCATCATAAGTCGTAGCCCACATCGACGGCGGGCTCTCGCTGATATGATGCCAGTTCTCACTAGGAATAGACGAGTTCATAAAGATGCGATCCGAAAGTCTCAGCCAGGCCTGTAGGTTGAAAAGCCCCTTGAAATGGAGATCCTGGCTTCCGGGAATTTTTTCACCATTGTCAAGTTGTCGAGCGATCTCTGGAGTGATTTCCCAACATTCTCCCCATTTGCCTTCTTCTCTGAGTTCCTCCTTTCGTTCCTGAAGTACAGAAATTGTATCTGCGGCTTCGTCCAAGGCGTGGCAGCATGGTTGGCTTAACTCAACAGCAGCAGGGATTTCTGAAAACTCTATCGCCGGTCGTCTGATGGCGTGCTGTCTCAACTGTCGAGCTCTTTGGAGTACATCGAGGTACTGATTCACCTCAACGCCGCTCTTCGTACCAATGAAAGCCGCAATACCTGAGAGGTCGTTTTGTCCCAAACGACCGATGGCCTCAAAGAATAGCCGTTTTTCTGGTACCGACCAATAACTGAGACCTATTTGGGATGGGTGCAAGACGGATTCCCCCTCGTCAGGCGCAAAGCAAAGACGATGCGCCGCATCCTTGATATCTCCATTGAGAAGAGCCAGATAGCCGTCATTGCGCACTCCCTTTTGTCTTTTGAACTGACGGGGTAGCAAATCATCTTCGGCAGGTCTTTTAAGCGAGTGTTGCACGTTTTCTTCGTCTTCGCTCCCGGCATAAACACTACCAGATACTACACTGTCGTTATCGACATGTTGTTGTCCGTAAGCCAGTGATGATAGATTCCCGTCGTCTTCTAACTTCAAACCCTCGATGTGCTCCGCTTCGTTATATTCTTCCTCGAAAGGTTCGTAATTGGTTTCCGACTCCATGCTGCTTTGTTGATGAAATCTAGTGGCTTAAGAAAAGATGAAAACATGGTAACAGAGGACTATAAGGCAGCACTCCGACTAAGGAGTAAAGTTAGAGCAAGTGAAGAAGAAGTCGCCAAAAGCATAAGAGATCGGGCAAAAAATATCAATATCGGCTGTCAATTCATCTTTTACAGTTTCAGTGAAATTTTAAAGATTGTAAAAGGCCTGTCTAAAGACCCTGAAGCAAGTACCAAGTGTTAGTGAAGGGTGCTTACATAATACACTTAGCCGCAAATGTTCATCTCTGTAGGCGCATGCGACGATGCATGAAGTATCTTCACTACAACTCAATGAGACAAAACCCATTTTCGTTGCACATCTCATCATGTGCAATGTTACGACTTGTACCGAAATGTATTTTACGGCCGAAAACCGTGAGAAGTCTCTTTGTGGCTAGACCACGGACATTTCGAGCTTTCGCTTCAGTTAAAGCTTCAAAGAAAACCAAAACTCCCATTGCAGCAGCTTCAACTGAAACTCATGAAGTGCCCAAGTTGCAACTTCGTGATTATCAAGAAGAATGCATCGATTCGGTTCTAACCTCTCTGGAAAATGGACATAAGAGAGTCGGTATATCGCTTGCTACTGGAAGTGGGAAAACAGTAAGTAGTCTTTGATCGATTTCAAGTCCAATTAATTAACCATGAAAAGGTCATCTTCACACAACTCATTGAAAGAATCCCACCACCAAACAAGGATGCTCAACAGACATTAATCTTGGCTCATCGCCGCGAGCTTGTGGAGCAAGCAGCAAACCACTGCCAGCGTGCGTATCCAGATAAAAAGATCGAGATTGAGATGGGAAATGTCCACGCAACTGGAACAGCAGATATCACTGTCGCCAGCGTACAAAGTATAACGTCACAAGGTCGACTTCAGAAGTTCGACCCGTCTCGCTTCAAGCTTTTACTGGTGGACGAAGCCCATCACATCGTTGCTCCAGGTTACCTCAAGACCCTACGCTACTTTGGACTCGACAAAAAGCGGCCAGAGTCACCAAATTTAGTTGGTGTATCTGCTACCTTTTCGCGCTTCGACGGAGTCAAGCTTGGTGCAGCCATCGATGAGATCGTCTACCACAAAGACTATGTCGACATGATATCGAAAAAGTGGCTGTCAGATGTCATTTTCACTACAGTCGAGTCCAAGGCCAACCTATCAGAGGTTAAGAAGGGTGCCTTTGGCGATTTTCTCCCTAGCGAACTTTCAAAGGCTGTCAATACTAGCGAAATCAACGACATCACAGTGCGCAGTTGGATGGCAAAGGCTGAAGGAAGAAAGTCAACACTCGTATTCTGTGTCGATGTTGCTCACGTTGTTGAGCTAACAGATCGATTTCGGCAGCATGGATTTGATGCTAGATACGTAACCGGAGAAACTCCCAAAGTCGAAAGAGGTGAGACTCTGGACGCCTTTCGACGGGGCGAATTTCCAGTATTAGTCAACTGCGGTGTCTTCACCGAAGGAACTGATATCCCCAATATCGACTGCGTTATTCTTGGCAGGCCGACGAAATCGCGAAATCTACTTGTCCAAATGATTGGTAGAGGAATGCGACTCCATCCAGGGAAGAAAAACTGCCATATCATAGATCTTGTGTCAAGCTTGGACACTGGAATTGTGACCACGCCGACATTATTCGGCCTTGACCCGAACATTTTGGTGGAGAAGGCAACAGTGAACGAACTACGCAAGATCAAGGATACAGAACATGTCAAGACTGAACAGCCTATGTCGTACCGCACAACTCCCGGGCCCGGATCTGGCAGTGTCACGTTCACAGACTATGACTCGGTTTTAGATCTAATCGCCGATACATCTGGCGAGAAGCACATCCGTGCTATCAGTCAATACGCATGGGTTCAAGTTGGAGGGGACAGGTTTGTTCTCTCCTCACCCAATGGTTCTTATATCCGCATCGAAAGAGTCAGTAGTGAAGCGTTCAACACGTCCGCACCTATTTACCGAGCAGTAGAAGTGCGAGCTCTGCCACCTGGTGCTGCCAGAACACCATACGCAATGCCAAGGGAGATTCTCACTGCTTCGACGTTCACCGACGCAGTGCATGGCGCGGACAGTTTCGCGGCGAAGAATTTCCCGCACACATTCATTCACCGATACCAGAAGTGGCGAACATACCCTCCTACACAAGGACAGGTTGACTTTATCAACAAGTTGCGCGGCAAGGCAGAGCCTTTGAAGCCCGAAGACTTGAACAAGGGCAAGGCTGCGGACATGATCACAAAGCTCAAGCACGGTGCGCGTGGCCAGTTCGCAAAAATAGAGGCGGGACAGAGAAAACAGGATAAACAGAACAAGGCAGCGGAGGCTAAACGGCTCCGAGAGCAGGTTACAGTAGGACCTGTGGCCTCCTAACCAGAGAACCACATGCCGCGGTGACTGGTTTTTATGGTGACAGCATGTATAACACGGGAAATAGATATGGAGGGGGCGTTTGGACCAGGACTTATTGTATATACCAGCTTACAGCAAGCGCTTAGGGAAGGTTTCTAGAAAACTCACCGGCCACAATGTTTAACGATTTAACGTTGCAAACAACCCGAACCACGAGTCTTGAATCGAATGGACCGGTTTGCTCCGAAGATGCGACTGTTTGAGAGATTCTTGTGTACACTCACGACTCGTGGCCAAGCCCGCAAACGGTTCAAAAGCAGCCTCGTTCCTTGCATCTAGATGACATCGAGATCTGTCCCTCATCTCGTGATTCACTGGGAGGGAGAATACACCCAGAGGGAGTCGTCAGCTCATCAGGATAGTTGGGAGGAGGAGTTCTGTTTCGTTGTCAAGGTTGAGGACATGCACATCTTCTTCCCCCGCAAAATCGTTCTTATCACAAAGTCAAACTTATCTGAATCGAACTCTCTATATCTTATTGCTAGTTTTCACTGGTAGTGGCTGAATTTATTGCTTCTCAGCTTCGCATCTCAAACCCTGCGAAAGGGATTCCGATACCACGATTGGCCCCAGGTGAATAGTCTTTATCATCGCATGTTCATGCACGTCACTATTAAGATTCAATTCATTCGTCGCGTCGCAGAAAGTATCCTGTTATTCATCTCACATTTGCTTTGTTCGGCCATTGTTCGTGAGTGGGAGCGGGTGCAGAAGTGACTGACACTGCCGTGGCAGCTGTCGACTCAAGTTCACTTACACGAATAAGTACCATCTCCCGCTCTCCTCTCGCACTCGGAATTTTCTCCCCTTTCAAATCTATCTGAATCTCTCTTACTGCAGATGTTCTATCAGAAAGAGACATTTTAAACATCTACAACGCAATATCAATCTTCGCGATGGCGTCGAATACTTCTGCGGCCTCATGCGCTCAGCCGCCCCTTTCTCTCCTCGTAGAGAACCCTCACAGACCAACTCCTCCCAAGAAGGAAGTCAAGAAGTCGTCGGAGAGCTCTGCTTCCTCCTCTTCAGGAGACCTTGGAAAGTCTTTCATACAAAGAACTAAACAAAAGTTGAGGGATGCCATCTTCAGCTCAAACTCATGCGCTGTATCTTCAGTCGACGAACATACTCCGCCTATCGATATTCCCAAGGCTAAGATCAACCGCACTTTGGGAGTAGAAGCAACTCCCAGAATCGACATCGTCCCTAGAGGCTTCAAGCCTATGAGACAACCTCCTGCAGCCGAGGTCACGATCGAGTTCTCCATACCTGAGAATGATCTCTCTCAGGCTATGCGAAAGACATGGGCTCGCTACCCTCCGCCTTCAAACAGAGATTACCCTGTCGATGAAGTCTTCAACTTCACTCCGAAATGTCTCGCTCAGCCTATTGATCCTGAACCTCTTATTGACCGATTCATTGAACACACCGAAATCAACTTTACTCAACCTATCGCTATTCAAAGCGCTATTCGCCATGAGTATATGGCTCATCTTGCTGATGAAAAGCATGAACACGATAAATATATGAACGAGCTTGCCCAAAAGCGCCATGACATGGCGGAAAAGAAAGCAAACAAGCGATACCAGTTCGGCCAGGCCAAGAAGCCTTTCGATTTCCCTCTAGTTAGCTTTGATAAGCAGAAGATTATCTACGAAGACAATGTCAACATTGCCGCATTATCGCGCAAGGTGGCTAAGTGCAATGGGACTATTGAAGGCATCATTGCCGGCGAGTTCATACGCGATAAGGACACTGCCCACTTGTCACTTACTGAAGAACAGATGGCCGTCCTGAGAGAGTCTGCAGATACCAAGGATTTGTTTCCAGAAGCCCATACAGAAGAACTTTCGCTGTATGACCAATGGTTGAAAGATCAGTCCGCAGACACTTGTCCTGTGGCAGACTGGCTCAAGGAGGAAGAGAGCTTCACCAAGAAGAAGGCATTCAAGGACGCTATTTCCGAACAGCTCGAGTTCCGCTTCCCTTGTAACCCACGGAACAATGACACACCCTCTACTACGACTACGCCAGATGGGCTTGTCTGGGAACCCGATTACTTCCCATATATGCTTCCCAAGACCGCGAATGATCCCGAGCGCTACAACATGTACGAAGTTCCCCTCTCGGTCCAGGTTCCCAAGTGGTTCCCTGCTCTCTTTGATTCCGGCATTCTACCCTTCGACAAGAACCAGGCCACCGATAAGCAATACAAGGAGCTTCTTACTACCATCTGGAAGCTTGAGTCACAAATGCTCAAGCAGACTACGCCCGACAAGTGGGACAAGAACTGGCACGATCCCAGTTCCCGATGGACACAACCTCACCATCAGACAAGCGGCGGCTAGTGGAAATGCTGCTTGGATCCTGGTCAGTCGCCTAAGGATGAGTTCTGTGGCGAGTATCACCGGGTCAAGAAGAACAAGTACCACAACTTCAACGAGCCGAAGCGCCGCGATCTCACAGAGACAGACGTTGTGGTCGGAGAGTTCAGTTTCGATGATACCTTCGGATACGGTGACGATATCGAAGTCATGACCCACCCCAAGCAGGCCAAGCCGAAGAAGCCAGAGGTTCTTCTCAAGGAGATCGCCGAGGGAGTGAAGAAGGCCATCGCAAAGGTCGGCAGATAAACATGGAAAGACCAGACCTGGGAGACGAAAAATGCCGACTGATGAAGGAAGGATAACACATCAAGGAATCTCTAAGGAGAAAGAAGTCATTGGCTATCGTGAGCCATCTTAGAACGTTAACGTATATACTATTTGGATAACGTTCTCATATACTGTTTGGCTCATATTATTGCAGTATATTTAGACAATATAAATCATTGGTCATAAACTGAAGTCTATAAGTGTTTTTAAACGACATAATCGTGACAGTAGTGGTAGTACATGTTTGGCACATAATATACAAACCACACAATAGTGGTCATGGGTCCTTTCAACCACACGTAGCATCAAACAGCTCCCTTTTCAGCCTCAAGCACAGACACGTCCACCACGTTTTCCTCCTTTGTTTCCACTTTCTGCAACAGCGGGAGCATTCCTCCGCCACGAAACAACACAAGCTGGTTCTTGTCCTCCCCATACTTGATACCCACTGACACTCCATCCAGTCCCATCTCCTGAGCTTTCAGGTTCCATAGCAGCTGCGCCACTTCGCCCTCTTTCGTGCAACACACATACCCAAGAGCCACATCGGCAGTGTGCATCTCTTTCTGTACACCTTTCGTAGCTGGTTTTTCTCCTACTAGTAGGCCCAGTACGTCAGTGCCTCGCCAGCCTGGAGGCGCTGCTGCCAAAGCGCCCTTGAGTTCGCGAATGTACATTGGGCTTGCGCTTCGAGCACCAGCTTTGCACTGAAGGATCACTTTGAATGTATGCGACGTTGAAGGCAGCGTCCATATGCCTAAGAGGTCCATGCCTCGATCTGATTGGCCGCCAACGCGCTTGAGGAGGAAGCCATATTGTGAGAGTGTGTCGGCGACTATGTATTCGTAGTGTGTGCCCCGATAGACAGTTGAGTTTTTGTTCAAGCTGGTCCGTTCCACATATGATAGAAATGTTGCGAGATCGGAATGTTCTTTACTGGGTGCTTCAGGGTATATCAACTTTGAAGGTTTGGGGGCCTTCTTGCTGGTCTTGCTGATGGGCCTTAAGCCAACTATTGTACCTGTACATCTTGATGGCTGAATTGTGTGTCTCAAGGCATTCCGGAAGCCTCGAAACAAAATAGACATTATTTCATGAGGATCTCGGTTTATACGTCTTTGCTTGGCTATGAAATGTAGATGTTTCGACGAGATGCATATTCTGCGTATGCATCAAAGCGATATATCATCTAATCCGAACCGCATCACCGGGCAGTCGAGTATATCGAAACCGCATTCACAACTGCTGCCAGATATGACCGACCCTTTGAGATAATAACAATAATACAGCACTAGATGATGAACAAAGTGATTTTGGGGTGATGTTACAATAAATGTATGCTTATTCATGTATACCATGTTCACTATACACTTGTGAACTTCTCATCAGCAATCAACCACTTTGTATACAGGAAATCCCCAAATGTATTCAGTCGCTTTGTATTAAAATCGCTTTTGTACTATACAGGCTGGTGCCTGTCCAGCCCCTTGGTTTAACTACATGCAGATTCCCAACGCCAATGCAGCATAAATTCTACCCGTCATACAACATTTCCGACGTTATATAGAAATACGGCTATAAAAGCCAGTCTCTTTTTCTTTTTGCAATCAATCATAACATATCTCCTTCAGCATGCTCTTGCATCCCTGGTGGAAATACGTTGTTTGCTAGTCGTGATGCCGATCGAGGTGGTGGCTTTTCTCTGCTTCTCTCGTCCCGCCGGACGCTTGGTACACGCCTTATTCTCGATTGTGACCTTCGAGTAACAGGCTTGATCATGTTTTCCAGGTAGAAAGCACCCTCGGTATGTCCTGTACCAGGTCGCTCATCGTCGGCGTCTGAGTAACCTCCAAGATATTCATCATCGGACACGATTTCGCCCATTTGTGGTTGATAAGAAGCTGGCGCAGAAGGGGACGTGATGGATCTAGAATGAAGTCCCGGTCGCGCTGGGGGAATAATCACACTAAAGGCACCCGGTGTCATGGTATTTGAGCTTGCTTCTCTCGAGAGCCCTGGAGACCGGTCGGCAAACCCATTCTGGAAAGATGTATTGTTTGACGCTTCGTGAAGGATGGGCAGGATCTGTTCATCGTAAAGCTCTGCTCCAGTCTCGAATGATTCTGGTGTGTATTCGGTGATCGTCCTTGAAGACCGGCCATCGTCATCGGTCGCAGGGCTTGACGGCTCGTCGAAGAAGTCGTCAAGACTGTCCAGTTTAGTTGCCAGATCAGCTGCGTGGACATCGCCACGGCCCTCGTCCGATAGCATGGTTTCGGTTCGCTCTGGTGCACCAAAGTAGTTGTAAGGGAAGTCGTCGGCATGGAACTCAACATCCGGCGTCGGGGCGGTCTCGGTAAGCATGCCCTCTGAGCCCTGACAGGTGTAGAATGCGGCATGAATATTGGCTCGCGTAGCATCTGTCTTCTTTGCAGGTACAGGAATGGCCCATCCTGATGCTTCAGGAATTCCAAAGAGACTTTGCGTACGCTCATATTCCTTTCGAATTGCCTTCGAGGTCGGGCGCGTCATACTCATTCTGAGGTGATGCTTGTCCATGTGATTGCCAGACATGGTCATGATGTTGTCCAATACCTCTAGCGCCTCCATGCAGAATTCTGTCTGCAACAATCGGAGCAGCGGCGAGATCAGGTCAGATCCGTGCCCAGCAAGCTCCGGCTTGCGCATGTCAACTTCAGGAATTGCCACACAAAGGATTCTCATTGTCTGAATCTTGACCCAAGACAGGGAATTTGTGAGAAGGCCGAGCAAAAAGGTGACCATCTGGAAATCCATTTGAGGGAGGTAGTATTCTCGCAAAGCTGCCCACAACTCGATGAGGAAGTCTTTGCTGCTATCCTGGGTATTTCCCATAGCAAAGTCATCCAGGGCTTCGGCAATAAGGCCCAAACCCTGATTGTCCGCTTCTTCCTGAAGCAGTCTTGATGTCTGCACAACACTGTCGTCTGGAATGGGCTTTTCGAGCTCATTCAGAAATCGGGGGAAATTGGCAAGTAGCGAGAAGAACAGACGCCTATCATCTCCGACTAGCCCGTCGCTGGGTAGTAGAACCAACTTGTCTATCGTGTCGAGGGTGGGCTGCCAGCAAAGTGACGACCTCAGACCCTTGTGGAGTAGAGGCTGTATACCTTCGAAGATCCCCTCCCATCGAGATGGTTGACCGTCAGCAAGTATTCGGCGCACATTAGGTGAGCTCAGATCCAGCTTGGTGAGGAATTTATTGAGCATCTCAACAGCTTCCAGAAATTCCCGTTCGTTGATAGATTCTAGACAAGCACATGTGGTCCAGAATAATTGTGGGAAGCTGAGGAGGTCATCAGCTTCAAGCTTGACAATAATAGTCTTCAGGGTTGTCAAGATTTCCATTGAGAAGGACTGGATTTCTGGGTCCTCGTCCGCAATCGTGTTGGACAATCGAGCAAGCATGTCTCCAAGCATGGCCTGGTCAACAGATGTAAGAACACATCTGAAAATCTGGAATGATCGACAGGCAAGGTGTCGAACAGGACAAGATGTGGCCCAAGTCAACGAAAGTCGTCCCCAATGTTCTTTAATTCCCGGGAATGTTATTTCAAAGGTCTTGATGACCTCGGCTGTGAGGAATTCCATGCTTGGTGGCACTTTGCTGTCATGATCATCCACCTTGCCGTTGCTATCTTCATACCCCCAAACGACGGATCGATCGTGCCGACGGACTAAGTCTATCAGATCCTCGATAGCTTTCTTATCAACGTCCTGGGTTTGATCGTCAATCTGAGAGATCACTACTTCGTGAATAAGGTGCACCAGCATCTCTCGCGCCTGCTCCTGAACCAGCGGCGTGTAGTGATCCCATAGAACGGTGACAACCTGAAGAAGAAGCGGGACGTTCTCCTGGGTGAGGTGAACGGGTGATACCATCAAGTCCACGAGAAGGATCAGGGATAATTGACCAAGAGAGAAACCTGCTTGCTTGGTCCCAACTGGCAGAGCCTCAGCTAAATCGGCACAGTATGGCAAAAGATTGATATCAGCTGGCGGCTCTACCGCATCTCGCTTTTCGTTCGGTACCATTGCTTTGGGAGTTATTTGCATAAGGAGGAATTCAACGACTTTGATGCCAGGCGTGCTGTTCGTTGTTGAAAGGAACACGACAATCTGCTTGGCGTACTCGACAAAGTTCTGTTCTCGTCGCTCGAGACACAGCTGCATGATGAATTCGAGGACTAGGCGGACATTCCCTGGATAAGGCCCTGTTGCAAGAGCTTGCCAAAGAGCTTGTACTTCGTTGTGTAGTGCTCCGCTAGACTTTATAGTGATCTCAAGGAGGTTTGCAAGAAGCACGAAAGATGGTGCTGCTGGTCCACCGCTTGGATCCAGCTTCAACTCTATGGACTGGATCCAGGGCAGCATGACTGCAACAACATTTCGTTGGGCCGCAGGCTGCAGCTCCTTAAAGTAGAGGGTGAATTCGGAGAAGATGTGGAAGGCTAACTCTGTGTGTTGCTTGGCAAGACGGGTAGAGATCTCGAATTGTGCTAGCTTGTAGACAGCCTGTGTTTTATCGGAAATGCTGATGTCGAAGTCCTGGATCTTTGAGTTTCTCTGTTGCCTCACTTCCAGGCAACGTAAAACAGCTGCAGATTTCGATCGAATCTCGCTTTGGTCATTGCCAAGGGTGAAAAGGCAGAGGCCAAGTAGCTTCCAGAAGGGACAAGGATAGTCAATATGTTCCTGCAAGACTTGTGTGACAACGGTGAAGTAACTTTCCAGCACCTTAGGTACCTCTGCCAAGTAACATCGCATAATGCAATGCTCCATCAAGTAAGGGACCTCTCGATTGTGGATGATCAAGTTTTGCAAAGCCCTTCTGCCAATGACGTTCATCTTGTCACTTCCAGAGTTGAAAATGGAGTCTATCCAAGCAAGCATGCGTCGAACGTCGAATTGAAGGACGACATTGCTCTCGGTTGTGACACTAATAGGACCACCACACAAAGCGGCCATAGCACTGAGGGCTGCAGTGCGGAGATTCCTCTTCTCGATCTCCATTGCAGCGGTGGCAGTGCCTCGCTCACCCAACGTCTGCTGGTCGATCAGCGATTGGCGCATGGTATCTTCACGGACGCGAATCTGGTTTTGATTCGGTGAAAAACCACACCAGTCTTCCATGAGCGAAAATGCCGACTTGCGAGACTCGAACGTCATCCACCGGGACGGATCTTTGGTTCTATTGATGCCTTCGAAGAGTGCTTCCATAAGACCACAGTAATGACGTCGGAGTTTCTGGAATTCCCAGTCCATTTGAACCTCCCCATCCATGAGGAATAACTTCAGGTCCTTTGTATATGTGGTAAGAGTAGTCAAGAAAAACTCGTTATTATAAACCTCCGGCTCACTGAGAAAATGGGAGGTGAGCTTGAAAACGTGCGTGATCTCAGTTCTAAGAAGATCCATTTTCCTGTTCCTTCTGGGGTTACTGTTCGTCCTTTGGTGTATCCGAGCTCGTGCCTCGTCGTTGCATCGAGAAACCTGGCCTTGCAGTTCCTCGAGCAATGTTCGATAGATATGAATGTTGATAGAACCCATGGCAACGACAACAGCGTCTCGTACAGATGCGGACGACACAGACAGTAGAGGGATTAGGTACTTGAACAGCATCCGAGCCGTCACGATCTTATCCTTGGAAGATGCCTTGGAGGCCATTCGGACATGCTGAGGATCTTGCGGCGTGGGCAAAGCACCTGGATCGGCGAGCGTCGTACAAGCAAATATCAAGTACAGCTTCCATTGCTCCACCATTACTTCAGGTTGGGTTGTTGCAGATCTTGCCCCAAGCCGAGCACTACCGGTCTCATTGTTGTAGTAGAGGCCTCGTGAAGGTTCGGACAGGTACACGATCGGTTTGTACATTTGCAGAATGCGATTGCAGATAAGATCACGACATATGGTGACTGTGAACGGGCACTTCTCGTAGGCCATCCGAATGAGTTTGGGGAAGATCTTGAACCATAGAGTTGTGTCATACGAGACATCACTAGCGCAAAGCTCAACAAGGGGGCCCTGGTTGTTGGTGTTTTGCAGGCCTCGTTGTAATCGGCTTCGTTCGGCAACAGAGAGCTGCTCGTCGTTGAAGTCCATGACCTTGCTAGATTCCCTCTCAAGGATATCAATGAGTCTTATGGAGTCCTTGTCTTCGGCTGATTCTTTTCGGAGGGCCTTATCGAACTCAACAATTAAACGAAGAACGGTGACCGCAAAGTGGCGAACACGGCGTGATTGTGAACAAAGGAAGAACAACCCATGAGCTTCTGCTTGGTCTACCTCTGCCCATATGCTAGAAAGATCAAGTTTTATGGCTCGTTTATCTGAGGCGTTTGCTTCCGGTTCGTCTGTAGCGGCGTCTCTGGTCTTTTGTCTAATCTCTTCAATCCATATTTGCAACAACTCCACGTATAAACGCAAGGTGTTCTCGATGTGGCTATGGCCAAGCATTCCGCCATCGGACATTGTCGAGTACCGATCGTCAAAATTGAAAATAAATCGGGCAAACCCCATAGTAACCTGCTGAGCGTGCGATTGCCGGGCGATAGCCTTCAAAGAATTGGCTGACGACTCAGCAATGTTGTACTGCACATGTGCCGTGCCAGTACACAATAAATTGATTAAGGAATTGAAGGGGATGTCGACAGAGAGGCAGCGAGGCAACGCTTGAACGGCTACATGAAGAAGTTCGTAGAACGCCTGTTTCTGGTCTGCAGCATTTTGGTGATCGTCTTTACGGGAGAAGGTGAAGGTCTCTGTGATGGGTGTTTTCGGCAGAGGGCTGCTGAACTTCTCATCCAGTGCCGCTTGGCCTCCAAAAGTGTTGTCGCAAATAATAGTGATCTTGCCTAGAATCTCACAGAATTTGACGTAGAATTCCCGGACTCCGTCACTCAGAACATGTGTCAATACAGGACGAGATATATACTCTTCTTTCGAAGCTGTTGCTGGCTGAGACAGAGGAAGGTTGCGAGGAGAAGAGATAGCTGGAGAGACAGGAAATCGGTCAGGCAGCGAATTGTGATTTGGGGTTCCAAAAGACTGAGGGAATGGCGGCCTTCCTTGTTCACCATTTTCTAGATCTGACATGATGTAGAGGAAGGCTCTGATGCCCACCACAACTCTATCAGGATCCAGCTGCTCAACCTTCAGTTCTTTATTAGAAATAAACAACTCAGCATTGATGAGAGGAAACACCACATTCCTGAAACAATATTCAGGATACTTGAAGCCAACAATCCGAATAATTTGGATCAAAGGTTCGGTGCAAGCAGTGTCAGAAGCAACCAGGCTTCGCTTGGATGATGGCAAAACAAGTTTCATGACCTCATCAATCTTGCGTAGACTGCTTTGAAATGTCTCATTAGTGCGGTACAAGAACGTCCACAGCAAACGAGAGATGACTTGAAGGCAGAGAGGCTTAGTGGCCCGATCCTTGATCTTGGCCTGCAGAGGTAGTATCAGTTGCAACCACTGAGAACCAAAATTGTCGGGAGAAGAAACACAAAGAAGTGTAGCGGTAAGTGGAAATGCGAAATTCCAATGTCTAGGTTTCATGAACATCTGAGCCAACCGAGGTCCAACAGCAGCAAGCACTTCTGCCCATTTTGGATGCATGAAATGGCTATTGCTTGCCTTTGCTGCAATCGGGAGAAGAAGCATCTCTATCACCTGGCAAAAGGCTGTCTTAATCTTTTGTCCATGTGACTTTTGGAAGAGACGACCGAGGGAGATGAGAAAATCACAACATTGTTCCCAGGATTCTTCAGGTGAGATCTTGAGCTTCAGATGTTTCATGCCTCCTAACACAAGCTCTACCTTCCCCTCGACGTCTCGGCCAGGGTGCGACGATGTGGTAGGGCTCTTCACCACGCGTTCTCGTGCCTGAAGAGAGCCTTCCAGGTCTTCAATGAACCTCTTAGTAACTCCGGTAAAATTAATACCACTCATATGACCCAGGAGTTGGGCAAAGAGATTCCAATTGGCAAGCTTGAGCGGTGACATCATCAATTGCTCTGTATCAGCAATCTTGAGTTGTCCAAAAATGATGTTTTCCAGCTTCTCTTCCATTTCGGGAGTGATCGAAGGAAGGTTGCTTTGACTGATGACTTCAAGGAGGACACGGCAAAGAATATATATAGACACGGTTGACCGACGCTCAGCTTGTGCCACAAATTCTTGTCTTGCTGCGAGAGTGGGCGGGCCATTAGGAAATGCGGCATCGGGACCTCCTTGGCCCGGTATTCCAGCCTGCACTGGTTCCGTGTTTCTTCGAAGAAGGGGCGCTCCTCCTGGCATCGCATTCCGAGATTGTTGAAGATGACTGCGGGCTTCATTGGCGGCATCACTTTTGCTTTTTCTCCAGAGCATCATGGAGTCTATTAATGCTTTTGGCTTCGGGCTAGCGATATGGCCTAAAGCGACAATCAATTGATCGAATGCCGGGTCGACGCCGGGGCCGCATACTTGTTCAACGTTTGGTTCGGGGTCGAGAGGAACCGTCACACATTCCGTCAACTTTTCTTCTGCTTGTGCAATAAACTATTAAAGTCAGCCGTGGCGCGCATTGATAACATCAAAGCTTCACTGACCGAAGTGAACAACACATGTAGCGCATACTCGCCAACAGTCTTCTGCTCGTCCTTGTGATGGCGAGACGAGTGCGAGTGATGGGGGGTATGGTCGCGCCGCGATTTGCTGTGCATTCGTTCGAGCTTGCGTTGGGTCTGGCCGTAGGGAGCATCGGCAGCGTTGGGACGGTCCATGGTCGCTACATTTCCGGAGAGGGATGTAGGGGGCCGTGATGGATAGCCGGAGTCGCCATCGATACGGGTGGCCACCGATTGCATGTCTGGGCGATCAAGGCCGACGCCAGCGGCTGCAATCATCTGTGGGCTTAACGGACTGGAGCTGGTTGAGGCCAAGCTGCCATTTCTTGAATGTTGGTAGCCGTGTACGATCGAGGTTTGACGGTGATGGCCGTAGGTTGCACTCTTGGGATCTATTATTCGTTCAACGACTCCTCCGAGTGGGCTTCTCGAGTGCGGTCCGTGAAGTCGTGGGGAGGCCAAGGGTTGGTGTGTCTGGGAGATCTTTTCGGCGGAGGAATCTCGCGAATGTCCAAATCGATGGGCGACTGGCGAATCTGAAGCTACAGGGCGTAGTGCTCGGTCCCAGCTTCTCTCATCTTCGTCCTCCTCGTCGAGTCTAGGAGCAGGCCGGGGAGCGTACCTGAGTGTATCCTGCAGGTGGTCCGGCTGCGGCTGCGACGGCACTACGGGTCACACAAGGGGGTTAGTCAACAATGGATATATGTTTGCTCAGATGTTCGAAGATATTGGTGAAACAGGAGCGGAGACGTTTGAAGCGCGAGGACAGGGCCTGAGAGCCAGCTACTAACGCCAACGCCAACTGCAGGCGGGAAAACAGACAGCTCTGCTGTAGCGAATCAACAAAGCTACCTTGCGCTGACAGATAGGATGACGAAGGTATTCCCGCGATACAGCCCAAGCCCAAATTTTAGAGGTGGTGCGGGAAGAGAGGGGTCGGGTTGGTGTAAAGCAGAGAGTGAGTGCAGCGAGTGGGCACCTGCAAAAGCTTTGGATTTTGACTTACCCATCCTCAAGTTCTATATCGCAATCCCATGATCTATGGCGATTCACCAATTTCAAAGTCAGTATCGCAACTGAACGAAAGAAAATAAGAATGGGAAGAGCGCTGGCTGGCTATTTACGGGGACGGGGTCAAGACAAGACAAGGGATGCTACTGTGCATGTGCAGCATACGAGGGAGTCTTTTTTGACAAGACAACAAAGAACACGACCGACTGACTGGCTTTGAAGGCTGGACCACAGGCGCGCAATGACGCTACCGTCAGCTTGCCCACAAAGCATTGGCCCGGCCCGCTGTATGGCTTGTCCGAACCCTTAAAGAGCCCGGCTGCTATGGAGCCAAAAGAAACCAGAGCGCTTTAACACATGGCAGATATGCTAACATGGTCGACGATTCGCAGTGTTTTCAGCAGTCATCCTTGCCAACATCTGCAAGGGCCGCAGCCTATCAGCGGAGCTAGGATCAACCGACATGGGATGACGGGCCCTTGGGAAACCTGGCGCGCCACCTCGCGGCTGTCAAATAGGGTTCTTTTTTTGGAAGGGGGCTTGGGTGATCCCTTGGCTCAGGGTTCAAGATCTCATCCGCGAGACATTGATATGCGAGAATGACTCGTTGAGGTTGAACATAAGAGTCCGAGCCATATTATGGCTCGCTAATTGTCAGGAGATGTGAACCTGCCTAATTGAATCGCCTAGCAAGGATCAAAAGGACCCAGATGCCCATCAAACGTACATTACAGTGCAGCAGCATTTGTTTCCATGCTGATCGCTGTACCGGTATGGGGGATGGTATGGAGCTCGTCTTCGTTAAGGCTATCCTTGGGTTAGCATGAAAGCTCAGGTGGGAATCATGTATGTACCTCGCTATCTCGCTATTAATATGGGATCGCGCACAATATAGAGTCCCCATGGAGGTTATCAAGCGAGCTCTTATGGGTCAAATGGAAGGCTTCTAATGCGCCTTACCCTAGAACCTCCCGGTTATGGCAACTCCTTGTGGAAGAACACCAAGGATTCTGCATGAGTCGAGAACTGGCCACGTTTGTTCAGACACTATGAAAAAGCAATCAGTGTCCAATAGCAGTTCATCCCGTACGGAGAGGAACAGGCGGTGTCAATCTCGCATGCGGGTAAAGGAACGGCCAAGCTTCTGGAAGCACGGGATGTTATCATTTTCTGATGCCTACACACAAATAAAGCGTTTGGTGAGATAGTGTTCATGTCAGCGGTGTGATTTGACCTGCCTTAGTGAGTGGCGATGACCAAGAAGAGACTCTGCAAGCTGAAGGAGTCGGGTAGTTCACGTAAGAGAATGGTTCTTTGGTTATTACTAGAACCACTTGCGAGACAACATTCATGCAAGACAGAGTCGCAGTGTGGCTTATTGATATCCCGCATTCCAGCAAGACCGTTTTCTTTCATAACAAGGTGCTTGTTCAATTAACATCACATGCACGGTTCATTAGTATCTAGGTTAAAGACTGCATCATTGACTAAGTCAAGGCTTTGTATTGTTCTCAGCCAAACGGTAAGCCAGTGAGGATACCTGAAGCCATGTTTGAACAACAATAGCAACTATGTTTTACCAAGTGACATACTTACTCTTCTTTGTAGTTTCTCAGACTTCGCGAATCTTCCAAATGATTGAACTCTGTGTCTGATAGTTTGAGGGGTTGTTGAAGCAATCAAGGCATCTGGGCTCGGCACTTGGAGGCATTGCCGCGGACATAATCATTGATTTCCGCACATGAATTTGGGGGGCGGAATTTCGGAATCAGCAGACACGAAAAATGATTTGGTTTGGGGATCTTTGGAGAAAACGGCTCGGAATCCAATACTTGGATGTGAGGAGAAGAGCTAACGTGCTGTTAGTTGATCATACAAGCGGGAGGAAAACGCGGGGAGGCAGTCAAAGAGATCTCATTGACCGGAATGCCGCGGCCAGTGAAAGAGTCAACCGGGAGTCAATTACGGTAAGTATCTCCCACTGGAAATTCTATGGAGATGGTGAGCGATGAATGGTTAATGGCGGGCCTGAAAGGCTGACTGATGAGCCTGAACCGTGAACGGCCGTGTTCGTTTTCGGGACCCCGCCGGCGTCGGCCGCAAGATCTCATGATACGACGGCCGACTCTTTAGTTCCGGGGTCCCGGCTTCGCTCTGGATAAGATAATCTATCTACCCGTAGACTACAGAATATAGAGATTCCCGCTTCAAGTTTCAAACTTGGTCTCTTTTCTTGTTCTGATTTATTTTCTTTTTCTGTTGGACGACTCATCAGAGCTCAACTGTCGCATCCTTCCTTCCTCTTCAACGACAGACAGGACAGGACTCATGACCTTGGAGATCGGTACTTGAGTTACAGACCATAACCACCCACTGAACGAACCCCTGCTACAGACCGGGAGAGCCCCAACAACTGAACCTAGAAACCCCCCGAAATCCAAAGGGTTCAATCCGAATCCCCCGACCAAGATAAAACCACGGGACCAACCGTTGAATTGTCTGGTTGGAGTAGCCACCTTTCACTTTCTCGTCTCCGTTGAAGTGTCCACTTGGGTTGGTCTACAGGGCGGAAGCCAACGCTTATCTGATTGATTTCTCGCTTGAGTCGTTTGAACAGCGCTGCACTTTACAGATCTGTCACTTGTTCCTCTCACTTTACTCTCGACACGTTGTCGAACGAGGCAAGTTTGCGAGCAAGTGGCCCAAGTTCAAGATTAGTGCTGATCCTTTGATGTAAGTCCGTCCCACCAACAGATTCGCCTCGCACGATAGAGAATCCTAGGATCATGCATTTAATCTCCTAAAACTTTTAGCGCAAAATCGTTACTGACAGCACATCTTGTTTTTAGACGCTCAGCGCCACATCCCACTGTCCCTCATCCCCCCGCCTCCTTTCCGGCCGACGACCATTGGTGATAGCACAACCATTGGGAGAAAAAATCTCGAAACTCTGTCGAAACCGGGCAGTTTCTACTTCGTTACAGGCTTCAATCTCTGTTCCTAGGACTTTTTTCTCACCTTTGACCGCAAAGTCGCTCCCGCGCTTCAGTAGCCGTCATGGCTGAACTCGACACTCTGGACGTTATCGTCCTTGGCGTCATTTTCCTCGGAACGATCGCATACTTCACAAAGGGAAAGCTATGGGGTGTCACCAAGGACCCTTATGCCAATGGCTTCGCTGCCGGCGGTGCCGCTAAGCCCGGTCGCACGAGGAACATCGTCGAGGCCATGGAGGAATCTGGCAAGAACTGTGTCGTCTTCTACGGTTCTCAGACTGGTACTGCTGAAGACTATGCTTCTCGTCTCGCCAAGGAGGGTAAGAGCCGATTCGGACTCAACACCATGATTGCCGATCTTGAAGACTACGATTTCGATAACCTTGATACTGTTCCCAATGACAACGTCGTTATGTTCGTTCTTGCAACTTACGGTGAAGGCGAGCCTACCGATAACGCAGTCGATTTCTACGAGTTCATCACCGGTGAGGACGCTACCTTCGCTGAGGGTAACGATCCCGCTCTTGGCAACCTCAACTATGTCGCTTTCGGTCTCGGAAACAACACCTACGAGCATTACAATTCCATGGTCCGCAACGTTAACAAGGCTCTTGAGAAACTTGGTGCTCACCGCATCGGCGAGGCTGGTGAAGGTGACGATGGTGCCGGCACTATGGAAGAGGACTTTTTGGCCTGGAAGGATCCCATGTGGGAGGCCCTTGCCAAGAAGATGGGACTGGAAGAGCGTGAAGCCGTCTACGAGCCCATCTTTGCCATCAACGAGCGTGACGACCTGAGCCCGGAGGCCAACGAAGTGTATCTCGGTGAACCCAACAAGCTGCATCTCGAAGGTACCGCCAAGGGACCTTTCAACTCTCACAACCCCTACATTGCCCCTATTGCCGAATCTTACGAGCTCTTCTCCGCCAAGGATAGAAACTGCCTCCACATGGAAGTCGACATCAGCGGTTCCAACCTCAAGTACGAGACTGGTGATCACATTGCTATCTGGCCCACAAACCCCGGCGAGGAGGTTGACCGATTCCTGGATATTCTCGATCTCTCTGGCAAGCAGCACACCGTTGTCACCGTCAAGGCTCTCGAACCCACCGCCAAGGTCCCCTTCCCCAACCCTACAACTTACGATGCTATCCTGCGATACCACCTCGAGATCTGCGCCCCTGTTTCCCGTCAATTCGTTTCTACCCTCGCTGCTTTCGCTCCCACCGAAGATGTCAAGGCTGAAATGAACCGCCTCGGCAGTGACAAGGACTATTTCCACGAGAAGACCGGCCCTCACTACTACAATATCGCTCGTTTCCTCGCCAGCGTCAGCAAGGGTGAGAAGTGGACTAAGATTCCCTTCTCTGCCTTTATTGAGGGTCTCACCAAGCTCCAGCCTCGTTACTACTCTATCTCTTCCTCCTCTCTGGTCCAGCCTAAGAAGATCTCTATTACTGCCGTCGTCGAGTCCCAGCAAATCCCTGGCCGAGATGAACCTTTCCGCGGTGTCGCTACGAACTACCTCTTTGCCCTCAAGCAGAAGCAGAATGGCGACCCCAACCCAGCACCCTTCGGTCAGACATACGAGCTCACTGGTCCTCGCAACAAGTATGACGGTATTCACGTTCCTGTCCATGTTCGTCACTCCAACTTCAAGCTACCTTCGGATCCCGGCAAGCCTATCATCATGATTGGTCCTGGTACTGGTGTCGCTCCTTTCCGTGGTTTCGTCCAAGAACGTGCTAAGCTGGCCCGCGATGGTGTCGACGTTGGCAAGACTCTGTTGTTCTTCGGTTGCCGAAAGGCTAGTGAAGATTTCATGTATGAGAAGGAATTCCAGGTAAGTCATCAATGTCAGCCCAATACCCGTAAAACCGCTTACTAACTGGTTCCAGGAATACAAGGAGGCTCTTGGCGACAAGTTCGAGCTGATTACTGCCTTTTCTCGAGAGAGCTCCAAGAAGGTTTATGTCCAGCATCGTCTCAAGGAGCGCGCCAAGGAGGTCAGCGATCTGCTCTCCCAAAAGGCCTATTTTTACGTTTGCGGTGACGCTGCGAACATGGCCCGCGAAGTTAACACTGTTTTGGCGCAAATCATTGCTGAGGGACGTGGAGTGTCCGAGGCCAAGGGTGAGGAGATTGTGAAGAACATGAGATCGGCAAACCAATACCAGGTATGTAGTGGCTATATGCTGCCCCCCGCGTATTCCATTGGGAAACGTTTACTGACTGAGTGGCTTGCAGGAGGACGTTTGGTCATAAAAAAAGAAAGCATTGCTCGGCGGCATGCTGCATTTGGGTTTATAGGTGGCGATGACTTGTCGGGTTTCACGGCCGGCGTTCTGCTCCACTACTATCTATAATGATGGTAGTGATATCTGATGAGCATACATGAAGTAGACTCGGAATCTTTCTTGCGGGTATTAGATGGGTTGGTGTTGGGATTGACTGGTATATATGCGATAAATGGTTTGTGGCATCTACACTGTTGGTTGAATTACATGTCACATGTCCAGGGGACATTGGTTATGCTGCGTTGTCACGCCTTTTGGCCCAGCTAGATTCGAAGAAGCAAGCAGAAACAATTTATTCAAGTACAAAATCTTTGTGTTTAGCCTACTCGTGTTTGTAGAACATCGGAGTGTGGCATGTTGTGCGAGATCAAACGAGCCTCGATGTTTACCCTGCACCCACATGGCTAACAAGGCTTTCCGACCTCCCTAATCTGAAGCGTTGCATGATGCAATCGGATTGTTTATTTGTTCTCTGAAAAGATGTATGCAAGTCCGTGGAGAGCTTTGATTCGCTGCGAACCTGCATTCGCTCGGTACTTGAACAATCCTTTTATACTGGAGTAACACCGAGGGTGTTTTCACAACATTCGCACAAAGTCAGTCCCAAGGATCTGGAACTCACTTTGATTAGTAACTATAACGGTGATCTGATATATGGTCCAAGGCGGGGAAGCCTTCGAGAAGCATGTGGGATAGAACCTTAAGTCACCATGAATGAGCCGCAAAGTAACCTCCAACTGTCTGAGAAATGGGAGGCCGGGTGATTGTAGAGCCTAAACAGGATTGATTGAGCATTCGGCATAACTAGTGATAGAAGAAGAAAAGTCGCAACAGCTTATGAACATCACGTTCGCTGTCCAGGACTACCTACTAGGAGGTAGTAAGTACTTCTGCACCGAGGGCTCAATACATATTGCCCTAGCCTGACAACACCCAACAGGTCAATACATTACAACCATCAGGTAGCTTTAATCATATTGTTCGACGCTGGTCAAACAAACTTGACGATCATGGTGTGGATTATTGCAGGTAACCGCCTTGGGTATGCCATGCAGGCCGCCAAATCCAAATGTTGATATTTAGTACCTATTCAGCTCACAGTTACAGTTCGTGGCTGGGCCGAGTCAAGAGAGAAGATGGAAAGATGCCGCTTCAAGGCCGACGAGACTAAGCAGCACCAACCAATTCGAGAATGAGCTGCATATCATTGATACGTACCATTCAGAACGCCATATGGAAACGAATGGAAAAAGCAATTCAATACACTACAGCCAATCGCAGTAGATAGATGTTAGGTATTGACCCAGGAGCTAGGGTAGCCGTTTGAAGAGAACAGTAGTGTCCGTAAAAAGACGACTTGTAGGGCCACTCATGCATAGATGTTCGTGACAATGTACGCAGGAGATGCAGAACACCCGTCTTGAAGAGGAACCTCGCTCCTTTATCCGAGCAACAAACGATGCATACCAAAGCCGAACAGGGAGGGTCGGTATAAACTTAAGCTCACAAAATGAAGTGATAGGCAGTCTGAGTTTGCAGACGAGTGTTTGCGTGGAGTGCACCAGGGGAAACATAGATGGATAGAAAAGGAGAGCCAATACGCAGCAAATTTGCAAGAGCACCGACAACCTACCCAGTACAAGTAAAAGAGCAGTTGCAGTATTTGCAGAAACCGAGGCATTTTAATCTTGTGTTTGACTGTTCTTTGTCGCTGGAAGATATCGCGATATCCAGATTACCGACGCCGTACGTGCCAGACACGACGCTTCCATCTACTGAGAACCTTGGGAAGTTGCTTTCCATCTTTGAATGCTTCAAAAACCTCTACTTTATCGAGGTAAGTGTTATGATCTACTCTGATCCTTTCCTTCTCGATGGCAGGCAGGCATGACGCGGACCTAGGTCGGGGATTCGCTCGTCCACGGTCGTTTTCAGGCCCCTTCCTTCCTTAACGTCCGGGTCTTGGATAAAAAGTCTGGCATCTCAAGCAATTGGGCCCATACCTCCTTCCCTTATTGCATTGCGTTGGTAGCTGGTCCGGGCTCACCTCCCAGTTCTTGCCAGTGCCAGCTGTAAACCTTCCTTCACCGGGCGATGCCACTGCCAGATGACTGTTCTCGCTCTGCATTTAATTTCAATTTCTACTCATCGACCAAATAAACTCTATTCTCTTCTTCTGTCCCACTTTCTCATTGTCATCATCCATTGTTAGGCACTTTCTGTCGCGCAACATCAACTACATTCATCTTTTGGCATCGATTCAAGCATCATTCTTGCCTATTCATCAACACTACATCATTCCACTTGCAGCAGTGCTTCTTTCCGACATTTTCCTTTTTGTATTCTTGGGTAGGTGCTCGCGGCCGATCTATATCCCCTTCTCCATATCCCTCTCCTCCATCTTCCTCTTCTCTTCCTCTTCCATCTTTCTCACAACAACATCACCTCCAATCCTTCAATCTCCTTCGTTCCCATCTTGCACGGTATCGTGGACTATCTTACTTACTTTCACTTCATCTCAGTCTTGGTACTCCAGAGTTCGCCATCATCGGCTTCTTTCAGCCTGCTTTGTCCATCAGGTGCTTGACCATCAACCAAGCCCTCGAGGTACGTTTGGTTCCTTACTTCCGTGCACCATGACTTCTCTCTTCCCCTATCATACCACCACTGGTCTCTCGATCACTACCTTCGAGGTGGCTACCCACTGCCCAAGGACTTGATTCTTATTAGCATCGGATACATCTTGGAGCTCGTCAGCTACTCCTCCAGCAGTATCCCTCTTCATGTTCTGTTGCCACCCATGGACTGTTCAGCTAACTTGGAAACATAGCTAGATTTTCACACATCCCCGATTATTCGCATCTTGAACTGCTCTTTGCAGCCGATCTGTTGTTTGTAAGGTAAGAGAAGCCCATCACTCATATCATCTGTCCCCCTACTTCACATTGGATTCCACCTCACTGGACCTTGCAATTCCCATCTTGGTTTCTCGCTCCATGAACACCGACTAACATACAATGAAATCAGATATCTCAAGAATACATCTTCATTCAACGACGATCATGGAATCCAGCACTGTTGCAGCACCTTTTCTCTCCAACCAGTCCGATCGACGACCTCAGCATCTTGCTATCCCTGGGTCTGCCGACCACAACGCTTTGATGAACCAATTCCACGGCTTGAGCCTCGCTGGCATGGGCATGTCTGCCCCTCAAGCTGGATCTGTTGCCATGCAGCCACCTTACATGGTTTCCCCTGATGGCCTTATCCTTGCCCCCATGCAGGGTGCTCAGCCTTTGTCCATGAACCATCCCAATGAGTCAAACTATTCTGGCTATCAGATCAACGGAGGCTATGCCGGCCCATATGCACTTCCCGGACCCCTTATTCCATTCACCCCAGCTCGTGCCAACGCTGCAAACCCTCGTGATCGAACCCAGTCAGATGTTCCCGGTTTGGAGAATCGCCGTGGTTCTTACTCGACCACAGAGTCTGCCCCTGCCACTCCTTTCTATGGAAGCTGGCACCCTCGCGAGCATGGTCCCCGGGTTCACAGTGACCGATCTGCTTACACCACACCATCACCTCACCAGCTCCTGGTTGCCCAGCACGCCGAGGCTGCGAACAAGCCAAAGCCCTCCCCTGTATCTGAACGCGCGCTGGATGAGCTTCTGGCAAAGAACCCAGCTATTCCCCAGGCAGTACCCGCCGTCTTCACTCCCGCAGGTCATATGAAGAGCCTCGAACAGAGCCTTGAGAACCGAATTCCTGGCAACCGCAACGTCTACATCCGCGGTCTCCACCCCACCACCGACGATGAACTGCTGTTCCATTACGCCTCTCGTTTTGGTGACGTCGAGACCTCCAAGGCCATCATTGACACCGGTACAGGCGCTTGTAAGGGGTAAGTTATCTGTGCATCAACCTTCATTCAGAGGAAAGCTGACCGAGACTAGATTTGGGTTTGCCAAATTTTACGAGGTATCCCAGTCCGAGATGTGCATCCGCGGATTCCACCGCCTTGGATATGAAGTTGGTTTCGCTCGGGTATGTTCCCCCAGCATATGGGTCATGGCCAAGCCGAAACTAACATCCTACCAGGAATCCTTCAACTCTCGCCTCAAGGCTGAAGGCGATGAGCTCTCAACCAACCTCTACATTTCCAACCTGCCCAAGTCCTTGACCGAGGTGGTAAGTTCATTCCAATTATCGCAACTGGCTGTGAGATCCTGACTCTCCCTAGGAACTTGGTGTCATCTTCCGGGGCTACACCATCTTGTCCAGCAAAATTCTTCGCGACAGCATGGGCAATAGCCGAGGTGTTGGTTTCGCTCGGTATGTCCAAACTATCAGAAATTTGAGCCACACTAACAACAGACAAGCTTTGAGAATCGCGACGTTTGTGATGATGTGATCGACAACTTTCATGGCCAGCCTGTTGGCGAGGAAGGTCTTCTCATGAACATTCGCTATGCCGATACCCCAGCCCAGAAGGAATTGAAGCGTGTCACCGCTGAGCGCCGCCAGTTCCGAACCAACGAGTACAACATTGGTGCCTACGGTACTCCTCTCGTCGGCTACGGTGGCTCCATGTTCCCCCATCATGCACAGAACCGACGAGCGGCAGTCCCTATTACCCGCCCGTAGGTACAAAACTTCTTATTCTTCACAGCGATGCTAACACTTTTCCAGTCCTATGTCTGCGGACCACACTGGATCTGATACCAGCGATGCGGATCGACGTGCGGGACCTCAGCGTCAACCCACTGGGTATGAAGCGGGATTGTTGGGTCGTGAAATTTTGAGGTTTATCTAACCTTGAAACTAGAACAGCTCCCAACTTGTCCGCCGATGACGCAGTCGTCACGCCCACGTCGTCCGAGTGTGGTGAGAACACGACCGTTCGTGCTGAGACCATTGTCGCTGGTACCTCTTTCGACGCATCCCCTTCTCTCAAGAAGGAACCCAAGAAGGAAGTTTAAACTCACAGTTCTATCAACAATTGGCTACCGACTTCGTATGGTCGGCCATGCCCGTACTCGCGCTTTTTCATCAATTTTCTTTTCTGCTTTTTGAGGCGTCTGGCTCGACATCGAGACATAAGCAATCGTGCAACATCTTATGGTATAAGTAGATGTTACACTGGGGAGATTCATGCCATGATTTTGATGTCATGAGCTTTTGTAGCTTAGATTCGGGGTCACTTGTACCAGACGAAGGCGTTTAGAGCAGATCTTTATTAATGTCATAGAATCCTTCAATTGTTTGCAGAGTCAGTGATGTGTAGAACAGAAGATCATGGTGAATATTGATCATAGGCGCATCTCGTAAAACATGGGTATCATTGTATCATATCTAAACTGCCAGCTTTGACATGCTCTCCTCGACAGGAGCATCATCCTTTGAATTTATGACATCTGCGCCGAGTAGACCGCCCGATGTTTGGCCGTCTTGAGGATCATCCGACTCTTCCTCACCATCTTCGTCTTCATCTTCGGACTCGTCCTCTTCATCCTCATCGTCACCTTTTTGAGCCGTTTCCTCAACCTTCTCCTTAATAGCAGCCTCAAGGTCTTTCAACATCTTCTTTGTGAAGCCAGATGCCAGTTCTGTAGCATCGAGTCTCTTCAGGCCCTCCTTCATCATCGCCTTCTTAGCATGTTTGAAGAATGGACCAGGTTCGGTCGGCACAAAGTGAAATCTGCGTTCGAAAAAGCGCTTGATGCAGTTGACGTCCCGATCAAAATACATTTCGGCGTTTTGGTGCTCCATAGAAACCATCTGTGGGAAATCAATGACAACGGGCTCCAGAGTAAGCACCTCCTCGCCCTCTTCCGATTTCGTTATGTTCTCCTTAATAAGGATATTGAACTCGTTGAAATCGCCATGAATCAGTCCATGCTTGGCAAGTCGAAGTAGAAGAGCAATCAGTTCGCCGTACAGGGACGCTGGGTCGGGGACCTCGGCGATTTGTCGAAGGGGAAAAGCGTCTATCAAGGACATGACAATTGTGTGTCGAGATTGTGCAAATGGTTCGGGGACAGGTAAGCCCACCTCGCGCAGAGCCTTCATGAAAGCAAACTCTTTCATAGCTGCTAGTCTGGAGAGGTACATCCATGAGCCGGATTGTCGCTTTTTGAGGTAGTCTCGGTTCGACTTGACGGATCGGAAAGAAATACGGCCTAGTCGGTGGATCTTGAGAATTCGTTGAGTGCCTGTGTCGTCTGCCACGATCATAATATCACTTTCTTTGCCCACACCGACTCGGTCCCCTACACTGTAGACCTCTTTCTTCTTGGCATAGGTATGGAGGGCGAGGTAGTCAAGACCACCATATGTAAGTCGGTAACCGTCGTACTTTGCTTCCTTAACGCGGGCAATGAGGCCGACTTTGGCGAGAGCCGAGATACTCCTGTGGACGCTACCAGCACCACCTCGGAGGTGCGAAATCTTCTCGATCAATGATGTGGGTACAAGTTCGTGGTTTTTGCTTCCTTGTTCAACCTATAATTCCGTATAAGTCCAGTCCATTTGCGACCATGATGGCCAGGATATATGTACTTACAGCAGCCAAAACTTTCCAATCCTCTGCGGCGAGGTAGCGCATGTGTTTTGTGTCTAATTTCATGGTGAAGTCGTTTCTCAGAAAGTTCGGAATATATGATGTGCTTTCCTGTCCACGAGATTTTGGTGTTTAATTGACGTTTTTGTTCGCTGATGCTTGGAGGGGTTCTTCAGATGGTGGGGTTATTTTTTTTTATCAAGATCTTATCGCGAACAACCTTGACAACCGCTTTGACCTCGACAACCATGTGGGTCTCGTAGCCAGCAGCACGTGATGAGGCTGGCCAGGCGGCAGCGCCTCGCGTAACCCAGCAGAGCTACCTACAGCAAAGCATTGAGCTTAGCCAAGCAGCCCTCCATCACCTTCCAACTACGACGACCAACAACCACGACTCCATCGATAATTGACCTTGCGCGTTGTGATCACTGAGTATACAGCTCGGTCACGCATAGAGAATTATATCCCGACTTGTTTTTACACCTCCAATTTATTCAGTGAAGCTCTACAAGCGCCTAAGCCGTCGACGTCAACATGGCTCAAGACAGCGAAGTGCCAAAGGCGGCTGACAAGGGCAAGGGCAAGGCCGTTGACGATGCCAAGAAGGACAAGCAACAGACAAATGGAAAGGAGGACGAGAAGATCGAGAGTATGGGATCCCCGCCGTTTCGCGAAGCAATGTTGTACTGACTAGGGTCCAGCCGCTGAGGAAGAGCTCAATGAGGAAGATCAACAACTCAAGAACGAGCTCGACTTGATGGTTGAGCGGTTGACTGTGAGTTATTATAGAATTGATCTGCTACGTACCGTTCTAAACTTTGTATAGGAGTCAAACTCGGAACTCTATAAGCCCGCCCTGGAGGCCATGAAGACCTCGATAAAGACGTCGACGTCATCCATGACAGCAGTTCCCAAGCCCCTGAAATTCCTACGACCACACTACGAGACTTTGACGAAGCTTTACGAACAATGGCCCGAGAGCGAAGACAAGACTTCGTTGGCAGATGTGCTCTCCGTCATCGGCATGACTTTCTCAGATGAGGACCGACAAGACACACTTCATTACCGACTCCTCGCACCTACATCCGACATCAGCTCATGGGGACACGAGTACACCAGACATCTTGCTCTCGAGATTGGCGAGGTGTATATTAAGCGAATTAACAACGAGGAACAGACCAAGGATTTGATCGATCTCGCGCTTGTCTTGATTCCTCTCTTCCTCAAGAGCAACGCCGAGGCCGATGCAGTGGATCTCATGAGTGAGCTTGAAATCATCGAGGAGATGCCCAAGTTCGTGGATGAGAACACCTACGCCCGCGTGTGCCTTTACATGTCCTCCATGGTCAACCTGCTCACTTACCCCGACAACGAGACCTTCCTCAAGACCGCGCACGATATTTACATGGAATACAAGCAGTTTGCGCAGGCTATTGTCCTTGCGATTCGACTACACGACATCGACCTTATTAGGGCCGACTTCGAGAAAGCCGAAGACCCTGCTCTCAAGAAGCAGCTTGCCTTCCTCATTGGTCGCCAAAGAATAGCTCTTGACATCGAAGACGACTCGGACGAGAGTGATGCGATCGCGGAGTCTCTCAGCAACATTAAGCTATCAGAGCACTTCAAGTCACTAGGCAAGGAGCTAAACATCCTTGAGCCCAAGTCCACCGAGGACATCTACAAGAGCCATCTTGAGAGCAGCCGTGTCGCAGGAATGACAAACCTTGATTCTGCCCGACACAATCTTGCAGCGGCATTTGTCAATGCCTTCGTCAACGCAGGATTCGGAAACGATAAGATGATGCTTGTTGACGGCGAGAAGGAGACGTGGGTGTGGAAGACCAAGGCCGACGGCATGATGTCTACCGTGGCTTCCATGGGAACCCTTTTGATGTGGGACATTGAGAACGGGCTTGACAAGATCGATAAGTACACATACTCCTCTGAGACCGAGATCTCGGCTGGTGCCATGCTTGCTATTGGAATTATGAATTCCGGTGTGAGAATGGACTCTGACCCAGCTGTTGCCCTCTTGGCCGATAGCGATAAGCTACACCACCCTGACCCCCTCATTCGAACAGCTTGTATCATGGGTCTCGGACTGGCATATGCCGGATCGAATAAAGAGGACATCCTCGAGCACCTCCTACCCATGATCTCTGATTCTTCTTATGATATGCAGATCTCGGCAATGGCTGCTCTGTCCTGTGGTCTCATCTTTACTGGCTCCTCTCATCCCGAAATTAGCGAAGCTATTGTCACCACCCTAATGGACGACGACCGCAAGAGCCAATTGACCGACAAGTGGACACGATTCTTGGCTCTTGGCCTAGGTCTTCTCTTCTTTGGCCGACAAGAAGAGGTTGACGTCATCCTTGAGACCCTCAAGGCTATTGAGCATCCCATGGCCAAGTCCACCGCCGTGATGGCTGAGATCTGCGCTTGGGCTGGCACAGGTGCCGTTCTCAAGATTCAGGAGCTTCTGCATATTTGCAATGAGCACCAAGAGGAGACCGATGAGAAGAAGGGTGACGAACTACTACAGGCTTATGCCGTTATCGGTATTGCTCTCGTGGCAATGGGCGAGGATATTGGTCAAGAAATGGTTCTGCGACAGTTCGGTCACCTTATGCACTACGGTGAAGCCAACATCCGCAAGGCTGTACCTCTCGCTATGGGTCTTATCAGCCCCAGCAACCCTCAAATGAAGGTCTACGACACACTCTCAAGATACAGTCACGACAACGACCCTGAGGTCGCCATCAACGCCATCTTTGCCATGGGTCTTTTGGGTGCCGGCACAAACAACGCCCGCTTGGCCCAACTGCTGCGACAACTTGCTAGCTACTACCACCGTGATCAAGATGCTTTGTTCATGGTGCGAATTGCTCAAGGTCTCCTCCACATGGGTAAGGGAACTCTGACAATCAGCCCCTTCCACACAGACCGACAGGTTCTATCCCGCGTCTCGGCTGCCGGTCTGCTCGCTACCCTTGTTGCCATGATCGAGCCCAAGGAGTTCATTACCGGACAGTCTCATTACCTCCTATACTTCCTTGTCACCGCCATGCACCCTCGCTTCCTTGTCACACTGGACGAGAACCTCAAGCCGCTTAAGGTCAACGTTCGCGTTGGTCAGGCTGTCGATGTCGTCGGTCAAGCTGGTCGTCCCAAGACCATCACTGGTTGGCAAACTCAGAGCACACCGGTGGTGCTTGGATATGGTGAGCGGGCGGAGCTTGAAGATGAGGAGTACATTAGCCTCAACAGCACCCTTGAGGGCCTGGTGATCTTGCGGAAGGTAAGTTTAGCAACCCACACATGATTTCTTTATAGATACTAACTGTTTTAGAACCCTGAGTGGGAAGCTGAGAAATAGACGGTTTGAACTTGTTTAGAGCACGGTGCCGGTTACAAGGACAGACCTAATTAAACTGTATTTTATGGTAATCTGCCGTAAGCGCAGCAAAGAAAGGGGCAGGATTGAACATTCGATAGACGTAAAAACCGGGTTCCCATTTTGAACTCGTTTTCAGCGTAACTGTACTATGCTGGTTCGTGTAGAACCAAACCCAAAATTGTTCATGCTGTGCTCGTAGATGCCAATCAAAGATTCGTAATGACATGTTGCTAATGATGCCCACAATCATGGACTCGATCTATCATTGTAATTCCCGAATAATAATCTTAAATCTATATGCAATGCTTGCCAATTCCATCGTTCAAACGCCAGCATGAAAAACAGAATATCACCATGTCTTGGGTCCAAAATGCTCACCCTCCGGGACGGTGTTATATGAGCAAGCTTGCCAGTCGCAACCCTGCTTGTATACTTCAGTACCCCACCACTTGAGATTTTGCGCAAAGCCAGGATAAATAAAGCCGAAAAAGACAACCACAATACCAAATGCAAGGCCAGAATCGAGAGCAGCACTCAGAGTCATGGTGTACTTGCTCCACCAAGCGTTGTGGCGGTTTTTGATAACATAATTGAAGATATAGCAGACGAGCACCCAGACAGAGAAGTTGAGACCCGTTGCAGGGGGTATCCACGACATGGCGCCAAAGATGACAGGGAGGTTGACCTTGCGCAGAATGCTTGAGCGGTGACGTCGACTGTAGAGCCATAGAGGAATCGGCAGGAGGGCGCCGAGCGGGAAGAACCAGACCAGGGATCGATAAATGGCCTTTGGACCGAAGAATTCGTTAGGCCCGACGACTCCCCACAAAATGGAGCCGTTGAAGTGGACTCTAGCGATGGGACATGTGAAGCCGTTTATTGCCTCAGAAGTGCAGATACCTCTGATATTGGCAAACATCCAGTTGAGCACACCAATCTGGGTCAAGGAGGATACAAGAGTAGCCACGATTTGGACCAGGAAAAGGATTCGCGGAGGGATCTTCATGTAGTGGCCGAGCTTGAGATCAGATGCGAACTTGATACCCTGTGCCGATGAGATATAGCCGTATGTTACGAAGACCATGTTGGCAATGGGTCGACCTGGAAAGACGACACCGCAGATGAGTTGGCAGATGAGGTAAATGCTGCTGTGCTGGTTTGTCACGGCCATGATGATGCCATTGGGAATGAAGAAGAGAGCTCCGAGGGCGAGGGCGAGCAGAAGACCGTACCAAGGCAAATGGACAGGATAGCTAGGTTGGTTAGTAAATCGACTATAGGGGTTTGGGTGTAAGCACACTTACTATTCGACGACAAAGATTCCAATAGCAGTCATGGAGAGGAATGTGATCAAGTACCAACTCAGGGGAGCATCCTTGTATCTCTTCATGAGCTTGCTATGGATATCCTCACGACTAATGATCCCATCAACATGTGAGGCGGATGACATCCGTCTACCGGTTGAGTCGGTTGACTGCCGAGGCGGTGATCCAGGGGAGTCTGCGACGGGCTCGTACTTGGGTTGCCCATCTTCGCGAGCCTCCTCCAAGGCGCGTTTCCAAGATGTCCAGATATCTTTACCATGCCAACAAGCGGTATGTGTCAAAAGAGCAGATAGACCAGCGAACTGAACACCATAACTCAAGACATATGTGATTGGAAGAAAGACTCTGCTGTAGTTATGATACGCCTCTCGATCGAAGAGGAATTCGGGCGTAAGGATCTTGCTGACATCGTAAACCTTTCCAGTATTGTCGAACACAGCCGCGGAGAGGATTGGCATATACGAAGAGAAGAGAACGTTGCTGTAGTATAGGATAGGCGCAATGATCCACATCACCACAGCAAGACCTCCAATAACGTTCATGGCTGCCCAGAAAGGGACCAGTAGTGGTGAACCGACGTAAGTGACCTGAGCCCAGTCGAAAGTCAGGGGAAATAGGCCGAGGCCAGAAGAAACGCCAAACAGGTTGGCGATAACAACGTTCTTGGGGGCAAACCAAGTGATAACGTTGAAGTAACTGAGTGCTGGCATGAGTAGTCCAGGCAAAAAGTAAAAGAGGAAGGACACAGTCCACACAATGTAGAAGAACTTCCACCTGCTGATGGTCCAGCCTCCAGCAGGCTTATTCTCTTGTTTGTGAAGGGTCGAAAACATGGCTGCCGACATCAGAGTTCCAGGCCAAATCATACCGCTGGGTCGAACGAGGAATCGTCGGGTTAAACCTGCGAAACCATAACCAAGGATCTGCGTGGATATAGTAAGAAGAAGCTGGTACACTATAGGAGCTTCCTGGTTGTAGAATTGAGTTTGCTCGACGATAACGTCTGTCGCGAAAGCAAAACCAAAAGCAACATTGCTGCTAACATAAACGCACGTATGCTCCTTTTCGTTCCAACGGCCTTGCGCAAGCCACCTCCTCACACGAGTGCGTTTCTCAATCTTATGTGCACTATGCGCATCGTCGCTAACAGATGGTACTCGCACACCGTCAACGAACTCTTCTTCAGGGTCGTAGGGTCGCTTTAGCACGAAATCCCACAGGTGTCCAAGAGGATGGACAAGCAATAAAGCAATAACTGGAGTAATGGCAACACTGGGGTATCTTAATGAGAAGAACAAATTGGTCGAGGAGCCGAGAATGGCGAATATGACGGAGAGACACCACATGCGCGGTGTGTTTATGGAGAGAGTGGTGTTGTCTGTGGGCGGAACCGAAGCGCGAACGGCCTCGTGAGGAGAGTTTTCTAGATATTCGGTATCTGAGGCAGCGGAAGAAGCGTCGTCTAGCAATGCGCTATCCTCAGACTGGTCGTCTTTCAAGCTGCCATCGAGAACAGCAGGATGTGTAGGTTCACCAAGACCCATACGGCCCTCAAGGCCGGAAACTAGGACGGCGCCATCGATCTCTTCTGACAATCTCGAGGAGGACTTTTTGCTGAGTCCGGAGCGGTGCGAGGTCTCGCTGCGCATTGTATCGGTAACTTGACGAAGTTGGTGAGAGTCAGGATCATATCTATCACTGCCAGCAGGAGAATTATTGCGACTGGGCGTTAGCGATACGGAGCCGTAGGGAGCTGCGTCGGAGCGGGCGGCGGCTGAGCGCAAGAAGGGCGTCTTCTTGGAAGCCATGTCTAGGTCGGCGACTGATGGTTGAGGCGTAGCATCTAGATTGTCATCTATGTCGGTATGTTCGAGGGACGACAGAGCTGCATTGTGATCGTCGACGAGAAGTTTTGGAGGAGTAGAAGAAGAAGCAGCCGGGGTAGCAGAAGTAGTTAATAATGGCAGAGGCATATGAGAGGCCGGAGCCTGATACGGCAAGACATGGCCCTGGTCTTGTTGGACTGGGTGTGAGGGTGAGACAGTCACAGTGGACCTGAAGGTGGAGGATGAGGACGAGGATGTTAGGGGCTGAAGGGCAACGTCCTGGCGGAGCGTCGGGGAATCATCAGCAACCCTGTCTACGTCTCCGACTCTCTGTGCTAGGGACGAAGACGCTGAAGACTTGCGGCTAAGGCTTCGTTTGCTTTTGCTGGATGAAGAGGAAGAACTGGTGGTGTGTTTGCCCATAGCGGGGAGGGGCGTGTGTCGTGTGTCGCGTATCGAGGCTACCAACTACTAGGTATTAGGTATCAGAAGAAGCCAAGGCAAAGCAGCAAGTAGGTAGGTATCCGTAGCGGGGCGTGATCGATGGGCATCAGCTATCATCGATCTGGACTGGTTTAGGCACAGGTAGGTATGGAGCAGCAAAGCAAAAGAAAGGGTCCTTTTGTGATAGGGTAGTCACTGTAGCTAGTGGCTAGTGTATACTTCTTTGCTGGATGATAGGTAGAATTGCTAATAAACGAATGAATTGAAGCAGACAAAAGGAAAGTAAAAGCAAGGCTACGGCGTTATGGATGGGAATTGTTTACAGAGTACAGGTACGCTAAACAGGCAGCCCTGTCTCCTCTGGACGGATACGCGTGGGGAGCCCAAGGGTTTTGAGTGGGTGACCAGGATTAGGCGGAAAGACAAGGGAGTCGGTGACGGGATGACGCATTCTATTTAGTTGATTAAATATTCTTCGACTTCAGTAGCCATTTTATGTTTCATGCACTAGAGTCATTATATTCAAGTGAAGAGAAGTTGTTATGGCGCTCAAGGTAGACAGACTCTAACAGTAGACATCCGTCTGCCATCTACCATGATAATGGTTGCATGACTTGTCAAAACACTTCCTTTACAGGTGTGCAAGGAATGGAAATTTATCCAATTGGATTGCAATAATTGCGGGAGGCTGCCGAAGCCAAGCACTATTCCACAGGGTATTTGCTGTTGCTGTTACTGCATAGAATCCTTCTACTAGAAGGGTCATGGCCAGAATGGGAAACGCACCGTCTTGCCCTTGTTCAGTTGGTAATTGACGTGCTGTGATAGGATGCGCAAGTGAAGATTTTGTACCAGGTCTGTGATGTGAAGCGATGCGATAGCCCTGCTAGGCTGTATTGCATGTGCATGGGGTTTAGCATCACAGGTCTACATTATATCAAGTGAAGTGCTTCACAAATCCGAGCCTGGTGCTCTCCATCATCGTAGGCCGATGGCTTCTTCCTTCAACTCTTCTTCCGGCCTCTCAAAAGGGCTTTTCTTCTTCAATCTTCGCAGAGAATATTCCATGTTTATCCTTGGGGGATTCCTGCTGCCGATTAGTCTCCGGCGGCCCTTTGGGAATCCGGCGGGGCCTCTTCAAGCGAACCTCGCATCCTGAAAGAAGGTCTCAACGTCTCTGCACGGTCTTTTGTCTTTTCAAACGGGTTCCTTATAAAGCTTCATCCTAGATATCGCTTCAACCCATGTCCTCGTTCCCGAAACGCACGGAGCATCATATCTTGACGTGCGTATCTGCATGTCTAATCCTAACGTTGTTAGATGTCATATAAAATAGGGTTCAACACCAGGAACGGACAAACTATATTCTTATAAGTCAATGTCGACGACTATTTTAGTATTGCCTTTCCTGTAATACTCCTCAGCAGTACAATACTATAGTATCAAGTACATGTCGTCTTCTTACTCTTCCAGCTGAGTGTCAATCATTTCGCCACTATCAGCTTCTAATGCAACCCAACTTCTGCCAATTCATCAAGATCATCATGAATTCTATTTATATCCTTCCCAAAGAAAGCCTGTCGACGATCAAGACGTGGCATGCCGCTATTATCTTCAACTGACCTCATACCAAAAGCAATCATGCAGCAAGCAACGCGTAAGATAAGTTGATCAACATGAATCAATTCAAATTCAGTAAACTACAGTAAATCAAATCCATCCAGGTATCTACCATTCCGCAGCTATATCCTCCCAGCCGCTTTTTATCCATGCCTTGCCAGGTATTCCTCTGGCCGCGCCCATAACGCCAATTTCATAACATTCGTTTATCATGTCCTCAAACAAAAGGTATCGTAAACAAGTTAATCCAATTCTTCTTCCAACCCTGCGTATTCTGTCGGGCTGGGTAACGTACTCTCCGTCAAAGAGGAGTGAATAGAGTAGAGTGATGCCAACCAGCAATCAAACATGGTCGCAACCTTTTGCGCCTCCGCGTTTGATGGTTCTTGCCTGGTTAATTGATCGCGCAGTCGTTCGTAAGCCTCGATCATGACCCATATCTGCAAAGCTGCCGTGTTCTGTCCGTTGCGCAGGGGTCGGCCTGACATAACGGATGATAATTCGCTCGTAAGTAAATCAAGCGCTATTTGGAGACTGATGTTGTCCTGGAATGAGTGCCCCGATGATGACGGGGGTCTGAATTCGTCTGTCCAGGAGTGTCTTGGTGTTCCCGGGTATTCGGGAGAAGGTGGTGGTGAGAGAGAATAGGGCTTGAAGTAGATATCGTCGCCTGCAACTGCAGCCACGTTCGTATCGTGAGTAGGTGCAGATCTGAGTCTGGGTCTCAGCTGACGGGGTACAGCCGTCATTGATGAGTAAGTATTTGATGTTCGCATGCTCTGAGATCGCTTTGCTGCATACGGAGGGATTTGGAGAGGAGTGTCGTCGAATGAGTATTGCGATGCGCGGGATGGTATTTGTGAGTCCAGCGCTGGAGGGCCATCTCTTGATTCGAGAAGAGCGCTGTATTGATCAGCGATCAACTCGACACTCGATGTCTTTTCTGGTGTATCTTTTGCTTTGCGCGCAAGGGCATGTTGCTCTAGTTGACCAATTCTAAAAACGGGTGTCTTTGCTTGACGGCGCATGGCTGATGAGGTTGAAGTGGTTGATGCTGTCGAAGGGTAGGATGCACTATCCAGCGATGGCCGAGCCTTGTGTTCATGGAGAGTTAAATGATGAAATTCGGGAATCTGACGCTGAGATGACTGTCTTTGTGGCGGAGGGCTGAAGAAAGCTCTCGGTTCAGGCTCGGGGTCGGGATGTTGCACCGGCTGATGTCCTTGAGGTGAATACATTTCATGTTCATAGACCTCCTCAGATTCTGGTAGTGAAGGAACAAAAACAGTTTTAGGTCGAAGATAATGATCCCATTTAGAGTCGCTCAAGTCAGGCGCACCATTTGACATCTGACGTTGCGAAGGTGAGGGAAAGGTTGTGCTCTGAGGGCTTAGACTGGCCATGGTAGAAGATGAGTGAGAATCGGTAGAGCCACGCTTGGCCTTGTTGAGACTTTTGAGCTTGGGGTCGGGTTTCTGGAGTTTGCGCCTCGGCGGCTTTAGGCTGTGACTTCTTCCGAGGTTGTTTTCCATGATGGGCGATGGGATATTTCAGTATTTGGCATTAATAAATGTGAATAGACGCTCAAGTTGTGTGTTGAAGTTACGTTAGTGGATCGTTGAGTGAAGCGGTGTGTTTTGGTTGATGGTCACGTTGAGAATCTATAGCAGCAGTCACGGGAAGATAATAGATCTGAGTTATATGACGAAGTGCAGAGAGAAGGGAAAAAGCAAATGTGCAGCAGACCAGATCAAGAACTGCCATCCTTACGAGGTACGTAGACTAACAATATCCTGGTATAGTAAAGTAGAGCCGAGAATGGATTGAACCACTCTCCAAGGTCTTACCGCTTCCCTGGCCCAAGTGGCTTCAGACCTGCATGTTAGATTACAAGGCCCCAATCAAGAGACCACGAGGGAGAGCAAAATACAAGAGGTACCCACGTCATGGGTCACTGAAGCGGAGAGTGCCCAGTGCCCCAGCTCTTTAAAGAGGGAGAAGGGTAGAAAAAAGGGTTGGGGACAGGGATCATGACCTGCAATATGCAATGCAAGTTGGAAGCAACTTTTCAACTTTTTCTGGTAGCGAACTACTGTAGTCATAGTCATGGTTCATAAGAACACCCACAGCATAGTCTGGGCATACAGGGCTGTAATGACTGATTGAGTACTGAATGCAACTCAAGAGATGTAATACATACCTAGGTAGGTACAGATAGGTAGCAAGGCACATATTCTACGGAAACAAAAAAACAAGATTCATATCCACCACCCTCTCTCGGGTACCTACCTAAGGTACAGTACCCTACTATTGGTCTTGTTCCAGAACCTGATCAGAAGACTCAGACACACCACATCCAGCATTCCATTTCTGCAGCGGTGAAGAAGCCACTGAGGTGATAATCTACCAAAGTTAGTCAGGACCAGGACCCTGTCTCGTCTCTTAGAGGGCAGAAGGGCAAAAGGGCAACACCACTAGAGAAATAAGGTGCCCTAGTTAAACGGTTGTCAACCCGAATGGCCCTGGCGCGTCGCGTGTTTAGCTTGACTGATGTCATGTGTGTAATATCTAGGTGCCTAGGTAGAGAAGACCTGGACCCTTGAGAAGGCCTGAGCTCATTATCACGATTACCGGACCGGAGACAAGGGAGTCAGACCCGGCTGGGACCGAGACCGAAACCCTACGTGTCCTGCTTGTCCCGTCCTTGGCTGATGCAGTGAAACCGTCTGTCTCTCTTTTGGATGTTTATTTGTATGTACGCGATTCGACGTGTCTGTCTTTGGTGAGTTGAGAGAAGCGCAGGGCTGCTGCTGCTGAGCTCTCCCTTACACCGCGGCATTTGATTTGAGTCTCGAACACGAGAATTCCTTCTTCCTTTTCTCTTCGGTCTTATATATTCCTCATTGTCATTGGTTTCTTTGGTTCGGACATATCAGGATAGTAGAATCAAGACCTCGGTGGTTCCTTTTGTTAGGAACTTTTTGTTGTTTTTAATGAACAGATGGAACACGAGAAGAAGGCTTGAGTCGAAAAGTCAATTAATCAATACAGTGTTGGATGTCTAAGATACTGTGACGGATACTGTATGCCTTTCTCGGGTGGCTGAGAAATGGCTCGTTGCTTGGTAGGACTAGAATGACAGTCAGGTAGGACATATCTGAGACATTACTTTGACTTCCGATGGCTTGTGATATAAACATTCGGAAATCAGTATTAGATACAAAATGGCCTCCTATAAGATCAGCCAATGTCTTCGTGTTGTATGGCTTCTCGTATCACTTATACATGTTTAGAGGGAGGGTGAGGGGTAAACTGACTCGGATCAGATCCATTGGATCGCGGGGATATATCGTGGGGTCAGACATTGACATCCATTCTAGCACAGACGATTTCCAGTTCATCAGTTCAATCCTGGACTCCGCTCAGCTCAGCTCAACGAACTCGGGCCACTGAAAGTAAACCCCAAATCTAACCACTAAAAAGATCACGAGACAGACTCTCCAATACTAGACCCTGTCCTGCGGGGGGAAGACCGAGAACAGTTCACTCTGTTCTCATGTACAGAGATGGGGTCACTATCGCGGGGGCGGGTCTTTAATATCTGTTTGTTAGAGTGGTATCAGTGAGTACTCCAATAGCCCCTTAAATTTACAGTGCTAGACAAGTATTCTTGGTCAGTGACTAAACCCCATAAACCCCCAAAACTCACAATCCACCCCCAACTTCTCTCCCCTCAACCCCAAGCATTCTCTATCGGCAACAACTTGCCGCTTCCTCATGATACAAATTCATGTTCATGGGGGTTTCTCTTCAATGATAAACGGGGCAAGTCGATTTATCCATCAATCACAGATGATCAAATAATCTGTCATGGCATCTCGACCCTTCTCTTACCCCACATTCTCGGACATCGTGAGGTCTCATGAGAGGGAGTTGAACAAAAATAAGAGGACCAGAGAAAAGGGTATAAAGACTCACAAGTCCAGCTTTGTCTTGATTTTAGCCTCAATTGAATCTATTCTGTTTTCTGCGACTCTTGGACCCGAGTCTCAAGTGATAATCATCTCATCATAACTCCTCTCTCGTATTAAGACCTCCTCCGACTACTACCTCGTTTTCCCCTCCCCGCGTTCGGAGCGACTTCAAACCCCCGCCCTCCACTCGACTCTCATGCTTCACTGAGTCCGAGTTTCTCTTCAATTGAACCAAAAACGATACATATAATATACCGCAATCATGGGTGAAATCACAATCACAGGCTGGAAGACTCGCGATGTTCGCTTTCCTACCTCCCTCGACGGAACTGGTTCCGATGCTATGAACGCTGCTGGAAACTACTCCTCTGCATACTGCATTCTCCAGACCGACTCTGACTACACTGGCCATGGAATGGTAAGTCACTCAATCTGAACCAGTAGGTTATCATAGCTAACTTTCCAACTCAGACCTTCACCATCGGCCGTGGAAACGACATCGTCTGCGCCGCCATCAACCACGTCGCCGAGCGTCTCAAGGGAAGAACCCTCTCCTCCCTCGTCGCAAACTGGGGTCAAACATGGCGCCATCTCGTCAACGACTCTCAACTCCGCTGGATCGGCCCCGAAAAGGGCGTCATCCACCTCGCCCTCGGCGCCGTCGTCAACGCCGTCTGGGATCTCTGGGCCAAGACCCTCAACAAGCCCGTCTGGCGCATCGTCGCCGACATGAGCCCTGAGGAGTTTGTCAACTGCATTGACTTTCGCTACATCACCGATGCCATTACCCCCGAGGAGGCTATCGCTATGCTCAAGGAGCAGGAGCCTACCAAGGGCAAACGTCTTGAAGAGGCTCTTAACAACCGCGCTGTGCCAGCTTACACGACCAGTGCAGGATGGTTGGGTTACGGTGAGGACAAGATGAAGAGCTTGTTGCAGGAGACTCTTAATGCTGGATACCGACACTTCAAAGTCAAGGTTGGTGGTGATATCGCGCGCGATCGTCATCGATTGAGCATTGCTCGTGAGGTTATTGGTTACGACAAGGGCAATGTCCTCATGACAGATGCCAACCAGGTCTGGTCTGTCCCTGAGGCCATCGAGTACATGAAGCAACTAGCCGACTTCAAGCCCTGGTTCATCGAGGAGCCTACATCACCCGACGATATCCTCGGCCACAAGGCTGTCCGCGACGCCCTCAAGCCCTACGGCATTGGCGTCGCCACTGGAGAGATGTGCCAGAACCGAGTTATCTTCAAGCAGCTCCTCCAAACCGGCGCCATCGACGTGTGCCAAATCGACGCCTGCCGTATGGGTGGTGTGAACGAAGTTCTCGCCGTCCTCCTCATGGCCAAGAAGTTTGGTGTGCCCATCGTTCCTCACTCCGGTGGTGTCGGTCTTCCCGAGTACACCCAGCACCTGAGCACAATCGACTACGTCGTTGTCTCTGGTAAGCTGTCCGTCCTCGAGTACGTGGACCACCTGCACGAGCACTTCTTCCACCCCTCTGTTATCAAGGATGGATACTACACAACCCCCACGGAGGCTGGTTACAGTGTTGAGATGAAGCCCGAGAGCATGGACCGATTTAGCTACCCTGGTGAGCAGGGTGTGAGTTGGTGGACATCGGATGAGGCTAAGGTTATTCTCGATGGTGTGAAGATCTAGAGTGGTTTGAAAAGTAATTAGATGCATAGCTAAAATACCTCGGGAAGAAATGAATTTATGAGACATTTACAATACAGAACATGATCATGAGTGTAAAGTTGATGCCGACTATGACAATGGTTTATGTCCCTACTCGTTCAGTTATGAACTTTGTAATATCTCCCAACTCTTCAGGGCAGTACCAATGCGCCATGTCAGGGTATGTCTTGAACTCAACCTCGATTCCCATGCGCTCCAAACAGTTAGCTGCCTGTTGACCATCATAAAGCTCGACATCTTTGTCTCTTTGACCATGTCCCATAAACACCGGAGTCTTTATGAAAGGAAAGGACTTTGCTGGCGGTTCGGGGTCAAGCTCTGCTTCTTCCCGAAGCTCGTCGATGGCTTTTTGCAGCGGCGTTCTACCGTCCTCCTCCGTCTCAAACATCCAATCGTCAGAGATATCCTCATCTTCGTTCTCAGCCATTAAGGTCTCAGCCAGAGGCATGAACCCACTCATGATAACCACAGCACCTAAACTCTGTCCCTGCCAGAGTAGTCAACTCACCAACGCCATTGCACCGCCCTGGCTGAAGCCCACAAGTACGACTCTTCCAGCATCACCGTTCAACATTTCGATTTCGTCTTTGAGTATTTTATGGACATGTTCCACACTTGGACGCATATCGCCACGTGCTTCAGGTTCCCAGTCACCTGTGCCTTCGTACCATTGATGAATCAGTGAGCGACGGTACTTGGTCGCCCGAGCGAGAGGAGCAGTTGGGAAGACAAAACGAGCGTGTGGAAGAGATTCCTGGAAGGACACCGATGGGTTCGAGGAAAGAGATGCGAGGAGAGGAGAATGAAATTTCTCAGCGTTGAAGCCACGACCATGAAGAACGAGTATGGTGTGTTTGTGGGGAGATGATAGAGGAGAAATGGTTATAAGAGGAGGAAATTCGCCTGGTTTGAGGCGAGAGGAAGATATTCTATCTCCTCTTTCCTCCATCTCTGTTTAGTTCTGCTAACGGATGTTCTCGAGTAAACATATAAGTGGGCAATGGTAGCCGGTATAACAGCACAAATTGGATTAGGGTAGAACCCAATTCCAGCTTTGAATATGTATGGCTTTGTAATGGAGATAAAATACTGAATGAGATTCAAAGGTGTGTCAAAGAGTGTTTGCGTCCTGAAATACAATCCTTGTCGCGAGGCAAGATAGATGCAGGAGGATACCGCTTCATGATGGTTGAGCAAATCCTTACATGGAGTGTGATGAGATGGTCCGGTTATGTACCTACTTTTAGCTCAGCTCAAGTGAGATATATCCAAAACTATTGAAAGTGATGAATCAAGTTATGGTCATAAAACTCTTCCTGATTATTATATAAATTATTGTATGATCAGTTCGCCTTCAATCGCTGTTCTGTAATGACCCTCCATTGCATTGAGCCAACATCGCCAACATCACTGGATCTTAGCGACCGTGTCCCTATATTCCGCCCCACGCCCTTCACTCAACCTCACTCACATCACCTCATCAAACCTCACAGACTCACTCATTCACCCTCAAAATGAGTCTCACAGACTATAAAACCGATCCCGTCCTCTCCTTAACAACCACATTCACCGCCTGGAAATCCCTTCTCCTCGCCATCGCCCTCGGCGCGTCTGTAGGTCCAGACTACGACACTTCTACATCCCTCTTCTTCGACATTGTCAATATCAAGCCAACGTCCCTCGCTACTCGTCTTACAAGATGGGACGCGCTGTACTTTATGCACGATGCGGCCAATAGCAAGATTTATGAGCAGGAGTGGGCTTTTGGAATTGGCATGCCTGCTGCTGTGCGTAGTATCTGTGAGATACTAGGTCTTCAAACCTGGGAGTCTCTTGTCGCCATTGGGATCTCGCACGTTTCGCATCTTGTTGCTGTATTGGCACTTTATCAACTTACTATCACTTTGTGCAATGATCGGAAGCTTGCGTATCTGGCTGCTGTCGTGCATATTCTTTCTCCAGCTGGACTGTTCATATCAGCGCCGTATGCAGAGAGCCCATTTGCATGCTTGTCCTTCATTGGCAATCTTCTCTACGCAATCAGCCTCAAAAACAGTCCTGATTCACTAAAGCGAAATCTTGCAGTTGTTGGAGCAGGGCTATCATATGGAGTTTCGTGCACGCTTCGAAGCAATGGTCTTTTCGGAGGTGTTTTGTTTGCTGTGGAAGCTGTCAGGTGTTTCTTAGCACTTTTCAACGGATTCACTTTCTCCAAAGTCGTTAGACTCATTTCGCCTGTTATTGGAGGCCTTTTGGTAGCGGTTGGATTTGTCGCACCGCAGGTCCTGGCCTGGATGCGATACTGTAACGGCGAAAGTATCGACGGAGAGCAAAGGTCCTGGTGCGGACACCGTATCCCAAGTATCTACACCTTCGTTCAGGAGGAATACTGGTATGTTTCCCTTCACACCCTACACAAACACAGTAACGACTAACACGAACAGGGACGTTGGCTTCCTCAAATACTGGACACCCAACCAAATTCCTCTTTTCCTCCTTGCAGCACCCATGCTCACAATCCTCATAAAATCAGGCACAGAGCTCATGCGCGAGCCATCTCGAGGCCTCAGAACCATGACAGTGGGTACAGATGAACAATGTAGACTACTGGTGCGAACCCTCGCTGCATTGCAAACGCTACTTGCCGTCTTGGCCATCACCAATTATCACGTCCAAATCATCAGCCGCTTGTCATCCGGATACCCCGTCTGGTATTGGTGGGTAGCGTCATGCCTCATGGACAAGCAGAGGCAGAACTTGGGCTACGGTGTGATTGTGTTTATTACCATGTATGCGACGATCCAAGGTGGGCTCTTTGCGTCCTTCTTGCCTCCTGCCTAGTCATACATAGATGCATCCGCAGGGTATCAGAAGAATTGATCGTCATAAGCATAAGGGACGAAATAGTTTAGTCATCTTATACTAAGTTAGAAAAGCATTTAGGCTACTTTATTTTAGTAGCCTAAGCCTTAGAGGACATTTCTTCTGTTGCCCACCTAGTGCATGTAAGGTTATGCGGGTTCCTATTGTCGCGCTCTATGCACACACCAGTGTTATCAGCATCTAGATTAGAAGCATCGCCCCAAACGCTTGTATTATTATTGTATAAGAAATCCAAATGCAATCGCTGAAGAGTTCGTTACCATCTACACCGAACCAACATCACAAACGCCGTCAACACCCAAATGAAATGCGCCACGTCTATCCTTCATCACTCAGTTGACAATCTTCAAATAGTGGTAACGCCCTCCCTGTGCTCCCACTTCGGATCGGCACCCTCGTGCGCAGCTTCCAGCTTGCCAATGCACGCCAGGCCTCGCGACTGGGACCAGGTCTTAACCCAAATAGGCGCGCCCATAGTTGTTGTTCCTCTTCGATATCGTCTATTTGAAAAATGGGGGAGTTGTGTAGCGGACTTGACGATCCTTTGCAGTTCTCAGTCGTAAAGTCTTCATCGTGACTGCACGGTGCCACAGTGGAAGCCTCAGTGTACCAACTATCAGATTGCTCCCCCTCGAAAACGGGCTGGGAGAAAATAGAGGAATGTGACGAACTTCCCGTGGATTCGTTATTCTCTTCAGGTCCTGTTCCGAGTAGTGTTGTATTCTCCGTGCTGGAACTCTCAGAAGCCGGAGCAGGCTGCGAGACATTGGGCCGCAGAAAGAGGTTAAAGAGGTTGCGGTAAGACTAAAACTCATCCTCCGAGTCACTGTTATCATTAATCCTGATGGCTCGCCATCTCCTATCAGTCAAGTCTTGGGCAGCGGTTCCTTCGCTTTCTGGGTCAACATAGCCTTGACCTCCAGCAATGCTCAGAGCAACAGGCAGGAAGACAAGTGCGTGGAGGGCGGCGAAGATGACAAGAGACAGCCAAACTCGGAAGTAGTAGATCTCGAAAATCTTGGAACGCGTGAAGGCGAGCACAGAAACGCCCAAAAGCTTGGTGACTGTGATGCCGGAGAACACCGATCCACCGACGTTAACAAGGGCAGTCCAAGCTCGAGCATCACGACCACGGAAGGCATTGCTATTGCCCTCCATTACTGTGCGCGACGGATACATGAAAGCCCGTGCAATGTGCGCGCAGAACTCTACCGAGATACCGACGCAGATGATGAGGTTGACAAGAGAAACAGCGTTCAGAGATACATTGAACAAGGCCATGCTGCCCATAATGTCTACAACGCTCATCACTACCGTGACAGATACCACAAGCGCCGTGAGTAGTGAGCCCAGCAGTACAGAAGCAACAACGAAGATTATACCAACAGCAGCACACAGCAAACCGGCTGTTAATGGCACAATACTGAGATATTGATCGAAGAAGATGTAAAAGACGCTGTACGGGAATACCTCTGCGCCGGTCCTTTCGGTGATGTCAGAGGCGATACGACGAGCAGCAGAGTATGCAGCGATGAAGTCTTCCTGGCTTCTCAAAGGAGTATGCATTGTTCTGAAGTGAGTCGACTTAACACGAGTTTCATCGGAGTTCAGGACAACAGCTTGACCATACGCAGCTTGGCCGGCCAGAGGGCATTCTTCACCAGTAGGGCTTGAAAGGAACTTCTTGAGGTAGTGGATGAATTCCTCATCTTCAGGCATTCCGTACAAGGTAGTGTTCCAGGCTGGCTTGCGGTCAGCAAAGCAGGTCTTGCCGTGTTCCTTGCAGCAGTCTTCGAAGATGGGGTTCAACCAAAGGAAGTAGTCATCAATCCAACTCGCTGCTGGTGAAGCAATGTAAGAAACGTCAGGTCTCTGTCGCTCGAGCTCCAGTGTGTTTGGGAGTGAGAGATCCTGGCAAGTAGTGAATCTCGAGCAAATCTCCTGTTGTGCCTTGCGCTTGGAAGCGTCGACTTCACGTGTGACAAAGTATACGGGGGGTCCAGTCTCCAAGTATCCGTACAGGTCATTGAAGAAAGGAATCAAATAAGAGCCGTCGGGGATAGCAACGCGCTGGTCAAGGCCAAGTTGAATCTTAGGCAAGAGTGCCAAACCTCCTGCAAACATCCCGAGGAAGATTGTGACAACAGCAAGCTTGACCTTCTTTCCGAGAAGGCGTGGGGCATATGTGTTCTTGATGAAAACCTGTAGCAAGCTCTCCTCGGCCATATCTGATCCGCGGCTTCCACCCTGAACGAAACCATTAGTGCCGTTGAGGTGGACTCTCGCCTTAGTGATCTGCCACCATGGCCACAATTCACATCGATGGTCTTCAACCCGCATCTGGTTAAGTGAGAGAAGTGAGACGAACATCGTCATCTGGAGCACTGCGTTAACCAGGACGGCACCGGCGGCATAAGCAGCAAAGTTTCTGACTGCCGGCATGCCAACAGCTGTGCCGAGAGCAAAAGCCACAGTTTCCGTCAGAGCAGAGAAGAGGATAGAGGGTCCCATACGACCAAGCGCCCTAGCAACTCTTTCTTCAACCATCTGGTCGGGGAAGCTAACGTTGACTCTCTCAAGCTCGTGAACAATCAAGAAAATATTGTCCACACCAACAGCGAGTACAATGAAGGGAATGACTTCCATGATGATAAGCGTAGCCTTCAGACCAACCCATGAGAAGAATCCGATTGAAGCGGCGATGGACATGAGAACAATAACGATACCGGCCAAGCCAAGCGTAACCTTTGACTCTACCAAGAGCACGGCGGGATTGCGGAAGATATGCTTGAGCGGTGTACCGAGAGCCATACAGGCATAAACAAACATGACAATGTAGCTGATGACGATGATCTTGGCGTCCGTGTTTGTCGACTTGTTGAGTTCTTGCTCTAGACTGATCTCGGTGTTGAAGGATAGTCGAAGACCACGTTCTTTGGCCTCTTCCTGAACCTCGAGCAGTCGGTCGCGAAGGGCAGTTTCCCAATCCACGGCCCTGGCAATAGCATCGGTTCCTTCTTGGGCATTGTTGACAACCCAGGTCACAGTAATGGCATGGGCATCAACCACATCATCATCATAACCACCAAAAATCATGTTGGGTTCAATAGGCTGTCCAAAGTCCGGGCGACAGTCAACAGGACTCTTTGCGCAGGCACGAAGATCGTCCTTCCAGAACTCGGGATCCAGTCCACCCTTGGAGTGCCAGTATGCTGAAACAGACTGCACCACACAGGCATCGTTGGAAGGCTTGAAGCACAAATCTTGAAAGTACTTGCCGTAGACAGGGCTTTCAATCTTCTTGACACTCTCTTCAACCTCAATCCACCATTTCAGTGTATCGTAGCTGAGGACAGGCCCGGGTCCAGATGGGTTAGTGTCATTGGCAAGGAAGATCTTCTCGGCGCGGTAAAAGGGTCCAAAGTTCTCGTCGAAATAGGCTTTTTCCTGTGCGGCAGCAGAAGATGGGCTCACCCAAAGACGAGCAGGCTCCTTTTCGAGGTCGAATCGGAACAATCCAATACTAAGGATTGCGACAAAGAGCAGACTGAGGCTAATGCACCACCCGGGGAAGCGAGCTGCGACATGACCAAGTTGGTAGAAAGCTTTGTCACACCGGTCGTTGACCCAGTATCTCTTAGTTGGGCGCTCACGCATCGCCTCTGTATCAACCGGACCACCTTCGTCTTCATCGTCACTGTGAGAAGATTCGTGGAGTAGTCTTGTTCTCTCGACGCGATGCTGCGAGTATTTTTGATAGGCGATATGCCCAACAACGGCCAAGATCAAGGTAGACAATAAGACACTGTAAACGAATATGGAAGCGAATGAAAGGCAAGGGAGAAGTCCTACTTTGCAAGATTTAGAATCCTTGACATCCGGGAGCGTCGGGCAGACCTCAGGACAATCGACACAAACGCAACGGTAATCGGGGTCCTCGTCGTTGCACTTCTTCGGCTTCATGTCCACAGGATGCAGCTCGGGGTCGCTGTACTTTGTTGGGAAATTGATTTGGAAGGGTGAGCCAGCAAAAGGTTTCTTGTCTCCAAGAAACTTGAGCATTTCGGTATAGTTCTTCGCGCCGCCACCAATAAGATCCATGGCTTTCGAGTTTGCGCCGCCAAACTTAACTTCCTTGCAACTGTCGTAGAAGCCGGAGCCATATTTCTCAGATACAAGCTGGTCGAGCTCCGTTACGAGCCTCTTGCCATTCTTGGGGGCAGAATCGGTTACATTGATGAAGGTAGACTGGTCAGGAGAGCAGGTGAATGTGCAGAAAAGGTTGAAGAAGTTGTCTTTACACGCGGGACATGAGCCGATGAGTGTGTTGGGAGTGCCGAGCTCGGACTTGAGTGATTGTACCTAGGATTGTTAATATGGTGGTCGTCATGACGCTCGAGATATGCTCACCTGGGCAAGAGTACAGCAGACAGGTCCAGTCCTCCATTTCTCGCCACAAAGGTCGACGAGCTCATTGCGAAGCTCTTTGTCAGGATCCTTGGCCAAGCCATTGTCGACACATGGAAGCTCTTTGCCGAAAAAGCCCTGCTTGCCACAATGGTCACGGAAAGCGCATCGTCCGGGCTCGTGTTTCGGTGTATACTGCTCAGCGAAACCTAGCCCGGCGAAAAGCACTGCAGCTCCGAGCTGCGATGCGATGCCTTGATGCATCTCGGGGTAATGGGGCCGCACGCAGCGGTGGATAGATACGGAGTCGTTTGTCGCGATTTATGAATAATGCCGACTTGACGTACGATGCGACGATAAGCGTATGACGATAACTAAGATGCTGGGAAAACAATCATAATAGATTGTGCGAATATGAAGGAAAGACTCCTACAAATGGTGGGGAAAGTCAAAGACGCGTCGGCTAAGAAGGCGCAACCGTTACAAGAGACTCAGAGGTTGGTAGGTAGGTAAGTACCTGGTATGGACGGTGATGTCGTAGCTCGGTGACGGGTCCATACCTAAGTACGAAAGCTTGAATCCGATGGCGGGTGAATAGGCAGATAGGTTAGTGTAGCGGGTGCTTCAGAGGTCACGATTGACCTGCGTCATTGGGTCCTACTGTCAAGACGCTGTTTTGATTGGACAGTATCCTGAGCTTTAGTGCTCATGCGCCCTAGAAGCCGGGGTTGAAGCCGGGGTTAAGCTCGAGCGTTCGTACGTTTCTGCAGTCCATGAATCATTGCAGCTCGCCCCAGAAACGCATCGCATTTACCCTAGACACACGCATGAATTCACATGTTTGACAGTCGTGTCAGGTCTTCAATGTTCTATGTATATCTTATAACCTATGTGAGGCCCAATAATTTGGTCCCCCAGGTGAGTGACAGGAGATATGTCTTCTAAGGCTTAGGCTACAATAATAAAGTAGGATAAATGCTGGTCTAAGCCGGCATAAAGTGACCAAATAATTTCGTCTCTTATGCCTTCAGGGGCCAATTCTTCTGATACCCTGAGGCCACTGTGTGCCAGCTTAGGTACAGTATTATTTGGACAGCCTTACCCTGGTGTCCGAAGCCGTAGAGAACAGTTCGTTGTCAGCCGAAGTCATGTCTTATCGGACATAAAAGTTGATTGATATCAACAAAATTCAAGATCCGACGATGAACCAACATCACAAAATCGATTCACTAACAAGAATTCCGGATAAGGTCAAACGTAATCTCTGCCGTAGAGACACGTTTCTATAAGATTAAATACATATTGAATCAGTTGTATCTCATGCTGAATTAAGCTTCTTCGCTGCCCTTTTTTGATACTAGTACGTCTTTGTGAGACATGCGTCTCTTAAAGGTTAATGTTTTTCTAGAGAAAAAAAGTTTCTGAGAGGATATGCTCAATGAATACAAGATACTCAAAGTAAAGCATCTTATTGCGACTCTATCACAATGTGCAAGACGCTGTGTACGGCACGTGATGCTTTCGAGAGTCTCGCGCCTACTCCACCCCTAGTTTGAGAGCCTGAAAAAACACCATGACTCTCTTCGATGCGTCATTCAGAGTCCATATTTCCTAACGTCATTATACTAAGAAAAGAGCGGCGGGAACTTTGATAATTAGCGACTCATCTTTTTTGGTTTTTTGGCCTCTCCCTATGTCAAAGTATATCATGCTCTTTTCTGGAACCAGACACATCAACGCTCACTGTATTGCCCCTCCGCCAAAAACAACATGCCCAACGAATCAGAAGAACTTGTCCAGAAGCTGGTGGTAGGTGCCTTATCATTGTGATGGCTTATATATGTATATATGTGGTATCGGCCGATACCTAGTTGTGGCTTAAAAAGCATCAAGTGAACGATATTTAGATATGGATATCTACAAATCATCGTGCCACCAACAGAGCTAGAGACTATGCTGACGCCTGAAATCGTAGGAAAAATTCCGCTCACTTTTGGACGAAGCCCTCATAGTCGCTATTGCTAGTGACCACGACCTAAAAGATGCTTCACAGTTTGAAGCAGCACAAACTGTGCTAGAGGGCCTTGCGCAAGACGTTACCACAGAAGAAGCAAGTGGGTTTAACCCAAGCGGAATAGCCAACACGCCAGATGATGTGAATGAAGATGCGAATACAATCGAGACAAGCAGCCAGCAGGCTTCTACCAGTGATCAGACATCAACATCCACCAACACATCATATTCCATCCCGCGACTCACTTCTTTCGACGATGATAGCGAGGAGATTAAGATTCTTCTCCTTCAAGGCATGTTCAGTGAGCTCAAGGAGTACGAAATCAAGCAGACGCTAAAGAGGGCAAATGGAGACGTTCAGACTGCGCTCGACGAGCTACTCAACGTTCAGTACCTCAAATCAACTGGCCAGGAACAGAAAGGAATCGATGCTTTCTTCGACCCTGAAGGAGACGCTACAAAGAAGAAGAAAAAGAACCGGAAGAAGGGCAAGAAATCTCCTGGAGATGCCACTTCGTCTTCCAGCAGCGGGACTGCTTCTCCATCTCCGGATGATTTGAAGTCAATGAAGCGTATGTTTGCAACCAATCATGCACATGAGAAAGCTAACTCTTGGGTATAGAGCAAGATGAGATCGCCTATCTAGCAGATAGACTTGATCTACCATTCGATTTTGTCTCAAAGATTTACCACAACAAACGTTGTGCCAGCGGCGCCACAGCAGTTCAGATTCTGGAGCAATACATAGAACTCGGCATTGAAACCCAAGATGCAGAACTGAAAAAGTACGCCAAGGAACTTACTCAGAAATATCCGAATGTCCCAGAGAATTTTATGTCGACAATCGTCCAGGTCACGGGCTCTGTCTCCCAAGAACCTGACGATATCGCAGCGCTTGTAAGCAAGCATTTCGTTAAGAATCCGTGGACCCAGAAGCTCGATGTTAGTTACCAACTCACGCCACTTCCGGAAGACGATATGGAAGGATTTGAGACAGTTACGCGTGGAAACAAATCTAGGCTAGCCAGACCTGTTTCAGCAGGCACCGGCATTCTTCTCCCTGGACCGTCAGCGTACGCGCAAGCTGCTGAGAGAGCGGGCCAATACAATCAAGCCAAGAGGGAAGCAGCGGCTTCAGCAGCATCGTTGAATAGACGTGGTGCTTCCAATCCACTGTACCGCCAGGCTGCAGGTTACTACTCAGAGCGAGCAAGGGAACAAGCGCGGTATGAGATGCGTGCTACGTCGACAGCTGCGGATTTGCTTGTCAACAAACAAAGCACATCACGTTCTATCGACTTACACGGCGTATATGTGCAGGATGGTGTAAGAATTGCTCGCCAGCGTGTGCAGGCTTGGTGGAATGGTCTGGGGGAGTTTCGAACCGATAAGGCTCGTCAACAGCCATTTACTGTTATCACTGGACTTGGCCGCCATAGTGCTGGCGGAGTATCGCATCTGAGACAAGCTGTAGCTGCAGCTTTGCTCCAAGATGGATGGAAAATGCAGGTTGAGACTGGGCGCTTTGTCGTTGTCGGTAGGCGATAGGCGCCAAGAAAGTCTTACAGGGTCGAATCAGCCTCAGCACCACTGTGTAAGCGATCGATCCTTTCCTCAATCATAGAACTCCGGGCAGATCCCCCAACGACGACTCAATCAACAAGATCGGCGTATGTGACAAAATGTCGCTGAATTACACGGCCATGTTTACTTAATATTATCTCGACGTTGTTGGCCGTCTTGTTTTGACAGACAGGATGTTCTGACCTGACCGAATTAAAGAAAAGCTTACGCAACTCTGATCCACCAAACGAACCCGAAACAGACATGGCAGACGCTCTGACGAATAGACGACCTGCAGTAGCGCAGCCATCGCTATGGAAACTCATGCCATGCGGGTTGAGGCTGTGCTAGGCACGTACGAAACATGTTGGTCCTCTGCTCTCAACCTATAATTATTGTTCGAAGGATTCGGCTCTTTCCTAGAAGGGAAATTCTTCAAGCCGCTCGGATAAGCACATCCCCTGGAATCCGCCATGTTGACGTCTTGCTATTGTATAAGTACCCCGCGGTCTGGCGTATAAACACCATGAGGCACCATCACGACTAAGGAAACTGACCTTCAAAACGAAAAATTAACTGACCCATCAATCGACATTCCGACCATGGCTGCCAAGATCCCATCTTCTCAGGCTACGTACCAGCCTCTTCCAAGAGAGGACCCTTCTGCTGCTTTGCTCGAGCCCTCTGAAAGAGACAACAGTGATGATGGAAAGTCGCCTGTTTTTAAGCTCAACTTCTCTTTGATCCTGTTGCTGCGCTTGTTGGTAGCCCCTCTCCTCATCACCGACATCGTGTTCATCTGCAACCCCTACTACTCTCGCGGCTCAGCCGGTGTGTTTGCTGCTGGAGGTATTCTTATGGCTATTTGGCATGGATCTCGCGTCTTGAAGAGCTGCCTCCCCGGTGGAAATGGCAACAAATTCAACATCAAGATCGGAAGCTTGTTCTGCATGTGTGGTACAACATCGACCTCTAGAGCAGTCTCTTCTAGGATGTGGTCATGGCTCGTCAGCCTTGTCGACTTTTCCTTCGGTCTCTACTTCATCGGCCCCTCTGTTACATCTCTTGCATACGGCAACTTCAGAGAAAGTGCGGCTGTGGGAGGATTGAGTATCACTGTGGTGTAAGTAATTATGAATCTCGTTTTGGGTTACATGCTGACATTCCATTCAGGATTATGCAATCGATTATTGCTTTCCTCAACTTGTTCAGCGTGTTCCGTAAGATGAACATTGCTATCTACAAGGGCGAGGAGGAGCAGGACCGCCTTTACTCGATTCCAGAGCTCTTCCGTGATGAAGCATCCGAGCCCCGCGATTCGATGTCTTCTGAGGTCTAAGTATTCAAATCAAGGAGGAACACAAAGGACAAGAACTCACTGCTATTCCCCACCTGCTTCATTTGAGGGTGATATCTACCACGATAGGAGCAAGAGCAAAGCTACATTGGACACAAGGTATCATTATGCTTGCAAGGACTTCACTATCCTTGGAGAATAAATATAGTGCAGTATGAATGTAATCGGCGGTCATCTGGCACCCCGAAATAGCTGTTTGAGATAGCAAATATGAGATACGAATTTAGGATAACCGCACTGCCTCCTATGATTTTCTTTACTGCTTCCTCATCTGAAGTTCCCGTCCAACCTTGTCCCACACAGCTGAGCCCGTAGTAAGGGTAGTGAAGAACATGACCGAAGCAACCGTACCGGGGTAGACTTTGACCCAGCCAAGAGTAGAGGCAGGAAGAAGCAGATCAAGAACATCAGAAACAAGGCCACGGAGAAGCACGTAGCTTTCGCTGCTGAGCTTCTGCATATAAGCACCTCGTTCAGCCTTACGCTTGGCGACAATGTCCTTCAGACGCTTGCGCTCCTTGTCGAGTTCCTCCTTCGAGCTCTTCTCAGAGAGCGTAGATGAAGCCTCCTTTTCGGCAGTGACAAGCTCGGCCGTATCCTCGGTAGAGGCGGTGCTCACGCTCTCCTTGGTGACGGCGGCGGGTGGGCTAAACAGAAGACGGAACAGTCTGATAACAGAGACCATGATAGAGGTGTAAAGCCCAGCGAACCAGAACAGCTGACCCTGATATTCGATTTCGGCGAACTTCTCAACACTAAAGATACGCAGGTTCTCAATGCCGCAGAGATCCAGAAGGGTCATAGTCTCCATCATGCCAAACATGCCGAAGCACGTCTTGCTAACAATTTCGAGCCAGCCATCAAGACCTTTGTTGCCTTGAGAGACGAAGGCCTTCCATCCCGCCTGGAAACTGTCCAAGAAGCGGAAGAATCGAATGAAGCGCCGCGAGACGTTGATCTGACTGCCCAGTACGCCGAGGGGTACTGGGGAAGAGACCTTGTTCTCGACAAAGGCAAAGAGGGCTGGGTACCAGACAAGGAGAGCGCAAATAGCTTGAAAGCCACGAAGAATTCGCTCGATACCAACTAGAGAATAATTAGTGGTGTGTTCAGGGGTAGTCTTTGAGAGATATATCCATTACCAAGATCAGTGCCGAAGCTGATGAAGTGTTCTGTGCTCACCATCTTGACTGATAAGCTGATGAAGAACAGCAGTTGAAGAAAAGAATAGAGAAAGAGAACAGACTCTTGACTGCCTATTTATATCTGCAATGCCAGCAAACAAATCTCAGTTTATTGACCCCAGATGGTTAGATAGTGCTGAATAGGCGGTGTTGGCATGGGTCCAGTAGCGTATTATTAGTGGATCACTGCGGCTTTCTCACATTTGTTTCAACAGACAGCGATTCACATCAACGCAGATCAAACAGTCAAACAAATATTCACAATCAAACAACACTACGAGCAGGTTCAAAGAGTTTGCTTAACCAACTCAGACTCCCATTGAACAATAAGTAAATATAACACAAGGCATCTACCTAATAGTCGTAGTTATGCACAAGTAACGATGTAATACACATCAATCTTCATCCCTTCTTCCTATATATCCCCTTGTTACCCAATTCACCAATTATTGACCGGGAGAAACAAGCTTTCCTTGGGCCTTGGCGTTGTGGTTCCATCCACCAGCAAGAGCCTCACCACCGTTCTCACGAGAGAACTGCTGGATACGAGCCTCAAGCTCAGGTCGGAAGTGTCGGATAAGACCCTGAATAGGCCAGGCGAAAGCCTCACCCAGAGCTGGAAAGATTGTCAGTACAAAGTCATGTTAGATGTTGGGGGGAAACATACCGCAAATAGTGTGACCCTCAACCTGCTTGGTGAGCTCCTGGAGCATGTCAATCTCACGCTCACGGGCCTGACCATTCTCGAACCGCTTCATCATCTGCTCTGTCCACTTGCTTCCCTCTCGGCAAGGTGTGCATTGACCGCAACTCTCGTGGCGGTAGAAGTGGCTGAGACGGCTGATAGCTCGGACAATATCGGTGCTCTTATCCATGACGATAACAGCAGCCGTTCCGAGACCAGACTGGCTATCCTTAAGGGCATCGAAGTCCATAAGCTGGTCATCACAGACGTGCTTAGGGAGAACGGGAGTGGAAGAACCACCAGGAATGACAGCCAGAAGGTTGTCCCATCCACCTCGAACACCACCACAGTGCTTCTCAATCAGCTCACGCATGGGAATAGACATCTCCTCCTCAACTGTGCAGGGGTTGTTGACATGACCAGAGATACAGAAGAGCTTGGTACCCTGGTTGCGCTCACGACCGAAACCAGCGAACCAGCTTCCTCCTCGTCGGCAGATAGTAGGGGCAACAGCAACAGTCTCGACGTTGGTAACAGTTGAAGGGCATCCGAAAAGACCGACGGCAGCAGGGAACGGAGGCTTGAGACGAGGCTTTCCAGGCTTGCCCTCGAGGGACTCGATAAGAGAAGTCTCCTCACCGCAAACGTAGGCACCGGCACCTCGGTGCAGGTAAACGTCGAAGTCGTATCCAGAGTCACAGGCGTTCTTTCCGATCAGACCGGCGGCGTAGGCCTCGTTGATGGCTCGCTGAAGGACAGCAGCCTCCTCGACGAATTCACCACGGATATAAATGTAGGCGGCGGTCGCGTTCATGGCTCGGCCAGAAACAAGGCATCCTTCGATGAGCTTGTGTGGGTCCTTTCGCATAATCTCACGGTCCTTGCAGGTTCCGGGCTCACCCTCATCGGCGTTGATGACGAGGTAACGGGGCTTGGTGTCCTTGTCCCAGTCCTTGAAGTTCATGAAAGACTGCAGAGCGTTGGGTTAGAGACAATTGATGCTGGTTCGGCCTCTTGGCCCGTCAAACCAAAGTGGAAGAAACCTACCCATTTGAGACCCGAGGGGAAACCAGCACCACCTCGTCCTCGAAGACCGGAGGCCTTGACCTCGCTGATAATCCAATCGTGACCCTTGAGGATGATCTCCTTCGTCTTGTGCCAGTCACCCATCTTCCTGGCGCTCTTGAGGTCGACGGGGTATCGGTTGTAAAGGTTCTGGAAAATGCGATCTTGGTCTCGCAGACCTCCGTATGTTCGCTTCGGGGCACCGTCCTGGACAGTAGCCAGACCCCTCACGGCGGTCCGTGAGAGGCCGACGGCCTTCTTGGGCGCCGTTCTCGTGGACAGCATTGTGCTCGATCGTTGTCGGGTGGCGGTTTGGAGATGGTTGAACGTCAGGATGCGGCACTTCAAGTTTCCCGGGCGAGATCCATTTCGTGACGGGTGGTTTGTGAATAGCGGGCTCGTGATTCGTCAATGCACTACCCGATTATCTAATCACGCCCGTTAGCCAGAACTTGGATCTCCACGTAAAATATCACTCTAAACAAGTTCTTTCTATCAATTCTGTTAAGCGCATCTCTAGTCGTCGCCCCCGTTTTGCCTCTTCGAGATTCACAGAGTCATAGATCCTTGCAAATCTTGTATAACGTAATCATTCAAAGGTCGCTTGCTATTCGACGTTATCGATCAGCGGTATCGCAACACCAACTGCGCTATCGTGAGTTTAGTTTACCATACAAGCTTCACTTCGGTATTTTGTACCGTTCTGAAAGCAGAGTCGCTTCGGAACACAAAAATCTGCGATGATAACTTGAGACGCCTCCACCATGTCTAGCAAGAGAAAGTCGATTCTTCCTGCGGTCGATCGCAGCGGTCCTAGACCACCCGTTGCTTTCTCCTCGTCCCTCATAATCTCCAACGATGCGATCCTACAAGGCACACACTCGATTACTATGCAGACAGAGACAGTAATCCACCCTCTGTCGAAATTCGAGTCAAACTATGGATCTATCTTGATTGGGCGCCGTTGCCTCGTTTATGAACGGGCGCATCTAGGAGCTCGTCCTGCAGACCTTGATACGGCGAAGCCAGGCACAATATCACTAGGGGACTATGTCACAATAGAGGCTGGCTCAACCATTGAATCGGGTCCGACAGAGATAGGTGAGGGCACCATCGTCCACTCTGGAACGACCATAGGAAGCGGAGCTAAAATTGGCAAGGTAAATATAAATATACCTCCCTGTAAGCCTCTTGATTAAGTGCTAACAAGCTACAAGAACTGCACCATCACACAAATGTCCAAGATTGCCCCTGGCACTATACTGCCGGATAACACGGTGGTGTTCTCGAATGGAACGAGACGAATCGATCGACGTGGGCTTTCTGAACAGAGGAAGCTCGCTTTAGTTAAACAACTCGCAATTTTGCGAAAATTGATACCCAGTAACGCGGACAAATTTAAATAGAGATACCCGACACATAGTCAACGCTGGCTTAGAAATTCATACTTTGTTGATGAACTTGTTACTCCTTTTCCATTACGATCTCCCTAATTGTCTAAGATGGCATAAACTAACATTAACTTCATGGCTTATCCTCTCAACTAAACAAGTTCTGATGCACCGGGGGTATATATCATTATAAAATACAAAGAAGGAGAGAAAAAATTTGAAAGTGACCTCTTATCTTCTTCTGCGGTCTCTCTGGAACAGTGTCAACCCCGTGATGACCGTCATGATAGCCCATCGCTCTCCCAAAAGACCTGTCAAGCCCGTCCCCATGAACTGGTAATGTGCAACCTTTGTCAGACTTCTCCCGCTACCCATAGCCCAGGCTGCTACAACCTCATTTCCGAAACTGTCTCTAAAACCACCAGGCACAAAGTCCATGTTGCCGCCCCCCGGAGGACCATGAGCCAAACGAACCAGTTTCCAACCATGATAGTGACCACCCAGACTCGCTACGGCCTGGCCACTAGAACGCCTCCATTCGAATGTTTCTCGAGGCCCGTTTCCGTTTGGTCCGACTTCGATAGAGAAGGTAAAGGCTGGGCTGAGACCGCTAGAGCCTGCTGGATCAACTCGTTCGCGAGCCAATGGAGCTCCTGAGCCTGGTATCGGAGGGAGTTCAACATCAAAGGAAAGGCTCATGAACATAAAGTTTGCCGAAGCAAGTGGCTGGTATGATTCGTCTGGACCAGAGTGTAAGATAATGGGTGGTGCGTCTGAAAACCCAGTATGCATTGAAAATAGATAGAGAGGTTGTTGCTGATGCTCAGCAAGAATGAAAGAGGCATTAGGCCAACCTGCAGAGTAGAGGTTGAATGAAGGTGGAAATTGTCGTGGGATAGCAGGCGGTTGACTGGGTCCAGCGGCTGCTGGAGGAGGTCGTGGTGATGCCTGTGGGTTTGGCGATGCTGGTGGAGGTTGTGATGGTGCCTCTGCCTTTGGTGGAGGAGGCCCTTGCTGTCGATGCTCGTTTTGGCTCTCATCATATGAAGGCGGAGGCTCATCCGGTACGGAAGAGTCATGCGATAGACCTATTTTGTTTAAGAAGCCCATGGTATATGTATCTTGTTGAATGGAACTTGTAAGTGAAGATGCCTATGTTGTGCAATTTATAGCGAGCGACGTTTCTGTATCACCATGTACGACAAAGTCGGCAAATCACGAGAAAAATACTGGATGGGATCGTGAGTGAGTCTTGTATTGCGGAAACTATTTCGCACAGGAAGTGGTGGTGACTGGGTTTCTATATCAAGAGATCAGGTTAATGCCGAGAACAGTGACATCAGTCGTAAGCTGGTCGAGGATGGCAGTAGGGTGTGGCTGTGAGCTCCAACTTGAGGCTGTGCTTTTGGAGAAGGTTTATGCAGGAGATGCATACGAGAAGTTATGCAGATGCAGATGCAGATGCAGATGGGAGATGCTCGGCCGAGAGGACGAGCCACCGTTTTAAACGCTGCTGACCGCCGCCGCATCATAGTGCATTGCCGGTAACCGACGGTATGTAGGCAAAATCAAAATAGGAATCTTTTAGGCCTCTGGTCGATATGAGCCAAGAGAAGCCCACATAGTCCTAGTCCTGGACCGTACGAATCCCTGAATCAGGAGTTCAGGACAGAGTGAGGCCCTTGACACGTCGTCTTCCGAGAAGCCTAGGATACCTGAACCTGGAATGGAATGACATGCTATCGTGATGTTGCTGGATATCGTGCAGCAATCGAATATGCACAACGGTCCAGCTATTCCGGGGAACTCGGCATTCAGAATTGAACACGCGTTTACCGTATCCACCCCCAGTCGATGAAAAGTGAAACCAAGGCTAATACTGCAGCTATGATGTCGATGCTTCTGACAAACAATGGCATGTCCAAGCCAGTGGAAAAGGCACGTGCTAACGACGCATGATGATGGAAATTGGTGTATTGCCTGTACTGCACTCCGTGTCAGGTCATGGTATCCGTACCTAATCATCATCATGATACTCGATCTCAGTAAGGCTTGCAATTCCATGAATAGAAATATCAGTCATTCATTCATTCTATAATAGTTCAAACCCATTTTGATGCTAAAACAAGCCATAAACCAGTATCTAATGTATACATTATAACCACGCCACCAAGACATAACCAAGACAAACCAAGCCAACCAACACCAATTCCGTATTTTATCGCTCTAGATTAACAATGCAAATCGTTGTATATGCTGTAACTTTTTAAAGATGAATTTCGAAATGACAAGAAACAAATATGCTGATGCCACGCTAAACATGAAGTTGTACATAAAAAGACTAGAAACTGAAAAGAGCACTGCGACGCTTACCCAGAGGGTAGATGAGCAGTGAACTCATGAAGAGACCAACGGCAATACCGATGGCAATCTGGATCATGGAGGCAGCGACACTGAACACCAGGTTGTCTGGGCTCAAGCCCGGTGTAAACTGCACGGAAGATGTTCCTTCGACCTCACCAGTTGCGTTGGTAATGGCGTTGGCAACCTTCAAACCGCTGAGCAGCCCTCCCGTGGACGCAAGACTTCCTGGCACTTGGCAGAATACAGCGGGGATAAGAATCGCAGCTGCAACACCGTGTCGAATTCGAGAGTAGAGGTTGGCAAGCAGACCGACAGCAAATGCACCGAGAGTGCTAGAGATCTGAGGGCTGGAGATGAACTTCTGGGCTGACCAGTAGTTCACCATGTATCCGGCGAAAGAGACAATGACCATGACGGGCATCTGGCGCCACTTCGCTTGGTAGATGATGCACAGGCTGACGACGAAGGGAGGAACGAAGAGGAATGCGTAGTAAGGGTTCATAGCATCGGCACACTGTGTCGTGTTTGATGGGGCCGAGTTGAACAATCCGTAAAGAGCGGAACCGACGGTGATACCGAACCCGAGGAAGAGGGAGTAGATGACGGCGTATACAATTCGAATCGAGCCAGGGACGATAGCGCGGGACTGGAGTTCGAGGGCGGAGCACACTATTCATATATGTTAGATTTTGTCTTGGAATAGATAGATCCAGTGTTCAACTTACAAACCATGTAACCGGGCAGCAACATGACGATACCACCCTGTGCCAATGCACCAAAGCAAAAGATTTCTTCGCCGTCCTTTTTGATACTACCAAACGTTCTGGCCAAGAAACTAACAAGAACGGTGGAAGACACTTCGAAGACGTTGCTGTAGAGAGCAGAGTTGGGTGCCACAATGAGCTGCAGCAGTCCAATAAGACAACCAAAAGCGAAGATGAGGGGAAGATCAATCAGACGGGCGCCAAACGAGAAGGGAGCAGCGGTAGCACTCATGAGTCCAAACATGACAACTCGGAGCCACTTGTGGAACTTGTCCTTGCGCTTCATCAGGTTCTCGAGCTTCTCAGTCGCTTCCTCAACGCCACAGACGTCGTGCATGACTTCCTTGTAGATGAGATGGACGTCCTTGAGTTTACCAAGATCAATGCCCTGTCCAGTACGGACAATTCTGACTTCAGTCGTGTGGGTTGACTTGTCGTCGAAAGAGATGATCATGCATCCTGGTAGGTAGAGGAACTGGCCATCAATCTCAAGAACTCTGGCTGTCATGCTGAGATACTCCTCCAATCGATGGGTGGGAGCTCCGAATAGCATCAGAGCACGGCATAGTTTGATGATGTAATCCTGTCGGGCCAAAGTCTCGGCGATGTGAACAGTGATACGTGCTTCTTGTTGCTGCCACAACCCGCTGAGTCGGTTCGCACTTTGAGTTCGTCGGTTGGCTGGTCGCTGTGGTTTCTTTCCATTCTTCTTCGTCTTGTCCTTGTCCTTGTCCTTGTCTCCACCTGCTGCATCAACGGGATTGGCAAGTCGCGAAGAAGCCTCGATAAGGTTTGCGAGCGTATCCTGTGATTTGTTTGCCTCGTACCACTTTCGTCTGGGCGTGGAGGCTCCAGATGGCGTGCCCTGAACGGTAGGAGTGCCATCACTGATGACAGAGGAAGTAGACGCGGCTCGGTGGTGTGTGCCCTTGAAAGATGGCTCTGGGGGCTTGTAAAGCTTCAGAAGCTGTGACAGAACGCTTCCGCGGTACTGTTCGGGTGCAGGCACATCGTATAGAACTCCATCAAAGTTTCCGTCGTTTAATTCGGTCAAAGTTCTCTCTTCATGCTGTTTTCCCTTGCCCTTGCCTTCCTTATCTTCAGGCGAGTCCGAACCACTGCCGGCGCTGGGTCCGAAACGCATGGTGTGTGCTCGGACGAGCTTGAAAGCCTCATCTTTCAAACCATGCCCCTCTTTATCTTCAGAGGGGAGCTTGTGGAAACCGTCCTTGCTGGTGCCTGCTTCGGTGAGATCCTGGAGGGGAATACTGAACGGGCTGTCGTAGCCTGGTGTTCCGGCAGCGCTGGACTCTAGTGAGTCTCGGTCGATAGCAGATGAATCTCTGTGAATGTTGTCAGCCATGATACGAGCACGTTCTCGTGCAGCGACCATGGCCTCCTTTGATTCAGGATCCGAGTCATCGTCGCCATCTTTGGCATCTGAGAGAGTCTTGACAGCTTCTGCAGAGGGTCCGCGTAAGAGTGAAGGTCTAGGTCTGGTAACGCCTGGAGCTTGAGGAGTGGAAGGAGGATTGGTGGATGTTGGTGGAGGATTGGCAGCAGCATTGCTGTTAAACCTCACGCGTGCTCTGTCCTTCTTGAGAGCCGCAGCAGCGGTCTGAGGGCTGGGCGGATTTCCTGATCCATTGCCAGCAACTGTTGGCTTGGGTGGTTCAGGACCGACCTCGAGGTCGGGATCGTCCTTGATATCCCTTGAGGAGCCTTCCATTTGGGATTTTGAGTTTGAAGCTGCAGTAGTGTGTATATCGCAGGATCAGGGTGCTGTCAGGGTATCAAGCGACGATAGCTTTAGTATAGTAAACGAGCGTGTGTTGGAGGAGAAAAGATGGGACTATGATTCAAAAGAACAGGGTTTAACTGGAGATGCTCGAGAGATTCGTGGGGAAAGGATGAGTGAAAGGGACAGGATTTACGTTATTATAACAAGAATTCTAGTCAAAGGGACTTGTTATGGATCCATCATGGAGAAGTCTAGTTGTTATGGTGGGAAATGCTGTGATAGTGCGACTATACTTTGACTAAGACCGGGTCCTGACCATGTCCGGCAAAAGCAGCGATCATCTTGGCCTCGTACAATGCTCAAGATACCTACCAATTGGCCCCGTGACGTAGGATGTGGAGGCACAAGGAGGGAGCATTTGAGCCTAGAAGTCTTGGACTTTCTTGGGAAACTCATTGCGAAACCGCTTCTCGAATTTTTGTTATGTAACTTGAAGACGTCGTGGCCACCGGAAGGCGCTCCGACCGGCAGTCCGGGGTCGACCGGCCCACTCGGCGGAAAACACTAATCAGACTCATGACTCTGAGCGCTTCTATTTTGGAGGGAAAGGGCATGTTTGTTTAAAAAATAAGGAGTTATGAACTCCATTATACAGGGGCAACCGATAGTCTAGACTTGAGTCCCGATGCCCAAACTGGAGCCGCATCGTTCGCCAATTCTACACTATCAAGGTTGATGTTTCCTTGACGAATCTCGTCTACTCGCCTCTCAAAAGCTTCGACCAAAAAGCTTCCAACAGTAGTTCGAGAAATTGTTTAAGAGAGATTGTTAAAGGACTAGCGTCCAGCCGTAGCCGTCTCCCTCGGCAAACCAATGCACGATTCGTCTTGTTTTTACCTGATTCAGTAATCTTTTAGTGGATCCGTACCTGCAGGGACTTTTCCAGATTCACCCAATGACGCCTGTTACCGAGAATAGTTTTTACAGGGAGGCTGGGCTGTGTTGTGTTACGGCGGACGAGAAAGGAAATACGGCTTCTAAACGGTCAATCGCTTGCATCCGAAACGCTAGAAGTTGCACAAATCAAGCATAGCATTCCCTTGCACAGCATAAAAAGGTTAACTCTAGTACATAGTAGCGTATACAATAGTTTCAGCCTGGGCTGAGCTTGGAAATAAGATTTATATTATATCCAAGCTCAACATCCAATATCAATGCCTCCACTACATCAATTAACTCGAAAACTACCCGATGATTCCCATCCTACCATCCGTGCTTCCTTTCATGGTTCCTTCATGGTTCCTTCATGGTTCCCATTCATGATTTGCATCCATCTTGTCGATCGATACATCAAAACGTTCCACGCAATCCCATGTGGACTCGATTCGTCACGATGTAAGTCACCATATATGTAGATCAAGTACATCAAAATGTTATATAAAGTGGTACGACATCCCTTCGATGCATCGATCGGCAACGCGCAATCGCACGCATTGTTCGCATGAACACTTCTCCTATTTTCTATCAGAGTATCAATGTGTCATGGCATTCTCAAACAGCTTTCGTAACTGGTCCTTCTCCGCTTCCAGCTCTGTCGACAACCCTGGTGCTAGCATCAACACACGTGCCTGAGGAATGGTACCTTCGACAAGGGCCTCAATGTGTTCCGTGCCAAAACCCAATTCTTTCAGACCCTTGGGCTGGTCACCCAAATCTGCAAGAAATTTGGTTATGGCTTCCGCGAGAACTTCACCAGCGCTCTCCCGCTTCACGTTGCTGATATCAACACCAAAGGCTTCGGCGGCCGCCAAGTGACGATCCGGGTTGGAAGCCGCTGTAAACCGAAAGACTGCTGGAGCGGAGACAGCCACAGAGACACCGTGGGGAATCAGGGGCGAAGCGACCTCGTAGCCATCGTGACTGTAGCCTGGGTTCTGGCCTGAAATGGGGTACGACATGCCTGGGTTCAAATTAGTTTCAAGCAGGGGCAAAAAAGAAAACCAAATCAAGTACTAACCGTGACAGAGGTGAACTCCGGCATTACCGAACCCAACGCCGGCCAACGTAGAAGCCAGAAGCATCTTGGATTGGGCCTCAAGGTCATCAGGATTCTTCACCGAGCGGGGGAGGTACTTGACGGTATCGCGAAGCGCATGGAATGAGAAGACATCGGAAATGGGGTTCGCGCCCTGGTATGCTGGACGCAGGATGGGGTTTGTCGGTCTAGGTGTTCTCTCGTTGTATGGAATGGCGGTCCAAGACTCAAGCGAGTGGCACAGAACATCGAGACCCGAAGCGGCCTTGACAGCAGCTGGCATAGTCCTGGTGTTGAGGGGGTCGCAAATACCAAGCGTGGGCTTGAGGTTTCGGTGAGCGACACCGGTCTTTGCTCGCTTAGATACCAGGTCAAAGATGGCGGTTCCCGTTGTCTCACTACCTGTGCCGGCAGTCGTAGGGACGGCAATAAGTGGTGTGAGCTTCTTGTCAACGGGTCGGCCCTTTCCAAGAGGAGCATTGACAAAGTCGAGGAAGTCAGCGTCAGGATAGGCTGAGTAGAGGTTCATGAGTTTGGCAGTATCCATAACCGAACCACCACCAACGGCGAGGAAAGCATCTGGTGCATAAGGACGGACCCAGGCGATAGCTTCCTTGATACTGTTGTAGTGTAAGTGGACTGACTTGAGATTCGTTCGTGAAGTCCAACTTACGAGCTATCCTTTGGCTCGACTCGAACCTTGGAGTACACCTCAAAGGGGATGCCCTCCCGAGTGAGGGCCTCGCGAACTTGTCTCATAGCATCTAGCTTGTTGACGTTCTCATCGGTGACAACACAAACTCGCTGTGCCCCCATGTTCTTCAAGTCCATGCCTACCTCCTGCGTCACTCCAGGGCCGAATCTGATGGATGAAGCAGCCATCTCAAAGGCATACTCCTTCTGGCCTGGGTGCGTAGTTGGCGTGGCATACTTGCGCTGGTGAGCATGCTTTGAAGGGGTAAAGGTTGGTGGCGACTGATGATATCCTGGGTTTGAGTGACAAGGACATGAAGGCGGATGCGTATACTGAATAGTGCGCAGCAGGCTGGTAGCTCGCTTAGCAGCCTAAAGTGAGGTGTGAGTTATCTTGAAGTGAAGCTATTTACATGGCGTCAGACACTCGCCAATGCCCTAGGTTGTCACATACATTAGGAACGACTCTCACAGAAGGGACCATCTTGTCGTTGAGGTTCGATATAAGTGAAGAGATATAGACACAACGACCAGGGTTTTGAGGATTCACTCAGCTCTTCTGATGAGGCGGTTACAACGGCTTGGACGGGTAAGAATAGCTTAACTATTTGTATGCACAACCTCGGCTCTTGGAGGACCAACCCCCAACCCCCGATTGCGGGGTGAACCCAAGCCGATCCGGGGGTGCGATGATGCGGATTGATTCGTGAGGGGAAAGCGGATCTTGATCTCTTAGAAGGAAGCTGGATTGAGAAATTACCTAATTGGGAATTATGCTGACGTCGTGTTGGAAACAGTGTACTGCTACACCAAAATATCATTGTTAAGCTACTATCACAGCATCTAGACTTTTCGGTTGTCGGTTATTTGATGATTGTACACCAATTGCATATCATATGCACACGGATCAATGAAGTATATTCTCTATGACGGTCTGATTCTATAGGTTAGGTGTTTGTATACGATCGAAAGGCACATATTGTTGATGCTAGACCAGGTTACCAGTAACAAACTCACTTGTTCAATTGGTTTTACTGCATCGTTCAATGGCTTAGCTATCAAGTTGTGGTTTAGAATGAAGGAATATCTGTTGATGGATTAAGTTTATACCAAGAGATCTTCAATTGTCTTGATTCATACTAACCTAGACCTGTAAGAACTGAAAACTAACAGATCCCTAACAGGTACCTGTTGGACTATCTGTAGGCAGGTCGCTAGGTACTGTGATTATTGGAAGACGATATCACTTACACGGCTTGAACATTACATAAATTGACTTAACTACAAAAAAGTAGTTTTGTTACTATTATCGCCTATCATCATGGAAAGTTAAGAGTCGTAGAGACTGGAGTATCGCCGGAAATCAGTAGGGTTTCTGGGCAAGATGCTATTAATCAACGTGTTTAGATCCCATCAATACTGTAGCATTTATCGATTACTCGAACAACACAAGTGATGGAAGCTTGACGTGCGCCAGTCTCAAATGTGGCTGTAGTACCTACCGCTGACCTCATCTTGTGGCTTATCGATTGGCTATCGACACATGACTTTTGATAACGTGGCTTACGAGCAGGACGTTATGAATAGTTTAATATATACAGAATTGTGAGGGGACTTAGAAATAGTAGATGACTTATTAAAGCTTTAATCGAATTAGCTTTGAAAGAAAGCTGTCGGAGCCAAAATTGCTGTTTATAGCTCAGAAACTCGTATACTCGTCCCGACTCTAAGCTGCAGTGGAGCACTAGAGGCAGGTACGCAGCCTAAGCAGGAGCAGGTGTCCACCCGAAACCACCTCGAAATAGGGAACCTCCAGCCACTTGACCTCGACCTCGACGACTTGACCTCCAACGACGACATCAGCAATCAATCTATACGTACCATCAGCTCGATCCGACAGCACTGCAAAACGCGCCGCATACTGCGCAGCCGCTCGCTCGATTAATCCTTCGCTTCCGCAAGAGTTCGACACCTAACCCTCGCTCCATCAAACGAACATGCCTCCTTGCTCAACTTGATGCTCTGCGTGATTCCCTACCCCGAACTCCCTCATGGACCGCGCAAACGGGGGTGGCCCCGGCGCAGCAGCTGCTGCCAATAGGGCAGAGCGATTCGAGGATGAGAAGCGCCGCATTATCGAAAGCTGTTTCAACAAGAAGGATGTTGATGGTTCCCGTAAGTCTTGCTACATTGTTGTCAAGCTAGGCTTCATCTGCAGGAGCTCCAAGCCCAACGGATTGGAGATGTCGCTCAAACTAGGCGATTGGAATAGCCTGTACTCGATCCAACAAACTGACAGACTCGGACAGTTCTCGAAACCTACATTACCCATATCCGAATCACCGAATACGGCTCCTATCCCACGACCCCTCCTCCACCTCAAGCGCGGACAGCTGAAAATCAGAAACCTCGAATAATAATCGTAGCTGTGCGCAAATCCGGACGAGTTCGCCTACACAAATCCAAAGAAAACCAAAATGGTACATTTTCGATTGGCAAAACATGGAATCTCGACGACCTAACGCGCATCGAATCCTACACTGGCCCTGAGGCCAGGCCAGATCATCGCGACTGGGCTGGCGACACCGGCTTTCAAGTGACACTCGGAAAGGCCTATTTCTGGCATGCCCAGACGGACAAGGAGAAAAAATTCTTTATCGCAAGTCTTATCAAGATATATGGAAAGTACACGGGTGGAAAGACGCCGGAGCTTGCAGGATTTGAGCAAAAGGAGTATGAGCAGGTTATGGGAGCTACAAGGCGACCAGCCACCGGTGGTTCCAGACCCCCTCCTCCTCCACTGTCTGAGCAAGCTACCAGCCAGAATGCGAGCGCACCTCCTCGTCCTATACACCCTATGCACCCTTCGCACCAAGGCCAACAAGGAAATCAGGGGCGCGAAGGACAACCTTCAGCTGGACCTCAAGATGTCCCTTCATTTATGACACCTCCTTCTCGCCCAGGACACCCGAACCTTGGCGCTTCGCCTGTTGGAAGCTTTGAATCAGGTGCTTCGAGGGAACGTCCGCCTCAACCTCGATGGATGGCCCAGAACAATAAAAGTCAGGATTCTGTCGCTACCTCGTTCACTGCGAGGAGCGATGATGGTTCTAGCTTACCACCACGGTCTCGCAATGGTGTCAACGGACCAGGGTCATATGGCAGATTTGGAGAGCCTGCTGATAATCGTGCACCGGCTGTCCTTACACCTCCTCAACCTCAGCCTTCGCCCAAGTCACAACCGCCAGCCATTCTCTCACCTCCTCAGGGTCCTCCACAACCAGTGCCTTCACCTCTCCAGCTAGAAAGACCGCCCCCGGAAAGGAGACGACCGCCTATGGATCCAACTCGCCCTCAGGATCGAGACTTGGTTCCTCCACCACTAATCAGTCCTAATAAGGAGCCAATGGCCCCTCCGCCTCGCAGCAGCGAACGTGTCGTGCCAAGAATGGACAATGCAAGTCAGAAATCGGCAAACAGTTCGTTCAACGGAAGTTTCCAAGACCAACCGAACCCGCCACCCACAGGAAGGCTACCGGATCCCCCCAAACGGGAGCCACTTCCTACACCTTCTGCTCTCAGACCAGGATCATCACCATCTCGTCCGCCGACTCAGACTCCAAATCCAACTCCAGCATACCAGCAGGCTACAGTGCCAAGCGATACCCCTAGTCCTTTACAAGCTTCAGCTCGCAGACCTAGCCCTGCGCCAGTTCCAGACCCCAGTCCTGCAAAAGCTCGAGGTCCCAGTCCGTCGCCAGCTCGAATACCTAGCCCAGCTCCAGCCCGCGTTCCCAGTCCTGCTCAAGGTCATACACCGAGCCCCGCACTAGCTCTCTCTCCAGGCTCTGGAGGAGGCTCCTCCGATGTCTCGCCAATGACAGTGAGCGTGCCCAGATTCGCAAATATACAGCCGCCAGCTCCTGAGGTTCCCAAGCAGGAAACCCCTCAGCCTGTAGATGAGCCATCACCGGGAGAGCGTTCGGTGGATTATTCCGACCAAGACTCAAATGCATCACCGGCAGAACCAGGTCAAGAAGCAAGACCTGGCCTGGGTCCTATGATTAAAGCCAAAAAGTCCAGAAACGAGATCGCTGGCGCGCTTTGGAAGGCTGCATCCGCAGCAAATGCTGCCACAGCCTTCAAACCCAGACCTGGCGGTGCTGCAGAGCGTATGCGCCTCCTGAAGACCAAGGTAGGAGAGGAGGGACCAGATGGCATCAACAGCGTTGTGCCTGCGCCTCCAAGACCATCTGAGCAACCTACTCCCGAGGAGACGCCCAGAGAAACACCCAAGGCCGAAGAGGACAAACAACTGGAGCAACCTAAACCGGCAGAGCAGCCGAAGTCTGCGAACCGCAATTCTCTGGTTCCTGAAGTCAAAATCAGTCTTCCAACGAGCAGGCCAACTAGTATGCACGGCCCGCCACAGGAAGTGCAGAAGCCAACTGAGCCTGAAAAAGAGAAACCCCGTCGCTCCATTAATGCAGGCAACGATATGAAGTACCTGCAGTCATTAGGAGTCAATCCTTCCATTCTTGACGAAAGGAGTGAGGACTTCGCTCAATGGCTGGATTACTTTGGATGGGTTCCGGGTGATCAAATGCGCGCGCGTAACGTAGAAGATATGAGGACTGACTTGGAGCGTGAACTCAACAAAGCCCAAGCCGGTGGCTGGCTGGCTCGTTTCCGCGAAGAGGACGAGCGTGTTGATGCGATCAAAGCAGGGCTCGATGTTGCCATGGCTGAGTGTGAGGAGTTAGACAATCTGCTTACACTCTACTCCGTCGAGCTTTCGGTACGTATTCCCAATAATCTGTATGATCCCTCACTAACAAGAACAAGACCCTTTCGGAAGACATTGCATATATCGAAGCTCAAGGTCAAGGTCTTCAAGTACAGACCGCTAATCAGAAGCTACTCAAGAAGGAACTCGAGTCTTTGCTCGAGACTTGCGCTATCACATCAAAGGAGCTCGATGTCCTTAGATCGGCGCCTCTGGATGATATCCGCGGTCTGCAAGATGTTGAATCATCTCTTGTCACACTTTATAAGGCTATGGTCAAGATTGATCCTTCTCGCACTAGTGCTGGTCAGGGAGTGGTGGATGTCACAACAGACCCAAACCAAGGCCATGGTCTTAACCCCGACTTCAAACAGATGCGAATTGTCCAGGAGAAGAAGCAGGTTTACGATCAAGAAAGTGCCATGTTCATTGGTAGAGTCGTCGCTTTTATGTCTGGACAGTTTAACCAAGCCTTTACAGAAACAAAGCTTGCTATGGAAGGAGCTTTGGCGAGAAAGGTGGATTCAACACATCACGATCTTGGCCGTGACTCACTTTGGCAATTCAGCCCTCTTATGCTCTACGCCCGGGATATGCATGGTGAGGAGTGGAACCAGGTCATACAAATCTATCAGGATAAGAGTCAGCCTGTATACCGAACAGAGTTCCAAGCTGTCATCGCATACTGGCGTAGGAATGCCAGGAAGTTGACAGGAGAGGAGGGCGAGCTGCTGTTCACATCAGCAATTGAGAACAAACAGGACGGAGGAGGTGTGGCAACCACTGCCAGGAAGCTGACAGTCAAGCGCAGCGGAACTTTGGCCAGAGCCCTCCGATCCCCTCGAGAAGACGGTGGCAACAAATCAAAGGTTGAGAAGAAGCCAGACGACAATAAAGATGCGCCTTACGAAGTCTTCTCAGGAGTTTTGGATAACTTACTTCCCTTGATGCAGATGGAGCAAAACTTCATTGTTGACTTCTTCCATGCATCGACGCTTGAACAAATCGATTTCCCTGAAGCTGTTGCTGCAACGCCACCCTATGAACGAGCAGGTACTGACCTCAGGCGGCCACGATTAATGGAACCCGACAGAGACCTAGCCAGGCGTATTCTGCGTGCAATGGAGGTCATCTTTACTTTCATGGAGTCAGAACTGCTACGTCTCATGGAATGGGTTGTCGGGCAGGATCCTTTGTAAGTTCACATCACCACGACAGGTAAACCACAATTCGTTAACAGTTTTTAGACAAGGTATTGGCGTGTTGGCGACTCTAGAGAAGTATATTGCCGATGTTGGGCAATCTAATCAGGAATACATTAACACCCTCCTACAAAAGCTCCACGGCCATTTGGAAGTTCGGTTCAAGAAGTTTGTCGATGAACAGCTTCGTGCCATCGAAGAAACGAAGGTCAAGATCAGCAAGCGCAAGGGTGTTATTGCATTCATCCGTATCTTCCCTCACTTCTCTAGTGCTGTTGAGAACATGCTGGTTGGCGTTGACGGTACGCTAGCAGCTCGAGGCACCATTGATCGTGAATACAACCGTATACTGAAGACTATGTATGACTCGCTGATGGTCATCGCACGAGAGAACCCCGCGGCTGGCGTAGCGACCAATTCTGCGGATCCAGAGGACAAGGAGGCACTCAATTTCCATATTCTACTGATTGAGAACATGAACCATTTCCTGGAAGAGACGGACACCCGGGGATTGGAGGTCCTCGAGGAATGGAAGGACAGGGCCAACACGACGTACTACGAACACATGAACTTGTATCTCAGTGCGGTGATGCGTCGACCACTTGGCAAGGTTTTGGAGCATCTCGAGAGCATGGAAGCTCAATTACAATCAGGCAAATCTCCCGCAGCGATTGCTGCGCAACCCTCGAACAGCAAGACGGTCTTCAACAAGGTTCTCAGCAACTACGATTCCAAGGAAATCCGCAAGGGTATCGAAGCACTACGCAAGCGTGTTGAGAAGCACTTTGGCGACGCTGACGACCCAGCGCTGAGCCGAGGATTGGTCATAAAGGTGCTATCGGAGTGCGAGCAGTTTTACGAAGAAGTTGAGAGACGGGTTGGCGAAGTGACGACCAACATTTATGGTGGTGATGTCGCTTTCGAATGGCCTCGAGCCGACGTCAAGGCTGCATTCCGCTAAGTTCTGGGGTATAGAGTGAATGGGAATACGATCACATGAATCTGTTGTATGAATACTATAGTTACTATTGGCGTGCTTGATGCGTCATGGGGAGTAAACGAGGCGCCTTTCGTGGTAAATAGGGATGTGTCAAGCGTTGGACGGATGAGTTTTGGTATATCTCAATATATTGCATGACTGACGGATTATGTTCTCTTATATACCAATGTTAGCATTTGTGCATAAAGATGTGCGTAGTCACGTACGCGTTCAATTAATTGATGTTGATATCCAACCACTTTACGCGACAAGACGTGTCTCGATAACTAAGGTAGCATCCTGGGAACCTTAAGCTACGCCACTTAACGCCCTTGGACCTTGTAGCTCCACTCATCCCATCCCGGTCATCGACCTTGATATCGAAGCTGCCTAGATTGCTTGAGTTCAAAACTATCATGTCGTGTTTTATATGTCTATTTAGTTGAACTTGAGTCTTATGCTTATTGTACAAACCCGTCCAAGCACTCGGAAACCGCGATAATGACGCCCAGAACCCGTTCAGGCGGTGCCCCCGCGGAGAGCCGTGTCTATCATTCAACACCAGCGAAACAGCAAGCACAATTCCCGGCGCGTAGGAGAGTCGTACGAACATATGGAAAGCAGAATCGCAAGAAACAAGCAGAGACACCCTCGAAATTACTGCGACAACAAACATTGACACAAATCGATTTTGTGTCTAGTCTCGAAGGACATGACCCAATTGTACTCAGTGATAGTGAACAAGAGGACATGGGATCTGCCAAGGAAGACGACGAAAACGAAGAGGGCGAGAATGCAGAGCCACAAGAGGAAGAAGACGAAGAACCTGTATCGAGTGGGAGGAAACGACGGGCAGCTTCCAAGAAGGCCTCCGCCAAGAAGGACCGAACGAAACGACGACGAACACTAGGAGATGATACCGACGAACAACCCAAGCCGAAGAAGGAAAAGAAATCGTCCCGACGTAAGACTATGGGAGATACACCTACCAGTTCGAACTATCACACACAAACGTTGACCCAGTTCCTCGGCCGCGATACACCTCACGCTGAACTGATCAAGGATTCCGAAGACGAAGACGAAGATGATGGATTCCAACAGTGGCTGGCAAATCCAGCGAGTCCAAGCCCGCAGCATATTCGAAAAAAGAAAAACGTCTCGCCCGTCAAGACTCCAAAGATTCTTAAGTCGATATTGAAGCGCAGGCCAGAAGAGGCACTCACAGATATACCCCCTCCACGTGAGGAGTCTGTTGTACCACAAACACCACAAAAGCAAACGCCCGGAAAGCGAGCCACATCAGTTGAGATACCTTCGTCAAGTCAGCTTTCCGCGCCGCCAAGCATATCATCTACGCCTGCTAGTCTCATGCTCGATCGTTACGGACCTCCTGATCGTGCAGAAGCATCACCGGCCAAAAGAAAGATGTCATCACCTGCTGTCCTGTCGCCGCTTAAGGAGCTGAAGGGTAAGCCCCGGACGACCACAACGCCGCGACAGCATGAGCGCATTATTCAAGATTCTTACGCCACCGACAGTTGGGGTTCAGCTAGCCGTACACCTCTACGGGAACTACCCGTCGACTCGCCAAATAAAACCCCTAGAACACCGAAAGGCAGCATTGAGCCGCTGGAAACATCTTCTGGACTGGACGAGGTGGAGACGCCAACCAAGGCGCGCAGAGGCGTTAGCACCGAACTGGGCGGAAGTCAAAGAAGTGGTAGTCCTACACCAAAAATGAAGAAAGTGTCGCCCGGCGGCAGCGGTAAGAAGAAGGTTATGCTGGAAATACCTGATTCTGAGGATGAAGACGATGAAGACTTTGGCTCTGATGAGGATGGTGAAGGGTTTGGCGATGAAAACGCCGAGAACAACACATTTGTCGCTGGAGCTGAGACGCAGCTCATTATGAGCGAGATTGCTTCATCAGAGGAAGAAATAATGAGAGCATCATCATCTTCTGCACAGCCAGCGTCTGTTACTACTACTAAGCGACAAGCTTTCGCGACCATAACTTCAGAAGAGTCTTCTGGGTCGAATGGACAAGGATCAAGCACATCACTGCCACCCCTGAGTTCACGAAATACAGAACTCCCTCCCCCCTCTTCAACACCCAAAGCCAGGAGCCGTCCAGCAAAGCGCGTTCGCAATCCCATCCATCGTCCCCTCCCACAAACTCAAACCCAGCCGCTGGAATCTCAGCGTGTACCGTTGGCCACGCTGCAATCACTGCCGCCTGCATCTGCTCGCACAGATGTCCTGCTTCCACTAACTCAAGACATCATTGACGATGTTCTAGAGGGCTACCAGGCTGATCTCATCCTCAATTTCAAGATACCTGCACAGGTGGTTCGCTTCTGGCTGTACGATGGGGAATTATTGCGCTTTATGGCATGCGCTGACCCTGGTCGTGTAACCGAAGGCCCAGCTTGGCGTTACCATCTGACCCAAGTTTATGAGCTGAACAACCCAGTTGAGGGTGACGATATGCGGGAAGAAGGTTGGATCGATGGTGACGTCGGCCGCTACGTTTACTTCCCCCCTGCTATCGTTAGTCAGTTATTGTGGAATTTGCGCCATGCTCTCTTCAAGGAGGGCGCTTCGCAAGAAGTGCCAACACAGATTCTAGATGAAGACGACAGTGCAAGAGTCGATCTTTTCGCCAACTCGTCACAGCCTCTTCCTCAGGCTAACAATCCCACACCTACCCCAAGCATGAGTGTTTCGCAGCAAGTCGAAGCTCAACTCCAGACCGACTTTGCTCAGTCGATCCAAATCCCTACATCGGACGACATTCTCGTCCCCTCGACTCCCGAGGAAGAGAATAACGATAAACAACACACCACTCCCCCAACTACCCACGTCACCTCCTCTCCCACAACTATTAAGCCTCCGCCTCGCCGAACCCCTCGGGCCTCTCGCGCTCCCCTAAGTAGCGCATCCAAGTTACCTGCTGTGCGTCCCTCTCAAGCAACCACTGTCTCTCAAGCTTCCACCCCTGAGAAGCAACACTCATCTTCCATCCGTCGCCCTCCACTACACTCTTCTAGCAGCATCGGTCTTCCGGATAGTCTGCTGGATGGGGACGATGAGGATGCTGCGCTGCGTCTGCCCGATTACAATCCAGGCTCTTCGCAGCTGTTGACAAAGAGTCAAATGCTGCCTGATAGCCTCTTACGTGATGATGCGAGAGTTCCACCCGAGATTTGGGACTCGGACGAAGAAGATGAACGACTGTAGAATGCTGGTGCCTTTATGACTTCTCCCATTGTTTTATTGCGTTGTACTTTTCTGTCTAGTTATGTGGCTGGCTTACGGTTCCAGAAGGGCAATGAATGGGCTCACTCTTTGGTCATGTATTTACGAAATGCAAGTTTGGTGTTGGGTGCATTGACAGAAAGGATTCACGAGTAATAAATATTTTCAAGACGTGTATGCACGCAACTGCTAAATTATTCATTGTTTCATTATGCAACGCGGTGAGGCATGGCCCAAATACACAATTTCATCTGCGACTACTCTGCCTAGAGGCGGTTTTTTTTTTAAAGTCTTCTTCCCCGTCCAAAGACTTCAACGGTTTGCCATGCCATTCCAGCAATTGTCATAAAAAAGATAATCCTGCGCCAATCCCCAAGCCATGCAATATTGTGCTTCTGTCAACACAAAACAAAATGCACTGTCTAATTCCTTCGTTCCAGTCCGTCGCAGGGGTAGTTTTGTTTCATCAGGGCATAAAGAGAACACGGAAGCTTTTCCTGCCAAGTCATCAAAATAAACGAGTCTCATTTGTTTTCGAGGCGCCACGGATGGTGCATAGCATCGTATCGTAGAGCATCTCATAAAATAGCCCAATCTAGGATAGATGGAAAGCTCCCTGGCCTTCCTTGACAGCTGTAAAGAGTTGCTTCTTCATGGTCTCAATAGTAGAGTAATCTGGGAGCTTCAGATAGTTGACACACGTCATGACACTAGGCAAGTAGTCATCGGACGTATATGGGTCTTCACTGGGTTTGCAGACGACAGTGAACATTGGTGTCAATGATTTGAAGCCTAAAAACGTTAGATACCGTTCATGAGATTCACATAGCTGGCACTTACCTCCGATCGGAAGCTTGGGACTTCCAGTTATGAATTGTAGGAAATCTCGGCGTTCTGATGGGTTGAATCCACTCATAGTCTGGAGCAAATTCTTCACAGTCTTGCTGTCCATGTTGTAGCCGTGATCGGCCTTGATAGAATCAAGTAGAGCTAGTAATATGTTAGTGAATACCACATGCGCTGGCATGGAAAATTACTTACTTTCAATAGACCAGTCTTCGTCGACGCGTCCAAACAGGGTGACAAGCTCATCTGGGGTGAAAGCACTCAGTGCCGAGTAAGGGAAGACTTGTGAGAACCCAGCACGGAAAGCATCGACTTGACGACGAACACCGGAACCGAGAGTCATATCTATGACCTTGTCTAGGTAGGCATCAACATTGTCGATAGTGACTCGTTTCTGTGAGCCGTTGTCCTCGAGTTGGATGTTCGGATACCCTGGCAGGGTGAAGTCGAGGCACAGGTCGTCAAGCTTAACACCATCGATGGTGATGTTCTCTGTATCAGCGACCTTTTGTGCGGGAGTGCGGCTGGGGTCTTCGTCGATCTCCTTTTTAGCCAAAGAAAACTGCTTGATGGCTTTCAGCGACCGGGCCAGGCCCGGGTCAACCATTCTGACGGCTCCCAAGGACGGCTTTACTCCAGACACGGCATCTCCAATCCTGAAGAAAATAGGATTGAAGTGAAGGTCAATGATTCGCGAGTCGATCATAGACCGCGCAACAAACTTTCCAAGCATCTTGAACAGATGTAGAATTCGCTCTCCATTGGGTGTTCCAGCTTCTTCGTCACTCTGAGGTCTGGGGAAGAGCCCGGTGGCCCCGGACACGAACTCGTCAGAATCATTTGTGTCAACCTCGCGCCATAGCTTGAGCTTCTTTTTCGAGAATTCTCGTGACACCGTCGAGTAGAATTCCAGCGTAGGGCCGAGACCGGTGCCCACCTCCTCAAAGTACTCAACCTCCAAGATACTTTGCGCAGCACCATAAAGCTCCATAACCTTCAAAGCTGATTCCAAGATCTTTTGACGAGAGATCCTGACTTTCTGTCGCTGAAGTCGGCCAAGGAATGGTCTCTCATTGTTTCGATCTCTTCGGTTCTCCTCTGCTGATTGGGTGCTCTGCCACCTGGTCATCGATCTGGCATAGCCGAAGGATGTAGACTGCAGGAAGAGATGTCGAGTTTCAAATGGGAAGAGGAATGGGTACAAACGAGCAAGATCCTCCGCCCAGCTAGGAAGACAATTACTAGCAACAATCAAGGGCTCCTCTAACTGTCGGTTCAGCTTTGCGGTAAGCTTCGTGTTGACGAATTGAGACAGTGGCTCAACATTGAGGCCGATGATGCTGTTCTTCTTCTCGACCAGAACGTCTTCGATGTTGGAGTTGAGATCATGAAGAATGTTCAGCAGTCGTAGGATTGATGAAGTTGTAGGGTGCTTTGCGAGCGACGCAGGAATTCCGTGCTCATCCTCGCCGTCAGCCTCGGAATTGGAAGTAAACGAAAGAGTTTCTGCCGGTGGCGGTCCAGGGACCCGTTTGAACTTGATGGGATGGATAGTCGACCAGATATTTCGGCCGAGATGCTCATCCGAGTTGGACGCTGAAGTGTGCACAGCGCGATAAATGGTAGTTTCGTTAGGAATCAGCTTGCCATCAAGACTGAATTCAATATGCCAGTCTTGGGGCACAGCCTGAAGAGCAGAAGCATAAGACATGGCCCTTGACGATGACGCTGCCGGAGTAGGTGTGCTGTGACCTCCAGCTGGAGGGGGTCCACCACGAGTAGGTGCACCAGATCCGGTCGGGGTCGCGATGCGAGTGCCGTCTTCTTTGCGTGCTGTCACATGTCCGCCCGTAGCTACCTCCATGTTTACAGCAGATGTGTCACCAGGAGTCGACTCCGTTTCCATATCCTCTTCAAGCTCCCCAACAATGGCGTCCAGTGCACTACTCTCTCCTACGTCTTCATCGTCGGTTAATTGCTTCTCATCAGCACACTCTAGTGTGTCCTGCATCTCGTCGTCGTCAGTTGGCGGAGGCCGAGGAGCTGGGGGTGTGCTTGCCGCACCATGCCGTCGCGAGGATCGGCGAAGTGCGCTTTTATCTCGAGACGGCCCAGCAGACTGGTCTGGTGTAGCAGGAGCGGCCTGTGACTTCGACTTGCGGGTAGGTCGGGAACCTGACGGTGTTGGAGCAGCAGGAGGCGGGGGTACTGGAGGGCCACCTGAGAATAGACTTCCGTCGGCTGCCGCTAGGCGGGCTGCTGCCGCACTGCTAAGAGGAATTCCGGCAAGACCAGCGGAACTGGCCATTGCTGCAAGCGCTCTAGCAACTCCGTCTCGACGGGAGGCACCACGGGGCCTCTCGGTGATACTGATTCGGGGCCGCAAGTAGTCGTCTAGGGATTTGAAGGTTGCAATAGCATGGATCGATACCATAATATTTCGGTACGGTTTAGGGATCTCCAGTTCGTCATCAGCAACGAGACGAAGTCTAATTTGTTTGCCTAGCATAGACGCAGGGCTACTGTGGTTGCCATCAAATGTGTTGTGATGCACCGTGATAACCTCAAAGTGCTCCGACCTACTGAGCAAGTCCTGAAGTTTGTGGATCATGACACTGAAGGGGGTTGCTGGAGACTCTGCAGTCGCTGTTTTTGGCTTCGACTTCACTGTATAAGCCATGAAGACTTCCAAGAACGTCGACTGAGCGGCGCGAGCAAGCTCCTCGTCAGGATTGCTGAAGATCTCGAGGAGAACTCGGACGAGACCTGACGAGAGAAGTTCTGCGCTCGTGACACTCTCTAGGACGTCTGTATCAAAGTGTGACGCAAGTGTTGTAAAAAGTTCCTTTCCTTTATCTGCTGAAACACTTCCAGCTGATCGTTTGAGATAGAAGGTTTCAAGCTCACCGGCCAATTCTGAAAGAGCATCAAGAATTGTTGTAGCCTTAGCCTTCATCGCTTGACCGTGACCCTCAGTTTCGTGGGTCTCGAGGAATTTCTTGGCAACGTCTCGCGTTCGGGACTTCATAGAGCGAACATCAGAGATGAATCGGCCGAGGGGAACCTCGAGAGACACAGTAGATCCTCGGGAGCTAACCGGGGACATATCGTCGTTGTTCGCCTCGCCATTTTCATTATCGTTTTCTTCATCGTCGTCCTCATCATCGTCAGATGATTCGCGTTCCTCGTCATCATCGTCCTCGTCATCATCGTCCTTGTCATGCCCAGATTCTTGTTCTGAAGAATGTTCGTTCTCTTGATCCGCTGTTCGTTCATCCTCGCTCTCTGGCTTTGCGCTCTTGTCCGGCTTCTCTTCAACAGGGTCCTCTTCTTCAGCGATCTTGGTGATTTCTAGGAAGACGCCTTCGCGGTAGAATTGGTAGCGATAAATCTTGTCTAGTCGGCTAAGCAAGAGCTCTGCAGCCTGGAGTCCGAGCATGACGAGAGATGCGTGATCTTGTTGTGAAAGAATAGATGCCAGAAAAGAGGCGTAGGGAACAGGAGTCAACGCCTCGACCAGGATGTCCTCGTCCAGGTTGGAGAGCATTTTCAGCTGTGCTGTGAGCACTTTTTGGCGGACGCTCAAGTTAACCGTACTGGAAAAGGCGTCCGTCAGAGTAGGGAAAATGATAAGAGCGAAGCGGCGGACTTCGTCTTTGCAGTCTTCCAGAAGCTCGATACGCTTCTCGTTTGTAGTCCTGCGGTTTCTTCCTCCGCCAGATGCTGGGTGTGGCGGTTCTGTAGAGGCGATAAGCTCGACGAAATCCCCGAACGACGGGTCGGCATTGCGTGGCAGGTTGGGAAGCAGTTCGCAGATGACATTGAGGGTCTCGATGATTTGCTCTCGGGGTCGATGAATAAGGGCCTGCATGATTACAACACTGTCCAACTTTGAGGCAACATCCTCAGTGCCGCTTGGTGGTGACACTCCTGTGAGAATCTGGTACAATGTCTCCACGACGTTAAGCTTGAAGAGCTCGGCTGAAAGCCGAGGGCTCGCTCGTGCGGTGAAAGCCAAAACTCGGAGGAACTGAGTGTGGATGCTAGAGCTAATCATGTTGGTCGTACCAGGAACAAGAAGTCTGAGTACGCCGCGAAGAAGATCCACACTAACAAGTTCTTCCAGCTTATGAGGATGATACTTGAAGCTCTCTACTATACCTGACACGCAAAGCGAGGCTTGTTCGACAACACGCTGGTCATTGCTGTTGAGAACGTTAAGAAGTGTAGGCATAACATCCCGTACAACTGGGAATGAGTCGTCGGGAATGTTGCGACAGCAGTTGGCGGCGGTGGTGACAGCAGTTCGTTGAGTGCCTGTAGCAAAGAAATCGAGGTACGAAAGGCACGCAGTAAGACCTCCCTCGCGAACAATGCTCGTAGGATACTCAACAGAAATCTTCTCCAGGGTGCTAAGGGCCTGTTCGGCCAGATCGATAAAAGATATTTCGAGGAGCTTTTGGCACAGTACTGGGACGGCGTTCCCATAGACGACGTTCGCAACGCTGGCGGGCAACGCCTCCATTAAGTTTGCCAAAGACCGACAAGCGAGTAGCATGATCTCGGGGCTTTCTTCCTTGTTCATGAGCGTAACTAGTTCCTTAACGAAGGCATCAGGAGAGAAATGGCCAGAGAGATTCTCTTCGTTCGAAACCAGAAGAATTTCTGAGAGCTCCTGCAGAGCTATCAGTTGCTCCGAGAGGTCGTTTGATCGTAGGCTGTTAAGGAGTTCTCTGAACCGTGATGTAAGGCCGGACATCATCCCCGTCAGTGCTCTCAAAGTGCTAGACAGACTGCCTGGAGGGCCACCAAACCCGCCGAAAGGATCGTCATCATCGTCGTCGTCGTCATCGTCATCGTATCTTCGTGACCCTTCCTCATCGTCATCATCGTCATTGTCTTCACTATCGTCGTCGCGATGTTGGTCGATGGGTGGGGGAGGAGGCGGCGGTGGTCCTGGGTCCTTGTTTTCGTCGGTACCCGTCATTGGTGTATCTTGGTCAACGGCGCTGTCGAGGTTTCGCTTCGATCTCCGTGTGGTTAGGGTCGAGCCTTGTACTGACTCTGAGGTCATGGTTAGTCCTGTGATTGAACGATGTCACGACGCTTGCGTCTTCCCTACTAACCTTGTGTAGATCCAGTGGGCTTCTTGGAGCGGCTGGATTTTCGGCTAGAGGAGCCGGATGGAATAGATGATTCTGCAGGATTCGCAGACCCAGGTCTCTCGTTGCTAACAGAAATTAACATATTGCTTCCGCGTAGCGAACTTGCGCAAGATGGTATTGCAGACTTACTCTGGGCTGTCCATCTCTTCAGTGGGCTTTGCCTTTCGCCTAGCTCTAGGTGCAGGTTGGTGATTTTTGTTATTGGTGGAGGGTGAAACGGCTTCGGGGATCTTTTGTCTCTTGGACCGTCGACCTGAAGATCCAGATGTTAAGGCGTTACTCGGGCTCTTCTCAGTAGCGAGACCTTTGCGCTTTCGTGAGGCTGGGGTGGTTGAGGTTGCGGTGGTCGGGACGTCAGCAGCGGCAGGAGCAATAGCGTTGGTTTGGGCTGCCTGACTCGCTGCTTGACGAGCCGAAGATCTGGTGATTCTAGAATTCATAATTGTCGTAAGCTTTGTACTGACGATGCATGGGGAAGAAAAGGCAGAGAGTGTGTTTTAAGGTGAAATCGTTGGGGTATTGTGAGGAAGATGAAAAGGGAGATGAAGAGAGGAAACACAAGCACGAGCCGCGACCGAAAGTCAAGTGCTTCAGAGATATTGTTTGCTTGGTCGCCCGGGTCCTGCTGGTCGAGGATGGTAGGTTTGAGATACCCGAAGGCTGAGCAAGTACCTGCACGTTGCAAGATAAAGTTCAACCAAAAGCTAAGCACCAGATGAACCATCAAACACATATGAAGGCAATGATTGACTACGGCAAAACGGCGGCTTGGGTCGGAAGGATAAATGGATTTGTTGTCTCGAATATTCGTGGTGAATCAGCGACGCAACGCAATGCAGCAGCGGCGGCGGCCAGAGTCGGTCAGTGCTGGGACGACGAGGGTGCCTGTCCCGTACAGTACCTGAACAGGCGAGGCCAAGTACGAATGACGTGGTGACAGCTGCGCGAGACGGTGACAAACACAAAGTGAATGAAAGGGAAAAAGTGAAGTGGTAGATCAAGGGTCAAGATGGCTAATGGGGAAGGATAAAAGGGTTGGCCCTACCTCTGGGGAGCGGTGGTAGCGGATAAGGTGGCAGTTGAGGTTGTCGAGGTAGAAGGAAGTCGCACTTCGTTATCACCTGCCGATGTTCGTTCTGCCATGCCCAGACGACCTACGCCATCAGGAAGGCAGCGGGCGGGCGCGAGCGCGGCGGGGTCGTGATTTCTCGCCGGGAGTCGAAAAGACGATAGATAGACAATTGGTGAGACGGAATAGCGATATTGGCAAGTTAGGTTAGGTTAGTTACGGTGAGGGGAACTGTTCCTCTTAGGTATTCGGCGATGCGGGACAACTTGAAGTTACAGGATACAGGTCTCGATCAAACAAGTGCCCCCTCTGGAGTAGGAGAGAACAAGATAGGAGGAGGTAGGAGATAAGTGGTGTTTTTTGGGTTTACAGATACGAGAGATGGAGAGAAGATGATGGATGGGCACCTCAACCTGAGTCTAGAGGTAGTCTAACGTAACGAACGAATGGAACGGTTGACGTGTGTGAGGTGGTCGACTCCACTATATGCGGCCCTGAGAGGCTCTTGCTCAAGGCCACCTACAGCACTACGTTTGCAACAAAGTTGGGGTGTGCCCGCTCTATCATCCACCCAATATGCGTTTGTGTAGGACAAGACACATTTGAAAAGCACTGTGAATCGCCCATTCTACCTCCTTAACTGCGGGCAAGCGTGCACTGTGCCAGGCTCCAGAGAGAGGAGGGGCGGGGTGGTTCTCTGTTTATCACGGCAGGGCTGCACGGCCAGGAAAGATGGAGCATGGATCCAATATCATGAGGTAAAGTTGTAACCAACAAAGGTGTCTTTTCCAACAATTTTCAGAGTTTTATGCTCCAGTTTATAAGTACATCTCAGCTAAACTTCTCATCTTGAGTCAGTCATGCCCTGATGATGTACATATCCATCCCAAACTAACTTATTCATTAACGTAAAACATCATCAAGGTGCAGCTGCGAGAGAGGGATCTTGCATTGTGGAGCGGCCCGCTTAGTTTCAAAGTGGCGTCCATCACACTCCCACTAAAAGCCCACTGCAAAGGTGACGCTAAGAGCTGCGACTAGACGGGCATCGACATCGGATATTGCACGGTCGGATGATAGAGCCTCAAGTCACTGTATAAAAAGTCAATGGTTCTCAAGATGGATGCCAAGTTCATACAATATGTCACCAGAACAGGAAAGTTACTTGCTTTATAGACTAGGCTAGAAATTTGCAGAAACTTGATGAATTTACAAAGCCATTTTTTATGTTACTGATGCCCTCATCACAAAGACCAAATCTGAACCTGCGATGTTAATAACCTTATGCAACAAACAGCAGATTTATGTTAAATAGAAGCTTACTATGGATTCGGGCTTAATAAATTGTCCAATTTCAAAAGTCAATTTTAACATCAAAGGGGATCCAGCTAAAGTCAAACTTCTATGTACACCAATCATTTCCTCCAGCAAGTTGTTTGCAGGGCTTTCTTTCTCCTTCATCATGTAACCAGTCATAAGCTAGGCCGTCGTAAGAGCAACGGTTGAGATAGATGCTTCAATCAATTTGTTAAGACATTACAATTTGCGTTTACTTGTTTGATTGCGCATTATCTGGTCTTCTAAGATTACTAGTCCCTTATTCCTATGGGTTCAAACTATCCTTACCACCCTCGAACTCAGAGACATCATACTCCTCGGGGTATTTGTCCATCATGCTCTTGAGCTCCTTCATCTGAGCCTTCAAGTCATCTGTCATTTCCTCATACATGTCTTCAAACATGCCTCGAATCGGTGGCTTCTTTTCACGCTCTGCTTCGCTAAACGCCTTGAGAATCTCCTTTCGTAAAGCGCTTCGGGCCTCTTTCTCTTTGGCCTCGTCCCAGATGCCCTTGGCCTCCATCCACTTGCGCAGGCGTGTGATGGGGTTGTCGCGGCGCTTCCAGTCTTCAACTTCGACACGCGCACGGTAGGCGAATGAGTCGTCAGAGGTGCTGTGGTGTGAAACACGGTAGGTCATAGCCTCAATTAGGACCGGCTTGCCGCCGTCTTCAAGTGCCATTTCGCGGGCTTTCTTAGTGGCCTCTCGGACTGCCCAGATATCGTTACCATCGATTCGAATGGTATCAATGCCATAACCAATACCACGACTGGCAATACCATCGCCACGGTATTGGTCTAGTGTGGGTGTTGAGATAGCGAAACCGTTGTTTCTGCAGATAAAGATGGCGGGGCAAGATCTCGTAGCCGCGATGTTGAGAGCAGCATGGAAATCACCTTCACTCGCTGCACCCTCACCAAAGTATGCCGCAACCACACGAGCCTTGGAACTCGGGTTCTGGAGTTTTTGCATCTTTAGAGCATATGCGGCTCCTGAAGCTTGAGGAAGTTGTGTTGCTAACGGTGATGAAACGGAGTGCTGTGTACCTTTGTGTTAGTCAAAGCTTCTTTGTGCTGATATCTGGTGTACTCACAATATTCAGCTCTTTACTTCCGTAGTGGACGGGCATACTGCGTCCTCGACTTGGGTCCTTTATGTTACCAAACAATTGACTCATGAAGTCTGTTGCTGTAAATCCTCTCTCTTTGAAAACGCCCTGCTCTCGATATTGTGTAAACATGACATCCTCTGGGTCTAACACGCTTGAGCTGCCGATACTGACGGCCTCCTCGCCCGCGCTGACCATGTAGAAGCTCAATCGACCTTGTCTTTGCGCATCAAACATTATTAGATCCATAATTGAGATAAACACCATATCTTTATAGAGGCGAATAACCTCCTCGTCGGAGATATCTGGCTTGAACGATTCATCCACCACTACTCCATGCTGGTCTACAACGCGATACGTCGACAAGGCAGGGTACGACTCGGGGGATTCGAATTTGAGCGTGCTTGTGAAAGCGCTCTTTAGTGCACCGGGAAAAGAGACAAAGTTCGAGTTGGGTCGCTGCGATACACTACTCGCTGATCGAAAAGCGAGAGGTGTTACATGTGGTTTGGCAAGTGTAGCCCTCCTCAGGGCGACTTGATGCAGAGCTCGAGACTTCATGATGGATGTGGATGCTTGTTTGTTGAGAGATCAATTGAATCCTGGGCTATGTTTTCTTTTATTCGAATAGCTAGAACTCAACAAGATGTTAGAATAGATAGCATAGAGCATTACCGAGGGGTTGGCTTGTCTGATACCGCGAGGAAGCGACGTCATCCTGAGCCGACACCAACCGTAAGAGCCGAGACGAAATAAGCCGTGGTTTGACGATGCTCGGCACCGCCAGCCAACAATTGACTCTGGAGGCTTGTTACTTTTTCGGTAATAGCATGGCTCGGGCACTTTGTAAGACCCCCCATGATGCCTAGACAACAAATTCTTGGCAGTCGATCTTAAACTTGTCGGTCATGTTAGAATGCCGATAATGAAGCCCATGATGCCTCAACCATGAGGACCCCGACTTATCCTCCCCCACAATCCTTATCATTACCCCACAATCGCGATAAACTCTAGATCGTCATGATGGATCCCCAATTTGGACCCTTTGACAGTCTAGTCAGTGCAGCTGTCAACGGCTGTCTGCCACTGCCAAAAACATCCAGATAATACGCACCATGGCAACCAGAGAGCACAGCATCTGTTTACAGCCAAAGCAAGCTATCGATTTGACTGCATCTAATAGTTACCTGAATTAAACAAAACACTTCCACTTGCACACAAATTCATCTGTCAGGGTGATTGATTCCAGAACACCAAGTGTTATCGCATCCCAACTTCACTCTATCCAAGCTGAGCCATGGCTTCCTCTCCTGCAGTCGCAATCGCACTTCTCGTCCTCGCTTTCTTTTTCGTCTTTGCTGGTCTCGCTTGGTTCCTAAGAAGCCAGGTGCACGTCTTTGTTCGCGCCATCTTCAGCCATAGACAAGAGAAGCGTGATAAAGCAGATTCTACAGTCGCTAATACCGGAGACGAAGTCTAAAGGTATGTTTGAAATATCATAGCACATATCTCCAAATTCACACCAACCTTCAACTCGATGTCAAGCAACCAGCAGCCAGAACTGAGCCACTGTGGCTACAAGGCTGTAACGCCACACTGAAGGCCCCGCTAGCAAAATTCCATCTCTCAGCCTCGTATGATTTTCGAACTGACCTCAACCCAGAGCTTCCCAGCATCTCCGAGGCCCAAGTACAATCGCAATGGCCTCCCGCACAGCTCTCCGGGGCTTTTCCCGTTCATTGAACCCTTCAAGATGCTCTCCAACTTTCGTCCGTCCCTTTTCCTCCACCAATGCCTCTTTCAAGAAATACGAAACCCCTACGTCTGATCGCCCTACCCACTTTGGCTATGAGACTGTCACCGAAGCTGAGAAGCAGCAGCGTGTTGCTGGTGTGTTCACCAGTGTCGCGGAGACCTATGATAAGATGAATGATTTCATGTCCTTGGGTATTCATCGTCTATGGAAGTATGTCAGGGCTTTGCTTTCTTGTTCCTACTACAGTGCTAACGACTGATTTTCTAGGGACTACTTTATCTCCTCGCTGAACCCTGGTGCTACGAACCCCCCTGGACAGTCTCAGCGCATTCTCGATGTCGCTGGTGGAACTGGTGATATTGCCTTCCGTCACCTTCAGCACGCCCACGAGTTCAATTGCAATCCCAATGTCTCCGTTATCATTTCCGACATCAACCCCGACATGCTGGCCGTCGGCCGCCAGCGTTCCCTTGCCCTTCCCGCATCCCACCAATCCGCTCTCTCTTTCCTAGAGGCCAACGCAGAAGTCCTTCCTTCTCAGATCGAGGATAACTCTCTCGATCTCTACACTGTTGCCTTTGGTATTCGCAACTTCTCCAACATTCCTGCTGCGCTGAAGGAAGCTCATAGAGTCCTCAAGCCCGGCGGTGTATTCGCCTGTCTTGAGTTTTCGAAGGTTGATAAGCATCCCATCTTTAACACCATCTACAAGCAGTGGTCTTTCAAGGGAATCCCCCTGATCGGTCAACTCGTGGCGGGAGACCGCGATAGTTACCAATATCTTGTGGAGAGTATCGAGAGGTTTCCTAGTCAAACCGAGTTCAGGGACATGATCAAGAATGCCGGTTTTGTTGTTGCTGGTGAGGGTTATGAGGATCTTACCGGTGGCATCGCCGCTATCCACAAGGGCATGAAGCCTGTATAAAGTGGCTCATCCACGCAATGTAATTTAGTCTGTAAAATAGTCCATCACAGTCAAGATGTATCACGAGAGTCAAACAGTGTAAAATAGGAAGTTAATTCATTCCAGATCGCCCTCGACCCTATCCCCTAAACCCGTCTCCCATGAACATCATCAGCACATCCACGCCCATGACGTGCGTTCAGGGCCCAGAACGATATTTTTAGATTCTCTTCGCAACTGAACTCCATACATGTCAAAACTAAAGAACCCACACCCTCGATATGGAGGTTGGTGGTTTCGAAATCTCATTAGGTACACGATACATAAAAACGAGGGTTTTTAGGTTGTCCCTCGACTTTCTTGTCTTTTCACCCTTTGGCTACTCAAGCAAAGGGGAGACAAATAGCTATTGCCAGAAAAGAGTGGCAAAATTTAGTAACAAGGCCATGGTGGTAAATCATGGTCTTACGAAGAGTCGATGATAACACTCCGATGTTGAGTATAGTATTAATCAGCGGCGGGTGTGGAAGGAGCGGCAGCAGGAGATGATGTATCTCCCTTGAGGCCACCACGTCCACGACCACCACGTCCTCCACGGTCTCCGCCACGACCCCGGCCGCCTCGACCACCGCGTCGGTTGGATTCGGAGTCGCTAGCACCTCCCGCACTACGGTAGCCGCTGGTGTTGGTGGCTCCGCCGCGTCCGCTGGCACCCCAGTTACCGGCACCGCCTCGGTTGGCGTATGTCTTGTTCTCGCGATGTTGGAAAACCTTCACGAGAGGCTTAGATCGGTCCTCTTGGGTTCGAGTCTTCACATCGTCGGGAAGTCGGTCCAGGGCAGCATCACGGTCTTCAATCGTCTTGAATTGAACAACCTTGTTGGAGTTGCCCCACTTGTCGACCTTCAGGATCTTGTTCTTATCCTCCTCGCTAAAAAGTTCGCGACATTGCTCCTCGGTGCTCACATTCATAATGAAGAGTCCAATGATATCAGAGGCGGGCGTCTTGGGAGCAGGGGATGAGACACGCTCAGGGGCATGGGCCGAACCATTGGCGCCAGCTGGAGCCGCTGCCTTCTCAGGCTCCTTGTTGCTGGCGGATGGGGCAGGACTGCTTGAGCTAGGGGCGGGCTGGGGGGTAGCTGGCTTGGGTGGGCCGGACAGAGGAGTCGCGACGGCAGGCTTGGAGGCCTGGACCGTTGAAGGCTGGCGGCTGGCGGGAGGGGGGGCGCTGGATTGGGTGGAAGGAGGAGCAGGCGAAGGGATACCGGCTGGGCCAGTTGTAGTAGGAGGAGCACCGGGTTGCTGCTTGGCACCTCGGTGAGAGAAGTTAAAGCCTTGAGCTCGCATCTCTGTGCCGATACGACCATCTTGAATCTCGAGGACCAAATATCCGAAGGCGGCATCAGCAAGGTTGAAGTTCCACATGTTCTTGAAGGCGCTCTCATCGACTTGTCCGAGAGAGGCCTGGCCAGCAACAGGACCGCCAAAGGGGTTTCCGCCGGCAGCAGTGGTAGGCATCTTCTCGACGATCTGTAGAGCGTTCTTCAGAAGATTCTGCTGAGCCTCGTTCTGCTGGATGGCGGGCTCCACCTCGCCCTTGACAGTCTCCCACACGTCGTTGAAAGAAGCCTTAGAGGCAGCAAGCTTGCCTCGGTAGTGATCGAGAGTGGGGTTGACGCTGAACTCGTTGTAAGAGCTTCCGTATCGGAAATGAAGTCCGGCAGAGATGGAGAAATCGGCCTTGAGAGTTACCGAAAGCTGGTTCAAGATACCCTCGCGAGCTGGAGATGCATGTGTAACAAAGATGCGGGTTTCGGTAGGATCGTAAACGCGATGGGCGGTGTCGACAAGCTCGCCCATTTGTAGAAGAGTCGTCCACATAGTTCCCTGGCCGCCAGCAATAGTAGTGCGGCCCTCGCCATTGTCAAAAAGCTTGTGCATAACGACAGCACCACCAAGACCGAGCAGTCGTAGTTTGACACCACCAACTTCCAATAGCATTGATCGAGCCTCATCAATAATGTGCAGGTTAGGTACCTTATACTCGCCTGTTCGGAACTTCTCCAGCACTCGGACATCTTCACAGGCACCCCAGACAGTATAGACAGGAACATCAAGCTTCACCTCGCCGCTGATGAGGAGGGGCAACTCGGAGAGCGGCAGCTCATTAGGAGCGAACCGGCTCTTAACTGGGCCTGGACCGCCCTGTTGGATGGCCTTCTTGACAGGCTCGGAAATCAAGGGCGAGTATTGAGCAACATGCTTGAGTGTCTTCTCGGCGATTCGCTCCAAGGAAGTGTCGTCGTAGAAACCAAAGTCACCGGTGTGGATGATGTGGTCAGCGCGGGCTTGTTTAGCAAGGTCGTTGAGCGATCTCAAGTTTCCTATCATCTGTTTAGCCCTCATCCGTTAAAACTTTCGGTGAGTTACTGACCTCGGACATCAGCAATACACAGAACTCTTAGGGGACCAGTCTGGAGGACTCGGCCCTGGTTTGGCAAAAGTGGTGCGGCACCAGCAGGAGGTAGACCGCCGCTGGCACCGTTCTGGAGGTAGCCTGAGCCCGGGTTATTGTATGGTCGCTGCTGTTTGACATTGGTTAGCTAAATATTCCCATCATGGCCATCGTGCGGCTAATCGACGGTTCTCGTGAGAGTTCATGGTGACGTGGAGTTGCGGATTTCAGAGTTGAAGTCTACCAACGGGGGGCGCAACGGCAGAACAACACGCGAGCGGGGAGAACGCAGGCGAAATGACGAGTCCGTATGAATGCTGCGAGGAGAGCAAACACAGTCCAAAACCATGTAACAAGTCGTTGGAGATAGCGCGAAGCTGGAGCTGGTTTGAAGAGGCCCGTGGGCAGTGGGAGGTGGGTGGGCAAATCACAGATAACAGAAGGGGCCATGTCATGGAGGTAGCACTCACAGCAGCCATTCTATCAATCAACTGATTCTATGCGCTCGAAATAGGTCGGGAAATTCGCGTGCTCGAGTGGTGGCGCGTTCGAGGGGAAGGGATGCTCTGTTGGTGAGATAGAGCTCGGAAAGAGGATATGAATGGGTATCAAAAGAGGTGACGATGAGGAATGGAAGACAGGGAGGCAATCACGGGGAGGTGGATTTTCGCAGCTCGGGCTAGGTAGCAGTAGCAAGGCTGTCTGTACGGAGAGGTAGAGATAATTTCTAGGTGGCCCCAAGAATCGGGAGAGAATGCCTTTACCTCTTTTGGCTTAGCTTCATCAGCTCCCACCTGTGACGAAGACTTGTCCACCTGGCTGAGTTAGACCAGGGGAGCTCTGTCTCAATGGCGCTCCAGTCGGTTAATAGTCGGCACTGTCACCGTTTCAACGATTCTCCTCCGTTCCTCAATGAGCCACCGTTTTTGAGATTGATGCTACCCTAAACAATGCAAAGCAAACAATACATTTCGAAACAACAATATTTTAGCAGATCTCAAATATGACAGAAGAAAACCTATGTACTTGAACTTAGTATTCGAATGCCTGTATTCATGATTGATGTAAAATCAAAGCTTTGATGAACAGCAATAAGTGTACTATTCATGAGCTGGCTTCCAGCTTCACTTACGTCTGGCAACGGTTCACTGCGCTGTTTGCTCTTGTATAGAAAGTAAGTTACAGCCGCTAAAGTTCACGTTCATTAATTGAGTTAAGTTAATATCAAGTAGTTACAGCTCTGTACGTTCCGGTTATGTATAGTTAATGCGATGGTGTATGATCATAGTGTGTTGTTTCTTTAACCAGCCATTCGGAGCAAGCCTAAATACATACCAAATTCATTGAATTGATTCGGACTTTAGCATGCAGAAAATCATCGTGAGTTGCAAAACTGTCAGATTGTATACATTATCTTGAAGTAAAAAGCATCGCTGTTGACATCTACCTACCTCAGTATCCAATAATTGGTAGAAACCCCCGCATGAGATTAGCTATGTAATTAAGCAGCGGGGTAGATCGTGCTTTAAACGTTGAAGCTTGAATGCTTACTTTTTTGGGTCTTGTTTGTAGATCGTGGACACCATACTTGAGATGATGGTAGCTAACGTTACACTCTCCAGAACGAACATCACACAATCAACTTCCCATTATTAAGTTTCTTTGTACGCAGGAGTACAAGCCTTATATAAAACTCGTGAATAAAATCGATAGAAGGAAGCATGGGGCCGATCTTGGCTCCTGGGCATATTGTGCTGATCTGAGACAAGGATAGGCACCCACATGCCATCTATCATGCAGTCATGAGTATTCGATCTACAATAGGTATTCACGGACGAATAAAATGGGGCATGATGAATCGCATAAACAAAGAGATTGCTGAAAATTCTGTATATATGCAATTGAGATACAAGAGAAAAACGGTGAAAGATGTCGATCAGCTTCATAGAGCGATGATAAGTGCAGTTACAAGTATCTCCAATTCAGTTTGTTGAATTGTTTGGCTCAAAGAGTTCTCTCATACCTGCCTTTACTCGAGGAACTCATCCTCACTCTCTACCACAGATCGAGTAACAGAGTGAAATATGATCTCAACTCGCAGAGCTAGATATGCAGAGTAGGTAATTTCAATAAATGACATTTCACCCTATCAAAGAAAGCTGTTTGCCAAGTCATGAATGTCAATGGGCGGGTGATGAACTGTGCGACTTGTTCCACCGATATAAGGATGTATAATTATAGCTCACGACAGAGTCATATTACAACTGCGTCATCTGCTATGTGTTGACTCTTGTTTTGTTGTCCGGAGCAGGCGGGCGGCCATACCTTAATAAGAGACATTCATCATGGGCTGGGCTGCTAATAAGACCGCATTATCCAGCGCTGTTACCATGGACACCCCTCAGCGATCCATATTAGCCTCAATGCCATGTAGCAGCACTGGAGTTACATCAACGGGTTCAGTGTTGGACCGACATGTACAACATACACCATAAACGTGTAGATACAAGTTTTAGATGTCGAATCCGATTAAATCGCCGAGGAAATCATCAATTTGATTGCATGTCACTCACATTCTGGAAAGCAAGAAAGGACCCTTAGCCAGACTCTTGGTTGTGATTCGAGGAATTCAAGGGACATTAACCAGCCCAGCACAGACGCCCAGCGGATTAGAAAACTTCAAGCAAGGCTTCATGGCGGCATCCATAACGACTAGGTTGCTTAGGTACCTGACACATGATCGTATCATGCAGGTCTACTATACGGATATCCATTATGGACATGATTTAGAGCCGACTTGAACAGCGACGCTGGATACTTATTATTAGATTTTGCTACCAGCCTACCTACTACTCCCTGTCTATCACCTACATACTGGTATAAGCCAATTGTCTGTCAGGCAGAGGTCCAGAGCCCAATAGTCGTCACGTTCCATTCCATCATCTGGGCGGCACTGAACCACCCCGACGGGCGCCAACTCTAGTGCTAGATAGCGCTGTGATATAAGGGGATAGCGCCTGACGACCCGCTGTAAGCGCCCCGCCACGTGACCTCGACACGTCTCATGCCCCGGTCCAAGTACCGTCCCTTTGATTGCAGAGGTACCCTTACCAGGGCTATTCGACTTGTATCTCGTCTTGGACCTTTGGACGAATCTCGACTCTCTTTCTCCCTTGAACGACTCTTTGTCTAATCCAAAAGAACAGCTGTAACCGACTACTTGTTCTTCCTCGATCACGTCGAACGAAACGACTCGAATCAGCGCTATCACACACTACTTGGCACTACCTAGGAACCTTGACGGAAGGCGGGCATACAGATCAGCGGCTCGTCCTGACGTTCTCCCCATGCGACAACAGACTTGACGACAACGCCGTCCGTGGAGGTGACCAAACCTCTCTCATTCGAGCCATCGACGTTTCACTCAGTTGCGCCGCTTGTATCGTGGTGCACCGAGGCCCATGGTAACATAGAACCGACGTCCTGTATCGTTTTGAAAGCCAAGCCAGGAAACTACACAGGCAATCGTGGGCGTGCAAGCCTCGTTGAGGCCCACCCAGCCGTCGATGATGGTACGTCTCATTATTCACGTTCAGCAAACGTCTATTTTCTTTATACGACATCCGTAGTAGCTGGTACTTGGTGACTTGTGTTGTGTTGCTTTGTTTCGTCTTGATCTACCAGGTCGTTGCCACCCATGCTGATCCTAGTTTGTTGTCGGTCTATAGACATCATCTCGACCCCGCGGCGATGTTGGCGGCAGTTTTGCTAGCAGACGCGGACATACCAGCCAACTGTCCATTTCTGACCCGAGCCACCATGTCACGGAAGCTATTGGCACTTTGTATGGAGATGAGGACGATGACGGATCGGAGAGTGGTCGGCCCATGAGTATTAACCGACCGCTGAGCTTCATCGGAGGCCCAACACCATACCAAGAATCACTTCCTCGACCGCCTCCCGATGGACGATTTCTATCCGTTGATACAAGAAGAGCGCTCAAGCGAACTGATTCCGAAGGTTCCGCCAACGAAACGTCTCCCATTAATGGCGACTCACCCAAAAGACCTCATCAGCTCTCCCCAAACCAGAGAAGCAACTCATATGAGCAAGGACCAAAATCGCCGTTGTCTCCTACGCTCTCGCTCCGCGATGTTCAAGCCGATTCGCAATTCTCTCTTACCAACATTGATAACCCCAATGACATTGCCCAGGAATTGAGTAATTTGCAAGCGCTCAGACGGTTGTCGATGGACGTTGGAAATAACAAGGACCCCGATATGCCACCCATGTCTTTAATGGCTATGCCGACAATAGCACCAAGCGGTGATGACGATGAAAATGATCCCTCGAGACTGCTCTGGGTACCTGCCAGAGTGCACCCCGAGCTTGCCCCTGGCGAGTTCAAATCGTTCCTTGAAAACAGAGTCCAATCCATAAGACGGAGATCTGGTGACTCATTCCTATCTGCCGATACCGACATAAGCGAAGGTGATTCAGGAGTAGGGGGACTTAGACGAAAAAAGTCTATGCTGTCTCGTCAAATAGATAATTCTGGGGACCGCGGTTCTGTCGATTACGTTGATGGCGCCGATCGACTGGAACGTAAACGCTCACGAGGCCATAGCCATGAGCTGAGCCTTGAAGAACTTGTTAAGGATCCTACAAAAGCCGTTCAAAAGTTTGCTCAGGAATCGCAAATAGCACCGAGTGGACCTGAGAGCAGTGCAGACGATATGCCCATCTTGCCGGCTGCCCCAGGGATGGGTCTCCGTAGGTCAACCCGAACAACGTATCGAAAGGGAGGCAGTCTACGCACCGGACCTCTTGCTCGCCGTTCTGGACATCGTCAGCAACCTAGTGAGGACATGACGTTTGCTCCTTTGGAAGCTCCACCGGGTCATGGCCTTTCGCGTGTTCAGTCGGAGCCTGTGGCAGACAACTATTCACGCCAGAATCAAACCAAGAGATCTGAGAAGCTCTCCCAAGAGTCTCTAGATCATTATGACCACTATGACGGAGCTTCACAAGGATTCAACGATAACGAGGCCAATACCGCAGATACGTTCCAAGATCAGCTACCTATTCGATCATCACCAAGCTTTCCTGCAACCCAGACCTCTTCTCATCAGGATGTGCAAGACCAGAATCAGCAGAAGTTTCCCAAGCGATCCTCTTCACAGAACGCAAAATCTCAACCGGTATCTCATAGAATTTCCGAACCCGAACCTCCAATTGAGGAAGAGCCAAGTCGCGGCAGTCGAAAGAGCTTCAGTAGTCGCCAGAACGCGCAACAAGCCGCTTCGCAGCAGCAGACATCTCGATCTTCTTATCCTCAAAGTCAATCTATAAGTGACAATCTTGCCGCCAGTCCCTCACTCATCCCCGGAAGTGGCTCGACGCGAACCGACAGCCTAACCATTATACCAACATTTACGCAGGAGGAGCGGAAATCCGACAAGAAGTCCAAGAAAGACAGGGATGACGACGCGAGCTCCAGTAAAGGAAGCGCTTGGAAATGGTTCAAGAGTACCAGTGATGAAAAGGAGAAGAAGAAGGAGGAGAGCAAGAGATCTAAGACCAAATCGCTGGGTGAACGAGGACAGGACAACGCACGACTGGACGTCATACAGACGTCAATCGACAAAAACGCACCCAAAGGACGTGAAAGTCTCGTGCTCGATCGTGATAATGTGGAAAGCAGACTGCAAGAGGAGCGCAAGAAGGAAAGCCACCGCAAGAGCGACTCAAAGCGGGACAAGGACGGCAGCATTTTCTCATCCATCTTTGGCGGAAGTAAGAAGAAGGAAGAGAAAGAGCGGAGCTCTAAGAAGACACAACATCTGAAGGTCCCTGAGGAGCCTGTATACAAACCATTGGTTCCTGATGTCGACTACCATTGGTCAAGGTTTCCTCTACTCGAAGAGAGAGCGATCTATCGAATGGCTCACATAAAACTGGCCAACCCACGTCGACCCCTACACAGTCAAGTCCTACTAAGCAACTTCATGTATAGCTACCTGGCTATCGTTCAGGCCATGCATCCCCAAATGAATGTGCCCGTTTCGCCACAGCAAAAACGACTGGAGGAGGAAGCTCGACGGAAACAACAGGAACAGGAATACTTGGCCCAACAGAGAATGCAAGAAGAGCAGGAAGCTCAGGAAACCATGGATCAATATGACTTCGACTATCACCGGGTAAGCAAAACTCAAAACTCTTGTTTGTAGCGTGTTGCTAATCAAATGTTAAGGCTGCGGTGCAATATGGCGAGTCAGGTAGCGGAGAGGTTGATTATGTTGACGACGCTCAGATTTATGAGGATGAGCACGGAAACGATAACCACCAAGACTATGGCTACGATGACCCTGAAGGGTATGGGCCGGGAGCCAAAGAATACTATCACCAGTATCACGACAACGACGCTGGAAATGATCGCCGGCATGATGGGCGGGAGGACATGTGGTGACAGCCCTATTAGTCACGGAAAACTCCTTTCGGAGTCGATCTTTATATATGTTAACTTTATATTACTATCACTATCATTGGCTGCCAAGGCAAGTGTCTATGGTAGCATGCAGCGTTTCAGTCAGCCCTAGCATATGGCGGAGTTCCGGAAGACGAGCGCGAGGGGGCGTAACAGGCTTGTAAAGTCACACTCTTGAAATTCCTTTTCTCCTTTGTGAAGGAAGAATCTGAGATCCGGCATGGATAATATCTCTTGCACGTCGCGGTTCGTCTTAGCCCATCTTTCCCCTACGCTGTTCGTCTTTGCAACAATCTTTGGTCGAGTTTTTCTGATGTTGGAGCACTGGGCAAGCGTTTATATTTGAAGAAGCGATGGACTGTGTGACGGAGGAGAAGATATAGCTCATGCTTGGAAACCATGCTTGAGGTGCTGGTCACGATTTGCTACTGGTGAGATGTCGTCCAGCTAGCACGAGGAGGATTAACATGAGGTATGAAGCTGTAGGATATGACTTCATAGAGATAGAACTGCCGGAGTACGATATCAGGAGGAATACTGAAAATCAATAAATGTAATACAAAATAGTCTCGTGTCTAATATAGCAACCGTGCTCAAAAACATATCTTCACTGTCTTATACATGAATACCAAGTTAATGGCATCAATGATACTTGACACCAGATCGTGCAAAAGACAGACCTGTATCGCGACCTGCTTCTTCAGCTCCACTGTTGACTTGCTGATTCTGCGAAACAACCCCCTTTTCATCCTGGAGTATCATCTCCAAGCGATCCTCAGCGTCAACCACCCTGACCGAGACAGATTTATTCCACGTTTCAGAGCTAGAGACGCCTGTACCGACGCTTCCCAAACCCTCTGGTGCTTTTGAGCGCAATGCTAATACCATCATCTGTCCAAAGCTACTCCAACTTGAGCTGTACCACGGATGACGAGACCATAGGACTGATACCACATGGACAAGGACGATAAGAACATGAAGCAGTAGGACTGAGAACGCCAATAGGATTGTGCGACTGCTATACCAGCTGTAGCCATATCCGTTGATAAAGTATTCAAGGTGAACAATAATGTCTTCTGAGGTAGGGGGAATTTCGGTATCGCCACCAGCTTCGTTGTATATCTCGTAAGAGCTCATCCTGGATCAAACATCTGTGAAGTATACTGATAGGCAGATAGAAAGACCTTGAACCCAAGACGGTATTCCCGTGCAAACGTCCAAGATAGCTTGGTAAGAATTATTCGATGCAGCTGGCTCGCCGACCTCAGGGCTCATAGTGCTGAGCCACTCCTTACTGAACTCGATGGGACTTCCAGAAGGCTGCGTATCGCCAGAGTGTGCTTCCATGTCAGACAAGGGGGAGTCCAGATGAGTCTGCGCGCTGGGTTTGCTTTGTTCAAGCCATATATCAGCCTCGACCCATCGAGAATAAATTCGACAGAGACCGAGCCCTATAGTGTCTTCAGCTTGTCCATCTATAAGTGTTCCGTTGATATATGGTGGTAATGAAGTAAGAAACAGTATAGATGCACTAGGGGGAGACCCAGAGCTAGATGATGAATCTAAAATTAGGTGTCTAACATCAGGTTGTACGCCTTTCTCGTGCCGAGCGTCTCGAAGGAATCTCTTGAAGTCATTGTCGTATCTCCCGCTCAAGATGACTTCATTGTCGGATATGCCGGTGCTGAATTGAAATGTCAAAGCATCTCCGACTGTGTGATTATCTGCACACTCAGCAAGAACAATAGGTTGTTTCCATCGACTGGTTGGTGCTGCATGGAACTTCTTCCACCAGGCTGCTCTGGTTGACTCATTTCCCGGATTCCACCTGCCTGATGTGCGGTCAAGGGACTTCTGCCGGGACATTGTCAGGAAATCTTTATCTATAATCTTGCCGCCCCAAGGAACGTCGATTGTTCTGACCACTCCATCCATTGGACATGTTGCGATGGTGACAGAGCTCATATTAATGCGGTTTAGCTGAAGAAAGTCCATTGTCAAAGAGACAAATTCATCGTTTTCACCAGAGTAAGAGATATTGGTGATTTGTCGGGTATTGGTCAAATTGTTAGTCGTAGGAGGTTTGCTAATTACAGGCCGCAACTTCTCCAGAATTTCCTTGGAGCCGTTGTACACAGATGAATGTTGAGAATCAGCTTCCGTGTCAAAATTTGTCTCCCAAAAGTTTGACTCCCGCAGCGGTTTGGCACAGTAATATATGGTCTCGTTGCCCAGCCCTACAGGCTTGAGGATTTGCCACAGTCCGGCCCGAGGGATGATCGCGATGGCAGAGAGAGGTGCAATGGAAACAGAGAGGATGATAGCAATGATGATAACAATCTCATTATATGAGAATCACTTTTAAGGCGCTTCGGTTTTGTCCTCGATCGTAGTAGCGGAGCCCATAGTTCCCAGCTGAAGAAATACTGGATTGGAGAGCCAATGTTGAATGATGCCGAGAGAAACCCAAGTGGAACGTCATCATCGTCTAGCAAAAGTCCGTAACGTATTCTATACATTAAGATATTTGTTAAGGACACTAGGATGAGCGTTTCATGGCCCTTTGCTGCAAATTGTAGGAGGCTTAGCTGTTCGTTGTCGAGGTGTCCCCAGCGAACATGGGCGCTGTACAAGCACACGAGTGCCAATGTGATCGAAGTAGCTGGCAGGTGATACAGAGCAAGAAGTCCTATGAGGGACAGTTTGCTAGTAACAAATACTTTCTTGGGCTGTTCTGAGTTGCTGAGTGTCCTTGACGATGGTGTCTTCAAACCGTCTATAGAAGGACGATTCATGTGGTGCGTCGATGCATCAACGTTTTGGCTCATGACCTCAGCCTCCTGGGTAAAATCTTTAGAATGAGCAGAGAAGTCGGAACAGAGTTCACATACCTCGGATCGTGGAGGGTCTTCATCCACAAAGGCAGAGACCAGGTTAGACATCTCCAAATCGTTACTCGACATCTTGACGCAGTTTGTTAGTATAAGCAACAAAAGTGCGAGATAAAAACGAGGGAGAGAAATGCCTCTGCTTATAAGTTTACTTAGCAAGGGAGAACCTGAGGGTTGTGAGACTACCCATAGAATCAGGCTCTGGTATCGTGTGCAGTACATGAAGAAGTCATACACAACAACTGCATATTCCATCGAAGTTATGCAGCACACCCGAATAGTTTCTGCCTATAAACAAACAAGTGCTCTTTACCGTAGACATTGATGATATTCACCGAGGTCGAAAGGAGAGAGTTGCAGGCGCCACAGATGCTATGGCAGACAGCCTGATTCCAGAACATAGTGTCAATCGTCCGAGTCTCCTGGAACCAGTTGCCTTTTATACTGCGGCTATCTTTAATACAGTATCTGAACAAAATAAAATGTTGTATAAAAAGGAAAGGTTCTGTCTTAACTCCCATTCTACTGATGCACGATATATGGTCATGGCTTAACCGGATTGGCGAGACCACTCACGTGAACCAGCTTGAGCATCAAGACCCTATTCCGCAAACCACCCGATAAGAAGAAATGTATTGTTGCCTAAGAAGATAAATAAATGCGTTCGAGATTCCAGGTGTCTGTTGCGGCTCTGTCAGTCATAACTGCCAAGGTTCAGCTTAGCCCTACTCATTAGTTTACTACCTAAGTATGTAAGGTACGGACTGTGTCTAACGAGTTCCTTGCTTTCGGGAATAACGTCCACCCAGATTGCAATATGCGGTACTTTCCGTCTGCTTCACTTGTTGCTGGCTGAAATCTCATTGTAAACGTTGAGGCGTCAATGGCTGGGAGCCAAGGCTCGGGAAAACATGTCGAGGATTCGTCACCATCAACGTTTTTAAACCTTTTGGCTTGGCTTGGCAACTGTCGAACTATAAAAATCCGAGAGAATTGTTGATCAATTTCCCTGAAAAGACCATTATGGGTATTGTAAGGAATGTAATTCTGCGCATATTCAGTTTAAAGTTGAGGCTTATACCGGCCAAGTCTAACGAACGGGACCTTTCTCCGTCCACCCAAAACAAAAAAAATAAAAATGATAGTATGATATGATACAGTACTGTAGAAGCGAAAACACACAGACCTCATTACTCGCGCCCCAAGAAAATACATAATTTCCCAGTGCAAATCCGCCTTATTCTTCACATACCCCTTTCCTCGTTTGTGATATCATCTCAAGCCCAAAAAAGCAAATATCCAATGGCAATAGTTGACGGCTAGAGCGGCTTTGTCACAAATCACAAGGCGAACGCCAATTGCACTAGATTTTGACTTTAGTCTAGCCTTGCTGTCGATCCTGGATCTGGCTTCCTCGTCGTAGTTTGAATCCACTGAATACGCGACTCATTGAATGTCTTCGTCCCCCCTGAGCTGTCATTTCTGTGACGAGCTCGTCGACTCGGTCCATGGCATCGATGAAGACATGGAAATCAGCATCGTCTTCGTAGCACAAGTTTTCATCTCGAAGGGCCAGGTATTCGATTTCGTGGTTGCTGAGAGTACTTTCGTTTGATACTGTTGAAGATGTTCTTCTCGACTTGAGAATGTTGTTGCTTTGGCTGTTGATCGGGCTTGACATGATGGGAGAAACGACAGTGTTAATGAGATATCGTCTCTAAAATCGTGGTATAGATGAAAATAAAATACCAAAAGAAATCAATTATTACAAGGTATTGATAATGAAAGCAGAGGAAATGAAATTATGAAAGGCGGAGGCCGTAGGTATATATAACTTATACTAGTAGTTCGATGGACCCATATGTGGAGGGGTATACACGAATCTATTGAACGGCCGCATACAACGACATGATGAAAGCTGACATGCCGTGCTCCCATCAAAACATAGTGATGGCAAATCAGTCTATGATTGTCAGCTTCGCTTCCTAACGTAGTACCAATCAATTATTTGCCCGCACACAGGTACAGTGAAGTACATGACGGGTCCCTGGACCATTAAAATGTAACGCCATCATCAGTCGCATTCCTCGGCATTGTCAGCCAGCATGGTGTGCAACACCCGCGTCCACACCTTGTGGAATATGTATGTAACTAGATTAGCGTCTTGCGTATCCCGAGTTGACACTACATATGACGACTGCACCACGGGCGGGATAGTCGGATGCTAAACAAAGTAATATTTCTAACAAATGACATCTTATACAGCTTGGAGTGAACTCTTTTATTTCTTCTCCTCCGTCTTCTCCTCAGGCTTGGGTGTTGGCAGCTTGAACGACTCGGGTGTGCGGTCCTGTCCGGCTCCAACAGGCTCCCAGGCGCTGGAACCACCCTCAAAGTTACGGAAGGCCTGGGTGAGCTCCAGAGGCTCGGTGACGATACGCTTCTTCTCCTCGTCGTATCGAATTTCAGTGTAACCAGTCAAGGGGAAATCCTTGCGCAGAGGGTGACCCTCGAAACCGTAGTCAGTCATGATTCGTCGGAGATCGGGGTGACCAGCAAAGAAGACACCGTAAAGGTCGTACACCTCTCGCTCGTACCAGTTGGCACCGTCAAACAGTCCGGTGATACTGGGGACAGGAGAAGCCTCATCGGCGTAGGTCTTGACACGGATTCGGGAGTTGTGGCGGACCGAGAGAAGGTTGTAGACAATTTCGAATCGGTTTTCGCGCGTGGGGTAGTCGGCAGCAGTGACTGTGCTGACCTGGGTGAACTCAGCAGCAGTGTTGTCTGTCAAGTTTTAGTGAACGTTCCGCCATCAATTGGCACCATACTAACACTTGAGGAAGCTGAAGACAGGGTAGACACCCGAGGGAGAGATGTAGATGGTGAGCTCGTCCTTCCAGACGGAGAACTGCTGGATATACTTGGGAAGGCAGCCCATCAACCAGGCACCGTAACGGTGCATGTTGTCAGACTTGCTCTGGTACTTGTCGGCAGGGTTGACGATAGGGGCCTTGAGGGAGCCGATTTGATCGCGAGGGGCCTTTCGCAGGTTGGGGCTTTCCTTGGGCATTGCGACATATTGACGAGCCGTGTTGGACAAGCAGCGAATTGCTTGATCGTTGCGGACCTGGACGGAAGGCTTCACGGGTCGTAGAGCTGAGGCCAAAGCCCGGCTTCGAGAAATACTGGTCGCCATGGCCGGTTGTGTGACGATTCAAGGCCAATTGACGCTGGAGGAGGTCGTCGACGAAATACCTTATGGTGTTGGTAATGATGCCGCGAGCATTGGCTCGAGAATCTTAGCGGCAGAACAGTGAACCGGAATTGCCGTTGTTCAGCCGACGATACTGATTTACCTTTCTGTGCACCCCACTAGTGGCTGATAGAAGGTACTCACCTATCAGAGATCCAAACTGCCCCGGATTCGATGACGGTGTATCATAACACGTGATGCTGCTGTGGCGCTAGCTCAATACTGCTTAGCTTATTTTTTCATCTTTCACTTTCCCGCAGCCTTGGATGCATACCAAACACTGTTCCTCTCCTTGTACTCACATTTCCATTTCTGCCCATCGTATTTTGATCTTCCCATTTACTACCTTTCGAAATAATCACACGTTGTCACCATGGCGCCCCAAGATTCATTCATAGAAGAGGAGGAGGATACCTGGTATGTTCCACCGCTCGCTCGGGGTTTTGGTGCTCGCTGCACACTGCTCCTTGGGTAATGTTAGGTGCCCGAAGCTGACGTCTTGACAGCCCTCTCTGCATCGAGGAGTTCGATCTCTCAGACAGGAACTTCCGACCATGTCCTTGCGGTTACCAGGTACGACAATAACACTACAACCTCAGCTGCAGCTGACGTTGCGGCCACGTTTAACTAACCTTGGAGCTATAGGTGTGCCAGTTCTGTTTCAACAACATAAAGAATAACATGAACGGCCTATGCCCCGCTTGCCGACGACCTTACGACGAGAAGACAATACAGTGGAAGGTTGTCACGCAGGAAGAGTATGATGGTCCCTCCTTGCCACGTTGCCATGCTAACGAACCCCTCAGAGTTGCCGAGTTCCGTGCCAACATACAAAAGAACCAAAAGAAGCGGGCTACTGATCAACGACAAAAAGAGCTGCAAAAGCGAGAAGCAGAGAAAGAAAACCGAAAGAACCTCATCGGCGTACGCGTTGTCCAGAAGAATTTGGTCTATATTACCGGTCTTGCTCCGACTGTACGCGAAGACGAACTACTCAAGACGTTGCGAAAGCCCGAGTTCTTTGGCCAGTATGGCAACATCCAAAAGATTTCGATTAGCAATCGAAAGAGCTCGGATGGCCAGCACCAGTCCTTAGGCATTTACGTCACTTTCGAACGTCCGGAAGAAGCCACGCGTTGTATCACAGCTGTGCACGGGTCACAGAACGGCGACCGAGTGCTCAAAGCCCAGCATGGTACGACGAAATACTGCTCAGCCTGGCTTAAAAACGAAAAGTGCAGCAACCCCGGCTGTATGTTCTTGCACGAGCAAGGTGACGAAGAGGATAGCTATTCTCGACAAGATCTTTCTTCGATGAACAGCATTGCCTCCCAGAGACCCCTTCCTGGAGGTGGCTCGCGGTCCGCTTCTCGACAACAAGCTCCTCACCCTACGCCGCCGCCGGTCGTATCTCATCCTATGACTCGCTCCATTAGTAAAGAGGGGTCCGAGAATGGTGCCGATGGGTCAGCATTGCCTTCTTCAGCTAACTGGGCACGTAATCCACAGAGGAGCCGTAGGGGTAGTCTTGCTACTAGTGGTGCTGCGTCAAGCCCTGCTATCTCGATGGCCCAGCCTGTAACTGCCGAGCCGGTGCCAGAAGAAGCCGTCGAGGAAGAAGAGGAAGAAGAGGAGCTGGAGGAAGAGGAGCCCGAGCCGGAGGAGCCAGTGGCTGGACCCTCTAATTCCCGGTCTAGGGCACCTGAGTCACCCGCGCCATCCAAGAGCTTCGCTGAAAGTGGCATCAGGGAAATTCTCAAGACACTACAGAACTGCCCCTGGCCAGTATTCTCTGATGCGGGAGCAGACCAATACCCGCCCTTGTTTGATCCTCGTGGCGGTGAAAAGCGCAGAGCTATGCGCGAGGAGGAGGATTCTCGTTTGAGTGGTGAACAGGAAGAGCGCCCTGAGGCCCGCGAACCATCCGAAGGAGAACCCGAAACCGGTGGCAGTCTTGCTTTGGGAGGTGAACCCGAGGACCGCGACGTGTCCAATGACAACAGAGGTTTCGACCGCCGAGGCAGCACCCAACCTCCTATCCAACGACTTTCCACTGATGGCTTATTTGGACCTGCGCTTACTGGAGCATCGCCCTTTGGTCAAAGTTCAGGCAATCCTGGCTCACGGTCTATGACACCTCAGCAATTGTTCCTTCGATCTCAGAGCGGATTTGCCGATGCACCACCTGGTATTGCTAACCAAAGCAATGCTTTCCAGAACCAAAACCAGAGCCAGGGTCAAGGCCACAACCGTCAGTCGTCGAGATTCAGCTTTGCCAATGATAATGCTAGCTCTACGGCCAATGTCAAGGTTTCCGCCAACCCTCGTATCATGGCCCAGCAATCTTCCATGATGCCCAACACCTTCCAGTCGCAGGGCAACAACCAGTTCTACGGTGCCTCGATGCCTGGACCTCCTCCCGGCCTCAAATCAACCGGCACTCCTCCCAACATGTTTGGTCAGTTTGGTGGACAGGGCTTCGGTGCGCCCAAGGACAACTCGAATGAGCTCCTTCAAAGTTTAATCGGCCGCAGTCGGGCTGGTAACAACCAGTCCCACGATACGGGAAAGCGTGAGTTTATGATTTCTTCTTTTTCAAACCAGTACCCACCATCCTCTACCTCCACCCCAGCTCCTGCTCCTGGACTCCTGCCGTCGCTCTACGGTGGTACACCTAGTGCATACCAAGACATGAACTCCAAGCAGAAGAAGAAGGGGAAGAAGCACAGACATGCTAACACTTCCTCCTCGGGGGGGAGTGGCTTAGTAGATCTTGCAGACCCGAGTATCTTGCAGGCGCGAATGCAGCACCAGTCACAAGGCAGCGCTGGAGTCGGACAGGGCTTGTTTGGTGGTCAGAGCCAAGGTGGGTACAATCATAATATGATGTATAACAACAATTACGGTGGAAGATGGTAGTTTTGATTTTCTCTGGAGTTTCAAATTGGGAGGCTGGATGCTTGGCGACCTCCTCTTCGACGTTTTTTTCTCTTAATGCACAAAAGGGGGCGTTCTTCGGAAATCAGGTCAAGGCTAAAAAGGTGCCTACTATCTTCATCAGGGAGACACGAGTTTCAAACGCATTTATGATTCAGCAGACATTCGCAATGTCAACGCAGCTCAAGGAGGTCAGCTTTGCATCAGGCGTCATTTTTTTCTTTTTTGGGAAAACGGAGGGCGACATGAGAATATCTCAAGTCTTTGCATCCCGACTCTTGCCAGTCCTTGAGCGACTGTGTACGGGGGTTCACGTCAGGCAAGCCATCATCGTCTTCCACAAGCCCCCTATGTATGTTAACAACGTCGAACCAGCCGCCTAGGTTTGGCGGTAATATTGGTCAGAAATAGCAATACCCTTCTATTCTCTCCAAATCGCCTCTTGTCCTCGTCCCCCTGTGGAAGACGATGGTGCTCGCCGTAGCATGACCCTGTCCCCGAAATCTTGTATATAAATGGGGTGGTGTTCTCGTAGTGTAGTTATGCTTTGCTTTTGTTGCGTTCATAACGAGTGACTGAGCCTATGCTAACTATCGTTCAGATGATGAGCTCCCGTCTTTGGACGAGGCTACGAACTCTGTCGATGCGTTGGTTTCCGACGATCCTATTCTCCCTGCAATCGGATTTGAAGGCCGCCAATCGGTCCCTCCCGGCTTGACACTACCCCCCGGACTTCCACCCATCTCAAGACCCCCTTCTACCACCAGCCATGGAAGATTGAGCAATCTTGTACCAGCGTTGCCTAAGATGCCACCGCCTGGTCTGTCACATGGTGCTTTGACGCCAGATCAGTCACCCATGAAGTCAAAACCGGCAACGCCCGTCTCAGAAGTAAAGAAGACCTTGAAGTCTTCAGCAGCTGAGAGCGGGCTTTCGAAAGAAATTGCGGCCGAGTCACAACCAAAGCAGTCCAAGGGAATATCCTTGCAGGACGAGGATTTCCCGGCTCTGGATACACTGAAGAGCAAGAGCCGACCTGCAACGCCAACGGCCAAGCCCACACCAAAGGCTAAGCGTAATGCTGAAAGAATCGTGGACAGAATGATGGCCAAGGCGGGAGTTAGTAAGGAGAGTAGCTCAGGCGAAGAGTCGAAGCCGCAAGATACGAAGCTTCAAGATAACAAGGCCCAAGGCGCAAAGGCTAAAGACATTAAAGTGCAAGAAACCAAGCCACAGGAGACGAAGGTTCAGGAGTCCAAGCCTACCCAGTCTACCAAAGCTGCTGAGAAGAAACCTATTTCTGTCAACACTCACGTTGAGAAGCATATTGCACCCAAGTCTGGCGAGTCCCCCGCAACGGCTGAGAAGCCCACCCCTGAAAACGCGGCCGCATTCCCCCCATTGCCTGCACCTTCATCAACTGTGACCCCATCTCCTGTTACACGAACAGGGCCGAAGACACTGCGGGTTGTTGCCACTCCCAAGACAGAGGCACCTCCCCCCGCATCCCCTGCTCTGACTATGGCATCTGTTGCTCTGTCAGGAACATCACGAGGTGTATCTGCTAGCTACAGACCCGACACACCTGCCAGCAGTGAGGTAGTTAGTGACAACGCCTCGGTAGTCTCCGCCTCTGTCACACACTCTCGTGCGAGCTCACCACCTCCCAGTAGGATCGGATCTGCTGCAGTGAGGACCACAACAAAAAGCCAGCAACGAAAGGCTCGTAAGGACGTCTTGAAGCAGGAAACCAAGATGATTGCCGAAGCGCCTAAAGCTGAGCCAGAAGTCCATGCTCCAATTCTTGGACGAAAGAAGAAGCAGAAGAAGGAAAAGCCTGCCAAGACACCTCAATCGGATACCTCCACCCCAACCGCGCAAGAGCCTGTCAAAGCTGATACACCCACTCCCGAGCCTTCGCGGCCAGAGCCCACTAAGGAACCCGAACGGGAGCCGGAAGATAAGCCCGCTAAGAGCAAGACTGCTCAAAAGAAGGCAGCAAAGGCCAAGGGCAAGGCCAAAGAGATCGAGCCTGAACCTGTTCCTCAACCCCCATCACCCGCCACAGAAACAACCCCTGAAGCCCAAGAACCCCCCGAGAAGCAAGGACCTGGCCCCGCATCTGTCTTTGCTGAAATCAAGAATACCCTCTGGGCTTCCAGTGTGGACAAACTACAACTCTTTAAGCCTATTGCTGGTGGCTCATCTCGTACCGACTACAGTTCTGCCAACAGCAACGCCAACAAGGCCGAGCACTGTAAGGACTGCTCTTGCAAGTGTGGTGAGATTCAGGACGACGATCTTGCGGCACTGCGTGCAGGCAAACCTGTCCGCAAGCAATTCCATGTCGATGGCAGCCGTATGCTCATTACTCCCAATGGGGATTGCATTCGTGGCTTGACCCCAGAAGAAGAAGATGCTTTCCTTGAACTGCAGGCTGCTATTGCGGGCACAGCAGAGAACCCTGGATCATTCATTGCCCCACGACACCAACCTGGAAGCGGAGCTTTCTCCCTGATTAAGGGCAGGGCTGTTCCTAACGGGCGTCCCAACATCTTTCCCACTACTGCTCAGCTTCAATCCCAAGACCCTATCGGAAAGCTCCAGCGGGAAGACGCGCTTAGCTACATCAACCAATACGTGCTGCCTCGTCTCAACCTGGGAGCCACCAACATGGGTTTCCCCAAGGGTGCGTCACCCACCAAGGATGCGGCTGCTGCGAGCCTTAACTCCCTTGCTCCCTATTTCTACGGTCCCGACGCCGCGGCTGGAGTGGGCATCTATAGCCCTCCGGATGGAGCACGAGCGATGCAGGACTTCAGCTCAGCAGGTATGTCGGGCGAGGAGCGTGGAAAGAACTTTGGCATGGGTGTTGGTGGCATGCCCTTGATGAGTGTCGAGGATGCTGAAGGCGCACTGGCCATTGCTCGACGAGAGACGGAGAAGTTGGAGAAGGGACTGAATCAGGTTATTCGCCGCAACCGACGACTGGTCCTTGGAGGCAACAACTAGGTGTGTAATATTGTAACAACAGTTGTATTATCATGATGAGTTCGGTTTTCGGCATCATCTGCCTAGAGAGGGCACTAGCGTACTCGATGGGAAAGCGATCTGTATAAAAAGCGACAGTATCAGTGTTAGAGAATAGGAACAATGAATAAAGCGATGAGCCCACGGAGATTTGACCTGCGTGGGGAGTGATTTTACTGTTGATACTAATGAAATCCTAAAATATACATAACTAACTAGGGTATTAAACGTTTTCCTCTCCTCGTTTCCTCTGGTAGTTATCATCTGGCGACCGTCGACGGCCTGCTCCAAGGGCCTTCCTTGCATCAGCCGTGGTCTGCTTCCTCCCTTCAGCCGACAAAGACTCACGAAGGCGTTCCATAAGCCTATCGAGAATCCACTCGGTCTCTTCCTGGCTCCCCATGAGCGGACTCCTATTACCAACCCAGGACCAAGCCGTATTATGTTCCTGGTCATGCTTTCCACCATGCCCTGCTTCGGGGGAGTCATCAGTTCTTTTGTTGTTGTGGTGGTGGTGGTGTTGATGACGGCGATTCTTTGGTTTTGGCATGGCTTTGCGATGGGTATTGGCGCTACTTTCGTCTTCGCCTATGAGTTTGAGATACCATGCCCATTCTTCAAAGGAGTATTTGTGTGGCTTCTGTGATTTGAGATGTGTGGTGAGAACTTGAATCTCTGAGATGAGAAGGAAGTGGAAGTCGGTTCCGGTAGGTAGTTCTTCGTGTGCATCTCGTATACGGGATAATGAGCGACGGACTCGACTGGTGAAAGTTGAGTTGTTGCGATTGTGGTCTGGTCGTTCGCTGTATGGGTCGTCGTCCCCAGTTCTAGGATCCTGAGGTTGTCCGCGTGAACTATCCTCTCCCTCTTTCATGTTGGTGATAGCTTCGGCCGCATCACCACTAGAATCCTGGGCTGAAGGTAATTTCTTGACATGTCGAGGTGCCGGCGGTTCTTTGTGGTTACTGAATAACAGACCAAGTGTGCATCTGTGGATGATGTACTTAAGATCGTCTGAGAAACTGCCCTCCTCTCCAGGAAGGATAGTGACATTTCCAAGTCGCAGTGTTCCATCACGAATGAACTTGACAACCGTATCTCCGGCGTTGGATATAAGAACAGTCATAGTGGGCAGTGCAAGTAGAGACCAGAAGACAAAGAAGGACTTTCCAGCGTTGGAGGCAGGAGTCTTGTCGCCATATCCGATGGTTGTGAGAGAGACGAAACAGAAGTAGAAACCATCGAAGTAATTCCATCCTTGGTAGTTTTCTTCGCATTTGACAAAGACGTAAGCGCCCAGCAGCCAGAGGATAAGCCAGGTGCTTGTTGATATCGCCATGGCCATCCAACGTCGTCGAGATGATGTCTGAGCTTGGATTTTACGCATAAGCTCGAATTCACTCTTTCGACGCTCGAATTCTGTTGCGGGGAATCTCTTTTCTGAATCGTCCTGGGGAAATGATGATTGGCGCCGTTGGGGATCGCGGATAGGTTCGAGCATATCATCTTCGCCTCTCCTGGTCATACGCCGAACTAGTCGCCTGCGTTTCTTCTCCTCCATTCTGGCATCGACTTGGCGTTTACCTCGCTCGAGAACAAGACTCCTGATGGAACCCACGACCAGACCAAGACTGATGACACCAACTAAGGCGTACGGCATCATGAGGGCTCTTCCAAGAGTGGTTGATGCTGTGTAGTCTCCGAATCCGACGGTGAATAGTGTAACGTCTGCCCAGTAGACGGCATCGAGGTAGTTCCAGCCCTCAATATTGGAGAAGACGAGGGCTCCGAGTAGTAAGTAGAAGAGGAACATGATGGTCTGCAACATCAGTGTTCGCTGACTAGGCGTTAGATTAAAGTCCTTGTTGTAATGACCAGTCCAGGCACCGTAGAAAGTGACCAGCATGAGCGAAGCGTCAACAAAGTAGAGAATAGCAGCCCACATGCCGTAGTAAAAGGCCTGTGACCAGATGAGTTCTTCGGTTGGATGTTTGAACCCCTCATACAAAGGACCAGCAGCTGAGCCAAGGAGAGCAATGAGAAGAATAGCAGAGATGTACCAGCCGATGATGGTAATCGGTTGAGCAATGGTGAAGCGAACACGCCGTGTCATGTTGAGCAGGAGGAACATGTTTGAGACAACGGCCATGGCGAGCTGAATAGCGTTGATAACAGTGAGCCAGATGGGATCAGCTACAAAGACGGCATTCTTGACATCTTCTCCAGGAGTCAAGTGTTGTCTCCATGGTCGAACGAGAGCGCATATACTAAACGCTGAGGCGACAGGGCCGAGGGTGCCGGCGATCATGGGGAATGCCGATGAGGCAAACCACCAGCGGCTGAAGCAAGTTAGATGATGAAAATAAAGAGTGTGATGTGACAAAAAGAAGATATACGTACTTTGGAGCGAGATGAGCTTGATCATTTTCTATACGCTTGTCATGAGAGACGGACTCTTCGATAATCTCAGTCTCCTCCTCAATATTGTTTCCAAGATCGCCGTCGTCCATGGGTATTTACGCAGCCTAGAGCGGCCGAGACAAGCGTGACGTTGAATGTAAAAGAATACAGGGCATTACATATAATGAAATATTTATGTTGAGGCTCTCTTGGGAATAAGGAGAGGACATGGAATAGACTATGTTATGGTTACACCGTTTTAGGATCCCCAATAAATAAGAGTGAAAGAATCCTTGGCATGATGGGATGGATGGGGGAATCACTTGATAGCGCATGACGTCGGGTACCAGTGATACGGTATTTAAAGGGAGTGCTGTAGTAGTGGAAACGGGTTTTTTAATCACGAGCTAGGCCAAGTTTCCCAGGTCAGATCTTCTCACTAAGGGTCTGGCCTGACCTGTCAGAGACAAGCAGGGTCATTCATGTGTTTGGAGAATCTGGGGTTGATACATTAAAGAAATAGGGCGCGGATATGGCGGCTCTGATTTAGTAGAGGATCAAGGAAGAGACGGCAAGTTTGGTATTGAAGGTTCAAACTATTATGTCTAATCCTACGTAGTAGTTCACTCTCTTTGAAGGACATCTTGACTGACTTACATTGAATCGAGTCTTATCTCCGTATCATTATTTGCGGGATCCCGATTTAGTTAGGCGGGCCAATGACATGCATCGAGACAGGAATTGCTCTTCATCTCCACTCCATCAACCAAATCAGTCTTGTGTCCTTACAAGTCTTCGTATGTCAGCACCTCAACCAATCATTTGTTTCTCGTCACTCTTTACTCAAACGAAGCTTATTTAGCCATTGCCCATTTCAACATCTCACGTGGCTTTGTTATTGCTTTGTTGGAGAATTAGGCCTGTCCCTGCGCGTCATTCTTGCTTCCCTTCAAGGATCATGTAAGTCATACCCAGTACCATCAGCCTCAACAATATTTAATACACCAGAATTTAGTATTCCACCAACACGTTTCGGCGTGTCTTTTGCTCACCAGTAATGCGGTAGCAGCATGCAAGGATGCCTTCCTTTTCATGCCCTTCGTCGCCTTGGTCATAAACGATTCATCGGCTCTTTGACTAGACACTCGCGGAGGCTTTACAGCTACCAGAGTCATCAGCGTGTTGGAGTGCGGTGTGGCTCAGCTGGCTATGTGAGCATCGAGTCGGTCACCAAAACTCAATCACTATAAATCATCAGGACTAACGGTTTCCATAAAGTCTCATGAACATCGCTGAACAGCCACACTCTCCCCTCTTCATTCACTTACCATCCGCCCCTTCAACCAACAGCCAGCCAGCTCCAATACCCAGATTCCTTCAGGACAAACCAGTCGCCAGCATCAACTACCGATGGAACTCCTTTGATCAAGAGGAGGCATATTCATCCTCTGTTGATGATGTCTGGCCAACGCCTGTTCATGATACCTTCTTCGCCTACCAGTGGCTAGTGGAAAATCTTTCACCAGAAGGCCTCAAAAGGCGCGATATCTACGTCTATGGATCTCACCTAGGAGCCAGTCTCGCCACTTCTCTTGCGCTCACAGAGTCACAACCGCACAAGCCTTTTGCAGTCCGAGGTCTGGTGTCATACAATGGCATCTACAACTGGACCATGTTCTTTCCCGACCATCCAGTAAATCATCCTGGTAAATACACCAAAACCTACCACAGGCCTCGCGAGGGAACGTACATGCACCACCTCAAGCAGATGCTGCCGACCTTCTTCCAATCTACGGCAGACTTGTTCGACGTCTTTGCGAGCCCAAGCCTCTTCTTTCACAACCCTGGAATAAAAGTCCCTTCGTCTTACCACCTGTCGGAAGAAGAGTCCACTGCCATCGAACTCCTGGCCAACCCACACGCTGAGAATGATCCCCCGATGAAGGCCCCGCGCAGGTCACGACTGGTGTTTCCACCCCGCACATCGACGCTCAAGATCCCCGAGACATTGCTGCTGTACGACCTGCTTCCTACTCCACTGCCTACGAACAGGCCTGGTAGACCAAGGTCCGGAAGGCAGTGGGGAAACAGTCTGGAGATGCAGGCTAGAGAGCTGGCAGAAATGATGCAGTCTAGTATCGAGAAGGTTGAGCTCAAGCAGAGAGGTCTATGGGATGACGATATTGATTTCTACGAGAACGAGCAGAAGAGAAGAGTCAAGGTTGAACGAGCTGGGGAAGAGTCCCCAAGCATGGAGCTGAGTCCGAATGGGGAGCGGCTTGTTGAACAATGGTTGACAGAGAGAACCGTACCAAAGAAGATCCAATCTCACTTGTAACTGGATATACCTACTGTAAGATAGCTTTACACTGTACAATATTAGACGTCGATTTCAGATTGGTCTGACATTTGGCGTGGCACAGCACTAAAGCAGTGACGGAACATTGAAAGCTTAACCCGGTGGGGACATTGCTTTTCTTGGATTCAATCCCTTGTCCCCTGGCTTTGTTGTATCGTCGAGTCTAGAACGAATGGCTGAACCACGTTATCAGCCCACGTCAGGTCACGGCGTACAGACTCGTGATAACGTCAATGGACCCTCGACACTCAGGCAGAAGGACTGAAAGAACATTCCATCAAATAACCGAGAAATAACATTATGTCTTGACAAGAAAGGGTCCAAAGCCTGTTTGTCACTGAGACCTCAGCTGTGGTTCACTTTCTCCGAGATGAGAAGTGGGCCAGCGGCTAAACATGCACGCTGTCGTCAGTTTAACAGGGCACTTTGAATATTAGCGGCAGTGGTGCACATGTCACAAGGTCATGTCTTTCTTATTCTGGGTTGGCTTTTGGACCCCTTGATCTGGAGATTTCAGGTACCTTCTTCAGTTTCAGCTCTTTATGATCAAGATAGATGGAAAAACTGCAATATCAAATACGAAACGCCCCTTGCTATTCAGTCTTTCCACGAACCAGGGGTAATCATAATTGACAATCTCCAATAATTATCTTATCCGTGACTTACATCCATTCAAGGGTGACAGCGCTTCCATTTACGGTGGATCCACTGACACCACCCCTAGTGACGCTGGAAAATGCTTGTTTTTCAGTGGACGTCTCAGATTCTCAATCCCTGGACAAGGATGCTTCAGTCCCATTGAGATTGGATGTCACCCACTACCTGCCCGACCTTGAACAATGTGTCGTTGTCGTGCACGACTACTGTACCATGGCTGAGTCGTTTCATCTCCCGTCTTTCCGCCGCTATCTTCATCCTTTCACCTTTCTCCATCCTCCACTTTCTTTCCATCTTTGCTCTGACACGATACAACCATCAAGCTCGATCTGGTATGTCCCTTCTGACCCAGTACGAAGCTTATCCCAAGCTTCATCTTCATGACAATCCCGTTCCAGCTTCGTATACAGCTGTTACCATAGCTTACGCAGCTTGTTGAGAGCATAAGCTGACCATCGCGCATAGAGAACCACCGTTTCTAATTCATAACACTCATCATGCCTGGAATTCGTAAGTTTCGAATACACAGCTTTGTACTACATCTCTGACAAGCGCTATACAGCTCTGCACGCCCTTGACAACTTCAAGGCTAAGCTTAAGGCTGCCTTCAAGAAGAAGGATAACAAGGAAGAAGCCAAGCCAGCTGAGCAGAAGCCTACCGAGACCAAGCCGGCCGAGACCAACCCTACCACTACCGAGCCTACCAAGACTGAGGCTGCTCCTCCTGCGCCAGCCAGTACGTTTTAGCCAACACGATCTTCTATATACATCTTTACTAACAGATATGTCCTACAGCCGAGCCTGCCCCTGCTGCGGCTCCCGCTGCTCCTGCGGCCGAGCCTGCTAAGGAGGCCAAGCCCGAGACTGAGGTCAAGCCTGAAGCTCCTGTAGCTCCCGCTGCTCCTGCCGAGCCCGCAAAGACCGTGGAGACCGCGCCTGGTACGTTGAAAGACAAGACAAACCCGAAAAGCTTAAACTGACTTTTATAGCTCCTGCTACTGAGCCCGCCAAGCCCGCCGCTGCCCCGGCCACTGAAGCTTCAGCTCCCGTTCCCGAGCCTGCCAAGACGGAACCCGCACCGGCTGCTGCCCCGGCTGAGCCAACTGCCCCCGTCGCCGAGACACCTGCTGCTCCCGCGCCCGCCGCAGCTGATACCACTCATGCAGCTCCCGCTGAAGCTCCCAAGGAAGAGGAGAAGAAGGATACCCCTGCTCCTCCTGCTCCTGCCCCTGTGGCATCTGCTTAATTAGAGCGCTGCTTTCTATTATGCAATCACCGACAGACATATATGGTGGCTTGTGTAGGTTGTGTTGTGCGGTTCAGTTGTTGTCATAGAGGCATGTGTTCTTTAGTTGCTTGAGACCTGGCAAATTTGCCTTGGCCATGTCTATTCCCTTTTCTCCTAGCAGTTGGCTGGATACCCCGAGAGAAAAGTGTTGCGATGCTTTGTTTCAGATCTATACCCGCTTTTCCATAATTAATGCTGAAAGGACTATCTATATCATGCTCGTCAAATTTCCGTAATATGCACCTGGCATCTCTCAGTACCCAGCCAGGTGGGTAACAGAAGAATTGTCCTTTAAAGACTAGGCTGTCAGAATCAAGTAGTCTAAGTGCTGGTCTAAGTTTGCATAAGGTAGCTGAATTCTTTTGTCTCTTATGCTTTCGGCTGCCAATCTTTCTAGCTCCTTGATGAGTACGTCTCATTTTCTCACGAGTCCCTGGCCCACGGCGCCTTGGTGACAGTGATTTGTGCGCTCGTGGATCCTGAGTCGGGTCCGCCTCTAGGTGGTCGTGCAAGTGACCCTGTGTTGGATGCTGGTAGGGGCATACGAGAATAGGGAATGCCAGGACCGGATGATGGGGGCATTCTTGTAGCTTGAGCCCAAGGAGCGGCTGTTCCAGCCCCTGATTGTGCTGGAGGTGCCATGGTTGCCGGCTGGTTTGCCATGTGAACACTCTGGGTCGGTGTTGTAGCATCTGGATCGATGTCCCAGGAGAAGAGCGATCCGAATGGGAAGTGTTGGACAACAGGGAATTTAGACAAGACTTCAGCGTTGAACATCTTGATCATCCCCTTGTTAATCTTTCCCCAACCGTCACGAATGCCTGAGATATCGAAAAGGATCGGACTGTGCTCCCAGAAAGGACCCTTCTTCACGTCGTTGATGAAGCCAATAGCGGAAAAGTACATGTTTACTTGGCGCTGATCCTCAACCACGGCAGCTTTGGTAACGTCGCTGGGCTTGGGAGCACCTTTCACTGATCCCTCCAAAGGCATCGGTTCGTTCTCGTTGATCGGTCGTGTAAGCTGCGCTGAGCCGAAAATGTAGGGCATGAAGGAGTGGTCGTCGAGGCCCCAGACGCCGTGGGAACCAGCAGGTTCAAGGGTATACGTCAAGATGAGTTTCCTTGCGACGTTGAGGTATCTATGAATGTCAGCGATGCCCTTTACGTAGCGAGCAAGCAAGCAACTCACGGCTCAATAACTTTGAGGACAATCTCGCGCTCAATCTCACCACCTTGTTCACCGTCTTTGAAGAAGCCCAGCTTCCATAGACAACCGAGAAAAGCAACGAAGCTCAGCTCATGTCCAGTTCCATAGTCCAATCGCTGTACACTTCCGAACCCGCCAAGAAGATAGCTTGAGACTTCCTCCTTCGCCTTGCCATCGCCAACTTTAAGTGTTTCCCCTAGAAGCCCCTCCCCAAGCAGCGCATCCAAGCGCTCTTCGAAAATAGCATACCACTTGCGGAAACTAACGTTGCCGAATCTGCGAGGACCAGGATCAGGTGGCGCTTCGTCGATGAAGCTTCCAATCTTTTCCAAAAGAGCTTGTAACGTCTGAACGGATGGTGTTGTCGGCGGCTTCGAGTTGAGGGGGAAGGTGCGGGGGAGGGGCGACGAGGATTGGTTACGAGGACATAAGGATCGGTTGAGCTGGAGAATGAAGACGCCAATGTCTCGGTAGGCTAAGCTTGTGAGGAAACGAGCGACGTCGGGGCCTTCGTTGATGCGCTTCGAGGGTTTGGTAAAGGCTGGCGGGGAGCTCAGGTCCAGAACCTCAAGCGCATTAAGCTTTGGAGGGGCAGTGGACGTCATATCGACGATGGTGAGACACCGCAGTCACGAATCGTAAAAGGGCGCGGTTGTTGGTAGAAAAGAGTGCTTCGTTCTGATATATAGAACGACTTTTTAGGAAGACATGGAGACTGGAGTGGATGATGAAGCTTGGTTGAAGCTGAAACGAATGATGTTGGTTGAATTTAGTCAGCTGTTAGTAGTCTTTAAGCTCTTAAATCGGCACCCTCGAGAAGTTATTGGATGCTAGCGACAGGAGCGGGTTCCAATAGGATGGCCTAAATACTGGGTGAACCTCGATAACACAGAACTTTTATTAAACCTTTGCTGCCTAGATTAAACAATTCGGATCTATAATCTTAAGATGTTTGTTGGTTCGAAGTCGACGAATACGTTCTTTCCGCCATGAGCTTCACCCGTGCCCCACTTCCCGTGGGACGTCTTTGCGCAACGCGCTTGTTGGTGGCAGGCAGCTGTTAACTTCACAACATTTGTTTATACTCTCATCAGGTTACCCCAACAATCACCCGTTTTAAACGTAAAGTCAACCTTCAGATCTTCACTGGCAATCTTGTAAGACTGGCCATCTATAATCGTCTGCATGCCGCGACGGCACGTCCAAGCTTGCCGAGTTGTCGCATCGCGATAACAAAGGATCAACATGGCGCGGCTGCGGTCCGGACCTAGGAGAACTGAATTAACAGCTGAGTCTGAGAATGCACAACGAACCAGAAGACATTCAACAAGATCCTCTGTTCCTGTGCAAAGCATCGAGGAAGATGATATTGCACCAGTGAGAAACTCACGTCCACGATCGACGGCGCCGACCAAATCCCAAGACAAAACCTCGTCAAACAAAGGCCGGGTTACACGATCGAATAAAGGAAATACACCTCTTGCTGCTTTGCCTGCGGATGGTTCACGAAAACGTCGCTCTGACATCGGTGCAGTCCGGAAAAGGCCGTCCAAACGTCAGCGTAGCAGTAGTAACGAGCCTGCCGAAGAAGAGGCCCCCCTCCAGTCAGATCAAGAGGTCGAGGAGGAAGTTGATGATAAGAACACTTCTCTTCCAAGGGAACTCTTTGATACAATCAATGAGAACCTTGGCGTTATCGATGTGAAAAACAAGCTACCGAAGCTTCGACCCGGCACGAGTGTTGAGAATGCTGTTGAGGACGACAGCAGAGCCGTTGCTCATGTTGACCATTCAGACGAGGCCGGTGCTGAAAAAACGATCGTAGCCGCTAGTGGGGAACAAGACGAGAGTCAAGGTTCAGTTGGAAACTCGGCCGAGACAGAGGCTGAACAGGAACAGCAACAGCTTGAACCAATTCAGTCAGAGGTACCTCAGTCAGCGCAACGACTTTCCCAGCCCGATGCCTCCCAAAGAGAGCCTTTGCGACCTAAAAGACGAAAGGGAAAACGCCAAAGTAAAAAGGCTGCCTACGTTGAGCCCAACAATGACGCCAGAGATCCATCACCGGAACACGGCCCAGAGGTTTCACAAGTCAATCCAACACCGCCAACTGAATCCAGGAATACACAATTCGAGAAGAGTGTATACGATCATCCTGGATCAGATGAGGAGCGCCCGAGTCAAATCGTACTAGGCAAGGGATCACAGAAGGCATCTGCGTCACCTGTTGGAGATAGTCAAAAGACGAAGCGAGGCAGAAAAAGAAGCAGTCAATCTAGTCGGCAAAGAGATGATGTTGCTATGCCGCAGCAGGAGAAACAGCGGCAATTAGAAAAAGGACAAGAGGAGGAACAAAGTGAAGAGCAAAGTGAAGGCGAAAGCCAACGGGACTTCGACTCCAGCGATGACGAACCCGAGGTTGACCTAGAGTTCGATGCATCACATCCAGCTGAAGACTCGCTTGTGATCGATGCGCCGCCTGACGGTTCACAAACAGAAGATTCCATACCTACCACTCGCTTGAAACGCGCATACGTGCAAAAGCTTATGTACGCAATGACACTTGCGGGATGGTTGAAAAGAAGACAATGGGCGGGGGATATTCTAGAACAAGCCGAAGCTGCGAAGTCGGATGACCGTGTGCTCTCAAGAAGAATCCTGGCTCAACTCTTCGACATGTACAATTTATGCAAGGGAATTCCGCGATCTCTAAAACTCGATCAACTGGAGTATCTGCGCGAACATGCGACAAGGTTTAGTACCCTGATCAGCAACCTTCGCCAGTCGATTGATCTATTCATTACCAACATAAATGCCAACATGCGTGGGACCAGCGCAGGGCATGTGAGCATTGGCTTTAGATCCGTTACGAAACTTCACAGACGCATTATACCTATGTTGGTGCTGACGCTCGACACGACTTTCGAAGCTGGATGCGAAGCTCTACTAGAAGGTGAAAAAGCTTCGCAGCAGACTGGGGAGTTCACGGTGCATCTGTTAGAACCTCTAGAACGAGCCGCAGGTTGGGCTTATAGACTCTCACAGGTGGTGAATGGCTGGTACGAGCTGCATCCTCCCAGGAGGGAACATGACAAAGAGACCAAGGCAAAAGAGAACCGCGTCATGTTCCATGTTGCCGCAATCGTGTTCCAAGAACGTCTTGAGAAAGCTATGAGAGACCTTGACAAGCCCAAGGTGCCGCCAGAAGTATTCATGCAAAGAGACGAAGCTATTCGACAAGAACGCGAGGCTGAAAAGGAGCGACGCCGGGAAGGCCAAGACCGTCAGATGCAGCGCTTCCTTGACTCAATTAAAAATATCAAGCCGACTGAACCACGATTGAGGATGAGGCCTTCCCAGCAATCACTACTCGCTCCCTCCAGGACAAGCCATACAACTCCTGCCGCAACTCAGCAGTCGGAGGCGGAGCTTTATTACCAAAAGCATGGATGGCATTTGTGGGAAGATGATCAGCTTCTTGGCTTGATCAGGACCACGTCCGATCCCAACTACGAGAACTTTCGACAGGTGCTCCCCAGTCGAAGCGCTGGTGAAATGAGAGAGCGGTCGAGATATCTGAAATTAGTCATGCGCAACAAATATGAACGTAGAGGAGTCCGACCACCTGGATGGTGTATGGAGGAAAGTTGATATTCAAGCTGAACAGCATGTGAAATTATTGGAGTTGGAGTTATATGCTTTCACGATACCCGGAAAAGCTTCCACGATACGTTTTACATGACTTGAGCTGGACTTGACATGCCCAGTGAACATAGATTCATGTGTGTATTTTAGCGGTTAGGAGTTTATCTTCCTGTTATCCCAATTTGCGATTGCGATTAGGACATGGCAAGTTCAAGGCTTTCTCTTGACGGCATAAGACCGGATCAGAAAGAAGCCGGTTTTAATGATCAGCAATCAACTTGATATATTGTTTCGTGCTACTGATGGATGTTGTACTTCTACCAACAGCGCTATGCCACATCATTGAGTCCCCCAGCGTAGCATCATCTACCTGTCACATTTCCTCGTAGGGAACAAGCACTAGCAATATCGCCAGCGCATGAACAAAGATACTGGTAAATACGTAGTACTTTGATGCTTTAGACACTTGCCTTACTTTACTTGTTGTAGACGTATTGTTATTTATTATTAGGTCTTTTCGATATTCAAGATTGATCACAGACTCTGGAATTGGTTGAACCGTCTTTCCGCCACATGTGATATGTCTAGAATACGCTTGCCCAAGCAAGCAAGGCGGCGAATCAGCTCTAGATCATTTGTGGTAAAAAGTCAACAGATCAGGTTTATTTTGGCTGCCTTTACGCGTTTTCTACGCGGTCGGGCCTGGGAGATTTGATAGACTCAGCCATAAATAGGGATTTCGCCCCTTGGCCTTTTGTCTTTGGGCTTTGTACGGTACTGACTCACCACCAGAAACATGGGGCTTACCTGGCAAGCGAAGCTTTGTATTCTTTATATGGGTTACTGAAAGATACCCAGGTCGTGGCTCGCATTGCATTGCCGTGCATTGCATACAGTAGTGCTTCCATTAGTTTAGGGTGCAGCGGGTCGTTTGCATGCAGGATCAGATGTTGCCCAACGTTCAAGAAGATTCCCGCGAAGTGTCTCAGCAGCAAGACTAGTTAGTAATTCTACAGGTCTAGTACAAGGTCATCTTGGACCAAGACATCCATGGATTGGAAGAATGTCTAGTCACAGAGTAATGTCCATCCTTCCACTCGGAAAACCCACCCTAGACCACCCTCATATTAGATCTTGGGTCAGGAACCAACAGCTGGAGAGCTCAGGGCGTGGCAGCCACCCGCGCGTAGCCCAATGGGAAGACCCCTGAAATGGACGGGCAGTGGACGGAACCCCTGGAACGGTCGCTACAGGCCGGCCGCTGAACACTGGGGTCCATCAGGGCCCTAACGAGAGGACTGAGCAACGTTAGTGGTCAGTGATGCTCCACTTGGAGCTTCCAAGCCATGGAAATGGGAGGAACAGCTTGGGATTAATGGATCACAAGGCAAGGCAAGGTGATGGACATGGATGACCGCCCCAGACCTAAGTCAGGTACGTATCCATACCATATCCATCCGCAATCTAATATCCCGTCCTATCCATCGACAAGACAGCTCAGCTTTCTTTTCCACTTCCTTTCCACCCTTTTTACTTCCATTACTACTTCTCCTCTCTCTTGGAAGCTAGCGGATATCGAAAGTAAAAGGAGTCTTTGTAGTCTTCTTTGTCTGCTTCATTGCAAGCTTTCTTCCTCACGTTCCTTATTTCTATCTATCAATTTTATTCCCTGCTCCTTGTTATCTAGATTAGGAGCTACCGGCAAAGTGTAGTTTTGCTGGATAAAAAGGAGACCACCCCAAGGTAAGATTAACACGGTCCCTATCAGCTCATACCCTTGCCATAGCTTGTGGCGATTCATTCTACTGTCTCTCGATCGTTTTGGAATAACAGTCGAGCTTCGTTGCGAAACGACTGATCCAGAAACTTTCGTGCGACTTCTTTTATAAACTCAATTCAACCCGTCTCTGGCTGGTGGCTTTTGGCTTTGCTAACGCTACCGCTCTCAGTATACTACTTTTAATACCAATTCAACCTCGCGAAAATGTCTGAAACCGAGAGCTTCGACGTCGTTCAGCATGACGAAGCTGTCGCTTCCCAGTCAGATGCTGCTACCCACACCGAGCCTGAGCCCGAGCCCGAGAGCCCTCAGGCAGCGGCGACTCCTGCGACTCCTTCGTCTCCCGATACACCAGTGAAGGAGAAGGCAAAGGAGAGCCCCGGAGCGAAGCCAGCTCTCAAGCAGCCTGGCTCGGCCTCTGCGACTGCTACCCGTCGACCTGGAGCTACGGCTTCCTCTTCGACGGCCAAGCCCACCACCGCCTCGAGCACTCGTGCCCCTGGAGGTCTGAGCAAGCCCCCAACTCGCCCCCCTGGTTCGACTGTTCGCCGTCCCCCGACTGCAACCTCTATGTCGAGCCACCGAAGCCGTCCCAGCATGAGCGCTAGCGAAGATGACAGGAAGTCGACCACCTCCTCCATTGCTTCTGCTCGTAGAGCGAGCTCTATCGCGTCTAGCCCAGCCAAGACTGCTGAGAAGAGAACCGTGGGAGCTACCGGTTCGACAACTGCCACTCGACGACCTGCGTCTACGACGACCGCTGCTCCTCGAACCAGCACCACCACTAGCCGAACCGCGGCCACTCCTAGTGCCTCTGCGACGCGAACAACTGCTACTCGAACAACGGGTGCGACGCCTACTGCAAGCAAGCGACTTTCTACCTCTGGATCTTTGACTGCAGCATCTCGAACAACGGCCCGACCTGCTCCTTCTGCGGAGGCTACCAAGGAAATCGAGGCACTCAAGGCCAAGTTGGCGGAAGGTGAGAGCGAAATCGAGACTCTCAAGGCGGAAGTCAAGACCTCGGAGGAGAAGATTGCAGAGCTTACCGAGAAGATCGGCAAGGAGTCTGCCTCCACCGGTGCGGATGACAAGCCTGCCCAGGACAACGATGAGGCCATGGCTACTCTAAAGTCCGAGCACGAAGCCGCCATTGCTGCTCTCGAAAGCCAGGTGACTGAAGCGAATGAGAAGCTTCAGGCCGCGGAGGGTGATCTTGCGAAGCTCCGAGTTGATTTGGATGCCGCTGTTAGCGCTAAGGAGGCCAGTGAGACCGAGCTCGATTCGCTCAAGAAGCAGCTTGAGTCCGCCCAGGCTGAGAACGAGGAGAAGCTCAGCTCTAGCCAAGAAGCACTTCAGAAGGCCATTGAGGAGCACGCTACCAAGATCGAGGAGCTCAAGACCTCGCTCGAAGCTGAGAAGGCTTCCGCCATCGAGGCCATTGAGGCTAAGCACAAGGAGAGCCTCGACAAGGACCAGGCTGATTCTTCTTCTCACGAGACTGCTTTGGCTGATCTCAAGGCCGGCCATGAAGCTGCAACTGCCGAACTTCAGAAGAAGATTGACGAGTTGACCTCCTCCCAGTCTGCCCTGGAGTCTGCCAGCGATGACAAGCTCAAGATCGAGCAAGAGGAGCACAAGACCAAGATCTCATCTCTCGAGGTCGAGGTTGCTGAGTCTAAGGCGAAGCTCGAAGCTGCTGACAATGATGCCCAGACTGCCAAGTCTGAGATTGATTCTTTGAACAGTCAGATTACCCAACTTCAGTCTAGCTTATCCGAGAAGGAGTCTGAGCTCGCGAGCGCCAAGGAGGACCTCGTTCAGGCTCAAGAGGAAGCAGCATCTCTCAAGGCTGCCGCCGAAGAAGCCCAGAAGTCTCTGGCCGAGAAGGAAGATGAGATCGCCAAGGTCAAGGAGATGCACGAGGAGCGCATGAAGAACATCTCTAAGGATTATGAGACTGAGATTGAATCTCTCCGAGGAGATGCCTTCTTCAAGCGTAAGTACGAGGAGCTTGAGGCTCAGCACAGCGAGCTCCAGACTTCCTCCTCAGAGGCTGCCGAAGGCCATGGTAAGGCTCTTGAGGCTGCTAAGGCTGAGCACGCCACCGCTGTTGCCGCTCTGGAGGAGAAGGAAGCCGAGTACCAAAAGAACCTCGATGCCCTCCGTGCCAGTCATGCTGAGGAACTTGAGGCTTCAAAGAACTCTGCTTCCGGAGACCATGATGCTCATATCGCTGAGATCGATTCTCTGAAGGAGAACCATGCTAAGCAACTCGAGGTGCTCAAGTCTGAGGGTGCCAACACCCACACTGAGGAAATTGAGTCGCTTAAGGCTGCCCATGCTAGCGTCCTGGAGGCCATGAAGAAGGAGTATGAGGAGGACAAAGAGAAGCTGGTCGCTAGCCACCAGAGTCAATTGGCCTCTGCCAAGGATGCTGGCGAGACTACGCATGCTACGGAGATCGCTAAGCTTATGTCGGAGCTTGACAGCGCTAGAGAATCTGGCGAGAGTTCTCATGCTGCTGAGTTGCAGTCTCTGAAGGCCAAGCTTGAGGCTGAAAAGGAGGCAAGTGACAAGGAGCATGCTGAGGCTTTGGCCAAGGCCCAAGCCGGGATCGATGCTGCCAAGTCTGCTGGCAATGATGCCCACGCTGCTGAGATCGCCAGTCTTAAGGCTGAGCTCGAGGCTACCAGGGACGCCGCTAAGCAGTCTTTGGAAGCCGAGCTGGCGACCTTGAGAGCCGAGTTGGAACAGGCTAAGAAGGCTGGTGATAACCAGCATGACGAGCAGTTGGCCACACTCAAGGCTGAGCTTCAAACCGCCAAGGAAGAAGTTGAGAAGGCCCGCGAGTCCAATTTGGAGGCCATCGAGATGGCTCGCTTCGAGCTTGAGAAGGAGCATGCTGATGAGGTCGAGAAGCTTCTGGCCTTCAACGGCGAGGTTATCGAGCGCATGAAGCAGGAGGGTGGTGACGCCAAGAAGGAGCTCGAGGAGTTGACGAATGTCCACACCAAGGCCATCGAGGATATGATGGCTGAGCACAGGAACAACAACAGCCACTTGGAGGACAAGCTTGCCCAACAGGCTGCCTCCAACGCTGAGCTTGAGACTGCCCTGAAGGCTGCCCAAGAGGCTCTTGAGAAGTCTCAGCAGGAAGTCGAGGAGCTTTCCCAGCTCTACGCACAGGAGAAGACCGAGCGATTCACTGCTCTTGCTGAGCTTGAGGATGCGAAGAACTCCAAGCCCGACACTGCCGAGGCCGATGCTCTCAAGAGGGAGCTTGCCACAGCCAAGAAGTTCCACGAGGATGCTCTGGCCAGTGCTGATGCTGAGGCCAAGGCATTGCAGAATGAGCTTGAGGCTACCAGGGGTAACCTGGTAACCGCTCAGGGACAGGTCACAAGCCTGACAGACGACCTCAACCTTGTTCAGAAGGATCTTGAGGCTTTCAAGGCTGAGGCCGAGGCGGGCAAGAAGACTGCCACTGCAGACTACCAAGATCTCAGCGATAGCATGACCGCGCTTGTTGAAGAGGCCAACACCAAGGCTAAGGAGCTCCAGGCTAAGCTGGACGAGACCGTAGCCAAGGTTGAGGACAGTGAGAAGAAGGTCGAGGTCCTCGAGGCCCAGCTCAAGGTGAAGGATGCCGAGATCGCAGAGGCCAAGGTATGTTTTCACGGCGCAAATTCTTATGAATACACTTACTTACAGTGATAGGCCAACGCTGCTGTTGCCAAGCCAAAGGGACTCTCAGCCAGCCGATTTGCCAACGCAGAGGAGGGCGACGACGACGCTGCTGCCAAGGAAAACGCGGCAGAAGGTGAGGAGATTGATGACCATTCCTCAGTAGCACTTGCTTCGGTGCGGAAAGCCCCTGCATGATGCACTCCCCCGATCCTATCCAAATCATGCGACGTTTTGGTCAGCACAGGGCTAACATGTCTGGTTTATAGATAAGTAAGGCTAGGCTCACAGCTAAGCAAATGGATACCCTCGATAGGGAAATGAGGGATCGCAACTTGCAGTGAGTACATCTTATATTTGGCTACGAAGTGATCGACCGTACTGACCGAATGCAGGATTTTGAGGTCCATTACGGACGTCAAGTCGCCAAAGCTGGGCAGTGAACATCACTATGAGCAGCAACAATTCGACCAGCAGCAGTACAACTAAAGAGGCATGACATACGGTTTCATTTCGCTTCCTGTTGTGTTGTGACTTTACTTTTTAGTTCTGTGTAATACCCGCAGCTTCCTGCAGAGCTGCAATTCTGCTTCTTGCTTTTATATCACATACAACATCATCGACAAGAGTCATAGGATATCGCAGGTAGAATGGATGGAGGTGTTTAGACCGTCGATACTTGGCATATAGGAGGAAAAGAGATGGCGTGGAGTGGATATGCGGGAGTCATACAAGTATGTACGACATTGTCGAGAAGAATTGACGATACCCTGGTTCAATTTGAATCTGTCAACTACTATACAGTTCTGTGGTGATGTTATATAGATGGGCCATCCATTGGTCCATAGATTCATGCTGTAACTCTTGACGCCTTGGACACGAGCGATAAGCATTGGAGCTCGGGCGTTTAAATGGTGTAAACCTTAATAGCTTTGATGCAGAAATCAAAACTACAGGCTCCGTCTAACCGCTTGGCTTTGTTGCTGCATCAGCTCTTCACCAATGGCCAATTGTGCCGAATAATTCTCCCAAGAGCGGAGACTCATGCATCTGACTGAGACGGAATGACGTTGACCGTAGGTGTGAGTGATGGATGAGCGATGTATTTGTATGCATGTCTCTGCTGTACTTTACTTATTCCCTCACAACAATTCTCTCATATCTCAACATTTCCAAAGCTCAAGGGCTTGGAGTCGTACAAGATCTTATAAACCTCTGGGCAGTATAAAACCCCGCAGCTTGTACATCACATCGTCATCAACACCTTCAAGTCAGGGCTTAATTGTGATAATTCAACAAAATGGAGGATTACAAAATCTCCAGCAAACCCGTTGCGAACAAGGATTCAATCGTATCCGGGCCTCAATGGCGCTTCACGCTGATCAACGATCTCGTTCTTCGCTATGAATGGGCTGAAGATGGTGTCTTTGAAGATCGCCCATCAACATTCGCTCTCAACCGCGAATTCCCTACGCCAAAATTCACAGTCTCCGATACAAACGATCAGCTTGAAATTAGAGCGGATTCTTTCCACGTTACTTACAACAAGAAACGTTTCGATCGCTATGGCCTTGTCGTTAGCTTTACCAACAAAAACACCCTCTGGGGTGCTGACTGGCGATATGGAGAGACGCCTCAGAATCTTGGAGGTACAGCGAGAACGCTGGATGAGGTCAATGGGCGTTGTGAGCTCGAACCTGGTATCCTTTCCAGGGCTGGATACTCGGTCCTTGACGATAGCGAGTCTATGCTTTTCGACCCGTCTTCTGGGTTTGCGGCGCCGAGACGAGAGGGTGATCGCATTGATGGATATCTCTTCTCCTATGGGTACGACTACAAGGCTGCTATGAAAGCCTTCTTCGCCATTTCTGGCAAACAACCTGCTCTTCCGCGCTGGGCTTTGGGCAACTGGTGGAGTCGATACTATCCTTACACTGACGAGGAGTATTTGAAGCTCATGGATAAGTTTGAGGCCGAGAATGTCCCGTTGTCTGTTGCGGTCATTGATATGGACTGGCATCAAGTGCACGGTGATCATATTCCTCACGCTGGCTGGACGGGATATACGTGGAACAAAGAGCTCTTCAAGGATCCAAAGGCTTTTACAAAGGCGTTGCATGATAAGAAGCTCAAGGTGACACTGAATGACCATCCGCACGGTGGTGTTCATCACCACGAGGATCAGTATGAGGATATGGCCAAGGACTTGGGTCATGATACTTCTGCCAAGGCGCCGATTCTTTTCAACCCCGTCGATCCAAAGTTCATGCACTCGTACCTCAACACGCTTCATCGTAGCCTTGAGAACGATGGATGTGATTTTTGGTGGATTGACTGGCAACAAGGTCCGTACAGCCGTGTACGTGGTCTCGATCCCCTATGGCTTCTTAACCACTATCATTTCCTGGATCACCAGAAGCAAAACGGAGTCGATAAAGCCATCATCTTCTCTCGCTTCGGAGGACCAGGTAGTCATCGCTACCCTGTCGGTTTCTCGGGCGATAGCATCATGACATGGGAGTCTCTCGAGTTCCAGCCCGAGTTCACAGCTACTGCATCCAACATTGGTTACGGATGGTGGAGTCATGACATCGGTGGTCATATGGGAGGTTACCGTGATGATGAGCTTGCTACTCGCTGGGTGCAGTATGGTGTTTTCTCGCCTATTATGCGGCTTCACTCGCAGATGGGTTTGTTCACATCTAAAGAGCCCTGGTTGTACCGTCCTGAGTTCGCAGAGGTTATGAAAACCTTCCTTCGGTTCCGTCATCGCCTGGTTCCTTATCTCTACGTTGCGAATCTGGACTCTACGCATCATGATGAGCCAGTCGTACAGCCTCTGTACTGGAAGTATCCAGAGAGGGATGAAGCTTATGGCAAGCCGAACCAGTATCACTTTGGGTCGCAGCTCGTGGTTGCGCCAATCGTGAAGCCACGCGATAAGAGGACGAACCATGGCGCGGTCGATGTATGGGTACCTCCTGGTCGCCATGTTGACGTACTCAGCGGAATCATTTACGATGGAGATCGCGATGTCAAGATGTTCAGAAACATCAAGGGTTTACCCGTTCTTGCTCGCGAGGGTGCTATCGTTCCTCTTGATGCCAACCTCTCTCCCAAGAATGGAGGCGACAATCCTGAGCACCTAGAGGTTCTCGTCGTGGTTGGTAAGAACGGTCAGTTCACTCTCGTCGATGAGAGTTCCGATAAGCAAGAAACAGATACCAGCAGTGGCTGGAAGTTTGAGTACGGCCAAGACAAGGGCGAACTTAAGTTCAATCCAGAGGGCAAAAAATGGACGATCAAGTTCGTCTCCATCGCCGAAATTCCCAAGAAGTTCGAAGCTTTCAAGCGCAACGAATTCAACGACAGCTCTCTCGACGTCAAGACAAGAATCGACGAGTATCCCAACATCCCTGGTCTTGTAGTCGAGTTCCCGTCTCTCCCGTCTGGGTCAGGAGATGTGGTCATCAGCCTGGGCGACAACCCACAGCTGAGTGTACTTGACCCATTGAAGCGCATTCAAGATCTTATTCTGGATTATCAGATGGATATGTGGACCAAGGAGAAGCTCTGGGGAGTTGTCAAGGCTGCTCAGCCCACGGCGGTGAAGGTCGGACGGTTGATGAGTTTGGGCTTGGATGAGGAATTGCTTGGACCTGTGATGGAGCTACTTATGGCTGATAGTCGATATCAGACAACTTCTGATTGATAGATCTGTCTCTTTGAGAGAATGAGAGTTGTTTTGCGGAAGCGACATTCTCTCCAGGTCACATTCATGGCTGGCCATGAGACCCAACTCAATGCAACCTAGTCCGGAAAATGAGAATAGCAGGATATCGGGAACAGGTCCATGGCAATAGCAGACCAATAATATACATGACAATAATGAAAGCTCGTGGGGCTTAAACTCAGAGGCAGTGTCTTTTACCCTGCCATACACCTTGGTATAAGTCTAAGAGAACGATCTTATGGACATGATGCCCGTGCTGTAAGACTACCTACCCGATATCACATGAGAACATGAAGCTCTTGTAGCAATAATAGTAAGAATTAGCACAAAGAGCAAACTGTAATCTCATGTGAAGAGACTCCATTTCTAATTGCAATGCAAGGTCAAATAGTCGATATACGAGAAAACGTTACTAACAAACAGCTGAGACGATGTGGCAAGTGGGGCAAACTCAATCCCGACATCGTCACTTCCTGACCTCAACTCAAACTGACTCATCATGACCACGAGGCTTAGAAACGCGAATCCATGCGATGGATGCGCATTACGACGTGTGAAATGTGAAGAAGGAAAGCCTTGTCATGAATGTCGTCTAAGGGGCATCGAATGCACGGCTCTAAGGACAAGGAAGAAACGTGGACCAAAGGGTGGAGTGAGAACAACCACCAGAGAGAAGGTCGAGAGATTCCAAGAGAGCATCAAGAACAATCAACCTTCTTCTTCCGCCGCTCAAATTACCACCCAAAATGAAACCGAGATTTCCGGACCTTTACCTCTACCGCCTTATCGAATACCACTTCCTGAATACCGCCGCATCCTTGACATCTCCAAACGGGTAGTATCGTCAATATGGATAGTCATCAACCCTGAGGATGTTCTCAACAAAATTACCCAGAACAATGACGATTACGAGTCTCACGCTCTAGCAGCAGCATTATGCGCCGCTACTATCGCCCAACTTCGACTCCCTGAGCATGCTGGGCCACGGAACACCACGTCATCTCTCCAATTCGCTACCGAATGCCTGCAATTACGAGAGCTCTATGACTATCGTGAGAGTCACAGTATTCCTTCTGCACTGATACCATTCTTTCTTCATGTTTACCACTCCAATGGGAATAAACTACGTACTGCTGGTTTGTTTCTGAGAGAGGCCGTTACGCAGGTTCAGTTTATGCAGCTTGGTTATCCTGAAACCTATAACCATTTGAGTAAGCCGGAGCAGTCACTCCGGCTGCGTATATACTGGCTTGTACTCATAACTGAAAGGTATGAACACCAACCAAGAAGAATATTATTCATACTGACGTGCTGTTCTAGAACATATTCTGCTCAACATGGCCTGCAGGCAGTTCTTCAAGTCATCGACGTCTTCCCGGATACCCAAGACGACATGGCCGACGAGCGCCGCCTACAAGCCTTCGTATCACTAACACGACTATTCGCCTATCTCGAGAGTAACCTGACAACAATCTCGTCTAACCAGCAGCCACTCGAAAGGCAAAAATTAGTATCTTACCAAGCCGCGTTATGTCTTGACTCACACGACCACGTTGCTCGTGAAGCTCAAAGAGTCGACCTGTTCGTCACGCGCCAGTGGATCAGACTCATCCTATGGGAGTACACCGCTCGCCACTTTGCTATGTCTTGCTACCCAGACGATGAAGCTTTCTCTCTGTTTTTACCTGTCAAGATTGGACATAAGATGCTTGAACTTTTTTCAATGGTGACGAACGCAGCCATCAAGACACATGGATATGGCATCGTAAGTAGGCCATTAACTTCAAGTTCAGCATAGTCTAACATTTTGTACTAGGAACTCAAGGTGTTTCGTTTAGCGGACGCAATGCTTGATATTGTTGCCTGCACACCGTTTTCTGCCCATGGAGACGGTATGCTTGTCGGTGCAGGAGATATACTTAATTCATTGCAGCACGTACTACATTCTGTGGGTGGAAAAGACTCTGGATTTCTGCGTAAGATACAAACTCGCATGTCACAACTGGAACTTACTACTGGATCTTGGCCATATCTTGCTTTATCAGAAACGGGGGAGGTAGTAGAGGAGTTGGAAAACGATGATGACTTATGATTATGATACTATTCAACTCGCCCAAGAACACCAATACCCAATCTTGTCTTTTTATTCCGAAGTATCGGATCTCCATGACTGCAATTCTGGGTTTTTACAGAACATAAAAGAGGAAAATTCTGATTATCATATTAATACTCCTGATTCTCAATTTAAATCCAACCAAGAAACCAATAAGTCTCTGCCTTCCTAGATACAGACAAAGGCGAAGTAAAACATTATTAACCGATACTTTAAGCTGTTTCATATGGAAAACAGCCCTTCAGAGTGCTATTTGTCAAAAGAATAACATTGAGAGATAGATAGGCGAGCAGAGGAGGGAGTAAAAGATTATTGTTCTGTAGAATGCAGGCGTGTAGATCTAGTTATACGGAAATGTCGCGGCCTAGAGTATCAATTAGCCTATCCCCTGTGGCTTAGTTGGCTAAAGCGTCCGACTGTTATTCATAGACAATCGGGAGATCGGAAGTTCGAGCCTTCCCGGGGGAGCTACCTTTTGCTTTTTGCACCTAACGATCAATTCTTCAGCAATTGTTTCCTTTTGGTCTGTGTTTTGTCAAATCATCCTTTCGATTGCATGTCCTCGATATCGTACTGCGCTTGTCGCTTGTCATTTAAAGCAGCGTAGTTGACAGATAAGATTTTATAGTGACTTTAACTTTTGGACGCCCAGAATGCCAGGTTTAGGGTATGTAGCTCGGCCAGTCTCCAATACCAAGCGAGTAGAAACACCAAGAGGTGTCCTTAAATGAATTCGCAGTATCATAGCTGTGTCTGTTCTATCCAGAACTGTCATAAAATTCGTAATAACTGTCGGCGGCAAAGTTGTGTGGACAATGACAAGTAATCTTGCTTGCTCCGTCTTCATTTGACTCTGACACTCAGTTCCACTGCAGATCCATAGGGAATCTGTACAAAAAAGGCAACCTTGAGCGCTGAGAGACAGACAATCCTCAAACTATGCCTCGGACAAGTCTCATATCCAAGACCATACACAGCCAGAACTATACTGGAAATAGTGTCTATGTGCCGCTGTCGGTTTTCAGCAGTGAGCACTTAGATTTCCCCTGTTAGAGACGTAGCCAATAAGCGACGCTTTGTGACTCGCTAAGCCAGGGACAATCGCCAAGTCTAACTCAAACTGTAGATTTGTAGCGCTGTAGGGCTGCTAGTGAGTTGAAGCTTACCTGACTGTGGCTGCGCCATGTTGAAGATGCAGGCCACGATCGATGTAAAGATATGACGGAGGTAACTGTTATAAAGGATAGCAGTATTTATATAAGAGGAGATCTTGGGAGTGAGTTGAGTTCTAGGTCATCACCAAAGCGTTGCTCTTATCTATTACCACTATGGCGAATCCGACCAAGGACAATCTCTACGGCTACGATGCCAACAAAATACTCCCAATTGTTGCTGCTGTGATAATTGGTGTATCAATGATGGGACACGCTGTACAGAACAGGTGAATTATCCCATAGTCCTTCATGGAATGCATATACTAACTCCATCATAGCCGATACAAGTTCTGGAGGGTGACATTCTTCATGTTTTACGCTGGTCTATTCTTCACCATCGGTTGGGTTTTCCGTGCCATTTCAGTACGACAACCAGACAGTCTGCCATTGTACATGATATCGACCATCTTCATCTACCTCGCACCACCAATTTACTCGGCTGCCGAGTACAACACCCTCGGACGTCTTATGCACTATCTACCCATGCACTCCATCATCAACCCGAACCGCGTGGTTTACATATTTGTCTTTCTCGGCTCATTGGTTGAGGTTCTTACTGCTATTGGTGCATCATGGATCGCAGCAGGTAATGGCCGACAAGATAGTGACCGTCTAAGTTCTGGTGCGACTTTCATGGCTGTCGCCGTTATTCTCCAAGGTGTAATCGAGCTCGGCTTCATTGCGCTGGTCGGTATTCTTCATCACCGTTGTTCGCGGGCCAATATGCTGCCTCCCAACGTTCGAACGTTGTTCATTATGCTTTATGGCACATCGATGCTTATTATTATTCGCTGCGTCTTCCGCGCTGTTGAGACTTTTGAGCTTCGGGACATCCTTTCAAGCGGCGAGGATAATAGCAATGCTCTCATGAAGCGCGAGTGGCCTTTCTACGTACTGGAAGGCATCCCGGTAGCTCTGTATACCTACTGGCTCAACATCATTCACCCAGGACGGTTTCTACCTTATGATCAAAGGCAGTATCTTGACTTTGATGGTAAGACGGAGCGTATGGGTCCTGGGTGGATTCACAAGCGACAATGGTTTATGTATATCGCCGATCCGTTTGACTTTAGTAAGTATACTCACCTACACTATACTATGATTGATGTAAGCTAACATAACCTGCAGTCGGAATGTTGTCGATGAAGAAGAGAGACCCTTATTATCTTCGACCGAGTGAATGGCCCGAGACAGAGAATTGCTTTGCTCAAGGCAGGGGATCTAATGCCAAGCCGGGGAAATATACAAGGGTATCTAAGAGGGAGTCGCATGAATCTGAGGTCTGATGTAATTGTCAGGGATGAGAGACGATCCTTTTGCATGTCATTCACATTTTGTTACTGCCTGTTTTTTCTCTGTGGTTAGCGATACGAGAACGATTAAAGATCTTTTCTATGCCCTTCTTTATATGTCTCGTATCCGTGTGAAGACGTAGTGGAGCCTAGTCAGTGTATTAGAACTGAAGCTACGGATACAATGGATATAATCTTTCGCAGCAGTTTCTAACCGTCTTACACAAATTATGTCAATACTCCGATCATTATGGCATGTGAAACGCAAGTCATCCATAAATTTAACCTCTTTGTTAAGCTTACGTTCTGATTGTGAATCTTCTTGGCTCTAAAATTAGGGGATCATGATGCTTTCTGCTAGTAAGCGGAGCTTTTTGACGATCAGTGAAGTCATCGCTCCTCCCCTGTTCCTGCTCCGAAAACAGACCCACATAAACTCCCGTTGATGACGTCGCTTGGCAAGCGTTGACAGAATCTTGGCTGCGTCCTTGGCCAAAGGGGAAAGAGCACCTCGAAAAACCTCTTGTTCCCGATGGATCCTTTAACGTCATGCTTCAATCACAGGCACGATAGGTCCCTATCAAATTCAAACGATTAGTGGTCACATACCCCTGGAATGATAATTGATAACACTAAACCACCCACCATTGAACCCTTCCACTGTTACATTCATCCAAATAGTGCACGTCAGTCTCACAATCAGGCTATCATTCTCATTGCTCTCTGTTGCTGTTACACCCTTCTTTCTTAAATACATATCCCCTCCATCTAACAATTAGCTTAAACCTTGCCACTTAGATGGGCCAATTTCCATATTCTTCCTAGAACGAACTGAACTGTCCGCTCTAGTCTAGTCCATCTTCGTCCCGTCTCTTACTACGACCCAGCTCATTCCTCTTCTTTTCACTTCCATTCTCCATTTGTATCACCATCACTCAAACATCATAAACAAATCAACAACACTACTTCACCATGCCTGAAGTACGACGGGGCAGTCTTGCTCCCTTATCTGACTCTGCTCTCTCATCACAAGAACCGGCCGGAGCACCCGGCGTTACTCGTCCATCACAGTCTCACCAATCTTCTACTGATCGCGTGCGCTTCAACATTCCTGAGGATTCTACATCACCAACATCACCGCGTGAACCTCTCGATTCAGCTTTTGCAGAGCTACCCCGACGAACATCTGAGGGTAGGCGAACTTCGGAAATTCCTAGAAGGAGCTCTGATGCACCTCGACGAAGCTTGTCATATGCCCAACGCCCCGAGGCTGAAGCATACTACGATTCTCGAGCAGCTACTCAAAAAGAATATCGACGACGAGCAACAACTCTCTTAGAGTACTACGACGAAAACCCCCAACTACTACCGCAGCTTCCGTTTACTTGGCATCATGGCTGGAAGCGTTGGAGACTTTTCTTCTTTGCATTCCTCGTCTTCGTCGACGCATCCGCCGTTCCGATCGCTCTATACTACGGCATGAAGTACGCTGGCGATGTCGAAGGCTGGATTATCTTTGCTGTTGTGACGACCATCTGGGGTGGCCCCACGTATCTCGAGTTCGCTCTCCGTACCCTCCGATTGATCAAGGTGGACAGGTTCTATCGACCCCTGGGAACGAATCATCGGTGGTGCTTCGATATGCTGACGTACTCGTCCACCCTTACTATCTTCGTCGTCACGGCATTATTTATCATTGGCAGCGCTCCGCATAATGTGTGGTTGAGGGTTCTGTGCATGCCTGCTCCGGCGATCCTGTACTGTTACGGCGGTACACTCTTCCTGATTACTCTTTATCACCAGATGAACTGGCCTGCACCCTTCCGAATCAGCTCCACTGCCAAGGGTGAAAAGGTATGTCCATATACATAGAAGTAACTGTTCCTATGCTAATCATTCACCAGGTTCTACCAGGTGCCTATTACTTCATCGAGGATGTTATCGCGGTTAATGCCCTCGGTGGCCGACCCTATCGGGAGGCTTTAGCTGCCCGATACAAGGCCAGTCCTCGCTTCCGAGAGATGGTTCACAAGCAATCCTGGTTCTGGTCCGTTCCTGCACTCGTACTCGCCGTTCCCCTGACCGTTATCTCCGTCATTCCCCAGGTTCCGGCTACTGGTGCCTACGGTGTTGCATGGGCTGTCCCCTTCCTGTGGGCAGTGGTCTGGGGTATCATTACCATTCACTGGTGCAAGAGAGACATGAAGCGAGAGAGGGAAGAGTGGGAGCGAGGTGTCGACCCCGAGAAGGAAATCAAGAGAAAGGGATCATCTTTTGAGACAGCTTAAGTGAGGAGGAACAACTTGCGATGTTTAAAAGAGCGAGCATTATGGCGGCAACAAAATTAGTCTTGGGCGTTTCAGGAGTGAATAAGGCAAGGCGGCACTGATAATGGCGACAATCAGAACAAAGTGCGGCCATTGGAGTACATTGGGAGTCATCTCATTACATATCTGTACCGTAAATCAGGGATTGGTAGCATACGAACATGAAGCATACGATTATCATGACTTTGATCATACCGTTTTAGCCCCAGTCCAGTCAAGATCACAGCTACAATGAGGACCAGTAGGAACACAGGTACCTGTCATCGCAACCTCCATAGAAAGTCACGGCCATTTCGGCAACGGCACAACCTCAGTCTCGTCATCATCCATTCTTCTGCACGGCAGTTATAAACTCGGACTTTTTGGATGGTGAATTGCCGTAAAGAGTGACATTCGCGATGGATCCTGTAGGAGTCTCCTGATTCTGTCTTCCGGTTGAGCCGAACGTTGAACCAAACGATACTAGAGTTAAACTCGCAGGTTATCCTTGTTCACAGGATTAACCTTCTTTCAAGGTACCAAGCATAAATAGAACTTTAGTGAGGGCATGGGGTCAATTGGCATTGGTGGGCCATGTAAAACATGCCAAGGTTGGCTGCTAAATATTCCTTGTTCTACCTAACACCTAGAACTCTTAACTTTAGATCGATACGGCTCCTGTAATTCTGACAAACTCCGTCTCCAAGTCTTTCCAGACTTTATCAACCATATCCTCCTTTCGATACTCTTCCAATAACTTGACAACTTCATCCGAAGCACTCTCCCCGTCCCAATCAACACTATAAACACCACTTCCCCTACTGCCATTAACACCAATTGCCACCTCTTCACTCCCAATACCATTCTCACTCTGAACCTGCTTATCAGGATATCTCCCACTTACACACAGCCAAGCATGCCGCTCACCACACTCCTCCTTAGGAAGCCACTTTCTCATAGCAGTCATACTGATCTTGAACCAGTACTTCATAACATGCATCATGATTCCATCCCCAGGCCGGATAAGATCTGTGTCGACTGAACCGGGGAAGTTGTGGATGAACGATACTTCGGGTGCTTGACGGGCCAGAGCTTCAAGTGAGAGAGTGATGGCGGTGCACAAGTGGCCGCGGGAGTTGTGGATGCTGGTGAATGGGATGTTGCGTCCTGCTATATCGTCGGCGAAGAGCTTGCCTTCTTTCGTGCCGGCGAAGACGGTTATTACTCTTCGTAAAGAAGGGGCCTTTCTGAGGAGTGGGAGGAGGTTGAGTGTTAGACGGACGCGGGAGTAGTGTGCGAGACCCGTGACTAGAGGGAGTCCCTCTTCAGTGTCTATATGTGTAAGTATAACATCTGAACACTTGAGCAAGCAACGTACCAACACCAATCCTCAGTGTCCCCTGACTCATAAACAGCACATTCAAAACACTCTCCTTACTCTTGATGTCCCGACACACCTCGTCCACGTTCTTCAACAAGCTCATATCCTTCTTGATAAAGACATAGCTCCCCTCAGGGTTGAGTTCTTTCAACTCAACCAGAAGTCGATCGGCTGCCTCCTGAGACCGACCTATAAAATAGATCTTAGGCCGAAGAGTGTATTTAGCGAAGTCTTTCAAGGCTGTCTCGCCGATACCTGCTGTTGCGCCTGCAAAGACAGCGACGAGACCTTCTGGGAGCTTGGTAGCTGCCGAGGCGTTAGTTTGCTGGACTTCAGTGAGGGAAACCATGGTTGACAAAGACGAGAGACAATAGTCCTTTGTAAGAAATCACGACTACTTTATACATAACTTGACGGTAAAAACGGCATCATCTCCAATATGCTCAACAACTTAGACGCCAATAGTCTTCCGCTCTGAATACGAAAAGTGGTTAGCGTCAATACTGCAGGTGGACCATTGTGTGCCGTGATCCTGGGGAAGAAAAAGCAAATCCGAGACAAACAGAAACCTCGGATCCGAAAAAGGTCAAAACACTGTACAATGACGTACGTGACTCTTCAACTCTAAGTGGGTGATGCTTCACAAGTGTCTCAGTGGCTGGACAACACGCCATCATTCCTACGATAGACACCAAAATAAGTACACAATTGGATCCAAGGACTTGTGCTTAAACTAGAGCCAATATATTCAGGCGAGTAAATTAAATATGCAAAAAGACTTATACGCTGTCTCGGGAGCTCCAGCCCACTGCTCGTAATACACGCTATCCCTTTGTGATGCAAGCCCCCATGTATCAAAGATATCAAGATATTGCCGAGAAGAAAAAGTTTACAAAAGAAAAACGCCGTATCCGCAAGTCTGACTAGAACCAGGCTTGTAGTTGTAGCCCTACCAGAGAGGCTTCGTATGCCAAGCTGTTGTCTGTTAACCGTTGGTACAAAGGAAGTTGATATATAGTACGGTAAACAAAGGAAAAAAAATGTGTTTCGGATCGGATATGTCCATGTCTGGTTCTCGTATCGTCTCATCGTTGATGGGCCAAATCGATAGCCGCACCATGAATTATGAAATACCGCTCATGAAAGTTACAAATCTTCCAAGACGAAAGATATAATGTCGTGATCCCCTTTTAACAACAACCCATCATATACCCCAGTTCTTCCTCCTCATACAGGCCCGCCCTTCTTGTACATCCACAACTTATTTATTGCTCGGGGCGCGGAGGCTCAGATTGCCACCCGTTGATATACGCCATCAAGCCCATGCCAAACAGAACAACACCAATCATAGAGGCATATGGTAGTGCGGCTTGGAGACGCTGATCCTGACCTCGCACACCACTATTCGCTGGTGTGATGGTACTGGCCCGCGATAACGTTGGTGCATCTGGCGCGTCATCGTTGACAACCGGCTCGACAACATGTCCAGTGGGGCCCTTAGAAACAATGGAATCTGTGGGTGACCCAGCAATAACGCCATTGGTATCTGCGTCTCGCTTTCTTGAACGCGATCGGGCCTTCTCTTCTGCTGCTTCTCGGCGTGCCTCCTCAGCACGTAGTTGAACGACCATCTCAGCCAGTGTCTTTCTGTCGGCATCGCGTTCAGACTCTACCGTCTCGCATCGCTGCTTCCACTCCTCCATCTGCTCCTTCATGTCTCGCATCTGGGTCTCCATCAGGTCAATTCGGCTTTGAAGGGCGGCGGCTGTTTCTTGTGCTGGGTCAACAGCAGGGGTTGTCTCTTCAGCAGCCTCGGTTTCGGTATCATCGATAACAGTCTTGTCATCTTCTGAAACCTCAGACACTTCAACTGATGGTTCCAATTCTCCAGGCACGGCCGATCCGTTCATGTGTACAGTAGCCGATTCCTCCAGTCGTTTAGCCAACTCCTCTGCCTCCTCTCTGGCGATTCTCTCCTTCTGTAACATCTCTTCCAGTTCGAGCATACGGGCGGTTTGGGCATCAATATCACGCTTGGCGTTGTTCAACGCTTCGGTGAGCTGAACAATTTGGCTGAGATTGTCAGGGCGGACAGGCGAGTTGGGAGGTCCCGACTTGGGCCGCTCAGTTGGGCCACGCTTGAGAGAGGGGACATCGGGCTTCTCAGGAAGAGGTTGCTGTGGAGGTGGTGCAGGAGGATCTGAGAATCGCGCTTTGGGATCAGCCCGGAAGGGGACGGGCATCCCGTTCATCATGGGCACCGTCTTAGGGTGCTCAAGACCCTCGGGCTTTTCGAGATCCTTAAGGTCATCCTTGGATAATAGTGTATGGACGAACTGGTTAGTCCGTCCAAGGTCCTGAGCCTGGAGTCGAGCATTGCGCATTTCGTTCTAAGAAATTAGTATCGAGTTTTGGAGGGATGTGGATTCAAACATACAGCAAGTCGCTTCAAAATCTGATCGGTGGCAACAGGGGTGAGAAAGAAAGGTCGTTGTTGTGGCATGCCGTTAGCCTGCATGTTCATTACTCCTCCAACGCCATTAGGCATCATTCGGCCATTGCTGGCCGCGGAAGCGTTACTGTTTGTACGGCCCCGCATCTGCATCGATCCAGAAGGCATCATCATGGCACCGTTGGCAGGATCTAAATCGCCAAAGTTCATATCCATAACGTTGCTTGAAGCGCTCATGAACCCGGCATGCTCCACCTTGGCGGCCACTTTGTGATGAACAACAGTTTTCTGGTCCTCGCTAACAATGTCGATACCGAGTTCAAGATGATCAGAAGTCTGTAGTTCGTGGGGTTCAGATTCGCGGTTTTCTTGAGATAGACGGGTCCCATTAACGAAAGTGCCGTTTGAAGACTTGACATCACGGATGTAGATTTTGCCGTTTCGTTCCGCATAGATCTCAGCGTGTTGCCTGGACAGCACTTTACTGTCAAAGAAACCGTTGGTTGGTGTCGGAACTGTCTTTTGATTTGTTTGTCGACCGATTCGGAGAGTTTCGGGGGCAAATGGAACGGCGATCGTTTTTCGTTCGAATGTGCCGTTCAAAGATAATAGATATAAAACTGGTTGGCCAGAGGGAACTTGTTCACCTGGCATAGGGCGCATCATGCCTTGGGCTGTCATCTGAACTTGACCAGGACCGGCTTGCACAGGTCCGTGTGCCGCCATCATGCCCTGGCCTCTGCCTTGAGGCAGTCGTGACATATCCTGTTGTTGGAACTCCCCTTTCCCTGGAGGCCAGGGGTTTTTCGGTTGGGGTCGTTTTCGAGGGGCGCCGTTAGCTGACCATTGGCTCAGATCTGTAGTCGAAGACAAAGGAGTGCCATTGGCGTGGGATCCGTTTGAGGCAACTGTGGTAGCGGAAGAATTCGAGGAAGTTGAAGAGACAGATGATGACGAGTTGGACCGAGTAAGACCCTTGCGCGGCGCGAACATGCCAATACCACCTCGGCCTTCTTCTGAATTCATTTGATGATTTCCGTTAATAGTGCCCCATGCTGTTCTCGAGTTGGGAAAGTTCGGTGGGTTTGCGACTGCGGTCATGAGGATAGATTCTATTCAGCAGCTTGCGGCCGAGAGACGCAATTTCGGGATATTTAAATATAGATGCCGGATATGGAAGAGAAACGTGTCGCTCGCGCCCAGGGGATCGATGTCACTCCACCGACGGGTGAGAGGCTGAGGCGTTGCTGGACAACCGACAGTTGTAGAGAGGTTGCAGATTTGATAAAACACACACAAAGAATCAACACTTCAGTGTGGCTTGACGTTGCTGGTGAACAAGAAAAATCATGAGCTCGTGGCTGGGAACAGGTTTTGGCTATGAAGATAGACGATCGGCGATGACCCCGTTGTACGGCGGGACAGGGGTCAAGAGGCGAGTCGGGCCAGCGACGGCCAAGAGGGTGCTTAACTCACCAAGCACGAGGTTATTCGCGATGTCGGAATAGGGTTTTGGGTCGCTAGCGATGATTCTCAGAGGGCTGGAGGCCGTGGAGTGAGTTGAAGAGAGGTTGCCGTAACAGTGACAGTATGGGGGAGGTCTCGCTAAGCGCTGCTTGGCGTGTTGGCGTGTTCAAATTTGGAGCCCCCGGTCGGCACCTCAGCTCAAGCACACGGAGTACAGAGCACAGTGGAGCACACGCCCAAAAGACTCTGGCATGTGCTCGTGCGTGCTCACTGGTGGCATAACCCCAGGCACCACGAGAACAAAGGTGAGGATGTCCAAGACAGTCTTGTAAGCGCAATGAAAGCGTCTGAAAAAAAAAAAACATGAGCAAGCAACTCTCTCTTGCGAGTCGGAGCCGTGCTGTGGAGCCAGATCTCGACCCACGAAGGAGACCACGTGATGACTTCTTCACAGTACTGCCCAAGTCGTCGGAAGTATACGCACTGTAGTTTGAAGTTGGCCCGTGCTTTCTAATTCCGCACCGACCTTTTCCCGAACGCTTAGTCCACTTGGTCAGCCAACCAATGACAGAAAGCTTCATAGGTCATAGGATTTGAGGAAGTCGTCGCAAGAGAGCTTCATCAGCAATTGCTTTGCCTCAAGCTGTTCAATCCCGCAAAACTCGTCAACCACAGTCGATAAACCGCAGTCGGCTCCAATACTAGTACTTTGCTTACCGATTTTACTCATTCGCCATGCCTCCTGTCGCTCCTATCAATGCTGGCCAGCACGGCCCCTCCACAGCCGATAAGCGTATGTTTGTATCATACCATCTAGAGAATATTCGCTAACAGATTTCATAGTCAAGATGGGTGCTATGATGGGCGGAAGTATGACTTACTCCTTGCTTGGGCCTTGAAAGACATCCTGTTCGAATATATCTGACATTTTCCAGCTGTCGGTGTCATCATGGGCTTTGTCTTTGGTTGGTCTTCCATGCGCTTGCTGTCTAGACTCATACTAACGATGTCCAGGAACCGTCAACATCTTCCGATACGGGGCCGGTCCTAACGGTATTATGAGAACCCTCGGCCAGTACATGGCCGGGTCCGGTGCGACCTTTGGGTAATTAAGAGTCGAGCCCTAACGGCTTACACGATTGCTAACTGCGATGATAGCTTCTTCATGTCCATTGGTAGCGTCATCCGATCTGATGCCGACCCTAAAATGCACGACATGTATATGCGAGCCCAACGCCGACCTATAATGCTGATGGCGAACCCCGCATGGAGGAAATCATGAGATCAGCAACAGATCATACGAGACGAGAGCAATACCCAGTCAACTTCGACATTCACCATGTACAGTCTGGCATCTGATGGCCGCATTCTGTAAAATATATCAAAACTATTTCGAAATGGTCCAATCTCATTGTCAAGCTCTCAGACCCACAGCCGATAATGCAGCAGTCCACTCAGAGACAGCTGAATGTCTTACTCCTGCGAGGATTTTTTGTTATCCTGCAGACTCTGCAGAGCGCTGCGTTTGCTGGGTTCAAGTGACCTCGGTATCTGTGTTGTGAATGCGGTCAAAGATTACAGTGCCATTGCTGAAAGGCGGCGGGTGAGCTGTGGCGTTCGATATAGCCCATCAACCGTCTAGGTTACATTTGCAGACAGGACATGATCAACACACCATTACCGTGACGCGACCCAGTATGCCGGCCTACCCCACGGCGCCGATACGAGGTTTTTTGACAAGTGCGCTGCGATATTGTTATGCTGGAAACTTTTGGCTGCTGAAACTCTACTCGCACTAGCCTTTTTGGTTGGGAAATTGGATGGCGCTCAATAGCCAGCCTTTCCTGCATATGTAGGAGGAGACAGGCAATCCAGCCTCTACAGAATTTACGCCATGCTTCTTGGCGGTTGGTGCCAGTTCAATTGCCTGACAAATTTCTTCTTCAAGACAACTGAGAGGCAACGCTCATGTCTTACAGCTTGTGCACATTGAACTACATTGTGCATTGACGGAATATCTCCTTGAGTGATGATTGTGTTGTTACATCTTCTGAGGTCCTCATGCAGCAGTCGCAGGATATGTTCGCCTCAAATACCTGTTGAAGCTGACATGGATTTAGTTTGACTCCCTGTTCTGTCTGCCCTACCAGATTACGATCGGTCGATCACAATTGGCGCTTTAGGAGGTTGATTGCCCGATGAGGAACTCGCCGCTCTACACCGTTAAACCGTCAAACCTTGCTGAAACCTTGACTGTTGTTTGACTGTGCTGTGCCGTTGCCAATTGCAACCAGGAATAATACCCGACCCGACGCTGAGGTTAAAGTTTCCTCTCTCTCGACGTGTATCACTAGCCTCAATCAGAAACAATTCGGAGAATTGTCAAGTCTTGGAGACTGCGTCCTTTGTACGTAACGCCAGCGCCCGACTTTATGATAGGTGTTGGCTGACACTAGCTTATCATGTTATGCTGCAACATGAATGTCAGCAGGCACCACAATCAGCATTTTCGTATTGTTGGTCGGTTGGCTTACAGCTTCTATGTCATTGGGTTGGCCGTGCTCAGGGACCATGGATCTGTTTAAGCCCTCAGAAAGCTGAGCGTGCTGTCCGAGACAATATCCACTGACAAAAGTCGAGACACATACGATCTGGGGATATCCTAGTTACAAATCTACAAATCTCCTCCTGCGTGCATCAAATGACAAACTCATCTTAACATACGCATTTACGAAACAAGAGATCTTCATAATCCAGTCGAAGTCCCGTATTATATCATCCGTCTACAGCTGAGGCAACTAACTTAGCGGATATTCCGCCACACCCGGCATCTCCTTGACGACCATCTCTCCACTTACAATTTGGCGAAAGCATGAATCCTTCTCCTGATAGGACTAATGATATGCTTCACGAGGTTTGCCTTTGGGGTGGGTATTGTCATCAATGGCTTGCAGGTTGCCTTGACTCACTTGAGTCCTGCCATGTGGTCCCATCTCACTAAATTTTGGCTTTCAACACCACCACCACCAACAACACCCTGGCGTGAGAATTACAGCTGGCTGACGACCTTATCCTTGATAACCTACAGTAGCTCAAGATAGATCCAAATGCGATCGCCCGGTTTTTAGCAGAAGAGGCTTGATCCCGCGGGTCTTCGGCACATACCATGTCCTGGTTAGAAGCGCCTCTTGCAGTGGCTATGGAAGGGCTGGGCTCACCAACAACCCCCCTCTGAGAATGAGGACTATATAGACTGGTGTTGATTCCCGTAGAACATGGTTCAATTTGTCTTTCAGCCTTCTCAGAGACTCCTGAAAGCACATCAGTTGTTCAGTATGGGAAACACTCATAGCAACGAGTTCAGCCTTGGGTCTCTAGGTCAACTATCCCAGCTTCAGACCAATGGGTACGATGGACTTATTATGACTTGTATAGAACAATGCTAACCTACCTATAGCGAATCTACGTATGGCACACTTGATGCACCAGACTTGCCAACTTTCCTCACTGACAACCCTACTCCCAATGGCTACCCATGGAGTACCATGAACACTCGGACAAACTACTATCAGGATCATCCTCATACTGGAGTCATCCGAAAGTATGATTTCACTGTCAATCGAGCCAATATAGCCCCTGATGGATACGAGATGTCTACCATTCTTGTGAACGGACAGTTCCCTGCCCCCCTTATTGAAGCCAACTGGGGTGACACAATCCAAGTCACTGTTCGCAATGAACTGAAAGATGAAGGGTTGTCTTTGCACTGGCATGGCATCCTCCAGAAGAACATGCCCTGGGAAGATGGCGTTCCTGGTGTTACCCAATGCCCCATAGCGCCGGGTCAGTCTTATACATACTCGTTCATTGCCGATCTCTATGGTACCAGCTGGTATCACTCGCATTATTCCGCTCAATACTTGGCTGGTCTCTTCGGCCCAATGGTTATATATGGTCCGCAAGAAAAGAAAGACTACGATATTGACGTTGGCCCCATCATGCTGAACGACTGGTATCACAAAGAGTATTTCGACCTTGTGGAAGACATCATGAAACCTGGCGCCCTGGGCATTGTGCTTTCTGACAGCAATCTCATCAATGGAAAGATGAACTACAATTGCTCCAAAGTCCAGCCGGGGGATAAATCACCCTGCAAGAATAACGCTGGAATCTCAAAGTTTCGCTTCAGACGGGGCAAAGTGCATCGCTTACGTCTTATCAACCCCAGCGCTGAAGCCATCCAACGATTCTCCATTGATGGTCATGACATGACAGTGATTGCAAATGACTTTATTCCTGTTGAGCCGTATAACACAAAAGTTGTTACCCTTGGTGTTGGCCAACGTACTGATGTGTTGGTCAAAGGGAATGGCAAGCTGGAGTCATACTGGATGCGCGCCAACATATCAGCCAATTGCAGTCTTGCTCTCAACCCAAATGCTCTCGCAGCCATCTACTATGACCATGCAAACGACAAAAAGGAACCAAAGTCGAAACCATGGAACATACCTGAGCCAGGGACTTGCGCCAACGATGATCTGAGCATGACAAAGCCTCTGATGAAGTTACCCTTGCCTCCAGCTGATAAGACCATCGAACTGGATGTGAAGTCATATAGAAACGCCAGCAACATCACGCTCTGGTCTCTGGGAGGCGTCGCTGCAAGGACGAATTACAACAGTCCCACCCTGCTTCTGAGCAAGCTCGGGAACCACACTTTTGACCACGATTGGAACGTGATCAATACCGGTAAGGCGAAGAGTGTCCGAGTGGTGGTGAACAACAAGACACCTGTAGCGTAAGGAACAAGAGAAGCGTGTGATTCTCGACAACCGCTAACATTGAACTTGACAGACACCCCATGCACTTGCATGGCTTCAACATGTATGTCCTACACGAAGGTCCAGGTGCATGGGACGGCACAATTATCAACAAACACAATCCACAACGACGTGACGTCGTTCAGCTCCGGGGCAATGGACACATTGTCATTCAATTCGACGCTGGAGACAACCCAGGTATGTCTTCCCCTGACTCAGCCTCATAATTCTTCCCCTCGCTATGGTAACATTTGCTCACGCATGGACAGGTGTATGGCCGTTCCACTGTCACATCGCGTGGCATGTCTCGGCAGGTTTTTTGACGCAGTTTCTTACTGAACCAGACAAGGTGGAAAAGCTACGTATACCCAACGTGGTGGCCGAGACGTGCAGGCAATGGGGACACTGGACGCTGTCCAATATCCCTGCACAGATTGATAGTGGGCTTTGAGCTGAATACCCTTTGGTGTTATTGTTGTCTCTCTTCGCTCGGGCCATGAACTAGTTTAGAGTATACGAGGCGGCGTGATACGAGATCATATCATGTTCTCATGACGTATTTGTTAGCAATCGCAGACGCTTCAAGTTTCTTACGACATATTATCTATAGTTTCGTTTATTTATATGATGATAACATTCTCCTGTCAGGATGAAGACAATGCACACCTGCCGTTTCGCTTATCTCACTCGATCCTTCATCCCAGGTAACAAAAGGTTGGCGGGCTACCGTTGTTACTAATGCAAGGTCATACACCGTAGGGCAGGATTTCGTATATGCCGGAACTTTTGGGCAGTCTCACCACCGTATGTAGAGAAACTCATACGTTATCCGGGGCTTTGTAATCTCATAACATTTCTTTAGACTAACAACGCGTTGGTGTCATCCAACGCGAACAATCTATATAACCATATAGTAGTACCTTGACTAGCGCATTTCGTCGTGACTAACATAGGAAAGCTCATCTAGTTCATCTGCCAGCAGCTTTTGTGATAATAGCAATAGCCCTTGATTCCCTTAACACCTCTTTTTTATTGTTCTTCGTATCTTGTTTAGAATTTAGATTTGTTCTCTTCTTCGGGGGCAGTCTCCGTAGACACAGCCGCATCTGTGGGTCCTTCCTTGGGCGTGTCTGCCTGTGTTGTTTCCTCCTTTGATGGTGGTGGTTTAGGCGGCTCTGTGACCATGGACGGTGTCTTTGCTGCCGCTGCCCCAATCTTCTCGAGGTTCTCTGGCTTGAGTTGCTCGGTCTTGGGTGATTCCTTGGCGCTATCTTCTGCGGGTGTGAATGATGAAGCGGGAGTATCGGAGGGCTCCGAACTGCTATTCTCAGTCTTGGGCTGTTCCTCTTGAGACTTTGTTGCCTCTTCTTGCGAAATGACATCTTTCTCCGTGCCTTCTTGCTTAGTACCATCGCTCTCGTCACTGTCATTGATTGCAACAGCTCCAACCTCAGCAGCCAAGCGCTCGACTTCATCTTGAACCGCCTCCTTCTCTCTGCCACTGTTTTGTCTGTCTGCCTCCTCGTCGCCCACGGTCTCTCTCCACAGCGCCTCAAGCTCGTCGCGCCAGCCGAGCTCATCAGCAAACTTGCGGATACCGGCGTCGCAGTCGCCCAGCTGGATCACATCATCGGATCTGCTGCCAAGTTGGCCCACCTGCTCCATGTTGAAGAGCACACGAGGCTTCCCCTCTTGCGCCATACCTGGCAAAGCAGCGAAGGGGTAGACACTCAGACTAGTGCCGACAATCAAGACCAGATCTGCCATTGCGACTTGGAAAGTATTATTGTCGAATGCTTTAGGTAGAGGTTCTCCAAAGAAGACAATGTCAGGCTTGACAAGTCCGTTGCAACCTTCCTTGTCGCAATGAGGTACCTTGCCTCCAAAAACGTGCTTCTCCATCTTATCCTGGGGGTATTCCTCCTTGCATTCGATGCAGCGCTGCTTTGCGAAGCTTCCATGGGCCTCAATTATCTTGTCCGAGGGCACTCCTGCTACGCGCTCAAGGCAATCGATGTTCTGGGTGAAGAGCATCTGGAGAAGGCCCTTGCGGGCGAGAAGAGCGATGAAGGCATGCGAAACGGTCGGGTGGAACTTTCCGGGATACAATTCGTTTGCTAATACGTAGAATGGCTCGGGATGCTCGCGAAAGTAGGAGATATCGAAGACGGCTTCAGCGTAGGGCAGATTGAGACGGGCAAGATTGGCATAGAGACCAGTTCCAGGCGATCGAAAGTCGGGGACTAACACCGTAATCAGATACAGTTTAGAATATTTGACATTCTATTAACTTACTACCAGCAGCAGTCGAGATACCAGCGCCAGTCAGAACCACAATACGCTTGCTGCGACCCGACTTGATGTAGTCCGCGACAGCGGCCAAGCTCCGCTCACTGAGGGTTGCGGGCGGGCCGCCGTAGCTCATGGAGGACTCTTCCTGGCCCATTTTGCGGGATAGCCAACGAGGGACACGTGGTCCAGGCTTATTCTTATTTTTGCGTCTGCGACCTATTTTGGCGACGGTAAAAGTAAAAGCTTTGTACTTTTACAGTGCTGATGGCGCATGCAGATTCAGATTGGGAATTGAAATGCGAAATGTAGTGGGATTCAAGCCTCAAGGTGGGGGGATATCAGATTTACATCATTTTTCACTTTGACTCTTATCGATAAGGATGACTGTAAGTGATTCACCCATCAGGCAACTACAAACAGCTTGACAACGTCAATTTGAGTTACCTACAGTAAACAACAAGGTTAATATATACCACGTCGTCAACTTTCAACACAGCCTCTCCAGTGAAGTAAAAAACACGTTCTGAAAATGGTTGGGCAACATCATAACTGAGTCATCACTGGGGACAGCCCTAGATACCCAGAGGCCAGTAATCGAAGTAGAAATTCCAACAATGCAATTCAAATCATATACCTCCCTCATGGCAAAAGCCTTGTCAAAGGTCTATAAGCGAAAGTGATTCAGTAACGAGTCAGCCAACCCGCCCGCTCCCATCCAAGCTTAATCCAGTCCAGTCCAGCCAGTCCTGTACGTCAACGCCTAGCAATGCCAAAATACCCCGACGCCCTTTTCCTTCTCTCAATATGACCCATTAGCGTCCACGTTCCTAGTTGTGGCGTTCTCGTGCCGCAGCGAATTGCTCCTCCTGTAGTCGAGCAAGCTCTTCCATGGACATGCCGCTCTTGGCAAATTTATCTGCCTTCTTCTCTCGACCCTGGAAACAGTTAGCGATGGCCGCAAATGTATAGTCATCAGAGGAGCATACCTTTTGAACTTCCTTATGCTCGGCTGCTGCCTCGAGAACGGCAGGAACCATATCGGTGAAGCCTAGTTGTTCCAGGGCCTTGGTAATGTGATCACAGGCGATGGTCTTCTTTGCCTCTTTCTCTGAGATTTCGTTTGCCTCTGATGAGATAAGAGTGATAAACTCGACGCAACATTCTATGAGCAGGTCACGAGCTTCTTTGGCAAAGGCCACTCCTGCTGATGGGGGAAGGATTTCCGACACGATCTTTTGGACAGTAGCTGGAGTGGTGTTAGCTTGAGACTGAGGTATAGGGGGCATTTGCGAACATACCTTTGGGGAGCGACAAGTCGTCGTTGCCTGTAAGAAGATTGTTAGCAAAGACTCTGGACAAAAAATGAGAAGCAGACCCAGTGTCCCGTTGTCAAACTTGTTCCAATACTTGGTCGATGCTGGCACAGGCATGATGAAATCAGAGTGAGAGGAAGATATGAGGAGGGTGTAGTGTATTCAATGTTGAATATGATGGTTGGGATGAAGATGGGGATATGGGGGTAAGTCGCTCAGTCTTCATGAGTATGGATGATGTGATGAAATGGTTTGAAGGGAAGAGGTGAACGGATCCAAGTCTCCTTTTTAACCAGAAGAATGTGAAGAATTCTGAATCACAGAATGGTATCTCAGAGCAGTGAATCATGGTGGTGATGCTCATCACGGCTCAGATGTGTATAAGATGAAACAAGTTGTGCAAACAGGAAGCAAATAAACAAATAAATAGAAAGAACCAAGGTCAAATCTTACCTCCGAACTCGTGGTCAGACATATTTTTCAACAAAAACTAAAATCTGTGAATCGATGGTTGTTGAATGTGTTTGCTGGAAACCGTTTATGCGACTATACACCAAGACGACGCGGTTGGGTGCCAGTGACTTGCAGGGTTGCAACGCGATAATGGGTATTGATCAAAGAAAAAGAATTCGAACAAAAGGTGACTTGAAAGAATAAAATTGTCCCGTGATGTCTCTTTCGGTCAAAGAAGTGTGTTGTTTGCTTGTGCTGTGCTGTGTTTTTGTCGTAGGTCTTCCCTCTATATATCGTAGATGAGCTTCAAAAACGTACGGGCAATGAACGGACCTCAGGCTGAAGGAGACGGATGGTTACTCAGGCCCATGAGTGGTGGGGCAAGCCTCTTTTGTATCTGAGAAGCTGCTCTGCTTTGCTTTCGCGCTTGTAGCTAAAACGACCCCACCTGCACCTTCTCAGTGGAATGGAAAGCCTGGCACAAACCATCACCAGGCAGCATCACAGCGGGCACCCCTAGGCACCCTAGGCACCTACCTCTCTAAGCACCCACCAGTATGGAAACAGAAGCCTCAGGTCCCAAGGCCAGTCTAAGTGCTCCGTAGTGGAGGCTCAACAGCCACACGGGGCGCGTCTTTTTCAACGCACGGACCAACCATGCACGTCTATTTCAGAACTTCCATCTTTTTGAAAATTTCCATCTCTTGTTCCTTCTTCATCAACACTTTCTCTCTCTCCTCTTCCCTATTCCCCCACCCAAGCATGCCAACAAGCTCAGATTGAGCTATGGCTTTGCTATGCTAAATGGCGGCGTCTATTGCGCCTTGCCAAATTGCCTGCTATACCTCGAAAGCACTCGCTTTTCGCGATGCTTTCAACCCGAGTGCAGCCGCCAGTTCACTGGGTAAGTTTTTCACTTTTCTCTCTACACCTGATCGCATGAGGAGATATGTTGTCGCCCCAGGCTTAGGAGGTCCGACAAGCCTCCTGTGCTGATTGACTTCGTCCTGTGCCAAATGGACAAGAACTGATCGATCATGATCCTCTTCATTTTAATCGTTGAGTACTTCGACTTGACCAGTCGCTAACAAAGTCAAAGTCTAGGCTGCACTTCTACCTATGCTGTAAGACTCCCTTCAGCACACTGCCCTCCTTCGATACGCCGTGATGCACTTTGCTATCTGGTACTATCAAATACCGACTCTCATGACGGATAAAAACGATAGCCTGAGCACATTCGACTGCACGCTTGTTTTGGACAACATGTTGGAACAACGAACTAACATGCGGCAAAGCAGCTGCTTCGGATATCGGGTCTAGATCATGATTACTGTCGCATGCGACAACTGAGCATCAGGTAAGAACATATTTTACTTTTTTATTCGCAAAACCAAATGCTATGATGAAGAACCTTACATTCCATGCTAAATCCGAAACTCTATGTGGAGCAAACGTATTTTTCATCTTTCGACTGACTTGCATTTGTCTTTCTACTTTTTGTCTATCTGCATCATTGTAAAGACATGAGCTAACATTGCTTGAGATATACAGGTGTTTCGTGTTCCCAGCGCTGCCAAGGTCTACTCTATTCCTGGTACGCCTCAACCTCTGGTGAGTTCCATCTGCATAACCGTTAGTTCTTGATTCCACAGCATGTCGTGAAACGTACGAGAAGAATTTTCCGCTCAGCTCCTTGAGCGGGTCTGCAACAAATCGGGCCATGACATGTCCCGGTTGTTCGGGCTTGAGCAGGATGCCCTTCTCCTTGGCGTCGACAAATGAGTCGTACTGCGCCTTGTTCATAGATTCCTTGCCTCCTGATCTGATAACTCCTTGCATCTCAGTGTCGACTCGACCTGGTGCAATGGCAACACTTGTGATATCTGGCTCTTCAATTGCGATGTGACCCGAGATAGAGTTGTAGGCAGCCTTGGATGAACCGTAGCTTGACCATCCAGCATACTGCTTTGTTGCTGCTCCTGATGACACCCACACGATGCATCCCTTGGACTTTCGTAGTTCTTGGATTACAGCTTGGGCCTAATGTTGTCAGTGTAGTACACAAGTGCGTGAGGCTAGGTATTCATACCAAGGCAATGCCACTGAAGACGTTGATGTCATAAACCTTCTTCCACTCTTCCAGGCTTGTGTCTGCGAACTTGTTGGGCACCAGCATGCCATGGTTAACAACAAGACCGTCCACCTTGCCAAAGGAGGATACAGCAAGGTCTACCAACTTTGTAGGCATCTAAGCAAGCATTAGTTCTGGGCTTACAGACCGATGATTGGGATATGTACTTGAGGCTCAACGATATCACCAGCAATGAATTGAACCTGCTCAGGATGCGATTTCTTCAATCCCTCCAAAGGCTCAGTAGATCGTGCTGTGATAACAACCTTGTGGGATTGGTTGACAAGGTAGCGAGCAATGGCAGCGCCAATGCCCTTGCTGGCGCCTGTAACAATGAATACTTTGGAAGCCATGGTCAGATTATAATGTTTTTGGTGAAGTTGAAGATCAGGAATGAGACCGTAGCTTGGCAGCTTTTCACTGAAGCTTCGACCAGAGTGGGGGTTTTGGAGGGGTCAATTTTTGGAGCTTCAATTTTGTCTACCCTGAATCCGTGTCCCTCACGTCATCGGTTGCTTTGTTGGTAATCGCCTCCCATCAGCTGAGATCCTTTGTCGATACCTAGATGATACATCCTATTTAATTCATAATACTTATTTCCGATGGCTTCGACGGTGATTGTTGGCGGTGGCATCATAGGTATTGCAACGGCATATTATTTGTCCCAACATCAACCAGGTTCGACAATCCACCTTGTTGACTCATCTTCCGAGCTGTTCGCCTCTGCCTCAGGATACGCTGGAGGCTTTCTCGCCAGGGACTGGTTTCACGAGGATCTTGCGTCTTTGGGAGCTCTTAGCTTTGATGAGCATGAGAAGTTGGCGGAGCAGTATGATGGGCGTGAGAAGTGGCTGTACGCCAAATCAGTTACTGTGAATTATGAGCTACCGAGGAAGAAGCCCAAGGGTTACGGAGGAAAAGATTGGTTATGTGAAGGCGGAAGTCGTGCGGATCTAGTAGATGAGAAGGGACAGGTGAAGGATAGGAATAGTCCGCCCTGGCTGAAGCGTGTGAAGGGTGATGTTCTTAGCCTGGTTGATGAAGGTGAAGGAACCGCCGTTCTGTAAGTGATTGAACTTGTGAAGGGTACATGTCACTAACGACAGACGAATCTAGTGACCCTCTGAAACTATGCCAATTTCTCCTTGAAAAGTGTAAGGAGGCAGGCGTTCGGATATACCAACCTGCTATTGTACGATTTGTAGGCGCAGACTGCCACGATGAGCTATCATATGTCCGCATTGGCTATACAGACTGTTCTTCAGAAACGAATATTCCAGCTACTCGTATACTGGTCTGCGCTGGGGCCTGGACACCAAATGTTCTGGAATCTATGTTCCCAGGGTCTCACATCAACATACCAGTCATGAGCCTCGCAGGCCACTCACTCGTGGTGCAAAATCCCCAAGATATAGGCGACACGTTCCATTCAGTATACACCACCATGGATACATTCTCACCCGAGATCTACGCTCGACCAAACGGACACATTTGGCTCGGCGGCGTGAACGCATCAATACGCCTACCGCCATTAGCGACGGGCGCAAAGCCTATAGACTCATCCCTCGATAAGTTAAAGGACCTGGCGAAGCAGATAATCGAGACTGAAGGCGAAGAGCTGAAGATATTACGCACGGGACTGTGCTTTCGACCTGTCTCGGAGAGGGGGACGCCTTATATCACGAGGATAGAGGATTTCGATCTACGGCAGGGCTATAGTACGCGAAAAGGGAAGGATGGTGGTGTTTATGTTGCTACAGGCCATGGGCCATGGGGAATTAGTTTGTCGTTGGGGACGGGGAAAGCTATGGCTGAGATGATGCAGGGGAGGGAGTTGAGCGCCGATATAAGTGAGTTGGGGTACAATCCGTATTGATTTTGGCGACTTCAACATTGGATTATGATCATATATGGCGTTTGGATGAGCAATGGATAGAAACAATGAATTGGTGAATTATTGGATGAGTCGATCACGAAGCTTCTTAATATCCTCGCTCCCAGCTCTGCAGCATCCACCAACCAGAATAGTAGGCCACTTTCCTCGGCTCTCTGTAGCTTTAACAACATCTTCGACCTGTCCCTCCCATGAGGAGCGTCTCTGAGTATCGACGCCATTAGGCACCTCCCACTTTTGCGTAGTCGTGTTATACACTTCTCCATTTGTGCCATCGGGATACAGCACTAGGGCAGGCCACTCAGCAATCTTGCCCTTTTCCACCATGCCCGAAACGGTGCGCTCGAAGATCTGAAGTAAGCTGTCCAGCTTGTCGACCTTGGTGCAGTTGATACCGATGCCCCAGGGTAGGTTGGGAGAGACCTCGGGGTCAAGCATGGCTTCGACAGCGGCCTCGATGGAGTTGCCGTCGGGCATGCGAAGGTCCTTCTCAGGAGAGAGGAGGGCGGTCCAGTATGGTATTTTGAATAGTGTCGGTGTTGCAGCAAGAGCTTTGCGCATGGCGATGATCTCGTCTAGACGAGGGATGGTCTCAAGCGCAACATAACCCAGTCGCTCTTGGATCTTGGGAACCTCGGCAAACACTCCCAAGCGCTCAGTATGCCATGATTCCAAATCTTCCAGAGAATCATGCTTATCATCGTACTTCCCGCTGTACTCCTGTCCAGGAATCATACAAGCGCCATAGGGTCCAATGCTCAAAGCCACAGAACCCTTATCCCCGACAGCACGCTCGGCGATGCTAACAGAGTCATCCAAGAACCGCGGAACATTCTCACGAGAAATACCCTCAGGGAAGTCCTCAGTTCGCGTACCAGCGAAACCGTGCAGTGAGACCTGGTATGTCGCTGTGAGGAGCACGTCAACTGGGACAGCGCCGAAGTCGGCCTGGCATGATTGAAGAGTGGGCTGGTCTGCCACGAGTAGATGAGATGACCAGAGAGGAGTTGAGCGGGAGAAAGTAACTGAGTATTTAGACTCAAGGGACGTGCCCAGGCCGCCGTCAAGAATGAGGATTTTAGAAGGCATTTTGGGTTGTAGTTTGTGGTTGTGGTTGAAGTTTTTGCCCCTCCGATGAGAAAACTAATTCTAATTCATGATAGGATAGTGGATATTTAAGACAATTGATCACCTCGGGAATATGCATCATTTAGGTGGCTTATGATACAATTTCTAAGAATAAAGAAGATACATGATTTTAGGTAATAGTTTTTGTTAGTATCCTAGTTGGCTCATCAAGTCAACCCTGACTGTGTATATGGTGGTGATGCTTATTCTGAGCTCAATTAACCAGAACCGAGTGTAAAGAGATACCCATACTAAACTATTAACAATTATAATTATGCCACACCCAAAAAAGATATTATTGATGTTATGTTTTGTGTATTAGGGTGATGACTGTCACTTTTTAGATTTTGTGGTGGCTTGACTGTACCTACATATAGCCAGGGAAGATGAGAACAAGAGCGAAATACTGTTCTTGAACAGTCACCTTGTTCGAGTATAGAACAACAGGTCTTTAAGGTATAAAATTCAAGAACACTGCCTGACATAACAGGTGTTCGATGTTTCAACTAGAACACTCAACTGTTCAGAGAACACCGAATTGTTCAGACAAAGGAACAAAGAATCGAACACTCGAACACCCGACCCAAGCCATTGTTCTATCCACATGTTCAACAGAACACAGTCCGTATTCGCGAGAACATATCTTGTTCAGCCAGCGAAACTATGGTTACACAAAAGAATCGTCGTATAAATACGTTGAAATCCGCAAGATGGTTGGCTATATCAGAATCACAGGTCTTCCTCCCTCCAGCCCAAACTTGTGCTATCCAACATCCTTCAACCTCTGCACTCATTCTTGATACCATTCAATCTGTTATTCATCATGTTCACCGAACGACCACGTTTGAATTCGCACAGGACACTCACCGTCCAACGTGTTGAAGACAATGGAATGGGTCCAACCCCTCAGTCCAACTTGGGTCCAACGCCCATCCGCAGCTTGAAAAGGAAGCAGAACTTTCACCATAAGAAGCCGTCCTTCCGCAGCGACGAGGAACCTTGTGTTGAAGACGTGGGGGATCTTCAGATCCAAGATGATCGACCTACCTTTGAGATTCGAACACGAGATAAGTCTGATCTTGAGGAAGGTGAACCTGACCTTGAGGTCAGACTCACCTCTAGCTATAAGGACGATGAGTCTGGCCTTGGAGACGATAAAACTGTCCTTGAAGACGATGAGTCTGACCTTGAGGAATTTCCCATACGAAACAACGCCTTTGCAAACCCATCTCGCTTCGACTATGTGGAACTCACCATTCTAATGTTCGATTCGTGGGAATCGTACGGTCCTAGTAGATGGGCCCTCCTGGTCGAAGACCATTACTTAAACGTAGAAGATTGCTACCAGCTCTTAGAGGGGCCAACCAAACGAAACCCCGGTAAACCTTATGAGTTTCGCTATGAACCTGGTAAACTTGGCTCCTTTCGAAAACCCGATAGACGCCATCACATCACCTGGATTCGGCGGGACGATAGGCGTAAAGTCTACCATGCGGCTAAAGAGGTAAACCATAAGCACAAGTTTTCTCAACGGTGGGTTATCGAGATAATCTGGAACCTGGAGGAGCAAAGAGTTGTCGTTCCAGGTAAAGGCCACGAGCTCCGGGTGCTCGAACAAAAATACGTGCTCCCTAAAGAGAAGGTTGATAATATGCTGTTAGTGATTGAACAAGAAACGGCCAGATCTATTCCTCAGAAATTGAGTGATTGGGTTCGTGGACGGCCTGGCGCGGTATTGAAGACACGCGAACGGGTAAACTGTAAGATGGTCGAGCTGGTGATATTCCTTGACCCTGAGCATAAGTACCGGCTCAAGCTCCAGAATCAGACCGATTCAAAGGAGGACTATTACGCTCGTCTCCGTAACGAAACCGTGCAGTTTTTTAGGAGGGCCGATCCCTTCGGTTGGTTCACTGACGGTCACGAACCAATCTCTTTCGTATGTGAGATGGGTTGTCCGCGTAGTCTTGGTTATGGAAACTTGTACTTTTCTTTCGCCGGTTTGGAGGTTCGAGTCTCGACGCGCTGGTTGCCAAGGACATAACCTCGATGAGAACTTGAGATTCTAAAATTGGATCATGGGTCAGAGCGCTAGGTATTTATACGTTTTTCCTAACGTCGGGAGTTTGTAGTGTTCGCGTTCTGAGAAGTTATCTAGATTGTACGTAGACGAATGAACCTGGTGTTCTCATGAACTCAACTCAACATTGAATGTTCTGTGACTTATGACTTGTGAATGACAGCAGATAAATTCACTGTCCGGTGTCTGCTCATAAGTCATGAGTAGATGAGGTGGTTCCGATGACAACAAAGGAATTAGAGGAGGGAGGTGTATGAGGAATGGAGGCACTGCAGATCATGGCTTGGTGGTTTACCATCCCTCCTACACCTACCTATTCAGCAATTGATCGTGTGCCTCCATCAACATATATTTCATACAGTAGCGATAAGAACAAAAACTAAAATCAAAAACGGTTAATTGGGAATGCTCTTTACTTTGACTTGTTCATTTCCTGGCCCTGTAAACAAGCTGATGACAGAGACAAAGATCTCAATCAATGGTCGATCGCCAGATAAGCTCAATCGAGCTTCAGCTCTTTTTTAACTTCAGCCAATTACATGCCCTGGACGCGTTGCACTGGCGTCGCTGCTCAACTGTAACTGGTGCGATTACAGGACAAGCTCATTTAAGGTTGGCGTACGTCAGTAGCTGAAACAGGGCCTCAGCTTGTGATGAAGCTCCCTAAATATGGGGGAGCTCCATCCCGTCATCAGCGGTAACGGTTCCTACCAATCTCACCTCTACAACACAACAAAGAACCATGATGGACTTTTCAGACTTTGAAATCATTGACCCAATTGCCGAGTTTGGCCCTGAGAGCAGCGACGAGGAAGATGCCCCTCAGCCTTCTCTACCCCATCTTCAAGGCGGTCATCCTCCGTGGCAGGGTCATGAGGGTAAGCTAGTTGGTGTTGTTGACATGGGAAGGTGAGACTATTCATCGCACTGTCGCGTGAGAAGTCAGACTGACAGAGATTGCGACCATTAGCAATGGCATCCGATTGTCCATCTCCGACCTTTCGAAGCCATTGGCTCGTATGCTTCCGACCGTGTATCAGTACCGCGCGTCCATCTCGTTGTACGACTCGCAGTATGATCCCGAGACGGGAGACCAGATTCCCATTCCCGACGACATTATCGAAGCCGTCGTCTCAGTCCTGAGCAGATTTGTTGTTATCTGTGATGACTTTGGTTGTAACAAGGACAGTATTCATGTTATCGCGACCGAAGCTACGCGCGCGGCAGTCAACTCTAAGCAATTCTTGGCTGCCATCAAGGACAAGACTGGCCTGACGGTTGAGCTCCTGCCCAAGGAGGAGGAAGGACAGATTGGCGCTCTCGGTATCGCTAGTGGGTTTTCCTCCATGGAGGGTCTTGTCATGGACCTGGGAGGTGGCAGCACTCAGATTACCTGGATGCTCAGCTCTGGCGGTCAAGTCCGCATCAGTCCCAAGGGAAGCTTCAGTTTCCCATACGGAGCCGCTGCATTGACCAAGAAGCTCCATGATCTCCGACAGGACAAGAAGAAAGAAGAAGCTGATGCCGCTGTCAAGGCATTTGAGCAGGAGATGATTTCCAACTTCAAGGATGCATACCACAACCTTCAAATCCCCGAGGAGATGGTCGAGAAGGCCAAGAAAGAGGGCGGATACCGTATCTACCTCTCTGGAGGTGGATTCAGAGGATGGGGATATCTGCTTCTGTATCTTAACCAGACGGATGGCAGCTATTACCCCATCTCCATCATCAATGGCTACACGGCCAAGCGCAAGCAGTTTGAGGATACCGAGGCTCTCAAGCATGTCGCTCATGCTGCCAAGGACATCTTCCGCGTCTCTGATCGCAGACGATCTCAGGTCCCGGCCGTTGCCTTCCTCGTCAATGTCCTCTCTGAGTCCATTCCTGGAGGTATCAGAGAAGCCCACTTCTGCCAGGGTGGTGTGCGAGAGGGATTCTTGTTCCGACAGCTGCCACCATCCATTCGTGCGCTTTCACCCTTGGAGGTGGCCACTGGCTACTTTGCGCCAGGCTCTCGACATCTGATCCAGCAGTTGCTCAAGAGCGCAATTCCGAAGCCCGGTAAGAAGAAGGAGTTTCCGGAGGAGTTTGAAGAACCTGTCGTGGATTCGTTTGCCAATGCGATGTACCTCCACATGTTCATGTCAAAGGAAACCGCTTCGACGACTGCGCTGTACTCCACCAGTGTCGGTAACATGTCCGCGATTCATGGTGTATCGCACCAGGACCGAGCCAGGCTGGCCTTGATGCTTGAATCCAGATACGGTGGTGAGCTTCCTCCTCGCGAGTTGGAGTTCCGCGAATCTCTCCGTGAGATGCTCACGCCCGAAGAAGTCTGGTGGGCATCTTACCTCGGCAGAGTAGGACAGCTCATCACAGCGCTCTACCCAGCAGGCAAGATCCACCGATCGAAGCCGCGTGTGGTGTTCACTGCACAGTGGTCTTACACCCTGGGCAAGAAGAAGAACAAGGAGGGTCTCCTGCTCACCATTTCGGTACAGAAGACCAAGAATGATCCTGCTCGCACAAAAGAGACGGTTGAAGAGGCGGCTAGTGACGTGGAAAAGATTGGAAAGAAGAAGAATTGGATTGGTGATGATGAGCCTTGGGGAATGAAGGTTAAGGTTAAGGTTGTTGAGGAGGGGATCCTTTCTGAGGAAATTGACGAGTAAAATGGAATATTGCGATGGGTAAATCTTGGAAATTGTTATGGCATGACTGGAAGGAAAAGAATGTATGTTTACTGATTGGCATGAATTTGAGTTCTTCCTTCGACAATACCTGTTGTGCCCAGTGACCAATGCTCTACCTCAGTAGCCAAAGCAAGCGTCGTGGAAGACATCGAAGAGCCTGGACTGCCTTCATTTACGACTTTGTAGTCAAATTGATCTGAAGTTACTGTAAAATAGGATTATTTCGTCGCGGTACATACGCCCTAGTCGCAGACAGCGCAGCATGGCTTCTTTGCGATGCTTGTTGTCTTTGGACGCACCGCATAGTCCCTTCAGCCGATCAGCCGCGCACTCGAGAGTCTCGAGGGATAAGAAAGTCGTAAGTGCGCGCTTCATGCCGACGCGATTTGTGTTTGGGGGAGGTTGCTGAGGGTTGAAGATGTCGTGTTAGTAGGAACAAGAGGAAGAGGATCCACTATCATGAAGTTTGGAGGGTGGTTTCATCTCACGTCCATTAGTAGGGGACCAGGGTTCAAAAGTGTGTATGGTCAGTTATTCTGTACAAGATGCTGTGTGTACCATGAGGCTGTCTATCTTAAGCTCATCACCTAACTCAATCAAGCCTCTACATCCCCATTGTACTCTCATCCATCCGCCCTCTCCAAGTACTAGCCCGTTGCTTGTTGAAGTGGTCATCGTCTTGACTATTCTCCCGGGCCTGTCGGAAATGGTCAGCGGGTGTTTATAGAACCCGAGTGAGGAACTACACCTTCTTTCTTAAGCCTTACAAGCGGCGATACTCATCAGAGTTGTCCTCCAAGTACTTGTTGAAGATTCTTTGAGCGTCTGCGCCTAAAGGGCAGATGAGCCCATCGTCATCGGTCGATCCCATAGGGTTCTTTTCATCATCCAAAAAGTATCTGTTTGGTGGATGCCTACTTGCTGCTGTTACGAATTTCTTTGTCGATAGCCCGTTAATTAGAAGAGGCAACAGTGAGCATTATCTGCTAGCAAAGGGCTGACCTCCTACGTGAAGGACATCTCCACAAGTGAACTTGTCTCTATCTTTAAATCACTATTCACACTTGCTATCTCTATTAATAATATTGGGTATATACTCCATTTTAAAGCTCGATACCACTCTCATCCTTTGGGGGATCGATCTTCCTAATCTTTCTATATCCCTCTCTCATCTCCGTCTTCGTAAACCTAGTCGAATGCAGATAATAAACAACAAACCATTGGTATAAGCAAAACAAACTGCAAACATTAGTCACTAGACCATCCACGGGTTCAAAAACGACTTACAATGCACAAACTCCAAAGCAACCACAAGCAATAGCAAGGTTATCCAACATGGCTATCGCACCTGTGGAAACCTCTCCAACAAAGCCCGTCCTTCGTTTTCCATGCTGTGATTCTTCATAGGCCTTGATATCCTCTCTCATGACAAACATGACGACAAGAGCGGATAGCCACATTGCGGATGAGACAGCCAATATCAAGCTGTACCACATTGGCGGTCTTGGGTTTGTCAGACCTTGTGGGCTGACTGGTATCTTGGCAGCAAAGAAGTGAAGAGCTCCCTGCAACTGTCAGTCATGATGAGTTCCAATGTTGAATATCGTAACTTACCACTGCAAGATTATATGCTGAAGCAGCTAATAGACCTTGACCAGGCTCTTTCGAGATTATACCTGCCGAAAGTCCGATAACCGCACAAGCAGCGATCCATCTCCCAATATCAGCCTTGAAAGCATCATTGTAGAGTTTCTTGACGGGATTTGTTTCCTTTTCTTTGCCGAGTATATCTCGGAATATCTCGCCTAGCGGCATAGGACATATTGGACTTGACATGTTGAACGCCTTGATTTGTTTGGTGTTTTTTTGGGGGTCAATAAGGGATGTGTTTTGTCAGATATTAAGTTATGGTCTGACTGAGTTAGATGAGCTGTGTGGTCTTGGCAGTATGACGATGGCCAAGACAGGGATAATAAGCACAGCCACTGTAAACAGGCTATGTATGAATCCTTTGTTTTTGTAATTCTCATGTTATTGGTTTAAGAGTTGATATAAATCGGGCCTTCGCGCCATGATCCCTTGAGTTTTGATGAACGCGGAATGTGACTTTGGACAATGACATGCTTGGCAATCCGCTCTGATCGCTCGCGTATTGTTCCTAATTTATTTGGTCCCTGGATCAACTTTGCAGTTGTCGACATTCCGACGAGACTTACATTGTAATTTCTTATCGCACGGAATTTCCAATTTCAGATGAGACCGAAGCAGTTGTTGGTTGTCGATACGATCCAGCCGATATAGAATGCTGACCTGTTGAAATCCGATCGTTGAAGTCACTAAGATAATAAGCATGAAATAGGCAATGATTAAAATTTTCTCAGTAGATTACATCGAGAAAGACTGGCAGTAATTTCTCTTGATATTCTTTGTTCCTTGACTTGTGACCAAGTCCCAGTCTTACGATGATATCTAGACGAACAGCGTAGTTTATCAAGATATTGTGATAGACCAGCCCGTAGTACGAATAAACACTTCTTTCAGAATGTTTGGCCGTCCATACTAAGGTCGACGTCAGTGTATATCGTCGTTGAAAATCAAATACGTATCCAAGGCGCGCTCACACTTGGAACAACAGGAATGTTCCCCAGATTCAGCCCCAAACCCACCCAGAACTAACGGAAATATTCCCGAAACCCTGATCGTCTCCTCGAACATTTTACCTAAACGGGAAAACCCTGCGCCTGAACAACCCATGTTCAGCTGAGCTCCCAAGGCTGAAAATCAACCAACTACGTTACGTTAGTGCTTATCTTGCTGCAGATTGACGACGGCCCGCGGGTTATTTTTCCTGTCTAACCGTTTGCTTACGAGGCTCATGCACAACTTTGAGGTATGATGGGCGCTTATTGGTGTTTCGTAAGGAGATGGCAGGCACTTGGAAGATAAGCCACTGACAGAATGACAGGTACTCTTATCTAGACGACATCTGGTGAGTTACAGTGCAGCAGAGTGGTAATCAAAACGAGGATATCCTTGATAGCTGTTTGAGTTGATTTTCACACAGCCCTGTTCATTGCGTATTGGTTTCTTATACATATTCTTATTTTACTTGCCTCTTGTTATATAAGACCTCCCTACCTCTTTCTACAATACAGACATATCAAATATCCCATATTATTCCCTCTTAGACAAAAATCTACTTTCACATATACTCAACATGGGCGACAAAAACGATACCTTCGTACCAAACTACGACAACTGCGACGAAATCTCAGACAAATGCCCCGTCGAATACACAATCTATGGTGAATACCTCTCCGATGGTGCAGCGGCCTTCTTCGCCGTAGCATTCGCCCTCCTCCTTATAGCCCAGATCTTCCAAGGCTTCAAGGCCAGAACATGGTCGTACATGATATGGCTCGGCATAGGAACCATTCTTGAAATCCTCGGCCATATCGGACGTTTCGGTCTAGCAAAGGATCCATGGAGCCAGAACCTCTTCATTGTCTCGTATATCACACTCCTTCTCGCGCCGACGCTTGTTGCTGCTGCTATATCCGTCACGTTCAAACACATTGTTATATGGTACGGAGCCAAGTGGTCACTCATCAAGCCAAGACTGTACCCTCTTGTATTCGTTGGTACAGACTTCATTTCGATTTTTATACAGGTTATTGGCGGTGGACTGACGGCTCTGGAAACTGTTGGCAAGGGAAATGAGACAACCAACAAGTTGGGAGAGATTCTTGTTATAGGAGGAGTTTCTTTCCAGGTTGCTAATATGCTGTGCTGTGGCGCGCTTATGCTTATCTATGCTCGACGTCGAAGCCAGTCGCTGAAGCATAGTGATCCTTTGATGGAGGGTGCTGTTCCTCCCATGTACGCTGGTGCTCCGGCACGTGGTAGGGTCCCTGTTGCACGAGAGGAGGCCACTGTTCAAGAAGCCAAGAAAGCAAGATGGTTTGTGTACTGTCTTGGCTTCTCATATCTTTGCATCATTATTCGGTGCTGCTACCGGTAAAGAATCACCAACCTGCCTGTGTAGATACCAAACTGACTCCTCGGATAGCATCGCAGAGACAATCCCCGCTATCACGAAAGACGTCCTTCGAAATGAACCGCTCTTTCTCGTCTTTGATGCAGCAGCAATGCTCATCTCTATTGGAGCCGTTACTATACTGCATCCTTGCTACTTCTTCCCTTATTTGGGCCTTAAGAAGAGTAAGAAGAGCCAGGGTAAGGTTTACGAGACTTTCCGCATGGAAAATAATGCTGCTTTGATGGGACAACAGCCACAGCAGCAAGGCTATGCTTGAGGTGGATGATCATGGTCCATGGATAGAAGGGGATCTCTCTCGACTCTATATCGGGATGATAGTGTAAGGCCAGGGAAAGTACAGAATGTTATCAGCGAGCGATAATTGATTTTGGTGGGGTTTGGAGTTTCTTATGATCAGTTATCTCTGTCTCTATATGGAGATATGGTAAAGTCCATTGATGGATGTACAATAAATTGGTTTCATGTTGCGTTGATGATCTTGACTCATAGAGCCCGAGTTGTTGGAGTAGCCAGGTCATAATCTATTAGACCATTCTATTAGACCAACGTTTTTAACTTCTAATTCTATGTGACCATTCGATTTGACGATTTTATAGCAATATTACGTTAGCGCCTTCCTTAAGGAAAGATAGTCCAAGCCTTCTGCATTAGCCCAAAACTCTCAACTAATCAACCTCATTCCAGTCACCGGATCATCAAGCCGATGCTACAGTACAGTACATTCTGTTCTCTTATTACTTGCCTGTCGTGGCTTACAAGTTACACCCGATGTCGCACACATTTGTGCGCCCTACAATTACAACAACACGTTTGAGACATTGGAGATATGCAGTCAGCATTGGACTTGGGGTAACTACACAGGGTGTGTCGGGAAGCAGAGGGCGCAAACTTGTTGGCAGTATATATACCGAGGTCTTCTGCTATTATATACTACATGCACTGATACAATCCGGGTTAAGAATCATAGAGCTTCAATGTCCGAAACATCCATCGAGCTCGTTATTCCCAACAGGGCTGTGTCAGACGATACAGCCCAACTGCAAGACACATTCAGCCAAAGCTTGGAATCTCGAGCTACGGATGCTGAGTTCTCGTTGCCGCCTGTTGATGGAGGAAGAAAGGCATATCTCTTCTTGGCTGCGTGTTGGGTTGTTGAAGCGGTAACGTTCGGTAAGTCAATCTATCCTGTCTTCCGAAACACAACCTGACTGAAGTAATGGTAGGATTTGGTTTCTCGTTTGGTGTCTTCCAAGAATACTACAGTCACAATGAACCCTTCGCAGGATCCAGTAATATTGCCGCCATCGGAACTACCACAACCGTAAGACATATCCCTCGATCACAGAACCTCTCTAACCTTATCTAGGGCATGCTCTACCTAGGAGCTCCCTTTGTAGTAATCATATGCCGCTTCTACCCCCGTCAAGCCCGCTGGTTCACCATCATCGGCCTCTTCATAACATCCCTCGCCATGGCAACAAGTTCCTTTTGCACAACAGTGCCCCAACTAATCGCCACTCAAGGAATCCTCTTCGGGATAGGCGGCTGTTTCGCTTATTGTCCCTGCACGCTCTACATCGACGAGTGGTTCGTCCGCAGAAAAGGCTTTGCTTATGGCATTGTCTGGAGCGCCGCTGGAGCTGGTGGTGCTGTGCTTCCTTTAGTCCTTGAAGCCTTGTTGAAGAACTATGGATTTCAAACGACTGTGAGGATTTGCTCCGGGATTCTATTTGGAAGTGCGGCGCCTTTGGCGTATTTTATCAAACCCCGAATTCCGCTTTCGGCTACGATCCATAGAAAGCCTTTGAATATGCGGTTCGTTACGTCGAGGTTGTTCTTGCTGCATCAGTTGGTTAATGTGGTTGAGGCTACAGGGTATTTCCTGCCTACCATCTATTTACCGACTTATGCTCGAACAACATTCGGTACTTCTACTATCCTATCAGCTCTGACAGTTATTCTGGTCAATATTGCTACCACTATCGGTCTTATGGTTATGGGTTCTCTGAGCGATAAGCTTGCAGTCACGACATGCATGCTCATATCAGCAGTCGGAGTAGGCATTTCTGTTCTACTGGTCTGGGGTCTCACAGCCTCTTTGCCGGTTCTTTACGTCTTCTGCGTCATGTACGGTCTTTTCGCAGGGTCTTGGGCTTCCATATGGCCTGGTATCATGAAAGAAGTCACGCAGAAATTTCAAGATCAGAATGAGTATGTTGATCCAGTCATGGTGCATGGTCATCTCTGCGTGGGTAGGGGAGTCGGCAATATCATCTCCGGGCCGCTCAGTGGTTCTCTTATCAGGGGTCAACCGTGGCAGGGGAAGGTTATTGGAGGCTATGGAAGTGGATATGGGATCTTGATCTTGTATACTGGGTTGACGGGTTTGGTGAGTGGGATGAATTTTCTGTGGCGGTATGTCAATGTGCTATGATCTGGAATATCAAACTGTTCTCGGTCGAACTGTTGTAGTCATATCTCTTATCATATCCTGCTAACTAAAAGTTTTGTTTGTATTTGGTATCTATATGTATGGAAGAATGAAGAAGTAAAGTATCCAATGAAGAGCTGTAACCGTGTATATAGTGTACCACAGACTTGAAATTCATCTGCACACCGTAATGTTTCTTTGAAGTCCCCAACCCATATCTGGTTTCTTTCGAACTTTCTAGTTGAGGCTGATGACTTCGACGTTTCGGACCTGGAAGGTGGTTGCTACAAAAGTCAGTATCAAGTAGCTCAGGTTTGAGATAGAACTTACGAGTGGTAGGTCCAGGCGAACCAGAAGATCCCTCGGTTTGATAATTTACAATCCTACCACCTCATTAGTCACTGGTGTCACATATTATCAGCCTCAAACTTACAGACGAAGTCCTGCACCAATGTAATCTCTTCCATACTGCGTTGTCTGTTCAACCCCGTCCAGGAAAAACTTAACCCTTACATCCGCCCCATTCTCATCCCTCAACTCAGCCCTAACAGAGTGCCACTCTTCCGGGTTCGGATAATCTCTATCCAAAGCGGTAACCTCGTCAGAAGTATTAAACGTGTTGAAAGAAATCTTGCCGGAGCCCTTCCATTCGGCAATATCGATCTCGGGCGGCCACCCACTTGCGGCGTTAAGCCAGAAAGCAGGCCATGTTCCTCTATCCACTGGAGCGATGAATTCGGCGCTGATGTCGTACCCACCGCCTGGGGCGACAGTGAAGGTTGATTTGGCGTGGATTGCGCCGGAGAGGTAGTGGATGGGATCTTCTTGGTCGTCTCTTGGTTCAGCAGTTAGAGTTAGGACGCCGTCTGTTACGGAGACGTGTTCTTCATCCATGCGTGCGCCACCATTGTGGGTTGGGCCCCAGGGATAAAGATAGTTCCAGTAAGTTTCAAGAGAATTAAATGAGTCTTTGGGGATGTCTGTTACTGCGCGGGCTTCAATCGGTGGTCGGAGGGCAGAGCATGATACTGCGGCGCATTGAAGCGCAATGAGAAGGCCCTTGGAATGCATTTTCAGTACTGAACAGAAGAATGATCTTTGAAGCTCCGTGAGAACGGTGGCTAATGCTGGATTTAAGTACTGAGGTGTCTACTATATCGCATACGAGATGGTGTGCATGAAACGGGTTTAATGGAACCTCGTCTAGGATCTTGAAACAAGATCGCGTGTTGATCATCCAAACAAAGCGCACGAATAAACAAACGGCATTGATCAATGGCCCGAATGCACAAGTTTGAACCATGTAATTATGACAAGTAGACTTGCCTTTTCGGAGAAATAGGAAGCTGTGAAGCTATAGTATTAAAGGACTATACTCAACATCCTTGACCAGCTTGCTTCTCTTTTAGCATTAGATGAAGATCATGACCTGACCTAGAAAGCCTTGCATTTATCGTCCAAACAGAGCCAGATGGCCATCATATTGACAGAGTCAAAAATCTAGTGACTTAAACTACTGGAATTTCCACTCTCGTCTGACCACAGTTTCTCCAAACCTTCAACAACTTCTTCCACAAAATCTTCCTTGGTTTTCCCTGTGATCTTGCGAATCTTGACCTTGTCTTCATCTCCGTTCGTCTCCCACTCAAGCGGATCCCACCGCGCAGGCTTCACCAAATAGGGAGTCTGGTCAAACAAAGTCAGCATCGGTAGAAAAGGCCCATACGGCCGTTCATGCTTAGCCCGAGCCTCTTCACTAGCGTAGGGGACGGGGTATGCCTCGAAGGGGCAGAATATGGGTAGTCCTTGGGGCCGTCCTAGTCGTTTGACCCAGGCCTCGGCGTGCTTGTTCCATTGACAGATGATAGAGTGTTGGAACGCATAGAGATCCCATGCTGCGAGACTTGCAAACGTCCAGCGAGGTTGATATTTGGAGGGTTCGCCGGATAGTGTTGGGCCGTAGGGATGAGGAGCTGTCTCGGAACAGCTCAAGTCGACAAGTACACCGTTGACATACTGTTCGCTCCGTACGTCTCTCACCACAATTCCGTTCTTGTGAAGCTCGTTAAGATTCTCTATCATCTGTGGGATGTGAAATACCTGGTAGAGTCGATCGTGCACTCGTCGTAGTTTCTCGTCCTCGTGCGGTGCCATGTTAACCCAATCCTTGACAATGCCCATCATGGGTTCTTGAATGTTATGTTGAACACGGTCGTGGAACTGCATCCTAGCTTGGATTGACCCGAACTTCACCTTGACCTGAGTCGATGTGGCACTGACATAGCCATGGGCTCGCACAGCGAGGTGTTGGCAGCCCAGGTCTTGGAGTCTCCCAAACGCTCGACACTCCTTTTCGAATGGTGTGAAGTGCCGTTCAAATGCATCGCAGCAATCCCAGGCGGTTTCTCCATTTGCGGAATAGCATTGGTCGTAGTCGACCTCGGGGGCTTCTTGGGTGATGAACTACCGCACAATTAGAATGTCGAGCCGATTCCCTTCCACGTTCTTCAACTCACCAGCTTGATAGCATATAGACGCTTCCCCGTTGTAGCCTTGATGATTATTCCATGGCTTGTCTTCCGGTCTAGAACCTCGAGGTACTGAAAGTCGTCGCTGAGGATGTCGTGCTCGAAAGGTTGAAGCCCTGGGCCTTCTCCCTCTGGTAGAATTTGGATGGGTTCCATCACTGCCATGATGAAGGCAGTGCAGGGACGAATCCTTGCTCGATTCAATGAAGACCGCGAGTCTTGGACAACAGAGGTCTGAGTGAAAATGTTGAAAGAAGTGATGCGACGTGTTGAAAGTGAACAAAGTCAAAATGCGAAAGTCACATTTTCCGACCTGGCATTCTGTGACAACTCGACAGCATTACACTTTCGTGAAAACCTACGGGAAACACGAATCATTCCCATTGGATTCACACCTCAACCGAGAATCTTACATACCTGGCATATCTAGATCACTACTGCCCAATGACTCCAGAGTCACTGGTATCTCCTCGTTTGAGTTCACTCATGGCGACCTTCAAAGAATACACTGCCAACATTGGACACAGCGTCCACTCAGCCGGCGTAACCTGCACCGTCTCCTTCTGACAACAACACCAAGCTAGCACTTCAAGAGGATATTCAGTGGCGTACTCGAGAATCATAGAACTTACAAAGCAGTTTGTTTCGATGAGACATTCCTTCTTCTAGCGATATCGAACACCGTAAGTCACAATGGCATCTGCATCATTCAGCGCATTACCTTCACTGTCTTGCGTCTTCGACTTCGTTCACGCATGGCATCAGACTTGGCGTTCAGCAAAATGCGATCTCGTTGCAAGACGTGAGGTCTGTTTGCGACCTGACTGTCATCCAATCAGAGCACCGCCTGGTTAGCTCAATCGGTAGAGCGTGAGACTCTTACTAGAGTACACAATCTCAAGGCTGCGGGTTCGACCCCCGCATCGGGCTGTTCCTATACAAATGATACGATTGATCACTTTTTTGCTTTTTGTTATTTGAAAACTCAAGATTGAGCTGGCGCAAGAAGAGAGGCGTTCTGTTTGCGGGTAAGTCACACCACAGGCTCAGACATTCACTCGTCGCTGGGATCGGGTCGGGTCGCGTGTCGTTCATCAATCATGCAGTATTTCATTGAAACTGCAGATGCGCCGGCTCGTAAACGTCCGGTACATAATTACATATAGCCCAAACATGGCTTCACCCCCTCTACCTCACATAACAAACAAGAGGTCGGTGTCTGATTACAATGTTAGTAACCTATTCGGATAGCATCAGGACAAAACTTACCAATAGGGTGACTACTCGAGAGCTGTGGCTTCTGGGTATACTTCTCTTCGAGAATGTCGCGGACACTGTTCAGCAACTCGACGTAGCTCTGCTGAGGGTTCGCCTTGAGTGCTGAAATGAACGCCCACGACATAGCACCAGTAGCCTGCGCGTTGATGGTGGCATCGGCCCTGGGTAATTGTTAGAGAAGTCTAGGAAATTGCTTAGCTTCACTTACGATGTCTGGTCATCCTTGCTTCCGGAGAACATAACAACGTCAGCAGGTGATGTTCGGGTTTGCTTGTTGTACTCATAAACCTCATCGCCGGTCATGGCAGACTTGGCCAACGCGAACACTGAACTAGCAGCTCCGGCAAGATCTCCTCTAGAGTATGCGCTGAAGGCGTCAAAAAGTCCTGATGCAGCTTCCTTGGCCAGGTTTGGTTCCTTGAGAACACCCTTGGTTGAGTAAACGTATGGAAGATCCATGACGGTGGCGGAATGGCATGAGTCAAAGATGGCTGTGAGACGCACACCCTGAGCCAAGGGCTTTACGACGCGAGCATGGATTTCGTCGTCGATGATAGGACCAGCCTGGGCATGGTCAACTGGGTAGATACACTCATCATATCCGTCATCCTCATCACCGTCCAAATCCTCGACTCGGCCACCGTGACCTACACAATAATCGTTAGACAGTACAGTATCTCATGAAACGCGCGCCGACTTACCAGAGTAGTGAAGGAAGAGAGCATCATTGGGTTGGGCGTTTTGGATAAGCCAGCCGAAAGCGCGGATGATGTTTTCGCGAGTGGGAATCATGATCGGGTCTTGCTGGTCATCAGTCAAGATGATCATGTCCTCTCTCTTGTAGTTGTAGCGCTCCACCAAGAAGGCCGAGATGTTGTGTACATCGTTGATACATCCACGCAGCTCGCCTTCTTGGCCAAAATAGTTGATGCCGATGAGAAGCGCCTTGCGACGACCGGTACATCTGGAGTATTGGAAAGTGTAGCCCTCGGGGGCACCGTGGCCGAACTGCTGAGGAACATCGGGGGGAGGTGGTCCGGATCGAGCGTGTTGGGCATGGTGATGTCGACCTTGTGGAAGAGGATAGCCGTACGCATCTAAATGAGGCGGAGGAGGATAATTAGGAGGAGGATATCTTTTGGGGGCTTGGGAAGAGCCTCTGGAAACACTACCATAGTTTGTCGGGGGAGGAGGACCGCCGGGAGGTCCGTAATGTTGCTGAGGAGGACCGTAATGATGCTGAGGAGGTCCAGAAGGAGGACCGTACGAACGCTGCTGCTGGGGAGGAGGTCCAGAATAATATTGCTGGGGGGGAGGATGGCCTGGCGGAGGACCGTATCCATAGCCGCCGCCTCCTCCTCCGTTGTACCCTTGGCCTGGATAGTAGGACATGGTGTTTATCTGGTGAAACTGATGCTCTTGATGTTCTAGAAACTGATCAACGCAGAAAGCAGCAAAACACAAAGAAAGATGATGCAGGAGGGAGCCTGAGAAATCCCAATAACAAGATGCAAAAACGAAACAACAATGGGTCAGCCAAGCAGTGAGAAGCCCATTCTGACCTTGGTTTTCAGCAATGAGCTCTCGTCAGTGCATTTGCGCGGGCGCTAATCACGTCCACGGCTTGGAGATTCCGAGAACTGGCTCTTGGCAAAAGAGACAAATTAATTCAGTCATCTTCGAGCATTCGAATCGGCACTTAGACTGCGTCTATTTTGTCAGCCCAAGCTTACGTCTTGGCCTTGGTGGAGGGGCAGAGCTGGAGGGGCAACAGAAACTCCCCGCCTGAAGACGCGTCCACAGCCTGATTCTCCAGCCTTGAGAGCCCAAAGTCCCCTGAAAATCCCCTAACGGTGAATGTTCTGGAGGCCGCTGGAGGGGAAAGGATGCCAAGGACCTGGACTTTTCTTGGCGCTGCAAGAGCCCCCCCCCCCTCACCGCAGTGTCAGACAGGTGTCAACAACAAAATGAGTCTGTGAATCATTCAGACATGTCACAAGGGAGGGTAATATCGTGAGGCGACGTGAAACCCCCATGATATCTGCATCTCATCACCAACCTCTGCTTCTTTCTTCATGGCAATATCACGGGCGGCCTCTCGCCTTTCAAGACAAGTGACGCGGCAACTTGCTTCCCTTGATCAAACTCAAACAATGCTTATGCGCATCGGCCGTTGATCAGCCTCTCCCTTTCATGAGAAGGACAGCATAATCGCATATCATGACTGCTTGCATCTTTGCTCCGCCACAATAATGTTACAGCAATATCCATGCTCCCGTTCCTCCCTGCCCTATGTCAATGGACATGGCGCGGGTATAGCAGCGCTTGGGAGCCGCCTCGAGGTATCATGAGCGTTTGAGGCGACTGTCAGAAGGAGATTGAGGGAAATCCTCTGCTTCAGTATCCGTAGACTCCACGCTTTGCTGTGGAGCACATGCTTTTCCCCGTCGGCTCCGGGGCATCTCGATGCGCTGTGTAGTGGCAACTGACAGGAATGCTTTTCTATCTGATACTTCAGTCAGTAGGATATTTCACCCCGTGCTGTGACAAGACCAATTTTTTTTTATTCCAAACATGAAGCATGAAGTCCATCGTATCGTCGTAAAACATAAGGCTCGAGCTTGAAGCTATCAACAGTTAGTTGCCTGGTTGAACGTTGGACGCTCCGCCGGACCGGCCCGCAGGGGTCAAAAAGAGGCCCCCCTGATTGGCCACGCCGTAGCATTGGAGTCTAAGTTAGTGGACAGGTCCCTGGGGATTGAGGCTAGGTGTTGAGTGGAGGGGTAAACGCTCTAGCTCATCAATCGTCGCGCGATGGGAGTTGAAGTGCGATGGATATCGTCAACAAATTTGTTCCCGTCGGTACCTGGGGCGCAAGACTGGGGGGGGTCCGTCAGTTCCGTATGTCACTAACAAGGAGCAGCCGGGATCCATTATACGGTGATATTCACTGAGCTCTTTCCCTTCTCAGCAGTGAGACGTTTCCTTCCACCACTCTCATGCACTGTCGGCAGCTGCCAAGAAGTCCTGCCGACTGTTGATAACTGCACGGGTGGCACATACCTGACCCTTTTCTTCCTTAGGCCCTTTCTCCATTATATAAACAGAACCTGGTGTCTCTTCCTCTTGGCTTCCTATTTTCTCATCTACTTCTTTTCTCCTCCCCTCTCGAACCTACAGCGCTTATCAGGCTTCACCCCATCGCGAAGTCATCCATCATGTCTTTCTTCAAGAAGATCACCCAGGAGTTTGAGAACCTCGGGTTCGGTGACAAGAAGAAGGAAGAGGGAGCTCCTCAGCAGGCTCAGGATAGTAAGTTGCGCGTTCGTCCAGCTCCATTGTTTCGTTCATTAACCTTTCAACTCTAGACACCCGTGCCTACGGCGATAACGGATACGGAGCTCCTCCTCAGGGCTACGGCTCTCCTGCTCCTCAAGGCTACGGCGCTCCTCCTCCCCAGGGCTACGCCTCTCCTCCTCCTCAAGGCTACGGAGCTCCTCCCCCTCAGAGCTACGGTGGTTCTCCTCCTCCTCAGGGTTACGGTTCGCCCGCTCCTCAGCAATACGGCTCGCCCGCTCCTCAACAGTCATACGGCGCCCCTCCTCCTCAGCCCGCCTACCAACCTCCTTCCGATCGTCCTCCTCTGCCTCACGGTTGGACTGCCCAGTTCGATCAGAACTCCCAGCGATGGTACTACGTTGAGCAGGCCACCGGCCGCACTCAGTGGGAGGCTCCCCAGGCGCAGCACGCTCCCCCTCCTCCTCCTCCCGATTCTCGTCCTCCCTACGAGTCGCATCCTTCTGATGGAGCTCGTGACTTCGGTGGTGCCCCCGGTGGATATGGTTCTCCCGCTCCCGGTGGCTACGGTGCTCCCTCGCCTTACGGCGCTCCTGGTGCCCCCTCGCCCTATGGTGCTCCAGGCGGTTACGGATCGCCTGCTCCAGGTGGCTATGGATCACCTGCTCCTGGTGGCTACGGTGCTCCCTCTCCTTATGGCGCTCCTGGTGCTCCTTCTCCTTACGGAGCCCCTTCTCCCTACGGCGCTCCTGGTGGACATGACCAATATGGTGCTCCCGGTCAGGAGGGTGAGCGCGGTACCAACCCTTATGGACAGCAAGCTGGAGAAAAGAAGAAGAGCAACTCCGGCATGCTCCTTGGTGCCGCCGGTGGTCTCGCTGCTGGTGCTGTAGGTGGTGCGCTGATCGCCAACGCCTTGAACGACGACAGTGACGAGGAGCGTGAGAAGGAAGCCGCTGCTGCTGCCGCCGCTGCTCCTGCTGCTGAACAACAACCCCAGGTCATCAACAACTACTACGGCGCTCCTCCTGAGGACGACCCCTACGCCCGTGGTGACCCCTACGGTGCTCCTCCTGAGGATGATATGCCCCCTGCAGTTCTGCCTCCTACCGATGCGGACGGTGACTCTGTCTCATCCAGCGACCGAGAAGATGTTGAAGATGCTCGCGCAGACTACGAGGAGGCTCTGCGAGATGCTGCCGATTCAGATGCTGGTAGCAGCGAGGAAGAGGCCCTTGAAGAGGCTCGTGAAGAGTACGAGGAGGCCTACGAGGAGGTGTATGAGGATGAGTAGATGGTTGAAAATGAGCTACGAATAACGACATGTTGCGTCCATTTCTACTGGATTACGTTGAAGCCATAGAGGCACGGAAGGACGGATTTCTTTCACTTGTTGATACCTCAGTAGTACAGTACTAGAACACGTTTCGTATCAATCTTGCCTATCTTGTATGTTCATTGGAGTGTATGTTAAAGAGGTCTACTATGGCTGTAAGTATGTATGTAGCCGCCCTCGCTTATCGACATATGAGCCAAGAACTGCAAGACCCCTCGTTGTTTGTAATCCATGTCATTCGAGTCGACCATGGCGATAACTCGGGATTTAGGGGTCATCTATAGCAGCTGCATAGGAGCTGAAATCATTCGCATACCAAAGACTCACCGCGAACGCATATTGACAGCTGGTGCCTATAGGTCTCTACTTTACTTGCTATTGCTCCATACGAATTACAGATCCAGCTAAAGGGCACACGAGCATGATCATGAGGCAACAGGAATGAGTTGTTCGTCCCCACGCTTGGCATTACACGAGCTAGGTACGTGTGCACCGCCCCTCTTATCTTGGCAGCGCATCGTCGTGATCAATTCCTCAATTCATCCCATGCAAGTATCTTTTTCCAATTAATCAATTGGTCATAAGAATTTGGTCCTTCAACGGGCGCTTGCTTCCTCCCCCGGACCATTCCCGCATGCATGGAGCTTACGCAGCCTCTATACTCGCGCAAATATTTCCACACCCAGCATTAGACGGTGAGAGTAAGAGAACCATGATACACAAGCATAGCTATACGTTGATCATGGCCGGGATACAAGTTCAAGCTTTGTAGAAGCGAAGAATAAGCATTGCGAGGGGAAAGCTTGTTCTTGCTTATGCTTTATGCTTGGATCAAGGTCGTTTGTTTGGTTACGGTGGGAAGCTTGGCGTAGAAGGTCTGGATCGTGAGGATGAATTCATTACGCGTATCCGTATCTGGTATGCCAGTTGTGAGTTAGAAGATTGGAGGGACTTTGATAGAATGCGCTGGATATAATCAGCCGATAAGTTAATTGATTCATGTTTTTTGCCTTGAGGGTATCTATACAGTGCAACGTCGTGATTATGGAATGCCCCGGCGCATCTTTTCAGGCCGTAATCAAGAGTTCGGGGAGGCACCACATACCTAAATAACATCCTCCGGCCTTGGGGTGGGTTAAATTTGCAGTGAAAAAGTCAGCCCTATCAAGTTTAATATGCGCTCAGAGCCGCAGAGCCTCATCTCCGTTGGAGTCTCTACGTGAGCTGATTCCTCTTATATCGCTCTTGAACACTAACGGACTTCCTCGATCCACCCACTCGCGACGTTGTCGGAGTGAAGCACATATTTACCATGTAGCTATTTGTCCATAATTTGAGGTCCTGGCTTATATCTCGTACGATACCTTATTTGGATTGTATTTCATAATGTCCTTGGTCTCAGGGAAGCCATCAATCTCAAATGATAGAGATAGTTACAGTTCGGAGGCTCATTTGAGCCAGAGGCGGAAAAGCTTAAACTAGCCTTTACGAGCCTTTATGGGTAGCCTCATGGCATGTTAAAGTGCAGTTCACCAATAATACAATTCATTATTCATTCTTATTTCTCAGGTTCCTAGGAAAGCGGTTCCTGCAACACAATCAGGGCTCATAAGGACCGTCCGAAAACCTGGCCATCTCAATATGGCCTCTCATCATCATCGCTCTCGGGGTATCTATCACACACGCGTTCTCATCAAATCATCCAGTACTAAGCCTCATTGTTCTTCTCGTCCATACAGATACACAGAGCCGCCATGAGCGCCATGTCAACACCAGGCGCAACCATCAATGCATACGTCTGCTGTCCGAAAAACATGTCGCGACCGCTAAGAATCTTACGGTCGATGCGCGCAATGACAGTATTTGTTGACTTGTCAAAGATATCAGCCGCGTAATCGAACCAATTACCCTTCATCTCCAAGACCTCAGCGGTGCCGTCGCTTGAAGTGAAGGTAGCAGTAGCCTTGGAGCCCATAACTAAACATATAGTCAGAATACAATTCTTCGCTAATTGGGAAGAGAAAACTTACGCTTGAAGCTGTTCTTTACTTCCATGATCTTGACGCCTTGGGGATCCTCCACGACGTAAGTAGCATGGATATGCATGAGCTCTTTGACAATGGAGAAGAGATGGTTGCCCTGCATGTCAAACACCTTTTTGCGGCCCGAAATGCTCATGACTTTGCCCTCGACTTTGAGGATGGGCTGGCCGTTGGCGAGCTTGATGTCGAAGCTGTCGCCAGTCAGAGACATGACTTTCTCTTTGAGGACGAGCGTCTCGGTTTGCTGAGCCGTGAGGTTCTTGAAGACGCCGACCTGGCGGGGCGCGGGTGGAAGTTGAACTGCGGCCATGATTGTTGCTGATTATTGAATGTCAAAAAGAGGAATAGAATATACAGTAGGTATAGAGGGTGATGGTCAGATATGATGAATGGTAGAATTGTGATATTTATATAGAGCTATCTACTGTCAGCACGAGGGGTCCTAGAAGTAGCAAACGTCACATGTAGCTTCCTCATCCATCAACAGGACCCCTCATAGCAACAAGCTGAGACCCTGAATGGCTTAAGGCTGAACAAGGCGCAGCCACAGGCAAGGCTGATTAACCCAGAATTCTCGAATAGAAGGATTGAGAATTGCGTCATAAGAAGCTATGATACGATGATCTTCAAGGTAAAGAATCCTTTTTGAGATCACAGCCCCCAAATCAAGTTCAAGTGACACAAATTCCGGTGATAAACGGAAAAGGCAATTGATAGGCTTCATGTTAGAAGCTGCTTATTCGTCAATCCGTGCTGTCGGGACATTTGGTCATTCTTGGCTACAGAGAAAAAGTCCTGTTCGGCTTCCGATAGGTTATCAATTCATTATGGGGCAGTGTCTGCAATGCTGGGTAGTATTTGCTACGATATTGGTTGCATAGCATAAATCATGAGTGGCATAGAGTGTTCCATGTGATACTGTGGTAGGTTAAACTGTCAATAAAAATAAGAGGGAGCCAACGCCACTATGAAGCCGACTTGATGATACTTCAGGAACCAACCATAGTGCTGAATTACACCATGCCTCCAACCTCAATAGTTCATTGACGAAGACAAATCATTTGCATCAATTGTGATAAGATCTGTCAGCTTCGGTACTCTAATCATGGACAGCTGCATCCTAACGATGGATTTCTTGACCAACTCACCCTATAGACCAACACCACAGACAGACTTTAAACATAACCGACAATTCCGTCATCTCCCAGCATCAAACAATCACGTGATTGCTTCAACAGTCTTCAAGACTTGTTCGGTCTGGTGGTCTAGTGGTATGATTCTCGCTTAGGGAAAACCCTATAGCATAGCTTGCGAGAGGTCCCGGGTTCAATCCCCGGCCAGACCCTTCCTTTTGCTGATTGTATCTGTGAATAGTCATAAAATTGTTTCTTTTTGCTCTAGTGTTGCAGCTTTGCTGTCTGGGGTCATATTGAGTTCGTGAGACGGTTGTGGCTACAAGCCGTTTGGCGGGTATAACGCCTGGGAGAATAAACGTTACATCGGTCTGTGCTTCAAACCAACGCTCCCAACGACGCAAGTCAAGTCGACTTGAGGCACAGGGGACCTAACTTGAATTGAAGAACAAGTCAAAAAAGGCCTGGCTTGACTTGACTTGGGAATAGTGGGTCTACCTTCTGGTTTACAAATATTAGTATACTGACTAGCTGACTTGCAAGTCGGGGGACTTGACGTGACTTGGACTTGACTTGTTAGGAGTTCAAGCTGAAAGCTTTGTGTAAGTCAACTAGTAATCCACGTAATCATCATCACAAAACGGTTTGTATCAATCACTGTCTAAAGGCACGAAATACTAGAAAATAAGCCAACATTTGTCTATCCGTAATCTATCCATAAAACTACAAGAAACAGATCTCGGGCGCGAGAAAAATAAATAAAAGACACGCTAATGGGCGTCATTCAACCCAGGATCCATTTAGGACATTTACAGAGCAAGCATGGCGAAGAAGGCAATGGCGGCAGCAGAGGCGGTGAAGCCAGCAGCAGCGTTGACAGTGCTGGGGGTCTCAGCAGCCTCGGAGCCGGTGCCAGTCTCGGAACCAGACTCAGAACCGGAGCCAGAGCCGGAACCAGCAGAGCCAGACTCGGAGGCAGAACCAGCGGAGCCGGACTCGGAGCCGGAGCCAGAAGAGCCAGACTCAGAGGCATCACCAGAGCTGGAGCCAGAGCCGGAGGTAGGCTTGGAAGCAGAGCCAGAGCCAGTAGCAGTGGAGTCCTCATCGTCATCGCTGGAGCCGGTAGCAGAGGCGGTAGCGGTGATGAAAGTGCCGGTGGTGTGAGACTCGCCAGTAGACTTGGAAGTGGCGGTGGAAGTCTTGGTCTTGGACTCAGCGGAGCTAGAGGTCTCCTTGTCGTCAACCTTGTCGCAAGAGAGGTCGAAGAGAGGGGTGGTGGAGAGGTTCTCGGTAATGGCGAACTTCATCTTGTTGTCGGGGTTGGAGTCACGGAGGTTGTACCAGAAGGTGGGGACCTTGTTGAAGAGGCTCTTGCAGCCGACCTCTTGCCAGTACTTCTGGGCGTTCTTGACGCTGGGCTTGGCCTCATCCCAGTCGGGACCCTTGTAAGGCCAGCCAGTCTCGGTGACCCAGACGGGCTTACCGCCAGCAGCAGCGACGGTGGCATCGAAAGCCTTGTCGAAGAGCTTAGCAGCGTTGTCGATGCTGTTGCCCTTGCCGTTCTCGTAGTAGGGGTACTCATCGACACCAATGAAGTCAATGGCATCGAGGACGGGCTTGTTGGTGGCGTTACCCCAGACGTCCCAGGTGTCGACGTGGCCGAGAGGAACCTTGGAGATGGGGGTGTCCTTGAAGGCCTTGCGGAAGTCGTCAATGAAGTCGACGAGGGCGTCGGGCTGAACACCGACACCACCCTTGTTCTTGACACCAGTAACGGAGTTACGGTAGAGATCTTCGCTACCGACGGAGACACCAATGATGAGGTCGGTCAGCTTAGAGCCGTACTTCTGGACGGCCTTCTTGAGGGCGCTGATCTCCTTGTCGATGGAGTCGGTACCGGAGGTCCAGACACCGAGGAGGATCTGGGTCTTGGTGTCGATGGCAGCCTCGAAAGCCTCGATGGGGTCATCCTCGGAGTAAGCCTGGATGTTGGTGTAGAGTCGGACAGCGTTGAAGTCGCCGGGGGAGGTCTTGAGGCCCTGAGCAGTCTCGAACTCGGCCTGGAAGTCGGCCTTGAACTTGGCCTCGCGGTTGGCGAGGGTGGCACCGGAGTTGAAACCAAGGTAGTTCTTGGCCTCAGCGCCCATGGCGAGGGCACCAACAGCGACGGCAGCGGATGAAACCTTCATGTTGACGATTTGTGATATAGATTATCGAGACTCGGTCGATTTGTGATGTAATACTTTATTCGGTACAACGTTGGGCACGGTCACACCACGTTAGACTGTTATAAAGTCTATTGAAAAGAGTGTGAGTATAATTTGGAAAAGTGGTCAAAAAAGAGAGTGACGATAAAGTGAGAATGTCGACCAAGAAAAGATAAGACAGACGACGAAAAGGGAATGATGGAAGAAATATCAAGATGAAAGAATGGAGAAGAGACTCTTTTGTTTTGCTTGCGGAACGCGGTGAGATTAGGTAGGGGCCGCTCCGTTGCAGCGGACGTGGAGTCGTCACGTGCCGGACAGGCACTAAGTGCCCGGTCTTTCAGGGGCATGCTTACGACGCTGGTCCACTGAGTTATGGTTAAACCGCTAAGAATAGCAGTCAATGTCTTGGGTACTGGCGATGATTGGCTATCGGTAGCTAGCTTCTCCTGTCTCATGCCCAACTAGTAATTTTCCAATATGATCGTCGATAAACAATAAAAGATGATGAATGATGAAGTCCCACGTATTTTATGAGTAATGCAGATTTGAACCAAATAGCTGGGTATGGAGACTTATCCCTACATTGAATTCTCGTACTGTTAGATTTGATACGACGCCGTTAATCTTTTATGTCTGAGCGACTGATTCTTTGACTAACATGTACGTACGTACTATAGGTAATTCGGTTGGCGGCACTTATGCAAGGAACAACGCAGTCGGCATAAGCCAATTAGAGAGCAGATGAAAGCCTAATGAGCTGAGCAAAGTTTATGTTTCGTATATCCCAGTCTCAATATCGAATGCATTGGCGGCTAGGATCTGACGCTGGGGTAATTCCTTGGGGCCAATCTCTTCATACGAAGCCAAGAAGAAAGACATTTGATGTTATTTCAGTTTCATGTGAAGGCAACAATCAACCTCCCCAATCCTTTGACTTGTGCTCTGACCCTTTGCCTTTCCTTTCAACTTATTTGTATCAAACACTACGTAAGAAGCAATTCTTCGCTGAGGCCGGAGAATTCCTTGGCAGCCCTGGGATTGTCATTGTCATTGAGGGCTTGGGCCTGGGGCAAAAGACGCTAAATTAGATGCGACTGGGTGGACTCGTCTTCTCCCTTGAAGTGGAGAGGGCGGCTCTTGGCTGGCACGGCTGTGAGGCCGCTCCATCCGTTGCTCAAAGGGGTTTAGAGAATGAACAAAGAGTTTTGTTAATATGGGAGATGAAGTCATAGCAGATAAATTCGAGGGTTGCCTCCCGCACAAAAGTTGCACAAAGAAGATTGCATGGCATGGTGAATGTGATCTGGCTGCAATCTGTGGATAACAAGTTGACCTCGTTAACAAAAAGGACAAACCAGCATACTCAATTTATGCCGATGTCGATATGTTTGACCTCCATGTTTGTGCTTCAAGAGATGTCAATTGCCCTATAACTAGTGAGTTGGATTGTCAGGCGATAACACAAGCATCGAGACAAGCGATAATTGCTTGTTTAGATAGATGATAGCAAATTGATGGAGTCTGTCTATAAAGAGTGAAGAGAGTAGCCTCCTGATCTCAGGTTCTCTTCCATCAACACCCAGCGTCTTCAGCCCCGACTTCATCATTGTTTTTGAGCATAAACCAGACCCTTACTCATCTGAGATCTTGGTCCCGATAACAACGATTACTACTTCCTATGTACTATTGATACCAAGATGAACACTGCAACACTGGTCTTACTGGGCACCGTCATGAGTATATAATCACGGTTCTGAAGGTTATGATCCTCGTGCTCACATCAATGATACGGAAACCAATCCCCGGAGTCTATTCTTCCTCACATAACATCTTAAGTATATACATGCTCAAGATCAAGGATGCCAACTAGACATCGGCTTTATCCGCCATCTTTCTGTCGCAAAACGTCCTTGTCGGGCGCGAGAAGCGCCTGGTACATGAAAGCCACGTGTATCGGGGTGAGATTTACCTACCAAGAGAGAAACTGGAGCCAAATATCTGCGGCAGACGAGCAGCGACAACAGGTACAGACGCTGGCAAATGGCGTTTCTGTACCGGGCCTGGCATCAAAACTCGACACTATGTGACGGAGCCATGTGCGTCCATCGCCACAATTGACCTCAATACGCGACTACAACACAGCAGTGCAAATAAGGAACAGATTTCGTCATTCTTGAAATCGAGTTCACGGCGTCTTCCAATTCAGAAACTGCGAGGATAAGAACGTCCAGATTGTCAGCGCCAGCCTTGACCACCGCAGCTACCTCATACCTTCAACACAGCCAGATTGCGAAAGCAATCCTGTGTCTGCCTCTCGCTGAATTATATACACAATTGCAGAGAGGATCTTTTGGACTGCTTGGCCTTTCACATTGCTTTCTTCGCCTGAACTCCATCATGTCTCTGTCCATCGAGATTCCCACCACTTTCCTCAAGAAGTTGTCCCGCGCCGGCAGCAACACTACCGACAAAGCCGCGCGCTTCGTTGCAGAGAGCCCCATTGGCGAAGGAAATTCCGAAGGACTCAATCCTTATATCGCATTAATTTATGTATCCTGGACAACTCTTGCCTGTCCGACAGCGCGCTGGAGCAAGCTAGAGACCTGGAAGCAATCATCACTACTGGGTCAGGACATATGTGGCTTTTCGTGGCCAACTTTCAACGACGACATGCCAATATACCGCAAAAGCCAGCCCATAGCAGCCCTCGATACCTTTGAATTCGAGCTGTGTGCTCGGCTTACAAGTACACCGGGGCCTTACAAGGGAGAGGACAGATGCTCGAGCTGGGGGAAGACGCTAGCTTTATTATATATATTATAGACTCGAAAGCTCCTATCCTCCCGGATTGCGACAAGGTTTCGATGGGATACCAGTATCTCTGAGTTATACAACATCAGCGAGTCTGCGCTAGGCACAGATGTATATCACAACAGTGCCATGAACCAGCAGGCCACGAGCCATCAGGCAGTAGCGAGAACATGCCGGACTGCTAGCATACACAGGAACAACACAAAAGTTCGTGGGCACGAGCAAGTCAGTCAATGCCTGAAGGTCAATCTATTCTGGTTGTTGTTCTGGACGGTTATTTAGCCATGTGAGCGTCGCTTCTTAAGCCTGAAGACCTGACACTAACACTGCAAAAGCATGTTTCAACTCGAGAAAAGAATTTAGATATAATCAAACATTTCGCTCTACCCAACGCAAATTTAGAAGAGCGGAAGGTCCTGGATGTTGGTCAGTTTAAAGTCGAGTTAGCCTACATGATCAACTGTCACACTCTGAAAGAGTATGATGCTTTCTTCAAAGCAATTATAACTGGACACCGTCAAGTGTTTGCATGTATTTAGACGTTCAAAGAAGCATGAATACGGAAGGTCCTGGATGTCACATGTAATCAGAGTGATCTATGGTCTATTTGAAGAGCTTGACTACCAACATGAAGAGCATCAGAGATGAGATTCGCTTGTCATTTTGCATTCTATAGACCAGCTAATAGCTTGTGTTTTACACTGTGAACTTAAAAGTCCAGTTACTCAGTACATCAAAGACATATTATAAAATTCATTCCGATAATTATGTATCGAAGTGATGTGACTAAATGTTGTAGCACCATAGACCCTTCGATAGATTGGCGACTCGCCTACTCCGGACTTAAGCGCTGATCAAGGCCCAACGTTTCACCACGACAATGCGCTAATACATTGGTTCGTCGCTAATTTAGCAGCGTTTCAGTCACTGTCATCCAATGGCTATCATCATCAAAATACGAATGAACAGTTGTCATGCGAGCCGCTAATAATAAGTCAAGTCATAACTAACTCATAACTCGTCCAGCACAAAACATCAGGCCTCCAATTGTCCTTTAAGTCTCCCGCTTCTCTTCCACAGGTCTGTCATTGGACATGAAGAACTCGCTCTCGTTGATCTGGTACTTGGCGGACTTGCGTGCCGAAACACCCTTTTGGAACTGTTCAATTGTATCAGCGCATGTTCTTTGTTGTTTTGAGTCAAGACTTTACTTACCATGAAGTCCATTTCACCAAAGGTGCGGTCCTTTGTTTCGAACATGCGGAAGTAACCCCAGATGAGAGTCAAAGTGGCCAAGCCAGCCCAGAAGAAAGCCTACATTGTTCATTAGCATGATGTTTATTCTTTGTCCATATCAAGACTTACAGTTTTACCCTTGAGGTTCCAAGAGCCAGGCGACAGCATCTCAGGCTGGATCAAGCCTCCACAAACGATGTTGCCAACATAGTAAGTCGAACGAGCCAGCACGATAGTTTGTGTTCGAAGACGAGTCGAACCAATCTCAGCGACAATGGTGTAGATGATTGGACCGACAGTCATGGAGTAAGCTCCAAGCCACACTATACACAGAACAGACTGCGCCCAGGCTAGAGGAAGGGTTTGTTTAGGCAAGGCAAGGAAGCCGATCGTCCAGAGAATGACAACGAGGCATGTGAAGCCGGTAAGCCAGATTGTTCGTCGACCGAACTTGTAAATGTAGAACCAAGAGACGATGGTTCCCACAAAGGCGATTCCAGTGCCGCCGAGAGCGATACCGTATGAGGTCTCGGCACTAATACCGGTTTGTTGGAAGAAGAAAGATCCACTGTAGCAGAGGGCGCCTCCGTTGGTGATCTGAGACAAGAATCCCATACAAGCGATCTCAGTACGTCGAAGGTTACTGCCGCGGAAACAGTCCCAGTAGCTGGTACCAGATCGCTCTTCAATCTCCAGCTTGTTGGTGTGAACCATCATGGCAACGGCATTGTCGTAGTTGATGTTGTGTTCGGGGTTGGACAGTCGCTCGAGGGAAACCTTCGCCTTCTCAAGCTGGTTCGTTCGTACAAGATGCCACGGCGACTCAGGAGCGAGGTATGCTGCAATGGCAAGAGGAACAGGCCAAACCCACTGAATCGCAAAGGGAATTCTGTATCCCCAGGGCGTAGGGTTGGTGACCAGACCCTTCAATACACCAGCAGAGATGAACTGTCCAATACACCAACACAGGTTGACATAGGCAGTGAGGTATCCTCGAATAGCTAGGGGCGTAACTTCAGCAGCATATGCGGGACCAGTCGTGGCAAAGATACCCCAGGGTATATTGCAGAGGAATTGACCGACAAGCAGAACCTCAATGTTGGGAGCAAAGAATACAACAAAGATGAAAGCAGAAAGCCAGAAAAGTCCGCTAATGAGTACAACGCGGTGTCCCCATCTAGAAGTCGCCCATCCGTTGAGCATAGCGCCGATGATGTTGGCCAGAGCACCCAGACAGTTGAAGCGCTGCTGCCAGTTGGCAGAGATCTGATATCCATTTTCCTCGTCAAGCCAGGCACCGTACTTCTCTCTGAATCGTGGGTATCCGTAGAATGAACCTAGGAGGGTAACGTCGTAGCCCTCCATGATAACGGTCGTCGAGATGACTGTATTGTCAGATACAGTCACTCACTTTGTCAGTCACGGGCAGGTATGAACTCACCGATTGACCAAAAGGCAGCGGCCTTGTAAGTCTTGAAACCTTGTATAACGCCATAGCTGTGTTCGTCGGCGGTGGCCTCGAAGGCTTCGTTGGCGAGGGCTTTGTCGTGGAGGTCGACGTTCTTGAGATGATCGAGACCAGCATCGGTGCTCTCGATGTGAGGATTGATCTCCCCGGTCTGCTTTACGGTAGCCATGATGTTCACTCAATGACTTGGACTACTTTGTTGAGAGGTGAATGGCGGACAGCCCATGTCGTTCTGGACTGGACATGATGGGCAGTTATATCTCGTCTCGATTGAGACGGGCAAGGATGCGAATGCTCCTCCTCATGCATGCATCGCCAAGCTACTCTGGCCCTTGAAGCCTGGGACCCGTTAGTGTCTGCAAGAAATAGGATCGACGGCCCGCGAAGAATCGTGTTAGTGAGCTCTGAAGCTATTCATATTTGATGAACCGCAATCATTGGTGGAAGATTCTGCGGGGTGCTTGTTCGAAGGATGCATCACCTCGATCTGAGTGGACCGGATAATGATGAAGGGAGCATCTGACCATTCAGGATCTGATTTATCCTCCCCAGACTGGAGGTGGGGAAATCTGGGGTAGTCGTTAGTTATTTTCTGGGGGATGAGCCGGCTGGTGTTGATCAGCGGCTTTTCCTCTTGCATCACTTGTAAGGTTTAGACCATTTCTCTAGGTCAAGAGATCCTTCAAAGTGCCCGCTTATTGCTTATTCCCAGTCTCCGGTTAAATGTAATTGTCGACTGTTGTTTTTCCAATCGGGCAGTCGAGAGGATCTCCAGCCTCCTCCACTTTGATCATGAGAAGAGTCGATGCCCAGGAACCAGGGCCCCCCATGAACAATGCTGCATGGCAACTGTGCCAGTGATTCGCGAACGATTCGTCAATGCAACTGCACCCACTCGAATCCGTGGTCGTCTTGTCTTAAGCTCGGGCTATATGCCTTCAAATAAGTTACCACGATCTTGATGCTTATATTGCAAAAGTAACCCCCACGGCACTCGAGGAATTGGGGGCAAACAGTGTCTGCTTCTCCAGTGTCCGTAGATCATCGCATCTTAGATGCCGTTCTCTTCACTCTCGGTAGACTTCAAGCTGATTTCCCACAAGACTTTTACGCGTACAATGGACGTAAAAACCTGTTCTTGGCAGCAGACCTTGTCAACATAAGTGACCAAAACGAGAGGGTTGCATATCGACTTGACAGACAGGGCATGCCCCCATTCGCGATGCACGTGCGCGGCGTCAACCAACTCAGGCTAATTTCGTCCAAATACAGTCCGAGCACAGCATAACATTATTGGAAGATGAGGCCGTAAACGCTGAGTCTAACGCTGCTCGGTCGATCTTGTCCCGAGAGAGCGGTACCAAAATGTAAACACAACTGTCAAACCATATCTGACTCGTCATGATTCGAGAACCACTGCAGACAAGACATCAGGTGGACTGAATTGTCAACATGCAGTAGCTTTTTGACTTGTCTCATGCATTCTCTTCTGTCAGTTGGGGAAGGTCTGTTCGGTTAACGGGCTACACTGCCGTTAGCTCAAACTGTAACCTTTCGGCATGAGCCGGACAAAGATGGACCATGGAGTCGGGGTTTGTTTGTCGTTCTCATGTCGCATTCGTCCCGGATTGTCAGTAGCTTGTCTTTCTGGTCACTTCGTACAAGACAGCCAGGTGGTGAAAGAATTTGGTTGCTTCATGACTTCGAAGCACAATATCATCAGGATGATACTGGGGAGGGCCTTCTTTTTGACTTCGTTCATTGTTCAAATATGCTCAAATAGATATCCATAGACCTCAATATATGTCATTGCATGCTAAGATATGGTAAATTGACCCAATATGTACAAACCAAGGTATCCCAAACTCATAACAAATCATTACTTTTTAGATATTACTTAGATATGTCTTCTCACATCCGTGGCTCCCGAGGCTGCTGCATCATAGACGCAGCCATCCTCAGTCGATTCCTTGCCTCAGAAAGAAGCTCCCATCCGGTATTCGACAAGGCGTCGTCGACAATGCTCAACAAACCGATGATCTTGTTTCGGTTTCCAACAACGCCAGCTTGATTTTGGTGCAAGTGGAAAGCTTTGATGGAGTCGATTGTGGGAGGAATCATGATTTGCAGATACGTTCGGAGATCTTCGTGGCGATCGCGCTTCAGCGTGTCATAATCCATATTGGATGACATGGGAGTTTGTTCGGATCCCTGAGGGGTGTTGGTTGCGCCTCGGTTCGAGGTCGAAGGAATACTCGTATCAGTGGCCATTGTTGGAATTCCAATGCTGCTGGAAGGGTATTGGAGATGATCTGGGAACGGTTCGATATTCCCATCTTGCACAAATCCATATGCCCACAGCACCAAGGACGCATAGTACAGAGCCCAGGTTCTAACCAGCAACTTATCGTTCCCAGCGTCGTATTTCGGGTAGGTAGACGGTGAGAAAGCCGATGACATCCCACTCGCTTCGCTAGTCATGCCTCTCCTGGGCTCCTCTCGAAGAAGGATAAGCCGGATGAGCTGCAACGCGTGATAAACTCCACCAATGGCTCCAGGCGACGCCACCCACTCCTTGATCTTACCCTCGGTCCTCCTCCAATCGACAGAAGAAACTGTTCTGCCAAGGATCTGGGGGACGCCAGCAAAAATGCAGAGCTCTGGCATGCTGATGTAAACCGTGATATGACCCAGATGATAGAGCACTGTGCCTAGTGTTTCCATAGCATCCCCGTCGTCACTTCCGCCTCTGTTGCTCAATCCCAATCTCTGCCAATCAAAAGCAGCATGTTTAACATGGGCAACACCATCATCGTAGTCCTTCTTCCACCAATCAAAAGCTCTAAGCAGCTTTGGTCGCCAACGCTCTTGAACGCCAGGTATTGTGTCTGTTCCGAGTGTTGAGCGGTCCAGATCTCTCTGGTGCATCTGCCATGTTACAGATAGAAGCGCAGCTAGAAGTGCTATTCTTCCAAATGGGCTTGTTCGCACTCTCTGCCCATTGAGCGTCCGTTGTAATCCGTCAAGAAAAGTGATTGGTGTAACACCATTGGCATGAAGACTTGACTCCACACAGCCGATCTCCGATGGTGAATCGGAAGACCATAGAGTGTTATCGCAGGGAAGTGGTAATTTGATTTCATGGATCACAAGCGTGGGCGTATGTCCGAACAAAGCAGCGTGCGTAGCGTCAATGATGAACGCAGCTAGAGCAGCTCGTCGTGTAGCTTCTTGTGCGATCCAATGATCCCACCATTTCTCAGGCGAAGAGTTGAAGGTAGGTCGGTTCGAGCCGGGGAACATTCTAGGTTGTCCCATCTTGGGGCTACCCATAGGTGTTGGGACTCTGGACACATAGGAAGACTGCTTTCCTGTCAAAGCACTTCCTCTGCGCATGAGAGACAGAGTTGTAGGGAAATAAATATGAGCACGCTCGTGAAGAACACGAGTCGCATTCATTTTTTCGTAAACCTCCAGAATCAGCAATGTCTGAATAACCCAGAGCTTTGCAGGAGGATGGGAGTCAGCATGCATGAAAACTTGCCAACGCAGATTCCACGAGACAAAGGTGGTGAACTTTGAAATTTTCTCCACAGTGTCTTGTGATTGTCCCTTCTTATCAACCATCGAGGCACCCATAATGAGCACAGCCAGCAAAAGAAAGTCGTTTGCAGTCTCGGGTATGAATGTTGGGCGATGAAGAATAGGCAGCTGGTCGTGGAAATGGTCCCAGTACGAGTTGAGATAACGTTCAACGTTGACGTGACTGAGAACATGATTCTCAGCATCAGAATCGCTTCCAAAAATCTCGTCTTTGATATCTGCGGCCGATCTGCTTCCTTGCAAGCTGATCTCGTTGAAACGCTGCATCATATAATGCAGTAGTGCTTGTCGTTTGTGTTCCGAAAGGCTGTTCTTTCCAAACTGAGACACATCCACTACTGGCGTCGCCATGGCCATCGGTTCTGATTGGAACCATAGACTGTTGATCGGTTCAACGTAAGAACTACCCATCATGCCTGGCTGAGCTGTGTAATCCGTACATAGTTGACCGAAATTATTCGAATGTCCTGCCATACCAAAGTTACTGGGCACGAAATTGTAATTAGAGCCTAACCCCTGGCCGGTAAACAGCCAAGTGGTGAATTCGTCCGTACTTGATGGAGAAAGCCCGAAATGCTGTTCCTCCACGTTGATGTGCTCGGCATTCGACGCCGATAACCCGTTGTGCATGGCGAAAGACTGGTTTCGAGCGCGTTCCGGGCGGCTGGTCAGCTCAGGGCTTGTCAGAGGCATGGACATGTCCGCAGGTGGCATCTGTTCAATCCGAAAGGGCACAGAACTCAAGTTCTGTTTTTCCGGTGATGATTCGCGGCTCTGTAGTTGTCGTTGCTCTCCGTAGTAGGCGCTTGGTCCACCCATTTCATTCCTCTGGCCAGAATCTTGACGGGACAGCCCTCCTCCCATCCCAAATTGCTTCGAGCTGCCGGAATCGAGCCCGGACACCTCCATAGGCGGTCGCGTCATTGAATCCTGTCGTTCTTTCACTGATTCTTCCCTCCCCTCATCTTGGGTATCGCTCCAAGCTGAGCCATCCTCACTAAACGAATATCGCTCACTACGCTGCCTAGGCAATTTCGAAAACTCCTTCTGTGGCCGTTGGGAAAGGCGACCATTGCCGTATTGCTGGACTTGCCGTTCATGTCTCAGTTTATGACGGGCATAGAGATCTTTTCTGACAAACGTAAATGAGCAGTCAGGGTAGTCACAGTAGTAGATCTCTTTGGGGGAGTCTGTGAGCGTGTTAGTACTGTAAGACAGCCGTATTGAGTATTGCTTACGATTGAGTTGATGCCTTTGAAGATGTTCGGCACGTGAATATGTCCTCCCGCAGCCTTCGTGGGTGCATTGAAACTCTTTGCACGAAGCCTTGCGGCGTTTCTGTCGCGGGGGTGAAGAAGCCATCGTGGCTCGTGACCCTTTGTTTTGCCTCGGCTAGGCGTGTCTCTGCCCCCAAGGTTGTCTGTACTGAAGTAAGACGCAGCCTATACGTGTCTTGGCAGTCTTATCGTGACAGACGTATTCGAAGTCGTAAAAGACAGAAATCGAATCTCACTGCCAAATGGGAAATTGATCTCAAATTCGAGATTTTGGGGGTGAATGTGACCTCGCCATATTACCCCCTTCCTTCCTTCCCACTCGGTCACCTGATGGACCATCCCGTTCTGGACTCATTTTTTCGAGGTCGCTCCTTCCATCCCCGCGATTCCCCCGCCTCCGGGAGATTGCCAATTGCGGGGATTTTATCCGAGGCAGGTTAAGTTGACAGAAGGTATAGGGTAAGTGGAATGGTCTTGACCTTGACATTTTCCTTTCTTTTCTTCTCCGGATCAGAGGTTACATTGATGCAGGTGGATGAAAGAGGGTCTCTGTTGAAGGTTTACGAGTATAGCAAGTGGCGTAACTGATGTGACACACTGTATGCATGCACCATTGGCTTGCAGATTTTTGTCTCAGCACTGAAGAACTCATTGCGTGAGGTCGCGTTTTGGAGGGGGTTACTGCTGGGGAGCCCAAACATCAATCAAAAGGAAATGACGATATCGCTAACAAATAAAACCAGATTATGGCAAGAGCAAGATAAGAGCAAGATAAGACGAACACCGGATTTCTCAATGCCCAGACATGTCATGTTTGAGCTAGGGGAAGTGGGAGCCATGTCATTCAAATCCAGGTGCCATCACCCGATTGACAGCTCAATCCACTCCGGTGGTTCTGATGTTTCTTCTCTGGTGGGTGCATGTTTCAGTGTTGCTGGACCCTCCCAATTCTTGGTTCTCACAGCTATTGGGCCACCTTACGATCGTTGATCAATCATGGGCTGATCCACAGATACTGTAGCTACACTGCAGCACTCGACAGCAGAAGATTATCCTCCATTTTTTTTAGGCGACAGGCCGAATAACACGTTCGTATGTCTCAGCGAGTGAGGCGGCCAAATCAAATTATCTGAGACGAGACCCTGATGTGTCTTAATACCTACCGCTTGAAGCGTAGCGGTTGATTGACGTGATCGCGCCGGTTGGCGATCAGATCAGTTGAAGGGGTTTATCATATAATCTTGGTGGAGCGAGCCCACAAATTTCTGTCCGTTACGTGTATCCGTAGTGCTGCGACACTGACGGTGTAATTGATCTTTAGCGAACGTCGCATCTCGAAATATTAGTGAAGTTTCTCAATCCACTTGCTCTGATTGTGAAGCCGGCCAAGCCGGAACACCATGCCTCGACACTGAATTGGCGAGCGCTTCCATTACCAATTTCCCCGAAATCTACAGGGAAGGATTTCTGTCTCTTCCTTTTTCGAGGCTTGCAGCTATCGTTGAGAATGTAACTCTGCGCCGGCACCAAGGAATCCTAAACCTGGGGTGGCGTCTCGTGCAGCCTGCGATCGAGCATCACACGTGGCTCGCCCTTGTAAAGTTTATAAGCGATGGCATGAACATGGACAGATCGAGACTGTGTTTCAACTTCAATGCAATACTTGTGTAACCTATCAAAACTATTGACAATAAAAAAGAGGCTTCAGCCACCGCGTGATATACTGAATGATGCGATGCGACTACCTGTCAAGGGATACGAAAATGCATCGTGATCAACATCGCAAGCCACAAAAGAAATTTGACAGACTCTTTTGAGAATTTCGCTTTACCCGACTAACCATGCCATTACGGTGCGGCGCCCTGGGTGCCAGCCAATTTTGGAAACGCGGACGGGGAATTCCGTAGTCGTGGAAGTTTTATTTCTCTTCTATTGCAACGTTATGGATTGTAAGCTATAGGCAAGGTTTCCTTCTGCTATAGCGAGATATCATTGTCTTGGATTATCATTTGATACATGTACTAATCGGCCACGACAGCAATGATCGTCCGCTATCCACTACCGATACAATGCTGCAAGACAGAAGGAGTAAAGTGGACAAACAGGCGATAGAACCGGTGACAGGGTGATATGTCTCCAGGGGATGATCACCACTTTGTTCGGCCATAGTCAGGAGAAAAGTCTGAGAATCAGGTCCCAGAGTTTAAGCGACATAGGCTTCAAGGTTAGGGGTGGTAGATTGTTTGAACTCGACATGCAGGGGCTCCCATCACCGCTTGGCCCAGAGTAAATGTCAACAAGATAGAGTCTAGTTTAGGTATAACAGGTCAAGTATCAGACCTGTCACATTGCGGACCATTTGCTGCTTGTTCATGACCCAACGGGAATAAACCATTTATCCTAGATCTTGGCGGAAATACGGATATCGCACTAGAATTGACCAAGTGAATGGAACTCAGAGTCAATGCACAATGGCACGGCCTCATAAATGGAGTATAACTGAGGGTTTGCATGAACACATTGATTGCCCGCAATGTCAGGTCGTAATACCAAGCTTTTTACTGCCGTAAACTAGGCAATAGTCAACTCTTCAGCGTTGAGCTAGTTGACGTTAGCCAGTAACTAAACTAATGTTACAGCTGGGCACCCAACTTCTCTAGTTCTAGTTGCGGGCGCTTGATTGAGCGTAGAGCGTCAGAACAGACTGACAGAGTGCCCGTCCCCCCGGCTCTCCGCCCGGTACTGCAGCTGGGCATGAAGAACAAGCACACACACAAGCACAAGCAGGTACAATCTCACTCACCGGCAGTGACGGACAAAAAGCAAAATTGCAGTCGATCAATCTAACCAAGAAGAATAATTATTGTCCTATTTTGTGTTAGTCCAATGCCCATCACTCAAACCTTGAAGTGTTGGTCTCTGGAGGTCTAGGTCGGCTAAATCGACCGACAGTTGAAGAACTTTGTGAGACATTCGATGTGGCGCTGCATGACATTTTTATCGATAGAGTCAAAACTCAAAAGCCAAAGCGTCTTCTCCAAAAGAAAAAAGACGCTTGAAGTCAACAAAAAGGGAACAAAATGTGGTGGTGGAGATTGTCTCGGCGCTGCTAATGATTCGCTTTCCCCTTTGGGAAATCAACATCCGTCCCTCGGCTGGACGTTCCAGTGACACTTTGACCATCATTTTATCTGAAGAGCGTTAGCTTTCGTCCTTTTTAACCTGTTTCTGGTTAAAGCGCGATCTAGACATTTCCTCTGCGAACAGACTGCATATCAACTCAACTGCAGACGACACTAGACTAATGCTACTTACTGCCCACAGGGGCCTTCCTCATTCTTCTTTTTCTCTCCGAGGCGAGGGGCCCCTTGTTTTCCATTCCACTTCTACTCTAGCTTCCACAGAACGTGGCTGTAACTAGGTACATACTTCGGTACTGTACTGTAACACTCGTATTATGAACCGGGCCCCGGGATGTGCTAATGGTCTTCCCCGTCTGTTGCCCCTCGGACGAGCCCCAAACCGAGGCAATAGTGTGGACTTTCAATGCTGATCCCGCGAATGGTAGCCCTTAGCCTTGCTGCCCAAGGCCTGGTACCTGTACGCACGGAGTCGATCAGAATAAGTTTCGTAGGTCCCCTACCAGATGAGCCAAGCTCCGGTGGGTTCAATATCCTGTTGCGGTATAATCGCTTCATCACTCCGTGAAAAGGACCGCAGGGGTAAACTGTCCCAAGATGCTGGTTTCATGGCAAGCCCCATTCTGAACTACTACGTAAACGAAAGCTACCAGACTCTCGGTTCTATTTACCATATATCTGCGACGAACTCCAGTTCACTTCCCTGGCGGCCCGCTCCTCCCGGTCTTGGATCCCTTCGTCTATCGTCAATCCTTCTTCTCTTTTTTTCGTCTTTTCTATTCTTATTCCCATATGCGACCTTTCTCTCTCCTTTAAACCTTGACTTTCTCCAGTCGATATCCATCATGAGTGAGACTGTCCCCAATAGAGGCCCCGAGGTTCAGGCAGTGTGCTACACACTGGTTGTCTCTTCAGTGATAGCATGTGGACTACGAATCTATGTCCGTACACGGATGGTGAAGAACTTTGGCTTTGACGATTGGGCTATGTGTGCTGCTCTTGTATGTCTTTTACCTAACAATATTCATAGCCCTTTACTGACTGCTACTCCAGATCACATTCATCTTATTCTGCGCAAGTGCACTGAGTGGAGTGACTTATGGAACAGGTCGTCACCGAGATGACCTCGACCCAAAGGACTATATGCAAGCAAGGAATTGGTGGTGGTGGTGCTATTTATGGTACTGTCTGACTATGATTGCTTCAAAGATCTCCATCGGCATCACACTCCTTCGAATCACGAACCGAAAGCTCGATATCTGGATCCTCTACGGTACAATGGCCATCACTCTCTGCACCGGAATCGTCTTCTTCTTTGTCACCCTCTTCCAATGCTGGCCCATCTCCTTTTTCTGGAACACCAACCAGAAGGGCTCTTGCGTCAGCCCAGATGTCATCATCGCCCTCACATATCTGTACAGCGTCTTCAGTGTCATCTCAGATTTCACCTGCGCTATCCTGCCAATCTTCTTGGTAGCCAAGCTCAACATGGGAAGGAAGACGAAGCTTGCTATCATTCCTCTGCTCGCCATGGCCTGCGTGTCAGTAACCCCTTATTATCATTCTGTTGTACACCAGCTCACATCATACAGGGCCAGCGCAGCTGTCGTCGTTCGTTTCGCCTTCATCAAAGATTTCAAGAACCCAGACTTCTTGTGTATGTCCACCAACTCCAAAGCCGTCAATCATAACTCGTTCATCGTAATTAACAAAACAAAAACAGGGGCGACCGTCGATATCGCCATCTGGTCGACCGCAGAACAAGGCCTCGCCATCACCGCCGGCTCTTTGGCAACGCTGCGCCCTTTGCTTCGATTACTCGGCCGCAAGCTTGGCATAACGACATCGGGACGGTCTGAATTGCGAGACACAGATCAGCATATGGGATCAGGAATGTTCGGAGCTTCAAAGGCTACAAACACCGGCAACAAGCAGGGCGATCTTTTTGGGCTCGCCACATTCGCAAGGGAGGACAACCTGCACGGCAACGGGCGAGACTGCGAGGCAGGATATACTGGGAAGGACCATTTCGGCAGACCGTCAAATGAAAGAGGTGTGGTGTCGACGTGGAGTTCTCGAAGGGATACTTTTAACTCTAGTGAAGAAGAGTTGACGCCAGGCTTGGGACCTAAGAGTAGTGGTGGTGCCGTCAAGGTGACTACTACTTTCAAGGTCGAGGAGGACAGGATTTGAAAATGGCGACAGCGACACAACTAATAATGATAGCCTTGATATTTATAGCGAACAATTGCGTATGTTTCTTGAGTCTAAGAAAAGTAATAGTAATGGGAAGAGAGGATGAAGCAAGATATTTAAGTATTTGACTTGACGTCTGTCGAAGCTCAACAGATAAAAAGTTCCAATGACGTCAATAGCTCTAGGCTACTAGACTGTTGCTAGAAGTACCCAAGCTCCCTTAGGTCAAGTACTGTACAGCTATTATATGCAGACAGCTCCTTCGGAGGGGAAGCTCTGCTCTAGCTCAGCTCAACCAGGTTTGAGCCCGAGTTACAACCCGACAACCGAGATGACAACCTCATCGCTGAATGGGTAGATTGTCGGGAAGATAAGCATATTCGACCCTATTGAGACGCATCCGAAGAAAAGCAACGTTCCACCAGCCAGAATCTGTTAGCAGAACTTGTTTTTGGTGCATTGAGTATCCGCCAGCAAACAAATGACTTCTCACGGCCCCCAACAAAGGAAAAAGAAACGACAAACGACAGAATCAGTTATTCAAGGTTTGGCGGCGTGGCTGCGGGCGCTTATTAGGCTGCATGCCAGCGGCTCATAGAACCTGATTGAGTTAGCCAACGACTTGGCTTGCTGATGATCCATGTTAAGGATCTGCACAGGAGAATTTCCGAGTCTTTGGCAAACGGGAGATGTATCCAAATGAGGACATGAGTGCGATGAGGATATCAAAATACAATCACGAGCAAGTCATTATCGATCGATTCCTATTTGGGGTCCAAAATTGCTTCCTCTTTAGGCCCCAAATGGCTACCTTGGCTCGACATGTGCCGCTGAATACTACATGACTTTGGAATTCGTATCTTGGCCAAGGATACTGTTGTTTATCGTATCCGTATCCGAGGCTACGAATGTGGCATTGGCCGGTTGGCTATGCTTCCGGTAGCCTGAGTATCGAATTGTCGTATGGAGGATTGAATCCCATCCCCCTTTTCGAAGCGAGGGCCGATGCAAGTTCATGGCGTATATATCCCTTCGGCGATATCTGAATATGGTTCAAGATGAATAGCTCGATGTCTGATCTGCTAAGAATCATAGACCCTTCAGATCAGGGTCAAGGTATCTTGGGTTTCTGTGATGGTATTTCGAGCAAGACGTTAGACAAGAACCCATATTCAAAGGATAGAAAACTAATGGATACTTTAGTTTCAAGACATAGATCTCTTATAGATATGTTGACAACATATAACTGATGCAGCAAGAGAGGAGCAAATATAGTCAATTAATTTTGGTGTTGTCACAAGTGATCGTCCCTGATAGTACCATATCGGATACTCAGATGATTATAGGTGTCTGGAATCCCATGATATTGCTAGGATGATTCTTTACACTCCTATTTGCCCAGTCATTTTTGTTATTAGTTCTCTTCTAGAATTGTGAAGGATGGTGGTGTCTTGGATCGGGAGCATCTCCGATGCCTCGGTCATAATGTCCGATGTCGGGCGAGGTATTAGTCATCTCGAGAGCCATTTCTCAAACAGCAACAGCACAACAGAACACTGGACAGTCATGGGAAATTGATTGAAAATCTCCCTATCACCCACTGAGCATAATCACTTTGCGTACAGTAACCCTGGCTATCAGTAGTTGTTAGTCATAATCACCGTTAACAGCCTCAATTCCACGATATCTTCAACGGCTTGAACTGACCGGCCCCTGAACCGTGCTTCCCACTATAAACCATCAGCTATCAAGATAAACTCTTCTAAGCCCTGCTACTCCAACCATCTTGTGGATCAAATCCTCCATCATAGGGCGGGAGCTGGGCCGATTCTGGGGAACATTGGGACTATAGAGTCACGTGAGCGGATTAGCGCGTGGAGAAGATTATCTGCGATAAAGTCAAAGTCCGGAACTTGTCCCGAGAGAATAACAACGCTCCAGTCCCTCGGAGTTTCCCCCCATCAGCTCCAGTTTCTCTTCGGTCAATTGTTCCAGACTCTCAGACCACTTGCTTCGCTTCTCAGTGTGAAGCACTACTTCGTCTTATCAATGAGTGTCGTCGCTGAAGACATAACTCCCTCAATGGCTCGGAAGCGCTCGGCGCCCTCCGATGGCAAAGATGCGCGCAAAGCATCATTGGCGTAAGTGAATTGATATTTCTCCACTATTATACTGCCGTGTAAGTGATGTGACTGACATAGACCAGCTGCCTTACATGTCGAAAGAAAAAGGTTCGGTGTTCGGGGACTACGCCTTGTCAATACTGTAGCAAGCGTGGACTTGACTGCAGGGTCCCCGAGCATGGACATAAACGCATGTATATGGCCAAGTAAGTTCTGAAGATCATGCTTATTATATATCTCAAATCTAACCCGAAACTAGTCGCATTGAGGAACTCGAGAGTAAACTAGCGAGATACGAAAGAGATGGCTATGACGGCCTGCCTTCTACTTTGCCCCCTAGAGCATCTGGTATGTAGGAATCTGCTGGTCCCGTTGACCTACACTGACATATCACAGAACCCCCGGTCTCAGGTACAACTCAGATTGGTCAAAGAAGGGAATCTATCCTCCACCCACAATCGTCTCATTCTTACCCACAAGACCCTCATCACAGTAGATCAAGATCTGGGAGCTTCATTCGTCCGTCTACTAGCTTCTCAGCACCTCTAACTCAACCGAAATTTCCTTCTTATGATGGCACTCATACATCACCTGCCGCAAGTAAGTTGAATCCATGCTCATATTCAATCTGGTCTGAGACTTACACGTAACAGCTATTCTAGCTGGCTCATCCCTCAGCTCAAGTCACACCTTCGGTTCTCGAGTTCAAGATCTGCTCGGTTCATCTCGTCTTGAGTCAGAACAAGCGGCTAAGCCATGGATAAGCCCCGAGGCAAATCAACTTGGTGAAATCATCAGCCACCCATGGCGTCTCTCAAGCAGCGACTTCCCTAAGTTACCACCCAGGGATGAAGCACAACGCTTGTTGGATACGGCCTTGTTTTATATCGGCCAGTCACAGCACCACATCGATGCTCGAGAGTTCTCAGATAAGATGTGGGCGTTCTACCAGAACCGTGATGACCCTGCTCAACTAGAGTCATTATGGGTTCTCGAGATGATTCTCATGATTGCGATCGGAACACTATTCGATGCTAACCCGGAAGGAAATGATGAGTTTTCTGGTGTTGTTCTCTTCGAGTACGCTCACAGAAACGTGCCAACTTTGTCTGATTTGCGTTTCAAAGGGAAGATCGGAATTGAGATCTATGCCCTGTTCGCTATCTACCTCGGTAACATGAATCGCAAAGAAGAGGCTTATCTTTATGTAAGTTGATATTCAGGCAAGAAGAGGATACATGAGCTAACATGGGTGTTGTAGATCAGCACAGCTATGCGACTCGCAATCTCCCAAAAGTATCATAGAGTCTGCGGAACGAGGCATTTGATACAATCGGAGAGAGTTCATAATAACCGTCTGTGGTGGACAATCTACATGCAAGAACGGTAAGCCACTCCATATGAGGACAAAAAAGATAGCTACTAATGGCTTATCGTTTTAGACGCCTAGCTGCAGCGACAGGAAACCCTCCCAGCATCGGAGATGAGGCGATCAACATCCCTCTTCCCACTGACTCTCCTGGTTTCCCACCCGTCGGTCCCATGTGCACAAACATCAAGATCGCCAGAGCGACAGGGCGTATCTTAGCTGGTGAGTTTTCTCGTGCTTCACTAATCGAGATGAATAATGGCTTACGTCTGTTGAACAGTGCTTTACAACCCCGAGGACGAGTCAGAACATACCTTTATTCCTCATGTTCAGGACATTGTTAAGTCTCTTTACGAGATCTCTCAAGAAATCCCTTCTGATTCAGTAACGGATGTGTATAATTTGGGTCGGGATCAGTCTTTGAGGACGACTGCTTCACTGCATCTAATGCTGTTCCAGGTATGCCGGGACGCCGAGATCAGTAGTCGATCATACTAACACTTGCGCAGGCAACTATTCTTACGATCAGACCGATCATGCTTCATGCTGCAAAGCTAATCCTCAGTGGCCATGGTCCCACTGGAGAGCAGCTGCAAGCTTCACCACTTGGTAAACTGTCTAGAACTTGCGCTGAAGCTGCAAGGCGGCAGCTTAAAGTAGTCGCTACGCTCAGGAAGCGAAACATGATCGGTAAGCTAATCCTGTCCCGTTCATAATCCTCTACTAACACCACTCTAGCAATCTTTGGCTTCTACGACTTTGAAGCATCCTTCTCAGCTGCGTTCATTATGATTCTTGCTGCAATCTTGGACTCAGTATGCGAAGAGAACATGAAGATCAACCCCAAGCCAGGACTGCCACAAGCGTTGGAAGAATTGCAGCATCTCGCTGATCACGGCAACACGTATGCCCGCGAGAGATTGAATGAGGTCAAGAAGCTATGGAAGGTGATGGCCCAGAAGATTGAGTCGCTTCAAGTAGTCAACGTTTCGCCTCAAGGCACCAACGGCGATGCCCAGACCAACAGAGTCTCCCATCCCAACGGTGCAACACCCGCTGGGTTCGGCGACTCAGGCATTCATCAAGACATGGTCCCAGGCACCCAAGGCCAAACATCGCCAGAAGACTTCATGCTTCTCGACACAGATCTATGGGATAACTTCTCCAATCTCTGGGTTCCAATGCCTGAGACCAACTCGCAGCAGGAGATGATGATGGCGGATATCCCGCCCGATGACTTTTACAAGCACTGTTACTCTATGTATAACAACCCGGATTGGGATTTGACGGGAGAGGATGTTGGAGACTTTGCAGAGCTGGGAAGACATATTCAGGATTCATAATGGAGTTTGGGGGAAGAGAAAAGTTTTGTTTGGGCATTCAACTACCCAGCGTGAATTATTTCAGAAGAGATCTCAACTAATTAATCTATGTACGATGGCGTATTCGCTGGTCGATACTGTTGCTGCAATGTTTACGAACCTAAGACGTGTACAAATGTTGTTTGCTTGAAGCGAATGCGAAAAAGGATGAACAATTGAGCCGATGCCCATTATCTATGTGAAGTTTTGATGCGCATCTCAGCTTATCAATCCTCTCGGCGTAACTTTACAGCGCTTCCCGCTCATCGGATGAATCCTTCCGATGTAAATCAACGTTGAATAACGCTGCTGCGGAGTTGATCTACAGGGGACGATGGCATATGTCAGCGCGCATTAGTAACTACAACAGCGCTGAGCCCTAAGGACCATCTTAGTTCCTTGGGAATGGAGGCAGATTATTCGTCCATCGATGGGGTCCGGGAGATTGGAGAAGTACTGGAGGATTGGTTGCTTATTGGAATTGTTATTTTGGAGAAGGATCAAGCGGAGTTTGGGTTGTAGTATGGCATTGCGATTATTGAGAGTCGCTTCATGGTCGAGGATATAAAGCAGCTGAAGCGCCCGCTTTGATGACTCGAACAACAGCTTCACTCAAGCCTTCAATTATAATAACAACTTCGTATCATCAATAACATACCTCCAACATCAACTTCAAAATGTCAAAGACCCTAGCAGTCGTCGGCGCCACAGGCAAACAAGGTGGTGCAGTCATCAACTTCGTCCTCAACGACCCCGAGCTCTCCAAGCAATACACCCTTCGCGGTATAACCCGCGACCCCAACTCCGAAGCATCCAAAGCTCTCAAAGATCGTGGTGTTGAAGTTGTACAGGGTGATTTAGCCGATCAAGCTTCCATGAAGAAAGCGTTCACAGGCGCCCAGTATCTCTTCTTTGTGACAACTCCTTCCTGGACAGCTACCGACTTGAAGCCTGAGCTTGAAATCATCAAGAAGACGACTGATACCGCTGTTGAAGCTGGGATTGAGTACATCATCTTTAGCAGTCTTCCCAGTGTCACGGATATGTCTGGTGGGAAGTACACTCTTAACCATCCCTTTGATGCAAAGGCTGAGGGCGAGAAGTACATTCGTACCCTTCCTATCAAGAAAGCTTTCGTCCGTCTGGCTTTCTTCCTCGAAAACATCATCCAAGTCCCTCTCTGGCAGCCCGCTAAGGACTCCGAAGGCAACTGGGTAACCTCCCTCCAGCTTGCTCCCCAAACCCGCATCCCCTGGATAGACAGTTGTAGCAACACCGGAAGTTTCGTAGGCGCCATCCTCGCCGAGCCAGAAAAGTACGACGGCATTACCTTTGACGGAGCAGAAGGGTTCTACAGCATGGAAGAACTAGTCGCTATCGAGGGTAAGGCTTGGGGCAAGGATATCAAGTACAAGCAGATTTCTCCCGAGGAGTTTGCGGAGAAGTTGCCTATTATGAAGGACGTCTACGTTCAGGCGTTCCATGCAGGTGAGGAGTTTGGGTACTTTGGACCAGAAGGGGAGAAGTCGGTTGCTTGGGCTAAGGAGAGGGCTAGGGGTAGACTTGTTAAGCCTGAGGAGTTCTTTAAGGCGAACACTCTCAAGTTGGAGTAGGCTTATAGACTGTGTTAGAGAGGATGAGGTTCATTATTGCTATGTATACTTGAGAACAACGTTATTGTTTTGGTATGATCTATAAACTATCTCATAACCCTTAGACACTTATTGAACCCTTACTTTAATTAAAGAGAAGTTCAGAGAACCTCTTCTTTGCATCCTCTTCATCCCATTCCATAATTTTCCTTTGCTTACCCTCCTCAATCTTCTCCTTAACAAAAGTCTCCATAGTCTTTCTCTCTTCTTCAGACAACAAGTTTACACGCGTCTTCCAGAGATCGTCTTTCGTGACACTTCCATCCCGATCCCCGAAGAACCTCTCATCGAGAAAGTTCCAGTACATAGCATCAAATGCCCAGCTCTTCCTAGCCGCATAGCTCAAGAAGAAGCGCCCTGTTTGCCAGCTCTCTCGCATATATCTCGACAGTGGCGCCGGCAAAGAAGCTTTATGGGACTCTGGCATGTTGGTTTCAGCTTCTTCCATTGCAGAAAGCCAGATCTGTAGACTAAGCTCATATGTAGCCTTCCAATCTTCAAGACCGGGTGGCCACATCTCTGCGGTTTCGAGGAGCAGCCACCAGGGCGGATCAAGGATGAATTGCGTAGGCGCAGCATATGTAAACTCCCAATCGATGAGAGCAGCGATCTCATCCGATTTAGTAAGAAGAATATTTCCTGCTCTAAAGTCGTCGCCCCAAAGTCTAAAAGAGTCTGAACTAGACGGAGCTGGCGATAGTGTTTCTGGGGGGATCTTGGATGACTGGTGGGACCATTTGTCCTCAGAGAAGCCAAAGGTAGACAATCGACCTTCTTTGGCCAGTCTTCGAAAGAGTTGTCGTGAGACATACTTATTGCGGCAATCGTCCTCAGATGTGACGAGATCGTTGTGTTGGAATAGAAGTTGAGCGATATGCATTTCTGCCAGGGCAATGTACCACTCATCTGCAGTTCCATACGTCTTGTCCTTGCGGGGTAATATGCATCGAGGAATGTTTGCCAACCAAACCATGTCTGCCATGTTGTGACTTAACGGACGACCGGCCACCTCATAAGTAGCTTCTTTGGTCTGAACTAAGGAACCAATTTTGGGGAATGTAAGTTGTGATAGTTGCAGCAAGCAATGTGCTACCTTCCCCCAAACGGAGTACAGCATAGAGTCAGATGCGTTCGGGTCTAGAACATGAGGGCTTGAAGGGTCTTCACTCGGCCTCGTTAGCCGAGCTGATATGCTCCCTTTATTCTCGTGACGGTGTATTATTATAAACGGACCCAACTCCGACTCGTCTCCAAAGCTCATGGGACGAGGAATTGGCAATTCTGTTCTTTCTGCAACCAGGCAGGCTGTGGCAGCCTCGTATATAGTCTTCTCGCCAGGGAATGGAACAAGACTTGGGCAGGGAACTCGCAACATGACATCAGGCGACAGCCCCTCAACTCTGATGCGGTAGAGAACATTGAACCCGCCAAAGATCAATGGAGAGATGAGTTCTGCTTTCTTGCCAAACTTCTCTTGAGCGAATTCTTCCACTTTGTGACAAAAAGTCTTGAGACGTAGTTGGTTTTGTGCTGCCTCAGAATCCTCGTCGTTCTTGTCCCAGACAACGTTGTCCAGCTCTTCTTGGCCGTCGTAAAATATCATGACTTCTGGTGGTGCGTGATATTGGACAACCAGAATAGGAGGCTTCGGTGAGACAATACCAAGTTGGTGATTATAGAATGTTAGAACGCTCGATGGAACACATGTTCATCGGGCATGAATTGGATAATGGAGCAGTTACTACGTAGGAGCCATGCGGTGATTAGTAAGTTATATGTTGATGATTGATTGGCTCAGGCGGGGCAGGAACGTTGGTTATTGGTTCCGCGCCGTTTCCCTTGTAAGTGATATCCAATAACATAGTGTCTTGGACTGACCTTTTGCAACAACAGCAATCGTCTTTAACATGGCCGACAAGAGGAAGAGTGATGATAGCCTCGAAAGAGAGCTAGCATATGAAGATGTTACAGTCCAGGCAGGCGAAAGCAGCAAGGCCAGGAGGAGAAAGCGCCAGAATTAGATATCTAGGCAGACACTCCATTCGGTTGATGGACATCAACTGCACAACGGCAATTTGAAAGGTTTTCTGAGTCCCTTCGAGCACATAATGTTGGTATAATAGATACTTATGTAGTGTTCAACTACCAAGTCTAATCAGCGCACCTCACATTCTGTGAGTTAAGACACAACTAAATCTCTACGACGAACCAACAATCTCAGCACCAGCAGTCCGTCCATAAACAACACACTCCAAAAGCGAAGATCCTCCTAATCGATTATCTCCATGAATGCCACCCGTAATCTCTCCAGCAGCAAATAGTCCAGCAATAGGAACAAGCTTATCCCCGCTCTTCTTCAATACACGGGCCTTCTCATCGATAGCAACACCTCCCATAGTAAAGTGCGTAATAGGCGTCACCCGACCGATATAAATCTCTTCGTCTCGGTTCGCCTCGCCAGGTTTAAGTGTCCATCTTCCTCGCTGCGTGCGGCCGAACTCATCTGCTGATCCATCGGCTACAGCTTGGGCGTATTTATCCACAGCAGCGATTTGAGCGCTCGTAAGATCTCGGACTTTGACTTTCTTCATAAGACCTTTCCATTCGTAAAAGCTGATATGGTTGGCTGATGCTGCTGAAGCACCGGGGTCAAGAAGCAGGGTTATATCCCACTGCTTGATAACTCCATCGCCATCAGTGGCGATAGGAAGCTTCATTATAGTATCACTAACGTGCTCACGAGTATCCATCTCATTAACGAAACGAGAGCCATCTGACGAAAGAAGGATACCGCCTTCGCCGCGGAGCATCTCGGCTGCGAGGAACTTGAGCATCGTGTTGGGACTTGCTGGATCGACGAAGCCTGTTGGGTGGATTTGAACGCTGTCCATATCTAACAGTTCAGCCCCAACAGAAGTGAGAATATCATGAGATCCGGGTCTTTCGTCATTTGTTGAAGGAATTCCCTTGAGGTCGGGGCGATATCGTGCCAGTAGACCTGTTGCATCGCCAGCGAAACCACCACTGGCGAATAAGACTGAACCCTCAAGGTTGTGTTTCTGTCCTTCAAATTCATATTCGACGCCTTTGACGGCTTCACCTTCTCTTAGTAGTGCTTTGACTTCGGCCAAATTGGTGATAGAGAACTGCTTATTCTCCTTCAGTTTGTTGAGTAAAGCGATAACAATTGCCGCTCCAGGTGGTGTCTTCCCAGCGCCTCTATGCGTACGGGCAACACTATGTCCACCAAGCGGCGCAACAACACTGAGATCAACACCGATCTCATCAACAAGCCAATCAACAGCAGCAGCTGATTCACTTGTGAGTTTCGTAACAAGCCTCTCCCGATCAACAGGTGGCTGGGCAAGCTTAAACCTCTCTCCAGCTGACTTCACAGAATCACTATAAAAAGAGGTGTCGCTCTCCACACCTGCAGCGCGCTGGTACTTTGTCCCCGCACCGTTAATACCAGACGAAGCTTTGATGCTATTACCACCAGGCTTAGGCGCACGATCAAGAAGATGAACGGATGGTGCACCGCGCTGTAACGCCTCGTATGATGCTGATAGGCCAGCAAGGCCGGAGCCCACCACAACGACAGGACGAGGGGATGCCATAGTTTTTGAGAGGATTGATCTTAGAGTTGGTGAATGTATAATGTTTCCGTAGAGCATAGCAGTTAGGGCGACTGCGATACCGATGGTTGAGAGGAACAGGATTTGAGGCCGGCTCATTGTCCAGCGAAGGATGCGAGGCATTTGGGTTATTAATTGCGGGGAGTGATCACGGGCGGTATCGGCGGTATATGATCTTTATACAGTTGCCGATAGAATTGTATGAGGCGGTTGTCAGCTGTTGGCAGATGGTGGACTGTTCATGGTGGTCGTGGCTATGGCCCGATCAGGCGATTTTAAACATCATACGATGAGTGAGAATGGTGTTTCTCCGGTCTCAAAAAAGGGGTTTACGTTCTCCAAAACTATCCGTCATTAGTTCTGAGTGGTATGTAAGCTAATAATAGTCTTACAGAGTTTCGGGAACGATGATTCTAGATCTCCATCTTGCGTTTCGGACATCGGCGGTGTCACTGATCGGCCGGTCCCGGATTTTCGGGTCTGGAACGGCCCCACTTACGGCAGAGGCGGAAGAACGATGGATCACGGCCACGTGGGAAACGCTTCTCAAACGTCTACGAGAAGATCGCCTTGTTAGCAGTATTTAGTGATGGTTCTGGTTGAGATATTACGCGAATGTCAAGATGTCGCATCCTGTTTAAAGATTACTAGTAAGTGGGAAAGGCGACCTGGGTAACTCTGCGAACGGCAACAAGGAAGTCCAAGTCGAATAATCTTGAAAGTGCATACGCACTGATGGTAGATCCGTACGTAACGGTCCCCGAAGATCGTTGATCTAAGATTATCTTGTGATCTCGGTGGCTTTTCAACGTGGGGGTTCTGCACAGCATCGGCAGTGACAGATCTAACGAACTCGTGGGGGATCACGGTTCCAGAAATGTCTTGTCTGGAGAATAACGGGATTCCCATGTGCTCGTCAGGCTTACAAGGGTCTGAAATAATGCAGGTAGCTTTCATGTACAGCATCACTTGCTCCGATATTTGACGATACTACACATGACAATTGGTTAAGCTTCAAGTGTGATTTCCAATGAGTGCTCATCATTTCAATATATGTACGTCCTCCAGCATATTATATAACATCCATAATCATCAGCCTCTATACTCGCCGCCTTATCCAAGCAGCAACGGCTGTGAAACAAAAAGCCGACTATCGCCGGCTGGAACAGCGAAAATGACCTTCTAAACTCCTTCAATGCAGACGAAATGAGTTATTCGTCATATGCCTCCCATTTTTACAAGAAATCATGTCGTAACGCGTGAAATGCAAAATTATCAGACTCTATCCAGTCTAAGCCAGGTTGCTCTCAGCCTTTTGGTGGCGGTGGGCTCGGCCCTCGTCAGACCAGGGGAAGTGGATGACAGGAACTTGGAAGAAAGAGTTGCTGAAGAATGTTAGTATTTGAAACTCATATTCATTGAAGGGAAGAGACATACCTGCTGTCCTGAAGACCGGCAAGGGCATTGTACCAAGCCATAAAAGCAGCCAAGAAACCAAAGAATCCAGCTGCCTTCTGCAGAGCGATCTGAGCAGCGTGGTTACCCAGATCGTGGGCGTAGTTCTCGCAAGCGAGCAGAAGGAAGCAGATGTCGAGGAAGAAGAAGAGCGAGAAGAATGCAACGGTGGATCTGAGGGTGCAGATGAGGAGAAGAGTCGTGAAGATGAACCAGCCAGTAAGGAAGAAACCCATGACTGAGCCGGTCTCGCCCTCGTAGGGGCCATCAGCACCGAGGACGTTCCATGTAGGAGTCTGGAGGAGACCATAGGCGATCCAAAAACCTCCGTAAGATGAGAGGGCAGTGGCACCGAAGGTGTTTCCAACAGCCATTTCCCTGTTCTAGTCAGTATATGGTAAACACAAGTTTGGGCGCGAGACATACCACATGCCAGCCAAAAGCTGAACAAGACCACCATAGCCAAAAGCAACAGGAATAGCAATAGCAGGTGAGGTTTCACCGCGAGTATGCATGTTGATGCATGACAGAACAAAGGTAGTAAGAGCGAAAGCGCTCAGTCCCAGAGGCGCAGGGTTGGCGAACTTGCGGTGCTCTGTAGGCTTCCATAGACCAGGCTGAAGAGCACCACCGAAGGCGGGATGGATCTGGTGAGGGTTTGCATAGAGATGAGGATGGGCTGCTTGGTGAGCGGCGGTGGTTTGGCGCTCAAGAGTCTGGTCTGAATCGTGGTGATCGTTTGTGTACGACTTTCGAAAGTCGGGCATTTGGTTTTGTTCAGCCATTTTGATGTGTTGGACGTGATCGTCTAAGAGACCGGTCTAAGTGGTGGTGGTATAAAGTCTATAAGCGATAATGACCTCAGCTGAAGAGTAGAGATGACGAGAGAAAGAAGAAAGACAATGGGGAAGGAGATGAGATGAGATTTATAAAGCAAAAAGGGAGACTAGGGCAAAAGAAAAATTGATGAGAATATCTTATTAATGTATCGAGGAAAAAAGAGTTGGGAATGGGGGATGGGGACTGGGGACCTGGACTGGGATATGTCCCGTGGAGTGATATGGAGACTTGAGTGGAGTGACTTGAGTCTATAGTGGAGTGGAGTGCCCCGAGGGGGAGAGGAGAGGGGAGAGAGGGCGTGGGGAGAAGAAAGGTAAGGCACTGTACCCCAGTTCAAGCAAGTCTAGACTAGAGGCAACTGCACGGTTGATGCATTAGAATTGGGGGACAGACATGATAAATGATAGAATGTAATCAAAGAAACAAGACTATTTGTGACGACAATCTCTTTGTTGAGTTGTTCAATCATAAGGTGACTCAAAAGGCTCTGCGGCCCGGATTGTCCATTGTCTCCTGATAAAAGACATCTCCGGTATAAAACAAGAAATACAAACAGATGGCCATCAATCTGAACAATCTAATTGGTACTCAAACAAAAAGACCCTCACAAGCAGAACAAACAAATCCGGAGAACATCAAAACCCGCGGGGAAACAAGACAACTTGATGTGGGGAGAGCTTCCAACTTGATGATCTACTAGAAATGCAACACGCACGGTCGACTCGGCCATTGACTTCCAGAGAACAGCAGACGTGAGTTGCATGCAGGTTGGTGCTGGGGTGATCCCTTTATTCTGCGGAGAAGGTAGAAGGGTGTTTGCATAGAGATCAAAAAGGATTCGGGAATTAATGTCGGCAGAGATCAAATAGTTTGGATGAAGATTAATGGGGTTGAGAGGCAAGTGTTCAGGTGGAATTTGATGATCATTTGTTGAAGATCGTGGATACTTGTTCCAGTTCCAAGAATCTGGGACAACTGAATGTCAATCATTCTTTGATAGTAGATCTTTTAGAGGGTCCCATTACAAGATGCGAATTAGTAAAAGAAGAATAATCTGTCTGATGCTGTTTGTCCATGACTCCATCAACATAGAAACTGCACTTCAAAGACTGGCGATAGCATCTCTACTACTTCAACACTAGACGGAGAATTCTCTCCGCATATATGACATGTACCTAAGTCTCATCTCAATCTCATTGAAACAACCCCACGATATCTTTAGACCAGCTTAGCAGAATAGGTAGTCCTCAAGCCTTGATGCTCAAAATTCAGGGCGATCCAACGTGGAGAGACCACGCGGAATTATCGCCTAGCGCTGATGATCTGTGCCTACAAACTTGCGTAACCGTCATTATTTACAGTGATTAAGAAACTTGAAGGGCACGTGGTTTCTTCCGCTACAAAATTTAGTTGCAAGCCATGATGCAAAGCGCGGCGGCAGGGGCAGAAGCAAATGGTGGTTGCTAACTAATACTCTCCGACGGCTACGGCCGAAATACTACCCAAGAGAAAAAACATGAGAGTGAAAAGAGGCTGTGAGGGACAAATTGGAGAAAACATAAGCAGGGGTGTATTTAACAATGGGTGAAGAGTTGTGCTGTGCCACCCCCCAATGACAGCATCATCAAAAATCTCCCCCAGCTTCAGATCTTGACTTGTATGCAGAAATTAAGATAAGAAACAGATTAAGAAACCTGGAGAGAATTTAAACTTGAATTAAACAATTCTGGGGGACATGCCAGATTCTGGGGTTTAATCCGATTCTATCCGATTGTTCTTTTTCGACTCTTGTCTCAAGCATGAAAGATGGACGATGACCGAAGGGTTGAAGTGGGACTTGACATATCGTCACGACCCAGTTTATATGTATATGTACAGTACATAATTACGCCGACGTATCCGTACAGGAGATTTACAGTTGATCTTGACTGAGGATGAGTGAGTTAAGATGATCGCTACATCACGGTGACGAAGACTAGAGACCCTTGGTTGACAGCGTTCCGTTATGACATTGGCCAAGGCTGACTTCTCCAAATTGTTCAAAAGGTAGGGTTCTCCTCATGATTTGGAGAAGTCTTGGATGAACAGCGGGAATAACAATAATAGTCAGTCCGACTTGAGCCCCAACAGTGAAAAGGTCAGTTGACTTGACTAAAAGTGTATAAGAACACGAGAGTAAAAAGGGCCGTTTACTGCATGTCTGGTTAATTAAAACAACAGTCCAAGCTCCCTTCAATTTACCCTCGGTTCCCAGTCGGCTACAAGACGGGTACTGTCCATCGAATGACAGAGTCTCAACTGAAAAGAGCCTCCTGGCCGCTAAGCAGGGGTACTGATAGTGTTCGGCATTCCAGGGCTTGGCGGTAAGCGGCTCTTTTCAGAGACTCGGTCGGTCAGAGATTTTTCTTTTCTTTTGTGTGAAGCTGAGTCGAGATGTGCTGATTATGGTTCTGTTGAGTATCATTCTGACTCAGTATTCGTATGCGCCTCTTGCTTCGTCGGTCAGACAAAGACAGACAGACCTTCGAGAACAATCTCATCCAATTATCGGGGATCTGCCGTTCATGTTTTAGTGGCTCCTGTCTTAGCTTCAGGAACTGAAGTCACTTTTTACTGATGACGCCACTGCTTGATTCTCACTGAATTCAACTGAACAGAAAAGAAATACTCTGTTCTCATCTCCTAACTGGTCTTCGATATCGACAACCAACTTCATCTGTAGCCGTCATCGCTTTATTCAGTACGCATTCAGCTTATCATGGCAATGCAGACATAGAGCAGAGTCGCAGCAAAATTTGCCCCATCATCATAACCTGACAAGGTCCCACTGTTCAATCCTTGAATCGTATGAGCCATGCCCCATCAGTGGCGAGACTTGTATTCCGCAGGCGGAAATACCACGCATTCGATTCACTCAGTTTTTGTTTTTGTTTCCTTTTTGCTGACTGCGGATCCGAAGTTACAGTGAAAGTGTCTGTGAATATATGAAGCAACGGACAGGAAGAGAGAGAGACAACCTACATAGAAAGACTTGCTACTCCCGCCTCATTCTAATGAAGCTATTCTCCGATCACGGACAACCTCATCATTCTCAAACCGAACGGATAAAAGCACAGGCCCACTGTCTTTGACCTGAAGAGCTAAGTTTGTTCAGGATCAGATCTGCTCTTTCACGTCGGCAGCAAAGTTGCCGTTCAGCCTCTACAGTACAACCCACTGCGCATATCGGATTTCAACATCCGTGTCCAATACGAGCGTTGCATGCAGTTCGACGCTATTTGTAGTAACCCACTGTTTCTGTTGTTTTCCCCTGATTTGCAGCAGAGGGTAGGGTAGTGCTTGTATAACACGATATCCTCGGTTGGATAAAAACCTTTTGTAATCAATGGAGAATAATTGAAAGTTTTTTACTTCCTTTTTAGGTAACTTCCTTTTCTCCGTGCGGTATTTGTGGTGTTGTTGAGTTGGTCTTTTCAGAATTATGTGTCAAGACTTCGCGAACTTTGACATTGAGCATTGCGAACACTCTGCGAGCAGAACATAACCTCGGTCCTCGTTCTTCCCCTGAATACGCGCATTACATTTCGTACAGCGCTGGTTGGGTCTCATGTTGACAAAAAGTCCCCCTTGCCTAAGCGACATCAAGGTCTCCAGTATCCGGATGGACCGGCATCGAGCACGCTCAACCGATGCGAGTTGTGAACTTTTGCAAAGTCCCTGATTCGAACTCCCGAGTACGTCGAGCTAGTGGTACTGTAGTATGGTTGATGCTACTGTATCCCATCTTCGAAGGCTTGGGTTGAGAGCAGCGTCTTTCATGTTGGCCAAGGGAGGCAAGTTTAACCATGAACCACGGATGGGGGCTCTTATAATTGCTATTAACTTGCGGAGGCGGCTCCGCTTGAGCTGAGGCCTTGATGTCCTATGGAAGATCACAGCATGTTTACAGCCATGCTCGTCAGGTCAGCAACTTGAGTGTCACTGATAGCTATAACGAGACCTGTTGACGATGGGATGTTGAATGGTAAAGGGGACTTGAAGGCTACTCGAAAGAAGGCTGCTCTGTGCTTTGTTCTATCGTGAGTACTCTGCAGTTCACTTGAGCAATGTTGTGTTCTGTCGTAGTAGAACAATCTGCTAGCCTACGCTCTAATCCTCGCAACACACTCCCATAGTCTCATACGTCCAGAAAACCATCTGGTCTGGAGCCTTAGAATGGCATCGGTTCCGCAATCATGCCACTTGATCTAAGATCCAACGCTGATCTTCACATCCGCAAGCACAGACATGTCCATGAGTCCATCCCCACGGGGGAAAGCACCCCAGAATGCTTCCAGAGCACGGTTTTGTTAAATCTGAGATCTTATCTCTTGCCACTTGCCGTCATATCCGAGTCCCACTCCTGAGTGTGTTCATCCTGGAAGCATGTTGCGACTTGTCACCACAACATTGGAGCGAAAACTATTAGACGACAGGTATGTTGGTGCTCAACATTGATCCCCGTAGAGGTCTGTATTGTCTAGGTATCATTGTGTTGGGAATTGTTACATAGTGTATAACCACATTGAGAGAGTTAATTAATTGGAAAGGGAACATAGTGGTGACGAAAAGGTGGTACACCTAATATTGGTCAGTTTCATTCTTTCTACTTACCTGTTTGACATTACCAGCATGTCACTAACAAACCGCCTAGAAGATCTACTTCTCGACATGGTCATGTACTTCTATCCGATGCATCATCATCATCAACCATTGTGATCATGAACCAAGTGGCCAAGTGGCAGGGTTCCAGAATTTATCATCATCATGAATAAACAGACAGCCCCAGCTCCAGCGAAGCTCACTATCACCAGTCATCTCGATGTCATCCGAAGCGCGCTCTTCGGTGTCCGCCTTCCAGAAGGTCAACATAGCAGCGATCTTGACAAACTCAAGAGCATACTGGAAGGGAAGACTGAGCAGTAGGCACAGGAGGGTAACAACGATGTTAAAATCGCTTCCATCGCTACGATGCATGCGGATAGCCACGAATAGACCTACCATAGCTTGGAGGACTAACACTGCACCATGAACAGCGAGCCATCCATATAGAACGTCGTCGTGGAGGAGATCATAGTTGAACGCCATGATCACACTGAGGATATCCGCGAGGAGAACGAAGGAGAAGATGTTTGGCCACCAGGTCATGAAAGCTGCGGCAGGATAGATGACATGTCTTCTGCGAATCAGCAGCCAGTGGGAGGTAATAGCCATGTCCCAGCACGTTCTCCAGTTGTTTCGCGTTTCCCGGAGGAACTCGCTGAGGAAATGACCAACAGTGTTCACCTCAACAGAAACAGTTGCTTCGGGGCTGTCCTGGAAGTAGACATACTTGTTACCACCAAGGAAAAAGCGGTTCAAGAAAAAATGCTCGTCACCCTTGAGAACACCCGATCGCCCAAAGAACCACTTCTCGTGCTCAAATTCCTTCTTGAATCTATCATTCTTCAGATAGTGAGTTCGAACAAGGGTAGCACCGCCGCCAAACAGAGCAGAGCCATCGAAGCTATTAACAGCCCGGTTGTCCTCGGCTTGGACACTGTAATAGAAGGAGAAGAGGTGGGCCTTGACTTTTTCCCAGATGCAGTTCGAAGGTTGTAGATGCGCTCGCTTGGGGACAGTAACAGCCGCGACTTCAGGGTCATCGAATGAACAACAAGCGGACATGAGGAAGCGGTCAGGCCAGTAGGTTCCCTGCTCGGTAATGACTGTCAGAGAATGAACACTGGGCTGGATATGTTTCAAGGCGTGAGCGATCTGGCGACGTTTGTTAGTTCTGTTCACAGCACCGACGTTGATCTGAGTATATCCAAACTTCTCTCGTAGGGGAGCGACTTGTGCCTCGACTCTATCGAAAGCCTCTCGGCCGACAAGAACGACATAGAGCTGCTGGGGGCGGTTGACCAGGATACTCTCGATAGTTGGCAACAGGTTGTCATTCTCGTGGTCCACCACGGGGAGAACGACTGCGATTTTGATCAGGTCGACGGTCTCTGGGTATTGAGTTCGAGGGGTCGAACAGTATCTCGCACGACCGACGTGATACAGGCCCAGCCAAAAGTATCGGATAGAGTAGATGACGATGAGGACGATAGCCAAGGCGGAAGCGCCTTCCTTGGACAAGAATGAGTTAAACATGGTGTAAACTCGGAGTTGAATGGTAGGTAACAACAAAAAGCTTTCAAGAATTGTGGTAAGTAAACAAACTCTCTGTGAGCTTTCTGGGAAAGGATGGATGATACAGAACGAAAAGAAAATCACACAGAGACCGGAGAGCTACGGGTTTATATGCTAGTTGAGATCCTATGCGAATTTGAGCTACGACAAAGGCATAGTCTTGTCAGCAATTGAACACTCAGACAATAGTGTTGGACGACAAGCTTGTTCTAATGACAGACTAAATGACATAGAACATATGCTGTACCATAGAAATTGTATCGTAGGAACATGCTCAATTGGATAGGGATAGATAGCAGTCTTGAAACAAGTGAAGCATCGTGATGTGATTCCACCCTATAACAGATAACAATGCAGAAGTAGCACCCTTGATCATCTCATGCCTCGGTACTTTCGATATGTCATCAATTGCTACTGCATTGACTGCCGATCTTTAATTGACTTTACTAAACTACCCCGCGAATAAGTCGGTCGGGATACAGTAGAATAGGCGGATGAGGGAGCGGGTAATAGCCGATCTGATCGGCCGAGATTTTGAATTGGATGGAAGCTTGATGTCTTTCCCCCGCTTTATCCCCAGACCGAGATGAGATCTTACTATTCACCCAAAAAGGAAGCAGAAAGGAGACGAGATCTGAGCCGAGAAGTTGTAAGACAAAATAACCAATCATCACAGAGCCGAGGAAACGGGCTTGGGACTCGAGACAAAGACTTGATGATAGGTCATTCATCATTAATAATGGCTTAAGCCCCCCCGCGTGCTGTGGCTTTTTCTGCGCCGTCATCCGAAAGACTGTAACTAAAGATGCATCAAAACTGGGTCCGTTCTATCTCCGGGCGCCATTTCCGGCTCTCCATATCCTCTAAGCCGGGGTAATAAGAAAGACTTGGGTCCCTTTTTTTTTCTCCTCTCCTCTCCTCCTCTTTTTCCAATTGTTCATCAAAATGGCTGATCCTGAAGAGAAAAAGGCGGATCAAACTCCAAACCAGGAGACGGCAGCGAGGAGGAGTCAGGATTCTACCACCACCGAAGAAGGCGATGTCATCACTCCTGCGCACCAGATCCAACAGACGTCAACCTCGGAAAAGCATGATGGCGATATGTTCCCTCCTCAAAACGATGCTCCTCCTCCACCGCCCAATGGAGGTTATGGATGGGTATGTTGCGCCTGTGTCGCTATCATCAACGCTCATACATGGGGTCTCAATTCGAGTTACGGAGTCTTTCTCGCGCATTATATCCAGAACGACACATTCCCCGGTGCGACATCTCTTCATTACGCCTTTGTTGGGTCCCTGAGTATTGCTTGTGCTATGCTGATATCGCCCGTTGCTACGCTCTGTGTTCGCGAGTTCGGCACGAAACCGACTCTTTTCTTTGGCATTATTCTCGAGACTGCTAGTCTGATATGTGCTAGCTTTGCCTCCAAGATTTACCAGCTGTTCCTGACTCAGGGTGTTTTGTTCGGTCTTGGAATGGGGTTCCTGTTTGTTCCAAGTGTTGGTATTGTACCTCAATGGTTTACTACTCGTCGATCTCTGGCAAATGGTATCTCGGCTGCTGGGTCAGGCCTCGGTGGTCTTCTTTACTCCTTGGCAGCGGGAGCAATCATCCGAAATATCAGTCTTCAATGGGCATACAGAATCCTCGGTATACTCGTCTTCGTCGTCAACATCATCTGCACCATCCTTGTCAAAGACCGCAACAAGATCATTGGCTCACGACAAGTTCCTTTCGACCTCGGCCTCTTCAAACGTCCCGAATTTGTCCTGCTTCTTGGCTACGGTTGGTTCAGTATGCTGGGCTATGTCGTCCTTATCTTCAGTCTTGCCAACTACGCCAACTTTATCGGTCTCGATGCATCGCAAGCAGCTATGGTCAGCGCCATTTTTAACCTGGGACAGGGCGTTGGCCGTCCTTTTATCGGATACTTCAGTGACCGAACCGGGCGCATCAACATGGCCTGCGGGACTACTTGGCTAGCAGCAATTCTTGTCTTTGCAATTTGGATCAACGCAAAGTCATATGGCCTGTTGCTCTTCTTCACTATCATCGGAGGTGGCATGGCTGGAACATATTGGGCAACAGTCGCACCGGTTACAGTCGAAGTCGTCGGTCTTGCTGATGTCCCTGCGGCACTCAACTTGACATGGCTTGTTATCAGCTTGCCCTGTACCTTCAGCACACCCATCGCACTACAAATCGTCGCAGGAACAGGAAAGTACATCGGAGCTCAAGTTTTCGTCGGCTTCATGTACGTTGCTGGAGGTCTATGTCTATTTATCCTTCGTGGATGGAAGATCGGTGAGCTTGCTGAGATATCTCGGGCTACGAATCATGATCCCGATGAGATTACTAGGGTCAGATCTCAAGCTAGTGGAGCTATTAGCATTAAAAGCAGAAGGGTTGGAAGGAAGAGGATGTTGGCTGAATGCTATAAACCTGGGCAAGTCTAGGTGGCTTGCCGGTGATATCAAGCAAAGACTTTACACCACTTGTATTTAAAAGCAAATGTATATACGACCTGGTCAAAACTTCGGCGTTTAGTATATAAGCATACGGTAGTAGTCAACATGCAGCATTGTTCATTTACATGCATACATAATGTTATGGAATATAATCCTCACTTGTATTGGTTTGACATTACCCAACAGTGTATCTCATGGAAAGTCACAGGTAGTTCTCTTGTCATTCGATTTACATGCGAACACACGTAACAGCTCCAATGCGTATTTGAACATGCTGTTTGACATCGATATGAAAAGCATCTTGGTGCTCCCGTGCCTAAGCTTCTTCGAGGACGCTTCCCTGTTCACTTATACGAGAATAAATATGAGGCCAATAAATATTGAGCACTTGTACAAAGAAAAGTCCTTTCGTGAACAGTCTTTGTTCTCATTGAAGTATATGAATTACACCAGGGTAGGCACGTGATCAGGCGTCGCGCCTGCCTGCTTCAACGCGTCCGTCGCCCCGCAAGATTCGCGATCTTAACCTCACGTCATAATCCTACTTCGCCAAAAACTTCTATGGGATCGTGAGCGACGTCGCGTCGCACTTGGCGCAAGGAGATGTGGATCTTGGAGAATTCCGAGGCCTTTGACGGTGAGAGAACAGCTCTTTCAACTTTGGGCAACCCAATCTAATGATCCATAGGCCGAAGACTGTGGTTGCGACCAGGGAAAACATATCTCTTTGGGCGAACAGCAGCAGAACGTAAGGAACACAGTCCTTTAGAATATGGCCTCGAACTAATATGTGGAACAGCTGGCCAATTGGCTATATCGCACAACACCATCTCGCGCAAGCATCTAACAATCACAGTCAGCCCTGTCGAACCAGGCCAGGCGCATAACCCCTCGAGTCGCTCCACGCTTACGATCGAAGACCTGGCGACGAAAATAGGCACCGTAGTCAACGGAGAAAAGATCAAGGGCAACAAAAAAGTGGTCGAGGGAGATAAGGCCGAGTTTACCATGGGTAAATGCCCAAACAAGTTTTGGTAACCCGTTCCATCCGAGCTTGGTGTTGCTTCGCTTACGATCTGCAGTATCACATGGGAACCAGTCATCTTCGCATTCTCTTTTACCAGCAAAGAACTTCAAACAGACCCCCTGGCGACACTTCGAGAACGATTCGAGCAGCTCGATATCAAAATCGTACACGAATATGTCAACTCCACCACGCATGTCGTTTCAAAGAAGCGAAACACTGCCAAAGGATTGCAAGCTTTAATAATTGGGAAACACATAGTGACTGAAAGTTTTATCGATGCCGTGGTGGAAGCTGGTACTTTGCCAGAAGGAGCCCAAGCCACTGAGCTAAGTCCTTTGGAGCAAGACTTCAATAAAAACTGGCCCGACGCTCTGCAGCATTTGCCCCCGAGAGGTGGTGAGCCTGTACAACATCCAGACTCGACATATGCTCCGGACCCAGGACGAAAAGACATTTTTGAAGGATACACCTTTATTTTCTACGACTCAGTGCAGTACAACAACTTGTTAGCACCCATTACGAATGGCGGGGGCAAGGCATTGTTACGAGAAGTTACACCTCATGAAACTCAAGTGGATGAGTTTGTGCAATATGTCAAGGGCGTCGCTGGAGAGAAAGGCCTTGGAGCTTTCGATGATGGCAGCGAGGGCAAAGGGGTTGTGGTTGTACGCTTTGTGCCCTCCAAGGGAACAACCGTCGACTGGTATGTTGAGTTCTTCAGAACGGTGTCTGTGAGACTGGACCATCGCCCTATTGAACAAAGCGAGTTCTTAGAGGCAATACTCATAAAGGACGCGAGTATCCTTCGACGGCCTCTGGAGGTGGAGTCTTCACATAACACCCAAGAGCAGAATCATAATCAGCAAGAAGCTGAAGTATCAGGGGGCTCACAAAATCTGAATACGCAAGCTCAGACATCAATGTCAGCCGAAGAGACACAGACCGCGCCTCGACGAGGGCGAACTAGGAGGCCCATCAAGAGACGATTCGCAGGCTTCGATGATGAACCTGAGATTGATATGGATGATATTCCGCCTGCCCCAGCACCTGAGCCCCAGCCTGCGACTCAGCAGCCTGCCACACAGATGCAAGCGGAAGAAGGGGGATTGTTTGTTTCACAAGAACCTGACATTCTACCCGAGCCTCAACCATCTAGCAATACTCGCTCGTCGCAAAGGAAAAGGCGGCACTCGCCATTGCCTGAAGATGACCTCATGGATGGCATGACGACTGCAGCAGAAAGGTTCAAGCGTCAGCGAATCGAGAGAGGCGAAGATATGGACGAGCCACCTCAACAGATGGAGACACAAAAAGCAGAGCCTGTTCCAGAACCAAAGAAGAAGATTAAGAAAGAATTCGATATTCTGGCAATAGCCGCTCAGAACAGAGAACAAGAAGAAGCTCGTGCTCGAGCAGAAAAGGAAGACCTGGCGAATCTACCTGACGATGTCGATCTTTCCGAAATCCGCAGACTCAACATAGTAGAAGAGATAGAAGTGCGACAGCCGAGTAATGGCCGAACCCGGGAACAAGATATCCGCGATGGTAGATGGAATCCTAAATGGAACGGCATGAAGAACTTCAAGAAGTTTAGACAGAGAGGCGAGGAGACAGGACGACAGCCAGCAAGGACTATCGTGCCCCTGACGCAAGTCAAGACAAAGGAGTTTGGCGTTGGCGACGACTACTGGCTCGAAGATGAGGAAACATCCCGCGGAAAGAGCAATCCAAACCTACCATCGACCAGAGAGACACAGCCTACGGCTCCAACTGAGACTCCTGTTTCTATCCCCACGCGCCCTCAAAAGCGAACAGTTGCTACTGTTCTGTCTGACAGTAGTGACGAAGAAAATAGTCGAGCTACACAGCGATCATCAGCACCAGCGACACGAACACGAGGGGCACAAGCTACAGCGTCGCAGTCGCAATCCCAAGCCAACACAAAAAGTCAGGCAACCCGGTCCACCACCAGCCAAGGTAGCAAACGAGCTGCAGCAGAGCCTGCTGCTGGACAGCAGCCTGCAAAACGGGCACGACCAACGAGAATGGCTGTTGAAATCGCCGATAGTGACAGTGATGATGAGCTCAAGTTTCGATTCGGAAAGAGACGGTAGAGACCGGTCTCTATGGGGTATCTTTCTAGCTAGTTGTACATATATATCTATCTGTTCCGGTAGGAGCTTCTATGGCGTAAAGATGGCGGTCTAATACATTCAATAACTCATACTCCCGCATCAAGGATGATCTAGTCGTTGCATTTCTGTGTATGGAGTTGGCTCTCAACACGAACAGCCTAATCCATCTGATCCATCTGACTCTGGGCACCTTCGGATTCCTCGACAAGGAGTCCCACCAGACAAGCAGATAGCATAGTCTCGTAGTTAACCCAAGGATGAACCTCACCAAAGAGTTTGGTACCATCACGCCCAGCAGCGCGCATCAGCTCGGGAACTCCACCGGGGTGAAAGTCAGCATAGGGTGTGACATTGTACACCTTGCCGTTGAGCGCCATCCAGGCATCCTTACCCTTGCGACCCGTCATGCGCTTCAGCATAGAGGGAGTGACGCGCAGATACGGTGTTGAGGGCTCGACTCCACGAAGATCGGCATTAGGTCCTGAGATGCGAGCCCAGTCAAGAGGAGAGTGTCCTGGGGTAAGAAGGACCTTGCGACTCGGCTTGTTGGGCTTAGAAGAGTGTGTCGGCGGCGGCGCAAGACCACCAGATGATGGAGGACCTCGGTTTGGGACAGGACCACGAGCTCGTTGCGGCGAGTTGACAGCGGGGAACTGGGATAGTGTAGGCAGGCGACCGGATGGAGGGTTTGCGGTGGAAGTCGGAGGAGGAAGACGTCCCGGAGCGGGAGGCGGAGGCATCATAGAGGACTGGTTCGCATTAGGAAGGCCGAGAGCGGGAGCGGGACCCGGCGCTGTGGGGTCTCTGCGCGGAGCGGGGTGGGAACTAGGCGCAATAGGAGCATTATCAAGGCTGAAACTTGGGACGGTGATAGATGGAGGGTTGGATGCGACAGCCTTGGGAGTTGTCTGTTCCTCTGGTTCGGCGATGGTCGGTGGTGGGGGCGCAACCTTTGGCAGGGGAGGCGGCGGCATAGACAAAGCATCGCTTTTCGCAGGCTTCGACGAAGACGTGGTACTGGTCGCTGTAGTGGTAGCCTTTCCTTGATCGCTGTCTTGAGTGGTACGGTTATCGGCCGGACGAGCCCGGAGTCGAGGGCCCGGTTCCACCTCGTGATCCGACACCATGATACGGGGTCCGGGATCAGAATCACCCTCAGCCTCATCCTTAGCTGCAACAGCGGGACGTCCATCGCCTCTCCAGCGCAAAAGAACCTGTAGCGGCTCTGGCATCCATGATGGCGGGCGAACCATGACCCAAACGACCGAAGCGACGATGAGCGATATGCCAATGTAACCCATGACGACACTCTCTTAAAAGAGAGATAGATAGAGAATGAAACAAAGTAAGGATGAAATGAGTTTCTTCCCCAGGTGACTTGTCGATTGGCGAGAGAGTGGGTTGTGGAATGGTTATTGCAGAATCATCGAGCCACTTTGCGATGCGCCTCCAATGTTTGTAATTATTAAACTTGTCAGCGGACAAAGGAAAAAGAAAGGTGGATGCAAAAAGTCCAGACTTTCTGACAAGCTGAAAGTCCGAAACAAAGCTGGAGCCTTGCAACGGCATGGCGTTGATTGGCTGAGGAGCTTGGATTCTAGGGTCCTTTAGTGCCCCTCAGGTACGAATCCCCGGGAATATTTAGCGGAGTCTCTCACCATCACGAGCTGTCTGCCTGTATCAACAGGAGACATGGAAGTCTTCTAATGGTACCTTTTTCTTCAGCACAATATCTGTGAGTTCAGAAAGAGCACCAGATAGGCTCGGCAAAGAGCTTTGCATAACTTCAGTCATGTTCGGAATCTCAAATATCTGTAACGCCTCCCGAGTCTAAAAAAAGACAGCCGAAATATGGTATCCATGTGAATAGCACGGGTATCAGATAGATGGGGAAAGCTAGAATAATTCCAGAACTCCAATTATACACTTTTGCTAACATGTGCAACAGCCTCTTCTGTGAATGTCAAAGAGTAACGAACGCCCACTTCTTGATATCTTTTAACTCAAGCATGACAGCGATGTTAACGTTAATAACCCGGTTCCCTCAGAGTCATGCCACCAAACCTGCGATCGACAGCCGTAGAGCTAGCATAAGTATTTGGCAGGGGCCAGGGCCTTCGGGGGACGAGATGAGGACCTCACGAGCAGGGGTCATTCCATGATCAATGTTCTCGGTTGACATGAGAATGTAATAAGAGTGGGTTATGAGAAAGGGGAATTGAATAACTATTGTCCCGAGGTAGTTCTACAGTTATGATCAAGTTTATAGGGAATCTGTATTTGTGAAAGATAAACAATTGAATCTTGTGCAGCTAACCTATCATGGCATATGCAGACCGCCAGGTATGTTTCGTGACGATAAGAACCAGTCAAAGTCCTCAATTGAAGCACATATGAGACGTGTATCAATAGCATGACATACAGATGTAACCCGGTATACAATCATGAATGCAAAGTATATGAAAATAATATTCAGAAATCGGTAAGCATGATCGGATTCATGAAGAGAGCAATGGGAACAGGAAAGCTGAGCAAGGATGGTCCCATCCTATCCTGACCTTGCCCATGGCTGAGATGAATGACCACAATCCCTTCATCCCGCTAGTTTCTCGTCAAGGCATCTATGGAGCAATATCCCTAGCATCTCCGTCCTTTTTGCCGTATTGTGACTCTTCTCTCCCTTCTTTTCCTTTTACTCCTCTTGCGTTCGCCTCATTGACATTACTCCTCCAATTATATACATACCTATCAAACCTCCACTGTGACAATCTCTGTTTCTACCGCGGCTCCTCGTTAGCGGTGAACAACGTCTTTATTTCTATACGCTCGCTGCACAGAAACAGGATCCTCTCACCTGCATGCAGCACAAGACAGAAAAGAAAAACGTCCCCCGCTTTGTTCCTCGGACAGGAAAGCCACCAGACTTCATTTATCCAACAATCGACTGACCCCACCGCCTCTTGTCTTGCCTTGTCTCTGATTTCTCGACCTCCAGCTGTTTGTTTACTTTTTTGACGTGGTCGCCTCGACACTGGAGCTGGAACTCTAATTAGCCAGAGACCACTAGTGCTCTAGTGATCATCAGCGCTGCAACATAGGCGCTCCAGGCCATCGCCCAGCACAATTTACTGAAGGTCCCCTTAACCTGATTCGCTACGGTTTCGCCTGGTAGCCAATGAGAGTTCACCGCTCTGTCCCGCTACCAGTCATCTCAGCCTGAGCCAGCCCGCCCAGAAGTTCGAGGCGCTCGCTCCGACTTGTACCCAACTCGTGGACCGGACAGGATGCGCACTCTAAACACCATCAACTCGTCATCCTCTCGTCCTACATCTCCGGGTCTTACAGCCTCTCAGCCTCATACTCGACGTCCTCTTACTCCATCGACAAACGAAAAACTAGTCACTTCTTCTAAACCACTCCCAAAGACAAGATCCCAGGCCCCTGCCGGAAAGACCCAGGCTCAGGCACAAGCTCAGGCTCAGGCTCGTCCTCGATTCTCCTCGGCTGGCAACACTCGCACGTCGCCATCCCTTGGCTTCCACGATCCGAGCCAACAACATGTTCTTTCAGTAACCGCTACAATCACCTCGACCCGCTCAACCTCGTCGAGTTCCGCACCTCCTACCGCCAAAATGGCCCCTAGCGAATCGAGACACCGCCCCCCGCAACTCAGCGCCGCTGCTGCAAAGTCGGTCGGACGAACGCCCTTGACTCCCAAGATTGCTTCGGCAGCCAAGGGTCCTACGTTAGGTGCACCTCCTCTAGTTCGAAGATCGACCCAAGGACTGTCCGCAGGCACATCTCATCGAGACGAAAGTGCTGTGACTCCTCGAACCGGCAGTCGACAAAGCCGTCACAATAGCAATACTACTACTCCCAATGGGACCCCAAGTTTAGACCAAGAGGGCTGGAACCCTCGAAACTCCTGGAATTCAACAGGGAGGCAATCTCTGTCTCGATCTGAATCTCGAGCTGAATCTCCTGCTGATCCAGATGCCAAATTCTTTCGTGCTAGCGATAAACCACCTTCATCACAACCTTCCGGCGGCCGTCCTTCGCTAGGCTCCCAAAAATCGAACAACTTCTTCCATGCCAGTAAAGCCACTTCGGAATTTAAAAAGGCCACCAGTCCTGCTACTGCGCCGCATATTCCAGCATCCAATGCCGCGCCCGAGCCTTCAGCTTCAAAGTTCTTTTATGCAAATGGCACTGATCTTGAGTTAAAACCTACATCAGCCAACGCATCCAGCACGAGACTTCAGTCCAAACGTCCAAGTACCAGCAGCTCAACAAATGAGCACTCGATCAGCTCGCAAAACTCGAGACCACACTCTCCTATCAAGATTGCTCAGCCAAATCCCTCTATTCTTAAGAACCCGGGCGCAACTGGACTCAGTGGCAGACCGCAAGTAGCGTCACCGCCCCAGATAGCTTCTCCACCGCCATTAGCTCCCCCGGCATCTATAACCGCAAAGAGACGGGTCAGCATCGAGTCGGCCCCTAGAAATAGAGGCCATGCGAGAGCTGGTAGTGTTCCGAACTTTGATCACTCTAATTCGCCTAGGCTGCCCATGTCGCCGGGCCGAAGGCAGCATGAATTCTCGCCTCCCGGAAGCCCTGGTGGGATACAGCCAGCTTTCACTATGGCATCGATTCTCCAAATGGCCGAGGATCTCAGTGATGAAGAGGAAGAGGAGGAAGCAAAGGACACCCAAGACGAGGGATCTCAGCCCGACCTTCAAAGCCCTACCAAGTCCAGCCATGGTGAGCCTGTGAACGATCTGGTAGCTAATGCTCGAAGGGAACGAAAGGTGCAAGACTTGGAAATCACCAATGCCTCTCTCGAAGCTATAAATCGCACGCTAGAAAGGCAAATGCGGAAGCAGCAGGCCGAGATTCGCCGGTTCAGACGACTATCCAGGTCAGGTCGGCTTTCTGCCGTTGCTTCAGCTGCCTCTAGCCGAGTTACCTCTGCAGCATTGACGGATGCCCCTATCAGTCTTTCCGATCTTAGCGAGGAGGACGACTCAGCACCTCCTTCTGAAGACGAAGAAGAGGACTCGCTTGACGAGTCTGACCTGTCAACTGATTCGATTTCAGCTCCCGAGGCTCTCGATCCCAGTGACGAGAAAGCTATGGAGAAGGCTATGGCGCGACGGAAAAAGGACGAGGATCGCCTCCAGCTCGACTTGTCTAAACATCGCGATATTCTCGTCGATAGTCAAAAGATCAATCAGAGCATCAAGCGATGCCTCAACTGGACTGAGATTCTTATCAAGGAAGGCCAGAAGGCTTTGGAATACAAGGTCCGTGTCACAGACGTTGAGTTTGGTGGCCAGATATTGCCTCCTCTGAATGATGACGACGATGAAGATCTGTCCGAGGTTGACGATTTTGGAACCGATCCTGGCAGTCCAGTAGATGAACCTCCTCTGCCTTGGGAAAAGAGCTCCCAGGATCGTGATAGTGGCATCGAATTGCAGCCAGACAGCAATTAGTGTCGCTCCACACCACTTTGACATTTATAATTAGCCTCAATACCCATCACAGCATTTTAAGATTGGCATTTCGAATCTACAAAACATCGGAATTTTCTTTTTCTCTTCTTTCGACTATACACACCAGCCAAGCCTCAGGGCACCACAACAAACAACACCATCTCAAGATCAACGAAGTCAATGGAATGAGAACATGCATGCATAATAGGCGTTGAGCAAGCAAGCGATCGTTTTTGTTTTTCCTTTGTTTCTTTCAACCGCGATTTGCTTGCCAGCGACTCCATGACTATGCACCATCAATTCCACCTTTCAAATCGATCTTATGCGCCTGTCTTCTCCCACGAGAAGCCCCACAACAAAACAACAATCGGCCTGGACAACATTATACACATACACCCTTCAGAGAATCGGGTACTTTTTTGAATTTTTCATTTGTCGCAGAGATTTGTGCTTCAATTGTTTTTGTTTTTGAATACATACTATGTATAACAGATACCCCGGAGGAAGTTTTCACGCCAGAACCGGCGAGTCTGAGATGGAATCATTGGAGGAATTACAGAGACGAGAGCCTGTTATGAGGATCGCTTGTGCGCCTCGTGATAGTGTCTTCTCATGTACTGGAAAAGAGGGAATTGAGAAATCAAGTAGTCAGAATAGGAAATGGTCATAGAATTTTAGGAGATGGCTCCAATCTTCAACTCAACCTTAAGCTCTTCATCACATCACACATTGACTTTATATACACATGCGGTGTACCTCTTTGATGATTGATCATTCACATTGATGTTGACCTTGCCGACATGCTCTATCGCAAGTAATGAGTCATCGCCTACCTACATCCATGTTTCCTTCTACATGTAGAATGAGAAGAATTATTATATTCGTTATGGGCTCATCAAGAAGAAGGCTCAAAGTGGCTGTAAGATCATATTAACAAAGGGGGAATAGCGTTATGAAAATTGTATCTAAACCAGTGCCAGTTGTCCTCATCTATACCTATCATCCGTCTGCCGATCATCAAGCAAACCTGCTTCAAATTGATATCTTCTACCCTTCTCGCGATGTCTCAGCCACGCAGGTGTCCTGTTTCCCTGCTGTGTAACTTTGCTCTCACACGATCTTGTCCAAATCGGAAGTTTTAACGGCTTTTTGCTGCAGCTCAGGGTGTCGAGGCAGCAGGTTCCTTATCCTTTTGCTCCTTGTCCCTGTGGCTGTGGAAAGACTTGCGGTCCTTCTTCTTCTTATGGTCCTCCTCTTTGTCCTTCTTCATAGCGGCCTCGGCGACCAGTTGCTCAAATACCAGGTAGTCGCCTTCCTCTTCAGGGGATCGTTCAGCCTAGGAATTGTTAGTCAAAATCGAGTAAAAGTTGGAAATTCTCGACATACCCTGACAAAGACGTCACCAATAAGAACCAAAGCTTGTGCGCGCTCTAGTCGTTTGTTGAGGGGGACCTTCTTGTCGTTCAGAATGCTGTCGCAAACCTCACGCAGGACGCTCTGAATCTCAAACTTGCTTCCCCTCCATGCGGCAGTAAGAATCTTGCCAGTCACACGTCTCTCGTACTCAGCACGCTTCTCGTCGGTCCAGTCCTCGCCACCCTTCTGCTCCATCTTGGCCATGTCCTCCATAGTCTGCTGAGCGTCGATAGCGCTGCTGATAGTGTTCCATGTCTCCTTGACAAGTGTGCCCTTGTCACGAAGTCTGCTGAAGAAACCGCCGATACCGAAGAACTTTTGGCTGCGGAGGAGGCCAGAGGCTTTTGAGACGTAAGTTTGACCGATGGCGTGCAGAATATCAATACCGAAAGACTCCATCTTCAAGTTCTCAACTTCAAGACGCATCTTCTCCTGGAATGCCCTGGTTACATCGGGACCCTTGTCAGTCTCTGTCCAAACGCTAAGTCGGTCGAGAAGCTTCCTAGAGAGTGTATCGACACGCTCCTGTCGGATCTTAGCGCGTTCCTTCTCGTAGGCTGCAAGTTGCTCTCGCTGCTCCTTGGTCAGGCCACCCTTCTTCTTCTCCTTCTGTTGGAGCTCCTCCTCTGTAAGTTCGCGCTTAGTCTCGGCGTCGAGAAGGTCCTCATGGGACTTGTCCATCAATGCAGGTCGGAGGGGGATCTGTGTTCGGTTGTGAGAGCTCGACGAGGGGGCGGGGGATGTGGCATCGGATCGTTGAGGAGCGTCGGCAGAGAGGCCAGCAGCAGGAGGAGGAGCAGCGGCCGCAGCGGGAGCAGCAGCAGGGGAAGCAGGCTTAGTTTCCTTATCGTCGCTGACAGAAGCAGCAGTGTAAGGTGGAGGAGGCGCGCCAGCTTGTTGCTCAGCTTCAGCGGCGGTCTTCTCCTCAGCCTTCTTCTCCTGGTCCTTCATGCTCTCCTTCTTGGCCTCTTCGGTTCCGGGGAAATCCTCTCCAGCGGCCTCGGCGGCGGCGGCTTCCTCAGCAGCAGCTTCAGCGGCAGCAGCCTCCTCCTCCTGCATTGTGATGTCCATAGTCGCCGTAAGGTCCTTCATGAGACTAATCTCGCCGATCCAGTCAACGAAGGCCTCGCCTCCGAAAATGGAGCTGAAGAACTCAGCAGGATCGGCGAAGCCTTCCTGCGGCCTGGCAGACTCCTTTCCAAATTTATCGTATGCTGCTCGTAAGTCGGAATCGGACAAGACCTGATAGGCCTCACCGATGGCCTGGAACTTTTCGTGTGCGGTGGGATCATCGGGATTCTTATCTGTCGAGCACCGTATGGTCAATTTGGGGAGCAGTAAGCAAGTCGCGAGGTTAACGAACCTGGGTGATGGACAATAGCCTTCTTTCGATAAGCCTTCTTGATCTCCAGCTCGGTGGCTGTGGGCTGGACGCCCAAGGTGTCGTAATAGGCGGTATCGACAACCATGATGGATTGTGTTTCCCGGTTCTAGACTGATATTTGGATGTGAACTAGATACCTTGGGTAGGTGAGTGGTGATTTGGGTATTTTAGTATGAAAGGGAAGAAAAAAAGAGTAATCCCAGTCACTGTAGCAAGCAAGAAATGGAAATGTCGATTGATGATGGCGTCGGATTGCCTAAAATGACCGCCTGCCCGCTCAGTCTTGTCTTGGCTTGGCGGAATTTTCCTGGTATGAACCTGACTTGACCTAAGAAACTTTCCCTTCTCTGGGGTTCTTTACCTTACAGGCTTCATGCCCAGCGCAGCCCAGTCTAACTTTAGGTCGAGTCGAGCTAGTAGGAGGGAGGGGTCTTGGTGTCATTAGGGTCTACGTAATGGTGGGGCAGTGTCTGGGCAGTTAAAGCAGCGCCTCTTTTTACCACGTCAACTTTCAAGGATAAACTAGGTTGTTAATTAATGAAGAAACTACGGATATCTTGTGATAATACGGCATATCCAATTACTATTGCACATACCTAATCGTCATATTCATCATGTTCCACAATTTTGAACCATAATATCAAGATTCTCCTTTGGTTTCATGAGCCGATAATAACCCAGAGCTCTGGCAGGACTATACCTATCACAAGCAGGTACCTAGGTGTAAGTGAATACCACGACTTTGTAGAAAAGTGACCAAGACAATAAGTAAAGGGGAAGTTGACAAAATCTTATGGATACTCTTTCCAATCAAAGTTGGCAACCAAATCTTATCGATGAAGCTACTTATTATAACTGGTGATATCCCAAGCTCTCTATTACGACCTCCTGTCAGCGCAAACCTCACCAACAGACACATGTTTTATGAAAGAGTACACCAGTCACGATGAGCTCTAGCTTTCCATCGCCGGTTCGCATGCGCATCTACATTTCAATATAAGACTCGAATGATAGCGGCAGATAAGAGATTAATGAGCGTGTACAGTATGACACAAGTACAAAGCAAAGCTTTGGTACAGAAGTTCGATCAAAGGTTGTACCTCATTGGCCCTTGTTTCTTTCCAAGTGGCAGATGACAAGCATTCGACAGTGTAATTTCCCGTGACCACTGCAACCTCTTCCAGAATCGAGATTACCAAATGCCATGTCGAAAGCGTCCAATCCTGACCGACCTAGCTAGATAGTCTAGTCAAGGCGTAGACTGTGCTTTGGGTAAATCCGGGAGGGCGGTCAGGGTGGCCGGATCGTCTACATGCATAGGGGTCCGTTGCAGTTGGCTCAAAACTTAATGGATAGCTCCTCGTACAAGACTATATGGTGAGACTCAAGCCATTAAGGTCCTTCGCATCATGCATTTTGCATGTCTATTAGTGTATCCTCATTGTAGTCTGGGTCATCCAGCGGTGGGAAATACAGAACTTGGTAAGATGCGTATAAAGCAACCACATCGATGCAGAAGACATCATGACAGACAAATGTTTATGCTCGGAATGTTTCAATTTTCAGGGTCTGTCTGACCAGGGTAAGGCTAGCTCCCTTGGATGTTTCTCCTCGGGTCGGTTGTCAAAACTGCGGTGTCCGGACCGGCAGTCAAAGTGAATCCGGGCAATGTCGATATCACAAACCGGTCGACACCAAGCTCGAGATCGGATCAAGATCTTGGGTTATTCTCAGTTGTTGCATAAGTTACCTTAATTTAACTTGGAATTGAGTTGGGGGTAAGGAACTTTGCTGAACTGCTAATGGATGTCGGATCCGAATACGACAGTGAATGCATATATCGGGGCGCTTGAGCTTTACTCGTATCGTTCTACAAGGATCAGCCTCATCCACAGTCCAAGGTGAGAAATTGAGCTCTTGCATATTGTGGATTTATCCGGAGCGGAGGTCAACCAGTCCATTTTGCTTCTCACATCTATCTGTCTTCTTTCTTTTCCTCTTCTTCCAATCATCTTGTGGTAGCAAAAACACCACAAGACGTTTCCGGGACCTGGTCGTAACTGAATTGGTATATAACCTTTTCTACCTCCCGTTTTAAAGACTCTGCACGACTGTAATAAGACGTGCACTGTTTCTCCATCCTCTCACACGCTCAACCTTTACCTCTCTAGCTTAACCCCCTACCCCCTCACGCCGCCGCCAAGATGGGTTACCTTTACTACCTCCTACACCCTTACCAGCTCCGATCCATTATTCAATGGTAAGTCTATACTGTTCAGGTCCTCGCCTACCAAGAACTTGACTAATGGCGCCTTAGGAAGGTCTGGCATGATCCCGTCCACGAGCGCGATCCCAGCACAGAGTCACCAGAGCTGCAAGAATGCTTCCGTTACCTCAACCTGACAAGTCGAAGTTTTGCGGCTGTCATTCAAGAGCTTAACCACGAACTCCTCGTCCCCATCACCCTCTTCTACCTCTGCCTCCGTGGTCTGGACACCATCGAGGATGATATGACCCTACCCCTGAGCAAGAAGGTTCCCCTTCTGCGAAACTTCCATATCACCATGGAAGAGGACGGTTGGCAATTCCACGAGAGTCAAGAGAAGGACAAGGAGTTGTTGGAACACTTTGATGTTGTTATTACCGAGCTCAAGAAGATCAAGGCCCCCTATCATGAGATCATCAAGGATATGACTCGCAAGATGGGCAACGGTATGGCTGACTACGCTGAGAACGAGGAGATGATTAAGAACGGTGTGCAAACGATCGAGGAGTACGAATTGTACTGCCATTACGTTGCCGGACTTGTCGGTGAAGGTCTAACACGCCTTTTCGTCGAGTCGGAGCTTGCTAACCCCAAGCTTGCCGAGCGACCTTCTCTCACCGAGTCGATGGGTCAATTCCTCCAGAAGACGAACATCATCCGAGACATTCACGAGGATTGGCAAGATGGTCGAAGATGGTACCCCAAGGAGATCTGGAGCCAGCACGTGGATAAGTGGGAAGATTTATTCGATCCCAAGCAAGAAACCAAGGCTCTTGAGTGTGTTTCCCACATGGTGCTCGACGCTCTGAAGCACAGTGAAGAGTGTCTCTTCTACATGGCTGGCATTAAGGACCAAAGTGTTTTCAACTTCGTCGCTATTCCTCAGGGCATGGCTATCGCGACACTTGAACTTGTCTTCCGCAACCCTGATGTGCTCAAGAGAAACGTTAAGATCACAAAGGGTGACGCCTGCAAGATCATGTTCGAGTGCACACAAAACCTCTACACCGTTTGCGAGGTCTTCAAGCGATATGCTCGAATAATCGCCAAGAAGAACGACCCCCGCGACCCCAACTTCCTTGCCATCAGTGCTCAATGTGCAAAGGTATGTATCTGACTCTAACCATAAGCTTCCCTCGCTAACAAACAATAGATCGAGCAATTCATTGAGACTCTTTTCCCCAAACAAGATCCCAAGAAGCTTACTCTTGTGCAAAACCAAGCGCAAAACAAGGAGCCCACTATGGATGCTGGCGAGGCAGTTGTTCTCTTCGGTGTTGTCATGGCAGCTCTGGTCTGCATTGCGGGTATCATGGTACGCAATCCTCTTGCTCCTAGAGCCGGACTGAACTGACATTCCCTCTCCAGCTTGGTACCGCTTGGTTCTTTGGAGCCAGGTTCGATCATATCTTTAAGGAAGCCAGCGTCTTCCTACCGGGTGGCGAGAAGGCCACTCCCATCATCACGGGTCACGAAGAATTGTAGTATAATGCGCGCCGACTTGTATATGTTTCTTTCACGGCACCAACCTTTTTTTTAACGATATCCTAACGTACATACCCCCTTTAGCACAAGTCCTTTTTGGATGGGACCAGCCCATTGAGCGCAGTGCTGGGCCTTACACTATTGTTAATACTACCGGCAACGCGCGATACAGCCCGCGTTGCCATTTCAGTCTTGTCCCCCGTTCCTAACATTTCTGGTGACTGTTTCTTGTCTCAAAAACACCCGCACGGATGTCAAATTACAATCTAGTCTTTCCATGACTATGGTTGCGCCGAAGAAGTGCGTAAATTAAATCTCTTGCTCTTGGTTTCCGCCGCGAGGCGACGTCAACGCCACAAGTCTTTCGCGACTCTAAACAGCGCAATAGGCCGGTGGTGGCGGGCATACATTTCAATACTTATTTGTAAACCTTTTAATTTATATCCATGAAAATTCTGTTTGACGATTCTTCCTTCTTTGGGGACCCTAGCGCAACTTCTAAGGCATGACATGCGTTCAGACATGGTTTCATCTTTACTGTCTTGGTGCGACGTGATGTGACGCTACGTATAGCTGGCCCATGCCTTGGCTGATCTGCTGTTGACGGGCCTTCCCATCATTCAGGGGTGTCTGGCGCCAAAGGTTACATCGTGCTATTTTTGAGGCACGGGCTGCTGCAGGAACAGTCTTTCGCTTTGTTAATCCGCCGGATCTCTGATTCCCGAAAGTCAAACTGTTACATAGTGTATCACGTCTTGTTTGGAGATTCCAAAGTGGTTATTCAGAAGGTCTATGATATCGTTAAGTACCATCCGTCTATAGTAACAAATGCGCTCGTTTCAAAAATGAAAACTCCTGGTGCATATGACATGAGGCCATTCATAAATGCACCCTGTATTACATCCCACACATACACACAAGAGGGGTAGATGGGTCAGGTATGTGTGGTTAACTAAATCCAAGTATCCTGAAATATGTTTTATGATATAAAGAAAAATTGTCGCTCTCCCTCAACCCTATTTCCCTAATTGATGTTGAGATGTTGCTTCTATTGGTTGCCGTTGTTGGCGATGCCGTCGGTGGTGCCACGGACGTTGTTGCGGACCTTGGCACCGCTCTCGGTGGCGAGGCTCTTGATGAGGCTGGCAACCTGCTCGGGGCCCTCGAGCTGCTGGAAACCCATGAGGTAGGCAGCGAGACCGGCAACGTGGGGGGAAGCTGTGATAATTATTAGCATGAGACTTGTCTCGGAAGATTAGGAGTAAAACATACCCATGCTGGTACCGCTAAGAGTGGCAGTGTCAGTGTTAGACTTGATACCAACACTGAGGACATCGACACCGGGGGCGTAAACGTCGACCTCAGGACCAAAGTTGGAGAATTCGGCACGCTCGTCACTAGTAGCATCGATGGCACCGACAGTGATGGCGTTGGGGGCAGAGCCAGGAGAAGTCAGGGAAGTAGCCCGCTGTAACGATTGTTAGTTATGATTGTGACGTTGAGGGGTTGATGTTTACTCACGTTCTCGTTACCAGCAGCCACAACGGGGACAACACCGGCCTTGAAAAGAGCCTCGATAGCACGGTTGATAGCCTCGGACTTGTCACCACCAAGGGACATGTTCATAACAGCCTTGCCAGCACGGTTGTTCTTCTTGACATCGTCGACGACGAACTGCATGCCCTGAAGAACACCAGAGTTGCTACCACCACCTGAGGCGTCAAGGACCTTGACGGCAACAAGGTCGACCTTCTTGGCAACACCGAAAGTAGCACCACCAATGGTTCCGGCAACGTGGCTACCGTGGCCGTTCTCGTCGTCATCCTGTATTTGGTCAATATCATGCTTCTTGTGAAGACCAAGCAGTCAGGGTAATACTTACAACATTGTTAATGAAGTTGCCGCCGAAAGTGGCACGGCCCTCGAATTCGCTGTGGTCGACCTTGATACCGGTATCAACAACGTAAGCAGTGATACCCTCACCAGCTGAGTCGTCGAAGACGTAGGTCTCGGCGTTGGCCTTGGAGGAAGAGAGGCGGTCGAGGCCAGGAGGAGCGTTGACTTGAGCAATAGCGGCGTTGAGCTGAACACGGGTGTCGGCCTCGATGTAAGCAACCTCGTCAGAGTTCCAGAGATCCTGGACCATCATGTCGTCGGCATCAAGGGCCATAGCACGCCAGGTGTTCAAGCGGAAGGACTTGATGGTAGTGGACATAGCCTTGCCGACAGAGCTTCGCTTGTTGAGGTTTCGCTTCTTGATAGCGGAGGAGATGGAGAACTCCTTAGCACTGATGGTCTCCTCGTCGAAGGTGTCATTGTAGACAACAATGTATGAGTTAGGAACAATGTTAAGAGCATCGGGGTTGCTAAGCATAGGTCGAAGGAAAGCACTGATTCCCATCTTCTTGTCGAGTTCATCGCCAAGGCCTTTACCAATATCGCTGCCAACAGCGTTGGCCATGTCACCGAGGGAGTCGGCGATACCAGTGGGAGCGGCGGTGGCCAAGGGGGCCGCAACGAGCAGCGAGGCGAGGAAAGTCTTTAGGAAAGCCATGATGAATTGAATGTTCGGTTTATGGTTGAAGTTCTTTGAAAAGTTGTTCTAAAGTGAGAGAAATGTGAAGTGGTTCCAGCCGTTTCACTCAGTTGGGAACTCGATCGTATAAATCGAAGTCGGATTTTAAGGAAGGTGAGCTTTGAATTAGCAAACAAAGCAATAAAAGAATGCTGTAAGAGGAGTGAGGCGATCAACGCTCCTCTCGTGTTTTCTGAATAAGGACCGGTCGTGAGAGTGTTCACAAGCTCGCGATACACTGTTCAGGATAAACAATGAAATGAGAGTGATTAAATCCAATTTACACTGACTAGCAGTACAAAGAGGCAAAGGGAAATAGGGAAAGGAAGAATGAGAAAATAATAAAAGACTCAAAAAAGAGGTCTTCGAACAATGAATAACCCGAACAATAGAATGAGAATGGCCGTCCAGCAGCTGACAATGGGTGGGAGATGTGGGTTTAATAGGAGAAAATCCAACAATAGCATCTAGGCTTCTGACTGGTGGCCTGGATATTTCAGATCAAGCTTCAGGAGGGAGCCGCAAGATCCATGGCGGGGATGAGGCGCTAGGGGCCGTGGGCCCAAGGTTTCGGCGTCAGGGACCAGGGCCCCAAGCATTGTTTAGTATTATTAGTGTATAGAAGCCTGTACGACGATAGTCGCCAAGTCAAACACCAGTGCCTGACTCCAAGAACCCCTTGGAACCCTCAAGATTTCCTCTTCTAGGTGGGTTTGTCAATGCATATGCCTGTTCGCCCATCGTCTTTACTCAAATCAGCTGAATATAGACAAATATCTGGCACACTTATAGTGGCAGTGAACCGAGGACGAAACCATATCTGCTTTGAAGAAGTCATAACGGCGTCTGTAACTGTAAGGGCATCTGATCAAAGGTCATGATTGATTGGTACACCGAAGATTGGTGTTTGACTGTTGTTTCTCAGAAACACCGAAGTAGCCCGTAACAACAGCGCGGCCCTTTCTCTCGTCCGCAAAGCATTGGGCGAGAAGAACCGTTACTGTTGCCGAAAAACGGCAGCCCCAATCACCACCACCAATGGCAGACAACTAAACCCGCCTCCACTGTAAAGTTGATAGTAAGCGCGTCACCTGTTACGGTAGATGGCCAGCAATTCAGTTCGGTACTCTTAGTGCCTGAAGCGGCAAGATTAGTGATGAGCTAATCTTGATGGCCTGAGCAAGGGGTAGTCAGTAGCGAAAACCAAGTGCCTCCCTCAGGATAGTCGTGATCTTGGCTAGTTGTGTTGTCAGCTGGTCTTTGCAGTTCAACCCCAGATATCCGCATGTCGAGATGAAGCCGCACCAACAAGGCCAAGCCTCAAGCCAAGGACGATGCCGAGAAACATTACTACGCATCGTAGCCATCAAAAAACACAACTGTTTTGTGCCTCGTTGTAGAAAACCTCGATAATGCAGTGCAATTGGCGGCCAACACAAAACTCCAATGTCACATCATTACCGAGTATCCACCCATTGGAAACCAGCCAAGCCCATCTCGCCTTTCAAGCCACCCAAGCAAGAATCGGCGCTTGGTAGCCCCTGGACTACCCCTGTCAATCTCAAGTTTGAAACAGCAACGCTAGTCTTTGGCGTCTGCACCTGCAAGGTACGAGTCGATTCGGTTGGTCCATGGAGGCTTTTACCACGCGGCGTCTTGTGTTCAAACAGCCCTTACTCCAAGCGCCCGGTGGTGACAAACGCCATCTGTGGCCGAATTTGGAGTGGTACGTGTCCAAGGCAAGGCAGTGTCTTTGTGCTGTTTGTCTTGGTCGGAGAAAAGTTTTGCATCTGTTCAGGGCCAAGTCAGTCTAGCGTAGGGAAGACTCACCGTTAACAAATGACCCAGGGGCTGTCTGGACATGGACATTCCTGAAGGGGTATCTGATGACCGAACACACCAGATGATGAACATCGCGGGGGTTAACAACCCCGGGCTGTCGGGGATAGAATAGGTAAGATTCTATGCAGGTCACGGGCCCATAGTGTCTCGAAGATGGCCAGGGCAGGGTTTTTCGCGTCGAGATTTGGTGTGGCTCGACGTTAAAGCAAGGCAAATCCCCAAGGCCCTAGGTGATTAGCGATCTTGAGACAGCTCGGAGAAATCGACCTTCTCTAACAAGACCAGCATTAAAGTGGAATTCGTCTGCTGTCGTTACTTTTGTACGGGTATTCCTGTGACGAGATGACACTAGATAAGGCCATGGTGGATTGTGCGCCGTTGAAACGCAAGGCAAATCGAAGCGACTGTTACTTGATCAGTGATGAATTCGCTCGGGAATAACCTCTGTTCCGTTGTCGACGTTGTATGTTTCAGTAGCGTTGCAGCTCAATGGTTTGTTTACTTGCTGAAGCGATTTACACTTCGGTAGGTGGGAGCGAGGAAGTCACCTGCCTTCCATTCTCAGAAACATGATTTAGTTACTGTCAACGGTTGTGAATAAGGGAAGGAGCGACTCCAAAAAAGCAACTTGCCTTACGTACTGACTTCACAACGTGGAGCCGCCGAGTAAAGTCTAATAGATTGCCAAGTTTATTCAGACAACAAATCATTTTCCAGGTTCTTGTCATAAACATTCATTCACTTTTACTCTCTTCGTATCTTGACACATAATGCACCACTTTGGCACAACAGACACTCACAAAGACGATCGAGGCTTCTTGTTTTAGAACGATGACGATTTGAAACGTGCAGAATCTCATCTCTACAGTCTGGATCGTCTCAAGAAGCACTTGACACAGAGTGATCCTTGTCCTATAACATACCCTCTTAACTTCGCCCACAAAAGGCCCAGTGATTCCCACCACCAAAGTGACATGAGAAGTCGGAAAAGCGGCAAGTGATTGCGCAGCTGTTTCGATCTTATGAAAATCTGTTTAATTTTCCCGTCAAACGATACTACATAATTGACATGATGTGTTTACTCGTCTTCAGCTAGTATTGCGTGCGTGTGATGTGTCACACAGTTCCCTTCACTACTAAGTCGGCTCGGGGCGGAGATCAACGGATATTAAGACCACTTCAGCACTGGACTGCAGTATACACGCGTTCAATAGACGCATGGTTTCACTCTATTGGTCTATACAGTTCTATATGTCTTCGTGCCAAGTCTATATGGGTTACTCCGTACCTGAGACTATACCCAGGAACGAGAAATGAAGGACAAGGCAGACAGGGGTCTCAAGACCGACAACAGCAGGTGATCTTCTATCCTAGAATTTATCACGGCTTTCGCCTGTGGCTTGGAACACAAATTCCGCTGTGAATGTTTCTCCTATGTCAAAAAGGCAGGCGCGCCAATAGATTATACGGCGGCTATTATCCTTTCCAAACTGGATGAATTGTCTGGAAACAGAAGAAGACACTGACACATATAACGTCAAGAGATCTTAAACAGCTAGCTTGATATGGCACACAACTCCTCAATTTTGAGTCCCGAGGCTTTCTTTTGTCTAGAAGCGGCCTTGACCGTGATGCTTCAAGGCTGGGCAGGCTCAACCGTGGCCTTCACTTAATGCGCCCCTTTTTCGGCCAAGAAGTCGCAATTCTGGTCTATTGTCCGTACATCTATATTCTCTTACAGTCATAGGAGCTAGCATTGAAAGCCAAGATGCCAATGTTATAGCCGCAATGGTCTCGACCGCTCTTGTGATGAGTTCTCCGAGGAAGTCCTCCCACAAGCCGCTTCCATTACGCCTCTGTCCCATGTCACCCTTTTCGCCAATGCTCTCAGTTGCCGACTAACGTCTCAAACGCCGGGCCAAGATACGAATGCAATTCGTGCTAGTGATGGACATGTTTGAATAGGCCATACACTGTTGCTCTCGGTGGGCGGCAGCATCTCCTATTGAGTCATGGCTCTACGACGACCAATTTAGTTCCTTGGTGCAGTCTTGCGGTTTCAACAAAAGGAGACTAATCAGAGCTACATATTTCAGTGGTTTTATGTATAGGACGAACGAATGTCACAGAAAGGCTTCAACGCATCGTCTTTAATCCAAGCATCGATGTTCCTGTCAAAGACCGGCTCGCTGTCCCCCAAGGACCTTCCTATGTTTATTGTGACCGCATTCTACAACAACAAAAATGAATGCTGAGGGCAGATATCTTGAACCACAGTTCAATGTTTCAAGACAATCTATCAATTTCGATTATTGGCCGCGCTTAACAGGAGCAACTCGTGTAGTATCATCTTGACAATACCCAGTTAGATTAAAGGAGACATATGATACGCCAAGTAGAGTGAGTTATCTAGGATTTTCAACCATTCTTGGAGTTCTCTGGTCTGTACGATAGTCAGTATTCACAAATTCTGCCCAAGTCTCAGCCAAGAATATCAAAATCTCATGATCAACATCACCGATATGTCGGTGATATGAAAAGCCCGAAGTTCGTGATTTATTCTCAAGGAACCATCTTGTGGAGTTTGAAGCCGAAGTGAGTCACAGAATGGTATAACATCGGAGACTTCGGAACTGGATGACTCTATAAGCCGATGAGTGTTCTTGAGGCCGAGGAGCGGGGTTAACTCTCCTCCTCTTCAAGACTTTCGCTCCACATTTTGATATCAATATCAAAGCAGACACTGCATCTTGTCTGACAGTGCTATCATTGAATTATATAAAACTCAGTCTTCACCCCGAGTCTGAATAGTATCTCTGATTTCAATATCAGACTTCGCCTCTAGTTTTAAAACGCACAATGCCTGACTACTCTGTTATCGAGACGACTCTGGCTTCTATAGCCGCGAGCTCAAAGACCATCGATCTCCTTCGCAATCTTCACAAGCAAGCTCTCGATGAGCCAGCCTACGTCAGCACAGATGGTCCAGCATCTACCGCTCTTGACAAGTTCGTCGCTCTTGATCCTGACAAGTGCGCCTTCGTCTATCTCCTGCTGCGTTCCATGAAGGCCCGCTTCGTCGTTGAAGCAGGAACATCCTTTGGCCTCAGCACTATCTATCTAGCTCTGGCAGTTGCGCAGAACTCTGGTTCGCAGCCAGGCAAGGTCATTGCTACAGAGAACGAACCCACCAAGGCTGCTCGGGCTCGCGAGTATTGGAGTCAAGCGGGGGATGGTATTGAGAAGTTTATTGAATTACGAGAGGGAGACTTGCGTGAGACGCTCAAGACGGACTTGCCGGAGGAAGTAGATTTCTTGCTTCTCGACAGTAAATTCTTATCTGCTGAAAGTTTCTATTTGAAAAACGTTACTGATCGAGTTGTAGTCTGGACCCCGCTGGCTCTGCCTACGCTTAAGCTTGTGAAGCCTCGCATGAAGCCAGGTGCTACAGTCGTGGTAGATAACACGGAGGCTGCCAAGTCGGGCTATAAGGATCTCATGGCTTACTTGAACGACTCTGCGAATGGCTTCAAGCTTTCGACGATTCCATATTCTGGGGGTCTCCTAATGGCTGTCTATGTTGGGAACTAGGTTGCCGGCCACTCCTGTCAAAATATCCGGTGATGAAGACTAGTCTTTCTTCTTAGTCTCATTTCCATGCAAGCTTATCTTATCACAGCAACATTGAACTTCCCTACTCCAGAAGTTTTCCCAGATTTGCTACTTTGAGTGTCCGACTAGTGATATCAATTGATCCTGGAGATAATATCACGTTGGCAGCCAAACCCCAGAATTAATGGCGTATTCCGTTGTTGATGGCACTCTTGCGCGTAGTTCCATGAGTGAGATGGGCGTCAAAGTAGTCACATGTTTCAACCGTGATCTTCGTCGCTGAAGGTGGGTTCGGCATTTGGTTGTGTATGGAGACGCTATCAGCTTTCAACCTTACGACAGGGATCATCATGCAGCAGGAAGATCATCGGCAATTGATGAAGATCATGAATTATACGGGTCGTTACATATCTGAGAACGTGGAGTTCATCATACTTTACCAGGCTCAGCTTTATTTAGAAAATCATTTGTTTTGGGCAAAAAGTGAAGGTTAGTGATCGACCAATGTTATGATATAGGGTAGCTCTGCCACGAAGATCGAAACTTTATGCGCAAGTCCGGGATTACGATAACAAATGTGCAATAAGAATGGGATTTGTCGACTCATTTCAAGAACAATTAGCTATGTTTCAGATTCAAGGTTCATCTGGTTGCCCCGTTCAACTGTCTATTCACAATGTGCTTCTGGAATGAATCATCAATGGCGTCTGAGACTAGCGAGTCGATGCGGATAACCCGTCAGCAGGAAAAGAGACGGGGAATAAGCAAGCAGATCGAGCATGGCGCGGCGCTAACAGGTGGTTCCATCTTCAGGGTCTTGCAGGGGGTCAAGAATTGGCGAGAAAATGCGGTTCCTTTGCTTCTAGACGAGAGAGGATGTGAGGAGATTAGACTAGAGTAGACTAGACCGAAGAACAACTGGACAGATGGAGGTTGGGAATTGATAGGTAGTTAAAGTTTGAAGGTGTCTTGTGCCCAATGACGTGATAAAAGTTGCTGATTCAGTTGGTGCATTAGCATCCAAAGAAACCTGGGCTGAGACTGAGGAGCTGGCACAAAGTGAGGCGTCTTGTTCGGCTTATGTAGGCTTGAGGTGTCCACTCTGTGATCGCCTGTCCACTGTATTTTGCTGCGGTTATGGTTACAGTTACAGTACAGCAAAAGAGTGGAGGTCAGTACCTGTAGGAGACGGAGAAGACCGAGCAGACAATGAAAAGGGATCAACATGACAAAGAAGTCATTGTAATTTCCTTGTTGCCATAGAAGCTTCCATTGCCTGGTTACCCAGACGTCGTTACAAGCAAAATTCCTCTTGCACTTCCACATGCCTTTTGGTCTTGGTCTCGGTCTTGGATGAATGGATGGATGGATCCTCTAAAAGCAGTCCCAGGCTGCAGAACAGTGGAGTAAGACTCCCCGTTGCCGCTAATAAGCACGCGACCTCCACTCACTTAGGTTTCTTTGATAACGATGTGATCCATCTTGGGACAATGGCAGCGGCAGTTTGTTGACCGGAATACTACAGTACAGTATTGAGACTCAAGATAAGATGCCGATAATCATGGCCACGTCGTCACCTGAGAGATCACACACGCATACGCACACGCACCCACACACGAGATCTTTCACTGCCACTTTGGAAACATAGGTAAACAAAGCATCATCCATACCCAGGTTACACGTAACCGCCCGCTGGGCTGGGTAGTGACAGACTAAAAAGAACCTATGATCCATCAAAAAGTTTGGTTCGGGTTATTTCCAATTGGCAGAGTTAGTTAAGAATAAACAAGGTCAGAATAGTTTCCATACAGTAACTTCCAAGGACAGGATAGAAATGGGCTTTTATAACTGCCCGAAGTGAGGAAGGGAGGGGTAAGGTACTCACTCACTCACTCACTCACTCAGTCAAGTCGCATTTGCGCTGTTCAGGCTCTTCTGCGCTGAGAGATGGTGCTAATCAACGCCTCCCAATCCCCCCAATCTCAATTCTAATGCCAATCTAATTCCTTCCTCTCATCCATCCGTATTTTCCCCCTTCCCTTTTTTTCCTTTCTTTTTTTTCTTCTTCCTCCCTTCCATAAGATATACCTAGGACTCAAAATTATTAATTGTTCGACCCTGGTTTCGGGATTTCCATCCCATCGGGTCTTGTCTCGTGTCGTATCGTATCGTATTTATTCGTCACATTTCCTTTTTTATTACTACCTGCCCATTCTTCCCCTCCCTGGAAACGCCAAAGGTCCAGGCCACCAGTCGCCTGTTCTCCTTCCCATCCCTCCCGTTCGTTCCCTTCAGGTTCCCGTTTCTGCGTACTGTACTGTACATACACAGCCCTACCTTACCTTGACTTGAGCTCAAACTCCAGCCCTCTTCATTTGCATCTGCCAACGAAAGACTTCGCTTCGTCGCCTCATTTTGTTCCTCCTAAACCTTCCTCAATCATCCAATAACGGCCGTGCCAACGTCTGCCAATTATCGTCAACGTACCGATAACTCTAGCCCTCTGAGATGCAATACGAGCCGGCCTTGGAGGCATCTTATAGAGCACCTTAAACTGCAGCCCGATAACGATATCGACATGGGAGACTCTATCAGCGAACCTATGGACACCGCCGATGACGGCCATACTGGCCCTCGTGCGCCTTGTCCTACCTCTATTACTGCATCTGCCCTTCTGCCTATCCGAGATGGTTATTCACCACGTAGAAACGACTTTAACGACAACCGAGACGACGATGCGGATTCCGATACTGAATTCGCCTCCATCATGGTCTCGTCCATGTTAACCGGCATTCACAACACCGCTTCCAATCCCGTCTCTCCTGGCTCTTCCAGCCCTTCTCACGATCAGGCCAAGACATCCGATTTTGTTCCTCCCACGAGACCGAGCAGCACACCCTTCCCTCATCCCGATCGACGACATTCCAGACCATGCTGCTTGAGTGGCTTCTCGCACGGCGCCGATGAGAACCCTGCTACAGACTCTACCGCTTCGCTTGACGCTGAGCCGGTGGTCTCACATCCAGAAACAAACTTCAACGATCTGCCGATTGAGGTTCACGAAGCCATCTTGGACCACCTGTTTGGATATCGAGTTTCCGCTACATCCCGGAGTTCGATGGCCGTATCGAGTATCACTAAAAGTTGGGGAACAGCGCTTAGACACTCAAGAAGAAGGGAATTGACAGCGCTGGCGCTTGTGAGTGGTGTTTGGCGAGTTCTCGTTCAGCAACGGCTCTATCGTCATATTAAACTCAAAGCGACCGTTGATTGTCTGGAAGACGCCATGGTGCACTTGGCCATGCATGAGCATTTGCAAGTTTATGTGAAGCATATTGAGATTTGGTTTCCTGTTTTCCAACCCACGTACGGACCAGTCGCTCTCTCTAACAGTTTGACGCTGCCTACAGTGACGATGGAAGGATTAACCAACGCGACGTATACTCTACCAGGTAACAACTGCACCCTTGAGCAAGTGTTCCAATTTGTTGGACAGACTCTGCCACAGGCGAGAGTTTTGACTTTGGAAGGAGGTGAGCGACGCAAAGCGCCTAGAGTTCTTCACTTTCCCGAACAAAGGATCGACCCAGCCATCTATAAATCGCTACCGATACTTCACTCGGTACAGACCCTGGTTACGAGGGGCCAGTGGAATCTGATGAGGGACAACCAGGACTTTGCGACAATTTTGAACGCGCTACCAGGTCTTTACGAGTGGCAGGGCTCGTATAGTAAACCGAAGTCTAAAAGCTACATCACCATGGCCGAGTTCCTACCACAGCTTCCACGCCATATTACGAATTTAAGCCTTTGCCTTGAGAGCGATTATCGGAGGGAAGGAGTCATGCCTCCATTCTACTCAAAGGTTGTGCAGAAGACGCACATCTGCGCGAGAATGGCTGAAGCGCTGCCCTCACTTGAACATTTGGCCTATACGGGCCGTGTCTGCCACCAGTTCTTTGACATAGCCATGCGATCTACAGACCCGCGAAACTCACGACTCAAGACATTGGACCTGACTGTCAAGAATTGCTGTCGCTACAACACTGCCTTCCATGAGGCTGGTTCCGGTATTCAAGATATGGGATTCATCGATGCATTTGAGAAGTTGGTGTTATCGGCAATCCGGTCACTAGAAAAGCTTAGTGGGGTGTTCTACTTGAGGATTCGATTTGTTGATCTCGGTACGTTTCTCTGGCAACTCGACCCTTCGTCATTGACTAACAGACTTACAGATTCTGTGCTTCCACCTCTTAACCCTTTCTTCATCATGCGCAACGGTGCATGCTCTGGCGTATGGAGTGAGAGAATCATAGCCGAGATGGGACGCGTCCGCCCAGACGTCCAATTCACAGAATTGAGCGAGTCATTTGGCAACATTGTATACAATAAGGATGGAAGAATGGTCATCACACCCGAGCCTCCGAAGACGAGGATAACGTCACTAAAGTTATCAAACTACCAATCTCTTGCGACAGGCATTACCATCCAGTAAGCATATAAGTTGTCAAAATGCAACGGAGAAAGAATCCGAGAGACTCGAAATTCTTGTGAATCACTTCGTTCCGCATTATTGTTTTTATTTTTGAGCAGGCGTTGAAGGATTGGACTTTGGTTGAATGGTAAGCTGTTAATCGAACCACATACCCAGGAGGTGGGAGTTTTGAGGGCGCATGGACACATGGGAATGCGGACTTGGCTTTGAGAAGAATTTGCTTGGGATTTGTCAAAAAAATCATGAAGAATGGAATGAAGTGTAGCGAGCTTTTAAAGTGGCTTTCATATACCATACGATACTGGCGATACTATAATTGGTGAATAAATTGTTTGGCATTTACTTTATATGTATCGACAATGAGCCAGTTAAGTCTGTTCCCCGTTGCCGTTAATACTGTTCAGATGAACAGCAGACATTAAAGGTCCTCTACTCAACGTGGAACTTGACAGTTGATCTAGTCGACTGACTGGCACCATCGCTGATGATGACACCCAAGATCCAACAGTTGACAAGGAAAAAGCCAAGCGAGGCAAGCCAAAGACCGGGATAGAACGTGCTAATGCCCAGAAACTCGAGCTCATATCCTTGTTGCAACCAAGCTCCCTGAGAAACAATCCAGAGCAACAGAGCAGAGATGCCGAGTTTTCCATTTCGTAAGAATGACGAGTTTGGGAGATAGATTGGCAGGAAAATCATGTACCACAGGAAGTACTGATCGCTAGTGTTAGTAGATGGAAATCAGTTTAGCAGTGAGGCTTCTTACCTGAGAAGTGCAGACCTTGTTGAATGTTACAAAAGCAAACGTCTGAGCCATCATGGATGTTGCAAGATCGCGCTTGGCAAGAGCGAGAGGGATGAGGACACATGAGAGAAGGAGTTGAGGGAAGAAAGCAAACGATTCGATGCGGAACGAAGGCGCAGCGTGAGCGGGTGTTGCGGAAGTAAGATACAGCAAGACATTGTAAGGCGAGAAGTTGTGACGATGATCAATCCTTGTAACGTGGTGGAAGTAAGTGTGAACAAGGAAGGGAGTCTCATAGATGGCGAACATGATGAGGTTGAGGATCATGAAGGTGATGAGACTGAGAAGGCCAAACTTGAGACGGTCCGGTGTGAAGAAGTTTGAGACTGTTTCTTTAAACGATGAAGGCTGACGGGCAGGTTTCGTCTCCTTGCCCAAACGTGCATCGTCCATCCACCAAATGATCGCTGGCGCATAGATGAAAGGGTAAATCTTGAAGTGAACCGACACTCCTAGAATGATAGCTGCAAGGCTGAGCTTTCGTCTCTCAACAGCCCACAGCAAACCCATCGTCAAAACACCCAACAAACCCTCTGAGCTTCCTCGAGTGCTGATAGTCGCAACCATCGGGTTCCACAACCATAAAGCAGAGAATCCTCCAGCCGTAGCCTCATCCATGCCCCGTCTTCTGAGCACGCGCAGAATGAGCCATCCTGCGAGCAGATCCGCCGCAGCAAAGACAAGCTTTCCAAAGGCGGGAAAGTGGACGGTTGGGAGGAGCAGCCAGGCGAGAAGAGGCGTGTAACGGTATGTGTCACGGGCGTACGGTGATTGACCCTCTGCGACGAAGCGCGAAGCGTCGGTGAAGACGAGATAGTCAATGTCCGTGTATTTTAGAGCTGAGTTGGCATCTTGGTATATACCGTAGAAGAGAAGACCCAGACGCAAGATGAGAGATATCGTGAAGAGCGGCGTTGTGCGCAGGAATGGGGCTATTGAAGGCATTGTGAAAGATGACAGTTGGCGGTGTATGTGCGTGAGATGAGCGAGTATGCAGAGTTGGCAAGGTGTTAATAGACCATACCTTATAGATAGGGCACTCTGTATGGGATATTCTCAGTTTGGCTCAATTTTGTCTGGTCAGAGCTCTGTTGTTGTGTGCCAGTCAATGGCAGGTTACAAGCAATGAAGTTCCTTCCTGCTTGTGAGGTGACGGACCTTGAGGTAACTGCCAAAAATGGAGAGCTAACTTAACAATTTCACGTCATCCCTGCAAGCCCGCACTAACAAATCAGGACCCGCCTTCAAACCAACCTCCGACATCATCACCAAAAGAGCTTCACTTCAGTCGTCTCTACTAAGAAAATCATTTCTACAGTCAAAATGTCAGGAGGAGTTAAGAGAGATCGCGATGGTAACGCTCGTGCTAAGAACACGGGCGCACCGAAGCAGGCTGGACCCAGAGGGAGGTTTCATGATATGTTTGAAGGTTTTCGCGATGAGCTTGATGAGCATCATGATCGACGGGAGAGGATCGTGAAGGCTTCACGAGATGTTACGGCGATGAGTAAGAAGATGTAAGATACCAAAACAAGCCTTTTACTTTTGATTGAACAAGTGCTAATCAATTCGCAGTATTTTCACTCTTCAGAGGTGAGCTTCTATAATCAACTAATCTCAGTGAATGTCTGCTCACATATCACAGAGTCAAGCATCTCAACAAAGACTTCCCACCTCACATCCAACAAGACATAGACAACCGTCTTGAAGAAATCGCCAAACTTCTCAGCGGTATCGCTCCCGATCTGCAAAACGTCAACCGTTACCGCTACACTTCTCCCCTTCGATGCCTTGAAGAATTCGTCGAGGCCCTCTCTTTCGCACACTACCTCCGTCACCAAACCCTCATCACGCCCACACAGGCCCAAGCTGCCATGCCAAAGGACATTGCTCTAACGCCAAATGACTACATGTACGGTATCTTCGATCTCTTTGGCGAGTTGATGCGCTTTGCGACTGTCACAACGGCCCAGACGGGCGAGTTGGCTGGAAACGGGGAGCGAAACATCATGGGTGATATTCAAGAGCTTGGATGTGCGTTTGAGATTTTGCCGGATGTGCCTACCAAGGATTGGAGAGGTAAGATGGGTGCGATGAGACAGAGTGTCAAGAAGGTTGAGAAGCTCGGCTATGGACTTGTGGTGAGAGGGAGTGAGAGGCCCAAGGGTTGGGTACCGGATATGAAGGATGATGCTCCTCCTGCGTCGCCATGATGATGAAGATCACGACTTGATGCGGTGGGAAGTGGGAAGGGTTGACTATTGTGGGAGACATCATATGCTGTGTGGTTGAATTACTAGCTGATTGCTCTGATGTTGAGGGATGTCTCGCTTAACCAATCGGACCACCACCGTTGTTGAAGAATAAGAAAAAACAAATAGCTTCATGTCAAAAGAAAAGCGAATTATGCTCCAAGAATAGATTGTGCCGAAATCTTTGATCATCTAAGCCAGGCTTCAAGGCTAGATTGTTTGAAGTCACCTCATGATAGACAGCCAAGGAAGCTAGCTATGCTGGGTATCTTCGGAAAGCGGTCATTTCTCATTGATTCAGAGTTAGCAATAGAAACCGGAAATAACAAAAGCTTGATAAGTATTGTTCGCTGGTGTTTAAGGCAATAACTGCTTGAGACAATAATTGCTGCTGTCTGTGACTGGCACTGAGCTGCCAACCGATTCACAACTGCTAATGAGAGCAGCGACAAGCCAGAAAGGCCATTGTTAATTATTCTGAACTAAGTGAGTGACAAACTGCCTGCCTGGATATACTTAGTGTACGTTCTACTTTATTCACGTTCCTCTTTCATCTCCCCTCTTTGTCTTTCCTTCCTCCGCCTGTTCCTCATCCACCACAACCACGCAGGAACAAACCTCGGATCGAATGTCATCTTGCAAAAGAATGTTTCTGCAAAGAATTGTAAAGGCATAATTAACCCTTTGAATGCGCCGATAGCGACTCAAAATTATTTCTTCACTGCCTGCCTTCTCAGGCACCTCTACAAAATCATTCCATTTCCGCTCCCTCACCAACACGCATCACAACGATTTTCGTCTCAAGAATTCGACCTCTGACCTGTCATTCCAGGAAATAGCCTGTTTCGGATAGATATCATCTCATCTCGTCCATCTGCCATATTGCGCACCTTTCCAATCATTTTCACAGTTCGGCGTCTTGAGCAGGCTTCGTGGGATCCAGGAGTTTGTTTTCGTGGGACTCAAATCACAATGAACGAACCGTCAGAGATGGAAAAGCAAGCCGAAAGCAAAGAGCCGTTATGTCGCCGAACAACGTTCTTCGTAAACGTTGACTGGCGCATGGGCGCTACCCTCGCCACGGCCACAAACATTGTCGGTCAGATGTACGTTGAGTGCCTGGAGCCTGTTGACAGGCTGTACCCATATCCGATTGTCCTTATCCACGGGGATTTCCACACTGGTCAGGTAATTCTGAACCGATATCTTCTCGAGACTGGCCGAAACTAACCCCCAGTAGGTCTAGACGACCAAGCCAGATGGACAACCCGGTTGGGCCTCGTTTTTCCTCAGAAAAGGATTTCAAGTGTTGATTGTCGACTTGCCTCCCTCGGGCCGCTCCAACTTCCTGACGACCTCTCATTATCTTCACAGAGATGTGGGAGTCACTTCGAGTTCATTGAAAGCACAGGCAGTGGAAACCACACTTACTGCACCCGGTAAACGGAGAGCGCCCCATATACCTCTTCAGTACGAAAAGGCAACCCTCCACAACAGATGGCCAGGTGTAAGCAAAGATATATCAGTCCTTATTATGCACTTGCTAATCAAGAACAGACTGGACAACGTGGAGATCCCATCTTTGCCAAGTATTGCGCTTCTCTAGTCACGCTACATCTGAACAAAGTCGAACGACAGTCACTAGCCCAGAATGCTCTGCAGGCCCTTCTACGCCATGTCGGGAAGTCAATTCTTATTGGAGAAGGGTCCGGAGGAAACATGACTTGGCTAGCAGCCGACGTTGAGCCCGATCTTGTCGCAGGAGTCATGGCTGTCGAGCCTGTGGGACCTCCCTTTGGGACAGCATGCCCGAAGGGAGCAAATCCGTATCGCGAGTACAGTCCCTTTATTGAAAGACAGGAGGGAATCAGAATTTATGGGCTGGCTGATATACCCATCACATATGATCCCCCCACTCACCCTCATGAAGGCTTCGACCCTCCCGCGAAGGACCCTCTAGACTTGATCAAAGTCGTAGCACCCGATGGAAAGAGCGAATGCTATATGCAACGCAGTGCTGACGGCAAAGCGAACGACAAAGTCCGGCAGCTTATCAATCTCAAGAAGGTTCCCAATTTTGTTCTTACCGCGCACGCCAGCTCGCATGCTATGTACGACTGGGCAACAGTGGCATTCTTGATGCAAGCTGGTGTTACGCCCGAATGGGCTAGGCTTGGGGAGATGGGTATCGAAGGCAACGGACATCTGATGTTCCTCGAGACTAACAGCGATGAGATTGCTCAAGTGTTGCTTGGTTGGATTCAGAGGAAAGTACTTCCGAAGTCCTTTTCAGAGACGATGGACAAAGTCACTGTGCCGGAGCAAGACAGCGTTGCTGAGATGATTGAACAATCGCAGAAGAAACACTCGCCTCCTATTGTGGCCTGCAATTTGCAACCTGCATCCGCACCAGAGAAGTGTACAAACACTCAGCTGATGGATAACAAACCGAGTGAAGCACCTGCTCTAGCAACACCTCAACTCCTGAGCCCTGAAGTAACGGAAAGCCGTCCGATCGAAGGACCGCACAAACGAGCTCGATTGGACATCCCCACTACGGCATCTGCCCAGCCCTCCACCCCTTCAACGATACACCTGCCGATCCAGAAGCCCCTCGAGAAGCAACAGCAGCGTATGCAACAAACTTCCACGACTCCTCGTCAGCAACATATGGCTTCGCCTATGGGCCACAATATACCTGGCCTGTCTTTGATAGGATCTGATCATCCAACAGGAGGACCCTCTCGACTGCTACAACAGGCAAATAGAAGTATACGATCTCCTTTAGTAAGCCCTTCATTCGGGCTTACAGGCTTTGGGCAAGCTTACGACCCTTTCCGTGACCGTCCAAACGATCAGACAGATGAGCTACCCTTTTTACATCGGCTCAGTTCAGCGCACAGAGAAAACCAGCGTAGTCACGCTCACAACAGCACCCACACTACAGCTCGGTTCGAGCGTTCGATCGGAACCGCTGAGGAGAGCATCGCTGCAATGAACATGAGCCATCCAAGTCGTTCTACGTCTAGCTTGGAATACACACCTTCCATGACGAGCCAAGCCCACCGCCCGATCATGTCGCCTTCGCTGCAACAGATCCCGTATCTTGGGCAACTAGGACATACCCCTCCAGTGAATTTCACGGGAGAGTTCAAGCCAATCTCGACTTCAACTCCAATCGAGAGACCGACGAGTATGATGGGCAATGCCCTACCTTTCACACCCCTGGAGTCACTCGCAGGTTTTGATAGCCGGGGACAAAATCAATTTGGTGGATTGCCGCAGATGACGCCTCCCAGCCCATCTCCTGCGCCGAGACAATCTTTGAATCCTCTCAGTTATAATCTCGATACGGATTTGCCTGTACTGTCGCAGTCGCAACAGAAATCAAGCCCCAAGTGAGATTAAGGTTCTCGAATACCTCTGAGTACATGGATGATTTTGGTATGATCAAATTTGCTAGCGAGACAGGCATGCTCTGGGAAGAATACTGGGGAAATGAAATTCGTGATGCAATGGGAGATTAACGCAAGGCTGGAACGGGTTCTGACATTGCCATCTGTTTTCTCGAGCTGATTGCGATGATATTCCTGAAATAGAAAACTAGGTCCAGTTAAATAACAAGTTCGATGCCATTACCCCGTGACTCCTATTCATACGTTCTCCAAGTAAATAGGGTTTTGGCACTGGGAGTAATATACCAGGTTAGTATTTTGTACTATTGCCAGCCAAGGCGTCTCGTCATGCGGGCTGTGGAGTTTACATGTGTTTTTTTCTCTCCTCCTCTTGGACGCTGACCTCTACTTGGGACATTTTTCTTGTCTGTATTTTATATCTTCCTGACTAACATGCTTGTTCGTGTGAAGCACTCATAATAGAGCACCACCGTCTTCATCCTCGGAATCAGACCAAGCGTCCTGTATCCTACTATCTTCTTCTAACCCATATTCCTCTTCTGATGTACCATAGTCTGAGACACCAAAACATGATATGTCATCACGACCGAAGTCGCTATCGGGGTCGCTATCTTCTTCTCCAGGTTCCAAAGGCGGCCACGGTATGTCGTCCCAGTAAGGACATTCATTTTCACGTCCTTTCCATAGTTTCTCGAAATCTTCCCGCGTATAAAACAAGTTATACCTTGGTTTACGGCGTCGATTTTGGCGACGAAACAAGACGATGTTCCAACCAGAAATATGCAACGCTGCATCCCAAATGTCTCCGTAACTACCCTCTATCTCATCTCTGAGACCCAGCTGGTTATATGCAACATCCGAAACTGATCTCCCTTGGTTGTCTTTTGCATGAGGGTCTGCCCCTCTCTGGAGAAGGAATAAAAGACGTTCCAAGCAAACGAAGGTAGAGCTGACGAATTCCAATACCAAATGAAGGCACGATTCTCCACCAGGTGCCCGGTCGTTGATGACGGCGCCCATTTCTACGTGGAGCTCGAGAATCTTTTTGTCAATGTTCTGAACTGTACAGGCTTTTTGGAATGGTGACAGGCCGTGGTAGTTGCGCCAGTCCAGAAAGGACGCATATGGAGCGATAAGTCCAGATTGCCATACCAATGAATGAGTCTCCTAAAGTTGCCTGAGTATATGATACAGATGTGGGAAGTTAATCGTAATGGGTGACTGACTATATCATTCGAAGAAGTGGCGATAGATTCGAGAAAGCTTTGCCATGTCACTTCGTAAGTTGGGTCAGCTCCAGCCGTCAGAAGTAGCCTGCGGCAGGCGTTGAGGGACCTGAGATCCGATTTGGAGATTTGCGAATCTTCACGCACATGGTCCATTTTCAAGCAATTCCTGTATTCTTAGTGATCTAATCGTATATAAAAGCAACGCGTTGACTTACGTGAGCCTTGTTGATGATGGCCACTGAAACGCTACATGATCAACGTCTAGTCCCTGCTCAATCAAGAATTTGCACATCTCTGGCTGTCTCATTGAATACTTGAACCACTTGTTAGATCATACACTGTTCGTACAATGTTAAGTATAGGCTACACTTACAAACAACAAGGATGCACCTCCTTCATCATGGTCTCGTAGAGAAGCTTCGCCATCTTGCAACATCCGCAAAAGATCTTGAACTCTACCTTGCATCACGAGCCTGAACACTGGAGATCCTCTTGGAAGAACTCTGTTCACTTGCAGATGTGAGATAGATGAGACGCTGCCTGCTATAACTTCGTTCGTTATTAGGGAAGCCACCAACATATGATGAGATTGTTTGTCGGGCAAAAAGGTCAGTGACATAACGTAATCGGTCAGATGCCCTTTGTTTGATGTTGTTGGGCTTTTTTTGTTTGTTGCGAGACTCGTCCGTTTTCGTTTGAGAAACCTGAAGCTCACTTTCCCTATTCCAATATCGACCTCTTCGTGACCTCTCTCTTGGTCTAGGACTCGGCCGACAATTCGACAGTTCTCATTACCTTTCCAGTCAATAAGTGATGTGTATCTAGGGTAAAAGATAACTGACTTTGGGCGTTGATGGATATTTTGTTCTGTCCAAAAGATCGGCCAAATCGACGTAGTCCCTTGTCCAACTCTTTCTCCAACTTGAGGTGTTTCCCACTTCGAACGGCAGTCAACATGCTGCGCAGGTCTTCTATGGCTGATTCTGCGAGATCATCATCTTCGGCATAGACATCGACAGTTTCACGCTTTTTGTCGATTAAGGTGCAGAGACGCTCGATGCTCTCCAAAACAGGCTGGTTTGGAGACTGGTTTGTGGTGTCTTCCCTGTTAATGTTGCTACTGGCTGATGCTTCTCTGGACGCTTTGCCTTCTGAGATAACAAGACTTTTAAGCTCGTTTAGTAGCAAGAAGAAGCTGGCCGATTCTTGTGTGGAGATGGAGGCTTTCGATTCAATTTTGTGTTCAATGGATGACAGCTGGTCTTGGAAATTGGATTGATTATCGTTGTATGTGGTTAATAGATTTCTCTCAAAAGCCTGGAGGTTTGCCCTTTGTAATTGATGTTGAGACTGCAGTGTAGTATCCAGCGTTTGAATGTGCTGCTGAATATGTTTCGTATTGTCCTTGACTTCAGAAGCTATGTTCCTACGTAGATATCTTAGCTAGTAGGTTGAGAGATAAATATAGGGGAAGGCACCAACCATGATAACCCAGATAGTCTTAAGTTGAGAATGATGACAAGTTGACCCAGCTCATCTCTTATACGTTTCACATCACTCTCGCTCACAACTGATTTGAGTTGCTTCGAGAAACGTTTGCCACGATTGTCTCCAGGCGTGGCTTGCAAGCTCACAAGTGACACTGCTCTTGAGCAGATATCTTGTATACTTTGTTGAATATGTGCATCTAGGGCTGAATCGGCTGATGTATATGTTGACTGATGAAGTCGTTCTAAGATGTCGTGTACGCGTAGGAAGTCGTTGGAAAGCAGTCTCAGAATATCTGGGCTATCTTTAAATGATGACAGAGCTTCATGGGCCTCTTTGACGCACTTGAGGGCCAGCAGGGCAAACTGGGCAACGCTGGCAGCAGCACCTACAGCTTCCATGATAGTTATCCGGAGTATAAACTTGATGAAAACGAGATGAATAGTTTGGAGACTGAATTCATCTCGAAGCAACCAAGAAAAGGGGCATCCATTCTGTCCCTGAGTATGCCTTATGCATGTTGGCTGGCGCAGTCCCCATGGATCCTTCTTTGTCTGATATTATGGTTCTTGATTGGGTGATCCAACGACCAGGATACACAACTGGATATGATGGGCGCGTAAAATAAAGTGTATATTTTGCACAGACAGTCTGGTCTGGTCTGGTCTTGTATAGTCAATTGTCCGAGCACGTAGAGCCGAGACGAGATGAAGATGGTGGTGCTGTTTAAGTTGTTCCTCTTTTCCTGGACATAAAATCGAACCAGTTTAGGGTATCCATATTTGATGAATGTGTAAGTTACGAATGTTGGTCTTGCAATGAGGAGATGCTTTAGAAAAATGCATAATGCTTGGATAACCTTCCGTGAAGTGGAATCCGATAACTAGGCGATTGGAACCTGACTTTGATCCATGTGTGGCATTGGTAGATGAAGATGATTAATATTGCATCTGTAAGGGAAGCTGCCCTTGCTCTTCCATTTATTACTCTCGTGTTGTTTCATTGGTCATATTGATAGCAATGCTCCACTAATAGCACCTGCCTCCGAATGAACGGATAGCAACCGTCACCTTCGACTTGACCCTCTACATCCAACACAATTCCAGAAAATCATAAGTCGAGTCATTATGGATAATTACACCTACAATGCCTTTGGTGAATTTCTAACCACTATTGCTTCTTTCGATGACGACACATCTCGATGGGGTGCCGTTACCTCACGGAACACCAACGCTGATGGCTTATTCGTCTACGCAGTGCGCACTACAAAGATATTCTGTCGACCTATCTGCAAAGCCCGACTTCCCCGTCGTGCAAATGTTTCCTTCTTCTCCAACGGTCATGAGGCTCAGCAGGCTGGTTTCCGTGCCTGTAAACGCTGCAAGCCTGAGGTAGCAGGGGCCATGCCTCAAGAGGCTGCTGTACGAAAGATCCGAGCTTTTGTGCAACAGCATGCAGAGAAACAGGATGATACCCAAGTCCGATTAAGTTTGAGTCAGATGGCGAGGCAAACTGGACTATCCAAGTGGCATTTCCATCGAGTGTTTAAGAAATGTGTTGGTGTGACGCCGACCGAATACCTGCGGGTAAAACGACAGGGGCTTGGCCTCCAGAATTTGTTGCAAACAGCGGAAACAAGTTCGGTTGACAAGTTCGACTTTGAAACTCTAAGCCAAGACTATGACACACGAACTTGGGACGAATCTGTTGCTTGTTCAGGGTATGCGACCACAGAAACACCATCAACAACACTTAGCGATAGCCCTTGGTCCATTGATGAATTCTTGATATGGCCAGAAAAAGATCAATTGCCAATTACGCGAGACGCCTCCCTGACTTGAACGGTTTCTAGCACTGGCATAATGAGTTAGGCGTTGAAGTCATGCGAAAATTCAAAGCATTATGCGAGTTTGTTATGAACAACTATCGCCAGCAAACATCCCAACCAGTTTTAATTGTGTTTACACTTCAACTGCGTTTCTGGGAGCTTTCACGTTGTTTCTAGTTGCCTAAACAGAAAGTGGAAAGTTTCGGTAGCGTTTCACCTTTCCCACACATATGGTTATACTATTTACAGGGGTCATGAAGCGGGCCCTTTACCGAAACTCCAAATCCATCGGGATTCTTCGTTGCCGGTCGCAGTTGCTGCACGGAGATAATATTGGACGAGGCGGTAATATCAACTAAGAGCCAATTTGGCAGAAAGTTGATAGAGATGGAGCAAAGAGAGACTGACGCGTTCGATCGTTTTCGTATCAACGACTACTTTCAGCAACGAAAGGTTCAATTGAATCTCGTGATCCGAAGTGATCTGTGGTTTCGAAATTGAGCGCTTCTTCAAATGCCTCTTGACTACAGATTTCATCCTGTTCAATTGTACCGGCCTCAGAAGTCATCTCAGCCTCAAGACTACAGTCTACACTTTTGCGACCTGCTGTGCGTCAAAGGGGACGGAAGTTGCGTATCCGAGACCTACCATGCTTCGGACCGTCGGAGGAGCCTTTTTGCGACGAATGCCTGTCACTTACCATGACCAAGATGTTCGAGACTATAGCCTATCTCAACTAAGCATCTATACAACCATACTTGCTATAGTCTAATCTTGCAAAAACACCACGATAGTGAAGCATGAACCCCAGTTCGCAAGAGTTTCGTCCCGGCTTGGGTCGCACCTTAGAGTGTCAAGGGCGCTTACAGATATGGTTTCTTCAAACTCTACGGTAGCAAGTTGCGTGTGATCGCCATGACGGGGTTCAAGCTTGTCCAGATGTTGCATTGACACGAGCTTATTGGGATTTAGCTATTCGTTCTTTGATATAGGAAACATCTATATAAGTCAGAGTGTTTATCCTCAAATTCATCCTTTCTTTTTCTCATCATCATCACTCACACAAGCCTCTTCTCAGTATCTCCTTCACCTTCGTCTTTTCTTGCTTCTTCTGCTGTTCTGTGAACGCATTCGCTTCTACCACTCCTTCTATTTTAATACCTTCTTTTTGCACCGCTGGTTGGTTGCTTCACTGCTCTCTAATCTCCAAGCAATTCTCTCTACCTCTCGCTATTATCTAACCAACAAACCATTCACAATGGCTATTTCCAAGACTTTCATCCTTGCCGCTCTTTTGGCTTACGCCGAGGCTCGATTCGGACAGGAGCAGGAACCCGTTGCTGCTGTTCAGGCACTTGATGGCTCTTTCGGCGACCCTGGTGCTGCTGCCACCATTGCTGGTAGCATCCCCAGTGCTCTGCTTGCCGCTGCTAGCCCTTGTGACAAGGTAAGGGTAACTCGAGTTATGAGGAAGAGCCATGTACTAACATATCACAGCTCACCATCGCTGATCAGATGATCGATGAGCTTGGAGATGACCAAGAAGTTATCGATGCAGCCATTGGCCTCGTCGCTGCTGAGACCAACTTCAACCCTTCGGCTGTCGACAGACCCTTTGTCTGTGCCGACCCTGCTCTCCCAGCCACAGCTGCTCTTCGAGGAATCATTCCCCTCGTTGACCCAGCTGTCGATGGTGCTGACACCCAGAATGCCAACTCAGCCGCCTCCGTCGCAACCCCCTTTGATGCCACTGGTCTTTCACAGGCTGAGGTCATGATTGCTCAAGGATTCAGCACCTTCCAAGCTGTTGATGCCAACGGCGACAACATCGAGCTCGCTGGTCAGGATGGCGCTGCTGGAGGCGGTGCTGGAGCTGGAGCCGGAGCCGACGCTGATGCCGGTGCCGATGCCGATGCCGATGCTGATGCAGGCAACGGAGGAGCCAACAACGGTACCGCTCCCGCCGACGGAAACGACAACCAAAACGACAACCAGAATGATAACCAGGATGAGGACTGCGAGGAGGATGACGCCGCTAATGACAACGGCAACAACCAGAACAACAACAATGGCAACCAGAACAACAATAACAACAACAACAACCAGAACGATGGTAACGACAACCAGAATGACAACCAGAACGACAACAACAATGACAACAACAATGGCAACCAGAACGGCAACAATGGTAACAACAACAATGGCAATGGCAATGCTGATGATGATGCTGATGATGCTGATGATGCTGATGCCGACAACGGTAACAACGCCGGTGGAAATGCTGGAAACGGCAATGCTGGTGCTCTCGACTTCGGTGTCTGCCAGCCCACTATGGCCCTTATCGGTGGTCTCAACGGTCGCCCTGCTGACGAGTTGACCTTTATTCCCCAAGACCCCCTTATTGCCGACGGTCAACAAGAAGCTCTCAACCCCAACATCATCACCAACCGCATTTGCGACCAGCTCACCAACGTCTGCGATGCCAGCGCGGATGCCGTTGCAGCTTGTGAGAGTGCCCAGGCCGAGATTGAGGCTTTGGGAACTCGCGACCAGAGCACTGCCGACACATGGAACGCTCTACTTGGTTTCGCTGGTGCCGACTCTACGCAACAGCAGGTTTAAGAAGGAAAGGGGCGGAGGAGATAAATGCATGCTGGTCATGAGACAATGGGTCTGAGGGGAGGCTTGAGTGACGATGGTCGCATGATACTAGTTTTAGCTTAATTTAATTCAATCATGGTATACCCAACTCTTGTTTCTTTTGTGATTACAAGTCGAAGACTGCATCGATGGTCATTACAGTTCGATACATACTGCTAGAATATGAGTATGTGCCAAAAGGTGTAAGAGAAATCTAAATTACACCCAATTTCTAGAAATTACTTCAACTCAATACTGGAAGTACTGACATGACCTTGAATGTATTGCTTGTTCCGTACAGTATATGTGCGATACTACGTAATACTAGACAGCAGAAAGTTGAGGGCCAAGTGCATGATAGACAAAAGCAAATAAACAAAGTTTAGACGAGTAAAATTTTATTCAACCATTCCGTCTCTTAATCTAATCGCTACCCTACGCCTGGTACATAGCGCTTTTACAGTCTTCATCGCTGTACAAGTACAAGATTCCTATAAACCATGTGACCTCTTCCAATCGATAAGGGGCCCCCCTACGGCCAGTCATAATAACTCCCGTATTTGTTATTCCATCCCTAAGGAATACAAAAGTCTATCCAACTTCCAAGATAGTCTAGTCTGTTGCCCTGATGCTCTTGGCTCTTGTAAATAGCTTCGAACTCATCGAAGCTTAGCTTGCCCCATCCGCCTCTCTTGGAAGCCTGAGTTTCTGCGATACTCAGACGTTTCCAATGTCGTAGCATGTCTGATGTAGGAGCACTGTCTGTTTCTTCATCGTTTGAGCTATCGCCATCGGAATTGTCAGAGAGAGGTTGTGTAATTGGATAGTATATTCGAGCGGAAGATGAAGGCGCATCGTGTGTTGTGTTGGGCCGGTACTGGGGCAAAGTGGGATCGTAGCTACGATCCTGAGAGACTGACTCGACTGTCTCGGTTTCTGGCTTGGGAGCAGGTTCTGCTGTTCCGTCCTCGTGGATGATCTCGACTGTGGTGTCGATTTCCACGGCATTTCGTCCTTCCGGCAAAGCGATGGTGTATCCAGTCTCGGACAGGAGTTCCTCAAGTGTCTTATCCGTAGCGGACCTGACCTTGGTGTCACCCTCGCCTGTGGGCTTGACGTTCTCATCGTCGCCGAGTTCGATGGTATCTAGTACATCTTTGTACCTTTGTCGCTGATCTTTTGTTTCAGCTGCTTCTATAGCGAGATCCTCCGCTGGCTTGAAAATGGTATCAAGTAATTCATTGAAGGCCTGTTGAGTAACCTGGTAAAGGATCTCCTTGCCCGCGTCCCGTTCAGCGTGGGGTATTCTCCATCTTGGAATGTCGTCGGAAGCACTACTGGGTGAAGTGGTCTTGTTATGGTAGCCCTCATCCGACATATCGCCGTTGGTGAACCGGGCCTTGGAACCGTTTTGTGTCGTAGAATGGCGTTCGTGATCCTTGCTAGATCCTTCGTCCGCTTGACGGAAATCATTAAGGATATCCTCACTGCCTTCCCAATCGTCTGGCGCAAAGCCACCCTCTTCTTCGTCAAGATAGAACTGCCGTCTGCGCCATCGCTCGTGTAGTTGTTTCCTGGCCATGTCTCTTTTTCGCTTATCCAGTCTAGGGGCTCGGCTACGATCCTTGGCGATTGTCTCTGCTCTCATTTCACTTTCCGTCCTTGAAGGGCCTCCAGTGTCATTGTCGCCATTGCGGATACCGTTGATACCGTCAGTGGCATCGTCTTCATCGTCATCGTCGTCCGAAGGCTCCTCAATTTCTGGGTTTAAACCATCCATAATGAGCCCTGGAAGTTCCTCCAACGTTGACGGCGGTTCCAAAAGGGTAACCCAGTATGTGCGGTCGACGTCGCTGTCACTTATTCGACGCACCGTTCTCCAGTTGCTATCCGTGTCATTTCTGGCTATGAACTGCCTTCGGGAACCAAATCGACGATCCGTATCGTAAGCGAATAAGTTGGTCAAGATGTCTCCTCGCGTAGCCGTATCTCCACGGTCTGGCGCAACGACATGCTCAAATCCATCAGCGATGTCAACGCTGCCGTCTCGATGATATGTCTTGCCTTCATGGCGGAACTGGCTTTCGCCAGGAGGGACTCGACCTTCTCGTCCAAACAGGCTGCTTAGCGGCTGGCGACTGGTGACAAGTTGCTGGGCTTCGGTGCTGGCAAGCAATTGGTCTTGTAAACCATCTAGAATGTCCTTGTGCATCTGCTTATAAAGCACGTAATATGCGCGGAACATGCGTAAAAAGTCTTTTCGGTCAACATATCCATCGCTATCCAAATCATAGCCAGTAAAGATCTTTCGCAGCTTGTCCTTTCGCTTTCGATACGATAATCCGTGAAGAAACTCGGTGAAGCCAATCAAGTCGTCGTTATTGGAGTCGTAAAAGGAAAACATTCGATCATGAATAAGGTTTGGTTCAGCATGACGGGAGCCTCCTGTAGGAACGAGGCATCGCTCGAACGTCTTACGATCCATTGCAACGCAAAGTTCGTCAGGATCATCCCTCCATTCTGAGTTAGCCATGAATGTCCATTGTTCCCAAAATGCTTCCAACTCTGGCCTCTCGAAACCGGTATCCTGTGACAGCTTGGGTATGAGACTGCGGGGTAAAGTTCGTCTGCAAGTATCTGGATCACCTGTGTACCAGACCGCTTGCATCTGTCTAGGACCAAAAGGTGGTGCTGGGATCCGGATCTTGTAGAATATATGAGTCTTGATATGAACACCCTGGGCTTCGCATGTTTCGCACAGATCAAAGTCGGCACAGTTTGCGCATCGATAACGAACCCCTCGAATGGGGACCATCCCACATGAGTTACACTGGCAACCCCTATGGACGCATCCGTTTCTGCGGGCATTATCTTCTGAGACACGAAAGAGAAGGGTGACGATATTATGTCCAGTTCGTTGGTTCGCAGGGAAAGAATTCGGGTCGTTCCACCATTCATCTCCGCCTTCTACAATCGTCTCGCCATCGCCTAAAGGCTGAGTCGTATCTGCGTTGGCATTCTCATCTCCCGCAGCCTCCGACGATGAGCTTGAGCCGTCTTCTGTTCTCCGACTCCGACGTTGACGTCGTACGGCATTGCTCCTGTGTAGACCACCACCTGGCAGGGTTTCGAAGCTTTGCGATCGGACCTGGTATGCGTAGTATCCGGCTGAGAGCGCAGCCACCGCAGAGACTACGGCCACAGCCAGCCGTGGCCGCGTTATACTCTCGACGGACGGCGTCGGCAACCACATTGTGGGCTATATCATGTGTGTCGCATGATGTTGAAGCTAGACGTGTCAGGGGAAGCGGGTGGTTGTGGAAGCGGGCTTCGAATATGTCGTGCTGATTCGATTGTAATTCGCGTTAATTGGAATATCGGGACTTTTGGTAAGCTGGCTTGGAGAAACTACTGTAAACGAGTGAATCATAAGTTGTTTCTGGTGATGACAGCTTCTATACATTAAAGTTGAACAATGAGATGGAAGCTGTGAGGTTTTGATGGAGCCGAAGCTAGACCAAACGTGGAAAGACGATCGATAGCTGTTGGTACGTACCCTTCGAACTGAAGTGGGGCTCGCCGTCAGCGAGAAAAGTGATGATGCTTGTACGTAGTACTAATGTGGGTGGATTGACAGAATGGAGCCATCGTGGGCGCCTTTGTACTGTAAATCCTCAGCCCACTATCTAAAGCTTCGATTTTACTTCTCCCAAGCTACCGATTGAAAACCCACACCTTCAATCGCATTGTCCGTCAACATAATGGCTGACGCCCCTCCTTCACTCCCGGGCCCTATGCCCTCATCTTTCGATGGCGACTCGTATGCTTCATTGACCCCAGCTTGCTATACCTTTGAGTCCCTGCTCATGCGATAGTATAGGGAATTTCATAATGAACGTCCTATGCAAAAGGTCGTTCGAAAGATCAAAGAGGAGCCCCTGATCCCTCTCGGTAATATTCCCTTCAAGCGAGTTATGCATGGGATAGCTTCTAATAGCTCGCTTTTGCGATGTAGGAATTGGTTTGACTACTCTTGCCTTCGTCAACGCCTACCGAGCCCTCCGTCGCGGCGATTCAAAGCAGGCAAACCGCATGTTCCGAGCTCGTGTCGCAGCTCAGGGATTCACCGTCTTCGCCATGCTTGCCGGCAGCATGTATTACCAGAAGGATCGAGAGAAGAGCAAGGAACTCCGCCAGCTCCAGGAGCAGAAGGACGCCGAAGAGAAGCGCCAGAAGTGGATTCGCGAGCTCGAGGCTCGAGACGACGAAGAGAAGGCTATGCGCGCAAGACTCGAGAAGAGGAGACAACAAGCCCAGGCTCAGCGGGCCGAGGACGCTCAACCAACCGCTGCCCCTACTGAGCTAAAGCCTGAGGGCGCCGAGACATCCAGCAATGGAGGAATTCTGAGCCGAATTGGTCTGTGGCCCCAGGGCAGCAATGAGGAGAAGAAGGGCATCGAGAAGGTTGTCGACGAGGTTGTAGATGAGGAAAACGCCAAGCAAAAGAAGAAGAACCCCAAGAGCTCACTCGGTGATCTCGGCGAGATCATCTCCAAGAGAAAAGATTAAATATCGAGATTGCATATCAAACGATTGGCCATAAGGGAGGTTTGTACAAAAAGTTTCATGTGCTGATTTATGGCAGAAGCACATCATGTATGATAGCGGATGAATAGCACCTTGGAATACAATAAGGATTCATGCTTTGAAGTTAGGCAACTTTAATGATTGCTATGTTGGACGAAAATCTTGCTCTTTCATGCTTGTTTGTGCATGCTGGTTGCTTTCGAGTAACGAGAGCAGTTCATTGTACAATGTGGTGGTGTTCAAAGCCGATCTACTCGCAGCTATATGCCATTGCGCCCGACATGGAGTCAGGACAGCAGTTTTAATATGGACTTTCTAAGAAACCAGTAGCCCTATGTCATTGAACCTCCACTTCGGTTTCCCCCAATCAGTCCTGCCATCTCCAGTAATGCTCGATCAGCCTCTATATCCCCGGAGCCTAAATTGATCTTGCGGCGGGCTTCTGCTTCTCGTTCCTCCCAAGCCCATTTCTCGGCTTGAGCTTGTGCTTCCTTATCACCGCCGCAGCCCCAAACTTCCAGACTCTCAATCTGGAACCGGTCCTGGAAATCGTGCTTTCTCACTACACTTGAATGGAACGCACCACCTCGAGAAGTATAGTCATGGTTAAAAACTCCAAATTCAAAAGAATCGTCAAGAAGTAGTGACACAGGGCCAAGGTGTAGCATGTCGGGCTTTCTGTGAGCTTGAGAGGGATGTGGATGAGAACAACCAAATGACAACATAGGATGGTGTGCCGGTGCCTTCGTAAACGTGACATAGTCCTTATTGATGGTCGAGGCCGGGAACACGTCATGAATTGGTTCAAGCTGGAAGAGGGTGGTTTCGGCATCTCCAAAGCATTCTCGATGAGTATGCTTCCAAGGTTCTCGAACATAAACACCGAACGTGAGTCGATCGGACTTGCTTCCATGAGGGAAACGTTTTGGAGGTAGAGATGCCGCAAAGCTTGCCTCCTGACCACCATCGGGCTCATCCCCTAGTCTCGTTCCACTTACCAGCAGCAGCGTAGGGGCTTGCCAGTTGAAAACCTTCGTCTGGAAACTTCCCATAGAGAAGCCCGCATCATTACCCGAGTACAGTAACCTGACTCGTCGGAAAAGGTCCGTACCAGGGAGGAACAGTGAGATCTGCGAAAGGGTGTTTTGGTTCAGTATATCGCCAGTATCGGTCAGTAGAGGCTGTGCTGTTTTGGGTGGTGAATTTGCTGACGGGGTATCATTTTGATGTTTAGAAAAGTCTAGATTTTGGGAGAAGAGGAAACGCTCGAATAGACCATTGAAGCCACGGAAAAGATTAGGTGAAATCACAGGTATGATAGTTCTGAAATGGTGGTACTTGATGCCAGTTGACGTTTCGGCATTCACGAAAGAGGCAAGAATGCACTCGGCAGCTCCGCGGAGACCTTCGAGTTCTTCGCCGACCACGCGGTGTGAATACATCGACAGACTCTCCTGAGGATCCAATGGGGCCGCCAATAAGAGAAGCATGACGAGCTTCCGAAAGTTGTCTGTCGGGATTGTTGCGCCATGAAAGATTGGCGCATGGCCCTGGTCCACTGCGTCCTTGACGTCCAGTAATTCGAAAGCTGTCAAGACAAGATCGTCGTCTTCGTCGTCTTCTTCATCATCTTCGCCAGCTGCGTCGACGGCGAAGCCAGGTGTCTGAGAGTTGGGCTCTTCATGATGGTCCTTTGTTTTAGGGCTATCCAAGGTCTCGGTATCTGGTCGAAAGCCTGCTTCAGATACCTTGCGGTCAAATACGGCTAAGCTTTTGAATAGAAGTTTAGTCCTGTCTGCCGAGCCACGCGCCAAAACAGTCCGGTAGCGCTCAGTCATGATGACCACAACCATGATCATCCGCTGAAGTTCCAGAACTACTGGTGCTTCCTGTAGAAAGGGGAATGCTCCAATATAAGATACCATCTGAAATATCACTGGTGAGGTGCCGAGGATATCTGGTATCTCCAAGTACCGGGCAATGGTATCCTCCTTGAGGTACTTGATAGAGTCCTGCTGGTCTGCAAGACTTTTGAAGACATCTCTGAGAGAGTACAATTCGAGGGAAGTAAAGCATTTCTTCTTGAACTTTTCAGCCTATAGAATTGTGTTAGTCAATGGTGAAATGCTTCTGGCGGTGGAGCATGATGGTGATGGTGATGGTGATAGCGACTGACAAGTTGATGGGTTAATTCTTCATGCGACCGCCGTTGCGGATGCTCATCCGAAAGATTCTGACCCATTTTGTAAGGGCCACTGTGTTCTCATTACTTCAGAACTGTAGTAACGGCTTCTGATTGAAACAACTCAGCAATTGTTGATGATATGATCAGATCAAGATGTGAGTCTGCCTGGACGATTTCATGACATTCCATCTGAGAGTGGGTGAACTTGCTGACAGGGTAAGTTAGGTACGTACCTATACGTAATGATTCGCTCCTTCCCCTTTCCCCTGTCGCTCTATCTTGCGCCAAGCATCAATGACGGTGCTGCCCTCCAAAGTTCCAATTGATTGACACGTGAATCGGCGAGATGATCGGCCCGAGCAGTTCAGAGTTAAGATTCGTTGAGTTTGAAGCTATTCCCAGATTACAATCACAAAGTCACGGTGGCATTTTGTCGGGTTAGGCAATTAATGTTCATTACATATGTAAGAGAGTTAAACATGAGGAGAATCGTAGCATCTCCTACTCTTAGCTAGCTGAATTTAAGAAATCACCTTTACCCCCTCCCTTGAAACAATTTCTAACATCTTCTCTAGCTTCTCCAACCGCTATGTCTCATTCTAATCATCCTTCTCTGCGGCCTTTGCAAACTTCTCTTTCGCTGTCTCTGCAGCCTCTCCAACCTCTTCTTGCGCCGCTTCCACAGACTCCTTCAAAGTATCCTCGAGCCCACCAAGAAACTCGTTGCACCATCCATTCTTCTTCGACTGCTCAAGCTTGTCTTTCAGCTCGCCATCTTTTGAAGTCTGGTTGCTGGCAGGTTGATCCGCTGCGATCTCGGCCACGTTCTGGCCGGCAGCGTCCTGTGGCTCTAACAACTTGGTCGTATTCAGGTTGCCGGTTGCCTGGGGCGCTGTCAAGTCTGTCGCGTTCTGGCTGCTCACAGTCTCATTGCTGTTACCGGCGATCAACTCGTCTAGCGCCTTGGTTGCATTGAACCTTGGAGTGGCCTCGGTGTCAAGTTTCCTCTGCTTCTTCGCCTCTTCAACCTTGTCATGGATCATATCGGCAAACCTCTCGATGAACTCTTCCGTAAGCGCCTGAGCGTATTTGAATTGGGGACTGAGGTCCACTTCCCAGTCCGAGTCTGGCTCGGTTTGTGTAATATTCATCGTGCTTGGGACAAGCTGGCGCTTTTCATGATCATTGTTTGCAAGATGATTGTTTTCCTTGTGGTATGAGTCCCGCTTGCTCTTGTTGTTACCAAACTTCTTGAGGACAGCACTATACTTGGGATCGCTCTTGATGCGTCTGTACTCGTTATCAAGCTTCTTAATCAACTCAGGAGAGAACTCGTCGGCGTAGGCTATCTCCTCTGAGAGCTCAAGGCTCATGCCAAGCTGTCGCGCGGCTATCCTGCGCGCCGAAGAGCTCGAGCCTATGATCCTGTCCAGTTGTTTTTGAGTGATCCCGGGAGCCTCACTCTCTCGCTTGACCTTCCTGGGCTCGTACGGGTCCATGTTAGGATTTCCGTAGTGAATTCGCCTATACTCAGGGATTGACTTGAAGCGTTGATACTCCACTTCAAGCTTCTCAATATCTGGTTGCGTCCACCGTTCGATATTGGAAAGCTCCTCTGCAACCTTTTCTTCCGTACCCCTTAGTATTAAAAATTCTTTGCGCTCTTTGGGAGTTAAGTCCATGAGTGCGTGCCAATCGTCTATAGAACATCCGAAGTAGTCCTTCCCATCTCCTCTTCGCTTGTACAAGGATCCCATCCTTCGGAGGAGGCCCTCGTATTTAGGATCCTTATAGACTCGAGCATATTCAACATTGAGCTTCGCAACAAGCTCGTCAGTTGTCTTATCGGCCCGAACCCACTCCTTTGTGAGCTTGGGATTCATATCAAGCATCTTAGCAACACGTTTGCGCTGCTTTCGGCTCATGCGCATAAGCTTGCTGATCATTTTCCGGCTGAGTTTGGGCTCTTCTCTCTTGGAGCTGGATAGGAACTTGTCAAGGATATCCTTGTACTTGGGGTCATCTTTGATGCGACGATATTCCACGTTGAGCTTCTTAACGAGCTTGTCAGATATCTTACTGTATTCAACAAGTTCGCGTGTAACCTTGGGGTCCAAGTCGAGCTGCTTTGCAACCATTGCGCGGTACCTAGGAGGTAATGACTCAATCTTCTTAATAGCCTTTTTGCTAAGTTGGGTCTCTGCTCTCTTTGAGCTGGAGAAGAATTTGTTGAGGATGTCCTTGTATTTGGGATCACTCTTGATACGAGCATATTCAACATTAAGCTTCGCAATAAGCTCGTCAGATAGCTTATCGGTTTTAACCAGCTCCGCTGTGAGCTCAGGGTTAAGGTCGAGCTTCTTTGCAACTATTCCGCGGATTGAATAAGATAGTCCCTCGATCTTCTTGATTTCCCTTTCGCTGAGTTGTGGCTCTGATCTCTTCGAGTAGTGCTTTTCTTCTTCCGCGTTTCTCTTCGATTTCTTCGAGTTGGGTAGATACCTTTCGCGGATATCCTTGTATTTGGGATCGCTCATGATACGAGCATATTCTTTGTTGAGCTTCGCAATAAGTTTGGCAGAGAACTTGCCGCGGGCATTGGCCAGTTCTTCTGTGAGTTTTGGGTCAAAGTCGAGACTTCCTGCAGCTATTCTCCGGGCAAAGGAAGGCGATGCCTCGATCCGCTTGATTTGATCTTTGCTGAGTTTTGGGTCTGCTCGCTTCGACAAGGCCTCGATCTTGTTGCTTTCCTCGTCGCTGAGTTCTGGTGTTGCTCTCTTTCTTGGGACGCCCGTAACCTTTCTCTTCATAACTTCTATGAATATCATGTTGGCTTGGCGGTCCAGGTGAAGGATAGCCCAAAACTCGTTGAGTTTAGTGATCAACCGAGGAGTCAATTCCTTGAATTTAGGGAACTCCTTCTTGAGCTCTTCATCCATCCAGGGGTAATCTTTCACGATATCTTTTCGTTTCGCTGTGCTGAGTCTCTCAAAGTTCCATAATTGTTGTACTGTGAGCGTGGGGAGTGGTTTGTTGGGGTCAAGCTTCTTTGGCTCCTTGGGATCCTTCTTACCGCAAGGGGTTCTTGCTTCAATGCTCCTCTTCCCCATATGGCTTGAATGGCGATGGATCAGTTTGTATTCTCCCTCGTTTTCATCGTGGTCCTTCTCCTGCGCTCTGCCCTCGTATCCAACAGGCGTGGGAGGCTTATAGCCAGGCTGGGGGAAATGCATAGTGGAGTGGGGCTGAGGATGAGGATGAGGACGGGGTGTAGGTGTGGCCTTGGGATAGTTCATGGCGATACGTCTATGTTCACCATATCTGGGCGCAAGCATGAACCAGCCTCCCTGAGGACAATCCGTGACACTGGGGCAGGGAACTTCAGTGACGCGGCCAGGTCCTGCCCACTCAAAGCCGGGAATGACCTTCTCGTAGCCAGGCAAAACGTGGTTCACTATGTCCTCCTTGTAGTCAGGCCTCGAGTAGTCGGGCTCGACGACGATATTGGTTCCGGTGATTCCAATGCGTCTGTGCTCGCCGTCCTTGGGTTCCAACATATGCCAATGACCATAAGGACATCCCTCCTTGGAGGCACAGGGAGTCTTGGTAACAGCTCCAGGACCAGCCCACATGAAGCCTGGGACGACGTTCTCGTAGCCGGGCTCATCGTAGTAGTGTGTGTGGTGCTCCACGCTGTGGGGTTTCGACTTGAAGCCATGATCTTCATGGCCAACCTCCTGCTTGCGATAGAACTTGGTGTTTTCCTTGGGCTCATACTTGGTTGGGTAATACACCTTCTTGTATTCATACTTCTTGTCCTCTTCAGAGTAGTTGAGTTCTTTCTCCTCTCGCTTGTGGTCATGCATCTTCTCCTCATTAGAGGCGCTGTGCTTCTTAGGATGATACTTTCTGTAACCATACTTCCTAGCTGTGTGGGGGTCGTCTTCTTTGTCTTCCTTGTCACTCTTCTTGGGGTAGTACTTCTTGAAAGTGATCTCTTCGGGCTCGCCCGAACCACCATGCTTGGTTGTATAGGACTCATCATCAAGGAACTTTCCTTCTTCAGGGTTGTGCCCGAAGTTGAAGTCGTAGAATCCCTTCAGCTTAGAGTTGCCTCCTTTCTTCTCGGAGTACTCCTCCTCGTGGTACTTCTCTTCAGAGTCAGGTCCGTACTTTTGTTCATCCTCCTTCTCATAGTCGGGCTTCTTGTAATGCTCCCTGGCATAAGAGTGATGAGTGTCGTCTTCAGCACCATACTCTGCCTTGGGGACGAATTTTCTCTTTTTCTCAAAAGGCTGCTTGGGGAGGTACTTTCCCCGGTACTTGTCGAAGTAGGGAAGGTTGTCGTTCTCCTTCTGGTGCTTGTTGAAGTGGGAGTACTCTTGATCCTCGACTTCAGCCTCATACTTCTCAGGCAGGTGATAACCAGGCTTGGGCATGTGAAAACCATGCTCCTTTGCCTTGTGGAGGTCACGTATCTCCTTGGCGGTGTACTTGACATGTCGAGCCCAAGGTTTGGTAGTATCAGGGAATCTAGGTTCCACCTTATACTTGTGGGAGTGAGTATGCTCTTTGTTGGGATTCCTATAGTGCTCCCTAGATTTACTAGGTTGCCACCACTGCCCCATCACATCACCCTTAGAGGTCCATCGCTTGGAGGGACTTCCCTGGGGATCCCCAATATCGTCTGATTCATGCTTTTTTGAGGAGGCGTCATGGTCCTTGATGAAGTACTTATCGAAATCATGTTCGTTGAGATCGTAACGATCGTCGGACGGGTCAAAGGATTCTGTCGGATAATCTTTCTTATCCTTGTGCTCCTCGCTAGGGTACTCAGTCTCGTAGTTATAGTCGTTGTGATGATGTCCTGTTTTGGGGTTGTCATAGCTCTCGCTATGGTGATAGTGTTCCTCGTGGCTGTAGTCTCCTTCAGGTTGGTGCGTCTTGAAACGGGGCTTCTCGGAGACATGATGTCTCTGAGGTTCATACTTGTTCTTCATGTCATGTCTGTCTTCGGACTCATGACCATGGGGATGATAGTTTGTGGTGCCATGTTCATTGTCGTGGTGGTGTTTCTTGGCCTCGTACTCGCTGTCCTCGGGAACGAGGAACGTGTGACGGGTAGTTGACTTGGCCACCTCGTATCCCTTGAAGAACTTCTTACGGAATTCAGTGAGGGGGCCTCGTCTTTCATGGTCTTCTTCAACCCGATTGTCGATCTTGTCGAGATACTTGGTAAAAGGAGGTGGAATAGCATGAGCCAGGCCCATCGATGCCTGGATGGCAACGAGGACGGTTGTGGAAAACCTCATGATGAGATACTCACTCTCAAGAAGAGTAGATGAGTAAGTCAAACTAGGTATACACGAGATGTTCTTGACTGAGCTTTGAATCGAAGAAGAGAAACAGAAAAGGTCCCAATGTAGACATTGGGGTCAACTTATACCTGAGAGGGGTCACGGGATTGCCACTGATCATGAGGGATGGCTTCGCCTTCTCCTCTTTAACATGGCATCATGGCGCAATATTCTTCTGGCTTGGTTTGGGATATGTCCGGGTTGGCCCAGGCGATTGGCTGCTCGTGTACATAGGGTTTCATGGCTATCCTACTGATATGTTTCTCTCACCGTGGATGACACTTACATGAGGCGATATCTCATATAGTCGCTTCAGAGATACACTTGATCTTTGGTGGAGCGCTCTGTTGGTCAATACTAGTCAATGATATCCAAGATGACACTATAGAAGCATCGCTGAGCTGAGGGGTGGGCTATCATTACGACAAGATAAAGTAACTTCCTGGAGTGCCCTCAACTGGATGGATATTAACTGCGATGTCATCACTAAGCCCTTAATGTTATGGCGAGTGGTCAGTCCGGTTCGGCCTCCTCACGTATTGTGCTCTCGCCACAACCTGGTCTTGAGAAACGATGGCCTTCCTCTCATTTCGTAAATGCCACTTATCATCAGACCCAAGCCTACCTCGGAGTTCTCCTAGGCGGTGTTTCCATGGAAATGGCGAATTGCCACTTGTGACCGCTGGTCACAGGTTGGATTTTACTTCTCGCCATGTCTTCAAAACGGCCGATATGCATACAGCTTCATGTCACCTCCCATACTAGGAAGACAGTCATCTATCTGCATAACAACTTCATACTCTATATCTATGGTCGATGTCAAGTTCACGCAGCATGATAATGTAGCAGTTTTCAAGTTTCGCAAGATAACTGTCAATGCAGAATGACTGTCAATGGGTGCATGTGTGCGTATCTACTTGGCCACTGGTGATTTCAAACGAGGCTCAGCAAGCCCTGAGTTCGATCACGGACGCAGAATCTGTGAAAACCACTACAAGATGTAATAATGGTATTTGTGTGGCCACAAACAAAGGCGGTGTGTGAAACTCAATTCGAGCCGGATTCACCTGGACATTGGGTTACCACACGCAAGTGCTCTTCAGGCGAATATACCGTCCAGATTGGATTCGTACAGTCCTTGTTTGATTCCTTATAATCTATTCCAATACAAAAAACAAAGCGAGCATGCCCCCTGCCCATATAGAAAAAAATGACCTACTCCACGCTCCCGACTTCGCCAAAGTCCCAATCCCGATAAATTCGCGCCGACAAAGAAATATAAGTTTATACAAAAAAAGAGCCGTACAGAGAACTGAGCGTGTTAAGCTCCAGTGTTTTTAGCGGACACCTGGTTTATCAAACGCTGATATTTGGCCTCCGCTTCCTGCTCAGCATCCCGAGCAGGCTTAGACAACCGCCCTTCCACTGATGGCGTTTCTGAGTTTCCTTTGGAAATCCAGAGGACACCAGGTTTCGGGGCGGCCTTTGCTTCGGTTGCTGCGTCGGGTTTTGGTGTAGATCCATTGGTTCTGGGTTCCTCCGAAGCTGTGCCATCCTTCTCGCCATCTGGTGAGGCTTTTGGAAGCCTCATGGCCAAAAGCACGTACTCAGCCCTTGTCATGTTGTCCATCACATCATCCATATAACGCCGAACCTCATCCTGAGGAGCAACAACTCGTGCCAGATTATCCAATTGGCGACCGGTCTGCGTGAAAAGGCGTATCGTGACAGGCTGGTAATAATCAAGTTTGGGGTCTCCTCCATATTCTGACGTGCTTCCCTTACGAACAATCAGGAATGAAGCGACGACTTGCTGGCCGGATGATGTAGGTAAATATTCCAAGATGCTGAACTTGGGGAAAAGATATCGATCTCCACTTCCAAAGTCGAATACAACTGCCGTGACATCTTGCTTGGGAGCAGGTGGAGGCCCCTTGGACCGTAGAGCCTGAACCCCAGGATAGGCCGAAGTTTGTGGCGCTTTAGCCTGACCATTTGGCATGCCATTCGGAGCTGGCTGTCGGTTTTGTACTGGAGCAGAAGCTTGTGGCGCACTCTTCATATCGCGGTGCAGTCTATCCAATATTTCCTTCAGATCCGTGGCATCGGTGAAGCCCGGTCGGCTTTCCGCAATCCTGCGGATCATATCTCGAGTCTTTGTATCATCCAAGGCAGTTTTGACAAGCTGAACGACGAGTGGATCACTTCCTTGTGGTGGTCGCAAGTCAGACGATTTCTGGTTGGGGTTTGAAGCCAGAACAATGTCAAGAATGGTCCGAACCTCAGTAGCGAAATATTGAACCGTTCGACCATCCACTAAAAGTCGGTCGGCTGATGGTCCTTGTTGCCCTCCCCTGCTTCGATATTCCGCATTCAATTGATCAATTATCTTTTGGAAATGCGCCAATTCGCCCTCTTTTGCCTGTCCCACGGCCACTCTCTTCATGAGATCACGAAGCTCTGCGTCTCCTGATGCTTTTTGCGCGAGCAAAGCAATAACAGGGTCATTTGCAGAGGGTTTCGCCGCAGGCGCGGAACCTGGCGCTGCAGGTCCTGGCGCTGGGGCGGGCTTCGCGAGGCCACCTGCTGGTGCTTGAGCATTTGGCGGTGGTCTCGGCGCTGGAGACATTGCAGGAGCGGCCATTGGGCCAGCTGGCGCCGGTGCTGGAATCGGTGCAGCCGGCCCAGTAACGTTAGGTGACGGATGCCCTACTGGCGGAGGGGTTGGAGATGGTGCTACAGGTCCTCCTACAGCTTGTGGTCTCTGTTGGTAGGTCGGGTTTGCAGGTGGTGTCATGTTGGATGGCGGAGCATTTCCAGGCTTTTGAGCTGTCGACAGGGCGGCAGTCTGAACTTGAGGAGCCCGAGGAATAGGTTGAGGTGGTTGCGCCGGACTCTGAGCCGCACCCGGGGCTGGACTGGGCGGCACAGATTTTGGCGTAGCTACCTTGGTCTGGTTGGGGGTGCCAGCTGTCGGTGCTGGAGGTGCGACTGGTGGGGGCATCGAGCCATTTGGAGGGCCATATTGAATAATCGGACGTTGCTGCGGTTGTTGTTGTGGTGATGGTTGGACTTTCGGTTTTGGATCCTTGACCACATACATCGTCGCTTCGATTATATGCGGCTCGATTGTGATTGTCACATTGCCGACCTTTGACATGGTCTCCTTGGGCGGATTCTTGGGGTCTTCGTTGAGTACACCCTTGCGCTTGTGCGGTTTCGTCCAATATTTAGCAAAAAGACCTTCGCTAATCCATTTGTGACGGGATCGTGAGAGCGATTCGGCGAGTACGCCGCTGGAGCCACGCGTTAGTCTGTGTCATTCCCTCATGCTGCACTCTAACATGACGTACCTTTCGCCAACAGACTGATACTCCTTGGAAGAGAGATCCTCAGGCTGCGCGACTTCGACCGTAGGAAGCGGTTTGCCAGCCTGGACCGACTTGGGCAGCGGCGGCGGCGGAGGCTCTTCTGGCTCCGGATCTGGGGCTGGGACTGGCGCTGGCGGGGGAGCAGCGGGTGTCGCAGAGCGCTCTCGGGGCGTAACATTGCGCTTTTTTGCAGCGGTTTCTCCTCGAGCAGCTGCCCGCGCAGGCAATTTGCGCTTTCGTTCCATATGACAGCTCGTCCAGTAGACAAACTAAAGAAAGCGCAACAAAATTATACTGTAAAGCGGAAGCCAATCATTATATATAAAGACCATGCAAGGCGCGTCTGGATGCAATATGGACGTGTAGAGCTTAATATTGGGTTATTTTCGCATAAAAAATTATCGGATGGTGACGTGAAGCTGAAGTTGAGTCACGCGGGCAGGTCGAGGGAGCATGGAGGTGGAAGATGGAAGATGGGAATGGAGACTCCCATTGGAAAGAGAAAGGTAATAGTAAAGTAACAGCCACGGCCAGAAATCCGAGGCTCAGTGGTGCAGGTCCGACACACCTTCATGATGGAGAATGGGGAGTAAACGCAGAGACGCTATTGGTCAGAAAAGGCGGAGGAGCCAAGCACTGCCAATTCTGGACTGGGCGCGGGCCTACGAATCTAGCACTACAGCGCCTAGAGTCAAATAAGAAGCTGGGGCTCAGGGGACTTTGCAGCCTGTCGAGGCCCGCTCGGCCGTTTTTTCTGGAAGCGCCGCAAGAGTGACCGTGATATTCATGGAATAGAGCCAGATGAGTGATAAGCAAGGAAAAACATAACGCCAGTTGATCTGAAGTGCTAGTGTACGCAGTGGCTTCAAAGAGAGTGGTTCACCGGTATAAATCATGCACAGTTCAATACTCAATCCTGTTGGATCAAGATTATCAACCAGACATGTTGTCGGTCCGCGGCTCTTTCTTGCTATTCAAGAGGTGGAGCCACAGCCCGAGCCGCATCAGACGCGCCTCGAGGGCAGGAAGGGTACTTGGATGCACTCGTAATTTTCCCCGCGTGATAAGTTCCGCTGCTGATCACCGATGCTTAGCGCGAACAAAGCAACGTCCGCTCAACCTCAGTCCCCCAAGAATCCTGCAGTTGATGACTGTACATCCTGCGACAGTGACAGTTAAGAATATCACTTGCATTAATCCCTGTATTTTCTTTCTTTTTTATCTCTTTACCTATATCCGTACCTACTGATTTTCTCCTTATAAATCCCTTGGCTTGTTTCTCCTCGCGATTGCCTGCCCAATCATGACGTCTCTACATCCCGCTGTACGGGCTGTAATTGCAGTGGTCGCGGCGCCACTGGGTCTGTATTGCGTCTTCCTCGGGCTGGGCATGACGCCTTTCTTTCAGAGACAGTAAGGGTACTGCTATTCAACTTGCATTTCTTTAACTGACAGTTTATATACAGCTTTCTATACGCTCACAAAATCAATACGTTATTATGGAATAATGTGAATCAACCAGAACGATGGGGCTTCGCTCGTAAGTTGAATGCATCGCTCATACAGCAGCGATCAAGCTTATAATGATGACGACGACTTATCGACATTTCTCCAGGAAACCAAGTTACCCCCTTCTCGCTCAAGACTCCTGATGGAGAAAAGATATATGCTTGGCATATTCTTCCTCTGCCACTTTACCTTCAGAATGAAGCCAAAATCGAATCCCAGGAACCAGGGTTTTCAGCCGATTTCACCCAAACCGAGTCTTTTCGTCTACTAAAAGAAGACCCAGAATCTCGACTGGTCCTTTACTGTAAGTCCCTATCATGTATACTCTCGCCCACTCACCGCTCACATCCTTTTCAGTTCATGGTGTAAGTGGTTGTCTCAAAATGTCAGCAGCATCGACTGACGTCACACGTAGAACGCCGGTCATATCGCACAAGCGATTCGTCCACTCAGCTATCATTCGTTAACTGATACCTCCTCATACCATGTCGTTGCTATTGATTACCGAGGGTTTGGTCACTCCACGGGCTCACCTACTGAGACTGGGGTAATTCAAGATGCTGCAACACTTGTGGATTGGGCTACCAAGGTCGCAGGTGTCCCAGCCAGTCGCATCGTTCTCCTTGGACAGAGCTTGGGTACAGCCGTCGTCAGCGCAGTCGCCGAAAAGTACGCTCTCCAAGGCGTCGAATTCGCTGGAGTCACCATCGTCGCAGGCTTCAGCGATCTAGCCAATCTCTTGTTGGGTTACCGTATTGGAGGTGTTGTCCCCGTCCTCGCACCCTTCCAAATGTGGCCTACCCTTATACGCTTCATTCACCGATTCGTTGTCGACAAATGGCATTCGGATGAGCGTTTGGCTAATGTCGTGCGGCACACAAGAACAAGGCTCAGACTCAATCTAATCCATGCTAAGAATGACAAAGACATCCCATGGACCGAAGACAATAAGCTGTTCCGGGCCGCTGCACAGGAGATGGTGGGAATCATGGACGATGATGACTTTGCAGCTTGGAAAGAAGAACGCACCATTCGTAAGGGAAAGGATGCATTCGTGACCACATGGAAAGCCAAACCTGACATGATTATCCGACAGGAACTTTTCCCATATGGAGGTGTGTAAAATTAACTCGATTTGAGACAGACCAACTAATGAGTCGATAGGTCACAACGATATCATGGGCTATGCACCAGTTGCGCTTGCTATCATGCGAGCCTTTGATCTCCATGGGACGACTTATAACAATGATGAGCAGCCTATTTCTAAGTGAAAGTTGAATGAGTAGTATTGATAGAACCAGCACTGGCATTCATTATATTCCTCACCCAACTCCATGACTATTATGGTTGTTTAGGAGTTTGGGTGAGTACCTGCTCTCGACGTCTTATCCTGACTGGGAGTACCTTCATTCGAATCGCTTGATTCATTTGAGTTGGCTTGATTCCACGAAGTATGAAGGAAACCCAGTTTCGCATTAAGTCTCGGTTAGGTACCTCTAGACTACTAGATACTGTTTTGAGCAACTCCCGGGGGTTGATAGTTACTCACTCGTCATATATACTAGATACTATCATTGGCTTCATTGTCATCTAGCTCTGAGATGTACTCAAGTAGCTTGCATCTACATAAGAATCAAATAACCCATGAACCTATTACCCAAACCCAACTTGATTTCTCAGCTAAAATACTATTAATTTCTTCTTTGTTTGTTGAATCTTAGCTTTCAGCATATTCATCTACTGTTTGAAGGAGCCAAGAGCCACTTCTGGAATAGTGGATGCCAGGCACATGTTTCGCACATCTCCCACTAATAATAACCCCACCAAAGAGCTCTCGTTCAACCCCCCACCCCACGTAAGTACAGTTGTTGGCACCTACATCACCTGCTACACCAAAGGTCCATCTCGAACCAGCCATGTCCGAGGAGTCCAAACCAGTTGAGCCCGTCGTCGACGAGACGAACGCTGAGCTCAAGGGCAAGGCAATCGCACAAGCTGACGCCGAAGCCGACGACCACGCCGAATCCGGATCCGAGGAAGAGCACGAGGAGGAGCACGCTGCCGAGGGATCAAGCGACAAGAAGAAGAAAAAGAAGAAGAAGTCGAAGCGTTCCAAGGTCAAAGATGCTCTGACTGGTTCAAAGTCCGCCCCTACCGATGCCGATTTCCACAAGGCCCTCGATGGCCTCACTCCTCAACAGATCAAGGAGTTCCTCGCTCTCAACCCGGCCCTCGCCCAGGAGGTGTCCAAGGCCTCCAAGAGCGACAACCCCTCCGCCAACCAGGCCGCCGATATGCTCAAGAAGATGTCCCTCCAGGATATCATGACTGGTCTTGCTGCTGGTGGAAAGAACGCCAAGGATATGGGCTCATACAAGTTTTGGCAGACGCAGCCTGTGCCCAAGTTCGGAGAGGACAACAACTTGAAGGAGGGCCCCCTGCGCATTCAAAAGGTCGAGGAGGTCGACAAGGAGCCTTCGGCTTTGATTCCCGGTTTCGAATGGGTTACCATGGATTTGACAAAGGAGGAGGAGATCAAGGAGGTCTATGAGCTCCTCAACAAGCACTACGTTGAGGACGACGAGGCCATGTTCCGCTTCAACTACTCGCCAACTATCCTGCGATGGTAAGTTGTACTCACCAACGATCTATGAACAGACCACCATCGTAGAACAGCTCGTACTAACATTGGCAGGGCTATGATGCCTCCTGGTTGGAAGAAGGAATACCACGTTGGTGTGCGCGCTTCTCAGTCTGGCCTGCTGTGCGCCTTCATTTCCGCCATTCCTGTTCACCTTCGAGTTCGCGAAAACGTAGTCACTTGCTCTGAGGTCAACTTCCTGGCCATCCACAAGAAGCTCCGAGGCAAGCGTCTCACACCAGTGCTTATCAAGGAAATCACCCGCCGCAGTAACCTCGACGGTATCTGGCAAGGTCTCTACACTGCTGGCGTGGTCCTCCCCAAGCCTGTCAGCACCTGCAGATACTTCCATCGTGCGATCAACTGGCAGAAGCTCTACGAGTGCGGTTTCAGCCCTCTTCCTGCCAACAGCAAGCCTCAATATCAGGTTCGCAAGTATGCGCTGCCTGATGACACCACTATTAGAGGTTTACGCCCGCTGCAAGAAAAGGATATCGAGGCCGTTATGGATTTGTACCATCGCTACAACACGCGCTTCGATATGACACCAAAAATGACGCGTGAGGAAGCTCTGCATTGGTTCTTGCCCAAGACAGGGCCCAATGAGCAGCAGGCTGTATGGACCTACGTTGTTGAGGTAAGTTGAACTAGATTAACCACACATATATGCACCAACGCTAATGCACCATACAGGATGAGAACAACAAGATCACTGACTTCTTCTCTTTCTTCTGTATCGAGTCCACTGCTATCGGTAACTCCAAGCACAACGTTATCAAGGTGGCATACATGTTTTACTATGGTACAGAGGTGGCTCTACAGGATAAGTTCGACAAGGCTGCTCTGAAGAAGCGCCTCAACGAACTGGTGCATGATGCCCTCATCGTCTCCAAGCGCTACAAGTTTGATGTGTTTAACGCTTTGACGCTGATGGATAACGCACTCTTCCTGGAGCAGCAGAAGTTTGGCGCTGGTGATGGTCAGCTCCACTACTACCTGTTCAACTACCGCGTCAACCCCATCGCCGGTGGTGTTGATCGCAAGAACCAACTCGATGAGGAAAACCTGAGTGGTATCGGACTGGTGATGCCCTGAGGTGGAGGATGAGAGACTGCGCGTAGAATGGTGGAGGATTCCGTTGGAACTGGGATAGAGGGATCGCCATTTATAAGAAAAGAGAAATGGACAAGTGAGAAATGATGAGATGAAAAATAACTTCAGATTTAGCGGGCATGATCAATCACAAATTGGTTTCTGCGACTCTTCTCCAACCTGTGTATGCACTTGTCTCAGCTCTTGTATCAGCAAAGCACTGGTTAATGATGAATGCGCCGCACATGAAGTGAACATTTTAAACTCCTCGGCTAATGGATACCTTACTATATATATCTCTCGAGGCTTGAGAGTTTTCCAAATCATTCTCGCCATGATCACTACCGTGAACAGCCTGGAATGTAAAGAGCGGCTTTGCAGCAGCCTTAGCCCATACCATCCATGTTCGGATCTCTCTACATATCTCTCTTGGCACGTGGCGTTAGTTGTTACTAGTTAGTCTACCTAGTCTAGTGCCGAGGTCAGGAACAACGTCACAATAGCCAAAGGGACGAGCTGTGATTCATAGGTAGCTGGAGATCTCGGGCTATTTTCTTCTCTTTCCCCTCCTCTCCACTTTGCTTTGGACCCCTGGTCCAACTGCTCCTGAAAAGTGATTAATTGCTTTTTACATTAGATATATCACAATACATACTGCAAAACTCATCACCTCTTTTCTTCTTCCCTCATCTTCTTCAACTCCTCGCGTAGGCTAGTCTACCTTAGTTTGGTGACATTCTTAGATTTGGTTACGATACCCGCAACCTACAGATACTACCTACTAGATCGAACAGCGTCGTTGCTCTTCTTGCGACAAGACAGCTCAGCTCAGACCTTCCTGTGAGCTACACAACCGTGTTTGCGCAGAAGGAACCAGTGATATAAAAGCAAACAACTTCAAGTATCTATTATGGCGTCTGACATGTGAGTCCTCCATCATCATCACCTTCATCCTAATCGTCTTCTTTTCTACTTCATTGTTATCTTCTTTACCTGCATTCTTTTCTTATCTCACTTGTTCTCATGTGTGGTTTCAAAGGTCACTTACACGCAATGCGTCGTCCCAGAACTCGCTCGCTTCCCTCCATTGAGGAGACCCTCAACCATCCAGCCTACCCAACTACTCTATGGGCGCTGGAGCCTCACTCTCAAGGTAAACTATCTGTTGCCGAAGGTCGCGGTGGTCCAGTTGGCATTGCATGGGAAATTCACGGCGAAGGACCCGTCAAGCTTGTGGTACGTTTCTTCCGTCAAATCTCCTCAATCTCTCCGTCTATGTATTACGCTTTTACCGCTTTTGCCTTGTTACATTCGTCCTCAACGACTTCGAGTAAACGGTAATGAGTCCGCTAACGACACAAGTAGCTTGTTATGGGCCTAGCAAGCGTCAAGACTTCGTGGCAGCGTCAAACAAAGTATTTCGGCCATGATCGTGGCGACAAGTACTCGGTTCTAATCATTGATAACCGGGGAATGGGCGCTAGCGACAAGCCGTTTGGTGTCTACTCTACCAGCGGCATGGCCCTCGATATCATTGAGGTTATCGATCATGTTGGTTGGACAGCTGAACGTGACATCAACCTCGTAGGTATCTCCATGGGTGGCATGATCTGCCAAGAGATCGCTATTCGCATCCCTGAACGTCTGCAATCTCTTACCCTCATCTGTACCTCAGCCCGTGTCCAGAATACATCGGGCTTCTTGGCTACAGTGACAGAGCGCATGGGCTGGCTTGTTCCTAAGACCATGGAGCGCACTATCGTCGACACATCGCTCAAGCTCTTCACACCAGAGTGGCTCGTCGCACCAGATGATGACGAGCTACCCGAGCCCGGCGTCACCCCAAGATGTGGTCCACCACCAACAGAGGCTGGTCCAACATACCGTCTATTCGAATCCAACTTCCAGCGTTTCCAAGCTCAGGAACTTACCAAGAAACGTAACCCTGAAGTATTCAGCTCCACTATGCTCATGTGTCAACTCGCAGCAGCGGCCTTACATAACAAGTCAGACGACCAACTGCGTCAGATAGCAGATGCTGTTGGTTCTGAGCGTCTTCTCATTATGCATGGGAAGCGCGACAATATGATCACGTTCCCCAACGGCGAGAGACTTATCAAGGTTATGAAGCCAGCTACTGTACACATCGTGGAGGATATGGGACATGCTCCTATCCTAGAGCGGTCACAATGGTTCAACAGTGTCTTGGAGGAACAGCTGAGTATGTGGGAAAAGCCGAAGGAAGAATGAGAGTGGGCAGCATTTTGAAGATGTGAGTGATCTTGCAGGGTGATTGGTCTGTGTGAATGAGAACAGGTGAGAATGTGTAGGAATTATAATGGTTATAAACGAAGGGGTTTCACATGTCTTTAATCCGAGAATACCTAAGTTAGCAAGTAGATGCATTCATGATACGAATTCGCTTATTGGAGCCTATCAATCATTCAGAGCCATTATATTTGACTCTATGTTTTTGCTTCTATGCTACTGTACATCTCTTTTAAGCTGTCGGATCCAACTCATCCTCTCAGATAAGCTACCCCTTGAAACCCCTAGTCGTTAATTTTTTATGTTACAGTAGTTCCTGGTTTTGCCAAAACCATGCGTGTCTCCAGAGCTCATGTTGAGAGAGATAATTCTGTATGTGTAGGCATCTTCCACTCATCGTCAACTCACGAAGAGTCGACAGCCAAAGGCATAAGAAATAAAAATGTATTAGTCTTCTTATGGTAGGTTAGGCCAGCAAAGGCTGTTTTATTTTTGTGCCCTAAGCCTTAACCATATCTTGTCGACCGGCTCATCTCTTGCCGGCGAGACGGCGGTCCTGTACCTCGCTCAGAGCCTTAACACCGCTCAAGAAGCACACAACACCAAGGCCGGCAAAAACGGGCAGTGCCTCGAAAAGAGTCCACTTCAGGTAGTAGAGAAGAAGAGATCCCTCAAGAGCGAGAATAGAGCCACCGAAGAGAGCATGGGAGACGGGTGCCTTTCGGAAAGCCTCGGGCAGATGGTCCAGGTTGGCGCCGTTCACACGCCACTATACAAATATTAGTCTGATTTCTTGTTATAAAGGCAGATACACATACAGCGACGATAAGAACAGGGAAAAAGACCGCAATGCTGAGCATGGCCAGAATTGAGAGGATCTTAGGAGGGCTCGAGTCGCCGACCCTGAAGATGTGGTGAATCTCGGCTCGAGGTCCGTATCGTAGAGGACGCTCGAATGAAGGACGAGGAGCGTTGGGCACGTGGTAAATCTCGAGGTCGAAGATGGGAGAGATGAGAGGGCTGGAGGAGCCGAAGGAGCCCAGTACGAGGTTGGCCTTGAGAGGTTCGTCTGAAAGGATGAACACAGTAGGGAGATCCTTGTGTGACTGGGAACTTGATTAGCTGGGTCGTTTATGGAGGATTCTGCGATCGCGTACAATAGTGACACTGCCCTTTCCAGAAGACTTGATGTCCAAAGGCAGGGAGACCTCGAGGCCGGTCGACTCGGTAATGGTAACAAAGGCCTGGTGAGGACGCTTCGCCTCGTCACCTTGGGTCGTGGTCAATGAGAGTTTGATAGAATCTTTGTCTCCAAGAATAAGAGTCTTATCCACGGGCTTCTGGCTGCTGAACCTATACAGTTAAGAGGTATCAGCACGCATTCTTCTGCAATCGCTTCCGCATGATGCAACACCATCATGGCAACTCTGGAGGAACGGGACAGCTAGCTTACTTGGCAGTAGCGCCGTGTCCTATTTTGGAGGCGACAGTAACAGAGCCATCTTTGAAGCTCCAAGAGGAGGCAGCGCTAGCTACACTCGTCAGGAAAACAAGGGACGATGCGATCGAGAAGCGCATGATATCGACGTTATCGCAGGTCGATTGGGTTCGAGAGTTGAGGCCAAGTGGATGGGACAGGACAGCTTGAGAATGGACCTCGCTCGAAACAGTAGCGCAGCTTAAGGTGCGTTACGTGGTGGAAGTGGAATCATTTGATTGGTCAAAGCTATATGTAGAGTGGGGATGGTAATCGAGCTCCTGCTTTAGGGTAAGTCCGAGAGATTGGATGGAGAAGGAACAACTGTGAATTTATCGACTTGAGCTTTCCTTCTACAGATGTAAGTCTTACAGCTTGTCAATTCGCTTTTATTTGTAATTCATTCGTGTTGTCTCCCTACTCACTCAGTAGTAACTACCTACCTAGAGAACAGAGAAAAATTGACACAAGCACGGTAGCGACAAAACGAATTGGGGTCCTCGATATTTCAAGACCTTCCAGTTGATCATCAGCCGTATTACAGACACAGCTCTACGGTTTATGAATACGAGCAAATAAACGTAGTATCTATTTCTGCTATTAAAACTAGACCTAAAACAAATAACCAGTGGTATACGCATCCTACTCGCTTTTAATCTCAGTCTCAAAACCCTTGATGGCTTCTCTCTCCTCTGTCGTCAACTCGATCCCGAAATACTCCTTCAATGCCTCCACCCTCTCATCTTCGCTCTTCAACTCTTTAAGCACTATCGTCTTGCCTCCAGGGTTCTCCTTGACTACTTCATTAATCAACATGCGCTTTCCATAAATCTCTTCGCCCGTCGGTGACGTCTTGCTTTCCCTCAACATGAACTTGACAACCAGAACGGTGTGTGTTTGGAAACTTCGAGGGCTCGTGCCTGTGTAGCAGTTGGAGATCTCGAAATCGGCAGGAAGCCACTCGACAGAGTGACTGAAAGCGTAGAAGCTGGTCCAGGACTGATCGGGTGAGTTGCGACATTGGTAGATCCAGAGGCGGCGACCGGCTGTGAGCTCTGTTTGACCGGGAATGAAGTCCTTGATGAGACGAGCGTCTTGGGTGCCCATATTGCGCCACTCGGCGCCCTCAACCAGAGGCATGGGCTTTGTAGGGCCATCGCCGCCAAAAGAGGCATCGATCACCCAGCGGGAGTTGTCAGGTAGTGTCACGATGTTGACAATGTGAACCCTGTTTGCGGGTTAGAAACCAGGATTTGGAAGAAAGCAATTACACAGCTTCAACTTACCACCCCGGATATCCGCCATGAGGAACACCATCTTTTCGAAGACGGACTCGTACACCAACAGGATACACCTGAAAACCAAGAGCTCGGAGCATGTAGCAGAAGAACAGATTGCTCTCCATACAATAACCTCCTCTTCCGCGCCCATCGAGCACAAGCTTCTGATACAGAGCCTGAGGCTCAAGAGTGATGTCGCGATGCGACGAGTAATGCAACGTCATGTTATCATAGGGAACCGTTGCAATCATATGCTGATGCAGGACTGTGAGAAAGGCATGATCGAGAATAGGCTCGTTGCCGACGTAGAATTCTTGTGGTATTTGTATATGCTTGAGAAACTTGGCGACTTGGGCTTCAGAGTATATGGCCGACATGATGAAGGTATAGTGGGAATATTGACTTGATGTCTCAGTTCAAAGAGATCAAGACTTCAAAGAACGAAGTTGGGAGAAGCCATCATTTAAATAGAGAAACCAACTACCTAGCCAGGTAAACTTACCAATGAGTCAAGACGGCTCAAAACAAGGCGACGTCGAATTGAATTACAAACATAATAACTACCTTACTCGTATGTCGCGCAAAAGCCGTCGTGGAAGTTGGCCGTAACGTATCACGAACCTCGTTATCTCTCCAGACTCCATAAAAACGGTCCGGGGCTCAAGCACGGAGACGAACGAATCATTCAAAAGCCAAAATCTACATACGCCCTCTTTAGACAGACGTTGCCAGGGTTCACAATAGAAACGGCCAATCAGGGCAATTTTGGCGTCTACTTCGGATGTTCAATGTTAGTCTAATCGGTAAGAAATGCCTCTGCGTCCTCGGTCCGTCTTGTACGGTACCCACGAGGGTTATGAGCGTTTTCTCAGGGTCCTTTTGACGTTGGAGGATCAAGTAAGTGATATCAAATGTGACTCAGTCAAAAGAGTAAATTCGCATGTCTTTGTAGATCAAAGATGCCCTGACTCCGGTATTTCTAACAAGAACCATTCATTCATTACATGACTCTTCCCATCACATCGCGCCTTTAACGCCAAGCCAAGCCCCAAGAAACCCACCGACATTTCTCTCACTGGTGTGAGATGTACTTCAATGCCTCCTAAAGTTCCGTTCTCTTGCTTGATGTCGTTGTGACTGCTGCACCATTCCTCTTCGCTTTAGTCCCTGCCAATTTGGGCATAAAGTCTTGAATGCCCATCCAATCCACCACAAACGCAGTCGTGATCCTCGCCCAGTCTCGTACAGTTGGCAGATCAAGGTGCTCACCGTCATCCGTCATCTCATGCCAGACATCAGGGAATGGTGTTGGGATAAGATGCAGGATGTCTACACCGCGCTGCATAAAGGGTCGGTGGTCGTCGTCGATGAAGCTGCGTGTGAAACGATTGGCGGACTTGTCGCTCTCTGGCATGAAATTGACCTTGGGCTTAGTCTCGAGAACGCCGAGTTGTCGCATTCGCTCCTCTAGGCTAGCCATAGCCTTATACGCCCAATGCGTGGTGAGGAAGTACGAAGGAATGTTGGGGTTTGGAGAACCAAGAAGGTCGAGCAGAACAAACAGACTGATGGAGTCGAGAGGTGTCCTATACGTTGCTAGAGAGCCGTGGAACTGAGACTCCCACTCCGCAGCGAGTGATCTTGAAACAATGTTAGATAATTCATCCACTTTCCGTATTGCATTCCATGTCTTACCTTGCCCCGTAAAGTGAGTCTTCATCAGTCCAGTGCTTGAATGCCTCTTCGCCGTCTAGAAAAATGATTTGGATTCCCTGTGTCTCCTCGAGGCTATCGTCTGTATCGCCATCCTTCTGCATCTTGTTCCACTTGGCCTTCAGAGGTTCCTCAATACTTCTCGCGACATGCATCAGCATGGCACATGGTGCAGCGCTATCGATTGCGCCGATGAATCCCTCCGGCTCGTACTTGCTATCGTAGTGCGCGACCAGTGTAAGTCGACTGACATCCCCCTTCTGCGCCCATGGGGGGTCTCGTCGAAAGATGAGGTTGGAGAAGGGAACCTGCTTGTTTCCAGTCACAGGAGTCTTGGAGGTCGAATTCTGCCACTCGAGTGTCCATTCAGGAAGGTTCTCTTTGAAGAAGTCGACAAAGTGCTTTTGAGTGCGCACCTGCCCTTCGGTGCCGGGGACACGAGGGATCAGAATAGGAGCAAGCAGCTTGCCATTCTTGATATCGAAATCGTCGCCGGGCGAAGGAATGCTCTGGAGGACATCGTCGGAAAGCGTCATGGACTCGGCGACCGTCGATACGAGGAGACAGGCGAGAAGGAGTAGCTTTGCAAAGAGTGGCAGCGAGGATGGCACTCGAGGCATTGTCGAGGATGCAGCCATAGGAAGGACGGACACCAATAAATACTACTTTAAACCAACAAGGAGCGGGTTTTGGGTCGGTTTATCGTGGGGCGCAAAACTAGCTCATTCCGTCCCAAGGATTGTAATTCGACGTCGAACAAGCTGGCGGCAAGGCGAAGTAGCGAATGTAAATGTCGTGGACAAAGGAATTGGAACAAACAAATCGCTTCGTGCTAGGAGTTGTGAAGCTCTCCAATCCAGACCATGCAAGGGATGAGTATAAGGACAGGTACGACAAGACCGGCTGAAGTGGGGGAGATGACAGCGCTGTTGTACTCTAAACCAAACCTACTGCTGCAGCCAAAAATGTGTACCTCGAGCTAATATGCATGGAGCGAACCACATGGAACCCCAGATGTAGCAGGTCAAAGCGTACTATTATTCTATATCTCAATGGTCTGCACTTCTGATCGGTTAGTTAGAACAATGGGATATCCGTTAAGCCACTGTAATAGAAGATCAAATAGCGAGACACAACAATGGAATTCTGTGTCCATCCTTGTGGCCGAGACCGCCTCTTGATGCTAACTTGAATGGCGGGGAAGACATAAGACCCTTGGTCACATCAGTCACTCTAATAAATCACCAGCAGGGGGTCGAAAAACGTTCCGGTGATTGAATACTAGAGCCTAATTGGTCCATGATAATAATTGCACGGCTAAATGCCGAATAACCTCACCGATATTGGATGTTCGGACTGTTGCTTCCATTATAGAATCAGCCATGCTCGGTTTGGGACACACACTGTCAAAGTTTCCTTATATTAGGTAGTTGGTGTATAAGGAAACAGGAAAGGCCGGAGGAGACGGAAGAATGTTGCGCTTCTATTTTTACACTGGATCTAGGCGAGTTGATGGTGTTAAGCTTTAACCAGTGTTTATGGATTTGCTTGCCCAGGTGATCAACCAAGTTCAGTGAGTCTTTGATGGCAATCTCCCGATTGACAATTTGAGAACCCCACTGGCTCTATCTGGTACGTAACATGGGTTATCGAAAGACGTTGTTGTAGGACACCAATCAGAGTCTCAACAATATCCAATCCAACATGATATCCTCTCCCAATGAGATCAGTTCGTGATCGCAGCAACTCCCAACACATGAGCTAGCGCAGGCTACGTCATCCCGCTCACACCATCTTTCAAGAACGGCATATGTATAGCGAACTAACATGATAACGTATCACAAGCCGGCAGCAGGAAAGAAAAGCGCAGATATAAAATACAAGTGATTATAATACTGTCATATTGAATTTCGACTCGCGTGCTATGCGCCAAAGCCGGGCCTTATCCGAAAGGCCATGATTCCCCTGTCATCTACACATACTCCTCGTTGAGATCTATTAAAAGTTATACTCCAAAGGTTCTTGACTGGACATTAGATCTTTATCCTGGCGTCAAAAGAATGCGGTAACCCGCTAAGTAAACACCAAACGCCCATCATCATGCTTTGCTCTTTAGCCTGTATTGCAACACCGATAATTTTTCCATGTTCTCTCAAATGCTGCGCCGTCGTAGGCGAATACCGATTAGGTGGTAGTGTTTTCATCGCTTCGATCTATCGGGCATCGTATTTTGCTTTCAACCAAGTTCTGAAAGAGCCAGAGCGGCTATTTCCGGCTTAATGCAGCTTGTTGGCAGCCTGAGCCGCCTTGTTGGCGATCTGCTTCTCCTTGGGAATGGTGAGGGCGTTGATGCCGAGGTAGTTGCAAATGCTGGTAACAACGAGCCAGGCCCAGCGGAAGTAGATGACCATAGAAAAGAGCAGATAAGCCCAAAGGTAGAAAAGTTCGAACTGAGCGCTGATTTGAGGGAATCCGAGACGAGGCAAGTTTCCGAGGATAGCACCACCAATGAGGGGGTACAGCATGGCGGTCCACCAGGGGAAAGGTTGGCGGGTCAGGTGGGCGAGAATGATCTTGGTTGTCAAACGGCCGAAGACAAATGACATAATGAAGCAGAAGAGCATGAGGTGGTTCTCAGATCGAATGGTGCTGTAAGGGGAGAAGATCCAAGCAGCGATCGAGACGGTGTAAACGCCCATGGGAATCCACTCGAGGAAGACAGGGAGGATAGGCTCTCCTCGGGATCTGCGGGCCTTGGCAACGTTCAGAACACAGAAGGGGATCTGTGTGAAGACAAGAGAACCAATGATCAAGCCAACCCAAACGTCCTTGAAACTGGTCTCACCAAGGAGCTCAGCGAGACCAGGAAGGCGGTCCTTGACGCCATTAGCCAGAGGAATAGCCCAGACACCAGGTCCCCAAATTCCAGAGATAATCATGATTGCGCAGGCAATAAGAATACCCTCGGTAGGTCCGTTGATATATCCGAGGAAGAGCGTGTGCGTGTGGTAGGTCTCCCAGGTCGAGAAGAACATAGGCAGACAAGGGCAGAGAGCCGTGACAATACCAGCCGTAGAGGTTCCCAGGCCCATGGAAGCGGTTCCGAGCAGACTGCCGAGCGTGCAGTTCAGAGAGTCAATACCGTGGTCGAAGAGTTCGCCGAGGCCGCTGGAGGTTCCGGTTCGTCGAGCTTGCTTTCCGTCGAGGTTATCCATTGTTTGGTACATGAAGAGACCGAACGCGAAACTGAAGTATAGCCATGATGGAGCCTACGCCAACATTAGTGCCTGGTTTCAGACAAGTCAGTGGTTCAAACATACCGGTCCAACCAGATCAGGCATCCAGATTGCACAGAAAGCAACGTTTGTGAGAATGAAGCAGAAACCCAAAAGGGTGACCATGTTGGGTGCGATCCATAGTGGCAGGAGGTTGACAGAGGCGTTCCACTATGACAAAATGCGGGTTAGCTATTGTGAGCTTTAAAAACTTGGCAGGATATGGACGAATTGCTCTCGCTATGCCAATCTGGCGACTGAAGCTCCAAGGAAAACGATAGGAATGCGGATAGACTAGTTCGAGGTTGGGGAAGCACATACGAAGGGACCGAGAACGTATTTCGAGACTGGCGACATGTCAACACTTGAATACTTGTATGACTTGAAGTGCACAAGTGCGTCATCAGAGATGCACTCGGCAACATTTTTTTCTATTGAACATGACAATTAGCTTCCAGCGCACTTCCACAAGCTCAAGCAATCCAAATAGTTCGAATGCTTCTCATGAGATTTCTCAACTTACTCGTATTGGGAGCCATATCGGTACCATCTGGGTCGGTGGCCGTTGGGTTGTAAAGCGGGAGAGTCTCGCTTGTAGACATGGTGAAAAGAGAGGGGCCGGAGGAGGAGGGGCAAAATGGGGGTCTCTTTTAAACAGAAGGAGGGAAAACGCGTCGGCGATAAACCCCCAAAGATTGAACCTGCAGCAGCGTGCACGCGCGAGAATATTTCTTGCAGTGACAGGGTACAGTACTGGACAAGAGCTAGAAGATCCTCGGTTCTTCCCTAGAGATAAGTACAGTAACCCTGACAGAGACGAGCAGCGTGGCACGTGGGCTGTAAATAGGTTGACAATAGGCGGGCGATTCTTATCGACAATGACAGATGAGTTTCAAGCCAAGGAATATGTGACAGAGCTGATTTGCGCAAACGATCGGGAGGGCTGAGACAGGGTAAAACAGTCCCAGAACAGCGGTGAAGTGCGCGACAATGGATTATTATAATACAGAGTATGTGTCGATGGACAATTGTCGCCAAAGGGCTTTGTTGTTTTTAAGAAAAGAGAGGGCTGAAGAAGGTTTAAAGGGGGCAGGTTCTGCTCACTCAAGACGTGGACTCGAAATTGGAACTTGGACTTTCGCACTGGTAACCTCGAGGTATCGTCCAGTCCACTCGTACCAGTCAAGCCCCCTGGGTCGTAAAAGCCCCTGCGTAAAGGAGCGATCAGATCCACTGGACGACTCCGCCTACAGGGGAAATAGACGTCTAAAATTGGGCAATTAGCGGCTCATTTACGTATTAGAACTCGACCGGTCCAAAAAATTCAGTCTGACAGCTAACGAGATAGTTTCTGTCGGCTTTCAATAACCCCTTTCCTGACTCGAGAGCTGAGTAGGTGACCTCTTGCTGGGACTCTCATAGCGTTCATCCCATATAAATGATCAGTAGTCGCATGTCTATTAAACGGCCTTGCGTTGGTAGTGTATGTGACACTCGTGTTCATCCGTCAGAGCCGAGAAGATGGGTCCCGTTTATCCTGCATTGACTTTCACATGCCCATTCAGGCTCATGAGCGCGTGAGCACACTGTCAACATAGAAAATGGATACGAGAACTGGCCATTCTAGCGCCATTCGAAGAAGGATTGGAGTGCGAGTCAGCAAGCAGCACTGTACACCGGCGGTTTGGTTGATCCGATGGCCCGATAAAGGCGTCTAGAACGTCCAAACGGTCCCAAAGACCCGGAATGTGGAGTGAAACTCAATAGATTCGTTAGCAAACTCATCAATAGGGGTAACGCCTAACCTCAAACTGAAGAAAGGCTGTATTTCTCTGACTAGATAGTGCAGGTTTGTTACCCGATCTCAGCTGATAGATCACGTCGGATTCAATAGTTGCAATTCAGTGTGGTGGCTTGACTGCAGAAGAGCAGTCAATGACATTGTATTGTGTCCTTTACTAACCACTCGTTTCCTTTTAGTTGTCTTTCGACATTACCCCTATTAATGCTGTGGGAGGGCGTTCCCTAGTAGTATATCGAAATCATGAAACCAATAATGTACCGCCAAAAAGACACCAAACACCTAGACGTCCAAGGCTTTCAAGGAATGTATGCGCAATGAAAAAGAAGTGAACAAATGCAAAAAAGTCAGACACAAAGTCCATGCCCGCCCATTGCAGTGATGGAAGAAGCCGATATTGTGCTGTTACGCACTTATAGCATGGCAAAGCCGGCGAAGATGGTGCCCAAGACAATAGTCAGGCCCCATGTTCGACCAACCTCGATGACAGCAGCGCCGTTGGTCTTTGTTGACTCGGCCGACTCAGAGTCGTCATCCTCGCTTCCAGGGGTGCCGGTATAGACTGTGTTGGGGTCATCAGTGGCACTAGCTGTGGCCTTGACAGCAGCACTGTCGGTAGCTGTCGATGTGGTGTTGTACTTCTTAGGGTTGCTGGCACCACAAGGGTTGTCCTCTCGGCAGGCGGAAGCACAGGAGGCGCTACCCTTGCAATCCTCAACACACTGGTTTCCCCATTCCTGGCAGACGTAGAAAGGCAGAGTGAGCGAGTATTCGGATATGTTAGGCTGCTTGCCGTCACTGCAGATACATCCGTACGTAAGGGTTTTCTGAGAAAGAAGATTAGTCTATGCCGACTTATCAAAAGTTTTGAAGACAAGACTTACAGGATCACATTCGTTGACCTTGGCATCTCCCTTACTAGTCTGCTCACAGATCATTGGGCATGTCTCCTTCTCGTTCATGCACCAGACACCTGCGTTACTGTTAGAACTGAGGTCTTGTCCCGGACATGAAAGAATGGCTACTCACGGCGTTGAGCGATGGGCACACTCTCGGGGTCGATCACATAGTCGGCATTGACAACGGTGACAGCTGAAGCAGCAGCTGCGAGAACGACTGTTCGAAGAGAAGGCATTATGATGACGTATCGTTGGTTTGTAGTGAAAATTGATTGTGCTTTATGCTTGTAGGTATGTACGTCGGTTTCGTGTCGACTGTTCGCAAACGATGGATATTGAGGAAGATGGTTTGCTTCTGCAGGGGGTCAGTGGTTTTATTCTATTCGAGTACTGGCGTTCAGCTCTTCTTAGACTGGGGAGATTGAAGTGACCGTGAGGACGGAGATAGGTATGCAAGAGGCCATCACTAAGACAACCGAAGAAGTATGGTGTTGCCATTGTTTGACTTACAAATAGGTAGACAGTAGCAAACTCTAAACGAGGAGCGACAGAATGAATACAAGATCAAACAAAGAATCAACGACTGTCTGATATAGCGAGTGTATCAAATACAGTTGAGGAGAGGAAGGAAGAAGATGAAGAAAAAGATCGAGGAGGTCCGAGACATATCAACGATACCACAGACCACAGACCCAGCGCTGTAAGCGGTAAGCCATGAGTCCATAAGACCGGACCCCAGCTTCTCGCTACCACGGAATACAGCGTTAAGAGAAATGATCTGGAGCAAGTTCAGGGCGAGACCCGAGGCTGGGCAATATCATGACCACGGAGTTGCACCAGTAGCACCAATCTTCCCCGTTACTTTTTTGGCAGGGAGCAGGGGACCTCAGCAGTGAAAAGTCGATATTGGGTTTAGCTCCGCTTCATACCAACAGGCATGGGAGGTTATTTGCTCCATATCGCCCGCCACTCGGCGCATTTTGCACAGAGCATCCCAGCATCCGCTCCAAGCTAGGCCCCATCGACTCCAACTAGCACGGCTCGCCGCTGCTGAAGCTTGGGCGTTTTAGGGCGGTCTGGGGAGCTTGGCCTGAAGTTCCATGATTGTAATCTCCAGGGCCCTTGGTTTTAACAGACACGATTAAAAGGAGTTGATTTTATTGATCTGATTCCCAATAGCCCTGTCTTTTTTCTCTCTGATCTTCAGCAGATCCCAATGGAGATCTTATTCAGCTGATTTCACGGTAACATTTGGTGATCATTTCGATCAGTTACCTGAGGTTGTCTCTCATGGCCACACGGGTGGAGGAGGTAACTACTACTATTCCCTCTTTTCTTCTGAACCACCTGTCTCATCATTCAATCTTTCTTGGCTTGGTGGCGCGAACGGCCGAGGACGACTACAGACTCCACATAATCATGAGCCCACTGCTGCACATGCACATTTGTTATGAGGGTCTTGCTCATCGTACGCCAACAAGTGCATCTTGAATCACGCCAACGACGCGTTCCAGTTGGTGGTTGAGGCTGTTCACAACAAAGTACGAGCCCACCATGAGCACGTCGGAGGATTCGTTACGGAGAAGTGGCCACTCGGATGAGAGAATGGTGACCAACTCTTCCCGTAAAGGGTAACTCTGTTTTTGTGCTAGGCATCTGGACCAGCCGATGCCCTTCGTATTTCTTGCATGTAAGCGGGGCATGTCACTGAACCCTTTTTTTCCTCAACCCCGCGCAATGCACAATGCAAGCCGACGAAGACATGATGCTCGATATCGCGCCAATAGTTGGTGTTGAGAGTATCTTTGTTTTGATCCTCAGTGGTGCTGACGCGGCCAGAGAAACACTTGGCGTGTGTGCCGTGATTGTCATTGCACACTTGTTGAGGCGCTTCTGTGTACGCTACGCTACGCTTTTTATGAGATATCAGACATCCGAAAGTCTGTGAATCATGATTTGGACACCCAATTATTCCCAATATCGCAGGTGGTTTCACCATTTCTATGGGCTGAGACATTTGACAAAATCGGGAATCTTGGGACTTGAGTTATCAAGACTCGATTTGCCCCATCTTCTGCCTGTCCTGGTATCCGTGATGACTGCTTCTTGACACCTGTCGAGTTAGGGTGATTGCAGGATCTATGCTTACCCATGCTTAAAATATGGTGGATAACTCTATCTACGTAGTATGGATGGCTAGCCGCAGGATGTCAGAAGAATCGATCGTCATAAGCATAAGAGATGAAATAATTTAGTCATCTTATGGCAATTTAGAGAATCATTTTGGCTACTTTATTGGTGGTCTAAGCCTTAGAGGACATTTCTTCTGTTGCCCACCTGGCGGGCAAGACTTCGAGACACCGACGTGTGGCACAAGCATCGTATCAAGGTCATCACGAAGTTACTACTCGTATGTCGTATCCGATCTGGGCTATCGATGTCGACCTCGATGAGCATTCTATTTCTCCAATACAGTCGATTCCAGTCAAAACGCCACAAGATTTCTTGCTCAGCCGCCAGCCTCTCCATTTCTCTGCATTCCACTGTGAGTCTGCGAGTGGGTTTACAGTTTGGTCTGGGCAGATGACAATGTCTCATGACAGAACAAGAGTTTACAGCCTGGAATAAAGCTGCCAGGGCCTCGTGGTACTTCCATCTCTCATCTATGGATACCTTGCTCCACAGCATCCCGAAACCTTAGACATTCGGCATCCGACCCGGGCTTCTTTCTGTCCGGCATGGAACGGACGTGGCTTGCTGAATTCCGGAGTGATAAGTATATCATGCTGGTCGTAGATCCGTTGACGATACGGCCTCCTTCGTTCACTGAACATCTACCATTTGTTATAACTATCGTTCGAATAGCGGCATAAGAACGGAATTGTGTAGGTGGACATACTATTCACTGAGCCAGGTCGTGCTATCTCATGATTGACTGGCCGGTCTAAACTTGCATGAAGTGACCAAATTACCCCATTCCTCGTGCTCAACGGTCATTTTCCTGACACCTTGACGAGTGCTAACCAGATATCATGATTTGGAGGTGACAAACTCTACCGGGGCGTTGTGCTCACGGACTCTAAGTTACCATTGACCGGGGCACCGGCCCCTCCATCAGCCGGAAAAAGGTAAGCTGCACGGACGGCCCGTCAACGGCGCCGTTCATACAGGAAAAGGAAGGTACAATTGGGTAGAATTTCTACGACATCACTCTCATCCTTTCAATTGAAACGACTTATCGCCACCTTCATTCAAAGAACCATGTCTCTGTTTGGATCTGTCGCTCACCTTTCTTATTGAAGCCAACATCGTTTTCTCATGAATTGGATAGCCAACTGTACATACATCATAACCCAATCTTTGCGCCCGAGGTATCGACTACTGCACAGTACTAGGGAAAAAAGCAGGGCTACAACTCATGGGCCGTTGATATCCTGACTCGCAGGACGACTTTGACCATTCATCAACATCACCCAGCTGGATCAACTGAATCACTGTTTCGATATTTCGCGATCCGATATTTTCCATCTCCAACATTGCCTTTCATCACCTGATACTCCCGACTTCCGCGCATCGACATTTTCCCCCATCAGCGACTCTCGATATCCACAACTGTAGTGGTCATCGCATGGTTGAATGGCGACTGCGGTAGATCAAGTGCCCAGCAATGGCACTTTGGGCGCCGGCGCCTCGGTTTCGGACAACGTCGAGACACAGACGATCTCTACCGACGTATTTGAGACACCACGCACATCCCTCGACCACAACCGAAACAATGACGATAACCCACGGCATCTCTCTACCTCGTCTCCTCTCTCTCCGGTGACATCCCCACCATATTGGCTCAATACACGTGGCGGCCATCAGCGGACGATCTCGAACATGTCGACTGAGTCTGTCCTTCCAGCCGGTGCCATCACCCTCCGTGACAATGAAACGAGCGACTACGACGATCGCAATAGCGCTTGCTGGGCCAAGAGTGTTGAGATCGTCAACTATACCATTGTCAACGGTAGTGCGACAAACATCGGGGCGTTTGTGGTCTGGAATATACGTGTCGAAACTCTCAATGTAAGTGATTGGGCATTTTGGTGGCGGCGTTTTTCACTCGACAATAAACTGACTGATACGGCAGGGAAGCTATATGAACATTAGAAAACGTTATTCGGAGTTTGACGACTTTCGATATCGGTTGGTTCAGACCTTCCCCGGATTCGAGGCAGCTGTTCCGGCGCTTCCGCCTAAGAGTGTCATATCCAAATTCCGACCTCGATTCCTGGAGAAGAGACGGGCTGGTCTGCAATACTTCCTAAAGTGAGTATATGGCACACCCCTTCCCCAAGACTATACTGACCTTACCAGTTGCATATTACTAAATCCCGAGTTTTCTGGGTCGCCTGTACTCAAAGAGTTCCTCTTTGCATAGCGTCACTATCTTTTTTAGCATATTCTCTTCTTTACATATGTTTACCTTTCGGTCTCGGATATGAGGCCCCTTTGTACACACGATATATATTGCTAGGTCTGGTCTTGTGCACACATGTACAGGCCAGCAACCAAGGTTAATGATAATGAGTTGGATGACCTACTACTTCTTAACGTCTCGCAATTGTCCGGCATATTGATTGTTGACCAGAGCCAGCCTTGCGACAAGGAGACTTTGCCCCATTGGGAGGTCATGATAGTGCCAAGATCTGGCATCGATGGACAAAACAGTCAACACTCTAATTTTCGGATCCATATCGATTGTCTGCCAAGGCGGCATCTTCAGCGGCATGTCATCGCTCGGGTTTGAGATATCGTGACTGAGGAGGTCGAGCACAGCCTCAGAACTCGTTATGAGATTCCGATCTTCAATGTATGATTCGGTCACAGTCACGGTGAAGCTGCAGTGCCCCTAAACCAATTCAAACATCTCATCGAAGCGATAGCATGGCTTAGCAGGAATAATGAATGCTTGTGTCTATCTATTCAAGCAAGGGATGAGTTTCCCCGTTCTATCTACCTGCTTCCCGACCGGCTAACAGTCAACGAAAGAAGTCTCCAATAGTTTACTACAGACCCAATAAAACTCACCACAGGTACGTGCGTGCATATCTTTAAGTACCGGTGGACGATTCAAGCGCAGAGTCTAGATGCTTATTTACGCTTATGCCAATCACGAGCGTTAGCAGCTGGGGGAAGGTCCACAAGGCATAGCCCAGGTTCTTGAATTTAACGTTTCAAGATGGGCACAGCATCCGTATACTTTACGAAATGAGCCTTAGACTATTTAAGACGTCTGAAATTTGGTTGATAAATGGCAACGATACAAGGCTGAGCCATTTAGAGGCCAGAGGGGATACGATTATGCCAATAATCTTGTATCACTCACAGGTTTGCCAAGTGCCGTTCTTCCGGGGCGAGATCTTGTTGGTTTTCTGGGCATCGCCCTATGCCTGCGTCAGTGACAGAAAGACATGTATAAGAACGACGGAATCCAGATTCTAGAGCAAGATATTCGACTCAGAGATGATGTATTAGATGACAAGCAAGTTTTTATTCTTCTTTCCTGTTCATATAATCAGTCATTTATGCCAACTTCAGTTTCCACCCCCCACACTCAATCCAAGCAACCCCACGAACATGACGCAACTCGATATTCTAGAACAACGCTGTTTAATGTTACCGGTTTTAGTGTCAGTCTCAGGCAATATGGAGGGGAAGACCCCGCGACAATCGCCAGTACAATTACCGCCCCGTACCCGTGCCGACTCCAAATTCTCACTCGTCAGCACTGCGTCATTGTCCCCCTCTACTGCATCTACTAGTGGTTACTCTTTAGCGACCAAAGCTAAGACAAAAGAATACATGGACTCTTTACGCCCTCCCTCGCCAAAAGAGTTCGAACGAATTGCATTCATTCAACAGCAGCGTGAACAAGAAACAAAGCGCAGAGATCGTGAACGCAGGCGCTGGTCGCGCGAAGCCCAGCGTCAGCGCGAAAGAGCAGCAAGCATGTCGACAGACAGTCAAAGTGACCAGGCGCATGCGCAAGCTGCCCGCACTATACAAAAGACCTTTCGGGGCTATCGTGCAAGAAGAGAAATGGAAGGATATGGCTTAGATGCAAGCACACGATGGGTTACGGCTGTGCGAGAAGCGCAATTTCGGAACGCAACTAAACCGCGACCAAAGTCAGAAACCGAAGTCGACGCTCCCGACAAGCCAGAAGAGGATGTTATTGCGCACCATAGATCAGCGAATGCTCGTGCGAAATGGAAGAAGGCTAGTGCAATCGCACGACGAGCTGGTCACGATGACCTCCTCTCCGATTCCTCCTCCTCAGAATCCTCAGATGAAGAAGCCTCCCCTGAAGAACGGGCCGTTGCACGAGCTCGACGTGAGAAAGACACTGCGGCTCGCAGGCACGAAGCTCGCATGATGGGTATCCGATACTTTCTCGAAATGGTCGATCAGAAACACCGATATGGAAGTAATCTTTGCAGATATCATGAGGTCTGGAAGAAAGCGGATACACATGAGAACTTCTTTTACTGGCTCGACTATGGCGAGGGTCGCGATGTTGAGGTTGAAGGCTGTCCACGAGACAGGCTCGACAGAGAGCAGGTCCGCTATCTGTCCCGCGAGGAGCGTCAGTACTATCTGGTTGAGGTAGACAATGAAGGGAGGTTATGCTGGGCAAAGAACGGAGAGCGTATTGATACAACGGAGCAGTTCAAGGATAGCATGCATGGAGTCGTGCCTTTGGATGATCCCACACCGGTCTTCAGAACCGCTCAACCAGACGATTCTCAATATATGGAATCAATCAGCAGCTCGAGTTCTCAATCTTCACTGGAATCAGAACGGGAAGCAGATTTAGCGGCCAAGTATGCAACTCCTGGCTACGACAACAGTCAGGGTATGCACAAGGTGTCCCAAATTTCAGCGTCAACAATATTCAACAAGATGATGCGCAAATCAGTCAGAAAAAATACTTGGATATTTGTCGCAGACACAAATTTTCGAATGTATGTTGGCATCAAGGACTCAGGCGCTTTTCAACATTCGTCTTTTCTCCAGGGTAGCCGAATTTCTTCTGCTGGTCTTATCAAGATCAAGAATGGCAGACTGTCATCCCTTTCTCCGCTGAGTGGACACTACCGTCCTCCAGCAAGCAACTTCCGAGCTTTTGTTCACAGTCTTCGCCAGTCAGAAGTAGACATGAGCCACGTCTCCATCTCAAAGTCATACGTGGTACTCATCGGACTAGAATCATACATCAAAACAAAACGCAAGGGTAAGGACTTGGCGCAGCGTGTGGGACACAGGAAAGACAAAATACTATCTCCTGAGGAGGCAGCACGGAGAGAAGAGGATGCAAGAGACAAGAGTGAGAGCGCAGCTAAGGAAAGAGAGGTGCTCCAACGAGAAGAGGAGGAGAAGCAAGAGGGTAGACCGGTGAAGAAGGTCTTGAAGAAGCTCGGCATCAAGCCAACAAAGGAGGAGAAGCAGGCTGCCAAGAGAGAACAGAAGGATGATGTTGAACAAATGCACGTGTGAGAGGAGGTTCGTGGGTGGCACGGTGTTTTTGTTTCCTGATATAATACCCCAAGCATAGAGCAGTGCTCGAGTTATGATTCACGACCTTAAGCACAAATACCTATAGTCTTTTATGATATCCTTTTAGATATTAGAGTTCAATCGAGTTACAATACCAGCCTGGCTATTTGTAGACAGTTTCTTGAGGTTAACTGATCATGTTAGTTGATAGGCCAATCCTTCCAACACCATTTGGCGAGGTTACTATTAGTAGAGGTGCACTTCCGTACCCATATGCTGTCGCGGAGTCACAACTTCAACCACATTCTATATCTTCATTGTCGCCGTTTTCATAATTTATTGGCTGACGCTTGAGTTCTCGATGTCAAACTCAGCCAGACTGATAATCCAATGGCGTGTAAATAGGTACCTACGCAAAGCACCTAAATTCAATCCAATTTATGAATTGCGGAAGTTGCCCAACTAAAAACGAATCGAGTTCCATGGAAGCCTGTATTAGGCTGGGTGGCTTTAGCGCGTACATGCCCTGTAAGCTGGGCTCATCAATGCGCTATAGCGGTTCTTGCAGCGCCACCTCCCTAAAACACAGCATTACAAAAGCTTAGGCGTAGGGGGCATCCCGTCTGGAGCCACCTCAGCTTCCATTTGACTGCAAACGTGCAGTCGCACTCGCACCGAAAGCGCCCAGCAAACCCATCGAAAAAACCCATCAAAAGTCGAGGCGCCATCGCCAAACTGAGCCGGTGGATTGAAAGAAACACAGCCTTGAAAACATGCAAGGCATCTCGACATATTCCAATGGCTTCCGTCACCCGTTCCTCGCGGCGCGCTGAAGTTCCGCACCAGCATCATCACTCGCACCACCACCTGCCCTCCCCAGCAAGCGTATTCACCCACGCCCAGGGCGGAGGAGTAGGAGCAGGAGGAGCGTCAGGGGCAGGGCGCAACAAGAGGGCACTCGACGCCCACGATCGCGACTTTGATGCGATCAAAACCAAGAAATCGCGTATAACAGTCGAGATTCCCGCAAGGGGCTCTCAGAAGCTCCGTGTCGCCGACATCGACAACAGTGAAGCGCCACCACCCACGCGACAACCTGCTGCGACGCCCACAGTGGCGAGTGCGACGACACCAAACATCCCTCCTACCTCGGCCGACAACGCGACATCGAAGCCGAAGCAAGAACAGACCCTTACAAAACATCAGAGTAAAGTTATCAATGGCATAAAACACGAACTCGATCGGCTACAGCCTCAGCCGAGCGATACCAATACCAAGGAACAGGGCCGGAAGCTTCGCTCCCAGGAAGCCAACAGGTTCAAGAGCGAACTTTCTGCCTATTTCTCGGATTACGATGAGGTGATTGGCAACGAGCCAAAAGAACAGCGTACGTGAATGAAACTCCTGTCGCTCACCTGTGCTTCACCATTTCTACACTGCAGTATTTGCTGACCTTTCCTTTTTAGAACTGTTCAATGTCGATACGCCAATAGTTATAGTCGACTCTGATCCACGACGCGCAGTTTCAGACAACCAACGCGCTATTCCTAACCCCGCAACTGAGTATCCCGTACGAGGATATGGCGATGCACTATTTTATAACGTCTTTGACTGTCAGCTAGTCGACCTGGGATTCTTTCAATCACGGTCTAATAAGACAGTCGAAGATCCTTTACCAGATAAATTATTTCAGCCGATCCATCGTCGAGCTGAACGACTGGAAAGATCGGTCCGCAATGCTGAAAAAGGTCGGGCTCAGCATGAAAAAGACCATATTATCCGACTTCTCGAAGGCCTGCAAGGTCACGACTGGTTAAGAGTAATGGGTGTGAGTGGCGTAACAGAAACAAAAAAGAAGACATTCGAACCCGCTCGTAACCACTTTATTAAGGGCTGCCAGGCTGTCTTGAATAAATACCGAAACTATGTTTTGGAAGAGAAAAGACGCAAGATGGAAAAAGATCGAGCCCGAGCCGAGAAAGAGCACGAGGAAGACTCGAGTGTGGGTGAAGACGAAACCGGTGATGAGGCGGATGATAGCAATGCCAGCGACACGGCATCGCCGGCAAAGCAGCTTCAGGAGGAAGCAATGGCGAGATCCAAGGCCTCCAAAGGGTCAAAGAACCGCAAGGCGACGCCTCAACCAGCTGCAGCCAGAGCTCCACGCCCTGTGAAGGCACCGCCAGCTCCAAAGCCTCCAGAACCACCCAGAGAGTTCAAGTCGTTTTTCACCAAGAGATACGAGCGCGATACCGCTCTAAATAGGAACAGACGTACGGGGAGGAAGGTACTGGCATGGGGTTTACCCATACCTGAGATACCCGAGGTTGATTTTGATTTGCCGGAGGAATACCGTGATGAAGATACCCTTAAAGTCCGGGCGAGGAAGAAGCGCCGGGACCGAAGACGCAGCAAGAAGTGATGGTCACTCATTTGGCTGCTTGTAACATACGCAATGCAAAGAAGCTGTGGAAGTCAGTTGTTATATACATGGTTTGGCGTTCAGGAAAGGAAGGATCGAGCTGTCCTGGTAGGAGCAAAGGCATTGCAGTTTTTGGGTGTGGGTTTTGTGTGGTCTTGGTAGCTATTATCAGACGGTGTGCTGGAAATAATATCCTTTGCAAACAGCAATATATCCTGATGCCATTGATGTGTGACGTCTTTTGGCAGTACTGGAGTTGGGCTTGGTGGAGGTTGAGATGTGTGATGATCACGGCTGTAACGGCCTTTTAGTAAATGTTTTGATAAGTAAGAACTGACTCTGTATCACAGGCAGAGAATCAAACGGTCTTGCTTTTCATCCAGTCTCCAAGTAAATAAGTCACATATTGTTGTAGTATTGTAAAGGTCTATCATCTATTGTTCTGAAGTCATTCAATCAATGTTGGCAGTTGTTGAGTGGGTCGAATGGGAATTGAGCGGATGAGTGGTCCGTGCACAGAAGCTTCCTGCAACGCGCCGCGAGCTGTCTTCCTTCTCTGCAAAGTGCACGGCGAGAGGCACCCGACGGTCTTTTTTTTTTCTAGGTTTGCGCGTGTTTGCGCTTCTGCAGTCTTTGGCTTTCTGAACTCACTTCTTTGCTCTGTTTAATCCTTCCATCACACCGCCCTCTTAATTGCAACCCTCTTGACGCACTTCACTGGATTGTCTCCGTTGTCCTTGTTCAGATTGCGCCAAAGCCACCAACGAAACCTGCGACCGCGCGACGAATTCGATACCGATTACAAATACACTCAGCGAGTTCCAACATTCTACTGCCTTGTGCAAGAGGCCGGTATTTCTATCGATGCAGCATTCGTAAAACGAGCTCCAAGGGGCCCCTCCGGCCGTCTTTCCTATACCCTGCGTACCACCAGTCGAAATGGCTACCCTTGTCATGCCGCAGGCTTCCGAGTCTCTGAATCACTCTCTCCTGGATGCAGATGATGGAGTAGCTTCTGCGGATGATGGACCAGTCCTTGAGTATTTCGTTCTCAAGCAAGAAGTCAACCTCGAGGTCAATTTCCGCGACAAGCGCATTGAGGGAACAACGGACATTTTCCTAGTGACATTTAACGATAAGGTCGACGATATAGTATTGGATGCTGCAGACTGCGAGATCGACACCGAAAACGTCTACGTTGCCGAACTTCGAGAAATTAATGGTGATATCGTCGAGGGCCAAAAACGGAAGACAATTGCGACCTACAATGACCCGTATGCGAAGCTATCACATCCCGCAAGCTGGAGTCTTAGGGCCGATCATCACGATATTCGTCGTAAACGCGCCCAGTCTTTGTTCAGCAGCCGAAAGAAAGATGTCCCCGCCGAGCATAGAGAGTTCGCGGGGTGCACCCCAGTCTATCGATCGCTCAAGGTGAACTTGCGCGGTAAGGCCGAGCCAGATCGCCCGAGGCTCATCATTAGGAAATCGATGTCGGGTATTGATCCGGCAGAAAAGGCCAACAAGCAGTACAAAATCACAATACCTTTTATCAACGACAACCCGCGGGATGGAACACAGTTCGTCGGTGTCGACCCCCTGGATAATCGATTCACGCATATGTATACCCGAAGCTCAATACATCCTGGAACTGCATCTTGTATCTTCCCATGTGTGGATGACCATGGATCACGGTGTGACTGGAGGATATCAATCAAGTACCCCCGCACATTAGGTGATGCTCTACAGCAGGCGCTTGCCACGCAGCAGAATGGCAACAATCCAGACAAGATGCAAGTTGATGGCCAAGAGCGAGCCCTTAACCTTGCTGAAGAAGATAAGCTCCGGGAAATGTCAGTCGTATGCTCAGGGTTTCTCATGGAGGAGACAGTAGACCCTGATGATGACCACAAGAAGATCATGACATTTGAGCCCGAGAAGAAAGTATCCTCGCAGAAGCTTGGTTTTGCTGTCGGGCCCTTTGAGCATATCGATCTGTCCTCCGAGTTTCGAACAGAAGAAGACGAGGTGAAACTTGGCATGAACGCGCTTAAAGTGCACGCCTACTGCCTACCGAACCGTGCCGACTGGGTTCGCAACACAGCAGCAGCCATCACCATGGCCGCCGATTTCTTTACATTTACGTTCGCTCGATACCCGTTTGGTAATTTCAAGCTGTGTTTCCTCGACGACATGGTCCAAGACACGGTGGCATTTTACTCTATGGCTTTCATCAGCAATCGACTGCTATTTCCAGATGACATTATCGATACCGAAATCGATGTCACTAGAAAGATCGTCCAGACATTAGCTTACCAATGGATTGGTATTAACATGATTCCCAATACGAGGAATGACATGTGGCTCATAGTCGGCATTGCACATTACATGACTGATCTTTTCATGAAGAAGCTGTGCGGAAACAACGAGTACCGATTCCGGATGAAGACTCTATCCGATAAGCTTGTTCAGGTGGACGTCGACCGACCTTCCCTTTATGATCTTGGTGCCTATCTTCATTTGGGAGAGTTTGAGATGGACTTCATGATTCTCAAAGCCCCAGTGATCTTCTTCATCTTGGATAAGCGGCTCATCAAGGCCTCAGGAGGACATGGTTTGACCCGCATCCTCTCAAAGATGCTGACAAAGGTTCAAATTGAGGCCTCTGACAAGGCTACCATTCTTGAAACAGAGAAATTCAGGGCAACATGCGAGAAAGGAGCAAAGTACCGGCTGGAGAGTTTCTGGAACCAGTGGGTCTATGGTTCAGGCTGTCCCCGGTTCGATGTTAAGGCGAAGTTTAACAAGAAGAGGTTGTGCGTTGAGCTCACCCTCAACCAAATCCAGTTGCAGACAGCAAGGAAACCTCCTCTGGAGAAAGACGATTTTCTTCGCGTTGTCAAGGAGCGCCGATCCGGTGTTAAAGCGGGTGAAGTACAGCCATTATTTACAGGCCCAATGACTGTTCGAATCCACGAAGCCGATGGAACTCCCTACGAGCACATACTGGAGATTCGTGAAGATGCTACAAGGTCCACCAAGTTCGAAATCCCATACAACACGAAATACAAAAGACTCAAAAGGACTCGACGCATGAAGGAGAAGCAGAACGTTGGCGCTAGCATGGACGCAGAGAATCTAGATGACACTCTACTGTACTGTTTGGGTGACGTTCTCCAAACGCCCGAAGAGCAGGCCCAATGGGAGTTGATTGATTGGGATCCAGAGACCGAGCGCAAGATGGATCAAGAATCTTACGAGTGGATACGTGTAGATGCCGACTTTGAGTGGTCTTGCGACATGAAGAGGACACTAGAACCGTACATGTACGTGTCGCAGCTTCAACAGGATAGAGATGTTGTTGCCCAGCAGGATGCTATGCTGTATCTCACGCACGGTCCTCTGCATCCCATCGCTTCGGGTTTCCTTACCAGGACTCTTGTTGATCGCCGTTACTTTCATGGCATTCGAACTATGGCGGCCGAGGCACTGCCACGACAAGCCAACATCAAAGACCTGTCAAACCTCGGCCTTCGACAGTTGATAAAGGCTTTCAGCGAGATGTTCTGCCACAAGGGAACAACCCAACCCAAGCCAAATGACTTCTCGGACAAGAAGCAGTACAATGTTCAGTGTGCCATTATCAAGGCTATTGCACAGGTCAGGGAAGCAGACACTTACAAGTGTCCACTTTTCGCGCGTCAATTTATCCTTGACCAGCTTCTCTTCAACAACAATGAAGACAATCCTTTCTCCGACCATTTCTATATCGCCACTCTTGTGGAAGCTCTTGCGACCTCCCTTATTCCTTCCAAACAGGACGATTGGTTTGCTATGCAGAACAAGATCCCCAATCCCGAGGAGAAGCAGTTCCTAGACAAGGCTATTGAACAAATCGAGAGAGTTCTTCGCCGAGATGAGTGGACAAACTCATACCAAAATGTTTGGACCATTGCTGGCCTCAGTGCTAAGCAGCGGCTCATGAAAGCAGAGGTGATCCCGAAAAAGTATAGTGACTTTGGCCAGTACCTTCTTGACGGAACAAGAGATCTTATCCGTATCAAGGCCTTCGAAGCACTCATTGACTTGGGGGCCATGCTGGATCCGACAGTATTCTCGTTTCTGACATACTCTCTCATTACTGATCGATCACCGTACGTTCGAAACAAACTCATTGAGGCCTCTGCCGCCGGTCTGGCAGCTATCGCTTTCGGGGAGCACACGAAGGTCACTAAGAATGAACCTCCCCCAGAAGACGAAGAGGGTGATCTCTTGCTTGTGCAAGACAGTGCCCAGGAGATTGAAGCACGAAAGGAGATGTTCGCAAGAAAGGAGAACCTAGATGCAGCGCTCAAGGCTCTCCGGAGGGAAATGGAAGAAACCTACGGCGGCGACGAGCGTCATTATAGTATTGCGATGCGCAAAGCCCTGGATCACCCAAGTCTTGGGCGAGGCGAGATGGAAAGCATGCTTGACCTGGCTGCGATGATGTTCGAGGAGGCTGGCGATTGGGTCATTACTGTTCCTTTGCCAAAGGCCTGGTCAGTAGAGCGGCCGCTACAGCAACTCACTAACAGCGTAAGTATTGTAATTGTCCTCCTGCCAAAAGCTCTAATACTGACCAAACACAGTTGGTTCTGAAGTTCAAGGCTCACTATAAGACGAAACCTAAGGAACCTGTCGTTCAAGCACCATCCCTCCCACCTCCCATACCTGCTGCCACTGTTCCTGCGCCTGCAGAGCCAAAGAGGCCCACGCCTCTGCAAAAGCTATCTTCTATAAAGATCAATACTCACAAGGCGGTCCCTCCTCAGCGACCGAGCGTACCACCCCAACGTCCCAGCGTTGCCACTCCGGTTCAGAGTCCAAAGCCAGGCCCAATCAAGCAGGAAAGAGATACCATTGTTGCCTCTCCTGTTCTTTCCCGACAGCCAAGTGTTTCATCTTCGTCAGGCTCGAAGCCTTCTTACCCATCTGAGCCTTCATCTGTATCTAATATCAAGCGACCTCGACCAGACAAGGATGAACATCACACCCCCGCACCAAAGCGTCCGAAGGTGGAAAAACCTTTCGGTGCCGATTCCGGTGTCAAGAAGAAGAAGAGACGTATGGTCAGGCTCAAGGTTTCGCCAAGTCGCCTTGCTAGCTTGATGAAGGATCAGAAGAAACCCAGTATAAATGGTCGGACGTCACTGCCGTCAGGCAACTCTCGAGACTCTCTACCTCCTTCAAACTCCAGGTCAGACTCTATTACAGCCAAGCCTGCGAGAAAACCACTTCCATCGGGTGATGCGGCACGAAGGCCCTTGCCTGGGGGTCCCGCGGGATCACCGCAACCGCCACCAGAAAGGAAGATTTCTTTGAACACCCATTCCAACTCGACGCCGAAGCCCAAATCTGCAAGCCCTGCGGCAAACACGCCACCTCCTGGAGCACCACCACTCACTCAAAGGCCGAAGATTAAAATTATCAGAAAGTCGAATCCACCACCGCCGCCAGCTCCTTAGAAAGAGGCACACGATACTTTACTCTTCAGTCATACAGCGTACTCAGAGTCGCTAGTTACAGCAGCGTTGAGGGAGGGGATGGAAATTGTATCCGATGCAAGGGAATGCGTGGATTGTGCCATGGAATTATGAGAGGAAGAGACCGAGAAATCAGTTTTGAACGTAGAATGAGAGGGCGGCAGGAAATGGCAGTGCTTTATTGAAGGGTGTTTTAAGTATTCAGTATAGGAAACGGAGGGCATTGGTATTTGCATTTTTTGGGCGTTGGGAGCGCGGCATCGTATCCAAAACGCGCAGAGGAGCCAGAAAGGCATGCAATGAAAGATAATGGGTGTACAGGCAGCTATTGGGTTGTATTCATCACGATATCATTCCACGACTAGTCATGATCCGACTTTTGTGAATGATGTATTGCAAAATTCGAATCAAGAGGTAAAGGCACAGCCCTGCGCCAACGCTCGTAAATTATATCTTATGAAGCATATATTTCCATCTCCATGCCCAAGTCGTTGTAATCAATGTGCGCCTACTCCTAATATATCTATGTACCTCGTAGTTATCAATCATTCCTTTCTCTGACCCGGTGAAATAGAGCGAAGCCATTGAGAAATTTCCTAAATATTCGCGCCGTGCTTTCCCTCTATTGTCTGGGCTTCCAGAAAGGCCTTCCTTAATTCAAACCTCTGCTTGCCATGCTTCTTGACAAGACGGTTGTGTGCTTTCTGGGCGAGCTCCTGCTCCTGTTCCTCCTCGTCATCGGCAGGCAGCTCGCCGAAATCTACGCTTGATGAAAATCGTAAGTCTTCATCGTCGCGATCTGTCCATATGCCCTCATGACGGGAGGGCACTCCTCGGCCTGACTCGAGGTATTGCATCACAAGAAGAGCCAATTTCCCAGGTGTGAGAGTCGTCCGCTTGAGACCTTCAATAACGATATGACGTGGGAATCCCATAGATTCGTAGTACGAAATTCGTTCTTGAATCTCGCGAGAATTGGAACTTTCCGGATCACGAGGCTGGCTGCTCCTGTCCGGTGGATTCTGAGGGGCCCGGTTCCGGGAAGAATTATACGATGCAGGAAGAGAGCGTCGCACTGCTTCAGTAGTCGGTCTCGGTTTTTGACTAGTCGAGGAAACAGCTCGCCTGGGGTTTATTACATGTGCCAAACTATGGTGACGATGCTCCCTTGATGGTTCGGTTTGCAATTGCCGTCGTTTCGTAGCTGATGGTCTATCCTGGCTTGTTTGATTCAGATGAAATGGTATTGGCGTAGAATCAAGTAACTCATTATCTGGAAGTGGATCGACGTCCACAGATTGCTGACGAGTTTCCTGTGGAGGAACTGCTGTTGTCCTAGAATCTTGTGATTCGTCTAGCTGGGGAGGAAGAGGGGGGAGATGCTGCGAGGCCTCACTTTCGCCAATGTTGTCAAACCACTGTGAGCTCACAGGAACGCTGGGAGAGGGTTCACGAGTGAGCACCTCGGGAGCCAGGTCGTTATCTGGTGTTGACGGAGTCTCATCATTTGAGTGATAGCGCCTCTTTTTATGTACATTACCAGATGAAGTGAGCGGGCGATGCGCTGTTGAGCGTTTCAAGCCAGTAGCGACAACAGGGGGCGAAGACCGCTCGTAGGTTTGCGGCGAACCGTCTTGGTCTTCTTGGCCGTTTTCCCATTTGATGTCCTGACTAAGATCCAACTCAGGGGCTACGGCTTCTGAGTCTGAGACGGGCTCGTCTTCGAAATTCTGGATTTGAGCCAAAAAATCATCAAGATTTTCTTGATAACAAAGGTGCAGCTCGTTGAGCATATGGTCGGTGGGATTGACAAAGCCTAACTTTTCGGCAATCTTAATCCAGTCACAACTCCCAATTTCATGGAGGACGGCTTGGGCAGCTAACGCGAGGTCGAATAGCTCAAAAGAGACTCCTTCGATCTTGAGATATCTTTTGATGTCTCTGTCTGTGGAAGCGATCCAGTCATCAAGGTCACGATAAAATGTATCTCTTGCATCGTCCTCTTCTGGAGTATCGACTGGACCAGGTTGAATTTGATGTCCTGCTGTGTCAGCTGCTGGTGATAATGGTGTTTCCTGCTGGTGTTGTCGTGCTGTATCCAACTGCTGGCGGTCTTCTCGAATACCAGTCCGTTGTCTCTGTTTGGAGATTCGCTGAGCAGCAGCTTGTGGCGGGCGTCGTTCAACCACTTTGGGCGGCTGCTCCGCCTGGTGTGCATCGTGGTTGTCTGGCAAAGTTTCCTCTGGTGCAGAGGCTGCCATACGCTCTAGGTCCACTCTGTCGAGGTTTGCCAACTTCTTGACGTAGCGATCGCGCCATGACTGTGCAGTATGCCGAGCATTCTTACAATTGTTAGCTTGGATTCTGTTGACAATGCAGTGAACCTACAATGCATGCGTATTCTTTCCAGATCTCGTTTCCCTTTTGATCAGTCGGATGCTCTAGAACCCATCTCGCAATTCTTGCATCGTCCTCCCGAGTGAAAGGGGTACGAGTTGATTTGGTGGGCTGGCCGCTGCCTACAGGCCTCGGCGCATTTGGAGGAGGGCCTATTAGATACCTATCTTTCAGTTGAATAATGCCATTCTTGACGGAGTCGTCAATGAATTGCCATGAATATGACCCATGTGGAGCATCTTTCTTTGCTCTGGCATGATCCGCGATAAGCATATCGGCTTGCTTTTCTAGAGGCACTACAACGCCGCCATTTTGCTATTCATTGTTAAAAACATTAATGAGGCAACAGTGGAGGATTCCGACATACCTTGATTAGGTCTATCCAGCGGGATCTTTGGGGTACTCTTGTTGCCATCCAGAACTTGACATCTTTGAATATTGTCCCACCCTCGGCATTTTCAACTCCGTTGTATGTCACTGTAGAGGCCATGATGGCGAGTATGCGTTGTCTTTATGGCTTACAAAGGAATGCGACCTTGATTGCTGAGAGAGGATCACGTTGGATTTCTTGAATTCTGATGCGCTGCAGCACAAGACGAGGTGAACACAACATTAAAGAAGGATTTTAACAGACAAAGAAGCAAGTTGAGTTTCTTTCAAAGACATAAAGCCGCCTGCAGCTTCAACATCCTTTGTGTGTAAGTGACACGAATAGAACCATCGCGTCGGGACCCATCGCGCGTTCACGTGCTAGACAGTCATTTGCTGAAGTGGTATTCACTTATCGAGAATATGAATCTGCTTATGCGCATAAGCAGAAACACCGATTGATTGTGGATGCTATCGCAACGCACAATATACGGTCAATACCTAGATGAGAGACATTACTATACTTTGAGACATTTCAGAAGTCCGAGTGACTGATTATTTTGTACGGCCTACTTGTTTTGCACCTCGTGAAAGCTTGGAAAAGGTTGTACTTGAGCGCAGATCCCATTGAAACCCACCTAGACTGTACCGGGATATTCAAAGCTTAGCGTCCAAGCATCGAGATGTAAAGATGAACAAAACAGTAGCATAATTTATGTGATATATAGTAAATTGACTAATTGACTTCATTTTTTAATATCCTTTGAAAGACCATGTTCCAGTCTCTCAGGGCCGCAAACAAGATAAAACGACGTCACTCTGGAGATTCTTATCGATAAGAGCTACCTGGGCTATCCCCGGTTGAGATCAGCTTTGACCACGGTTGCCATGGTAGCAACGCAGGACTGTTTACTTCCAATCAGAGCCGAGGCCGTGGGACGAGTGGCCGGGATTATTTGGGTCTAAGCTGCAAGTTGCACGAACAACGCAAAATAGATCCGTTTACTTGAAGCTTCTTTCCCTCCTCTTCCTCTCTCCTCTCTTCTTCATCTTCCACGTTGTCTAACCAATCGCCTTACTAACCAAAGCAGGTTGTCTTTGTGCTTTCTCGTCTCTTTGTTGCATTTACAGTCTCATTCGCATTCGCATTCACACTTTCACGGCCTAGCGATAATTTATCTGGTTGCATGGGTTGAGCTCAATACTCGACCGTGAATAACTTCATCATGTCTTCCGAGGACAAGTACGAAACGTTGGAGAAGATTGGTGAGTCTATGAAGACGAGAGCAGTCATTGCAATTGCCATTGTTCAAGTCGCTCGACTTGTACTCTCAATTGAGACACAATTCTAACTCACCGTCTTCTTGTAGGCCATGGCTCGTTTGGCATCATCCGTAAAGTCCGCCGCAGAACAGACGGCTTCATCATGTGCCGCAAAGAAATCTCCTACCTCCGCATGTCGCAAAAGGAGCGCGAGCAGCTCCACGCCGAATTCCAAATCTTGTCGCACCTGCGCCACCCCAACATCGTCGCTTACTACCACCGAGAACATCTTAAAGTCAGCCAGGACTTGCATCTCTACATGGAGTACTGTGGCAATGGTGATCTGGGTCGTGTGATCAAGGACCTCGCTCTGAAGGGCCAGAGAGCTCAGGAAAGCTTTGTCTGGAGCATCTTCAGCCAGTTGGTCATGGCTCTCTACCGGTGTCACTACGGTGTCGACCCCCCAGAGGTTGGCTCCAATGTTCTCGGTTTGACACAAGGCAATGCTGGACCCAAGGTTCCGGCTGGAACCATGACTATTCTACACCGTGATTTGAAACCTGAAAACGGTGAGACGAACCTGATACTCGTTCTCGTGGTACAATGTAGCTAACAACTTTCAGTATTCCTCGGTGAGGATAACTCTGTCAAGCTCGGAGACTTTGGTCTGTCCAAGATGATCAAGTCCCACGACTTCGCCTCGACTTATGTCGGTACTCCTTTTTACATGTCTCCTGAGATCTGTGCTGCCGAGAAGTACACTCTCAAGTCCGACATCTGGTCATTAGGCTGCATCATCTACGAACTCTGCGCACGCGAACCTCCTTTCAACGCCAAGACGCACTTCCAATTGGTGCAAAAGATCAAGGATGGCAAGTTCCCTGCCTTGCCCGATGTCTACTCTCCCGAGCTTTACCAGGTTATCAAGGACTGCCTCCGCGTTAACCCTGACCGACGACCCGACACTTCGGAACTCTTGAACCTACCAGTGGTTAAGCTGATGAGGAAGGAGAAGGAGGTTGTTGACCTGAACAAGTCCATTCGTCTTAGGGAAGACGCTCTCCGTAAGAAGGAAAGGGATCTTAACGAGAGACTTGCCAACATGGAGAGGGAGAAGGAACATATCCGAGAGGAGCTGGACTCATCACTACGGAGAGAATGGGAGGTCAAGGCACGTCTCGAGATCGATCGTCTCGCCAACGCAGAGATTGAGCAGCTCCAGAACCGATTCGAGGAGGAAGTTCAAGCGCGCGTCGAGGCCGAATTGCAGAAGAAGGCAGCATCATATGCCAGCTCAAGGCCTAACAGTCGAGAGGATGAGTATGCGACGTCGATGGGCAAGTCGGATTCCAAGTCCGACTACCCTCACTCATCTGTCGGTGGTAGCGAAGTTGAGTTTCCCTCAACAACGGATCTCACCGAGTACTCCATCGATAGCCCCGAGGCGACTCGAGAGACCAAGAAGACGGCTCGCACACCTTTTAGCCGTGCGCAAACAATGTTTGTGGGCGCTGGGACCCCCATGGATATTGAGATGAACTCACCCAGCCCTATTGCGATCGCATCGCTTTCTCTCTCACCGCGTCGCAACGTGAACACCAAGGCGCCTACTGCCACATCTGGCAACATATTCGCTGTTAATGCCAACCGAAGTGCTGACAACTCTCGATGGGATCTTCCTCGCGATACCTTATCTGATTCTGAGGATGAGGACATCATGCCGTCGCCTACGCGCAACATCAAGTCTTCCAAGAACCCCTTCACTTCCAAGACTCGTCCTGTCTTGACCTCTCAGAAGTCAGCCCCCATTAACCGTCTGAAGTCCCAGCCTTCAACATCGGGCTTCGTTTCCAAGCAGGTTTCCCAACCTGAAGCTCCTCGGTCACCCACTCGTCGCCTGAGCAAGATTCCTTCAGCGGCAAATCTCCAGGCTGAGAGCAACAACACCAACGGGGGAGGTTTGACACGTCAAAACTCCCTCGGCAGGAAGAACAACCACTCAGACGATGGCTTGAGCAAGGTCGCTGCTAAGAACAACATTCGAGGCCGTACCCTTGTTGAGCTCCAGCAAGCTCGTGCCGGTGGACGCCCCATGAGCGCTATTGTCATGCCCAGCACAGGCGAGAACGTCAGCCCTAAGAGGGCATTCCGGGATCGCATGGGCGCTGAGCGCAAGTCAAGCGGCGACGAGCCAGTCGCAGTCTGGGACCCGGAGCGAGACGAGATGCCGAGTCCTTTCCTGGTCCGACAGCGACGTATTGCCCGGGTGTAGGCCGCCTCTGTTACCAGTCGCATAAAAGAAGTAATGATGAAAGAGGAGTAGTGTTTTTATGGTTTTGTTTGGGTTTTCACGCATTAGAGGCGAGCATGATGATATTGCTTTTCAGGGTCTGCATTACCCTTGCCTTACATACCTCTTTTACCCTTTGTTTTCTTTTCGTTTTGATTCCGTTGCACATTCTTCCTTCCTCATACGTGAGGGTTTGGAAACGAAACATGGAAAACACTTATCGGCGTTTTGGGCGCGAAACACAAAGGGATCATGGCATGGCATGGCATGACCTACTTGCATGGAATGGGTTCTTCTTTATTTTAATGAATGCTCTGTCCAAGTGCGTACTTGTTTACTGTATATAAATGAGCATGTTTGGCATTGTTATCATGATTCATTGATTGGAGGATTAAGTTGATTTGATGATCATGGGGCGTTAATCGTCTTCGATTGGATTCATTTTGGTTGGGGGTTCGGATTGGATTGGATTGTTCGTTCTTTTACTTTTACGTATGTTTGCTCTTAGACGTTGTACAAAAAGACAATGATACTCGGAAATACTTCAATTTGATTTGGTGTCTGTTCTGTTAGTGATAGCGGTCAGGAACGGACTTGGCCCCCAAGTGTCAGGCTTCCCATAGGAACGCATCAACATATTGAGTTCGGTGAGTATCCAATAACATGATGAACCGTTAAACTGCATCATCTTTTGCAGATGAACCCTTGTCTATTCAAACAAGAGAACATCATTGGTCAATCTACCATGATGACAATGGATGGATACATACCCAACTTACACCAGAACCCAACTGCTACCTACGTCTATTATTCTCTTGTCGCCTCATTTCTTAAAGCCCAATGGAACAGATACTCCAATGTTACTCTCGTATCGGATCATAAATCATATTTCGATCCGGCTTCAGTGCCGGCCCTTTTTCCTCACACACGTAAGCAGCTATAAACCATAGGCTTTAGTGTTGGGCATCACTGCGTCTCCCCCATATTCAATGCTTTATCCCGCCTCGCATATGCGTGTTCAGCGCTGCACCCCAGAGCCACTCGTGCAGACGAGGCGTTCAACTGCGCAAGGACACGAGTTAGGGTGATCCAAAAAAGTCAGGTTGCGGTGAGAGGCTTTGGATGGGCATCGTCATTGGCAGGGACATCCATGCCTTCTGATATTGACATCAAATCATGAGAATAGGTTCAATGGCAGTTCCAAGAAACGCAACAAGATGCTGTAGTAAGAATTGCAGTGCTAAGCAAGATCCAAAGGGGTATTTTCTCCGTGCGCAAGCTTTAAGACTAGGATTGTCAGAGTAAGGTAAAAACGAGACTGAAGCAATCAAAAACTAAAGGCACACATATATGCATACATATTTGCAAAAACGGGCGCTATTCAACGCCGAGCAGCACCAATCCAACCCAAATCAAAAGGACATGAACGATAACAAAAGCAACAAAAAAACATTAAAATAGGCCAGGCCGCGAGGCCGATTCCATCTTGCGTAGACGTAGCGTAGCGTATTGTAGCCGTGAGGCTTATCAATCTTCCAAAAATTCCCACGTTCCAGGCGCCCTCCCCGATCTGTGTATCATCATGATGCAAGACTCAGCCTGAGCAAAAGCCTTATCGCGATGTAGAATGAGCATGGCGGTCCTGTGTAACCCGCGCAGGACTTTTTGTCTCTTTTCCAACATTTTCCTTATCTTCCTTTTTTGAAACTTTTCGTCTTTTTTAAGTGTTTTACTGTACCAAGAATTGTAAATGAGCGGTCTCTAACCACGATTTGCTGTATTTGGGGAGAGGGGATGTTCAGTGCCTTGAGCGGTGAGAGCTGCCGTGACGGTGGGAGTGGCCATGGCTGCGATGGGACGAGGAATGGTGCGATGAAGAATGCCGGTGAGAATGATGTCGGCTGGAGCTACCACTGTTCTCCAGATCCCGCTCCAAGCTTTCGACTCTCGACCTGTAACCCTTGACGATTTCCTTGATGTGAGCGATACGATCAAAATCCACCTCAAGCTCATCCAGCTGCTGAAGAATCTCAGTATAACGAGCAATCTCTGCATCAGCGCCACCAATTATCCCATCGGCTTCGTCGTACTGTAGTTGAGTAAAACGCTGCGCTTCATGACTCAGGTAGTTGATGCGCTGCTCGATACTGGCCATGAGGTGATCAAAGTAGCGACCCAAGGCAGAAAGTGAGGTGCTGTCAAGTAATAGAAGGCCTTGGCTACTGGCGCGACTAGCGGCGCGCGAGCTGCTGGACCCCCCTCCCAGTGCCGCCTGCCCCTGGCGAAGCAGCTGGATCTCCTCGTTGGTGAGCCCTAGCTGGGTGTCCGGGACAGCCTGTGAAGACATGGCGGGCAGCAGCTGGAAGGGCTGCTAGCTATGGGGTGAGGAGACCAGGTAAGTCGCAGACCAGGTGGTTGAGATCGATGTTCGGGGGGTCACCCGAAGGTTTTGGGTTTCGGAATCGTCGCAGGACAGTAGATGGGTTGGAGATGCGATATGGGTCGAGCAGGCGGGCGGGGCGAGATTCTCTTGGTGTATAGAACGTCTGCGACGACTCGGGACATGGACTATGTTGAATGGAAAGTGGCCGATAGGCCGAAGAGAGCCTGTCGAGGCGATTGATTGAAGTAAACTGCGTCGGTATCGATTGTGATCGGAGCGGTAAGGGTGTATAAGAGGAACCACTGGAGGGCAACGTATTCAAGAATGACAATGATGGCGAAGGTGAGGATGATATCAGATGCGACGGTGGTAGAATAGGCGAGTGGTGTGCTGCGCAGAGCATCATGATATCGAGACCAATCCGATCATGAGCATCATCGGTGTAGATTCAAGGTGGAGTTGCTCCGGAGCTGGAGTTTGTATAGTGGATATCTGTCAGGTCGGATCGAGTTGAGTTTGGTGATATTTCGGAGTAGGTAGCTTGTAGTATATCTGGAGGCTCCCAGACCTCGGAGCACCCAAAAGAAGAAGAGGAGAGGGAGAGAGAGCGGTAGAGGGAGTTGGGTCTCTTTTGGGGAATAGATGCAAGAGGCGTGATTGGAGAATCGGGGGAGGAACCCAAGAAGACGGGAATTAGGCTTGGGCTTGGGATGTGGAGGGTGGGGGACTCGGACTTGAACTTGAAGCAGCCGCTGGATGCAATACAGTACCTTACTGTACAGTACTGCCGGTAGCTCCTAGTAGTAATGGATCGGGTACGTATCGTTTCGTGGAAAGGTAGTTTTCGGTGAAAGAAGCAGGGATGATTTGACGAGGGTGTTTACATGAGAATTGCGACCCAAAATGACCCAAAATGGTGGTTTCTTCTGTTTGATGGTACTGTAAGATGTAATGTAATGTTATGCACTGCAGTGTGAAAGCGAAGCGAAGCGAGATGCTGTGATGATGCGATGGATCCCGAAAGGTGATGACCTAGATTTTTTAATATTAGCGATGCTTGATAAATGAGTACCTAATTAATAGTGTCTTTCTTTGTTAATTAGGTGATGGTGTTGGATAAGAAGAAGAAAAGAAACTAACCTCCACTGTCTTGAGAGCGCAAGCGCAAGTGCAAGTGCAAAAGCAAGCGGGAGGGGGATAGGAAGGTAAGATGGGGCAGCCCGTGAATGAGATTGGGAAGGAGGATAACTGAGAGGTGGTTGCACAATTTGCGTAAGGAAGGTAGGATGGACCTTTGGGTAGAGTTGCACGTGCAATTGATTGATTCAGTAGTCAATTGATCAAGCCGCGGTCAAAAACAAGACTCGAATGATGACTTGAACTGATCTGCTTTGATCGACTGATTGATTGATTGATAAAATGCTGTCCCGACAGAATGGACGCTGATGGAGCTCAAGCTGGACCTGGGACCTGGACCTGGACCTGGAGCTCTTAAATTCCCCAGCGCATGCGATTGGTAGCGCGCGCTAATTGGAGTTCCCTGTCATGGATTGAAATGACGATCACGGAAGGTCAAAGAGATGCCTCTTTTCTTCTCTCTTTACTTTTTCTCAGCCTGCTTTACCAAGCTTGACTCTTTTCGATCAGCTGGGAAACGACGAGACAAGATAATAAAAGAAGCAAACAAGACGCCCACAGGATCAATAGTGTTCAGTTGGGGGACCAACTGCTCCCAGGTCTGAAAGGGTACGTACTGCAATGTACCGTAACAAGCATCAACAGTGGTCACCAAAGGTCGATGGGATAACTTTGGCAGTATGTGGACTCCAAAACAGGTCACGGTTGAGAAATCTCGATGAGTCCAAGAGTTGAAGGGGGATGGGAGAAGAAAAAGCAAAGAAACGGCAGGAGACCACTACTGTACCACGGAGAGAGACAAGAAGAAAAGAGAGGCTTCTTTTAACAAGAGACAAAGATTTCTCCCTTGGTCTGGACAAAGATCAGAATGTCGGGTCAAATCTGGTCAGGAGATTGATGGTGATACAGTCTATCTCGGCAGGTCTTTACCATGATTAGACGCAATCAAACATACGACATAGCAAATTTGCCCATGACAGGAAACGGGCGGAAACATGAAAAGACCATCATCTCCGGGAACTCGGATCAAGACCCCGTCCATATAAGTGAGTCTCTACTCGGTCAAAAGTACAGTACAGCAAAACCTCGGTTGAACTTCCATGCCTATACTAATCTGGCATAAGATCTAGTCATATTGACCGCTTCCTTTGGCAGATTTTCGTGCATAATTCTAAGTTTCTGTGCCTCTTTTTCATTATGACTCTGCTGACCATGGAAGATGTAGGGTTCATCCCAGTTTGTGATCCATGTTCAGTTCAGTTCAGTGAACCACAAGCTGGTGGAGGCAGCCACCGCGGGGATGAAGTGAGAAGCCGCGGGATATTTAGCTTGCTACTCTGTAAAGGATAACATAACAGAGCAGTATCGGACTGATGATGAGGGATATTGTACTGTACAGTCTTGATATGCTCTACACCACCAGCCCTACAGTCTTTAAGTTCTATCCAAAATTGGTAGGTGCTTACAACCAGGGAGAGACAAAGTAACTCAGCCACTCTATGCCATCTTGGATCAGCATTTATACAGTGTTTATTTTGGCGCCCTAGGCCTTGTGATGCGCACGTGTATCCCCCGTCCATCCCATCTCCCCACTTACTTGAGATGCAAACACTTTGATCTCTATCGATTCAAGATATTGAGCCCAGCTTATCTCTGCAACTCACTTCTGTGATGAATACAAGTAACAGTACTAATAGATTCAACATTGTGCATAAGTCCAGACCTGTTGACTCAGCCTGAAACCATCCATCATCACACAATCCTCGTCTTTTATGTCTCATACAAAAACAATAAGAAACTATTCCTCCCTCTTTTTTGTCGTACATTGATTCTGCTCCGTCGATCCGGGAATCGGCATCCATCTTCCCCGAAACATGAGACCAGAAACTTGGCTATTGGGTGATATATCTGTGGCGCGCGCCAGTTGAAACACACATCCCTGGTAGTTTAGCAATCATATGGCACACCAAACAAAGAAGAAATGAACTCTAACATCAATTAATCTATTTACCCGTTCTTCAAATTCTTCCCATGCTGATGCATCAATTCTAACTTACAGTGCATGCAGATACTAGACGCATCCGCATCCGCATCTGCATAATGCATCTAAACTACCGCTGACCTGCAGCTCCTCTTCAGCCTCAACATGACGTCTATTTCTTGGTTGGAAATCTCATAGAAGCCCAGTTTCTAAGATATTCTCCATCTCGGAATCTTGCCGTACCTCTATGTGCCTCCCCCTCCTTCACGTGCATCACCCAGAGTCAGGCCGGTCGTCCTTTCACTCTCATTCTGAGTCCAAGCATCCTCCTTCCCATTCACATTCTGCCTGTTCTCAATTTGCGTCGCATCAAGTGGCACGAGGACATTCAAAGGATCATCCATGTCAAATGCAGCTTGCCGCTGCAAGTAATGCCACCCTTGCTCTGTTGTGTACGCCCATGAACTTCGTCCTCCTTAGCTGAGCAATCGTCCGTAGATCCGCTAAAGATGGCTGTTGTGTTACAATTGCTCCTGTAGAGGGCGTTGGATGCCATGGTAACACAATTTGTTACTCCGAACTCCTGTAACTGTAGAGCTGACGAGAGAATCCTCTACAATTTAGCCGGACATGAAGTGAATGTCGTCCAGAAATTCAACCTCTTCCATGTTAGCATCTACATCTACTCAGCGCCGATTACTTTACAGTTTCTCACTCTAACAATGACAGAGCTGATTACTCACACCAGTTGCCATATCATAGCTAAATCATGCTGGTTGCTGCGATGAGTTGAGTACAGGCCGTAACCACATGGATCACTCTCACACGAAATGATGTATACTTTACCACGTTCTCTGCACATGAATTGAATACATGCGATTACAGCCACAAGGCTGCACTCTTCCGTGCCATCCAAGTCTCTTCTCTTGTATAGCTTCGCTTAGTTACATCATTGACCAAACGACCTTGAACCAGCACGGAGCTTTATTACACATATGTAACCAAGTTATACTATTGAGTTCTCCTGGATTCGACCTTTGTGCTCCATAACACCAAAAAGGCAAGACGAATGATACCTTTCTTCTGGTATTATCACATTAACCTAAGAGCTACTCTAAGCTGACATAAAGTGACCAAATTATTTCGTCTCTTATGTCCCTAGGGGCCAGTTCTTCTGACACTTTGAGGACTACTCAACCCGACCAGGTGTTAGTCCTTATGAGGGGACTCTGTAGAATAGAATTGCCTTATCGCCCACTGACATACAGACCCAGAAGTTGCGGCTCTTCGCCCTGTTTCTGTTTTCGTCACTCGTTATTGAACATACAATGGTTTCAACTCAATTCCTCACTGGTGTGCTGGCGTTGTTCGCCGCCAACGCTGTCAGCGCCGGGCCTTGCAAACCTTCTTCTTCTACCGTCTACACAGCGACTACTGGGGAAACCACCACGACTGAGACCTCGTCTGCCACAGTCAGTGAGTCGTTTACTGAAACCCTCACTAGTCTTGGCTCGACCGAGACTGAGACTACCAACTCTCTCTACCTCGGCCGAGACTTCAACTGCCCTCGGTACTTCCATGACATTGCTCATCACGACAAGTGAAGAACCAACTTTATCAGTTGCTGCCTCTGCCACTACTTCGGCGGCGCCGGCTGCCGATGATGAATGCACCACCAACGCCGACTGTGATTGAGCGACTCCCTTCTGTGGTGCAGGAACATGCGTTGCTACAGACCCCAACATTGAGTGTTCTAACAACTCAGAGTGCAGTAAACTTTTATGGAGTCGACGCTCCTTTTTCTTCTGCTGTAAGCAACAGTATCGAACGCCGTAGTGATGAGGACTGCTACGGTGGAACACCCTATTGTGACAACGATTTCTGCACTGATCTCATCCTTGGTAGGAGGAGGCTTTAAAATATGTCGCTAGGTTCTCAGACTTTCGGCACTTTGCGTCAGTGATTAAACTGCTTGTGTGTACAAAACCAAGCATTCAAACATACCACAACATGGACACCAATATAGATCTTATATAGAGATGGAGGTGGTGGCGCCAATGCCCAGTTCCCTTCAGACTATAATACAATAACTTTTAAAGTATTAATATTTATACTTTACTTGATAATAACCCCTTAGTAGCTGCTCTCATATAGTATTTTCGTCGCGGTCATCAAAACCCTCCCACCCAGACCCGATGCAACTTCACGAAAGGGAACACTCATGGAACTTGAGATCGTCTGAGCTAAAGACTCGGATTATTCAGTACTTTCTCTAATTCTGGCTCATGTGCCAGTAGCTAGTTGTATGTGTAGCTTCCATTACTGTGAGACCTTTATATCTTGCTTTGTTGCATTCAGGGTATATTAACTTGAAGTCAGTCGTATATGCGTTCCTCTTACCTGCTAGTCTCAGGTTGTCTGACTGTAGCTACTCTTCCAGACGCACTTCTTCCAGGAAACCATATACTCACTTTCCCATGACATCAGAGCATTGGCTATAAGGTAGTAAGCTTTCACATCAGAGATTCGCTTCGTCAAGTTTCCACAGACTCAGGCGCATGCATGTCGCATACCTACGTACCTCATCAAGAGATGAACATCTGCTTGGCTTGGGAACAGGATTTGGTCCAAGGGTCAGAGAGCCAGCAATGCCAATGTAACTTACTATTCGTCTGTATTGAGACACATATCTCTTGGACTTTACAGAACTAGCCAAAGAGAAGTTGTCGGTTGTTCCTTGCTCCAAAAGGTGTCAGCAATGTCCAACTCAAAGACATCAGCTCATTAGTTCATCATCGCCGTGACAGCCAAAGCCTATTTCCATCTTCATTTCATGTTAATATTCAGTCAGAGAGAGGATTCAACGTAACTTGCATATATATTATCGGCTATCTTTTGTGTGATCGGTATGTTCTTATGACGCATGACCTTGTTCGCCTCCTTCATCGTTTCTCGGTTCGACATGAAGTTACAGTCGGTCTTTCACAGATACTCGCTATTGCCCTCTTCAAACAACAGCCAGAAATACTGCGTTGTCTCTTTTCATGGTGTATTACCACCTGAGCTATGCGGAGTGCCTCTATGGTAGTCACATCCGTAATAATGCATTGGCATTCGCATCTAACACCAGGCTCTGGCTGTCAATACTACCGCCTTCAAAAGGTCGGCTGGAAGGCTCAGATCTGACTCAAATATGCAATAGTTACATGTAGCCCAAGAGCTGATATTGGGTCTTCCTAAACTGTGTTACTAGTTGTTCTCGCCCTTCAAGCCATCACAGTCAAGTTACCCGGTATTCCAAGGCAAGGCCCATGACTGGTTAATGGGAAGCCATGCATGCCATTGAGCTTCATTACCTAGAAAGCTGCGATAGATTTACTTCTTACCGTCCACTTCTTGTTTTTTATATGCTTCTTCCCCAGCGGCATCAAGAACGCAATGCAGCTCTAAGTCCCTGACCCGGCCACCAGGCTGGTCAGAAACCCCCAGATAGCCAACTAGACAGCCACCAGGGTAGATGTCCATTACCAACATCGCCATTGTGATGCTAATGTCTTCTTTTCATCGCTTTAATACTAGTCCTTCAAATCAACTGCATTCGGCTTACACATTGCTAGCTATGCAGCCTCTCGCGCCCCTGTGGGAAGATTTGTCCGACACTCTTCCTTTAGCCATGTGAAGAGTTCCTTCATGATTCAGTGCGTCGCTTAGAGATCAATTTATAATTGATTTCAACCCTATGCTTTGGGTTCTACTTCCAGGTCCTCTTTTGTATAGGGGCCAACGGGCAGTGGTCGATCTTGCGTGCCTCAACTGAACATAAAGTATGCGCCTGTGCAGCTTTTACCACAAACATCGTACTCCTCAACTAATAAGCATATGATCCTCTTGAGTATTTACCATGTTTCGCTACTGTCGCATTTCTTGTTATCGCTAAAGATAATGGGCATCCTGAGTGTCATGTCGACCAGTCCATCGTGAATCCTACAGAAGCTCGAATATCTGGCTACGTCAGGAACCACTGTGGATGATTCTTTAAAATTATCATACTTGAAACATAAACACAATAGAACGCAGGTGCAGCTGATGCATGACCTTGTGTTGTCTAGTTGTGTGGTCAGCGATGAGCCATGTTGGATACCGGACATGATTACACGTCCCAACATACTGCAAGCTTTTCAGTCACTTTCATACATATACACAACCCGAATCACCTAATTCTCACATAAGAGATGCACCGCATATTTTATGACACCTATCAAGAGATCACGTTGCTGTCGATGTATCCAAACTTATGGTTTAGGGTAGGGTATCACATCACAACCAGTCTTCATGTACGTTTTAAGCATTGTGTCTATGAGTAAACTTACATTCTCTGGTTATTTAAGTGACTAGATGGTTTATATCTTTTATCTCAGCAGTTGAGTATGGCATCTAAGCTATTGTGGGTGAACCACGAGTGAGTGTCATGACTGTAGAGGTCTGTATTACTACGTGATTACCACCACTTCGGCTGCTGTAGCCCCTGATAGAAGCTCTCGCTGGTATACAAACACCTACCAAACTGTTAACATACTAATAATACCATTCTAGAGTAACACCTTCATTCCCTTCCGTGTTTTTACTTGTAAGTTGGCCGGGGTATCGCTGATAACCTCAATCACAGTCACTTGTGAGACTACACTCTCGACCAACTTTGGGCGGCCCGGGTTTCCTATGTCGAGCTCAAACTCTAGCCTGAGTTCATATCGGCGAAGTTCAATCCTTCTCTCAGACTCTGTTGAGACAACTTGCTTCCCCGCCGAACGGGCGCGTGAACAATAGCTGCCAACACATTAATCTAGAACACTTCGGGATCACGTTCCGTGTCAACAGCACCGACCATCACTTAATGAACGCCCTTATATCGTGACGATCCTGCCTGGTCCCTACGCTCTTGACCGGTCTGGTGTTTTGATATCGTCACCTGTAACTATGCAGCTAAAGTCTATATCACATACAGTATCCAGCGCCTGTGCTGACTAGTAGCGGCGATCGCCTATTAACACGAGACATAAAACGCCAGTGCAGACAGGTCTAAGCACCCAATCGCGACCTTTGAAGATAAATCCACTAGGTATAACTACAATACGAAAGACTCTCGAACCAACACTTACCAGATCTGTGATTCAGCTTGACAATAGCCTCTTGTGAGGCTTGAGGTTCAAAGAGGCTAGGAATGGAGCAGGGGAAAAGGTCTCAACCCGAAACAGCGGACTATGTCGGTTCGATGAATAAACACGCAACCGAGACAATAGTTTATTATTTCGAGCTCGGTTAGCGAAAAGGGAAATAAAAAGAAAAGAATAATAGCAAAAAAGGGAGACGGGCGGGAATTCCCAGAGCAGCCATGTCTCCTACAGAATGAAACAAAACGTTCCCTTCAGCAATCTCACCAAAAAGAAAAAGCAAAAGCAAAAGCAAAAGCAAGAAGACCATCGGGATAATAGACATAAACAGTCCGAGCTTTTAGCTGAGGCTTGTGCTGCGTACTATGTATCTGCACGCACAGCTTACTTGTCTGGGGTCAAATATCCGTAAGGGTTCTGGAGCAATTCCTGGGACAGCTTTAAGCTTGATTTCCTAGAATGCGTGTCAGAAGTACGTACTAGAGACAACAGTTAGATCAGTACAGGCCTCCGAGGGCTTTCACGTAGTGTTTGCTTCTTTATGTGCTGCACTGGAACCTCAGTGGTAGTGGTAGTTCAGTTTCTTCTGCGTACAACGTACCACGTCCAGCGATGGGCCCTAGACGACGATCGCAGTATGAGGCGTTGATCAGGGGTTATCTGTCACTTTTGTTGTAGTGTAACATCGCGTCTTGTCTTTACATTTCGGGCTTTCTTGCTTTTGAAGCCATGGGCGCTTGACCAGAAGCTGGCCCCTGCTCCCGAGACCTGAGACGCCTCGGTTCGGCGTGGGCCCTTTATGAGCCAGGGCTTAGCTTCTTTTTTTGCTTTTTGGGGGCACAGGCTGTGTGAAATCTGCTTATGTGAGGATGATAAAGCGTCTCAACGGGCAGAAGGAGTACGTACTGGTGCAAGCAGCAAACCACAACGACATGCCATTTGGCCCTTGCTAGAGGGTATGATTGGAAGATCAGTCAATAGCATGACCGATTAATGGGACTTTCGATACCTGCAGCGTATGAATGAGGCCAATAAAGGCTAGTTTGTAATGCAACACCGACCATAGGGAACCGAAGCTGATGAGATTGAGTGATTGATGTTCAGTTTCCACCACCTTCAGCTGTCCTCTATCGATTCCCGAAGTCGATCCCGTTCTCACCAAGGCCTAACGTGGCAATGTGACCGAGAATGAGCAGGGCGATTTCCAACTTGTTTCCAGACTGACCCAGCAGATCAGGGTGTGGGATATTCAAGACTTCATTTCCACAACTCCAGTATTGGTTGTATCAAGCTTGGCTCAGTGAACTCAGTGTAATTACTCGTTACGGCGCTCACGATGTGACATGACCTAGAGCAAAGGCTGACTATCAAATGTCGAGAAGCCTGGCAATGACCCTGTCTAGTGATAATATCTTACATGCAGGATGCTGTATCGT